CCCGCCCGCCCCGCCCCGCCCCCCCCCCGCCCCCCCCCCCCGCCGCCCCCCCCCCCCCCCCCCCCCCCCCCCCCCCCCCCGATGGAATCAACGAAGGTGACAGTTAACCAAAAGCTAACGAGTAGTTGCGACGCAACACACTTGAGGGCTGGAGCGATCCTCCCGAGACTTGACCTTAGCTTGGAAGTGGCTGTACTGGTGGGTTGCGGTGGTAGGCTGCTGTATGTATTGGTATGGTTGGGCGAAAGAAGAAGCAATTCCCATAAGGCGGTGATAACCATCTAGGGCATCCTTTCGCAGGATGTGGCAGGGTGGATTATGGCCTCTAGAGGAGGCAAGCCTGCTGCATCGGAAATCTGAAAAAAGAAGTAAGAGGATTGGAACATGCGTCTTAAAGTGTTAAAACATCTACCTAAAGTAGGTGTTGGCTGCTGTGCTTATTTGGAGAGGAATTCATCTTAAAACTTCGATTAAGTCACTAAATAGTTGATATCAGTGCAGGCGTTTTACGTCAAATATCAAATTTCCAAATCATTAAATAAGGGGACTGCGTGTAAAGCTTGTTCTGGTGGGTATATCATCAATTCAACGACCAAGACCGGCAGTATGGAGGGAAAGCGCGTACTAGAGGTATCTATCTTCTATGGAGACATCGCGGCTAATATGCAAACTGCTTAATAGCAAATGAGACTTAATGTCCGAAAACTCCGTGAGGCGTTGAAGCCATTTTATGTTTATTCTCTATTGTGTTTTCATGGAGCGGAAGAAATCCTAGGAGTGGGTGGTATTAGTGAGTGGTAAGTTAGAGGGGGGAACATACGAATTCTTACCATGACACTTGTAAAAACGACTAGCAGAATACCTCCACCGGGACCAAGTCTTAGGACTTTAGGTAAAAAACCCTTGTATAAGGCGCCGAATCCTTCCTCCTTCATCACAGTCGCACAGGCACCCCAAGCCCAGTTGTACTTGGGAATTTGGCCGGCAACCTTCGGGCTGTTCTGGATACGCGACTTGACAACGTCCATTGGTGTGTTTAGTATTGTTCCGACTGTGCCACCCACAGAACCGGATATTAAGCCGTTGATGATCTCGCCTTTCTTGGTGTCGGCCTTGGGGAGGAGCTCCTTGACTTGGAAAATGCAGCCGAAGTAACCGGCGTTCCATAGTACGTGGCGCCACATAGTGCTCTCTAGGCCGTTGTACATGGCTAGAAGACCCTCGTTCTTAATTGTCTTCGCTACGACGTCAATCATACCAGAATATTTGCCTGCTGAAGCCTTGTCTTGTAATCTGATCTTGACCAACTCGAACGGAACGACGACAAAAGACTCGGTAGCTCCGGCAGACGCGCCGGTTAGAATCGAGAGCGATTGGTTCATCTTCTCAGCGCCAAATGCCTTGCGGTAGAATTTGCCCCATTCGTCGTTGGCGGCAAACTTGGTAGCACGCTTCGGCGCCTCCATCAAGATGGGAGCGGTGATACCTCTGTAGAGTCTCGAAAACCTGCGCCCCGAGTAAGCCCAACGTTCTGTATTTCTAGGTAGCTGCCGTACCCTTCATTGCGAACGATCTTCTGGAAACAATCCAGCATGCCTGTGTAAGCATCCGCGCCGGTCGCCTTTCCGGTTTGAAGTTGTCTATTGGAGGGTAAGTTTAGGCTATCTCGTAGATCGGATCGTATCGTCGCTCACACTCGAGTCTTCACAACATCTAGAGGATACCTAGTTTACGTTAATAATGCGCACGCGACAATTGTTGCGGGGTAGTCAATACGTACATTGTTAAGATCTGAAAGAGGACAGAAAATATTATTAGTCGGATATATAGGCGCAAGGACTTCGAGTTCGTTACTTGCCTCCGAGATGCCGGCGACGGCGCCTGAGTTACATTGTCAGCTTCACATGGTATGGCCATTGTCACCGAGATACGGAGGATGAGTTTGCGACTAACCTGCGGCGAACGTGTATATAAAAGGTAACGATTGATCTTGCGACATCTTGGACGAGTCTAACCACTATAAAAAGGTAAGCGACTTGTAAAAAAGAATCTGATTGGGAATAGGATTGAGTATCAAACGAAGACATACCTACGGTTACTGGCGGTTATTTAATTGTGAGAAAATCAAAAGTTCAATCCCAATTTGCGATGGCGGCGTATGGCCTGATAGCGAACCGATTTAGAACCCACTAGCCCTAGAATGCCCGCCGCATCGGAGTTATCAGCGGCCCCGCATTTACCTAACTTTAGGTACAAAAGGTAACTACGGCGCCAGTGGATTAGGGTAGTAACCGTCCTCCCACGCTGTTGAAGTAAGCTATCCCGAGTAATTAACCTCTTCTGGAATCCCTTTATTCATTCATATTACGTACATACTACCTAGATAGTACCTAAGAGCCATATAGGCGATATTTAATGTCTCAACTTGCGTTTTATTTGGTACTTATTTCATGGCTAGTGAGCCTATTTGTTACTCTTTGAACGGACTCCTTAATCTAGGTACCTGATTTTTAGTAACTCAAGCCTGATAATAGTGCAACTAAAGCTTCTGCTAGCGCCTTAATCAAGTGCTTCTAACGTTCGTACTGAAATCAATAACCTATAAACATCATACGCGTCTGATCACCACCTGATTGACACAAGGCTTGTTCAAAACTCATTAAGAAGCATTGTAGTTTTATATTAAGCAATGACTACAACGTATGTATCGTCGTATTTTCGTGCCTAAGTGTATACCTACGTATGTGCTCAGATTAGTTGATTGCAACTAGATCACTGACAGTAAAAAATATAGAAAGCACTTGTAGAGCAATGCGTAACTGGAGCAGAAGAAACTATGATGTTGTTTGGGTACTTGAGTAATTCCTTACCATTGTAGATAATAATAAAGGTCTCAGCTATGAACTCGAATGAGCAATGGGCTGGATTAAACAGTTTCTCGGCGTACAATCCTATTCGTAGCCCTATAGCTCAGCTGAGTCTCACCGCTGTTGTCTGTTCGTTCGATACCCAATTTAGCGAGGATCAGGGCAGAAACTGGGGGGATTTGGTGGGGGATATGCATGCGAACACCTCTCCACAATGTCTAATATCCTGCAGACCCTTAAGCTGTCGATTCTACTTAAAGTAATTCCCTAGCAACTCGTGTATTTTGTTTGTGCCTATAGTAAATACCTAGGTAAGTACGTACATGTGTACTCGATTAGACTGCATTCAAGTTTATGAATATCGAGGGAAAGCGTGCGTCGACGACTGGATAAAATCGACGTTATGGCCCTATGATGTCTTTAATACATCAGTGGTACATCAGATACAGGCGTCGAAACTCTGATGGCATACTTAGCCATTTATAGCGCACGAGGGAGCGGGTAAGAGCAACCGTGAGGTCCTGAGAATTGAACATGCTCTTTCGGTATGAGATGTGATTGGCTGAGGTAAGTCTCCGATGACCCGGTTCTTTACTATGGCGTCGCGGGGTTCGGAGGCGCGCACAGAAATCGTAGGCAGCTTCAACTTGGCCCTTATCAAACTTTCCACTCTGTTTCAATTCATCTATTTCCTTCCATCTTCGATTTCATTTATGACACATATATCTACCACATACTCCTCGCGAAAACTTCCCCGAAACTAATATCCATAAGCGAACTTCCGACGAATCGCACCCCAGTGACTCCTTTTATAAGTGATCGTCATCCCTAATACGACCGCGCATCGATCAAACATATCCCTTTCGTCGTTTCGTAGCCACCTACGATCGAATTGGGAACGACTCAACCCCCATTCATCGGATAGACACGTATTGCCGCGAAGCTTCGTATCGACCGAATTCGAACGCGACATCCGATCCGCCTTTCTGTAGCTTTCCGTATCGAACACATTTAAAGATAGAGCCAACGCACGCATTGCATTGTCATAGCCACGAATTCCGGGTCGTACATCGTAGCGGGATTAACCCCCCATCAACCTCTTGTAACGTCGAAGCGCTTCCAATCGCACCTTTAAACAGGCCGTGATCCTCCGAGACTCACAGCGAGGTGCAGTTTGAAGTGCTTTGAACGACACCTTATCGCATACACATGAGTCATCTACTTTGGAAATACTATTGGGAAAATGACGTCGACAAATTTCGTCGGCTGCTGGCCCAGGCTGGCTATTCCCAAACCCCATCCAAAAGCTCAGGTACGGGAGTAGGTAGTCCTGGTGCATTCGGAAGTTCTCCGCGAGCTGTTACCAAGTCGCGCAAGGCATCTGGCTTCGGTCTTACCGCTATCGCGCCTAAGAATGCTAGTAGCAGTCTTGGGAAAGGCGATATCAATAGTCGCGATTACTCAGGCTTGACTATTCTACTACGTGCTGCCTCGTCCGTTTCTCCGAATGCTATCCTCTTTGTTGAAGCACTCCTCGACCACCCTGCGATCGATATATACATCCAAGACTACGAAAGTGGTTGGAATGCCCTACACAGGGCTCTGTACAACGGCAACATCTCGATTGCGCGATTATTGCTGGATAAGGAACGAAAAGACTTGACGAGCGCGCTTGGTGGCGCTACTGTCACGAGGGTTGGCCAATTGATCAAGACGAAAGATCACGAGGGTAATAGTCCTTTCGACGTCTATAACGCAACTATCGCGCTACGAACGTTAAAGGTTTCGAAAGAACGCGCAAATTTGGAAGAGGATGAATCCGATACCGATGATGGTTCTGGGGGTGAAGATACTAGGTTAGACCTAGTCCAATCTAACCCGAAGATGTGTACCTTGCTGATATATTGTATAGACACCATGGGAGGTCCTCTGGCCTAGGTGAAGAAGTCTTCACGTTTGGCAGTAACAATAACCTTACCCTCGGGCTTGGTGATGAAGACGACCGTCAATTTCCCGAGCGCATTTATTTAAAACGTCCGGACCACTTGATTCAACACTTCTACGATCAGTATCTGGATGGGAAGAAACGTCAATCAAATTTGGAGGACTCCATGACCCGTGATTTGTCCGACATTCCCATCTTGATACAAAATCGCCCTTTGGTGATTCAGGATGTTGCATTCTCTAAGTTGCACAGCGCTATTCTCACTACCGATCCTGTGTCTAACCTGTATGTTTGCGGTATTGGTCGGGGTGGTCGTCTAGGTCTTGGCGACGAAAATACTAGATTCAATTTCATGCCTGTTCTAGGTGGGTTGTCGGACAAGAAAGTTATTCAAATCTCGCTCGGTCAGAATCATTCAATGGCTGTCACCAATACGGGGGAACTTTGGACCTGGGGGTTGAATACGTATTCGCAACTTGGGTTCCCTCTGCCTCCTCCAGCAAAGCCCGATGAGGAACCAATGAGCTTGACTCCTCGACAAATATTTGGACCGCTAAAGAAGGAAGTTATACTTGGAGCAGCCGTCTCTGCTATTCATTCTGTAGCGCACACCGGTTCTTCGTTATTTTGCTGGGGCAGAAATGTTGGCCAGCTTGCCTTGATGGATGCAGACTCTAGATCCCTTGAGATCCAGACTAATCCTAGAAAAGTTGCCGCGACCTTGCTTTCTAATCACTCGTCGATCGTCATGGTATCGGCTATCGAGAAGGCGACTTCTTGTCTATTCGAAGACCACACTGTCTGCGTTTTTACGAGCTATGGTTATAATATGATCAAATTTCCCAGCTATGATCCCTTTACAAATTCGCCACTTCAACGTTCGGTGCAACTCTCGATGTCGGCTCGCTACGACCCAGGTCGTAGAGAGATACATCAAATCGCCTCTGGTGGTGAAACCATTGCCGCCGTGACGGGAAATGGGGACCTTTTCACTATGGCAGTTAATCAAAAACCCGTTGATGGCACCCAACCTGCTTCCTCTACGACCAACCCATCTAAGATCAAGGACGCCGTAACGGTGCCCCAGTGCATCTGGAGTTCAAGAAAAGATGGCGTCAAATCTGTCGCTGTTGGAGAGAATGGTTCCGTTATGATCTCTACACAGTCCGGGGCTGTTTGGCGCCGTATTAAGAGAACGAAAGCGAAAGATACGAAAGTGCCTGCAGCAGCAGATGCTAAACGGAAAGATTTTAAGTTTCAGCGTGTTCCCTATATCACCGACATTGTCGCCGTTAGGAGCTCCACATTCGGTGCGTACGCTGCAATCCGAAAAGATTGTGATGTAACCCGGGAACAACTTGAAATTGATGAACAGACTTTATGGCAAGATGTAGCACCCCTGTTCCCGCTCGCCGGATTCAAGGCCTTAAATCACAAAGCGAGAGAGAATAAGGATACATGGAAATTTCAAGATCCCGATGTACTAAAGGGTCGTGTAGATTCGTTGGCATACGAGGTATTAACGTCAACCGACCTTGAAGAGGATCTTCAAGTCCATATTAGAGACTGGGGTTTTCGGAATGACAGCCTCGGGACAGTTGTCCGTGCCGCCGCCTACCCGGATCTGGCGATTCCTATACATTCCTGGTTGTTGTCGGCTCGAAGTCCGTTGCTACGACTTGGATTACAACGATTCAGAGAAACTGGAACTTATGAAGTCCCGGAAGTTCTCAATATCAGCAAGCAAGGCGATTTGACCATCGTGGAACTTGTGGGCAGTGTGGATTTGATCACGTTGATCAACTTTGTCGTATATATGTATTGCGATAGAGTCATTCCCGCTTGGAACTTCACACGGCAGTCCAGACCTCTAGCATACAGATATCGTCAAATCCGCACGGAACTCATGAAACTGGCCACTAAGCTTGGCATGGCTGAGCTAGAAGCCGCTGCTAGGACCCAGAGTTCTCCGCCGCGCTCTATGAATAAGGATTTTGGGAAAGCAATTGAGGATCCGGCTTTCTTTGGAGATGGTGACGCTGTCTTGGAACTGGATGGCGACGAGATTCCGGTCCATAGCTCACTGCTTTGCCAAAGATGTCCGTGGTTTCAAGGACTTTTCAATGGCCGCTCCCGTGGTATGTGGTTGGAGAGTCGCCGTGCGGCATTAAGTGACGCGGACCGCATTAGAATCGACATGAAACATATGGATCCAGAGTCCTTCCACTACGTACTCCGACATCTATACGCTGATATTGGCGAAGAGCTCTTTGACGACGTCATCTTGGAGAGTATCGACGAATTCTCCGAGTTGGTCATGGATGTTATGAGCATTGCTAACGAACTCATGTTGGATCGCCTATCGCAAATCTGCCAAAAGGTTATCGGCCAGTTTGGTAAGTTTTCTCATCCTTGAATCAATCTCATTTCCTAATCTCTCTAGTTTCTACTCGAAATATTTCGACCCTCCTCAACGCGATCAGTCCTTGTTCCGTCACCGAATTTAAGGATAAGGGGTTGGAGTACATTTGCTTACAGATGGAGTCGATGCTCGAAAATCAGTGAGTGGCTAGAACCTACCCACAGCTTCCCAGACCCTGCCTCTAGCGCAATATACCAACTGTTCGCCCTTTCGCCGCGATAGCATTTATGAATTGTCCCTGTAGAGCAGCGTGAGAGTATCGGAGCTAACTTATTGATAGTCTACTTGATGACCTTGACGAAGATCTTCTCTTAGAACTTGATGAAGTTGTAAGAGATAACCAGCTAGCTAGATGCCCCTTCGCGCGTAGTGGGAGAGCCTACTTGCTTCTTCATGAGCGTAACCCTGAATTGGCGCAAGACATTGATGAAGAGAGGCAGAGACGGGTGAAGCAAATGGCGTTCAAACTAAACCACAAGGATGATGAGAGGAAGCTATCGTCCTCCTTCAAGACCCGTTTCGGGAGTTTAGATGAACCTAACATTTCGCTAATTCCGGATAGAACGAGGAGAAAATCGAAGGCGGCTCAAAACGAGCCATTCACACCCGTACTTCGGCCACGCGACTCACAGGCAGACCTTATCTTCGCTATGGACGAAGAAGGGTCGCCTGGCGGCTCTAATCCCGTTTCCCCAAGTGCCAGGCCAGTACAACCTGGCGAGCGGGGTGATCTAGAACAGTTGCCTACCCTCAATAGTTCTTGGTATGATGCTAAAGGGAAATCCGTCGGGGATGCCGCTACACCTATTGCCACGCCCCCCATTTCAGCGCGAGAGCCGAATCTAACAACAGCGAAATCGCATACTGACCCTGCTGGGCGTGTTCCGTCGATAGGCAATCCTTGGGGTTCATCGGCGCTCCCAACTTCGCGTCTAGATTTGAAAGAAGTTCTAGCTGAGTCACGACCCCCTCAATCGGCTCTGTCCGCAGGATTAGCGGCTGAGAAAAAGGAAGGGAGTAGCAAAGCCACACCACAGAAACTATCTCAAAAGGAGAAGAAAAGGCAGTTACAGCAACATCAAGCGGAGCAAGCAGCTCGAGAGGAATCGCAATCTCAACAGTCGCAATTGCCTTGGGTAAAGGTCAGCGAGAAGAAAGAGTCACCTTGGCAGAAGACTCTGATTTTACCGAAGGCATCCTCCACCGATGCGTCTGAATCCCCCGCAGGTCCATCAACAGGTGTCCCCAAGCCAAAGCCACTTCTCGCTGCAGAGACGGGTTCTGATAAATCGATACCGCGACGCGCAGCATCTCCGGATACTAGATTTTCGGGCCAGAGGAGCAACAGTGGAACTAACGCTTCATCGTCCACTGTCCAGTCCAAGCCACAGCAAACTGCGCCATATTCAAAGTCGTATATCAAGCGAGCGCCCAAACCAGAGCGGGAAATGGGCCTCGGCCTCGCCGACATTATTGGAGAACAGCGACGTGAACAGGAAGTTGTTCGTGAGGCGGTCGCGAAACGCAGCTTGCAGGAAATTCAGCAAGAGCAGGCTTTCCAAGAATGGTGGGACCAAGAGAGTCGTCGTATGCAGGAGGAAGAGGCAAGGCGAACCGCCCGTGAGGAAGGCAAAGATAAGAAGAAAGACCACGGAGGCGGGCAAAGGAATAATCGGAACAACAAATCAAAAGGAAATAATAACAACCGGGGCGGTAATGGTGGAGGTGGTAGCGGCGCTGTTGCAGAAGGTGGCCCCAGTTCCAGCTCTAGAGGACGAGGACGCGGAAATAGAGGCAGGGCGGCATAATAGATGGCGGTTCATCGGATCTGGTGAGGTTAAAGGTACCTAGGTACCTACAGTCGCCAATGCATACACACGGAGTTTTGGTGTCAAGTGCAATACACGTAGTAGGGCGCTGATCGAGAGCTATTTGTCTTTATTAGCACTGTAGATATATGTGAAATAGGGAGGAATTGACATCGCACTGCTCATAACGTAATACGGCGTCCGAATAAGCACAAAACCGCGATCGTGCCAAAACGCCGTGCGACTAATATGGTGGTGTAATGCACTGTATTAGTGTAATTACAGGGAGTCATGCGCTGAAGGCCCCTATAGCTGCAGGGCACTACATCGTACTACAGTGTAAACTTCACTATAAATTTGGAGATTGCCCACCTGGGCAGGTGGACTTAGATACTGTAATATCGCGCACTGTAACAGTGAACCCCACTAAAACGCCCTCTAGCTTTACCTAGGTATGTACCTAGGTAATTACAGCCCTGTAATTACAGCGCTTATAGCACTGTAAATTCAGCGTTGACAGTGCAAAATGCCACCGCACTCTGTATTATGGCGCAATGGCGGTTCATTCGAATTAGCGCACGGTGCATAATTCGCGTAAAACTTACAACCCAGCAATTGCTTGTTCTCACCCCATAATTATGTCAGTTCTTGCGTTCATATTTTTTTAACTCTAAATACACTGTTAATTCAAGGGCTGCCGCAATCTTCAGATCTTCAGACTGTGTGCTTACCTAAGTCCGGGTCTGTCGTCTTATTAAGTGAACTTGACCCACATAGCCTGCATGCTCGGCGTCGATTGGTTCGAGAGTTCTGGGAACATACCAAATTAAGCGCTGAGCCTCCATCTGATTGGTTTAGGACGATGCTCGTGGGACGTCGACGTCTAGATGCTACATAGTAATAGCACCATACAGCGAGCTCGTCCAGAGTAGTATTGTCTGTTTGACCAATACTATCCTGATAGATATGTTATATTATTTCGAAGCAATCCAGCTCGAAATTGATATTTCTGAATTTGTACACTGTCAATTCTTACGATTGTGGATTCAGGTGTTTTTATTTGCCATGAAGAGTCGACGAGGGCGCGGAGACAGTGTGATAGTGACCGAGTCCAGTGTATTAATATCGATCTCCTGCCCGAAAACACTTCTATAGCAACGTACGTAAACAATGTTTGTTCTAACGCTCAAAAAACCAGAGCATTGACTTGACTATTTTTGGGTACTGTGCGGGTGGGTAGTGACGACAACACCCTTATTGTCTAGTCGTAATATTTCTCGCTCATATCTCTGGCACTGGGTAAGCTATACCCTCTTTCGCTTGTTTGCTCATATTGTACACAGTTTACAATGCTTTTTTGCGTCTGCTCCGGCCAGGTCGGAGCCACTGGGAATTATCTATATATAGTGGCTTCCCTGGTCGTGTATTCTCCTTCTCGAAAAGATTCAGTGAACATCGACACTACAATTTTTCTAGTTCCTTGATACGACACCACTTTTGACAACTCGACAAGCACCACTCCCCTTGACATACAACGTATTTCGGTCTCATTCATCGAAACCCAACCTTCGGAAAACTTCTTTTCCCTGCAGTCATGCCTGGAATCAACGATCTCCCCGTGGAGTTAGTACAAAAGACTATGTGCGAGATGGACCTGAAAGGTCTGCGCCATATGTCGGCGTCGGTATGTAATTCTCAGATTTGTTTAATACACTTTCTAAGGAACAAACCTCTTCTATATTAGCTTGCCATCCTAGTTTTCATTCTCAAGACGATATTTCAAGACCCCGAAAGTTACCCGATGAATTGAGTACTAATATTAAACCTTGGAATGTCGCAGTCCTCCGCTTATCGAGCCATCTATATGGGAGCGAAAAGCTTAATCCTCAATCGCGTCCTTATCAATGAACTCGGCCTAGAAATCTTTCAGTTGGCGATGCTCCGTTACGCCTGCGCCAATCCCGACTTGAAGCCAGCGGCGGGGACTGTCATGGTTCAGGCTCAGACCGAGCGTTTAACTCCGAAGATGAAACTCAACGGAAGGGTATTCATAATCGACGCCAGCAGATTCCAGTTCCCGAAGACCGCATTCGACGACGAGGTGGTACGAGAGGTTATGTCGTTTCACGAAAAGGTCGTGGCTCGTGTGGATTTGGGCGAGGCCCAGAAGCGACAGGAGACTGCTCGGTACAGTGTGGGGCACAACGTCTTGTTTAACTACTTGCCCGCAGTAAAGTATCGGATGGCAACGGCGTTGTATGCGGCCGAGATCTTGAGAAAGCTTTGCCCAAGGGAGTACGGCAGAGACCAAAGCCCTGCTATTATGGTCAAGCTTAAGCGCCATCACTGGGTTTCGCTAATAAAGACGCGCGCACTGGATATTCCTTTTGAAGTCGAAGCCGGGACCTATAGCAGTGATTGAATTAAGTCAATCACGGACCATGCCAAGTTGTTCTCACATTCGCTCAGTTACGAGGGCTACAATATTGGGTTGAGACGGGCTTGGCATAGTTCGACCTGACTTATAGGTAGTCGGCGCCGGAAGACGTGGGGAAGCATAGGTTAGGATACTGGGAGGACGATTTCATAAATTAGATTGCTATACTTTAAGAACCCAATATCCTACATTTTCCTTACACTGTGACTACCCATATCGTAAATTTAAGCTTACTACGCGGCTTAGAGCATGATTATAATTACAATTTAGTATTCATGTGTCGTCATTTATTAAACTACCCATGTAACGTGTAGTGTATGTATCCCTACATCCGATATTTAACAATTATTATTATTTGCAACACAGACTTTGTATATCGATGTGATAAACATCATAACCGGTTAAACCAATCGCGCCATACCTCAAAAAATTGCTTCTAGAGCCGTTTCCGATCTATTGTTGTTATGCGTTTAAGGATTCATCAAAAGTAGTAGACTGGAACTTGACTCCGTTGAAAAGGGGTTATCAAGGTGCCTCCAGAGCCGTTAAATATTAGCATTATGATTAAAAATGGCCATTATCTGGAGTGCTGTAGTAACGTGTACCACTAGGTGCGCTCGCATGAGCCTCGATGAAGTCCGCCTCCTCAATCCAATCCCTGAAGTTTTTCAACGTCCATGTCGATTTTGGCTCTTCTTCCTTCACTGACGTCGGAATAGTCCGTGCTTCGTTTCCAGTTTTCGGGTAGGCACACTCGATGTCGTCGAGCTCAGCGAAAAAACTCTGATGCTTCTACTTGGTGCTTCTTGTACTGGGCCTCCTCGTCTGCTTTTTCACGTTCATGGAATTGGATAAGCTCCGAAACGGACTTGTCTTCCTCTTCGCGTTGGTATACTCGTTTGTAACGAATCCAATCATCGTCATTCCAAACCTGATTTCCATTCATGAGTTCCTTAGCGGTTCTGATCTCGTGAAAGTCAGTCCAATAAAGATCAACTAGTTCTTCCTTCCCAGTATCAACCAGTTTGGTAGAATTACCAAAACAACCGAGACCCCAGTCAAATACTGGATGGTCGGCGTTAATGGTGGTTCTGAGCGGAAAGATTTCATCTTCAAACACTGTATCATTCAAAGGCAAAGGATCCGGGGCATGGGACCTGCGTCCACGAAATTCATCAAATTTCAAATCTTCGTCCTTTGACCAACCTTCATTATCGAAGTTTACTTCCGGGTGAGCATCCTCACCACGGTAGCGAGTAACCTTATAAAGCGAAGCAGGATACATTGCGACTAGAAGATACTATGAGGTTACCTAATTTAAAACGATCGGGATATTCGCTTTACAAAACTAAGCTGGTATAACTTTGAAATGTGAGGTATCGAGCTTTACTTGGTGGAGCCTTTCTTCCTTAAGTACTACTAAATACTATACCTATGAAACGAAACAATAGGAATTGTTGCTGAAAAGCGTTTTGGTGGGCTCTTTGTCTCATAACAATGCCGATGTTTGTGTCTTCCATGTAGCCGTCACTAATATTACCTAGGTACCTGGTAGGTACATCAGATTTTACATCACAGTTATGGATAAGGCGGTTCAGATAAAGCCCAAAGGCGTAAGTTCAACTTGGGAATACTCTACTTTATGGTCGGATCTTCTGTCGTACTGGTTGCCCACCCGTTCATCTATTGTGAACGCTGAAGGGTATCACGTGATCTAGGGGTTCACAAAAAGTGCCGCCCGTACAATTAGTACCGTTTTAAACTGTAACCCCTAAACTGCGCTATAGCTTCTGATTGGCCTAGGCTGGTGTAAGTAGTGTTATATTTTGATTATCTCCGGGTTTCTTTCTTCATGATACTCTACAAAGCGTCCCTGGTGTCTCATTTCCTAGCCTTGAGGTCTTCTTTTACCAGATCTGCTGCCCGTTCTGCAACTGCATATACTGTGGCCATTGGGTTGCTCCGTGTAGTAAGTGGGAACACACTTGCGTCCACAACTCTCAGGTTCTGAGTTCCATGAACAATGAGTCTTTCGTTGACGACACCGCCCTTATCGAGAGGCAGCATCGCACACGTGGATGTCGGGTGCCAGCTACTGAGTGTAGTTTTCGTGATGTATTCCTTCATAGCCTCTACATCTCCGATATCGGCGGGTGCGCTAGCATTCCGGCGACCAGAAGGTTTCAAAAGCGACGCAAAGGGTTCTGTAGAGACGATTGTAGAAATGTACGTCATGTGACGCGCAAACATCTCGATATCAAGGGGGTGGGTGAGGTATCGAGGATCGACCTTGACGGGATCAGAGGGGTTTGAACTGCGGATATGAACGTAGCCACGCGACAGGGGCTGTAGAAGGAATGCGGCAATTGTGCAATAACCCCCAGGTAAGAAATTGGCGTTTAGAAGCGAGGAACCGGCTTCGGCGCCAAAATTGCCCTGCGAGGCCTGAGCGCAGAAAGTTACCGTTGCCTCTTTAGGGTTCTGAAAGAGGCTGCTGTAGTACTTTAAATGTGACTCATTAAGTGGATGTGAGTCAGTGGAGATATCTAAGCCATGGGTAAGTCCAATGTTCTAGAGGGATTGCTTAAGGGGGGAACGGTGGGGGAACTCTACCTGAGTCTTGAATCTGCTTGGCGAAAGCGTCTTGAAGGCCTAGAAGAGCATATGAAAGGACACCACCAACTGCTAAAGGTCCAGACTTTGAATCCTCGTATTGCTTCATCGCCACTTCCATGGCAACGGGGTCTTGGCGAAGGAGGTCATCGACAGTCTTAATGTCATCTTTGACCTGGAAACTTAAGCCAGTCATTGGATGATCTTGAAGGTTCTCCCCTACGGATTTGTTCGCAACAGCGACATGAATGCCAAACGAAGAAAGGATATCAGGATTTCCTATCCCGGAAAGCTCGAGTATTTTAGGCGAATGCATCACTCCCGCAGACAGTATGACTTCTCTTTCTGCATTGGCTGTCTTATTTTCGCCGTTATGGACGTACTCGACACCCGTTGCAATGACGTTTGGGGAGTCACCCGTCAAGATCACCCTTTGGACATGAGCTGCAGTAATGACAGTCAAGTTCTTCCTGTATTTTGCTGGCTCCCAGTATGCTGAGGCGGCGCCGCTCCTTTGGCGGGTCAGAGGGTCGATAGAAGCTGCGTTTGTAAATGCGCCGGTGAAGTTCCCCGAAAAGGGGTCGGCACTAGACCCGTGGCCGAGGGAGCGCATTGTCTCAATCCATGCTTTTGGGATCGGATTGTCGATGTCTGAGGGAAAACTGGCCTTAATAGGCCCGTCGGTGCCGTTAACACTGGATTCGATGTAGTCTAAGTAGAAGTGGTCGTAAACGGGGTCGCCTGGAGGTGGGCAAGACAAAGTGAATGATTTCCTGAAATATGGAGCGAGAATATCCCAATTCCATCCTAGGCTTAGTTCGCCCCAAGCATCGATATTGACTTTTGAAGTAGCAAGGAAGAGTTGGCCATTGATAGCGCTGCTTCCACCAAGAATCCGACCGTAGGGGATCCTGATAGTTTTGCCACGGAGGGCGGCCTAAGCCAAGAACAATTGTCAGAATTACATGTGAATGGAGTTATCTGATAGCGGTGTAGGCATTTAATAGATTTACCTGCGGCTCTGTCACGGCGTCCCAGTCGGCGTCGGAGCCCATCAAAGTGGGGTATAGGAGTGGTGTTGTGACTTGGGGATCTGAGGTCTGGTCTTTACCCGCTTCGAGCACTAGAACGTGGACGTTACTGTCCTCAGTCAGTCTGTTAGCCATGACGAGGCCGGCAGTGCCGCCGCCGACAATAATAAAATCATATTTATCAGTGGCCATAGCGTCTACGGACGGTAGTGGCGGTACTCGAACTAAACGGAAGTATTGGCCGACTGATGGATGAAATCAGGTTAGAACGGAATCAACCTTCAATATGTTCCTAAGATAGTTATGTAGAGAAAATAGCTGACAAATAATTGGACATCCCGTTTGGCAGCGGCGAGTGGTGCCCAGATACCTAGCTAGTGCCAAGTATTCAGTGCATACGATGTTGGTTCCAAGAGCGCGAATACTCACAGACTGGTTGGATGACATCCACTGCAACATGCCGATCAGCGGGCAGTACGGTGATGATATAAGCGATTATGCTTATGGATTGCCCCATATACCTCTAAGTACTGTTCCCGGTTTCTTACTTAGACAATAAATACATTCTAGTTAGATTAGGCGCAGCATTTCTATTGCAGAATGCTTACAAGGCCATAGGATCACTGCAACATTAAAATCACACCTGAAGAAAAGACTTCTACAAATATACCAACAATGTGCAGGGGGCCTTTTCTTTTTCTGCAACCCTCGGTCGTATCTTAGGTACAGATGCGTTACCAACGTGTTACTGACACCTAGATGTCCGTCAAGACAAGCTTACAGAGACAACAATACTCTCACATCAACTTGCTTCAACATAGAAACTAGTATCACTGCAATGGAGAAAAATCTAGCGTACAGCAGAGCGAGAGAAAAACGAGATACATTTCTTTCTATCACGGACAGCGTCCCTGTGTCCGTGTCGTCCAATTTTGTTGTATGCATTTTATTCTCCAGCATCGCTTTATTCTTCGTTATCCTCCGCATCCTCGCCCGGATACGAACCAGGGCCAAATTCGCATTCAATGACTACGCGATTTTCTGGGCTATGTTCTGGTCGCTTTTCTTGGCGATTGACTCTATCGTCACAGCATCATATGGCGGCGTCGGGCACCACATAGAAGAGATAATGGCACTCGCACCTCAAATTCTACAGCCAATGCTCAAGGTCTCGTAACCTCGCTTCTTAAAGCTATGGAATCAACTAGCTGACTTTTTTAGACTGTTCTTATAGGTCAATTCACATGGGCTTTAGCAAATACGGGAGTCAAACTTTCCATGATCGACCTTTACATCAAATTGTTCGGAACAAACAAAAGATTTCAATCAGTATCGTACATTTTAATGAGCGCCGTTGGCCTCTATTGCCTCATGGTCATTCTCATCGCTTTCCTACTATGTCGACCCTTAGCTTTCAATTGGGACACGTCAATCCCCGGTGGACACTGCGGCAACCGCAATTCCGCATTCCTCGCCTCCGGTGTGATGAACCTCGTCCTCGATGTTGCAGTTCTAATACTACCGCTACCGATGCTCTGGAACCTCAATATGGCTATGAATAAGAAAATCAGTTTAATGCTAATGTTTAGTATTGGTGTTGGGTAGGTGGCTGTCGCTAGAGACCCCTAAATGCCGTTAACAAATTGCCTAGGATATGCGGATTCACGATATGGCGGATGGTAATTATCTACAACATGAACGAGCAGGACTTCTTCTACGAGGACGGGATATTGAGTACTATGTCTAACCTGGAACCTCTTCTCGGAATATGCGTGGCGTGTCTTCTGGTCTGCCGACCCTTGCTAATTGCCTTTGGGCAGAAAATACGCGTGGTGGCTTCATCGGCTATGAGTCGGGTAGGGGGTACTATAAGTGATTCTCATGGTGTTAATATCTCAACAAGAAGCGAAAATATGGCCGGCCGATCAATACATTCAGCAGGTAGGCGGAAGTTCAAACGCCTCCATGACACCTTATACCCAATGTCAGATCTTACAGGCACCACGGAGTGCGAGGGACCTCCAGATAGCAATCTTGAGAGAGGCCGTGGGAGCGAGTGGAATAATGGAATCAAGGTGACGGAGACCTGGGAGGTAGCGAGTGAAAGACATCCTTAATGCAACGATATGGCTTGCAGAATAATGATGATTTTATTGATTTAAAAAAAATAGTTCTATTTCCACCTACAGCCAAGCAAGAAAAGTCTTATTAGTGGTAAAGAATATATAGATATCAACCAAGCGTTCCAAATTCGAAATGTGCTTTTATCTGCTTTGGTGGTACAACAGCTTACCACTCGAGTAGCCACGAGCGTTCCCAAAAGTAGCGGAACAATGAAGCTATACCAGTCTAACCGCCAGTACGTGGGGGGTAGTCCACTGAATACTAGGACTAATATCGCCGTAACCCAACGCGTTATTGTGTTTCCGACGACGAGTGGCATCGTTTTACGGTTTCTGTCTGAGTCTCCCTCGATATCGGGAAGGTCCTGCATCTGTATCGTCGAGAATATAACTAAAGCCAAGATACCAAGCCACTCTACTGAGGGCTTCGTAACCACGAGAGGAAATCCTAAGACAACTTCCATTGCTCCGGATGCGAATGATAGAATCCCGGCCGCATTGATGAAGTTGCGAGTCACAAAGTTGTTGTTGGCACCTCCACCGATGTTATACCACGCACCGAGAAGAATGAGAAGAAGGGATTGGCGGAGTCCACCGAGACCTATGCTGATAAGAATTGCCAAGATATAGTGGGTATACATCATATACAAAGCATTTTTCCTGTTGATTCTCCCCGAAGGCAATGGTCTCCATGGCTTGTTGATACGATCTTCGTCGATTGCTTCCTGGCTCAGTTGATTGCAGATATCGAAGGGAAGCAGATTCGACCATGTCCAGACGATGGCTAACGAATAACGAGCTAGGAGTAGGCTCGGAGTTTCGTGGGGGGCCACAAGGGGCTGTTCGAAGAGACACGCTGCATACGCCGTTGAGGCTCCGAATATGCTTTGTGGAAATACTATAGTCTTCATATCACTGTATGTAAACAGCCAGGCAGTTCCGAAGTAAAACAACAACCATTCTCTGGTCGTGGAAAGAATATGATCCGGGTTTTGGCGGAGCCACACCATGGCCACAGCAGCTTTCAAGAGAAACCGGTCTCGCTTAAATGTACTTGGCCCAGTAACAGCTAATGAGAAGAAATGAAATCCTAAACCTTGAACGGCGAAATAACCTAATAATTATTGCCCTTATATCATATTGTAGAATATCAGAGTTATGTATAATATTTTGATTAGTAACTAAGCTTGAAGTGGTATCCCCCCTTGCTAACAATTTGATCATAGCAACTGCATATGCAGGTCAGCCTTCATTTAACGGGTCTATGGCAGTCAGGATATCAAGTAATTGTTGAACTATTGCCTGCTGGGAGTGGCATACGTAGGCTGCCAGTTCGCGGATTCGTGCAATCGACGGTTGGTTAGTACGGTTCCCATACATGTAAGCGAGAACCCCGGTCACATTGGTGTGTACCTCAGAGTACCAACCTGGGTAGGTAAGCCTCAAGGGAACGTGATGCGACCATAATACGGTGCGGATCGTCTTAGTCAAGCACGTTGGGCGATTATGGTTTGCCTAATGACGCCGACGAAGGCCCATGTATCTCGTAGTTTAAGTGATATTATAATCGCATTTACTAATATTTCAGTCATTCCCACCCAAACTTCTACCTAGGTATACTCGACTGAAATCGTTGTCGCCCTGTAGCCCTACTGTCTTTTCCTACGCTAACCCTATGGCAATGTTATTACCTCAAGAGAATCAACCTATCGCATGGGTTGCGTTGGCCATATTTTCCGGCGTGTTTTCTCATCGCTTCTACTTCATCAAAGGCGAACATCATCTCAAAGCCCCAATTTACTTTCGGAGCCTCCTTGCACTCATCATACTATTTTTCACCCCACCAGCCAAGGAATTTCTTTCTCAACGGCTTGGGCTCCGCCAGCCATTCCTTTTCCTGTTTTCATATTTGGCGTCCCTCTTCACTAGTATTACGATCTATCGGATCTATTTTCATCCTACCCGCTATTATCCAGGCCCAAGGCTGGCAGTAATATCCAAGTTATGGCACTCATGGCTGTGTCGCGGATCTCAGAATCATAAAGTGCTTGATGTATGGCATGAAAAATATGGAGAATTCATCCGCACCGGTAAGATCATATCAGAGCTATTATATAATGCAAAGGTTTTTAATTTGCATTCGCTAATATTTGAATGGGAACCAGGTCCGAATGAGATAACCGTCTTCCATCCCGAGGGACTGGAAATACTCCATGGTCCACAGAGTACTTGCTCGAAAGCAGACTGGTACGACGTTCTCTGGCCGCATGTTGCACTCAATAGCATCAGGGACAAGCCGGAACATGATATGCGTCGTAAAACATGGAATCCGAGTTTCTCCAAAGAAGGTTGGAGATTTCGAATATTCTCGAGAGCGCAAGTTTTCACTAACGATCAATTAAAGCTCTTTCGGATTACGATGTAGCGTACCAGAAACATAATATCCGGTTCGAAGGTGTGATACGCGAACACAACGGCCAGAAAGTAAACATTGTGGACCTAATTTACTATTGGAGCTTCGACGTGATGGGCGAGATAACATTTTCTAAGTCATTTGAGACTCTTACTGATGACCACGCGCGGGGACGCCAAAAGATCATACGATACTTCATGAGGTATCTTGGACCGTGCTCACCGTCCCCTTGGCTCGTTAACTTGGGTTCTAGCGTCCCAGGGGTAATGGGAAGCTGGAATGGGATGCTTAAGATGTGTACAAACTACATGACGGAGCGTATAGAGGTTCGTGATGCTACTCAACGTCTCCCATGATACGCTCGTACTAAATGCTCCTAGGGAAAGACAACGAAATCAGATGTTTGAACCCTTTAATCTGGATCAAATTGAATGATTTGGCTCACCAAGTCGCAGATTGCAAGCAAAGTTGCCACTTATATCCAAGATCCGCATCATCTAGGTGGCGAGGCACTCGCGATGATAATTGCTGGCTCTGATACTCTAGCTTGCACTTTGGTGTATGCGCTCTTCTACCTAGCAAAGGTTCCACATTACCAGGACTTGTTACTCGAAGAGCTGAGGAAGTATAATGTGCTTGGTGATCAACAATTCAGTCCCGCGCGTTTGCAATCTCTTCCATTCTTGAATGGGATTATAAACGAGACCCTAAGACTCCATAATCCAGTTCCTGGTGGTTTACCTAGAATTGCTGGGCCGGAAGGGCTCACAATTGCGGGGAAATATATACCGCCATTCACCACGGTCGTGGCGCCGCGCTACCATATTGCTCGGTGTAAGTGTTATACGAAGTAGACTCCTACGAGACTCTTCACTCTCTAACAAACTCGTTTAGTACCGTCTTGCTTCTATAATCCGGACCAATTCGACCCTTTCCGCTGGATACACAAGAACAAGGGTTCGCACGACCTACGAGCTTTTGTACCCTTTAGCATAGGGCGCTACAGCTGTGTGGGGCGAGAACTCTCATTACGCCAAGCCCGGGTATTCCTTTCGACTATCGTGTCTACATTTAAGATTCGATTTGCAGATGGAGAAGATGGCATCGCAGTTGAGAGAGATATGGTGGATGAATTTACTGCATTTCCGGGACCGCTATGGTTGCAGTTCGAGGCACGGGTTTAGTCGGATCATTTGGAGTAGTCCGAGTCACAATCAGTGACAGTGCAAGCCACATACACGTAATCTTGAAGCGGTCAGCAATAGGGAACCAATGGGACAATTGTGCAAGTTTTCGTCTCGTTAAAGATTTTCATCCGTGTGGTGGCACAAGACAGGCAAACAGTAGATCAATCTGAAGAATTGATTATGATGCAGTAAGACAAGTACGGAGAAGTTCAAATTACCAAAAACGGTAATCAACATTTCCTTTTTGGGTGTAGTCAAATTGGCACAACATCGACTTCAGGTAACACAGCAGCAAAACCTGGCCAATCCTATCGGATTTTTGGAATTTGCACCCCTGTATTCAGCTTATAAATGTGGCGGTACACACGGACAATTCAACTGCAACTGTTGGTTGTTTCCCATTGGCTCTCATGCCACGATCTACCATCTTGTGGTATATAATTAATGCAAGCCCAACCAACATTTTTGGTCGCAAATTCTAACCTTGTTAAGCATTTCGACAGCGCTTCTTCGCCGAACATCTAGGATCCCAATCCTATAAGGCTGAAGGCCGTAGCCATTGCCCACCGAACTGTCTAGGTACCCGAAAAGCCGATAACGAAACTGCGTATTGTCAGAGTTGTATTTCTCCACCGGGGAAGGCATTTAAAGTCACACAAAACATACCTAGGTACATATAAGCTGTTGGTTGTTGTTAGTTCCGCCGGGTAAAAAGGATTCGAGATGTGTTGATCTCCGAGCCTATAGGGTTTATAGCAATCATAGCTTACCTAGGTACCTAGGGTATTAGGTTTCAAAGTACGTGCTGAGAGGTTTCCGTTATTAACGGACGTGTCAATAATACACTCTGACCGACGATACCTTGTGATATCCCCCAACCGCTATTTAAACGGCTAACCCCCCTTGGCCATAGTTTGTCATGGTGTCGCCTTTCGATCCATTGGGTATGTCTATTTCGTAGTGCCGTGGTTTGGTAGTTAACGCTGACCTCGAGAAGCTGTGTGGGCCCTTAAGATCTAGCGATGGTTAGAGCTTATAGCCCATCACCCGAGGCCATGCTACACTGTTCTAGATGTACGATAGTATATATAGTTAGCTCGGTATACTAAAATCAAAGCGAGTACGGCACCACAAGCCGTGGAATACTCACAGCAGAGGGCAGCGGTCGGTGAAATTGGTGTTACCTGAGGAAAGTCGGTGGCAGTGAAAAAAGAGCCTTATGTTTACAAAAGGACAACATGCTTAGAAAAAGAAAAATATATTTACAAAAGAATAGTATGTTCAAGGAATTGGTTGTTGATATCAATCTAAAAAATACAAGTTTTGGTGGCGGGTTTCTAGCCCAGCCAACAAAATCCCAATGTTGAAAGAGCGCTATGCCGCCCCAATAACGTTTGTGTGCAATAGCACACTTACCTATTTCCTCTAAGGGAACCGATCCCAGCGCTAATCACTAACTTACCGATTCGACAAGTTGGAGTAATCTACGCTTGGAACCGTTGTATCCATCGAGCCTGCCCTCGATAGTTGCCGGAGCATCGAATCGGTGACAATATATTTCAGTTAGCTTAACGACCGACTTACCCTTAATGAATGTCTCCTTGTACTCTTTGTCTCGGTACGCGTGGAGTTCTTCATGTGGTCCTTCCTTTGGTTCTGGATATCGGTCGTCAATATCACGGATACTAACGTGTTCCTGCGCAAACTTTTCTTTGCCTTCTAATCCCAAGCCGTTGTAACTATAAATCGGCAAACACTGGATGTGTTCACTGAACAATTTGATTACAATCATCTTGCGAAATTTGGAGCATATTGTACCGTAAGGGGTGGCTGTTAGGTTGGGATCGTCGTAGAGAATGTATGGCTCTTCGGAGCTCGTGGCAGAATGGACAGGGGCTGAAAAAATGACTCCGACCTGGTAAAAGTAGGGAGGTTGCTTTGAGTCGGTCTCCCGAAGAGTAGAGGCACTCAGCCCGTACATAAATGATTGGACGTGTGACCACCGCCTCACCCCCCTAATACGTTCCTGGTTGAATTCTTTAGTGGAGATACGTCTGATTTGATCGCGAGGTTTAGGAGGAGTAACCCATTCGCCCTTAGTGAGTAGCTCTTTGTGGTTTTCGTAGCGCTCAAGTTCGTATTTGAATTCCTCTGACGAAATACTTCTCTCAGACTCAGAAAGCTCGACGCCGCTGTCATGGTCATCACGAGAAATGCTCCTGAGCCTTGCCTTTGCGCTTCTACCTACGACTTCCCCGCTCGAAGACGACGAGGGCCTCGACGTGGAACGTTGGGTCGAAGGGGAGCTTGAGTACTGGCTACTTCCGCTCGAGTTGGCTAACTCCTTACGTTGCTTGAAGAGGTTGACGCGGGCTTGATGGTGTGGGTCTTTAGAAGCTTCCCAGACGTCTGGGTATGGAGAAGGTCTAGTTCTCGACGGGAGTCTTAGCCCATTATTAGGCCGTATGATTGGACTGGGGCGTTCTTTTCGCCAACTTCCGCGGTAGCCTCTGCTTGCCATCTTGTAACTCTCTCCCTATTCCTCTGAGTTTGGCACTGTTAGGCGTGGAAAACCCTCTAAAACTAGCTTGGTCTGTCTGATTTTCCGATTTCCTCTTTTGGAAGCTCTTTAAAATCAACGATGGAGTGCGTAAGTTCGATTCAAATGGTAGAAAGCATCTTTATGTATGTAGGCCTAACTTAAGGAACAATGGGAATATATCAGAATAAAGAAGCTGTTCATTATCACAATGATCGTGTTTCCACACAATGAAGATTCACTACAAAGCACATGCTTTCCCGACAACAGACTGCCTTGGTACCTATCATCAAAGTAAAAAGAAAGAGGTACTCAATAATGCATTGTCACCCGCTCAACACCTTTGAGGTATAAATCCGAGGTGTTATCTACCTTATTTTGTACATAGAATGACAGCTCAGCTCTGTGCATCACGGTATCCTCTACTGCTAATCAAGCACAAGATGGTATCGCGCCCTACATCACCCGCTGCGTACGGCTACGCAAGTTCTAGCTCATCGTCAAGCTGTGATGGGCCATTCGAAACCATAAGGATATACTTGCAGACAGTCGACGAGCCTACTGCGAAAGCAAGTAACTCATCTCCCTTAGCACTAGAGGATAGCCAAGTGAGCTCTATGGACGAGATCTTGACAGACAATCTGGTACCTCCGCCGGAGATCCCTCCAAAGCATCCGCGTAGACTTCTCAAGTTAGAAAATGAAAAGAGGGCTGTTTGGCCGGCTTCGTTGTCACAAACCCCTCGGAAAGCGAGTTATACCCCCCTACCTAAGTCTAGACCTTCGTTATGCACCAAGCTAAGGAATCTTCTACACTTGAAGAAGAAGAAGAAGAAGAATTAGATAGGCTATCGTAGTTAGATGCTCATTAATACACGGGTTCGGAATTGTATACATCGTGGGAAATAAATGTGAATTATTAAGTACCTAGGTACCTAGGTCGCTCGTCCGAGACTATGAATACATTTGAATATCCTCTTTTTAAATCGCTTTGACTTGTCTCTGGAATCGGGGGATTTGCTTTGTGAACCTCGACGGATCGTCTCTGGCGCCCTCCTTCCAGTATTCATACTCAATCCATGCGTTTTCCGGCATTTGCTCCTCCATAGCTGCCATCCAGTTGCCAAGATCCGGAGACAGCGGTATGACGCCTGTCTCAAGAACGTACTGATCCCACAGTTTGACTAATTCTTTCAATCTCTCGGGCTCCTGCTCTGCAAGGTCGTTTATCTCACCGGGGTCTTTCGCGAGATTGTATAGTTGCCAACGTTCCGGACCCTTTGGCTTAGGGATGAACACGATCTTCCAGTCACCTTTTCGACATGCTGCTCGTCCACATGTTTCCCATCCGTTAATAAAGTCCTTCTCATGGATGGTCTCTGCCTTCTTTTGCAGATACGGTACCATCGATTTGCCTCTCATGGTCACGACCTCTCGGCCCTGATATGTCGGCGCGGGGTGCTTCACACCAGCCATGTCGAGGATCGTTGGTGCGAGGTCCATCACCGTCGCAAATTGATGCGTTATGCTGCCGGCATCAAATTGGCCGCCGAAGCTCGCAGGCGGCTTCATCAAGTACGGCACACGAACGCCACCTTCGGTGGTGTACGCCTTATATAATCTACTCGGTGCAGTAGCAGCTTGCGCCCATCGGGGGCCGTACCATATAAATGAGTCTCCATTGCCGAGATTATCAATGTGATTGTTATAATATTTCTTTAAGTGCTGCAACATTGTGCTTTGAACGATCGGATAGGCTTCGTATGCGGCGCCCTCAGCTCCATTGTCTGAAAGGAAGCAGACAAACGTGTTGTCTAGCTCACCAATTTCATCGAGGTAGTCGACAACCTTCCCCACGTTGGCATCAATGCATTCAACCATACCGGCGAAGCATTCCATTGCTCGTGATGAGTTAGCGCGCTCTTCTTCGCTCATATCTTTCCAGTCTTTCACTTCGTCGGCTACGACTGGGTGAGGTTCCACATCTTGTGGCACCATGCCGAGATCCTTGAGTCGTTGAAGTCGTTTTTGACGTAGGGCATCAGGGCCATCATCATATACCCCGCGGTACTTCTTAATGTACTCCTTGGGAGCTTGTAGAGGCCAATGAGGTGCAGTGAATGGTAGGTAGCCGAAGAACGGTCGCTCATCCTTCTTCTCTTTCCAATCCTTTAGGTAGTTCACCATCTTATCACCGTATCCGTTAGAAGAATACCATCCTTCTGGTAGCTTCTTCACGTACTCGCCGTCTTCGCTATGTAGGGCGATGAAGCTCATCGTCATGAACTCAGGTATTTGGTCCATACCTTCTAGTTGAGGTTCGTATCCATAGTGATTGCTGCATGCTGGTAGATGAGCGAAGCTCTTCTCAAACCCTCGGGCTTTGGGGCTTCGTTCTGGTGTAAGGCCTAGGTGCCACTTTCCCGACATGAGAGTCAGATAGCCAGCGTCACGGAGTATTTCAGGGAGAGCCACAACCCGTTCATTAAGATATCCTTCATATCCGGGCATACCCCGTTGAACGGAGGTCGACATTGTTCCGTTAGGGTCATTTTGACCGGAAATATTGGTCCATTCGATTAGATTTCCAAGGCCGGCAATGTGATGGTCTGTGCCGGTCATGATCATTGCTCGGGATGGCGAGCAGGCCGCAGCCGCATGGAAGTCCGCGAACCGTATCCCATTCTTGGCAAGCTTATCGATATTTGGAGTATTGATTTCACCACCAAATGATGCGACATCCGAGAATCCTAAGTCGTCGGCTAGGCAAATGAGAAAGTTAGGTCGTTTCCCCTGTGCCATGGTGTCTCTATGGCGCGTGAACCCTATCTTTACTTTATCAAGTTGCAGGTTCAATGATTAAGAAGTGGAGATTCGAGTCTTTAGGAGCCTTGGAAGTTTGAGAAGACAATGAGATATCTGACGATATTCTGACGGCTATCAAGTAGCATTAACGTTGAAATATATAGAGAACACCGATAGCCACAATTTTCCGATGTCGTCGCTCCCCACAGCGATGTCGCAATTGCACATAGACATGTGAGCCCAATAATTGCTCACATAGACGATGCTAATGGGCTGACTAGCATTTGTATCTGCTGTAGCCCGCTATTGGTGTGAAACATACCCCGAGATATTCGGTTGCTCGGCCTATGCTGTCTCTGATTGGCTCGCATCCAACCCCTATTTGCCCTAATCTCCCCTAACAATGGGTTAGCTTCGGCCCCAGACTCGGGTCCCTAATCCCTGAAGCTTCCCCGCCAATCTCCCCTGCAGATCGCTAGAAGAAGCCCGGGTGTCGGTATTCCAACGATTTGAGTGGTTGCGATACCCTCCCAGAATGATGCTAGTTAATAGCGGCTGATGTTTCTATTTCCCTGGTCACGTCATCTACCCCAATAAGTCTGGGGTCGACTCTTGCGCGTTCTAGCCATCTCGCTATCTCAGCTAGGTTTACTTACCGAGGCAGCAAGGTCTTGTTCATGGAATAAATTAAGTTAAAAAGGGTGTATTTCCCTGGGGATATCATGGAGGAAACTCAGCCTTTGCTTCAACGATCTTCCGAAGACGCGCCATTACGACCCATGATGAAGGGTACACTGTTAGGAAAGGTTAGGGCCTATTGGCTGGGCTCCGTGGTGTGTATGGGCGGGTTTCTGTTTGGATACGACAGTGGAATGTAAGTCTTAACGCCGAGAATAGGATCGGAAACTTCAATATGGTCTGTTTTCTCATTACTGACTTGATCGCAGTGTCGGTTAGTGAACCTACCCTGCCAGCATAATAAGCTACACCTGAGGAAGCCCTAACTAACCGCAAGACAATAACAGGCGGCGTATTGACATTGGCCTCTTTTCAATCCGATTATCGTTATGGCAGCGCCGACAAGACTCACACAAGTTCACTCGCTGTTGGCCTTCAACAACTCGGGGGATTTTTAGCCTGCTTCCTCGCCTGGCCTATGACTGACAAATTAGGGAGAAAGAAGTCGCTTATGATTTCTTCGTTCGTCTTCTGTATCGGTGTTGTGATCCAAACTATCAACACTCACTCGCTTCCGGCTTTCTATGTTGCAAGACTAGTCTCGGGAATTGGACTTGGCGCAGCTACCGTAGCCGTCCCTATGTTCAATAGCGAGATGATGCCAAAAGAAATGCGTGGTCAAGTCGGATCGTTCTTTCAGTGGTTCTACACCTTCGTAAGTACCTAAGAACCACCACGGAGATAGCTAGAGCTAACCTTCGTAGGGGATCTTCGTGTCATACTGGGTTGATTACGGCGTAGCTAGGGGGATAGCGTCAACGAACCCTTCGCAATGGCAAATTCCAATCGGACTTCAGCTCGCGCCTGCAGTTTTCCTGGGCTTGGGGATGTTAACAGTCCCCGAAAGTACACGATGGCTCACAAAAAAAGGGAAACATGATGAAGCGTGGAAAAGTCTTCAGTGGATCCGAGCCGACGACTCCCAGACAACCACCGAAGAAATGGAAGAGATTCGCGCGGGTGTCACCGCAGAGGAAATGGCCACCCAGGATTTCCGAGTGAAAGGTAAGATTGCCAATACTTTCCTGAGATGTTATTAAATACTAATATCTCTCTGAAGAACTCTTAGAAGGGGAGAATTTCAAGAGGGTGTTCGCTGCCTTCGCCGTTTTCACTGCGCAACAGGCGACCGGAGCAACCGCATTTGCTTATTTCGGGCCTCAATATTTCAATCTCATCGTCGGTAACGGAGAACAGAGTCTTCTACTCACCGCCATATTTGGTGCCGTCAAGGTTGTAGCTTGCGGTATATTCGTATTATTCTTCTCGGAACGCCTTTCACGTCGCCAGGTCTTAATTGGTGGTGCCGCTTTCATGGCCGCTTGTCAAATTACTACAGCAGCTGTCGTGAAGTCTTTCCCTGCTCCAAACGGCGGAGGCCAGACCGTAGCACCATCCGGTATTGCGACCGTCGCCCTCATTTACCTGTTTGTCATTGCCTATAATTTCAGCTGGGGTCCAATGCCTTGGCCCTATGTTTCGGAGTAAGTCTACGCTTCGAACAACCCACTACTAAGAAGAGTTAGGAGTTAACATTACACATAGAATTTTCCCAGCAAGAATTAGAGAACCCGGTGTAGCTGTCGGAGTTGCATCCCAATGGCTATTTAACTTCATATTCTCCCTTACTACCCCATACATGATTTCTTCGATGGGCTGGGGAACCTTCCTGCTATGGGGCATTTTTGATGCTGTCATTGCGATTCTATCATTCGCATACCTCAAGGAGACCCGAGGTCTCTCACTCGAAGCTATCGCGAACCAACGTTTCAAGGCTGCTAGTTCACCAAACGATGCGCTGGATACGAGCAAAGATGTACATGCGGAACACCACGAAGGATAAGTGGGGGCTTGGCCTAAAATATCACAACATAGGCATCTCTTGGAATAATGACTATATTCTCGGAAACTTTCCAAAAGCTCGAGCTGCTAGTAGAGGTTATAGCGTAGTTTATTCCTCGGTTTATTATTTACCGAAAGCTGGCTATTTATCCATCCACTTTACCCGGGAATATCATCCCAATGTAGGAAATGCGGGGTGTATGGTCACTTATGCTTCAGTGTCCTCCCAATAATAGAGCAGAGCATGAAACCTCCTTAGAGGGATCCGATTGGTGTATGAAAAGTTAATGTTAAGAGGTAGGTAACCAGCAGTAATAATGACTTGGTTGACAATGCACACTGCGGTGTGTCTCACCGTACTTTTCGCCTCCTTCGCATTGGGAACCGAACTTCATGCTCAGAACTCGACGTATTATAACCCCATATTACCCGGTTTTCATCCTGATCCAAGCTGCATATTTGTTCCTGAGTGGGATGACACTTTCTTCTGCGCATCTTCGAGTTTCAATGCTTTCCCTGGCATTCCCCTGCACGCAAGCAAGGATCTGCAAAATTGGAAGCTTATCAGTCATGTATTAAATCGCCAAGAGCAATTGCCTCGTCTCGCGGAAACCAACAGATCAACAAGGTAAGATATAAATGTTGGTTATTGTGAGCCTTTAGCTGATGCGTAATAGTGGTATTTGGGCACCCACGTTAAGATTCAACCAAGGAACATTCTGGCTGGTGACTACTCTAGTAGACGACGATCGAGCTGCGGAGGACTCATCAAGATGGGACAATGTGATATTCAAGTCAGAAGACCCATACACCCCCTCTGCGTGGTCTGAAGCAGTCCATTTTGGCTTCGAAGGTTACGATACGTCGCCGGTATGGGACTCGGACGGGAAGACGTATATCGTCGGTGGACACGCCTGGAAAGTATTGTAAGTAAGAAATTAATCCCAATTCGCGTCATGGTCTAACCAATCCCAGCCCCGGTATCCTCTTGGCTGAGGCGAACCTAGAAACAGGTGAAGTAGGGGAATGGAAAACTATTTGGAATGGCACCGGCGGAACGGTAAGCCTACTTCCCAGCGTAGCAGAATTCGGCTCTCATTTCAAATAGGCTCCCGAGGGACCCCATATATACCTCAAGGACGACTGGTATTACTTACTCGCCGCCGAAGGTTAGTGTTATAAACTCAGTCAAGTTAGTCGCATACTGATGACTTGCAGGTGGTACAGGGGTAGACCACATGGTTACGATGGCGAGATCCAAAAGCATACTCGGCCCATACGAAGCTAATCCTAGTAATCCAGTTCTTACGAACGCCAACACCACCAACTACTGTAAGTCGAAGACGAAGCTGGCAACTTGTTCTTATAACTCTAATGCGCCCCAGTTCAAACTGTCGGTCACGCGGATTTATTTCACGATGCCACGGGCAATTGGTGAGTAGGAGCGACTTACTATGAAGATAACGAGACTTAACACTTATTCCAGGTGGGGTGTTGCGCTTTCGACTCGGTCTGGTCCTGAGTATTTATATTACCCCATGGGACGGGAGACGATAATGGTCCCGGTATCGTGGGTGGATGACGAATTTCCGGCTTGGTCTCATCTGAATGGGGAGATGAGTGGATGGTCGATGCCACGGGGAAATCTGCAAATAGACGGAGTCGGGTAAGTTATTTCACTAGTCGCAAGACTCATTACTAAATTTCTCAGGCCATTCATTGCGGAAGGGGATACAGTCAATTTTGAGCCAGGATCGACATTGCCAGCACATTTTACGTATTGGAGATATCCCATCGCCGAATCATATACGATCTCACCCCCTGACCATCCGAATACTTTAAGATTGAGCCCATCAAAGCTCAACCTCACAGCATTGAATGGGAACTACGCTGGTCCCGATGGCCAGACATTCGTCGGGCGCCGCCAACAGGATACCTTGTTCACATATAGCGTTGATCTTGACTTCTCTCCCACTTCGTTCGAGGAAGAAGCAGGTGTTTCAGTCTTCTTGACACAAAACCACCACCTAGACTTAGGGGTAGTTATGCTTCCAGCCAGCAATGGTATATCCGCCCAAACGAAATATGTAACGAATTCTTCGGACTTGATACCACACTTTAGATTCCGTGGCATTTCCTACATACCCATCCCGGGTGACATTGTAGAGCCGATTTCCCAGGCTTGGCTTGGTAAACCGCTGAGATTGGAGATAAAAGCCCACAATATGACACACTATTCCTTGTCCGCTGGACCAGCGAATGCCCTCTCGGAAATGAGGACCGTTATTGAAGTCTCGAACACGGCTGTGAGCTGGGGGTTTACAGGTAAGTCCAATTAGACCTAATTGTGTTTTGTGTCTAACACTTGCCAGGCGTGATACTCGGTGTATATTGTACGAGTAATGGTGGCAATGGTAGTACGCCAGCATATATCTCAAATTGGAGGTATATTCCACAAGGGCAATTTAGGAATTAGGTGCAAGGGACAGCGGGCGATGGCGTAAAACCTGCCCGTAGCGATCATTAAAATGCGGGGTACATACACTATCTTTTAGCGAGAATCGGCGACAACAGCCCGTAACGGTACATAATTTAGCGAATAGCTCGCCGTAGCTACAGTGAGTAAAGCTAGACCTTCACTGACGTCTCGTAGATAAACCCAAAACCTAACCCGAACTAGTCGACGCCCTGCTAAATTTTCCCACACAATATCATAGTTCTTTAAGTGGACGTGTGTTTCTTTAGGAAATCGTTGAACCTCTTATAAAATTCTGGTGTGTTAGGGTGGTTTGGCATGATAACGGGGAAGCAATGCGGCACGCCTTTATAGCAGGATATCTCAGCACTAACGCCGGCTGCCTGAAGAGCTTCGGCGTATGCGAAAGTCTCGTCTCGAAAAAGATCGACTCCAGCAAATTGTATAACTAAGAAAGAGAGAAATTAGAGCCTCGCATTAGTTTCGCATAAATTAAGTAAAGGTAAATTGCAGCGAAAATGGATAATTAGGACTTACGAGCTGGTGGGAGGCTTTCTAGTGATTCTGCCAGTAAAGGTGAATGTCTCCAGTCTGGTTTCGGGTTGGGATTATACGCGTCGAAGAAAGCCTCAAGTCTGAAAATGCTAAGGACGCAATTGTCTGCGTTTTGAATATAACTACCAAATTCGTATTTGTCTCGAGGGAAGAACCTGGGATGGCAGACTGAAGGGAAGTGAAGAACCTGGGCGATTACACCTGAAATGCCATTATCCCTGGCCATAATCGCTAAAACTGCAGCCTAATGACAGAATTAGCGTGTACCTAGCTGGTGCGTGGGCAATTTCTCAGGGCCACTATTAGGGGGTATGGAACCTACAAGATTAGCCCCCGCACTGCTTCCAGCAACAATAATCTTTTCCGGGCTGACTCCGAGTGTTTTCGCATTCTCCTTGCACTGGAGTTAATAATTAGTCAATATATCATTGTGTTTATATCGGCGAAAGTATTCGTCATACCCATAATAACCCGTCGAAGCAATCCTGCGCTGGTATTGGAAACTGGAATTCAGGTGCTCTTTTTCGTATTAGATGTAAGTACTTAGAAGGATAGGTTTTATGTGACCAAAACGTACAATCGGTAATTTATGCTAACGACAACAATGTTTGGGTTCGTGGCAGCATAAACATTCTCGACACCATCTATCTCGTGCTGCCCTACACAAAAGCCTACATCGAAGAGGTTAGATTATTATAAAGGAGACTAAGGTTGTGTATAATTTCTCGTACCACCGCCGTGCATGCGATAGACCAGAGTCGCGTTTGGCGCAACATCTGGGGATTTGTAAACTTTCAACTCAAGAAAGGTGCCGTCGCTCGCAGGAAATTGTAAAAATTCTGTCGTGACATCGCGATATCGATCGGGTCCTCCAGGAGGCATGACAGCATCGGCGTTACCAGCAGCCTGGCGAAAAGCCGGGAAGTCGGGCGTCATCCATAATTTGTTGTAGCCGGCATCGATGGCAGGTTCGGCTGCTAGAAATTCAGGTGTTTTCTCTGAAAAATGGGCATACTTAGGCAGGGGTTTAAAGTCGACGTCAATATCGACATATTCGGGTTTATTTTTGAAGTGCACCATGTTTAGTCGTTGGTATTGCTCTAGAGGCTTCAACAATTCCTGTAATGGCTTTGAACTTCAGTCGAGTTTAATGAGAGTTGATATAGTTTATTACATCCCGGCCAAGATACAAGATGATGCGTTATGAGTACGTGATGGCCCAGCCCGGCTGTTGGAATGACCCAGGCCGCGGCTAGAAGGAAATTAGCTAATCTTGAATAGAAAGGAATCATTTCCGAATCACTTTGATTCATAGGTAAGCAAGATTGACTCGATTGATTATGGCTGGCTGAACACCTACCTAAACGTGATGGCGTCAAGCTAATTACCAACTGCGGTAACATTTATAGGATGACTATGCTGGGAGGACTATATGATTAGTATTCCGAACCAATAACATAGTCGGATTTATACGATAACGAGGCGTACCACTGTCACTCTATACGATCAGCATTTGGGCTGACGCTGTTCTGCTAGGTAGGTATGTACGGCGTACTCAGCCCCTACAGCTGAAATGATCTCAATTCCCGTCATTATGAATCATACCTGGAGCTCGCTAGCGGCCTATCCCCCCCCCTGCGATTGGTACGATCTAGCGATCTAGAACACTAGTCCAGACCATCCCGTTAGTTAGCACGTGGGGGCTTAGTTGCTGAGTTTGAAAAATTTATGTCTAGGTGCCTATTATATGAATCAGTATCGAGGTTATTGCTAGACATATATAAATATGCTCTCTAGATATGCCAATTCGCGAACACGCAATGCACAGAATACAGCGGTTCTGAAAAATCTAGCATCTACTTATTTATTTTACCATTCACTTAGCACAAATGGTTAAGTTTACGCTACCCGAGTCGGCCAGCGGCCTTCGCGTTGTACCGGACTCCCAATTGGACCTACGACCAGAAGCCGAAATCCTAGCAGAATTACATACATTTCGACCCATCACTTCTGAGAAAAATGTGTGGGCTTTCTGGGACAAGGGTCTTGATTTTATGTACCCAAGCTACCGATGCACCATATTGAACTGGGTGAGAAAGTTGGGCAGGTCATGGACGATTCGCGTGATAGACCTCGTCGAGGGTTCGCCAAACAACATCTACAATTACGTTAGCAAGGACTGGTTCCCGGATTGCTTTATAAGCCGTACCATGGACGGCAAACATGCCGCACAACATGCCGCCGACCTCGTGAGGTTACCACTGCTGTTCAAATATGGGGGCGTCTGGATGGATGTCGGAAACATGTTACACACGCATCTCGACCACTTATTCTGGAACCACCTAACCGCCCCCAATTCACCTTACGAAATGGCTACCTGGATTATTACAGGACAGATTCGGAAACAATGGGGTAGCTTTGGTAACTACATGCTAGCTGCGCGAAAGGGTTGCATCTTCATCAAGAATTGGCACAACTGCTACAAAGAATTATGGAATGGTCGTACCAACGCAGTTGACTTTCATAAACTACCTCTGATGAAAGATATTGGCCTCGCCGAAGGAATGGCTGATTGGTTTTCCGAGGACAAGGTCCGCGGGATGAGCGATTACGTTGCGCACATGCTCATCGGCGATCGCACGAGGAATTTACTCGACTTGAACACGGGGTGGAACGGGCGCGAATTTTACGAGAATAAAGTATTTATGGTAGAAGGGATTCAAAATGGCATTTTGGGGGCGATTAAGACGGACTACGACGGAGCTAAACAGATTGAACTATTCACCACCCCTCTCGACGAACCGGATGCAGTAAAAAGGAAGGCGGCTGAAGACTTCATCATCGAGGTACTACAGAAAAGCCATATGTATAAAGTTTATCACAATTCGGCGGGCGGGCTACCAGCTTTGGGAGATCTAATCAAGAAAAAGGGTTTCGAGGATGCGGACCACAGGCCGGGCACATTTGGTGAGATGTATAGGTACGGTACGGTTCATTGGGAACCGACACGCGAAGTAGAGCGCGAAGTTCCGCAGCCAACCAACGAGGATTTGATTCGGGCCACACCTACAACAGCAGCTATACGCGAACCGGACGAAAAGTGAAATGAAGATCACTAGATAAAGGCCAAATATATACACTTAGATTAATTATTTTATGATTAAAATGGCTATATTTGTTGACTTGAATACCGTCCAACTACCTCAAAAAGCCACAAGGCGTACCTAAATTTCGGGACTAAGGGCCTGAAACAATACAGTACAGGGCACCGACAGTCTACTTCTTTTTCGCCATATTGTCAACGGAAGTTGAACCCCCACGGCCACGAGCTCCCTTTGTCTTACGAGGAATTCGACGCTCAAAGAATGTCATACGTGTACCTCGCTTTTCCACTGTATTAACAATAACATAATTTCCATCAATCCTAGTTTGAATATTCTGACTACCTCTATAGATTTCTTGAGCAATGGCTCTTCGTTCTTCCGGAGTTATCTCGCGCTCGATGTATGAAGTGGATTCTCTCATTGGGCTGGGTGTACTGCTACGCGAATCATTATCCCCATTTGTCGCTCGGTGAGACCACTCAGAAGAACAGTCAGACATATTCCTTAGATTGGCTGTCGTTAATTGCTAAAGTTAGGTTGCTTGACGTATGGATGGATGATAATTTGTAGGATAGTATTATTTGTTCGTGTCCTTATGGTGTCGGGTTCCAGCCCTATGATAATGTACTCTTGGTAAATAAAATGACTATTGACTACCCCAAAAGTCGGCCTTCTATTCCATCTAAGTAGTTTTTTGAGAAGAGCTCTGAGGCAAACAATATCTTTGTTGCGACCTCGGGTACATACGTCAGAGTCCCCTTATCTTGCGACCAGTAGGGTGGTAAAACACATTTCCTTGTAAGGTGACTCTTGGTTTCTATGTGCGGTGCATAATGGGCTTTAGTGATTATAGGCACCGGGAACTGCCGATTTCTCACCTTAATATTAGAAATGAGTTCATTAAAGACTTTGCTCTAAGCTCCTTTTAACCTACCTAATAAAATATTTATAATGTTGATTATTTCTCTATTCTTCGTCTTGAAGACCCTCTTTACAATGCAATGTCAGCTATTATTACGGCGGTCCAATAAGCATAAAACCGCCAATGCGCCAAAACGCCGTGCGAGTATACAGTGTGGCGGCGTATCCTACTGTGTCACTGTAATTACAGGGAGTCATGTGCTGAAGTCCCCCGTAAATACAGGGGATTACAGCGCGTATCCCACTAGAAAATTAGTGGTTGATTTATAGCGCCTAACGCCCTATAAATACAGCGCTCTATAGGTACCCACTGTAATGCGCTGTAGCTATAGCGTAATATAGCGCTTTAAGCCCTATATTTACAGTGCATTATAGAGCCCCACTAAAACAACCTGTAATTACAGCGCATTACAGTGGGCACCTATAAAGCGCTATATTTTCAGGGCTCCAAAGCCCTGTAATCCACTATAAGAACATGACACTTATAGTAAATCTATAGGGCATTTTAGTTGAGCGCTGTAATGCGCTATAGTTATAGGGCCTTGAGCGCTGTAAGGCCCTATATTTACAGCACGCTTACAGCGCGCCTTAGCACCCCACTGAAGCCCACTGTAATTACAGCGCTCATAGCCCTGTAAATTTAGTCCCTACGGTGCGAAGCGCCACTACACTGTACCCATACACTGTATCATGGCGCATTGGCGGTTTATTGAAAACGGCGCACGGTAATTATCCGTAGTGTAAGCTATGATGCTAATGCAGTGTAAAGCTGCCCGCATTAGCGTAGAGTGGGACAGCATAACTTATTTCTAGATCTGGTAAGTCGTACCATGAGACCCTCTTCTGATTGGTTCGAAATTTCATATCCTTGCCAGGCCCCGAGGGATCTTGGGTACCTGACAAGAATCATGACCGCTCAAACACGATCAAATAGTCGATGCATTATTATACCAAATACTCTACTGAGCCCATGAGCTATAGAGTGTCTGGAAAATATAATGGGCCAACCATGTAACTATTGACTACTTGCTTATCCAAGCTTCATCCATATGCCAGTATTTAGACCGTTATGGGAATACGTGGTAAACCTAACTTGACGAACTACGGTAATCGACGTTACTATCGGAACACGGTAGCTTATGAATATCACAATGATATGGTTATGCATTAAGCTCTTCTTGGGTGAGAGTCTTCTACTACGAGTTTAAAGATCTAGGTAAGTGTAGTTTATTGCTAGAGAAATAATCTCTATCTAAGATTCATGACTATTGAAATGATGGCGGTAGTAGCCTTCTACCAGGGAACTTCGTGGCCCTGGTACGACCATAACTTTCCGCTGTGGGTGTCCCTTGTAGCAACGTCAATTACTTTGACTATCCCCTCAGCGCTCTCTTCAACAGTGACTGGCGCATCGTCACCCCCAAGGTTTGTTCGAACCCAGCTAGCCAAAGAGTCAGCTAAACTTTCCATGATTTACGTCTAGTACACATTGACTTACCCAGGGTCAATAGGGAATGCATTAAGCCATGGCTCCTCGATGTGAATTGCTTTAGTGTACCAGTGAAGCATGAGCTTGGTTGGAGCGTACGCGGCGTTATGTACAGCAAGCATGTTCCTGCGAATTAGTTTAGTGACAATAATAAGCGATGGACTATATAATTTATAACTCACTGTTACGTTGTTAGCTCATATTGGCCACCATATAGGCACTTAGGAGTATCATAATAAACTTACCGTTAAGAAGGCGGCAGAAGAGCCAATTGTCACCCATATTGGGGCTTTCGCAGCCTTCAACAAAGGGTACATAGCCTTGAACAGCCATATAAAACCGTAGACATTAGGAACAATGTGCGTTTGAACCTCGTCAGTGTCGAGCTCCCGAACCATTGGTCCTGAGAGCCTGATGCCAGCATTCGCAACCAGAATATCGACGTGGTTGATTCCTTTCGATTTGAGGGTGTCAACGGCCTTGCGCGGGTCATCACGGAGGGTTGCATCGATTTTAATGACGAGAAGTGAAGTTCCTTCGGCTCTGGGGAGTTCGTTGAGAGCTTTGGAGGATGGGTGATCAGGATCGCGGTTGGCTGCAATGACTGTGTGGTTTGGGCGAGAAAGATACCATTTAATAATCCCACTACCAATGCCTCTGTTGGCGCCAGTAATTAAGACCACAGCCGAAGCCATGACGGAAGTTCAAATGAGGATATGATATATCTGTAAGTAATAGAAAAGAGTGGAATAGAGAATATTATTTTGGGAAAACATAACGAATATAAGTATACGGATGTTAGATATTTCTAAGTTACCTAGATTACCTACTTAGGTGGTTACTCCAGGTAAGCAAGAAACGCTATGCTTACGGCTATGCTAATGATACTAACGCGGGTTGATTACCTTGCATCACCCGCCGTACCGCCCTCTTTTTCAAGGGTTGGCCTTAACATGTGGATTCCGAGGATGTAGGGAATCATGGTTAAGTAATTGAAGGCAGAATAGTGAAGCAAAAAATAATCTGCAACATCTTCTCCTAAGTATCAATTTCAACCAGTTGGGCCGTTGTAAAACTAACCGTAGGCTGTTCTATCGGGGATTAGAATATATCTGGCGTACTGGTTCACTATAAATTCAATGAGCTGCAAGGCGTATCTCCTTATAATTATAGCGGTCGTGCAAGGCCCACCACTTCACTCTCCCAGATTGTAAGCGAGTACAGCGATCCCATGTAGGATTATTTTTCGTGGTATCTTATAAAGTGCCCCAAGAAATTCAATTGATAAAAGCCCATAACAGGGCTTGAAACTGCGATAATTGTTTAGAATGTTAGTAGGTATAGAGGAATTTGCGCCGTCTCAAAGGATACCCCTCACCTAGGCATGCGGGGTAATATTATTCACATTACCGTATTTAGTCACTGTAAATAAGGGCTTACAATAGAGGGCGATATGTCGCATCTCAGCACTATTTTCTTTATGGCTGATCTTAGAGACGACTCGCTAAATTTTTCTCTTGAATAACTAATACGCCATAATGAACGCCTAAATTGCGTTTTCAGACCACAAGGCGATCAATGATACCTATGTAGATGCAAGTATTGTATATTGTTTATCTAAGCTCCTTCTCCGACCCATATGATTTGGTTAACTTATGCATATCCTTCCGAGGCGTACTCCTAGCACTATGTATTGTGGTTGTTACGCTCGAGGGACAATCAATTCCGACGACGGGTCGTATGACTTTTGGCTCCCCTCTAACGGATTCCACCTTTTGGTATGAATCCATCTCAACATACACGAAGCCCTTAGGGTTTTCGGTACTGGGGGTTGTCGAAAAATCGAAGGTATTGCTCGTTAAATGTCGTTTGAGTGATGCTGCATTATCTATTACACTTATGTAAATTGGTCGAAGTACCGGGAGGCAAGCGGCGATTAGGTAGCTACTCGATTCGACGACAGACCATAATTCAATATCGGCGGATTTCCAAGTGCCATCGTCGGTCATGGCCTTCATTTGCAGAGTGGTGATTAGGCGAATAATTGATGCCACCATACCACTAGAAACTGTTAGCTGAGGCTCTCTGAAGTACCTAAGTGGCGCCTAAGATTTAGGGGCTCTAGGGGCAAGACATACCCACTGGCTAGCACGAAAATCCCCGAAAGGGCAATCTTCTGCTTCTTGTCGATTTGTAAGCCCCATATTGTCGGCCAGGGAAGTATTAACATCATAATATTGGTAGCGATGCTCGGTACGTTTATACCCGTCCAGAAACGCACTATGTTTATACAATGGGTGGGAGCGAGATCTAAATTCCATCGTGCATAGAATGGTCGACAGGAGAGGAGAGATGTCAGAATCCCCGCTATGGCCGTCCCAACGATTATATATCCTATCATATAGGTTGCGATTCGATAGGATCTAGCCGTGAATATTCGTAAATATGATGCCAAGATTGAAAGTTTTGGTAAAGCGACCGCGACGCAATATATTTCTTCTATCGCATATCCCATCTTGGCCCAGGTTATTAGACTGTCGGGTTCCCGAACGGCGAGGACTGCCAAGTGATGACCGACATCTGCGATTTTGACCTCCACTTCAAATGACATTAGATGACTCCTCCTGAGATTATATGCGCCCAGTAAACTTACAGATTGTAACAGCACACATGCCCAGAGAGAATATTAACGCCGGAATAATGATATAATCGTCTAAGCCCAATTTTACTTTATAAGTTAGGCGGGTAGCAAAACGAAGAGCGACCACAACTATATCTAAGACTATAAAAGCGATCGCAACTCTGACGGAGCGTGGGCCTGCTGTTTCCTCTGCATAGCCTGGAGGGAATGTTACCGGATTTGGCGCCATAAGGACCGAAATTGGGACATGGGTCAACTAGAAACTGAGATAATTGATCCCAGTATTACGGCCCTCAAGATTGAACGGGCTCGGAGCACCAACAAGTGGAACGGCCTACCGACGGCGGAAACTCATTCAAGATAAACGGCAGAAGATCAAGGTATTAATGGGTACCTACTATTGCTTATGTAGGTATATATATGAGATGGGTATGTTGCATCACACATGCGGCGCAGCAAGAGCCTTCCGCATTCCGGCGCCGAACAGGCCTGTAAAATCTGTGCGTCCGGCTCCTTCGTTTGTTTGAAGCTCTCATGCATATACCTCCGCATCGAACCAATTGTCATTTTTCCTGTCTATAACGATACGAGGATGTGGGTTTCATGTATAGTATAAATACGTAAGAAACAAGAGCCCCCACGACCATTCGAATTTATATGAATGGTGCGTAATAAATGACATTTTTGGGGACTACTAAGATTGTATGGCTAAGCTTCAATAGCTTCCCTACCTAGCCACGTTTTCGAGGGGTAGCAATCCACTTGCTCGCACAGACATACCCCATATATGCTAGAGGATATATTTAGGATTATTCGATTGGATAGCTTAATCGAAGATCTGCTATGGGAGCGATGACCTAACTAGGAAGCTCGCGTGGGCAGGCTCGCTGATCGGCCTGTATGGGGTGATTCCGAATCCTATAAAAACCTTTCTGGGATCGCTGCTGTTGGTTCTATACTGAGACTGGACCTAATATGTGGATCTTCTCAAATATTCGCGTGGTGAGCCTCTAAGGCACAAGAACTGTGACGAATGAGTAAGAATTTGCAACTAGATCAGCGTATTCCATGTACAGAAGCTTAAAAAAATATTACTAAAGCAATCCGATCGTACCGTTACGCCTGCTAGGATTGTTGGTGCAAATTGCTTCGGGTGTGATCCTGTAGGATGTATGAGTGACATCGATGAATGGTCCGTATACGCTAATACCTATAGTCCTAGTGCCTACCGCTAACACATGAAACTGAGACGCTAATAGTACGTCTTAAAGAACTAACAGGCGGGCTGGTTTACTTCAGGATTTTATAAAGTATATGAGGTATATGATGTATATAACCTAGTAGAATGTGTAAATTTAGTTTCGAAATAGTCAACTACCATTCTGAATATAATCATTTGGTTTTGTTGCTAGGGGATTTATAGTAACCTAGGTAAAAAAGGATCGCTTATTATGTGGACCTTCAGCGTAGCTGAGGTACTCAAAACTGCAGTATCTATTATTTTAATCGAATTACTATCTGGGTAACTCTTAGTAGTTTTAAAGGTAGAAGGGCTTCTCGAAACAGTTCAATTAACCCTTGTTTCCTTTTTATGTGAATTAGCTGAGTGTCAACGTCTCTACCTAGGTAGATACTAATATATGTAACACTAGAAAATAGTGATTACCTAATGATTTGGTTGTACTACAAGCTTGTGATTATGTAACTCACAATTATTAGTTAGTACAATGTTTCGGAAATGGATCCGTCGGCCTTTCTCCGAAGCTCGGAGCTTTCCGAAGCATTTTGCTTTCGTAATCATTCGGAACAGAAATCCGTGAGATTATCTGCGAGCCTCAATCATTCACCTCTGTCGATTAGAGGTACTCCGCGCTCTATATGTTGTTATTTACGGGTAGAGTGGGTCTACGCGAGGGTATTTATACCTCATGGAGCAAACCGGCGCTCGTTACGGCAGCACAATAAGGAGTTTCAATGGTTGTTGGACCTGTCGACTTCGACGCAAAAAATGCGACGAAAGGCGCCCCGTCTGTGACGCATGCGCTACGCTATTCATTACATGTTATTATGACTCAGAAAAACCGGACTGGATGGATGGGGGGTCGAAACAGGAAGAGATGACCAAGCAAATCAAACGCGAGGTTAAAGAGAATGCCCATCGTCGTCGTGGAGAACGTATGGTCCAAATATCCGATGACCATATCCCGAGTATCGAAGCTGCGGAAATCCATACTACCGGGATAGAGCCGTTTCTTGAGGCATCGCATCTCAGACCGCAACGCGGGGCCGATTGTACGCTTATTAGCAAAGATGTGCGCGGAAGCGTACCCTTTGGGAGGTCCGATACTATTCTGCTCATGTTCTACCTCGAGCACCTGCTACCCTTCCTATTTCCCTTCTACCGCCCCTCACTACTTCAGGGAGGTAGAGCGTGGGTCTTAGAAATGATGATAAGCAGCCCGGTGGTGCGGCAAGCCACCCTGTGCCAAAGTTCATATTTCTTCTCCCTCGCCCGCGGAGCGACACACAGCAACAACGCCTGGGAGGTTGTTCTTTGTCAGACTCAGGATGCCTTTGAAGTACTAAGGCAGTCACTACAGGTGATTGATGGTCCGAGCATCGCGGAACACCTGCACGGTGCCGTGCGAATTCTGTCGAGTATCATTCAGATGCAAAGATTCGAGGTTGCTATCCTGAGTTTCAATAACTGTCAAGCGCATCTTAATGCCGCTATCGCTCTTTTCGCACAACTTCTTCAGGTCACCGGGCCCGTTGAACCAGCAAATGCCAGTTCGAGCTTCAACGCTTTTGTTAACCTTCTAGGTCCCACATCGTGGGTTTTGCCTACTCAGGATTTCCAAGTTCCCAGTGCCGAACAAGCTGCATTTCGCTTCTCTTCTGCCCTTTTGATTCTTGATGATATTATCGCTAGCACAGTGCTTCAGGAGGAACCGAAGCTTTACGAATATCATTCCAGTTTACTCGGTGACACGGATGGTATGGACCCCGCAATTAATCTTGAGGCCACTATTGGGTGTCAGAATTGGGTACTATTGCAACTCAGTGAAATTTCCGTTCTTGATGCATGGAAACAGAGGAGTAAGAGAGCTGGAGACCTTGATGTTATAGGACTAGTTCACCGCGCTACGATCATCAAGAATACTCTGGAAACTCGATTGACACAGCTTGAAAGCGACTTACGGGATACTCCGAAGGAGGATAATGGCCTATTGGGAATCCTTACCGCGGATAACTTTCAGACGCAAAAGATTTCAGATATTCAGACTTCTTTGGTAACCCGGGTCTGGGCTCACGCGGCGCTCCTTTACCTTTCTGTGGTTGTATCCGGATGGCAGCCCGCTAACGTTGAAGTACGGTACCATGTTGGCCGGATCATCGATCTACTAACATACCAAATATCACCTCCATCTTTATTGCGCACGGTGGCGTGGCCATTCTGCCTAGCCGGCTGTCTCGCAATCCCAGTGCAAGAAGCACCCTTGCGAAGTTTGGTTGAAGCTCTTCAACCACCAAGCGTTTTCGGCTCAGTACGCAAGGCCCTTGAAATTATGGAAGAGGCATGGCGCAATAGAGACATGGAAGATTCAGAAAGTCGCGATCTTTCTGCTTGTTTCGGAAGCCAAGGTAATCTGGTATTACTCGTCTAGAAGAATGAATTTACAAGATGTGGGGATGGTATTCCGGCTACACCTAGAGTACTTAGGTACGTTATCCATCGATTTCCGCTTGTAATTGCCTTGGTAATTGTACCGCCTATCTACCTGGGTGCTTCCAATTACCAAACACTCATATTGTTATCGCAGCTCTTACTTAAACTGGACATAACCCTTGTTCTTCACGAACGTGGCATGCCATGGCACATTTCCTTTATGGTTCGCCAATTGCGCGTAGAACTCGCCATGCGCAGCGCCGTCAAGTGCCATCCCCTTGAATTTGCCATCTTCGTGGCGCTCATCGGCATAGAAAAACCTATGAGTTGAAAATGTTAGGGTCACTTCAAATTGAATTGTGCTTCGGAGTACTCACCGACATCCCTGAGTAGAGTACATCATATCGGCGAGGCCAATCCAAAAAGCGGAAGCCGACTTTCCCATACCCAGATCCATCATTAGTGACATGGGAACGATTGTCACATTCATAATATTACCGGTGTATATGAACGTCTTTTTGATCTCATTGGGTAGCATCTCCCACCCCTTGACAGCCTGTTGCGCTGCGACGTAAGGGCTAATGGTGTTGACGTTCAAGTCTGACGCAACACTCTCCGCCGAGATCGAGAATGGGGAATCCTTGTTGGGAGGGCCAGTAAGGGCTGCTGCATTGTAGATGACGACGCTAGGAAAGGTCTGGAATTCAGCCTTGACGGTGTCAAACAACGCTGGGATTGAGTCGGGTTTGGCGAAGTCGGCCTTGAGGGAGAGATACCCTTCGGAGGTCTTAGTGTTGCTTCCCTTTCTAGATGCGACGGCAATTTTGTAGCCATTACTGGTGAATTTCGCAGCGACAGATGCACCGATCCTTGGACCGACTCCGAGAATGAGTACAACAGAGTTTGCCATTATGACTGAAAGCTAGTGAAGGAATTCCGGTTTCAAGAGCCCTTAACCCGCGAACGAACTTTGGATATTGAATGGAAATAAGTGGTTATTCCGAACTCGAGGACCTCCTAATTTATACTACCTAAAGTGCCATGCGTTCGCGATCTCCCGACCAAATCAGGTCTTCAGAGAACGATTTATAATCCACATCCTTTTTTTTCAGGTCCCTTCGGAATCGCGAATCTGAGGACTCTAGGAGATCATGGTATCGCAAGAATCCATAATCCATATTCAATAGTAGAGCTATCTGCCCCTGGACTGCAACTAAGATGCCTTGGCTTTCGTCGACATTTTCAGGGGGTTGTGAGGACCCACAAGCCGCGCGCGATAATCCGCTAAGCCGAGCCGACCTATCCCAGGGCTAATTCCGTGGGCTGAACCGCGCGGGAGGGGTCTAGGACAGGGGCTCTAAATACAGGCTTTGTAAGCCCTGCGCGCGCTGAGTCCCGCTTATTTAGGGGTACTCTAATGAGCTAAGAAACGACCCGTACAGGAATACAACGCTACAGAACATCGAATATCGATCTCGCGCGTTCGACAAAAGATACACGACAAAGTCCAGTTCGATAATATTCTAGAAAATAATCCATCATCTAATAATGAATTTGTCAGCTTTCTATCCGTGTACTGAAATGAATAGTCACCATCATAAAAAACGACGACCTCCTAATACGCCGATGCAGACAGATAGGGTAAAAAGCTGGGTTCATGCTGCTATCTATTAGTACAATTCCTCATTCAAGATATATATATGCTGCTGTTTTATTTATAAGCCTCTGTGCCCCATTCATCTACCATACTCGCCTATCGTATATCACGAAGCCCACTACGCTGGTCGCAAGTATCATGTCCGATCCTCCGCACACGGGTGTTCCTTCACGGAAGCCCGTATACTTCCTGAGCATCGGCGGCCCTAACTTCATGGAAAATGTAGATCACCCAGCATACGCCAAACTAGCCGAAGTTGGACAGGAGATTACGACAAAAGTCAAACCCAAGGCAGTTGTTGTCTTTTCGGCCCACTGGCAAGGTGACCGAGACAGGGTTCTCGTCAACGTAGCTGAGCAGACCGATCTGATTTATGACTTCTACGGATTTCCTCCGCATTATTATGAATACGAATATCCGAATAAAGGAAGCCCTGAAATCGCGGAGAAGGTTATCGAAAAGCTTTCTGCTGCTAATATTGAGGTCGGAAGAGTTGAAAGGGGTCTTGACCATGGTGTCTGGGTGGGGTTTATAGCTGGTAAATTTTGATATTTTTAGGGCTCTAGGCGCTGTAAAGTTGCTGACGTTATTTTCTTACAGCGTTCAATCCGAAGACAAACCCGCTGAACGTACCAATTGTCCAAGTTTCGCTCTACGGTAACGAAGATCCAGATAAACATTATCGCCTGGGAAAGGCGCTCGAGGGTCTAAGAGATGACGGTATTCTCATTATCGGCGCGGGGATGGCAGTTCACAATCTTCAAGATTTTCGGGCTATAAGAGGTAGTGGGAAGACCATGCCGTAAGACGACCACCGTTACACCCCTAAGTTAATTGCCTAGGTACCCTCCACTAATTAGAGGTAGTTATGCTTCTAGCTTCGATGAGTCGCTAAAAGAAGCTGTTACCGCAGCTCCAGAAGAAAGACAGGCCAGGATGTCAGTTCTCTTGAAGAGCATTGAGGCGAGAAAAGCACATCCGACGTTCGAGCATATTCTTCCGATGTATGTTGTCGCGGGTGCAGCAGGGTCGGATTTAGGAGAACGTTTGTGGACGTTTGCTGAGGGAAGCTTGAATTGGGCGCAGTATCGGTTTGGTGGGGTTACGGAGTGGTAGTCCCTGGAGCTTTTTAGTGATGCTAGGCGGCCCCTAAACACAGGACCCATTAGGGATGCCAAGCCCTGGACCCAGCGTACAGGTCATATTAGGGGTATCACTCTGCTATAATTATAGGGGTCTATTCGCCGAAGCTTACAGAAATACAACGCCTACCTCGATAGGAAATAGGGCTCTACGAGCGCCCGGTTCATACCCTACAAACCATTCCCAGTCAGTCTTCATCTTTCCAACCAGTCTATTTGAAAATCTCATCTATCTGTGCCCATCCTAGCTCAAATCCGATGGTAAACTGAGCATATTGAGAGCTATCACCCCTTAATTCTTCAAGACACCGCTTTAGGCAGTCCCTCTTCTCGTTCACCATATCCTTCAGAGTACTACAGCCTAACTCAGAAAGCATACTTGGAGATTGGGCAACCCATTCCTCGAGGCCTAAAAATGCGCAGGCTAAACCAAGGAGCGTTGGGCCGTTCGCAACCGGACGTAGTGAAAGGTGAAGCATCTTGCGCGCGAAAGCCACGGCATCAGATGCTTCACGATCGGACCCGTCGATTGCATCAAAAATATCCCCAATACGGCTCGGATTTGAAGGTAAACCATGCTTATCTCCATGTCGATGGACGATTTCCAAGCCAAGGTCGACAAGGCTCCTAGGCGCGTACGATGGGTAGTCGACTTTTGGAGTCTCTTCGTCTATTATGGCCCCACTGCTCAAGTCGGGTCGGAACCCATTGTCTATCCGTAGAATTCGTACTATGTGGCAAGCTAACGGAGTAGTTGTCCTGTACGGTATAGTGACAAACCCTTGAAGACATGGATGAGCAAACCAGAGCGATAGGAAAATGTTCATGTTAAAACCCGCAGGATTTTTAACTCTTCTCGAGAACCATTCATATATTCTAGGAGATTGCTCCTCCGTGTAGGAACCGGTGCGAAGGCTAGATATTTCTTCATTATTCATAGCGAATATGTCTGGTGATACGATAGAGTGAATGCCGTCTTTATTGTCGCGACGTGACGTACCGACCAACCGCCAATAAGAACTTCCGGTCATAGATCCGTGGTTATCCGTAGTTTCATTGCTCAAGGAGTCAATCCATCGCCTGACATACCGGATTTCAGCGTTACTGAAAGCACCAAACATTTTTCCTTTCCAGGACATCTCTTTGATCAAACGGCTATTCTTGCTATCCCCTCTTCGAATCCACGGCTTCGCCCTGCTAAGATCTCGTAGCAATTTGGCCTGCAAGAATTTCGATGACCATAATTCAGGGGACAGCCAATCAACCAGTGGTTTGCCTCCAATTTTGACCCGACTAGGGCAATGAATTTTCTGAGATACTCGCGCCTTGGCTTCAAGAATGCCGATGATTTTAGTCTCCTGCGAGGATAAATAAGGATTCGCGGTCGATGACTCAGGTTCGCCGTTCTCTTGCGAAGACTTGGAAAGCAAGTATCCGGCCTTTATACGGTTCCAAGCCTCTTTCGCATCAAGTGGCCCCGCGGTTTCTTTGACGAACTCCATATAACGCTGAACGGTATTCAATGACATTGCTGCATGGCCAGAGTTCGCGTTATCGATCGAGATGTGCAGGTAAAAGTAATAGCCCGAAATCCCTAGTTCCGACAACTCTCTGGCCGCCTTTAAGGTGTTTAGTGTAACTTGTTCATAATGTAGGTTGAATCCTAGCATTTCAGGTAGGAATTCCTCAGGGAACAGGGATATCAAAAGCTGGCATACAGCCCCTTTCCAAGCGGCCACATTGCCCATGCCATGATCATCGAATGCAAACTCGGCAGAATCTGCTGCAGGGAGTTTAACGCCAATACTATGAAGCAATTCGCGGTATAGGAATACATGGTTCATGTCAAGATTCCCGTCACCCAACTCTTCAGACAACACTTGCCAAGCACTCTGCGTGATACCGCGTAAGGCAAATGGCGTCCGCTCGGTAAGCCGATGGACGTGACCTAACCACGCACCATCTACATACTTCGCAGGGGCTTGCTGCCGGAGCCATTTTTCTGCAGTTAGACGTGAATCGAATAGATCGGGCCCTTGACCGGCATTACGACCATCGACATACTGTTGCCACTGCTCCAGAACATCATCGTGTTCCTTAAGGATGAATTCTTCAAGCGACGAAGAACTGTACTCCTCCGGTAGGATGTTGTGTTGTTGGTTGGCTTGGTGGTCCGCATGTCTTGACGAAAGTAATGCTTCAGAAAGGAGCCCTATAAGCTCTTGGCGGGCCCTGGGTAGGAGATCAAAATGCTCTTCTAAGTTATGAAGATTGAAAAACCACTCCTTGTACTTGGCGATTCGTTGGTGGCCATCATCCACTGGCACACGCTCGGGTTCATCGTCTTAAAAGTCAGCACACATTTCAATAACACCGAGAACCGCACACACGTACCTTGTCTTCTATATGTTACCACATGCCCCCCTCTAGATTTAGAGCTTTTCGAAAAATAGCGCAAAATCAGTGCCAGAATCCCAGTTGCCACCATGGAGATTACTTGGGAAAATTCGATCATCATATGAATACAGAAGTGACAGAGAACTAAGTTCCGGTTGCTATCTGGTCCCAAGAACTCGCTCGCGCTTTCAATGGCATATAGAACACAAAGTTACTATAACACAGAAGGTGCAATGTCAATGATATAGGTAGATAGTCAAAGAGTGAGACTCAGTAGAGAGCTATAGAATCTTCTAGCCATGTCTACCTCGGTATTCGAGACAACCTACTTAGGGACGGTGAGTAACTCAAGGTGGAATTGGTTTGGTAATAGAAACCAGACGAGTTAGGTATGAAGTGCACACGGCGTCTCGGAAGAGCGTCTGAATTATTTCGTGCGACCAACCGCGTTATATTAACGGCAGCGCATCTAGTATCGAAAACCCTTCATACTTACGAATATGTAGTAGGCCTATTGGCATTACGATGTTCCTAAAGCGTAACCTGATATTGAAACAGAATGTTGTAAACCCTTATTAGACGGGGTTGAGGATGCTTGATTCCGTTTCTTTTTATTGAAAGGATCTCGACATACATTGTAGCAGGACATTGTGGGTGTTGAGTTACGTGCCACATAATGGCTAGCTTTACCAAATCCAGGTATACAACGAAGGACAGCATCATCACGGTGAGTTACCCCCTTGTTGTCTGAGTATCTGGGTAGTATCCAACCTCAGCTTATTCTTTAGACTATATACCATATTTACGAGGATGTCGTGTCTCAATAGCGGGGATAAACTCGCGCTTACATAGAACATAGCCGAGACATTGGTCTCTGTATCACGGCCTACGCCCCATCCTAAGCCTCGTGCCATGTATGGTAATTGTGTTACGGATAATCACGACATCGTCGATCGAGGGTAATCCTCCATCGAGAGTCTGGGACGGGTCCGCAGTATACCAAAACAACTATTATAAGTCGTTTTTCAATCCAATGAAGCGACTTGTCATTCTATCCATAGTAGAAAAATGCGCGATGTCTTCTCTTGGGCGGACCAGAGCTCCCAGACGAGTTATGGCTGACGAAACGACACCATTAATAGTATCATACGATACCAAACATTCTATCCATACACTACGTAAATCGGCCGCAAGACAGATACTTCTAATCGCTACTCTATCATGTGCCGGACTCCTCAATGTAAGCTCAGTCAATTCCTCTCAAACTGAAACCGAGTTTTAACGTTGAACGAACATTACTAAGTTGGGAAACAACGCAGATATTCACTGTACAATCAACCGTGATAATCCTTCCTCTAGTCGTGAGATATTTGTCCATCCCAACGAATCGGCAGCAATTGGTTATATCGACGTATAGTATAGCATCGGGATGCCTCATCTTACTTTGGGGCCGCATTGCCGATATCTACGGTCGTAAAAACATATTCCTTATCGGCTCGATTATGTTCGCGTTGGCAACAGCCGCGGCACCATTCGCATGCTCTGAGGTTATGTTCTACTTCTTCCGGATACTGCAAGGGTGTAGTAGCGCGGCGACTGTCCCTTCAGCCATCGGTGTCATTACCACCACATTTCTACCGGGGAAGATGAGGGACTATGCCTATGTAAGCTTCACAGCAGCATGTGGTGTTGGCTCGGTTCTGGGCAATATTTCTGGTGGCTTCATCGGGAGTTACCTTTCCTGGAGATGGACATTCTGGATACCAGCATGCATAGCAAGCCTTGTCACCCTAACAGGATACTTCATCATACCTGCCGCCAAGAACCCAAAGAACGACAGCAGCGGTGGTGAAGACGCGCATCAGCACGTTGACTGGACTGGAGGTATGCTCGTCTCGGCTGGCGTAGCCCTATTACTCATAGGTCTATCCCAAGTCCATGACAATGACTGGAGTGGATGGCGGATTGTCATAATCTTCATTGTCTCTGCAGTATTACTGCAGGCTTTCGTCTTGTGGGAATGCAACATGGAGGACAGCGCAGAGTGTTCGCCGCTGATGAAGATGTCCATGTTTAGAAATTCAAAATTTTCTGCTGCATTTGTTATTATTGGATGTTTCTATGGCTCATTCAATAGCTTCCTGGTTTTTGCCTCATTGTTGTAGGTTTTGACACTCCGCATTCCCGATACAGTTCACCACACACTAACCGCCTTCTTAGTTACCAGGACTATCTTGGCTTCACTGTGCTTGAGACCACGACACGATTTCTTCCAGCTGGTATTGTAGGTGGTAAGTCTGACCCAATAATTCATACCCCCTTCCTTTTCTTATCGTCTCAAAATCATCCTCACTTCAAGTACCACAAACTGAGTCCGATTTCCCTTATAGTACTCGCCTGCTTTGCCATGGCACCTATTCTATCTCTCTTCCCTAGGTTTTACTTTCTTCTATTTGGGATGGCCTGCGGCATAACCTCGCCTTTACTATTCGCACTCCCTAATATTCCTCCTTTTACGCCCTACTGGTTACGCGGTTTTCCGGCAATGTGCCTTTGCCTGAGTGCAGACATCATCTGGCCTGTGATGGGTTTATTTATGAGCCAAAGCGTGCCCCAAAAAAGTCAATCGCTAGCTGCCGGTCTCCTACAGACGGCTAATCAAGTCGGCCGCTCTATGGGAATCGCTGTGTCTGCAGCGGTACAATTGGCTTTTCAAGGGCAACCGGAATCGGGACATCCACTTCTAAGGGATCCAGATCTCCTGAGGGGCTTGAGGGCCGCACAGTGGATGAATGCAGGGTTGGTGATGCTCGCATTAGGTGTGGCAGTTATATTCTTCCGCGATGTGGAATCGTTCTAAGAGTATAGCACGGAATCTTGCTATCTTCGCTCATATAGCTAGAATGATAGGGGTTAATGGGTGCTGATGAGGGGTACCACGTGATTCAGGGGCTGGTTGATGGCATAAGCATTTTTTTCCTGTCGGATAGTTGGAACTTCTTAATACATGCATTAACTTCAAAATCTGCAGTGTAGCTACATTTGTATATATAGAAAAATCCTTATAAAGGTCTTTATATCTTAATATCCAGCATTCCATTCACGATTCAGTGGTTGACCGATTATGTGCAGAGGTCCCTTGGCTCGAGTCCGTTTAATTTGAAGTAACCAAAAGAGAAACTAGGTACCTAGAGTATGATTGAATTTTTTTAGAGCTACACTAGGAGAGACAGCGCACCGCACTGACATTGGAACAAATCCACGTTTCCATCCATTTATCCCTACCGTCCGTGGAAGTTCAAGGGGATATCCGATTAGCGTTTCTTGGGAACATGCACGCCTCATGAACATCCTCCAGCCCCAGAAAAGTCTGCACGACCCTATTCATCCCAAACGCGAAACCGCCGTGTGGATGCACACCAGCTTCGAAAGCGCCAACATATGGACGCCACATAGGAGAATCGGGATCAAATCCAACCGGATCTCGAGCCCGCATGGTATCTCGTAGCATCGTGTAATCATGGATATGCTGATAACCCGTACAGATCTCTCGTCCATGCGCGATAATGTCAAAGGAATTCGTACCCGGCGTCGGTTCTCCACTTGCAGATGGAGGAGACGGATGAATCTGGAAAGCCCTGTGACGTGCTGGATAGTTTGTAATAATGAATGCATCAGTTGGAGGCCCCTTCGCGGGCGTGGTCCTCATCAGGGCACCAAGGTTTGCTTCCTGCTCGGGGCTACATATAATCTCCAATTAGCAAAGAGTTCCTCAGCGAGTACCTACGACTGGATTGAAGTGAGACTCACGTCATGTCGTCGAGGTCACCCGTTTTTGCACTAAATCTCTTCCGTAGAAGTTCCTTAGCTTCACTGTACTGCAGTCTAGGCAGTTTCCCTTGTTCGTCAAGTCCCAGCTTGAAGAGACCAGCAGAAGAATGCAGCCTCTTGGCGGCACGTATGGCATCTTCGTACTTTTCCCTCTCTTGTAAACCACGAATCACGAAAACGAGAAATGATTCAGCGAGATCTGTAATCTCAGTCCAGTCGCGTTCCCATGCGACGACGGTTTCGAAGATCGTGAACTATAGCCCGGTATGGATTAATCCAAGCCCTACAAACTACACCTGTTACTTACCTCTGTTAAGCGTCGCTTGTTAATCTCCTTTTCAGCGCGAAACACATTTCGAATTTCGAAGAGTCTCATAAAATCCATTGACATCGCCATCTGTAAGTGTACCTCTCCAGTCTGGGTTAACCATGCTAATTCTCTGTCGAAGTACGGCAGCGGGAAATAGTCATTGTCGTATGGTATTTTGTAGTTGATAAGGCCAGGGGTATGCGTCCAGCTTTGCGAAATCATAGTTAGAAAAAACTGTTTTAACGCATTTGCAAGCTCAGCCCATGTTCAACTCACTGGAATCCATTTGTAAGACAGAATTCGGCCGCAAGCTCAAGCGCGCCAGAAAATATCTTGAAGATTGCAGCGGTAGATGCAACGCGTACGTCGAGAACGCGATTATTGAGCCGCTCTTGAAGAGTTAGTGAGCTAACAAGATCGATGATGGATTGGTTAGCCGGTTTAGGTGCAGAATGATGCATTGTTTCTGTGAGATTTGGAGCAGCCCTTGATAAGACGGTAAGTGTCATTGCATGCACGGTCATGACTCTACCATCTCCTTCGACGCCGAAAGGTTGCTTTCCACAATCGATAAGTACTCCGAATACACGTATGACTGATTCTACTGTATAGGCCTGGGAGTGGTTTCCCTCGCTTCGACTCGGGATCACCATGGCAAAACACTCAGTATCTCTCATCAGGAGTGTTAGAGTATCTTCATTCTCGGTGATAGCATGAAGACGTGCATCAAATTCCACCTTCTTTCCAACGTCAGAGGCTCCAAATAGCCGCAGTTGGTCCAGTACCGAGTTCTGCTCTCCTGTCAGTATGTTGGTAGCATGCACGATTTCTGTAAAAAGAAAAAGATAACCGATACCTTGCCTGTATTCTCCATGACGCCACACATAGTAAAAGTTCCTAAGTTGTGGCGTTCAACGATAGTTTAAAATCTCGGAATAGCACAAGTTACCAAAGGCGTCTCAATAATAAACATAAAGCTACCTAGGTATGCACCTCGACTAATATACCATCAAGACGAAGCTCCGCGGTGTTCTCTGCTTCTCCGTCTCCTCAGACACCATGTCCGTTGGAGAGTATCACAAAAGCCGTATTCTTGCATTATGGTATCGTAGGTTCTTGGTAATGACCAAGTATCAGCTCGTATTATCGTCCCCCATATCCAGTCTTGCTTTGATGCAGACAGTTAACTTGTGAGCAGAACTACCCCAGATCACGGCATCGGGTGCCAACATATATACGAAACGAAAGAGGCGTTAGTTTCCTTGTACGCCTGTTAATTTAAACATGTGGCACATTGGGAAGCATGTTGTGACAGAGTGTGATGCATCATATTTCAGTCACATATGCCCCTTACCCCTTTTTGTGGCACAGCTCGGCTCCAGCATATATGCGTAGCTACTATTTAACTCTATCCACTAGCAAAAACGAAGTAATTTTTCATTTTATCACGTCCAATCCAATATTGTCTCATATCAAATCCAATTTCTGTCCCACGATGGCTAACACAAAAGAAACCATTGAACTTGAGGTTATCAGTTATGAGAAGATTTGTTCTCAGAATAATGCCGAACTCCAGAGGCTTTTCGCGGCCTGCCAGCCCCCACCCATAGGCCGAGGGATATTTTGGCTCGACTTCCGCGGGTCTAAGGGAGAAGAGGTGCTTCAACATCTCGCTTCTGTCAATGAAGGTATCTATAAATACTTTCAGCAACCCATCTCTGCCAAGATGGCGGATTTCCGCGAAGGCGTGGAAAGAGGGTAAGCATATTCACCCTGAAATCTCTTTTGGCATCTACCTAGGTACTCACTACCCATGAAATCAATAGTTTTAAGGACCATGACTCAATTATCGACACATTTGAAGTTTGTTGTACGACTTCCTGCCCCCCAAAACCACGACTGACAAAACGCTCAATATCAGATATCTCGTGATGAAGAAATTCAGGGGGAGCGCAGGCTTCCTCCTATTCTCGATGTCTACAAGACACAAATCTCGGGTATGTCGTCAATATGCGATACGGCGGCCAGAGACCTTACCTCTGCCCTATGCTCTTCGCTCATGCCGGGTACGTCATTTAACGTGATCCCGGAGAATGAATCTGACACTGGTATCAAACTCTGCTTGGTGAATGGGGAAGTGCCAGCTTGGGATGAAGTGGCAGAACCGCATACAGATTTTGGAATTGTGACGTTGGTGTTCTGTGATTTCCCTTCCCTAGAACTTGTTACTAGTCACGATGGCTCTGGCAAGCCGAATTGGGCCCTTATTGAGCCCCTGGAAGGTTGTGCCTTGGTAAACGTTGCAGATACGCTGCAGTCGCGTACTAACAACGCTCTCTACTCACCTTTACACCGGGTAGTGCAGCCTGAGGGGGGGCAGGCTAAGGGAGTTCCCATGACAGCTTACTACTTGCGACCCGAGCATGTAATGTAGCTAGCGTGAGCCTGTGCCGGTCCCGGAGACTGGAGGCAATCTCGGGAGAATTAGTCGAATCAAATTCATTCAATTATGTTGTACTCTCGTAAACACCCCCATATGCATCTATATCTCGACATTCTTGCGTAATACTCTATTAACGCTGTAGATATGATTTTAGAAGAACCAATAATAGCACGGACTCTGGTGCTGGCTGGTGGCTTCGCGCGCAATAGTGAGTAGCCGGTACACCACGTCCAAAGACCGATGGTCCACCTCATACTTCCCTTCCCTCTGCTTTATATTTGATACTTCCGCAAGACTCTCTTGTAAGTAAACGCCCTTAACATACGAGCATTAATCTAGGTAGTTTTATTTCTTTCTGGTGTGCATTATGGATGACACATACCCCGTCACTCCGCAGAACAAGATCAACAGATACAGAGACCGGGGTACGTTACTAGCTCAAGTCTGCATCCCTTGCTTCGTCTAACTCTCCACATGTAGCTACATATGACGCCGAAGTAGTCCATTCCATCGTAAATGAAACGCCCGTTGCGCACCTCTCCTTCATCCCCGACCCGTCAAACCCTCAACCTGTCGTACTGCCTATGATCGCTCAAATAGGCAAATATCCTTCCGACGAGGAGGCAGCATGCTATGTCCACGGTTACGTGTCCGCACGCATGTTTCGCCAGAACGATTCAAAAGGCGAAGGGTTTCCCGTCTGCATAGCCGCTACGAAAGTCCTCGGCTTCGCGCTTGCTGTCACACCTTTTAATCATAATTATGATTACCGCTCGGCCGTCATACACGGAAATGCAATGATCTTAGACCCTAAAACTGACCGTGAGGAGGTGCTGTGGGCTATGCAACTCATTACGGATGGTATTGTCCCTGGTCGCTGGTCAAACTCCCGTGTTCCACCCGATAATGCTGAGATGGCGTCCACACGCATCATGAAAGTACGCATTAGTAGTGCTAGTGCGAAAGTACGCGAGTTGGGTGTCGTGGAAGATGAGAAGAGCCTCCGAGATGAAAAGTCGAGGGGTATCGTTTGGACTGGCACAATACCGTACATTGAGACGCTTGGCGATCCCATTCCGGCGGATACAAACATGGTCCCGGCAGTACCAGCATACATTAAGGACCATGTTCGAGAACATAATGCGAGAAACGGGTCTTTGAGAAGTACGTTGTCTAACTTTGTGTCATTAATTTTTCGGGAATTAGAATCTAGACGGGTTCCATTCGGGATGGGTTTGACGTTGGAGCAGCATGGAGTGTAGCCTCAGACCGGTGTGCGAAAAAGGGGGTATCGGTGCGGCTAAACAGGATCAAAGGCCCATGCTAAGGGATCGTCGGACATTTCGATTGAACTACTAGGGATCCCACCCTTAGATAAACAGTCCAGTGTGCAGTGCTTTCCTACAGAGCACCAGGTGCGTAGTAATCTACTAAGTAGAAGTTAAAACTGTGTAGTTTCCATTACCAGGTAATAGTCCTCGGAGGATAACGGCGTATAACAACTTGAAATGAGGGATTAGGTAGTGATGCCGTAATTGAGTTACCTTCCAATACTACTTCTGATGACTGCTTACCATATAAAATATAATCCTGATAGAGAATCATGAGATCGGCACTTTTTCCGTATGTGTCCGAGTGTTCAAAGAAATCTTCGGAGATACCCCCATCCACTAGTGATTCATCGTCAAAATGTCAACAACTCAGCCAACGGGCAGAATTGACGAGCCTCGAATCATCGACATTGGAGGGAGCCAATTGAAGAGCTTCCTCAGCGGTATTCTCCATGAATCCTTGCTGTGGACGGACAAACCGTACTCTCTAGGAGCATACGGTTATTATGGACCTCGGATGTTGGTTGGTTTGGTCCCTTGTTCGAACCGCGCTTACCTTATGAACTGATTAGGAGCACCTAGTGACACTCGTAAGATAGTAGGGCTACTTGAAACTTTCGAGAAAAGCAAGAAGCAGGTCACCTACTACGGCATAGATCTATCGAGGCCGTCTCTTCATGAAGCGCTTTCGAGCCTTCGAGCTAACTATTTGTACGTGGAATGTATCGGGCTTTGGGGGACATGGGATGTCGCGCTGGAGTGGTCTAAAGTACACATAGATCCAGCGCGCCCAAGACTCTTCCTCAGCCTTAGATCCATATTCGGGAACGACCACTTTGATGCTGCTGTCTCGAAATTGCGATTCTGGGCACGGAATGCACTTACAAAGCCGCATGACTCCATGCTACTTGGCATGGATTCTACCGTAGACAAGAGCGTTGCACTTGCTGCATATACCCAGAATGACGGCCTATATGAGCGCTTCATTCGTAATGGTTATAAGCATAGTAATAGAGTCCTGGGAGAGGAGTGATATAAAGATGATGATTGGGCCTTCGAGATAGTAGTTCAGGATGAACCGAGAATGTATCGAGCTGTCCTCCGTGCTAAGAGGGAAGTGGTTGTTCGCCAATCTGGCCTGATTCTCGCGGAGGGTACTGCGCTTGACTGCTGGGAAGCCTTTAAGTACACACCCGAGGAAATGTACAAACAGTTTGACGGTGCGGGTCTCACTGCAGATCGACAATGGAAAACACCATCAGCAGAGATGTGTAAGTATGAAATATGTCTGTTTTCGTTGATGAGTTGAGCTAACTGTGATTCAATAAAATAAGATCTTTTCCACCTCAAGCGAACCGTGGCTTGAATACGTCGTACGTACTGTCTGCAGAGAGTGATGATCTTGGAGAGGGGATGGAGGGGTATTCTATCAATCAGGTTTATCTCTTTCATAGCATTTTTGCTCAGCTATAAAAATTTATCTGATCACTGGGTTGCGACAAATGGTCAATGGTATGTGACGAGAATACCAGCATAGGTTCTTAATAAGGGGAAAAGATAAAAGGTACATGTTAGAAAAGTGTTACGTCACTGGCGCACTGACACGTGCATGTCCCTCTAAATGCCATAAAATTACATAATCACAGTGTTACATAATCCAGCCACGCTCGAGACCGTCGCATTGGGGAACAATTAGGAATTCTTACTTTATCCAACTCTCTAAATCGCCAACACATACACCATCTTCCAACCTTCCGTCGATTGATACTCTTTTTATTTCCCATTTCGCATTAAATACGAATCGCACTCTAATCCGATAATAATTCTTTTAATTACCTTGTCAATATGGCCGATATTGCTAGCCTCGAGGAGGACATCAAGCAATACCAAGAACAGGTGAGTTGCGCCATCGGCTATCACGAACTCATTCCCATTTATACCGAAGCTAATTAATTGGACATCAGCTTGATGTCGTATACGCTGGTTTGAAAGATGACCCTGGTAACGCTGAGCTTCTCGCTCTCAAGTCTGAGTTAGATGATGCGCTTGCGCTATTGAACGAGACCCTTACTGAATTGAAGCCGACCAAGGCATCACCTCCGAAACCGAAAGCCGCATCGCCCCCGCCAGTCCAGGAGAAATGGTCGCGAGAGAACCATCCAGCATTTAAGAAGCCCGCTCCTCCCGAGGACAAAGAAGCCGATGCCGGCCCCGTGAATTACAAGGTCAACGACAATATTATGGCGAAATGGGTGTCTGGAGATAAGGCTTTCTACCCCGCCCGTATCACGTCCATCACTGGTTCCTCTACAGCTCCCATCTACGTTGTCAAATTCAAGAGTTACGATACAACGGAACAATTGCGCGCGAAGGATATTCGCCCCGTAGCACAGAAGAGGAAAGCCGATGGCACACCCGTCAACGCTGCCGGCCCGTTTTCGACCCCATCGCAACCGTCCGCGCCCTCAACTTCATCCAATCCCGGCGTCATATCCGCCGCCGCTAGTATCAACCCCGAGCTAGCACAGAAGAACAGGGAGGAAGCCTTGAAGAATGCTGGCGACGCGAAGCCCAAGGCAAAGAAGATCAAGGCGACCAAGGAGCTCGAAGCCGGCAAGAGCAAATGGCAGGAGTTTAATACCAAGTCGAAATTCGCCAAGGCGCACAAGACCAAGAAGGACAGTATGTTCCGGACGCCTGAAGGCGTCCACGGGAGAGGTCAGTCACCATCCAACTACATTCTAAGGTCGTGTTGAAATATAAGCTAACTTGAATATCTCTACAGTTGGTTTCACAGGTTCGGGGCAGGCTATGCGAAAAGATCCTACGAGGAGCCGCCATATCTACCAAGCCAATGACGAGTTAGACTAATACTAGCTACAGATAGTCATCACGCCACCACGTATAGGAGTTGCACGGAATTTGCATCATCGGGAGGGTTCAGGCTTAGGGATGGACGTTTATAGGCTTTGATCCCCTTTGTCCTTGTTTTTAAAAGCTTTTATGGATGCTAACGTAGCCTTCCGACTAGAACGCTCTCTTATCTAGTGATCGGTTCTTCTGACCGAGCTCTTGAGCATCAATACACAGTATTCAGAATGGAGAGTTATCTTACTATCCTCATACCCCAAGATACATGTAATTCTGGATTGATTTGCTAAATTCTCGTTACGGACAGGAACTCGAACGCTTCGCCGTTTATTGGTGAACGTACCGTACCCATTCAACACTCAGCTGAGTAGATGCCTCCCGGTATCATAAACCGTCTAGCCTTCATACGTAGAGCGTAATTAAATTTATTTCATTGGACGCGCGATACATATACAAAGCATCGTCGTACTGTGGTGAAGCATTACATTCCTAATTTGAACTGTAATGACTTCGCGATATTCATGAAGGCATGCGCCCTCTCGCTGTCAGGTTCTGAAACCATAGTCGGTTTACCTTTTTGACCGTCGTCCCCAATATTCTGATGTAACGGGATATCACCAAGTAGGTCTAAGGAATACTCCTGGCAGACATTCTTAACACGTTCGTTGGACCCGAACACTGCCGTATCATGGGAGCAGTGAGGGCAATGAAAAAGTGACATATTCTGGACAAGGCCGAGTAGTGGTACATCGACTTTCTTGAACATGTTGATTCCCTTGACTGCGTCCTTCACCGCGAGGGTATGTGGTGTAGTCACGATGACGGATCCTAAGTGAGGTTTTAGCTCGTCCGGAATCCCTTAGTTTTATACATCCACGATTGGTACACACTCACCGTCAAGTACAATCTGTTGCGTAATACTGAGCTGCGTATCGCCAGTTCCAGGAGGTAGATCGAGTATCAAGATATCGAGACCACCCCAATCGACTTCATGTAAGAGCTGTTGTAAGGCTTTCATAACCATAAGGCCACGCCATACTACTGGGGCGTCTTCGCCTACTAGATAGCCCATCGACATAGTCTTCACGCCGTAATTCGACAGTGGTAGCAATTGATTATCTGAATACTTAGTATTGGATCACCGTAAATAGGGGTTTTCTTTTAAATTACATACTATTGGATAACCGCGGCTCTTCGTTAAGATCGAAAAGCGTCGGTATTGAAGGTCCGAAAATATCTGTATCGAGGATTCCCGAGCGGTAACCCATTCGAGCGAAAGCTAGAGATATATTGGCTGCGGTGTAGTTGTCAACATCGAAGCACGAACCCGGTTGCAGTATGTTGCGAACTGACCAGCGACGGTACTCTTGCCCACGCCTCCTTTGGCCGAGGATACGGCGACTACTTTAGCTACATCCTTGATTTTGCTTCGTTTTGGAAGTCCGCGCTGCATGCGCGGGATCGATCCCGTTCTCGGTAGGCCCTTAGAATTAATGAGTATTTTCATTCTAGTTGGAAGAGAGATATCGAAACTCACAAGAGGATTTTCATGACTAAGAGTACGGAGAGTTTGGTGGAAAAGACGGCGCTGTATAGTGGCCATTTCTTATATTGCGACACGAACGCCAATATATGAGGTTTTACAGAAGATATCTCGTGATCATGGTGTATATCAAAACAAAATGTGTTATATAGTAATGATCTTATATACCAGTAAATTCAAATAAGAATCAGCCTGCCTCATGAACGAAATAAACGTTCCTATATCAGCAAGTGACGACTATGGTGAACTTCATAATTAGCAGGTTAGCTCCGGAATTAGTGGGAATGATAGGTACACTGTTCGGAGTTTCGGGGCACCCCTGCGCCCGATTATCCACTAATGGATACTGCCGACCGTCACCGCTAATTTTTTGTAAAGTTTCTTTCCTTCGCAGCCAGGGGCCCCAATTAATTATTTTTACTCACCTACAAGACAATTTATTTAGCAATGTCGAAGACGAAAAGCCGTGCGCGGCAATTCGCTGAATGGGCCGAGCGCCCGGCAAAAGGTACGGCTTCTTAATGCCAGAATAATTTTAATTTCTTGGGTTCGGACGACTGACTTTTGTTGTAGACTTCGATCCCGAAGAAGAGGTCCCCGATGAGGAAGACGATAGTGGTAGTGAAGAAGGTGTTGATGAAAACGCTGGTACAGAGCACTACGTCTCAGTAGGGTATGATACACATTTACGCGAAAACAATATCTTGTTTTAATGCCTACTAACAAGTGGTCTTACAGCAAAAGCAAACTTCGCCGTAAAGACCCAGTCGCACTAGGGCCCCAATACAGAGGAGCTCCCGTTAGCCGCTCAGCTCTCGAAGACGAGGACGAGGATGAAGAAAGCGATTCCGAAGAACAAGATGAAGACGACAACGATGCATCCTCATCTAATTACGAAGATGCCCTCCAAAACCTCGAGATCGACGACGATTTCGAAGACTTCGACGATCCTGATGAAGCAAACCTCGAAGTTGGTCAGGACGATGACGATGACGATGACGCCGAGATCGATAGCGACGATGCATTTAATGAGAGCGACGAAGAAAAGTTCAAAGATTTCGTATTCAGAGGCAGCTCGCAGACCATACCCAACAAGGGGAAGAGAGTAGTGAGACCTACTGCTGCTGATTATATGGTATCCGATGAGGGTGACAGCAGCGAGGGAGCAGAGCTCAATGGAGAAAGAGACTCAGATGAAGATGTTGATGACGAGGGTCTTGGTGGCTTTATAGATGATGAGGCCGAAGAAGATGACGATGACGACGATGATATGGACGAGGATATGGTGGATGGTGTCAGCAATTCGGATGACGATTCCGAAGGTTCGGACGAAGAGGATGGCTTGGAAAAGGCACCTGCGGCCAATGGCGCAAACCGCACGACAATACAAGAGATGATGAATGCTGGTCAGCGCTCCGTAACTGGTACCCTATCAACAGTCGCGCAAAAAGATGTTGCCAAAGGGAAAGCCGTTCGGCAACAAAGAAAAGCATTTGATGCATTACTAAATATTCGCATCCGACTACAAAAATCGCTTGTCGCAGTGAACTCATTTGGTTCAGTTGAGGATTTACAAGACCAATCTCAACCCTACGAAGCAGCCGAGGCAGCGGCACTCAGATTATGGAATACGATTGATGGTTTCCGCACGAGTATTCAATCTGATCCATCCGGGAAGACGGGACAAAAAAGGAAGCGAACCGCCGACATAGATACATCAAGTCAAGATATATGGGAAAATATGGAGGCTATCGAGCAAAGAGCCATTGCTCGTCGCAAAGCCGTGCTGGAGAAATGGTCAAGCAGCGCACGAAATATACGAATGGTGGATAGGTCTTCTCGCAAATTTACGAATACAGTGGAGAAATCTCTAACTGCGAGATTGGATGAAGAGTTAGATGCACCAGATCGGCTTGTAAAGCGGACGAGAACGCCACGTTCATGCGCACCTGCGCAAGTGGCGCAGAAAGTCAACGAAGACCCGAACATTTACGATGATGCCGACTTTTACCAATTACTACTAAAAGAGCTTGTCGACCAACGAGCAGGAGATGCATCGGGAGGTCAAGGAGGCCCTGCAGCTACGATTCGGTTCGCTGCTGTGAAGGAAGCCAAAGCGAAGCGACACGTCGATACTAAAGCTAGTAAAGGCCGAAAGATGCGTTTCAATGTCCACGACAAACTACAGAATTTCATGGCGCCGGAGGATCGGCGAAACTGGGAACAGAGCGCTATCGATAGGTTCTTCGGCACCTTATTCGGCCAGAAATTGGTACTCAACGAGGATGAAAACGAGGACAAGGAAGCATCAGATGAAGAAATTGGCGGCGCGCCAATTGAAAATAGAGGTATTCGACTATTTAGAGATTAATTTGAAAGAAAGCGACAATATTTTTCGCATTTACACAACCAACGGAGTTTTTATTGAGACACTTATGCTCGTGAGTGGTTCGAAAAGAGAAATGATTTTCGAAAAACTCGTATTTCCTTCACGATAAGTAGACCGACGATAGACCGTGATCGACATGAAACCCCGTATTTTATAACAGCAAAAGGCTGGGCAAACGAGATTCATAAATTCCCCTTTTCGCTCTCAACTGTATAATCTTCAATTATTGTATATATCTCTTTTCTATCGTCGAATACTAGGAAAGATGAATCGCTCACCCTGATACCGACTACTACGATTCCACGCCCAAGATAATCTACGATACGCCGAGCCCTAGCCTTCTGTAACATATGGACGTCATCGTCTACACATAGAGAGGAATTGGGTTGCATGGTGTCAGTAACGGAGAGAAATGCGACACATACAACAAATGGCGAGTCGCCTTGGCGGTTACTATGCCGATTCTCCTACACACACTGTCTTAAATCGGCAGATAGACTCACGATAACCCAATTTTCACCTACTTCGATCTTCAAAATCTAGTCAAGTTTCCCTGCCTAAGTTCTATACGGCGTTTCGAAAGGAGAAACTCAACCTACGACGGTGGACAATCGAACCCACTTCAGAATAGTTTGGCGGTTTTGGAAGTAGGATTTTGCTTACTCTAACCTTGGTGATAAGATGCTGACAGAACGTTCGCCTGCCTCAACAGGTTACCGTTTTTTGTCGTTCGGACCTCGCGATTGAGTTGCCGTTGGATTTCAACCTAAAAGCATATTCCAACCTTGAGACTATTCCGAATAAGTAGTTTCAGACGACTAATTGAAGGGACGAAGAATGCATCGTTACGCCGCAAGCTCGCATCGCCCTATCGTCGCAATGACTACTTGCAGCCATTTTGAAGGAGTCGATGGGGGCCCAACAGTATTAACTTCGGTGTCGAATTAGACCGGCGCGACGAACTACCAAGGGACGAACTCCTTAAGGTAGTTTCTGTTTTCTGTTTCCCGTTTCGAAACATAGCCAGGCTTTACCGACGCCTCTTTAGTGCGTTTATCCTACTTCAAACATCAATGCAAGTCATCCCAAGTGTTATGGGCTGAACCATGCCACTTGTCAAGGAGGCAATTGGTTTAGTACATGGTCGCTGAGGCCGAGGCTCTACCTACCTGGTACGGCACAGACCACGGGTTCATCCCCATGCAGGCGACAACGAGGGGATTCCTGGTCGAAAAGCGACTGGTAGTCAATTACGACCGGAGATGGCCCATGAAAAAGCATTGATACAGGCATCGCGCAGACTGGGAACATGTTACTGGTCGCATATACCTACCAAGAGGGTATCACAAGCTAGAACGACAGCGCATCACACTGGAGATATCTTCGAATGTCATCGAAGAATTATAGTCCGGTCGCGATGATGAAAGACACGTTACGTTGTTTAGTTTAAGTTACCTGAGCATGCGCGGCATTCATTAGAGTGCCGGCGGTATGAGAGATGCAGCTCGTCACCTGCATAACAACCCAGCGGAGTTGGGGTTTAGTCTGGACGTGGCCCGAATCAGCAGCTCTGCCGGCGAAGCTTTACTTTATTCTGACCCCTTTTCCCCTAAGAATTTCTTTTTCTTCGCCGCAATTCCTCAGGGCGGTTGGCAGCATTTATCAAGTCCCTGGCCGGCGCTTCTTCGGCCACGACGAGCTTCCCGTTTGGGACTGAATTAAGATCCGACCCAGAGAAGAAGAAACACTCGCCGCCTTCACGTCGTTGAATCCTCCAATCATGTCCCGCGCTATTCTTTTCATCTGGAGTTAGGATCCCTGTTAGAATGTATCCACGCGGTCCGGCGCAGGTACAAATTAACAAGCCATTCAATCAGGTGTTCTAGTTAAGACCTAAGACATTATAGTATCGACCCACCAGCGTCTAGAATTACACCGCATGTGAATTCCACCACGGGGGCTTTGGAACATGGAGTTTCTTCAATTTCTCCAAAGACGATAGGTTGTCGGCGTATAATTTAGTCAGATATTATATTGTTAATATCAGACATAATCATATTAGGTACCCGTCATCTGCCTATTTTCTCCTTCAATCATAAAGCTTTTATCCCGCCAAGGTTAGCTTCGGTAGATGAAAAATTAATGTTAATATCGATGACTTGGCCTCACTCCCCATCGTGATAGGTGATAGGGGGGGTATAGTATAGCCTACATGGTACATCTCATCTCATCATCCATCATCCACCATCTTGTTTTTTTTTTCTTCTCTCCAATGTCTTAGAATTTAGCATGCGGGGCGTCCGTCCGGGGATCTGCGCCAATACCGATCTTGTGCACCATCTACGATTTGGGCCCTGCGCCGCGATCATTATCGGAGTTTTTAACCCTCATTGGAATGTCGTTTCATCCACCACCCAATCAGGGTCTTCCGCGTTACCCAGCAGGTTGTGTAGCCTGGTTTCGTCGAATGTCTATTCGATCCCATACCCCCTTAATCATCCTTAAGGGTCACGTCGGCCTGTTAATTATCCACGCGCCGTTCAACTTTACGCTTGCACTTACACTTACATGTGCTTTTTTTAAGTAAGCTTACTTACTATGTAACTTAGGTAGGTACATGGAAGACTTCGGTCAATATCTGCATGAATACCGTTATGAGATCGCAAAGTAGGGCCTAGGCTCCGAGGGGGAATGTAACTCGAGCGGATACGTAACTCAACCGTTCCCAGACTCTAGCTGTTAGAATGTTACGCTCTGTCGCCGCTGGCATCTGAGTCCAATCTTACTTCTTCGCCCACCCAGTACCTCATCCCCAGACCATACTCGTGGTCTAGACGCGTGTATCGCTCACGGCTTCCATCCGTGCACTGGTGATGGCACCATGGACGCTCGAGACCCTGGTCACCTTCCTTTTCGAAGCTCACGAGAACCTCAGTTCCTATGGCGGGCTGGATGGACTTCCATAGTCCTCATTCTTAGGCTCGGCTGTCCCCTATTCACTCGCCCGAACCCCCTGTCTATACCCAACGTTCTCTTATCCGTCTCGGCCTTCTCATCTACCTCCCCTTCTATAATTATATAAAGTATGATCGACCACCATCTAGCGATAGAGGACGATCATCTCCCTAACCATTATTCACCTTACCCATAGTCTATACAGCTGGTCTATGACTTACATTCCTTTTTACCCAATCTAGTTGTTACAGCTACAAGTGTACATATTTTCGACACGACGTCATACTATACTATACTATCTATCCCTACCCAGCTGTATAAGAAGTCTATCCTTAAATACATACATACAATATGTCTATCAAATTCCTCGCATCCGCGCTAGCCATAGCGGCGTCGACGGTGTCGACAGTCTCAGCCGAGGGCGCGCCGGGGTACTCAGGGTTCAACACAGTATGGGCGGAGACCTTCGACGGGTCGGCGGGAACCAGCGTGAACGGAAACAACTGGAACATCATCACAAACCTGCACGTCAACAACGAAGTACAGACCTACACCTCATCCACCAACAACCTACAACTAAGCGGTGGCGCCACCGTGCAAATCGTGCCTCGAAAGGACAGTTCCGGTGCCTGGACCTCAGCCCGCATCGAGAGCAAGTACTCCTTCACACCCCCCGCAGGCGCGCAGACAATGGCCGAAGCCAAGCTCCGCTTCGGCGACAACGCCATCGCGAATAAACAAGGAATCTGGCCGGCCTTCTGGCTCCTAGGCAGCTCAGTAAACAACGGCGTCGCCTGGCCCGCGTGCGGCGAACTCGACGTCATGGAAACCGTAAACGGTATCCTAACAGGCCACGGCACGGCCCACTGCGACGTGTACCCAGGCGGCGTATGCAACGAGCCCAACGGTCTCGGCGCCACCGTAGGTATCCCCGATCAAAGCTGGCACAACTGGCGAATTGTCTGGGATCGCCGGGCGAATACTTGGACTGGTGAGACGATCACTTGGTACATGGACGGCGCACAATTCCAGCAGATCTCCGGTGCTAGCATTAACAACCAGAATGTCTGGAACTCGCTTGCTGCGTCGTCGGTGTACTTTATTCTTAATGTGGCTGTTGGTGGTGACTGGGTAAGCTCCTCTCCATTTAAATCTACGAATTTGAAGAATTTCGCTAACATAAGATACTACAGCCCGGCCCACCGAACGCCAACACCCAAGACGGCTACGGCAGCATGATGGAAGTTGCCTACGTCGCACACTACCTTTCCACATAAGGAGGCAGTTATTTTCGAACGGAGTTAAGTGGATGGGTGGGATGAGGTGCGTGGAGTTTTTGGATGGGATAGGGAGGCATGAGCATTGGTTTGACGGATTCTTCGTCCTTCGCTACACTGAACATTATTTTGGCATTTACTTTTGCGATACCTGCATACCATTCGCTTCCTGTACATACTTGCGATATCTTGTATATATCATGCAAATCACGAGCTATTTATCTCGACCCATTTTACTTGCACATTGTGAAATTTGTTCGTCGCGCGTTTATAAGAATTGACTAGAAGCTAACATGGGACGGACTGATGTCTTGAAACGCCTGCGGCGACAGATAACAGCATCTTAACCATATGTTTAACAGTAAGGCCTAGATGTTTCATTAACCCAGACCACTCGACGCTAGGGCACCCGTTATCTGTCTCGCGGTAACGACATGGACGTTTTGGGGGAATTTTTTTTTTTGGTTTTAATTAACTACACAAGAACCTAGGTATCTACCGTTGTATGTAGGATCATTAAACCCCGAATCCCTACATATCTAGCACCGTTCATTATGAACCTGAAAAACTGCACAGCCTCCATTGCCTGCAAGTGCAAAAGGCGAAGTGTCACTGCCGTCCTCCTCCACAATCTTATCGTAGTTCACGGCGTAGTCTTTGTCGCAACCTGGAGGTGGCCCACCCCTTCCCGAGAACCCTGCGGTGGTTGAAGGGGTACCACCCGCCGTGCCCGACAAGGCACGCCCGGGGCCTGGCCAATGCATGCATCTTCGCACACCGGCGAGTACGAAGAGGAGGCTCATTAATCTGCCCATTGAAATGTGACTCGACGATGCCACTCAATACCCCAGCATTCTCTTCATGCTCATCCAACGCATCTATAAGTAGTCGAACCCTTCAATGGAAGGCTTTTAACGTCTTTGCTCAGGATGGAGCCTTTTACTGTCGTGCTCAGGACACTCCACCTAGCATAGCAATGTCTGCAAAGGAGATTTGACGACATTTGGGTCGGATGCTTTTAACGCCTTTGCTCGGGGCGAGGCCTTTTAATGTCTTGGGCAAGACACACTTCATTCTGGTTCGATTTCCAACTAACGCTTCTATAGCCGCATAAATCGAGCGGTTTGCGCATCGGCCGATCGGGCTCGACTCCACCGTAGAAGTCCTCGTATTCCTGGTCGAGGCTTTCATCCACGCCCTGTTCTAAGTATCCATGCGCCACGGATGAATTGTCTTTAGTACTAGCTACATAGCCATCCATGTACTCATCAAACGTGAAAATATCACTATCCCTTCTTCTTCAATGCAAAGATCTCCTTGGTCCATCCAAATGTCCTGTGAAATCTGCCTGCGAAAATTTTGGCTATCGTGATGGGGATTTTAGGTCTCGGAGCGCCCTTGGGGAAGAGCTCGGCCGTAATCTTGGCCCTGTCATCCTCGTGTGCCCGTAAATCGTGGACACCGCCCCCCTAGCGTATCGTCAACGTTAGGGGACGGCGCCCAGATTTTGCCGCTGCGCTCCCATTGAGGGATCTCCCTATGGGACGATCTTAGTGCCCCAATAGGGGTAACAACCCCACCGAAATGAAGCGACCGGATCAGTACTCGACCGGTAAATCTGCATCTTCGTCCCGATTAGAAGCTGCGTCCTTCCAGGCCGGCCGCCGCGAAGCACCTAGTAAGGGTAGTAGTGCTTGCCTTCGCCTATCCACCCGGCTTCCTTGCGATAGCCTCGGTATCATTGACTAACCTCACCTCGCTGTTGGTTGTTGGGTAGTCAATGATACCGAGGCTACCTCAAACTCTACCTTGCCTCACCCTGTTGCGGGTCATTGGCATTGGTAGTAGATGAGCGCAAAAGGTCCCACCCCCACACCCCGGAGTATGGGTGGGCGTGTAAGGTGGCCGGAAGGCCAACGCTTAGAGATCAAAGCATGCGAAAAGAATCCGTACCCATCATGGGTAAAATGCCCACCGATTCCAACATCTTCGCAATTATTATAAGGAAGGGCGTGCTCTCGGTCCAAAGTGGCGTAGGTGTTATGCGCCAAATTACCTAGTCGCATTCCACTGCGGACTAAGACCGGATCTCTCTCGGGATTGAAGTGCTGCATTCTCCTCGGGTTGATGATACCATTCTCGTCAAACCACAAGCTCGTGTAGTACGAGGTGGTAGGGTGGGTAGTGGGGAGATTTTCCCCCGAAGGAAGATGGGAGTTTCCATAGACAATACTGATCAACTGCTCAGTGAGGCTCTCGGACTGGTCGGGAGGCGGCATAGGCCCGTAAGATTAGATGAAGCCCAGCATATGTGAAGTTTGGCACGGGAATTGCGGGCTTAATCGTTACCAGCTTGGGTGAATGCATGCGTGGTCGAAGGTTGTGATGTGATGACGAAGACGGCGTAGATTTCGGATTCGCATGTCGCGATTGTGCTAGAGATTGGTATACATTCGGCTTGAAGGTAGGCTAGACTGGCCGGCCTTAAATCGAGCGAGTGCGGCGACTGCGTTTCAAGTCTAGCCCAGATCCAAATGCTCAAGGTACAGATGGGCCATAACCCGGCCAAGGGCAACGATACTTTGCGCTCTTTTGTGTCGGGACCCGATCCCCGTGAGTCTGAGATATGGTGGACCTGAGATAAGTGGAATCTTATCTCGGTCTCGGTCGGCTGTGTATAGCCACAATACCGTTTCTTTACAGGGCCCTTCGCATTCTTGGGCCGCATAGTAAATGTTTTCGGGTGTAACTAACTTTGGCGATACCATACCGAGGTCAACTTGACGCTTGAAGCGATCGTGCCAACCCCGCGGCGAGCAAGCCTTCTATCTTTGACCGGAACGGCGACGGCGAGTTTGATCATCTCAAACAAGATATCCTTCCTTCCGATTCCGATGATGATACACCCATCATCCCGTCTGACTCGCCCGCCGCGATCGAACAGGAATGCTTTCGACCCTTTAATCGTTGTAAAAGGCTCATATAGCCCCTCAGAGGCTCCAGATGTATGTCAACTCGGAGCTCCTTGGCGATTCCTAGTCAACTGCTAATATGATTGTTGCCCTTCCTTTGCGGCCGATATCGAGATGATGAGATTTCGTTGCATCTCTCGCGGCTCGCAAACTTGCAACCGACATCAGTATTGAAATATAACTAATGACGGGTGTTGGCGGAGATCCGTCGTGATGTTCTCCTAACCGTTTAAAGTAAGCTTAATCTTTTGATAGAGATTTCGCCTATAGTAGCCGCGGCACATCGGTCGGAGATCCCTTGTTTAAATCTTTCCTCGCTATCAGATGGCTGCCGTCATCGGGCGGGCAGCCCTAACGCGTCCGGGGAATCTTCCTGGAACGGCTACGAGCCTCAGCTCGGCTCACCTGGGGCGATGTAGCCCGAGATACACCAGAAAAAGGCTTAGGGGCCGCCATTGTGTTGCCATTGTTGAAAGCGGCCTAGCCGCCTATCGAGTCTCACAATGTCCGGAATATCCCCCCCTTTATTTATTTGGTGCCTCGGAGGCGCCTTGACAATGGTAGGGCGTAAATGTGGGCAGTTCAACCAAATGCCGAACGGCGCCAAAAGGGCAACCAGATCTCTCGAGTTCGCCGTTTTCGCGCCGACTAGTTCAGCAACCGTGGTAAAGGCGAGATATCGGGCCAGGTTCAAACCTTTGGTCCTAGACACAGCGGTATGGCTCGTCGATCTTGCGCCTTTCCCCCCGAAATCTCTCTAAATACCGCCGACCATGTTATGGCTCCTTCGAGGCCTGCCGCCCTTTCTCTCTTCTCTTCGCAGATTCCCTACCCCTATTTCTTTTTATTCTTTCTTTCAATTTTCTTTTCCATGTAAGGAATCGGCGGGAAAGGGAGGAGAGGGGGTTAGGTAAGTGTACATCCCGACGCAAGTCATTAGTTCTGCATCGATAGACACCGCGTCTATGACACTCGCCGATCGAACATCACCCCGCCCGTGCATGCCCAGCCTTGCGTGGACACCTATGCGTTGAACATGCAGTAACTCCAGCGAGTCTGGCAAGTCTTGACGTGCAAGAGCACCAGCCAACCCTGAGTTCGAAAGCCAAGCCGACGCCCTCAGCATCCTGGTGACCTCTTGAACTATGTCTAGGACCTGCTTACTGTCACTCTAAATGCGCATATTACGCTGGAGGGTAATGTCGTTCATAATAGCCGACAACCGCCCCCAGCGACCCGGCATTGCGCGACGCTACCATGACGCTTCGGTTCCAGGACCTGAAACGTCTACCTAAGTAGTGAACAGTGCGACACTCCTCATTCCCCGCCCCTAGAGCCTGGGGAAACTGCAATATCTGTCAAAATTGATACAATAACTCAGTGGATTGCCGATGGGGATAGAAGTGCTAGGGGAGATTGCTTGATGGCATACGTGCCTCGGGATGGCTAAGAATACGTACCGTAAAGGCGAGGGTACAAGAAGACGGGAGCCAACTCGACACAAGGTGTGTTGAATGATGGACTCGACATCTAAAGAAGAAAATACCATTAAATAGACATCATAACGTGTTCCGTAACACTACATATATATAACCTATGAACATGGGAAATGGTCAGGAATCTTTGCCACGCAGGTGGGTTTAGGGCTTCTTAAAAATTTGAAATGAGCTTAAACTTACGCAAATGATAGTAGAGGTTCGGGTGACCTCTGTGCGACTTGATAGGGGTGCTTTTCGTGGCATTGTTGCTTGGAGTTCTGTAAAGGAAGGTGTGTTTAGATTGGCTGTCCTTGGTACTTGGTAGCGAGTGGTGTAGAAGGGGAGAGAGGAGGGGAATGGAGAGTGGGAGAAGGAACGCGAGTCACAGATGCGCAGAGACAGGATGAGCGAGGTAGAGATGGGTAAGGGCAAAGTAGAGAGAGAAGGGAAAGAGAAAGAGCGAACTTTGTGGGTGTATGGGAAAAAGAGGTAGATAGAGCGAAGTGAAGGTAAAATGGAGGTAGATACAGAAGGAACGAAGTGGGGATATTAGGATAGCAGTGAGGAGAGAGGAAGTAGAGTAGGTCAGGGGGAGGTATCAATAAAAACGAAATAATAGTGGGAAAGCAAGGAGAAACAGAAAGAGCGAAGTAAGGCCAGAGGAACCAAGGTACTAGTGGAGGTAAAAAAGGATAGAAAGAACGGATTAGGGATACCTACGCATGTGCCTACAAGTAAGTAGGTACATAAACAGAGGCGGAATGAGCGAAGTACCTATAGCTACGTACCTTATGTAGGTACCTAGGTAGGTACGAGGACGGAGGAAGGTAGCCTAGGGATAGATACAGAGTTAGAGAGCACAAAGTAAGAGGATCTAAGAGGGGAAAGGGAAAGAGAGGTACAAAGAACAAAGTAGGGACACAGGAATAGAGTTAGAAAGAGCAAGGTAGAAATACGGAGACCAAGGCAGAAGAGGAAGCGGGTGCCAGAACAGGGTGGGAAGGTGCCAAAACGGCGAGTGAGGGAGCAAGGCAGAGAAAGAGGTTTGCAGAGATGGAATCAATGAGGCGTGGCATGTAATCCTGGAGGTAGATTCCTCAACCAGACATTTTGTGAAGTATGTAGAAAGGAACTGGGCGGAGGACTCATGGGAACAGTGAAGGGGATTGAGAGTGACTACTTACCAGACAAATAAATTCGGCCTACCTTGACATACTAGACATCCTAATGAAGAGGTTAAGAGAAGGCCTGGTAGCTGAGGTAAGTGATCGATTGGGAGATGGAATGAATTGAAGATATACTAGTAGTGTTGATGTATAGGAAGGAGGTGAGAGGAAAGGCCAGCACACAAATGTGACAAGGAAAACGAGAAGTCCAAGAAAAGGTAAACGAAAGATGAATGAAAGTGTAAACGAAAATGTGCCTGTCGTGACGGGGGTTATTCCATTTGGTGTCTACCTAGATACATGTATTAGGACGCTTATTCCGCGTAACGGGGCAGTGAGGTCATCGTGGCCATTAGATCCCCACGCATGTAGTAACTTGGCAAGTATCCAGGTGCGAGAATACTCCTGTCAGGGCCCTATAGGCATGACACGTACCTATAACATATGAACTAGAGGTCCCTATTAGTGTAAATGCGTACCCGGAGTGTCTTCCTGAGTACCTAAATCACAGCCCTACTATAGTGAACTTCTACTAAAGCACCCCCTATAGTGACATAAGTTAGTGCACACTCAATACCTAAATCCACCTCAGAAAGCAAGCTCCAGGTGTCTACCTAGGTAGGTATATATGCGGGCATTTCGTCGACGAGACAATAGAAATGTTCAACACTTTTTTTCAATTTTTCTTTCATCTACCTACCTCTATAGCACCTGAATTACCTAAATATTGTAGCCCTATTTTTGATTGCACTGCATTAGCTGTTGTCTTTGATACGTACTGTAGACGACGTTCCATACAATATCTTTAAGAAAGCAACTCGAAGCATTGAATTACTCGCCTCCTCGGCCGAATCCCGAATCAAACGATCGCTCCATATATATGTGACTATAATTAATTACCATATGGTGGTAGGTTAGGATCGTTCCCTTCTCTAAAGAGAAGACCGGGAATACATTGCGCCTGTCTTCGTCCCACATAGGCGAGTTAGTACTAGCTTGCGCCTTATTGTCGTCTTATTATTAGGCGCTTATGTAATAAAATCGGGCGGGACTATGGCGATGGAGTCTTGCAAAGCGCGAAGGCACTAACGGGGAATGATCCTATATATTTGTAATATTGGTTGATTTAATTAAGATTATAAGCAAAAAGTCACATAATAATAACGTAACTAGTCATTCGAAGAGTCATTAAGCGTGTAACAAACGGGACGCAGATTCCGAAGGACCTACGTGTCATAGTAGTTTGTGCGGTAAATGCCTGACCAATTTTCAGTATTGACGCAGGAACCAGGAACACAATAATCCTAACACAGCAAAGTAGATAGCTAACCTATTTTTGATACCTACCTAAGTAGGCAATTCTCGGCCGCTACGAGACCGCTCTCTTAGCGTAGGGACAAGACAAGGTCAGCATGAAGACAATGCGTGTGCCAAGCCAAACCAATCGACCCATCACGGTGCGACCCGAACCCCAGAGTTTCATCTTAAGATGAAAAGCATTCAATGAGATCTTCAGCCTCAAGATCAGTAATCATATAATCATAATCTGTATATAGGAGTCCTTGGTATAGATGTCTTGCGGGCATCAGCTGGGGTTTTGCGGGATTCGGATAGGATACGTCGTACATGATTTGGAATCATTCAAATCCCGCGGGGAAAGCGACATACTGTATTATCGGAGCGGAGAAAAATATCACAAAGATGAAGAAGACTTGACGAAGGGCTCAATTGACAAAGAGGGTTGAGGGAAGGAGAAAAAAGTATATAAGGGTGGCATTCGGGAGGACCTTGATGGATAGTAAATCGGACACAGAGTATCTCCCCAACTCGAACTGAGACAACAAAACGCCACTTTTATTACATAAGACACTCGATATCGAGTTATCAGCTTTATCGCATATTCCACCTCACATTCAACTAACGAGATTACCCCTGAGATCCTCCAAGATGGCGAGTACAGGCAGTTGCTTCTGCAGCAAAGTCCGTATTTCATTTGAAGGCGAGCCCATCAGACAGGTTCGTATATCCTTAAATCACCGCTACTGGCAGGCCTCTAACAGGAATATAGGCCACCTGTCACTGTTACGACTGTCGTAAGATCTCGGGCTCAACCTACAGCACCAACCTCATCGTGCCTGGAGCAGGATTCAAGCTTCTTTCCGGCGAACCCAAGGCCATCTCCAAGACTGCGGACAGCGGCAATACCGTTACATCGCACTTCTGCGGTGACTGTGGAACTACTCTGTGGCGTGATGGGCCGTCTTTTGGCGAGAACAAGGTTGTTAAGGCCGGCACTCTGGACGATGTAAAAGCCCTCGACGGACTTAAGCCTGGCTTTGAGTTGTTCAGCGACTTGAGGGTTGGCTGGGTCGCAGAACTTCCCGATACAGTCCAGAAAACCGCTATGTAGCGTGTTCGCTTAAACAATCTGAAAAGGGGGTTATAGGTTATAGTTGCTAAATTGGACCAATACGCGGGGTTAGAAAGAATATGCGATTGTGTAAATAGACTGAGACCAATTCACGCACTTTACGCACTTTAAGAGTTCCCATGCGCCGTTTCGCTTCAAATATTGGGAGGTTTGGGGCCCGAAGATGGAGTCCGGCCCGTTAATATTGCGGATTGAGGTTAGGACAAGATCATTGGTTCATATGTAAAAATGTCCTCGCAAGGGTACCTAAAGTTGATATTGATGGGAGGTCTAGCACCGTAGCCTTCGGTTCCACTGGGCAGAAATAGTAGTAAAACTGTACATGACAAGTAGAAAGCGTAATGCGGCCGATTCTTAGGGTTACTTGCGATTGGTAGCTGCGAGGTCTGCTGTATTTTTCGATAAGGCGGCCCATAGTCTTAAGAAGTCTTAATCACGCTCCCAAAACAACCCTTCAAAAAGACGTAACATTGTGATGACTCCAAAATGCCGCATAATCATGATCAAAGGCATAGTCGTCGTCGTCGTCGTCACTCCATACTTCGTCATTGAACTTGGCCTCTTCCTCCTCCTCCGCCTCCTCCGCCTCCTCCGCCTCCGCCCAGAACTCCCTATCCTCCTTTATACGCTTCTCAGAAGGCCGCTCAGGCCAGGGACCTAAGTATGAGGCATCCTCGATCGCGTCTTCCAGGTATCCCCAGATCCTGTTCAAGCTAACATCCGACAAGAACTCCGCCGCCGTTCGCCCTTTCCTAGCCCGCGGATCTTCCATCCATTCCTTAACCTCATCCTCCGAGTCACGCGCCGCGCACATACGCGCATCCATCAAGAGGCTCAAGACGCCTTCCGTTTCCCACCACGTAGCGTACGAGTGCTTTATCGCGAGGCATGTCTCTTCCAGAGAGCCTCATGAATATGCACTAGGCTCGTGGCGGAGCGCTTCGTCTGGTTTGAAAAGGTTGAACATGAAACTATGATTAGTCTGAACGACGACAGCGCCGATCTGGCGGGTATGATCCAAAAGCTTGGTTTCTTTCTTGATGAGTGACGCATGACTCTTTCTGGAGTTTAGTAGATAGGGGACTCCGAACTACATTCTCCTCGATCTGGTCCCGAAGCTCAGTAGGGAGTTGGCGTCGGGCAAGGACGTTCCGGGTGACCTTCAAATTGCGAATGTCAACGAGAAGCTTTAGTTTCAAGATTAGAATCGCAACAAGCGAATCAAGGTCTGGGTATTCGCCAAGGAGAAAATCGGGATCCTCAAAAACGTCGGCTCCGTGGATGTTGAGATAGGGCAGGGACATATTTCCCCAATCGTATTTACCATCGGGATCACATGTTGCCCACCATTTTATGAAATCATAGCACTCCTGGTCGAGATCCAATCGCAGCATGGTGGCCGGCACGATGTTCCGAAGTCCCATGTTGTCACTCCTGCATAACCTTAACATATCTCGTAGATGCTCAAGGCTCTCGCGAACACTGCTTAGGGTCCCTAATAACAGGAGTTGCTGAGCTACCGCAAACCGTGCTCGCATATAATCGCGTGTATTGATAACACCCCAGAAATAGCCAACGTGAGTTTCAAAGGCGTTGGCGGGAGTCATAAAGTCTTCTGTGGCGTTGCGGACATTGTGGTCTTCTTGGTCGAGTTTGGCGCGAGCTTTCTTTATTTTGTTACAGGCGGACTTATGCTGCGGCCTATGGGCGACCTGGTGCTCACGGCTGCAGTAATTGAAAGTACGGCATCCAGCACATCGAAGGAGGTGGGAGCCAACTGCTGAGTGTGATGGGCATAGCGGGCAACGATTGGCGAGGCGCCCGACGGGACCCTTGTACGGGGCGATGTCAGTTGCAGGTGGCATTGCGGCCAGGAGTGTTACGGTATGAAATGGGAGGAAAATGAAAACTACTGCAACTTGTATGTAAATACATCTTGCAGAGGTGTAAAGTTGTAAGGTTGTAGGGTTGGAAAGGTTCTAAGGACCTTATAGGAGGAACAGCTGCCCCTACCGTTACCTACGTGGCATTGTAGTAGATGCGATGACTGACTAGGATTTAAATAAAGTTTTACAGTCTCAGACCGTGACTCTGATTCCTTAGAGAGACAACATATTCTACATTAGCGGTCTACTACGTTTTGGTTTCCCGTTTGTTGTGATGCTTTTAGGTGGGGTTCAAATGGGTTTTAGTCATCAGGGACGGTGCCGCTATTGGTCGGTACCTACCTAGGTAAGTACTGTATACTATCGTCATATTCATCAAGTCGGTGCTTGACGACGAGGTGTTCCGAGCAGATACCCCCCATAATAGTCAAAGGTATATGCCCACAAAACTGTGGATTGGATCGGGGTGTGAGTGTTTCTGTCTACCTAGGTAACGTGATGCTGCTGCTTTTATACGAAGATTGATCACATATCAACTACCATTGATAAAATCCGGCCGGAATTTCGGCATCGATTCAACTCGTATACATGCTGTCGATACTACGTTACTACATAGAGGCCATATGAGCATACGAATATATCCACTGGTTGAGATTATTCTTTGATGCGCCTCACTTGGGTTAGGTAACTAACCTGGGTAGTCAGTAGACAATTTGGACTAGATCATGGGTTTATTGATTTACGCGTCATGCCCCCTATCCTGTTTTCCATCTCATTAGAAATATCAGATGGCCCACCATACTCATGCTGGTAGCCAACCTGCCCCATAGAGACTCTTGCAATGTTCTGGTATGAACTAAGTCGCGTATTTTGGAAGTTTGAGATATCTTCCTTGAGTAGGGTCTGCGTTTATTGTAATGTCGCGCTTTGGTGATGTTTTGAACTAATTCGACTTAGCATATCGCCGACCGAGCGGAATCGACTAAAATTCATAAAGTGAGTAGTGATAATTGGGAGATTATATTCGTGGCATTGCTCTTTTCTAGAAGGCTGGATTATCGTAGCCCCATATTAGGTACTCGAGTATCACAGTTGAAAGAGAATTTGGTTGATTGTAAGGATCCTTGGAGACTGGAATCTCGAAATCAGCTGGCACAATAAAGCAAGAAGCTTGTATGGCAATTTCAATTCGCAGGCGAAAAACATTCATTAGATATCGGACGAATTGACGTTACGTTTCGACCCCTCTGAATATTATGGTAAGGTGTTGCCTAGTGCATTCCATGTCGATCATCGTGGCATGGGGCATCTCCTATTTGGGTCTCATAGTCTCGGATTCAGGGGCTGACTGGGGCCTTGAATAATAATTCCAACTCGGTAAACTCTCTCATCCCTTCTTTGTTTCGATGATATCGTTAAAGAGCCGCACGCGCTGTTTTTGTTTGTTTCGTTGTTTTCCAAGATGGAACTGCTGATGATCTCCATCGACATCATTGATCCGAGCAGGATTGTCGATCTACTCCAGTATTTATATTTATATTTGTATCTGCCAAGTTGGCTAAGCTTTTTGAGTAGCGCGATTGCGTGGAATTGATTGGCTGTGGGGACACCATAGTGACGGATAGCTCGGAGTCGCGAAGCCAATCGAAGATTAGCGGACGTCACCTGTGTGACATACCAAAGATTTGTTAGGGAGTCGGTGTTTAGGTGGATAAAGACACACCCCACCCTAGTCGATCTTTTGACCCCTCACCGTCATTTACCTAGGGTGTTTGGTGTGTTTGGTAGGTAGGTGCCTTCCATGCGTTCGCATAGCCACCTTCTGCCACCTCAGCTTCCTTCTGATACAGGAAATTGAAGCAGTCGATACCTAAGTAGTAAGCGCGACCCATTTTAGACCCGAAATTTTAACCCCCCGTGTCGGAGACTCCTGCTTCGTATTCTTCTTCGTCTGACCAATAAAAATCATCCGAAGAACACCCCCCTACAAAACGTTCCTGGCTAACCAATTTCACACTGTCCTGATTTGGGACGGTTTGTCGATTTCCCTGTTCCTAGTCTTACACCTCTTTTCTCTCACACCAACGTAAAAAGAGGCAAAGGTGGTTTTGTTCTCCATTTTTGAAACCAAGCGACCCAGATCATTGGTGCAACACGAAGGATCTCGCTTTGGTTCCTTTTTCCTTTGGTTGCGTGTTCTCCATCAGTTTTCTACCTTCTTACTTCCTCTTATTCTAGTCCAGAAAAAAAAAACCTCTCCTACATTCCATTTTCTTGTTCATTTTCTCAACAACCCACGTCGCGACCGACACTCACTTAGTATTATTATCTATCACCGATACATTCGTTTTTAATCGGTGGTGACACAGGTAAAAATCCCAAGACGCGATAGATTTAATTGATTTTTTCTGCGGCTTGGATTTCTGGAACTCCCTTCGCTCAAGTATCACTACATATCGACCCGTCACAATGTGGACGTCTACGGCTTTGCCGCATCTCGCCTTGGGACTGGCTGCCCTCTCCGGCACTCTCGCTCAGAGTTACAACGACATTCCGGAAATCGAGGCATATGGCCAGCATTTCTTCTACAAGAACAATGGATCTCAATTGTAAGTTTACGCGTCAAGTAGTCCCGTGTGGTCAATGTTATCTTGGCATATCCGAGCGCTAACCGTCCTTCCCCTCTAGCTACCTAAAGGGTGTTGCGTACCAAGAGAACTACAGTCCTAACGGGACTTCGGATACCGCCAACAACCAATACACGGACCCGTTGGCCGATGGATCCAAGTGTTCGCGCGATATTCCTTTCATGAAGAAGATCTTCACCAACGTCATCCGAGTCTACGCCATAGATCCCACTCAGAACCACGATGACTGCATGGAGCAATTGGCTTCCAACGACATCTACGTTATTGCTGATCTCAGTGAGCCTGGTACTTCCATCGACAGCAACGACCCGTCATGGAACGTCCCTCTCTACACCCGTTACACTGCCGTCGTCGATTCTTTGAGCAAGTACAAGAACGTGATCGGCTTCTTTGCTGGCAATGAAGTCGTGAGCGCCCAGAACCAGACCTCTGCTGCTGCTTTCGTTAAGGCTGCCGTCCGCGACACCAAGGGTTACATCAAGCAGATGAACTACCGTACGACTTTGGGTGTCGGCTACGCGACCGCTGATGTTCCTAGCCGAAACGAACTAGCTCACTACTTTGCTTGTGGTGATGCTGAAACTTCTATTGACTTCTGGGGTTACAACGTCTACTCGTGGTGTGGTGACAGCAACTACGAAACCTCCTCGTACGGCGAGCGCGTTGACTTCTTCAAGGACTACCCCGTTCCTGTCTTCTTCGCTGAGTACGGTTGCATTGAAGTCCCCGCTGGTGCTGAGCGCAGACCTTTCACTGAGGTTCCCGTTCTCTACGGTAACATGACCTCCGTCTTCTCCGGTGGTATCGTCTACGAATGGTTCCACTCCGACAACAAGTATGGTCTCGTTGAGATCAACGACAACAGCGTTTCTCCTTACCCTGACTACACCTCTCTCTCGTCGCAGCTGGCTAAGGTTACCCCGTCCATCACTCAGTCCAGCGCCTACAAGCCCTCTAACACCGCACCCGCTTGCCCTAGCGTTGGCGGTACTACTTGGGCTGCCGCTGCGTCGCCTCTTCCCCCTGCGGTCAACCCTCAACTTTGCAGCTGTGAGGTTGCCAACCTTGACTGCACTGTTGACTCTGATGACTCCGATTCCTACGGTGACACCTTCGACTTCATTTGCAGCAAGAACGAGGACTACTGTGCTGGAATTGCCCACAATGCTACGACTGGTACTTACGGTGCTATCGGTGGATGCTCGCCTAAGCAGCAGCTTGCCTGGGTTGCCAACCAGTACTACCAAGGACAGAGCAACAAGGCAAGCGCCTGTGACTTCGGTGGATTGGCCAAGACCCAGAGCCCTAGCACCTCTGCAGGCTGTGAGGCGTTGATCTCTGCTGCTGGTACCGATGGAAAGGGAAGTGTTCCCAGCCCCACTGGACAGCAGGGAACTGCCGCCGCCAGCAGCTCATCCAAGGGTGCTGCCGCTGGTACCATGACAGCGCCATCCTTTTTCAACTACGGTAGCACCTTCTTTGCTGCCTACGTTATCACCGCACTGGTTTCCGGTGTCGGTATGTTTGTGTTGTAGGGGGTGAACTGGGAGAAAAAATTCGGTAAATACGAGGGGGAATGGTAATGAGTTCAGGTTGTATGTGTACTAGAATGTGTTTTCTGCATTCATGATTGGGAAATATCAGGAGATCAATCATCGTTTGCATGGAGTTAGAGAGCTATGTGATATTCTTTCTCCGCTTCGTATATGAGGATATAGGTCAAGGCGATTCATCATTGCGTCCATCTCCTTCCACTTTCACATTGCTTTAGGACAAGGAAGTAATTATGCTGTAGATTCGGAAAGAAGCTAATACGAACTTGCACATATTCCTAAACAAGTTTCAATATAGGGTGCATGTCTAGAGAAGTATCCATTCTGCTGCAGGTACTCTAAATGTGGGTTGCAGTTCGGTAACATCATCGATGGGTCGCTGCTTGCATGCTGCATGTGGTGTGACGCATTTGTGACACGCTAGGATGAATTTGGATCTTGGCTGATATAATCCCGTAGAGTTTATCGAGTTTGTAATCAGGTACCCTATGCCATTTCCTTGTTATCGTTTCTACTAATCGCAACCATTAAACCTTCATATTCAAATTTCGTAGTAACAACCCGATGGAAATTAATATCGAATTGCCTGGCACCGCGCTTGAGCGTCGCCGATTACAGAATCGGATAGCCCAGCGGAGATTTCGTCGTAAGTTAAAAAGAAATGGTCTAATTTACTTATCCCTTCGGCCAACCGATGGTTGTGTTTCCTAGAAAAGAGAGATCAGCAACGCCACGATGCTGCTCTCGGTCATGGCGTCCACACCAATATCGAAACCCCGCCGACTGCTGAGGTGCCCTTTATCGTACGGTCGGAACCTGTCCATGATGTAATTGTTGAGGGTGGTGCGATTACTATGCCTGCTTTTTCGTTGACTGGTGATAATGGTAATAGTTCGAGCACATCTCAAACCGAACCTTTCAGTCTTGAGGATGTTGATTTCTGGGATATCGGTGTCGTAGATGGTTTCTTAGCGAACGGCAACACGGCACCGGAGTTTGACGTGACTCTCCCCTCACCATCGGAGTTTCTACGAGAACTACCCGCAGCAGATATTGCACAAATCTCTCCTCCCAACAGTCATACCAATGACTCCCAAGCCTCACGTCCATCCGACTCCTTACGAAGACCTTTACGATACCGCCGCTCAGCTCAACTCAACGAGGGGTTAAAACGTCGGTTGGAAGCGGATGATGAAGGTTGGATCGGGAGCTTGCATATCGCGGCACAGAGCGGACATGAGCGAATGGTTGCCCTACTCTTAGATCAAGGCGAAGATCCCGATGAGAAAGATAGCGACGGACGGACGCCGCTTACGCACGCCATAATAGGCGGTCACGAAGCCGTTGCGAAGCTACTTCTCGACCGTGGCGCTCGCGTTTCTATACTTGATCAAGATGCTAGGTCCGCGCTACATTGGGCTACGCTGTGTCGGCGTGAGACTATGATGCGGATTTTGCTCGAACGGCAGAGTAGTAGTGATGAGGCAGATCGTATTGATGTCGATGCGTATGATGATTCGGGGTGGACGCCCCTGCATATGGCTATTCATCAAGACTTTGAGGCCGGTGTTCGTATGCTGCTTCAGGCTGGCGCGACGCTGAGCTCGAAAGCGCAGAAATGTCCGTTTGCGAGGAAATTGGACTCGCTTGGGCTGACGTGAATGTCTCTTATTGTCTAATCACAGATTCGCCCCGCGCTGTATGGCATACACATCTTGACGCAAAGACAAGGCGGTCGACCACAGTATGATTCGTTTCGTTTCCGGACCTTGAATTATCTAGTCTTTAAAGGCGTTTCGCGACTTCGGCCCATCTATAAATTTACCCATTAATCTACCCATTATACATCGCCAAACTATTATGTCTATAGTCCCAGGAATAGTCCCAAGAAATGGCAAGGGTGGGGGCCGAATTAAGTACGTAGGACTCTTAAATTGATTAGAGATTCCATAAACATATACAGCCCTACAGAAAAGTCTGGGTATATAATTGGCTGTCGCATCATGCTATACCTATGAGGAAATTCTCGATAAAACCTCCTCGTCCTAATATTAATGGAATATAATAGGAGTTGAAACTGATGAACAAGATACCAGTATAGCCAGGTAATTTTCTTCCGAGTGGATAGATCTCTTTCTCTTTCGTGTAGGCTATTCATCTTACTACCACCACATTCGTTTATGATTATGGCTGATTCTGACATAAACTTCAAGATCCATCCCCTCCAATATCAAAGTGGAAGTATCTCTTTCACTGAATGGTGTGCGCTTCTAACACTAGCACTAGCACCACTTATCGCACATATCGCCGCCGGTTTCCCTCAACCATCTTATTTACACCCACGCTCCCCGAAATGGCACGAGCGCATCGCTCTTTTCAACCCAACATCCGTATTATGGCGATATGCAGCGATCACAGATCGGCGGATTCGGGCTAAAGACTGGAACAAAAAAGATATGGCCGCGACAAACGCGCTATTCTGGACGTCGCGAGGTTGGGACGGTTCCGAGAAGATGATCGCGCTAAGCTCACCATATTGTACGCACCTACCGGAACATGGCCAGATATCTCTGTTCTCCGGCGAGTTCTTCAAGACTCTGGTCGTTACCCTACAGGGTATGCAGGCTATTGTTGCGCTATGTCTTTCCTTGGAAGGAGACAACTCGTCTTCGGATGGCTTTATTACTTTCGTGGGCGTTGATCAGATCTTCTTCCCCTTGGCGTTTATCGGTCTTATGCGCCTGTTTTGCGGTTTTTGGCTTACGAATGAATTCGCGTACTCGACGTCGCAAGGAAGTGTGGTTCAGGTTGAGTTATCCCGTATCCCTAAGGATGATGGGGAGGGGCGGGTCTCATTGGATAGTCTGCTACACGATAGCTTCCACACCTCGGAAACTATGGAAGAGAGATTCCTACCGACTTCGTGCTGGGAAAGTCGGGTCTTTCGCATGGTATTCATACTCCCGCTTATAGGCTTCCTGGTGATGTGTCTTCTCTTCCTCGTCCAACCCGGCATCGAGACCAGGGAATACACAGTCACATCGAGTCTAGTCGGGGTCTTTTACTTCATATTACTCTCCGTGACCGTCGTTATCTTCGGTTATTACTTTCTCCAAGGAAACACATCCTCAACAACAATCCCATGTATCGCGTCCCGCTGGTATAAACTATACACAACCATCCTAATAGGCATCGCACTGGCTATCTTCATCCTAGCTTGTATCGAGACGCGACGCACGGCCTGCGGGCGGTGGACAAGTGCGCCCTATGAGCTTGGCGATTGGGCGGCGTGTAGGGATAGTAGGAGGCCGGATGTTATCAAAATTGACCCTATCACGCTTTCGGAGTTTGGTATTGCCACGACGTATCCGAGGACAGATTCTGGGAATAGGGTGTTGCCGCAGGGAGAGTTTTGGGTGCGCAATTTTACCGGTACTTGTCTTGGGGCTTTGGGCTCGCCGTTGGTTAAACGTGTTGATACGTTGGCGGTGGAGGATATTGTTGAGCTTGTGCATTTGATTGGGTGAATTTATTAAAGCTTAAGTGTAGTCGACATGCTTAATCCTATGAGACTTAGCACTATGGCCTCTTCTTGATGCGTCAACTTAGCAACTTTAGGTAGTCCTATATTCTTTAAACTATGGGAAAAGGCTATTCAAGTCAGAACTCATTGGTTGAAAAGACCTGCTACAACATGCGTATGTTACACCAGATGCGACTGTAAGTAAGCCAACTACTCGGAGCCGTTAGTCAGCGTCCCCCTTATTTCAACGCCCGAGTTTATTGGCCTCTTCGTATAAAACTGCGACGCGCGTTCCAGTGACCCCGCGAGCTGAAAAGTCCTAGAGTCTTAGATAAGTAATGAATGACGCGTTGTAATTTTATATGCCTTAGTAATAGATACGCTAGTGTCAGTAATCTCATGGGTTGATGATCACATATTCCCTTCACTGGGCATGTTTTCGAAGGTGTTATGTATTAACCCGGCACCAGTTAGATGACTTGTTATTCTGAATAGAGTAGTATGTCGCGAAAACTTGGCTCCGGAGTCTAGAATCTGACAGTTTGATTTCTTGAAGAACAAAGTGCTGCAGGTGTTGGACACCATTATATGCTTTGAGTATAATCTAACATATTAATATACTGCAAGAGTGGCATGAATATCCCCGCTTACCTTGGCAGAATCTGCATTAGAAAGGCACAAGGGCATATTTCGACATCAGTAATGATAACGACTAACTGCATGGGTATCGTCTCCATAAGTGAGATATAGCTTTACGGGTTGACGAATGAGACTCAAGTGAGCCATTGGGTGGACTCCTTATGCTACGGACATTTCAAATAAACTTAACTGCGATACCTCCATTTATATCCGAAATGTGTATACTCCTCTCGATACCCCATACTGTTGGCGGACCCCTGGCATTGATGTGGAACCGGGCAACACCAACAGGAATCAGCTTTACCGACATTCTCACACTATATCTTATATATATGAATGGTATAAATGAGTTCAGAACAACCGGCGAGTTGCTGCGTTCGCTCAATGTAAGGCAAGCACCCGGAAATAATTATTCGCTACCGATACAAGATTATACACCAGTTGAAAACTATAGAAGATGGCGTCTAACAACTCTACTCATAGCCCCCTTAACTTCGACACATTCCAAAATGTCATTGATGGAAAGCTCTCACCCACAGCAAAGACTCGTCGATCGATAAACCCATGGACACTGGAAGAGAATCCAGACTCACCTCTCAGCACACTCGAAGACGTTAACAAGGCCGTCGAGGCTGCTAAGAAAGGGGGTAAAGTATGGGCAAAGACGCCCTGGGCCGACCGGAAGAAAGCTATCGAAGCATTTGCAGATGCAATTACAGCTGAGAAAGAGAGCTTGGGACACTGGATTGCGAGGGAAGCAGGTAAAACGGTAATAATATGAAGCCTGCAATATACCTAGGTACCCAGCCAGATTTTGCTAATTCAATCAGTTCGATCGCGGTCAATTAGAAATCGACATTGCCGTCATCAACATGCGTATCTTTTGCGGGCTTACGCTTGAAGAGGAGGTGCGAGAAGACACCATCACAGATCGGGTTTCTACGCGATACACGCCTCTCGGGGTCTCAGCCGCCATAGTGCCCTGGAATTATCCCGTTGCTATCGTCTGTACGAAGGCCGCCCCGGCGTTACTAACGGGGAATTCCATCATCATAAAGCCTTCGCCATACACGCCGTACTGTGCACTAAAAGTCGCTGAAATAGCCCAACGCTTCTTACCTCCTGGGGTATTTCAAGTCCTCACTGGCGATGACAACCTTGGCCCGTGGTTGACGGAACATCCTGGTATCAACCATATCTCTTTTACGGGCCCGACTCATATAGGGAAGAAAGTGGCAGAAAGCTGCAGCAAAACACTTAAGAGAACTACTCTTGAGCTAAGCGGCAATGACCCGGCCGTCATATGCGCTGATGTAGATCCAACTGTGGCTATCAAAATCGCAGCTTTTGCTTTCGAAAATGCGGGACAGATCTGCGTTACTATTAAACGTCTGTATGTCCACGAAGCCGTGTATGACGCGGTGTTAGCGAATATCGTCCAATTTGTGGAGAGCCTGAAGGTCACTAATGGTTTTGTGAATGACGTGCCTATTCAGCCACTTGCGAACCGAGCTAGATTTGAGGGTATCAAAGAACTATTAGCCGATATTGAAGAGAAGAAGTTGAAAATTGCGACTGGAGGTACTAAGCCGCTTCCGGGAGCAGGCGAAACGACGGGATTCTTCGTTCTTCCGACGGTTATTGATAATCCCCCGGATGGTTCTAAGATTGTCGCTGAGGAGCAATTCGGTAGGTTGATAATTACGTTCTTCGTTCCTAAGGTGGCATACTAACAACCATACCAGGGCCAGTTCTACCTGTCATCAAATGGTCGGACGAGGAAGACGTGATCAGACGTGTGAACAACTCTCCCTGTGGTCTTGGGGCATCCGTCTGGACACGAGATATGGCGCAAGCCGAACGCATTTCTAGCCAGTTCGAGACAGGTAATATTTGGACCAACACTCATATGGAAATCCTACCTTACCATCCATGGGCAGGCACGAAGGATAGTGGCCCTGGGCTTCAATCTGGTGTCGAGGGTCTCAAAACGTACTGTAACATGCACACCGTCAGGGTAAAGCGAGGGATCTAAGCCATTTGTGTGAGTAAAGAAATGGGTCAGTCATAATCGATACTCCAGAGCAAACAAATCGTTATTGATAAATGCGCTGTCCCCCTCTTGAAGTTACTGGCGATCGTAGGGCGGATCTTCCGTGATGGCTTGGAGCGCTAGGATATCAAAGTTGTCCCTACATTGCGCACCTTGGTGAATTCGACGGGATTTGCTATATTCCTTTTGTATTTCTTCTTTCCGTATCTCGCACGCGAATATAAGAAAATTTGAATGTATACCGAAGTGAAATGATGGGTTTTATGTCATGACTTGAGATGGATATCAATGAAGGGAGAAATGAATTTTAGAGTTAATTGGGAGCGCTATATTCCCTCTAATATCCCCTATAATCGGTAGGCTCCGCGTTTAGAAGGATATTCAGAAAGCGGAAAATAGTTATTCTTTTATCCACAAACGCTTACCTCGATAGATAATTATCTTATCAGCGGAAGGTTCCCGTCGCTGCTCTATGTCATCAACCTTTTTCTCACCTTGTCAACCAAATTCTTCACATAAGCTTATTCCAGTCACCAGCGGGTCATACTACAATCCCTCTAGAAGCGCCGAAAGCCCCAATCAGCACCTGAAAAACCTACCTCCGACCGACCACACCACCACCACCCGCCGCCGCGGGCCAACCTAGCAACGATGCAGGGCTTCAACATGGGGCGTTACGTCCCGCCGGACGTTGAAGGCACAACAACGGGCAACAAACTCCACAAGAAGCGCCCCCCCGGCATATCGCAATCAGGGGAACAGACGATCCGCTTCGAAATGCCATTCGCAGTATGGTGCACGCACTGTCCGCAACCAACCATAATAGGCCAAGGCGTGCGTTTCAACGCCATCAAAAAGCGCGTAGGGTCCTACCACAGCACGCCTATATTCTCCTTCCGCATGCGCCACGCCTCCTGTGGCGGGACCCTCGAGATCCGCACCGATCCTGCGAATACAACGTATGTTGTTGTGGAAGGTGGGAGGAAGAGAGATGTGGATGATAAACTGGCTGCTACGTATATGACCGGTGGTGTGGAACCTATATTAACGGATAAAGAACGCGAGGATTTACGCACGAATGCGTTTGCGAAATTAGAGAAGACGATTGCGGATCGGAGGGTTGTGGAGGAGGGTAAGGTGCGTATTGATGAGTTGGCGGATGAGAGCGCGAGGAAGTGGGAGGATCCGTATGAGCGGAATCGCAAGCTACGCGCTGCGTTTAGGGTTGGGCGGCAGGAGAGGGAGCGTGATGAGGCGCGGACGGTGGATTTGAAGGATAGGATGAGTTTAGGGATTGAGTTGCTAGCTGCGAGTGAGGAGGATGCGAGGAGGGCGGCTTTAGTGGATTTTGGACCGTCGAGTGATGGTGGGCAGGGGCAGATGGGGAGGAAGGCGCTTGCGAAACCGTTATTTGCTACGGGCGCGAATGGGAGTAATGGCGGAGACTCGAAAGATGACGGAAAGAAAACGAAGAATAAGAGATTAAAGTCGGAGATTGCCGCCGCGCAGACGCGGGATAGTCTGGTGTCGGAGATTATGGACAATACGCGAGTATCTCAGGATCCGTTTCTGGCTCTGGATCGCGGGAACGGAGAAACTACGAAGGGCTCATCTAGAATACTCGGAATCAAAAGGAAACGGCCGGAACAAGAATCGGGGCTGGATGAAGAAGGAACACCTAATAGCTCCAAGATGGAAAAGGAGGTAACGGTTGATGTGGAAAAGGGAGAGAAGACAGTACCCTCTACTGCTTTGGTGGAGTACGATTCGGATTGAGGCATTGAAAGTATCGAGCACGGCGTTTGGATGACAGGTTTGTTTTTAAAGATACCCAGGTTATATCATGACATCGGTAGCATAGAGGGGATACCAAAGACGGACCATATGGTTACGTCGGAATAGAAACCACGGCATGCACATATGAATCGAGTCGTGTTAAATTCATTCATACCATTCTTCCATGGAACGCTGAGTACCACCGAGGGGATTACCGCTTTAAAAGCAACCCGAACAGCACAATAGAGAACAAGTGCACCGAAAACCCAATGCTAGCAGTTTAGGAAGGGTTGGAATTCCAGTACCCGGTTCAGTTCCTTTATGCAAATTCCACGCGAGGACACCAAATACCACCCGTAGACCACCAGAGAAAACCCGTAATACTCCTTAACCCTGAGAACGCAGTGCATATTTATCAAATAAAGAGGGGAATGTAACCTTCGGAGGATCGTCGTCGGCTACTTCGAGTGAGTACCTATACGTCGTCCATCTGGCCGGCGGGCTCGTCCTCTTCGTCCCCGAAGCTCGCTACTGAGGACATATCGTCATCGTCTTCGCTTTCGGCTCCGGCGTCGTCCGCGGCATCCTTACTGGCATATTTCTGAACGTATTCTATGTTCCATTTTAGCTAACCTTCTCATTTGATAGAGCACGTGTAGGCATACCCTTCACCTTAGCGTCGTAACTCTTGGGTTCTCGCATTAGGAGCGCGGCGGCTTCTCCGTTGAGCGGATCGGCGGGGTTAGGGTATCGTAGCAGCTGGGGCAGAAAAACTTCGAAAATATTGATCATATCGAACATCGGCGACCAAGTTTGGTTGATGACGTCTAAGCAAACTGACCCGGACCTGGTATAGTTATTTCTTTTAGCTTTATTCCATTTATAATGTCCAAGCCCTAGGTGTACGTGTATATGACGGCGGGTGGTGGTATTCTGGCAGGCTTACAGCTCATCAATGTTCGGGTGGAAGATGCGGTTGACGAAACCGATGCTCGGCGACTTGTATGGGTATTGGTCGGGAAGCTCGACGTGGACTTTCCAGATGCCGTTCTCAAAGGGAGCTACAAACTATGTTAGAGGAAACCATGACCCTGTTCCATCTTGTGGTGTATACTGACTCTCGGCTGGCCCCTTGAATCGAACATAGAATTCTTGCCTAGAAATATGTGAGGAACCGAAGAACGAAGGTAGTATAACGAATTCGCTTACACTGCGATTATTTAGTCAGTATCATGCTAAGCGAAGAGAAGGGGAGGGTAGAATACTGTTGTCGTTGACTAGAGTGACCTCGTAGTCGGACATAAGCCTAAAACAATTAGCTACGGTATCGGGATATGTTGGCAAAGCTGGTCGTCGCACATTCTACACGATGGTTAGTACAGCTTTCGGATACAACGATTAGTGTCATACTTCATGACCTAGTTTCGAGCTTTTGTTAGCGACCTATGCCTCGCAGTCGGTATACTGTAATGGTATGTACTTACATCGGTCTCGATGCGTCTACGTGGGCTACTCATTTTGTTCCTTGCTATCCGGGTTCTACCTCGGAATTCGCTATTCTTTCTGTAGATTTCCTCGAAGCCGCTGTCGCGTAATGGGCGATTTCCTGTATTATACCTTCAGCCGTTGTATTAGATTTCTGTCTTCTTTGTTGGAAGGAAATGCAGTCCAAAGTTGGGTATTGGATGCTTGGTGGTTGTAAGATCGGTGGTGGGTTGAGTGGTTCTTTATTGGGGAAGACAGACTATTGATCGTGGCGGGGAAAGAGATGTTGCGGAGAGACGGAGAAGTAAATAAAGGAAGGATTATCAAGCTGAATTACGATATGAGATGTAGAAAGAATAAAAATGGTAGGCTTAAGTTTACGGATTTCTCTTATAAAATTACCTGCAGAATAAAGGAAGGTGGAAGGTTTAAGACGTTTCCTCAGTTTGACTTGAATTGACTCTGGGGCTAGACAGCTAAATCGGTCACAAGACGGTGACACAATGGAACAGTAATGACGCGACTCAACCCGGATGGGTCCCTATTTGCGCCACTAGCTATCGTTATCGCCGCCTGAAGTGTTTGGGAAGCCTCTAATGCGGGAGTATCAATAGCGTATTGGCGGTATATAGCCCCGCTATTTATAGCTACTTTACGATGTATAAGCTAATTCTAGGTGCTGTAATTCAAATTAGCAGCGATTATCCCATCTCTACTTGCTATTACTAAAGGTTATCACGGAAGATTATCACCACTCCATTCGTCTTATCTCGATAATTTATTATGTGCATTCATTTTCGTCCCTAGAAAATCTCGCATATTTGCTTTCATACTAGTTCTCCTTCGGGCATCAGTCAATATACATCCGGCATGACTTGTTCATGATTAGTGCTACGACGATGACTCCCCCCTCCCGGCTTCTTGCGACGTGTTTCTATCACACCGCGGTTTTAATAAGTATCTGCGTCGCCTATTCGTCCAAGTCATATCCCCTTGCAAACTTATAGATACCATATCTACCCAACGCGATCTTGTCTCTTGGACTAGAGATGCTATTGAGTCCGTCATGTGGTTATGATCTTATATATCTGCAAGCTGGCCTCCGGAGATCCTCTTGGCCTCGCTAATAGGTCGCCATCATGATATATCTCCGCATTACGTCCAGCCACTCTTACTTTAAGAGGCCGTAAGAAAAGTCGGGCGTCCTTTGTCAACTGGGTTTCAATGCTACCCGGATATGTTCACTATTTGCAGTCAGCTTTCATCCTTTCGATAATTTCGGGTCCAAGACCATGGTTGTGGCTCACCTTTCCGACGGCTTGCTGGGCATTTGGTGGTAGTTTTAGGCCGGGGAGATTCAACGGTGGTGGCGCTATACCTTTGATTCCACATTTGATTTCGATACTTCTCAAAAGGCCGCCAACTGCCTTCTGTTCCGGGGTGAATACAGCCAGGTTGGCGAATGTGAGACAATTCGGTTCATTGAACAAACGCGCCTGACACCCGTCATCCATGTTTGCGATGAATGTCGCACACTGCGCTATGCCCGGCACGTTGTAGCACTTCGCGGTTGAATGTTGCGATCCGGGCTTAGGCAAACGAACTTTCATCATCACATTCCCGCGACAGTCTTTGGGGCCTGGAGGCCCTGAGAATAGGAGCGCAGATATGCCGACAATTGGCTCCGTTGGCTGAGGTTGGCCAGCATTTGCGGTGGTCGTCGGAGTATTGTCTGGGTTGCTAATCGCAGTAGTACCGTTCGGTGGATATACGTCGACCTGCGGGATGCCGGAGAGCTCTGGCACACTCGAGACTTGCGGAATGTCCGACGTGGCAACTTCTTCTACCATAGCTTCCTCCGGCAGATATTCTTCTTGTCTCGCCAATGTTGCGCCGTCCTCTATAACCGGGCGCATAGGGTCCTCTACTCGTATCCTTTGGCCAAACACGCCCTTCGTTAGCCATACCGGCCTGATGCTAAGTAATATTATTATGTGTCGCCGTTGGAGCTTCATTATGACGATTTCTGATATTTAGAGAAAAAGAGAGATCTCGAGGATCTATTCACATCGCGACAAATCGTTGATATGAGACGACGCCAAGATGGCAATGTGCGTGCACCCTCTTGGCGTTTCATACTCCACGGATCCCATCCCAAAATAACCAGGATGTTTAATAGATTCTCCGATAAGGAGAATCTACCGCAAGATCAAAGATCTTGTAAAGCAAGGATGACACTAATCTATTCAAATCATTTGTTGCGTTGGAATTGGATTCAATGAAAATCTATCTATTTACCTACTACTCAGCACATTACCCGGCCGTATGTTGCGAAGACCCCTTTTGTTTCTAATACAGCTGGCCAGTTCGATACAGGATGAGCACGCTCTCAGCAATGTACAATCAACAATTATCGACAACGACGTTATTTCGGTACAGACACCGATAGCTCATATGTCGCACCCGGCTTGATATTCGTGAAACGCGCGCCCGGGAGAATTTTACCCTCGTATTTCACCACTACCTCATTCACATCTGCCGAACGACGGATATCCAACAAAATTGTAGCACCGCGGAACAAACGCGTGACCTTGATCGCATCCCAGGAAGACGGCAGCTGTGGTTGGATCTGTAAGCCCTGCGCATCGCCGCGTAGGCCGCATAACCCCTCGATGAAGGACCGATATACCCACGACACCGTTCCCGTGTTGAACAATTGACTGGATCGTCCCGCAGTGCGTGGGTACAATTGGTACGCACCACGGTAATAATTAGGGATGTACACAGGCAATTGACCTCGCTGGACATAGTCCTCCTCGGAAGGTCCTGGAATCATCTTGCGCAAGACATCGTAAGCCCGGTCGGTCTCCCCAATCGAATACAAACTGTGGACATAGAAGACAGCTGCGTGGTTGTACACCGACCCGTTCTCAGCTGAGCCAGGATACTTCTGCGTTACACGTCCCACATCCTCTCGCATAGCTTTATAAGGAGGGGCGAACATAACAGTACCATATGGAGTGCTCATTTGCGAATCTACCTGGGGTAATATCCGCGCGATCTGCTCGGGACTGGCTGCTCCGCTTAGTATGGACCACGTCTGTGGGTTCAGCCAGATGCGGCCCTCGACATCTTTCTTAATGCCGAAGATCACACTGTCGTCAGTAATTCCCCTCGCGAACCAGTCCCCATCCCAGAGGTGCGCATTGGCGGAATCGTTTACTACCTTAGCTCCCGCGCGGTAATGTGCCGCGAGATCTGCTTTGCCTTCATGTTCGCAAACATCCGCCCACAATTTCAGCGCAAATGCAGTGGCAACCGTTTGCCACCCCGACACGCCCTTGCCTTTGTAACCAACCATATTCAACGGATCGCACCAATCACCTTGTGCGATATAACTCAGGCCGCGCTCATCTCGCGCCGAAAGCAACCAATCCATCGCTCTGCTGAAGCGCTCGAATACAGTGAATGTGTCGCCGTGCATTCCCTTTACCTCCTCCTTTAGCAGGTCATAATCACCGGTTTCTGAGAGGTACGCTTCAAGTGTAACCGGAAGCCAAATGCAGTGATCGGTGTGCGGGATCTGGTTGATGTACTTGAGTTCGGCGCCCTCCGTCAGTAAAATGCCGTCTGGCATAGCACCATTTTTCTCTTGCTGCGAAACTGCGATTATGAAGGCGCGGCGCGCTACTTCAGGTTTGATATACGACATGCCCATATTGTCCTGCAGGTAATTCCGTGTCTGTGGATCCGTGGTCAACCGATTGACATCGCCGTGGTAATAGCACTGCCTCGGTAGCCAATTGTTGACGAAGTTGTCTACATGCTTATCTGGCGTCTCGATCTTTAGACAGCCCTTTCCTTTAGCGATGTACTCCGCATATTCGCGCGCCGTCCGAGCGAACCCTTCCTTATTTAAGTACTTTTCTCGGACCTCACGAATCTCAGCATCGTCGTAGGCTGGACCGAAGAGGAAGCGGTACTCATGTTGCTCGTTGGCCTTCAGATCCGCGCGATATTGCGCTGCGGCCACAGGCGTCTCATAGCGGGCTTCGCTCCGACTAAGCTCTGGTTGTAATAGAGAAGAAGGAGCATGGAGACCACCTTCGCCCTCGAAAGCCTGTTGCATTGCTTCCCACGATACCGGCGGTGTTTCGCATAGGAAATATGACTTGTCTTTCAAGAATTTGTTCTTGAAGTAATCTGCCGCCTTCTGGTATGGTGTGACACTGCTGCTCACAATACCACCGAGATCTGATCTCCACTCTGCTTCCTGGTTCATCCACGACATGTACCCGAATGGGAAGTAGGGGTAAACACTGATTTTCCGAGGCCGCCCACTCAAATTCGACACTTGGACGGACCACAGCTCGACCACATCGTGTGTCGGAATTACCAAGGCCATTTCAACGCGGATACCGAGGTGCTCGACAGTCCAGGAGATGTCGCTCTTTCCAACAGAGAATACAAATCGGTCGAGCGGTGCCCGCACCGGTTCGTAGGGCGCTGAAAACAATTGACCAGTTTCTTCATCCTTGATGTAGACGAAGCGACCCGGGTGGTGCGCATAGTAATTTTGTTCGGGTTGCATGAAGGTCTTGGCCTCGAGATTTGGCGCATGCGCGTATTTGGACGGCTCCGGCTGCATGAATTGTGCTGTCGCATATCCACGACAAGTAATCTGAATCATCATCTTCTGATTCCATAGGAATCCGCCGGCCTTCGGCAAAGCCGTCGGGCTAGCCAGCTCATAGCGGTCTCCGTCTTCTGTAGAGCGTAACATCGTGTGTGTCTTCCGGGTATTCATTCACTTTCGGCCGCAGGTGTGCAGCTCCGCGTTTTCTATTAGGTCTCCCGCCACGCCAGGACTTTTTGGAAAATTCGGGGTAACGACTTATAAAGGGGACAAGATACTCACCGTGGTCCCAAGGACACCGCTGCGCCGGTACACGGGGCTTGGCGGATGACCTCTTGCATGGAGTTCACTCGGAAGAATATACGGGTAAAATCAATACGCCGCTACGACGTGGGAGGCGAGCCAATACCTTAGTCGGTATAGCAATCCAGCGATCCACACGAATTCCCCAACTCGGATGGAGTTTTTGAGGACATGGTTCGATTGCCGCATATCCAAATTCTTCCCGTTCATTGTTCTGAGAAAATGACGAAGTAATACCGCCGGTATACATTCTCGATGCACCTCTGGGTTGTACAATATATGCGAACTCCAACTGTCCATTATACCACCTCTTTTCTCTTTTCTAGCGATCCCGTGGGGTTACGTCGTTACCCTTTCGTTTTCACTTACTAAGAGCGGAGTCATATTCGGAGCTATAATCGAGTCAGCTTCGCTAAATCGTGGGGGAACTCGTCCCATCTGAAGGAGACCAAGCCCGAAGAGCCTACGACTTAGCCAAAAGTAGACTGGTAACTTCATAGTATAGGGATTTAGTTCCAGGATAAAAGTAGTAAGTATAACTTATTAACTATTTTCGTGCTAATCCGCGTCGCCTATAGGAATCTAGCGTTTTATTCTCTGAGCTAGTTATCTGGCGTGTTATACTATTAACTGTCCCTGAATTAAGGCGGGGGAATACGCTAGACATGGTGTTAGCTTGCGGTACAAAGGTCCCTATTTACGCTGCTATTGACTGCCGAGCCCGCCTCTGAGGCGTTGCTACGCCCTGAAACGAAGATTCCGCGCGTACATACAGCAATCCTAGCTGACCTGGCATTCGTAATCGGAACAAATCACTCGTTCGCATACTTCATAATAGATATAACTTGCAGAGATATTTGAGCTATTTGACTTGTAACAGATAAGTAACACCACCCAATGCCCAGAATTATGAAAAGGATATCCTTAAACAATTTGCAGATTAATCGCCAGTAAAATTCGCCCGAGAAAACAATCTTTATCCAAACAAATGTGCAGAGATTCCGCCGAACGCCTTTAAATCATGAGGCTCAATTTCGAGCCAGGTAATTCTCCGAAAGGTGCTAGCCTATATAATATGGCAGCCTCGCAATTTGGTACACTGACCGGCCATGTTTCCGTATGGATCGGCCATATAATTATTATCGGGTTCGGGGTGTATAAGAGGTAATCTTGAATGAATACCGACTGTCCCACCATCGACCATATGTCTGGGTTCCTGTAGTCCCTTTCGTGCTTGAGCTAGGGCTAGAGCCCGAGTTGGGGCTGGGACTGGAGCTTCAGAAGAACATGTCAGTCACATATTCTTTTGGGTTATTGTATAAGTTATCATCACAAACCTAGGTTTCATTATGATTGATGTTGGTGAGTTCCTCGGGGACGTTCGCGAATGTTTTCTTGCTTGCCACCGTTGATGAATTGGGCAAATCGCATTGCGAAACTAGGTGTGTATCTCCTAACGCAACGCTTCGAGACGATATATTCTTCTTGCATGGTAGTAATAAAGAGGTAAGATATATGTTCTGGAATTATTGATATCTTTGAAAAAATTCGAGTCTTAGTCTCGTTTATAAGAGCGACGACGCTATTTAAACATTCATACGTATTACTCTACGAATGCTATTTACATCCTTCGAACGCCATCAGCTTATATGTGGCTTCATTTGCGACCGGATCAGCCCTATGGCGATGGAATCTGTCGCTGACAGAAATCGGTAGGGTTGGGCCAATAAAACAATCAGTAAATTCTAAGAATAGGCGTCAACATTCTCGCTCAATGACCGTCCCAGGAAGCTGAAGCTGTTGTGGTACATATGCACGTTGCTTATGTCACTTTTCAAGAGTCGGTGAAGGGGGACGTGGGCAGTTATTTGGCAGAAACGAAGACTTAGCCTCGATCGAGCAACGCAGAGATTACCGCCCATTCTAAGTTGGTTACTGAGCGGGAAAACTACACAGTTGCGGTCTGCTTAATATTATACGGACATAACCGAGGCGCAGCCCCCACTGCGATTCGTTTCGATGCCCCGATGAGGCTTGCATTTTTTGCTACATAGATCTCACATCGACTCCTGTTGAAACGCCGATGACGTGGTTGGATATAATTGGGATATTATTGCCTATCCTTATCGATATCGTATTGTTTACCGATGACGAGTAGATAGGTAAGTAATAAACCTGTTTTCATAACATCACAACTTGAAGCAATCCCAAGTGTGCAGAATCTTGCTCATTCGAGTAACACTCCGACCGTACACAGGAGTAATTCATATACTCCGGCAATAAATCAAACCATGGTAGCTAGGCAAGTAAAAAAGTTGTAAAAAATCTATTTAGTGTAATGTTGGCGGGAATTATGCTATTCTATTTCTAAGGTCCAACTCATTGTATCGAACTGGCAGGGTAAGTCGATCCGATCTCTCCCCACTTCAGGTTGCTGAATGTAACCTCAGGATGCGCCTCGATCTTCTTGATGTTGGTAGGGTTTCCTTCGGTAGCATTGCAAGGACCAGCACCGTCTTTAGCACCGTCGAGCCACGACATGTTACCACCCTCATCCCACCAGATGCTAAACGCCAACACCATTCCTCGGGTCAACGCATCACCCATTTGCTCATGCGCTCCTAGACCGATGAATTTGGTCGCGCCGGTTGCCGTGCAGTACTCGTCGTTTGTGAACGCGACTTCGGGCACGCCTTCCTTCTTCACGACTTCGGCTTTGATCACTTTATCGCCTTGTACGTAGAGCCGGTGGATCTCCTTGAGCTTGCCGCTCTCGTCAGCGGGGAATTGGGTTACCACGGTGAAGGGTTTGGTCGTGTCTACGGTATAGTTTGCGCCGCGCCCGTAGTACTCGGGTTGGTTTAGGCGGTACGGGTTCCATCCGCAACCGTTCTTGTCGCAGACACCGTCGGCGGCACACTCGTCTCCTGTGCAGAGGTAAGGACCGGTCTGGTTGCAGGGGTGAGGCGCGATTTGGTTGGCGCGGGAGTTGGCTTCCCAGATGTCCATTTCGTTGCAGCAGGCTCCCTTGCCCTCAACGTTGCCCTGAGATGATTGTCAGTCGTGTGCACCTAAGATTATAAGGACGTCTTTCCCCGGAGTTTTGAATAACTTACTTCACCGTTGATGAAAGGGGTCACATAGCACTGGGCGTCGCAGTAACCTGTTCCCCAAGCAGCTCCACCAGTGTTCAATTCACTCTTTCCTCCATCCGCTAACATCTCGGAGAGGTAGAGAGCACTGTTCATACCGCAGGGAAGGTGGCTAGCCTCAATGTCGAACGCGATTTCAGAGCCCGTGAGCTTGAGAAGCTCGTACTTCTCCTTGGCTTCGTCGAGGAGGTAGATACGGGGAGAAACGACGTTGTCGCCGACGATTAGCTGCATGTTTAATGAGGAGCCGTTCGAGTTGACGCCGATGCTCGTGTAGTCGGTTTGACCCTCCACTGCGCTTTCGTTAATTATTTGATCCATGAGAGATCTAGTGGAGGTCGAAGCTATCGCGTCACTTACTCACGCAGTTCTGAGCGCATGCCTCCTTGGTAGGGCAGGCAGTCTCATTCGGCTTGTTTCCCCAGTCACCACAGCCAGCATTGTTGCTTTGGTGAACCCAGTGAGCAGACGAATCAAGGACGAGGTAGTTGGTCGATTCCTTGCAGCCATCGGCCACAGTGCATCGGTACGTCGTCAACTGAGGGTGGACATCAGGGGTGTTTCCGGGCTTCTGAGCGGCAGCAAGTCCAAGGACTGCAAGACCGAGCGCGAGCTTGTTAGAGGCCATCTTATTAGACGTCTTTCAATTCTCCAGCTACGTGATGTTGATATAGTCGCCACGGGTATGACAAGCACGCAACTATATTCTAGGAGCAACTCATACCTATCGCACGATATATATAACCTGCCCAGCCCCCCCACGATATGGTAAATAAAAAATAAAGAGAAAAAAGTCGGTATACCCCAATTTCCCCAATTCGAGCCTCCTCCGCATACTAGGCTATTTGATGCCTATTCTGACGAATGGAACATATACTACCGGCTTGGACCTGGCGATCTGGGAATTGTGGCCCGGGATTCCGGCGGAACTATTCGTCACAGCGTCGGCTTTGAGGCTAGTCTCCTGTGGAGTAAGAGCCTGAATCGGAACACGCTATAGCTTCACTACTACCCTACGTGTTTGAAAAATGACGCTGCCATGGCTGATGCGGGTTGCAAATTGATTGTTAATTAACTTGATTATCTACGTTCCTGCATTCAAGTGCGCCCCTAATAAATTACGCCAGGTGTTTATTCTCGGGGCCAAGGGGCTGAATACGAAGATTGCGGTAGCCCGGTAATCATGCCGAGGGTCTATCTACTATGCAGAAAGGCAATCTCTTTTCGGATGTTGCTGTATTATAATTAGAAAAAGGAGATAGTCGATCTAGCTTATCTATGAAGATCGTTTGAAGCTCATTTAGAGTATAGATTCAGCACGCTCTATGGGGATACACTTGTACCACCCTCGATTGAGGATACCTGCGCTGTCTTGTAATTGAGGTCATTCCATTGGCCAGGCATCCTACTGAATTAAATATATGATGTAATGCGTAAGATCGAAAGAAGACTTTGAAGAGCACGCTGTTGATGATGCGATGATGTTTTGTACTGAGCTATGGGATAGGGATGGGATGCCCTTTGATTCGAGTGTCAGAAGAGTACTGGGGCTAGGCATCATCGCTGTTGGAATTTACAAATATAGCATACCTCATTGAGTATTTAATTACGTTGTTTCGCATTTGTAAATAGATCGAAAAGGGTTCCTTCCAGTCAGGTGGCGAGGTGGAAAACAGAGAACCGGGCAGCAACCGGCTAGAGCTAAGAACTCGGACAAAGGATTCTGACACGCGCGGCTCTCTATGTATAAATAGCAGTATGTCAGCGATTAATCTTGTTATTCGATTGGAATAAAGTCATGCCATGAACGCCCAAACTTCACCTCTAATTCATGACTGGTATCTTGTTGGTGGCCACTCTAGCATATGGAAGCAAGGGGCAGATGGGTTACAAGTGAACCACCTAGACCACTTCGAACAGGAGTCTTCTCACATGACCAAATCACACTGAATTTATGAATTCTGGGAGCCTCAACTCAGATAGTATGAATGTAACTAGGTTTATCTCCTTTCACATCTTCCTTTGTTGAAATGCAAATAAACAGAAAAGCTTTGTCAACTTTGCGGCAGCATGAAAGATAATGAATTGTTTCAATAGTATTCTATTTCCTTTGTCTTTGCTATATATCTACCTAATGTGGGTACTGCCTTCAAACGTCGGTAGTTTGAAAATGTAGGTACGTTCAATAGCGATTTCGGCGTCGGCACCTGGCAGGGGATTTGTTGCTCTGCCCCAAAAATGCGCTACGTTTTTGTGACATTATCAGCCGCTCTTTCAGCGGCTCATGTCATCCTTGAGAACCCCAAGCCATTTCGCTTTCAAGCCTATGGGCCATCTAATCCAATCTCACCAGATGGCTCGGATTTTCCATGTAAGTTGCCCCCGGGTGCCAAACTCGAACTCGACGGCGCCCCGAAGATTATGGCCATTGGTGAGGAGCAAAGTGCCTCGTTCTTGGGTCCAGCCGTTCATGGTGGCGGGTCATGTCAATTCAGTTTATCTGGACCTGTGAGTAATGGCGACTGGGCTGGTTACCCCGTAAGGAGTTCAGATTGGAAAGTCTTTCACTCGATTGAAGGTGGATGTCCGGCGCGCAATCAGAAAGGAAATATTGATGGCCCGAATCAAGATAAGTACTCGTTCAAGATCCCGGAGGGAATCGAGCCTGGCGACTATGTTTTTTCATGGACTGTGAGTAGCCCCTTTTTTTTCTTTCCTATCCTCCCTTTTCCAATTGCGCTTCGCATCCCTTTCCTCCAATTCGCCCATGCAACGCTGAGCGAAAACGGGCCGCATCGGGTTCCCCTGAATCACAATTAATATGTCCTAACTGAAATATCACAGTGGCTGGCCCGGATAGGAGGAGAACCGGAATATTACCAAAACTGTGCCCCAATCACCGTCGTTCCCGCGAAGACGAAGCGCATGTCCAACTCGGACCAGCGGGGATTGTTTGCTAAAAGAGTGGGGTTCCCTCAACTCTTCATGGCCAACACGGGCGACATCTCAGGGGGTTGTACAACGGAAGAGGCCCTGCAGGAACAAGTTGCGATTGCATTTCCCGATCCGGGCCCTTCCGTTGACCATCCCGAGGGCACCGGAAATTTGTTCAAGCAACAATGCGATGGGAATCCGAAGGCAGGCAAAGCCCAGAATGGAGGTCCTGTTGGTGCTCTAAATTCGAGTGCATCGCAACCTAGCTCAACCCCTGTGGAACAGCATAGCACGTCCAGTACCTTGCTTCCCTCTTCCTCCTCCCTGACTTCGACTTACTCAATGACTCCGTCATCGTCTGCTGAATCGATAGTTCCTAGCTCGAGCCCCGGTGCTTGTATAGAGGGCCATCTAACGTGTCTTGGTGATGGCACTCATTTCGCTACTTGCACTGGCGGACAGCTAACACCTCCGCAGCCTATTGCGCTCGGATTTAAGTGTAAGGTGGGTTCTAGCGTTGGGCTCGATATCTCGCCGGCGTAGCACGCTTCCCCTAGGATGTAGGAAGGTCCGGAGATGATCTAGTATTAGTCACATGCAAATAAGATAATATTTTTATACCCAAGCATCTATTTCTTCAAATTGGTATGAATGTGATAGCTTCCCTTACTGTTCGGTCGGATTTTGAAAAGTTGGTTACTTGTGACGAGACCCGCTCCCTAGGAATGACTTCGGATGAATAAAAAAAAATCGATAATTTCGGTGGTTTGTGGATTCTAGATTCTTCATACAATTCTAATACGGGACGGAGATGTGTGACCCATTTGTATGCGTTTCTAGTGCATGTCAGGGGTTCTTGAGTGTTTCCTCTTGGTCTGGCGTCATACGTTTTGAGCACGATACAACGTTGGTAGTCGTCTCCTCGTAGTCTGGACGATGCATGTTGGTTGTAAGTGAAGTGATCGGGTTCGTCTCGCATCTCACTATTTTCCTGGTTGTCTGAGATACCCAATTGGAAATCGAACCGTCGACTTGGAACGTTCTTAATCTCATAATCCCAAGGTCGCCAAGCCAGGTGATAAATGTGACTTGTATGAAAACCCCACCGTTAATCATACCTGGATACTGAGGTAGTTGCGGGTCGTAGGGCGTATTATTGGGAAACGTATCTTCGGACTGATCGACATAGGATAAGTTAAATACAATTGTGAGTCGACCTACCCAAATTATTGTTACCAGCTATGACCATAGGGCAAAAGCTTGCCTAGGATGGAAGCGTGGGGGCCGGCCCTAATGGCAAGCATTCAGGCATCGATAGTCTGATTGATACCAAGATAGAACTACTTTAAATGAAGGCTAGTGCCCAATAGAGGCGAAGGAATATACCGAGGAGGACGGGGATTCTTTGATTTCGGCAGTACTTGCAGTTTACGAGTTGCATACTGCAAATTATGGTGCTAATGCCTCATTTCTTTTAGGGGAGGATAACGCTCAGACCTCCGCTAGCAGTCCCTATAGATTGATTACCTAGAGAATTTGTCAGTTGGGTATATGCTTAATGATCTTCCCAGCTAACACACTAGCATGCCCCAACCCCCTGCTTACGGGCCGCCGAGACTAGAACCCTATGGGCCTTACCTTAGGGTGGACGGAAGAGAAGCACGGATGACAGCTTAATTGGTGGGTAATACTAAACGCTCATTCTGGCGCCGATCGTCATGATGAAGCAGGTTTGAATAGATACCCACCAAGTAAAAGATTGCGCACTCATATCCACACTCATATAGACGTAGTGATATAGCCTTAGAAAGGTTAAGCGTTGAATCCCTCTATTGAAATGACTTACAGGACGTATGGAGTACTATCGGGAGCCATCCGAGACTCGCTCGCTTAAATAACCCATTCAACTTACCTACCTAGGTAGGTAGGCGAGTATCCGACAGCCCTGGAGTACCAGGTTGGTCGTAAGTGATTGATCGTATCCCACGTTTTCGTACGCGAAGTGCAGTTAAAATTAAGAGTGGGAATTGGCATTCGCTTAGAGTATAGAAAAAGAGCAAGGGGAAGCTTGACTGGCGGCACTGAGAAAGGAAAGCAGAGAGCGGAAGCGGACCTGGGCGCCGTAGGCGGCCTGGCAGGCACCTGTGTCCAGGTACACATACGCGAGTACACATGTAAAAAAAAAATATGGCTTGGAAATATTGCACCTTGTGTCTGATTTAACTTGCAAATCATGCCCATGTCCTTGTCGTCAACATAGAGGTCCCAGAACCAAATTTCGGTATTGGATACGGAAATGCAATCTCTCGGGATCTCTCCCAGCTTCTGGGACGGACTGTACCATGATTGTACATGAAATGGTTCGTGTGGGAGATGCCGCTTCAATAAAACGCCTCGGTATAATTCAGGGGGGAAGGAACCGACTCACGTGAGATTCGAACAGGGTCGTATTAGATGGGGGTTCCCTTTCTTTTCATATTTCATATTGGTCGAGAAGCATTGCCATTGCCCAGACCAACCATATCAACTCCGCAGACTTCATAACTCGCGCATTGTACCTATCCATAACGACCTTACCCGTGTGTAACACTCCTCCTATTCCTTCCGTATCGCATAGCTACGCCATGCTCGACGACGGGTCTGTCGAGGACGTGGTGCTAGTGACGCAGTTACCCTCAGATTCCTGGTTTGAGGGGTTCGCTTTGCGCCCCAATGGCAGGATACTGACCTCCCGACTGGACGAGCCCGAACTATACACATTCGATGCCGAGGACCCAGAATCAACGCCACAATTGTTACACAACTTCGAAGAGCATGCGAATGGTTTAATAAACCTATGCCCACTACCAGGAGCCAATGACGAATATCTTGTTTTATCGGGTGTGGTCGACTTAGTAAATATTGAATTCGAAGATTTTATCGTATGGCGCGTATCGCTTAGCCTAGATGACAATAGCCCGCCCAAAGTAACGAAAATAATCGATCTCAAAGATACTGGGTTTTGCATCGGTATAATTGCTATATCAGATCGAGTCGTATTGCTTCCGGATTCATTCAAGAATTGTATTTGGCGGTTGGATATACAAACCGGCGAAAAGTCGTTACTAGTGGAGGACGAGACTATGAAAGCCCCTGAAGGCGAGGGTAATTTCTTCGGTCTTAACCGAATGCGCGTCGCAGATAGACATCTATGGTTTACCAACACCAGTGCTGGCACGCTATGTCGCATTCCTATCGAACGAGTACAGGACGATCCATCGGTGGGGATTCGGATCGCAGGAGAAGTACAGATTATAGCGGGAGATATTCCTCATTGCGATGGACTAGCACTTGCACGAGACCAGACTGCCGTATACACATGCAGTTATATGGACGGATTCATCTGGAAGGTCAGCATTGACCCTTCCACGGGCAAGGGCACGACATCCGTTGTTTTAAAGAATTTAGCCTCCCCGACGGCGGTCGAACTAATCTATATCAACGACAAACCGAAACTATTTATTGTTTGTTGCGGAGAGATTGAGATGAACTGGTTTGTACAAGACAGCCAGAACCCTTGGAGTGAGGTCGCAAATATTAATGAGTCTGTTATGGTCACGGCCGTGACAGTAGAGGAAACGGTTGAGCATGCTTAGGACTACACAGCGGCGCATTTGGGAATCGGTGTTTAATCTGGGATTGCATGCTGGCGCATCTAATGACCATCTCTATACCCCATCGTGGCATGTATTATGTACATAAAATTCAAATATCATGAGATATTACCTGGACGAAGAAAAATCGATGATTCACACTTCATCCTACATCCGCATTTCGGATCCGAATCTCCAACCTAGCACACGGGATGATGGGCGGGCGCTATGACAAAAAGAAAAGAAACTAGCAAGGGAAGAGGGAAAAGAATGGCCCTGTCGCTTTGACTCCTTAAACCTTGCAGAACCGGGAGGGTGAAGCCGAAGATCCCCAGTCAACTTACGTAGTAGAAGCCTCTAACACTTCGGGACCCGGACTAAGAACCGGCACTTGAATTGGCTAGCTCTTTAGACTCCTGACATACGATGGACAGATGTGCATGTTGGTCAATATTTGAAGATCAGTAATTTTCCTTGCGATAGTGACATTTCATAAATTATTTGACCCCTTGCTCGGAATGGCTTCCCCGCGATGAACCCTTGCCCTTGGTCCTACCGCGGCTTACAACCCCTGTTCCAGTGTCGTTTTGCGTGTGGAAATTTCGCTTTGTAATCTTGAATTAACGAACAACTCACGATGCCGACGGTCCTCGGAAGATCACTTTAAAGATATCAGTTTCATTCATTATTATGGTGACCACATCGCGCCGAGCCGCCGCTAACAGTTACCTGCCACGGGGAATAAGCGGGAATATCCCCTAATATAAAAAGAAAAATTGACACAGGGCGCTGTCAAGACGCCACCTACAGGCTCAACTCAGTAAATATTGCCAATAAAATGATGCATTAGGCGCTATCTTAGGTCTTATATCAGGGGAGCTGATACCCTAATTACCCATTACCTAGGCGCGACGCCGAAGAAGCAGGTAGGTACCCAACCTACCTAGGTATGTAGGCGAAATAATACCCATGTACCTACCTACCTAGGTACATAAAATTCGATGTTATTTTTCACATCTAGCACGAGTAGAATAATTCTGTCAACATCAAGTCATTTCCCTAGACTTAATTACTCTAATATTTTTATTTCTCTCTTTTTTCCCGGCACTGCCCAGGTATGTCAAGCAACGCGTACCATAAAGATAATTAGCATCTAAGCAAGGCGCTCCCTACCTATGGAAGGCAAGCATTATTTCCTGGGACGCTTGACGCCTATTCTATAGCGGGTGGGATGCTAATTTTGTGCCACTACCGGGTGTGTTAACTCCAGTAATCGTGGTGCATAACTCCCCTATGGTATTGAATTATGTAATATCCAGGCAACCATAAAGCCCCTTTGATGGCATAGGATGATGCATTCAGCTCACAATAAACTGGGTACGAAACCAATTGACTATAAGATTTCTTAAGATCTGGCAAAATAGTCAAGATCATACACCACTGAGCGAAGTCATCGGCGCCAGTGAGGTCTTGTGTAACAACTAGATTACCGGACTCTTAAGATCTAAGACACTCTAGCTAGATACACATTTCATCCAGATATATTTTAATGTCTAAAATAGTGTTGACGTCGACGGCGTCCATACCTCTATGACGCGACGAAAAATGTGAGGACTAATGTAGTCATGTAATAATCATGATTATCTCATCACGACAAGGAGAAGAATGGATCTTAGTTCCCTTTCCAGAAAGATCATAGGTATTAACTTTGGCCATTGAGTTAGAGAGCAGATAATAAATAGTCGTATCTATATCTGACTTCCTAATTCGCATTTTGCAATATCGGTGTACTTGTCTAAGAATCTAGTATTGGTAACTTCAACTTGTCTTCATTCATTTCGGAAACCAACGTCGAAAATCTTAATCATGTCCAAAAGCGCATACCAGCAAGCCGACGACAAAGCATCTGGCGAACTTCCCCGTGAAGCCCCAGAAGGTCAAGTTTACGACTCGTCGTATGCCACCCAGGGTCGGAGAGACGACGCTGCCATTCCTGTCATCAAAGACGACGACAATGTTGAAGATCCTATCAACCTCCAAGACGCCGACTCCGACAAGCAATTAGGTGAGAATATTACTGCCATGAAACAATTTAAAATCCGCCGCCTTGCTCACTAGGTTTATATAGAACGCGACGACGCCGAAGCCATTGATAAAAGCAACGTGTTGAAGGAGAGAACTCGCGGTGAAAAGCCAAGGGGTACTTACAAGGAACCTACTGATGAGGATTTGGGTCTCACTGAAGAAGCATAGTCGACAATTGGATGTTATTCGGATAGAGGATGAAGGGAGTTTACTTATGTCGAAATGTCGAAATGTCTAAGTCTGACCTAGTCTACATTATATGATATTTCCCATTTACTTTCGGTTGACTTGAGCAACATTGCGGCATGCATTTTGTGTTATGACTATCATAATATTCTCTTAAAAAGTACACGAAAGCCAGCGGTTTTTTTTTTGTTTTTTATCACGTTATCGTTGTATTGAATTATCTTTGCTCTCGGAGGTTATCATGAATATAACTACGCCTGTCAAGGTCATCCACTAATTCAACGACCCATCACTTAGCTAATCTAATTCATGACATCTTCTAGAAATCAACAGCCTAATTCAACAAATTATGATTACTGCAGGGCTCGTGACTAGGGGTATGAACCGCTACGGTATTGAAGCATTCTTAATATGCTCCAATGCTATAAGTCATGTATGATTTCATGACTCTGGCTCTAAATAGCGTATCATACTGCCAGATCTTATATTGCCACCAAGGTAGATGGTATACACCGCTACATAACCGCGACAGGCATGAAGCCCGTGCTTATCAGTACCCGAATTAAAAATCAAATTTCAGGCGTTGTGTATGAGTAGTATGTAACATATCAGTGTGAATGCCATCATCTTGCAAGTGATGCTATCAGTATGAAGTAATATCTCGTCATCAATCAATGCATGGCGTATCCTAACTTGTGGTCGATCGATCGCAGGACTATTGATGTGTAATAAGTAACCGTGTCGCCGTTAAATGCGACCTGATCTACTGAAAGCCATTAGTGTTCTCCAAGAGTATTTTGAATCAGTCACAAACACGATGACCGACCAAGACAACTACAGCGACATCCAGCAGGAAGTCCCTGCGTCTGCAGATATCGAGCCAGACCCAGAGAACGTATATCGCGGACACAAAGCTACCCTCAGCAACCCAAGTATGTATAGGCTGCCATGATCTCTAGTATAAACATTGCTCACCGCTATCCAAGACACCTCAAAAGCAGCCAAAGACCATTCTCGCCAGGTGCTCGAGAACGAGACTGACGAACCCGTTGACGCTTCAAACAATATCCACGGTGTTCATGGAAGCGGCAACTCGCAGGACGAGCAGAAAGATCCCGGTAATATGTAAGTGTTCAAGTAGTAGCTTCTTCAGCTTGTACTTCAGCTAAATCGGCATCCATTCCAGTGCGCGTGGGTTGAAGGCTAGCATCAGTAACCAGAATGTCTCCGACGAAGCTAGGGAGAGGGCCAGGGAGAAGCTGAGAGAGTTGGAAGGTTAGAATGTACTCCGTATAATTACCTAGAAATTTTCAGATTTATTTCGCCGAGATAATTCCTCAAATATGTTGTCCCTGTAATGTTTGGCTGACCAGAGAAAATTTGATTTGTAAAGTGGCGCGTTGTCGGTCAATCGATGTTCGTAATGTTACACTGCTTCATCTAAACCACCAATTCACAGAGGCATTGAGTTTTCCTTCTATTTCATAACTAGCAACGCTATGCCACCAGCCGAGGGGGATGAACAGAGCATCACCTGGATGCAAGTGCACTTCGTCGATAGATCCATCATTCCAAACGGCGTCATGGAGTAATTCTCGTTCCTGACCCTTCATCATCTCTGGGCCTCTGAATCGTGAGTTGCCTTGCGAGCCAAGTTTCCTGCGGACATAGGCGTATATATCATCGCCGCGGTCCGGTGTCATGAGGCGTATTTTCTTGGAGTTGACGAGTTGACAGAATAGGTTCGGATTCGGATCTCGATGTAAGGGTGTGTATGTGGGCTGTAGGCCAAGCCAAATACTTGAATTATATACGTGCCCCTTGCCAGCATGCATGACTATGTCGGGGACGGGCAAGTCACGAGAAAGGGGTACAGGAAGATCATTGAGACTGGACTGAGCGATATAGAGATTTTTGATACAAGAGTTCGGGTCATGTCTGGTTTGGTTGAAATGGCATGCGCTCATAATTAAGTGTAACGGCGAGTCGAATTGCTGAAAAGAGAGCTCAGCTTTATGAGGCCATGATTGTACCATGGCTTCAACTAGCACTGGCATGCAAGAGGCATTGTACTCACTAGACTCTTCCAGCCATGCCAAGAATTCCGCTAATACGTCCTTCGTAGGGATGTTAAATTCATACGGAAATATGGTATTCTCATAAGCATTCATATAATGGGAAAATGCAGGGTGCTGTTTGTTGGCATCATGCCGAAACCATTTTTGTATGGCTGGCAAGTTGTGAAAGGCTTGTAGTATTAGGGGTCGCTGAGGAACCCAAGCAACTTTGCGAAAATAGTCTAGGTCAACCTCGCCAACAATTGTTCCTATCCGATGGTCTGGCTCGCTTTGATTTGTACTTGCCGAAGACGTCGACTGAAACCGAGATACTAGACGCCTTGGGAACCTTGAAATGTAGGTGGATGAGAATTGTTGTGACCTGAGTCCAAATCCGGAGAGCATGTTTGGTTCCGGATTTGGAAGGATATTAATCCACTAGGTAGGGTGTGTAAGAAAATAATTGTTATTTTTAGACATTGAATACGAATTCAAATGAAAGAAATTCTATACTCAAGCCAAACTATATGAGAATTTTGTTGGATAGCAGGGAATGATGATTATGATTTGGGTAAAGATGATTGTTGGTTGAAGCCTGAGAAAATGATGGGAATTAAACCTTTGAATTTTGGATATAATATTTAAGCCACGGAGGAGGGGGTGGCTCGAATTATTGTGTTGTGGCTGATATGGACTGATATCGGAGAATACTGTTTACATAATAATTCCCGTAGATAGGTGATAAGGATTACGTATTCCAACTAAGAAAGTAGAAGGAGCTACGGAACAGGTATAGAAAGAAACGCACGGGCGCACAAAATCGATTATTCCCTGGACTGGGCTAGACTGGGCTGAATCCTAATTTTGGTAGCCTCCTCCCTCCTCTCTTCGATCCCCGCCAAAACTTATCAAAAACACATGCATCACCAAAAACTATTCCCACTATATTTGATTCACCATTGTAGGATAATATCCATCTGCCGAGACCTTATTCTGCAGTAAATAACTAAAATCCTATTACTATTTTTTATTTCGGCCTAACCTTTTCGACCTCGCCTTGACCTTGTTATCCTCCTCCCTCGCGTCATGCAGTTGCCATAGCTCTCTTGTCTCCCCAAACTACGAGCAGCACACGGTCTCGCGGGGGTTTGTCAACGTCACGCTTCGCGATTCTTACCAGTAACCTCACCTAAACAGTTCGAATTTATTAGAATTAAGAAACCCTCTCGGCGGGCGCACATACCTTTCACATCATGTCTTCCTCGTCCGGCACTCCGGAGTCCTGGATCTCCTCCTTCTGCTCTCTCCTAGGTCATGAGTACTTCGCCGAGGTGTCTGAAGAGTTCATCGAGGATGATTTCAACTTAACTGGCCTACAAACCCAAGTCGCAATGTACAAGGAGGCATTGGAGGTATGTTTCCATCCCCTTTTCCTATTCTGCATTTCTTATATTTGTACTAATTTCTATGGGTCATAGATGATACTTGATGTTGAACCTGAAGACGAAGATGAAGAGGACGAGGAAGAGGAGGATGAAGAAGACGAATCAATCGAAGGCGTCGACCGTGTGCGACATGGTGAACGACGTAACCACAGCCGAATAGCCAGCGACCTTTCCGTTATAGAATCATCAGCCGAAATGCTCTACGGTCTCATTCACCAACGTTTCATCTGCTCCCGAGCCGGCATCCAACAAATGTCGGAAAAGTATGAGCTAGGTCACTTTGGTGTTTGCCCTCGAAGCCATTGCGAGCAATCGAGAACTCTCCCTGTGGGCCTCTCCGACATACCAGGCGAAGAGACGGTGAAGCTCTTCTGCCCCTCCTGCCTCGACGTTTACGTACCCCCTAATAGCCGATTCCAAACCGTCGATGGCGCATTTTTTGGTCGGACATTCGGAGCACTTTTCCTCCTAACATTCCCCGAATACGACCTCACTAAGAGGGGTTCCGACGTACTAGCGAATGCGCGCGTGAGTGACGATGATAAGGAGATGCTCAATGGCATGTACACGTGCAACATTGCACCTGGATTGGGCAAGAACAAAATTTACGAGCCGCGTATTTACGGCTTCCGTGTCTCTGAGGTGGCACGATCAGGTCCGCGGATGCAGTGGTTACGAGATAAACCGGAGGATGTCACAGACTTAGATGAAGCACGTATCTACGCGGAAAATAACCCGGATAGCGACGATGACGATGATAGCATGAATCTAAATGGGCGGCCTGTACGGAGATTGCGACCACGAAGGCGACATGGCCAAGGAGGAAGCCCTATGGCGGTGGAGGCGAATGGCGCGGAATCGGAGCTTTAGGGGAGTCAAAAGTCAAGCAGCAGTGACTCCAACAGTGGAGGCGCCCGCGTTGGCTCTTTGGGATGCTCTATTTCCCAACCAGAATAGGGGATAAATCAGCCGCAGTACTTCCCGGATGTTTCGTTAAGTCGAGAAAGTTGCCGCCTTCGGAATTTCTGTACTCTACTCTTTACGGGCTCGTCTTACGTTTGATGGGACGAAACGTTAGACGACTTAGAATAATAAGTTCGCGATACCACACAGGAAAAAGGAATGAATGAACCCTTATACTTCTTTTTTTACCTTTGCATGGCCGGCGTTGGTAAACACATTTTTTGATGTTCCTTTCCAGGCCGGCTTTTCTTCTTTACAGCCTGGTTAGCATTTGGGGGAAAAGAGGACAATAAGGCCGGACGGAAGCATACGAAGGCGGTTTCTTGTGGATATGATGTAACTTGAGCCAACTGACCTTTTTTCTTTTTCAATTCGCACCTGGCATACAATGGCAGTCAAGAGCTCTTAATAGATTGTTGCCAACCGTTAAATACTCTTTGCGCGCTCGTCGCGGTAGGACCGTGAGGCTATTGCTCATTCAAGTCCCATTGCGGTCGCCGAGTATTATTAAAAAAAAAAAAAAAAAAAAAAAAACACTTGCTCTTTCGATCTCGAGAATGATACTTATCCGAGTTGGTGTCGTTTCATTTGGTAACTAGAACATGTAGCTAACTGTGGCGTCCCCCCACGGCGTTACATCCGGCATATATAGTGATTTAAGATACAAAGTCCTTATTTGTTAAAGCCACCGAGCGCTTACACATAATATTCCTTGCCCTACGTTGATTCGAACATATGTATGTAGGGACTGGTATGGTCAAGATCTACAAGTTGGGAAGAAATCTATAAAACACAGGGATGACACGGAGATTAGATGTGCTGCTTTACTATCTCCATGGGTTTTCCCTTTTCTTCCCCCCGCGTAAATGCTTGGTGAGCCATAAAACAGCGGAGTTAACCACGATTCATATCAGCGCGATCGGAACGTCGCTATTAACTGAATAAGAAACAAGATCGCTTAAACGGTTTCCATCCTTCCTTTTCCCCCCTTCTAAATTTTTCTTCCCCTTCCCCCTCGCACATCCCCCAACAAAAATGGGGAACTTCATGAGAAATCATGGACGGATTAATTCAAAATGTCTATATCGTCGTAGTCTAGAATCTCACATACCTAGATTTTCACTTAACGTTACCGTCTAATTTGCCCCGTACCTAGGTATTCGATAATCCAGAATCTCCACTACGTGTCATCGTCATATACACCGGTCCATCTAAAGGTACAAAACCACGTGAATGATGCTCATTCTGATTTATAATGACGGAGAGTCTCTTGTCTCCAAACCCACCACGGCTCTGATAGCCGAAGTTTCCTTCTGTTGCAATTACAACGGGGCATGTGGTCTTCGGTCCTACGCGACGCCCTAAATTACGAGCGTCCTGTTGTGCTAGCTAAATGCACGTTTTCAATTGACATAGGGACGATTCGTTTGGATGAGATCGTGGGTATCGAGTTTCACGGCGTATGTAGGTAGATGTTTCTTTACATATGTGCAAACCTAAGTAGACATATTTTATTCACGTATCTACCGTATCATTGCCTGCCGTTGCAAAGAATGCGTACCTTGGGATCGCCATGTGATTCAAAATTCAAGGGTCCAGTGGTCTATCCGTGCAAACTTATCTGACCAATGAACGAGTTGCCGGTTGTTAAGGCCTCGAGGTTGTGGACCTCTGCCAGGTTCATGGCCTGGGCGTTGAAACGTACGCAAGGCGAAACTTCGAATGAGAGGGTTTCGTAGACGCGTAAATGCTATGTTTTATCTACATCTAAGATATAATTTCGGATAATACTTCCTGTACGGGATAATAATTACCAATAGTTACACTGTTTAGCTTGAAATACTTGATAGTTGTGTAAGTAACTCTTTAACTCTTAACTGTTAGGCTGTGGAGATCGAGTTTCAGGCATCCTTCCGTATAAGGTAACACCCCTATGAACACAGATAAATGATGCGACATTTCCGACATCTACTATCGGGAATCCACCCAGCCTTCATATATTTCCGTGGTGATCCGCATTGTTCAATCCTCCCGACCCCGAGATGAGGTGATTGGAAACCGAATAAAAACCCAGTGGTCGCGTAATATCATTAGTAGAAGGTACTGTACATGTAGTCTGACAGGTCAAGTTTAGCAGCTTGCATACATGTACAACCTGGCATTGATACGGCATAGTAGGCTCATGTATATGCACGTTGTATGTGTAGATGTACTTATATACAATGCAGTGACAAGTTCTGCAAGAGGTGCGGTTCCCGGTGACACGTACCGGGAATTTCAATTCGTCTTGCCCGTCGATGTAGAAGTAGAAGTGTGGATTGTATGGATTGGACCCACGTAAGGTACATGTACCACGGGAAATCCGTTTGCTGTGCAACACAATTTTCTATGAGGCTTTGATATGTATTAGTTGAAGTACGGTGCGGATACCAAAGGCAGAGATAATCCAATAGGAATTGGTTTAGATAGACTAATCTCTATCAGTCACGCCGCGTTCTGTCACAGCGATCCGGGGCTATGGGACCACTTTATAATTTCTCGGCCTTATTCGTCAGAATGATTCAGAGCTAAGGAGTAGGGCCTTGCATTAGGTATCGGAAGGATATGTTGATGTCTTTACCTATTTGGATAGGCATACGCATAATATTTCGTAACATTGTATACGGAGATACTTTTCTAGATATATAGTCCCAAAACATGTAGGCAGTTCAGGACATAGGTATTTACTTGCAAGAGGTATTGGTGGTATCACTTGAACAGACAGATATAAATCCGGCATCCTGGCCCGGCCTAATACAACCCAAATACTATCCCGATATTCAACCGGGCAACAGTCAAACCGGTATGTGGGGGGTATTTGTGGAGTAGGCTATGGCGGTACCAACAGAGTTATGAGCATATCAAGTACAGAGTGGAGCTGTGGAACGTTGGTTCAGTGCTACAATAAACGCAGATTTCGTGTTATAGAGGACAAGAAAGTACCTAACCCAACCTTGTTAGCTTCCATCTTCTTCTCCACCGCTAAAGGAAAAGACCAGGACCAGACCCGACCCAATCCATCCATCCCATCGAAGCATCAAGCTGATGGAACTTTTTTTTTCTTTCTCTACAGTGGAGGTATTTCAATGTTGATTGCTTGATTGATAATCTCTGTCCAATCGCCAAGCCATGGACCGAACAGTCGGCTCAACGTTTAAAGAAGAGCACTCGCCGTCGTGCACTTCATTTCCTATTCAAGAATCCATGACCTTGCCTTTCTTATTGTTTTCCTCTTCACACATATACGAGCAAGTACTGTATATGCATATTTCTTCACCGTACCTTCTGCTTTGACAATTTTCTTACTCTTTCCCCTCACCTTCAACAGGTTCTTGGGGGGACCTTCATAAGCTCGTCATATCCCTCCTGACTTGTTGGTTTGTGTATCTCTTTCACTTGACCGACTTCCTTACCCTCTGCCGATGTATAGATTGATCTGACCTGTAACTCACTAAGCATTGGGTTACTCTAAGCTATACAACTTTCATTGAGGTGTTGGACGCTTATCACGAAGACTTGGCGGTGTGGTTGGTCTTCACAACCCTAGTTTCCCGCGCACTTTATACCAACATATTCCTGCAAGGGAACATTCGACGAGGGCGAGTGGTTGCCCCATTGCGATGTCAGAAAAAGACTTGGAGAGGGACCTTTCAGCGGCTGATGAGTCGCCCCAACAACGCCACCATGCATCTGCTACCTCAACCAAAAGTGCAAGGCCATCTACCAACTCATCAACCATAACGGACCTCGAAGACCAGCGGGAAACCGCAAGGCAAAACAATCCCAATGGTTTTTCACGCATAAATACCGGCGTTTCCATAGAACAGGCCGAGGCCAACTTCGCCGAGCTTCGGAGAGAATTGTCCGGTCTATCTAAGGCAAGCCGCACCCCGAGCCGAAAAGAGACCGATGTCGAAAAAGGGGCACATACGGCTCTCGACAGCCCCGCTTCTGAAGAGTCGTTCGAGGTTTTCGACTTGGAGGTAGCTTTACGTGGTGGTCTTGATGCTGAAAGGCAAGCTGGTATCAAGCCGAAGCACATCGGCGTCTACTGGGATGGGTTGACAGTCAGGGGAATGGGTGGCACTACTAACTTTGTGAAGACATTCCCAGACGCCTTTCGGGATTTCGTGGACTACTGGACTCCGTTGATGAGCATCCTCGGCAAGGGACAAAAAGGTACCGAGGTCACTTTACTGGACAATTTCAAGGGTGTCGTTAATCCTGGTGAGATGGTCCTTGTCCTAGGGAAGCCGGGATCAGGATGCACAACTTTCCTGAAGTCAATCGCGAATCAGCGTTGGGGATATACAGGTGTTACGGGCGAAGTCCTTTACGGACCATTCACGGATAAGGAATTCAAGCAATTTAGAGGCGAGGCCGTTTACAACCAAGAGGACGATATTCATCATGCTACTCTCACTGTCGAACAAACTCTCCGTTTCGCGCTCGACTGCAAAATTCCCAACAAGCTTCCAGCAGGCACAACGAAAAACAAATTCAAGGATGACGTCATTACAATGCTGCTCAGAATGTTCAACATCGAACACACAAGAAGGACCGTGGTAGGCGATGCGCTGATCCGTGGTGTTTCTGGTGGTGAAAGAAAGCGTGTCTCGATCGCCGAAATGATGATTACAAACGCCTGCATTCTATCATGGGATAACAGTACTCGAGGTCTGGACGCAAGTACAGCACTCGACTTCGTTAAGTCGCTTCGAATTCAAACCAACCTATATAAGACATCTACTTTCGTATCTCTGTACCAGGCATCTGAGAATATATACAGGCAATTCGATAAAGTCTTGGTTATTGATGCTGGAAAACAGGTGTATTTTGGACCCACCACCGAAGCCAGAGCCTACTTCGAAGGTCTCGGGTTTCTCCCGCGCCCACGGCAAACGACGCCAGACTACGTCACTGGTTGCACAGATGAATTCGAGCGTGAATACTCCGAAGGGTACTCGCTACGGAATGCCCCACACAGTCCCGAGACACTAGCCGAGGCTTTTGAGAAATCTCGTTTCGCAGAACAATTAAAGAATGATATGACCGAATACAAGACGAGGCTTCAACACGAGCAGGAAGTCGCTCGCCACGATGACTTCATCGCGGCTGTACGCGAAAGTAAGCGGGGTGGTGCTAAACACTCTGTTTACAGTGTTGGATTCCAGCTTCAGGTCTGGGCTCTGATGCAGCGTCAATTCGTGCTCAAACTCCAAGACAAATTGAGCTTGTCGCTCTCCTGGTTTCGAACTGTTATTATTGCGATTGTGCTTGGTACTCTGTACTTGAACCTCCAGCAGACATCTGCTAGCGCATTCAGCAAGGGTGGTCTTCTGTTTATCTCGTTATTATTCAATGCATTCGAAGCTTTTAGCGAATTGGGAGCGACTATGACTGGTCGGCCGATCGTAAACAAGCATAAAGCGTACACTTTCCATCGACCGTCGGCATTGTGGATAGCGCAAATTTTCGTGGATACGGCGTTCTCGGCTACTCGAATATTGGTGTTCTCAATCATAATCTACTTTATGACCAACCTCACAAGGACACCTGGAGCATTCTTCACGTTTTACTTGCTAATTCTAGTAGGCAATATCGGTATGACACTTTATGTCCGTATCATTGCTTGTCTATGCCCGGATTTCGATTATGCCGTCAAATTCGCCGTTGTCACTGTTACGTTATTTATCCTAACCTCGGGATATCTAATTCAGTATCAATCGCAACAAGTCTGGTTGCGGTGGATCTTCTGGATCAATGTGTTGGGTCTATCCTTCTCCAGTCTGATGGCCAATGAATTCAAAGACAACCAATTGCTGTGTACGGATGAGTCACTCATCCCATCTGGACCGTCATATGGCGATATCAATCATCAAGTCTGCACTCTACCTGGATCGACCCCCGGAAACCCTATGGTCAGCGGCGCTGCCTATATCACGCAGGGTTTCTCTTACAGACCTGAAGATTTATGGAGAAATTTCGGAATCATAATAGCGATTATCATATTCTTCCTTGTCATGAATGTCGTGCTGGGTGAATTCGTCAAGTTTGGTATGGGTGGCAATCAGGCGAAGGTCTTTGCAAAACCTAATGCTGAGCGAAAGGCCTTGAACGAAGCACTCAACAATAAGCGATTGGAACGTCAAAAGTCGAAAGAGGAGCAAGGCACTGCTTTGAAAATCGAGTCTAGCAGTATTCTGACATGGGAAGAATTGAATTACGATGTCCCCGTACCTGGTGGTACTCGTCGCCTCCTCAATAATATTTACGGTTACGTCAAACCGGGTGAGTTGACAGCGCTCATGGGTGCTTCCGGGGCTGGAAAGACGACCTTGTTGGATGTTCTAGCGGCGAGGAAGAATATTGGTGTTATCACTGGCGATGTTCTAGTCGATGGTATAAAACCTGGGAAGGAATTCCAGAGATCTACTTCGTATGCGGAACAGCTCGACACCCACGATCCTACCCAAACTGTGCGCGAAGCTTTGCGATTCTCGGCCGATTTACGACAACCCTTTGAGACACCCCAAGAAGAAAAATACGCTTACGTTGAGGAGATTATCACATTGCTAGAAATGGAATATATCGCGGACTGCATTATAGGTACTCCAGAAGCCGGTCTGACGGTCGAGCAGCGAAAGCGTGTGACAATTGGTGTTGAGCTGGCGGCCAAGCCAGAATTACTACTATTCTTGGACGAGCCGACTTCGGGTCTCGACAGTCAGAGCGCATTCAACATTGTTCGATTTTTGAAGAAACTTGCCGCTGCCGGGCAGGCCATTCTGTGCACCATTCACCAACCGAATGCCGCTCTATTTGAACACTTCGACCGACTACTTTTACTTCAAAGAGGAGGCCGTTGCGTATATTTCGGCGACCTTGGAAAAGATGCATGCATCTTGCGAGATTACCTGGCACGGCACGGCGCTGTTGCTGGCCCATCCGATAACGTTGCCGAGTTCATGCTTGAAGCGATCGGTGCTGGAAGTACCCCACGCGTTGGCCGACGAGATTGGGCAGACATCTGGGATGACAGTCCCGAACTTGCTAACGTCAAGGACACTATTTCGCAGTTTAAGGAGTCCCGTAAGCAAGTCGCTGCGCAAGTTAATCCTGCGCTTCAACGAGAGTATGCCTCACCTCCTCTACATCAATTGAAAGTTGTCGTCAATCGCATGAATATTTCATACTGGCGGTCACCTAACTACCTCTTCACTCGTCTTTTCAATCACATCGCTATCGCCGTTCTCACGGGTCTTACGTACTTGCGACTTGACGATTCCCGAGCGTCATTGCAATATAAGGTCTTCGTCATGTTCCAGATTACAGTGTTACCTGGTTTACTCTTACCCCAAGTCGAACTGATGTTTGTGATCAAGCGAGCCATCTTCTTCCGCGAACAATTAAGCAAGATGTACAGCACGATTACATTTACCGCCGGAATGCTCATTGCCGAGTTACCGTACGCGATCCTCTGTTCCGTAGTGTTCTTTTTACCTCTCTATTTCATCCCAGGTTTCCAGTCGGAGTCTTCGCGCGCCGGGTATCAATACTTCATGGTATTGCTTACAGAACTTTTTGCGGTTACGCTTGGCCAAGTTGTTGCCTCAATCTCGCCGTCCGCTTTCGTTGCTAGCCAGTTCGACCCTTTTATCGTCATCACATTGGCCATGTTCTGTGGTGTTGCGATCCCCGCACCGCAGATGCCCGGTTTCTGGCGAGCATGGTTGTACCAATTGGACCCGTTCACTCGCCTCATTGGAGGCACCGTGACTACCGCCCTAGATAATCTAGAGGTAAACTGTCGATCATGGGAACTCAATTCATTCAATGCACCCGATGGTATGACATGCGGAGAGTACATAGCTCCCTTCCTAGAAAAAGGCGCAGGTTACATTGTGGATAATGCGACAAGTGTGTGCCAGTACTGTGCCTACAAGGTAGGAAATCAGTTCTACGAGCCTCTGGGATTCAGCTTCGATTATCGGTGGAGGGATCTTGGGATCTTTGCGGCTTTTGTGGGAAGTAATATTATCATCTTATTCTCTGCGGTAAGTTCACATTTTCAAGTCCTTATAAATCGTTTGACTAAATGCTGATTATTTGTCGCACAGGGCCGATATTTGAACTTTAACCGTCGGTGATGTACGAAAAGAAGGATAATGATGTTACGATGTTATATGAGTCACGCCGCATCTATTGGCACTTATAGCACATACAGCGCTGGGTAATACCCGTAGCTTTAGGTCACTAGTGGGCATGGCGCAGTTTCAGGCACTGGGAATAGATACCAACCCGGTATAGAAGGCAAAACGCCGACTTACATACATAAAATCTATTACTGTGTAGAATAATAGATAAATTATCTACAGATACTAATTAGCTATCTAACATCACAATTTTGTATCTGCCCCTATTTTTACCCCGAAGTGAGGGATAATCACACCAATTCTTTGTGGGTCTAGGTACATTTACTAGCTGTAAGCGGGGTCTTTCTAAGCCCTCCGTTTTCATACTTCATCAACAGCCTCCTATAAAATGCTATCACCCTGAACAAAGCCATATCAATATCTCTTTGATCCACGCAACCATGGCAGATGAAGCGGACCCGGGAATGCACTATGCATACTTCAAAGCAAATGATGGTTGTACCCTAGCTTTCCAGACCTCGCTACCGATCGGGGCAGATGCAAAGCCTGACAATCGCTACGGGAGCTGCATTGTTCTACTCCATGGCTTCAGTGGGTCAAGCGCGTACTTCACCCGCAATTTCCAGGCTTTAAGTCAAAAGCATTGGGTCGTCGCCCCGGATATGCGTGGGCATGGTAATTCAACCCGGACGCGTGGGGGATACCATGTCGCGCGGCTAGCCGCTGATTTAAGGGATTTGGTTACGTACCTGCGCGCTCCTACTTCCCGGCCATCTGAGATAGGAGAGGAGATTAAGTTTGTCCCTGTGGGTTGCTCGATCGGCGCTGCTATTCTGTGGACGTCTGTCGAAATCTACGGTCCTAACGGCGGTGGCGATTTCGCTGGTTTTGTATTTGTGGACCAAGCACCGCTGCAGGATCGGTCACTTTTTGATAAATGGGATGCATCGCGGGCACACACGGGGTGCTACGATGAGGCCACGATGCAGGCTGCCCAGAAAGCTTGGATTGAAGACCCCCCGGGTACGCATATAGATTTGGTGAAGTCCTGTCTCGGGTACCGGCACGCGCCGGATGACAGGGATGATCTATCGGATGAGAGACGGTGGCGCGATGAGGCGTTTTTTACGCGGATTAGTCAGCGTTGCGATGGGGAGTGGTTGGCGAGGTTGCTGGCTGATCATACAAGGTATGATCATCGTGAAGCTATTGAGGAGAATATTCGTGTGCCGACTTTGGTTCTTGCTGGGAGGAGATCCGGGTGTTTTCCGCTTGAGGGGATGCGGGAGACGGTGCGCCGGGTTGAGAGTGGTGCTGGGCCGGGGTTGGCTAGGATGGCGGTTTTTAAGTCTGGACATTGGCTTTTCTTTGAGGAGCCGGAGAGGTTTAACGCTGAGGTTGTGGAGTTTGTGGATAGTTGTGTATCTAGGTAGGTAAGATGATCTAAGGAATCCCTCTGAGTTATGGGGCGCAGCGTCGAGTATGTACCTAGATATGGCCTGGTTTTTTCTTGACTGCAATGACTCCGGATATATTTTGATCGCCTTTGTGCTAAATTCATCACGTATAACATCTAAGTCGGTACTAATATTCAATTTTCTAGCGTGTGTTGAGGTAGATTATATTCAAATTCAATGGAAATAATCTATCTAGGTGTACAAATAATTAGATGGTTAATATCTCCAAAATGCCAAAATATCTTTCGCTTGATGAGATATATCTGTATCTAAGTTACATTGTGTCCATACACTATTTTCATACGTATCTAAATATCCGCAACCATTTCTGATTCATTACACTGTCTCCACGTTCGTCCAACCATATCCTCGATTTGACTTGACTCAATTCTTGATTCCGAGGGCTTCTTCAATACGCTCGAGTCTTTGGTTAGTAAGATTTTCCAGAATTAGTAGCTCGTCGGAAACGTTCTGGATCGCGCTGCGAGTAAGTGGAGGCGGTCTGGGTTTTTTCAGTACTTGAGGATGCTGCTCTTCCAAGTTCTGAAATCGTTTATCCAATTTGGCCAACAGTGCGTTAACCCATTCGAGAATCTCGTGAAATACTGGTCCATGCCCTCCCTCTTTAGCCCCAACTAGGTGTTCCTCATCACGGTTCCAATTAAAATAGCAATTGATGTATGCGTGAACCATTTCATGGACCAATGTGGATAGCTGAGACACCTTACTGAGCCGCATAATCCTCTCATAGTCTCTGTTGAACGGGCCACTCAGTACTATGGTACATTTTGGTGGATATTCCATGTCTGCCAGTGTTATTCCCGAGGTGAGTCCCAGGTCCGGATTCGGCTTTCTTTCGTCGTAATCAAGGTCAAATCTTTCCATCCTAATATCTACCAAGTGGCCGTGGGATGAGTAGAGAAGACCATCTATATAGGAAACGGAATCAGCTTTCAAGCCGTGGGCATTTGGGACGGAGCGAGGAAGGGAAAAAAAGGGGATAAGAAGCGTCAGAGAGCACGTTTAAATACTCACGAAAAAACAAGTCATCTATATCCGCTGATAATGACATTATGTCCATGAGTGTTAGATCCGTCGGTGACATTTCATTATAGAGTTCCATAAATTGCTGACACCTGTTTTTATAAGATTGAGGATTATCTATAACCCACTGTGGTACACTTGTGATCTTAGCTACAAGTTGCTCGCAATTGTGCACGCATGGGCGGAATAGCTCATTTTCAGTAGCCGCTGATATATAATAAGGGCGATACGGGGTTTTGTAAATCAAGCGAGCGTCAACTAATATCTCCTCATCTTCGGGGGGTACGTATGCCATCGTTGGATATCGTGGTCCGTCTATGGGCGTGTTGCGCGGGTAATTGGTCAGGAATAACGTCTAAATTCCGCCAAGTTACTGGTAGAGTGCTTGGGGTTGTTCGTAGTTTTGTGATGAAAAACTTTAGTAGTCTACTTCTGTCTTCACATCGGTTGCGTCTATATGCTCTTTCATCCTAATTTTCTTGACAATGACTAGGCTTTTTCTTTATTCACAACACCATCTTACCCGGGTAGCTATTTTAATTTTATTGTGTATAATAACTACTTTGGGATTACCGGCCTCTTATATTGTTAACATAAGCTAACCACACGGTTCGCAAGCTTGTATTACCGTGGATAAAAACGCAGAAGTCTCTTCCAGAAACCGGCTAAGCCCATGAAAAGGCCTAGTAAGGAGCCCATTTGGTAATAGGTCCTCTTTGATGAGCCCTAAATATAGCGACCCACCACCTCGGATCGGGAAACGTTTGATACTATGTAGATAGGGACGTCCCCTAGCAGTGCGAATGATTACAAAGGGCCGCCAGAAACATTTGCGGAGAATAAAGGCGGCGACGATAGTACATCTACAATAGCATGAAAGCCCTTTATAGATGAAACGCCAATAGGGGTATGCACTAATACCAAATAAGAGGATTCATTAGTGAGAGTGAAATCTTAACGAATCATTTTGGTGTAGCCACGCCGGTCAAGCCTGCGCTCATGGGGAAAAAAAGCGGTGTGAAAATCCTCACATAGCTATCATAATAGTCCTTTTTTTTTAGTAGTTTTATCCCCTATTCTCTACTCTTGAATATTGCGACCCCTTCTCTTCATCATGAGTAGGGGCATTGTTTAGAACGATGGCGTATTTCTTTGAAATCTTCCTCGCGAGTCCTTCTTTGGTCCCGTCTAGGCTGCGTGTTAATGCTGGTTTTAGATCGAGAAACGGCTGAGAAACTTACATTTCAAAATGGTAGCCAACTCTACCAGTACGGGAATCCAGGTAGCTACTGCTAAGACTTGACCGAATGTCCAGGCAGAATTTTGGTTATCATCTCCTGCAGCTCTATCGACGAGGTCCCGATAGTAGTGGAAGGTTGCCACCATCGACCACATCAACAGACAACATATTGCCACATTCAATATCTGTATATATTGGATCGCTTTCCGCCAAAAATTCTTCGTTTTAGGCCATGTTTGATCGTTCCTACCCTTCCCATGGTATCTCAAGTAGATAATGTAGAAAATGGTATTTAGAACCAATAACCCTTGAGCTATGCGAAGTGTCGGCGTAATTCCATAAGATAATAAGTTGATTGGGCTGCAATACTGTAGCCAAACCAATTCGAGCGTGTCTTTCATTTTCGGATCCGTAATTTTGAAAAAGAAGGAGTCAAACAATCCCTCATTAACGATGCCTAAAATGATAGTAAGTGCCCAGAGAGTAATCCGAAGCCAGTGCCGCCGTATACCAGGCGCGGTCGCCTGTAATAACAGTGGAAGTAATGAGGAGAATGTGGACATGTAGATAGAACCGATTGAGGCATAGATCATCCAATGCCCCTTTGCAACTCCATACTCTTGGAAGAAAGCTTGTGACAACCTGAAGCAAGCAGCGGCAAGCATTGAGACGGCAAATATCAACGCCGCATCCAAGAACGTACTCGCAGATGCTTCAAATCCACCTATCAACCAAGCCCTTCTCGATCGTGATGGATAATTTTGTCGGAAAATTCCCGAACCAGATAGCGCAAGAGCACATAAGTATATCGTGACCATTCCAGCAGCTAGATAGTATGTTATTAGCATCTATCCAACATGTTAGCCGAGCATCCCCTGCATGGTACTATTGTCCTTACCCCCCGCCCTGAGACGTCCGGATCACCCTCCCAATTGAGGTTTTTGCAAACGTCGGGCGCGCAATTATATAAAGCGAACCTCTGGAGTTGACTGAGGTCATCTATATTTTCCCGTATGAACCCATCGTACCATAATATCAAAGTCATGTTATCGGGTGGTGTTGTATCGAGAGGTAGGATAGCTCGTAGGAAATTGGTGACGAAATTCGTTGTCATGAACATCTCCTCGTCTTGGAAGGTGTTAACATCGGCTGCCATCCACGCGCCTGCTGCAGCGCATATAGTCGCATTACTCGGGTCGAAGTTGAGCTCTGTGATGGCTGGCGGCTGCCAATCCGTGCTCCACACGACGCGCGACGCGTTGATCGACATGGTTTGGTTAAAGGGTTAGATATCTGCGTAGTATCATAGATCCGCCCTTAGTAGTTGAACCCGAGCCATCGGATAAATACTCCGGCGAGTTTATTTTTCCCAACGAGCGAAGTGGTCGATTTAGAAGTCTACATAATCGACAGTCCTGTCGATGCTAATTTATCATAGCAAGACCCCCCGGATCACTACGTAAGAACCTACTCCCCGCGAGACCTACGTGCATGCTGACAGGGGCAGAAACTTCCTTGATTGGCGAGATACCGGTACAGTATTGTTATTTTTAGAGCTGCACTGTCAGGGCGCGGTTCAGTTCCCGGGTTCAACACACAATTTGGCCCCTCAACTGACTGTGAAGGGTAATGATTTGCACGCCAGCTGAGCCCAAGATCAACTAATTGCGTAGCTGCTGATATTAATATATGTTGTGTAACACCCAGCAGCCGTAATTGGAGGTATATATATACCTAGGTCCTAGGCGTTCCATCTGTTTCTATCATTAACATTTCTTTTCTCCGATCGCATTTAATGGCTTGACTCCGCCACCACAAAAGCGAATTCGTGTTACAATAAATTCATATTTAGAACCGACACTATAAGATGCGCGGCAATAGACGATCGTCAACGAGATCACAAGGCAATTCGAGTCCCCAACGAACCCAAGTACCCGAGTACTTCGCTATACTTCGCTATCCGACATGCTAGAGAGCGAGAATATAACGACTTGACACAACGCGCTTCGCCTGGGTACCATTTTAGAATCTATCTAGATCCAATGGTATCCTTTCGCCCATCCATATAGCCCTTTGCGAATGATTCCGACGGTCGACATCGGCTTTCGTTACTCCGTCCCCGTCCTCATTAGTGTTGGGGTGAATCAGCACAGACAGAGGACCGCGCCATATAGCAAGCCATGCGATAAAAGCGCCAAACTGGGCCGGCGTGAAGAGATTGACTTCGAACATGGCAACGGGATGTGGCCCCACCGGTTTGTCCCAGAAACGATATATTCTTAGTTCAGGAACTGCGCGGTAAGAGTTGTTTAGTTCGTCCCAGAGTCACACCGAGTGGGCGCATTGAAGATTCTGGACAAGGGAAGAGGTAGGTACATACATTCGTATCTGATTCGCTGCCATAGTTCCCTTGCATATTGTGTTTGGCCCTCGTTACTCAGGTTATAGTAGATATGGATATCGCTGTTGAGATATCGTCGCTCTAGTATTAGCCAACTGCAAACATGGGATTCCGCCGTCAAGTAGACACTCACAAGCCCCCGCGACGGCCCTTGTCTAGGGGATCCGGAAACTCGAGATAGGTTTTGCTGAGCGTTTCCGTGACTGGGTTTCTATAGCTCTTCCCATCCTCATGCTTTTCTTCCGGCAACGGCGGGGCGTTCTCGTAGCCCTCCAAGGGTGAGGGGTACTTAAATCCTCCCGACGCATAGACCATCGTGTCGCAATAGCAGGTTTTGAGTATAAATATTTGAAGTATGAAGATAAAAAGTTGACGTTTTTTATCCTTCTAAATATATTAAGGCTAGATTACTATGACATAGCATCTAAGGGAGTCTTATTCTCCAAGTCTAGCCTTACAAATCCACATAGTTACTAACAATGGCGTGCTTGCACCCCACCCGGCATTCGCGTCGAAATCGGAGCGTCCGGATGGGTATAGATCGGCCCCGATATCCCGTGCAATTTATAATAACCCGTACAAACCCCCACTTGTTATACATTTTTATGTTTTGTTCGGGGCCGTAGCTATTATATCGACGGCTACTATAATTAATCTTATATAGGATCATTTGAGAGAAACGGAAGAATAAACGCGACGAATAATTTTACGAGCACTCGCCCTTACTTCGTCAATTAGCTAATCTCATATTAGCTATAGAACACCCACATGTCTCGTCTCTATAGCTTCTCAAAGCTCATGCGTATGATTACGGAGATTTCGGGATCGACATGTGTTCCGGCCACTATTGTTCCGACTTTGATAGGTATTGCGCTGGAGACCCTCGTCCGAGATTAAGAAGTGATCGCTTTTCGTATACTTGATCACTATTTCGCGTGGATCTTGGGGCGCTTCGTCTTATACCCAAGACCTAGATAATGTTGGCTTGTTCAAATTGTTCGATGATTAATCCGGGCTATCCGAGCGCCTGGTATAGAGCCTTGCAGCAGCGTGGAGCTCCTGGCAATACTGGATTATTTTCACAACGGCGGTAAGAAGGGCATCGAATATGTTTCAGCTTTTATAAATGCTGTGTATGTTGCCCTTGGAATCATGCTAGATCTAGGGGGTAATCTAGGTAGAGATGAGAAACGTATGGGACGATATCAGTAGAGTAAGTCACTCACAGAGTGATCGACATGATCAGACTATCAAGATATATGTTGAAATATGCAACTTACCCCTTTGTTTCAGCATAGATGGACCCATCTACGGGTAATCTTTACAAATCCTGGGGTAAAATTCTGGAGTAGCCAGCGAATACCCTCTGGTGGGTGCGTGCTGGGATACTCCGTGTCCAAGTTCCAAGTTGTTTACTATCATTCTCAAGCATAGACACTTAAGGGCGCCCCTTGTAGTGGGCTATGGTCGGGATAAGAAGTTGAAGACGAGTATGTGAACAAGGAGCTCTCGGTTCCTGGCTAATTCGACAAATTAGTTTGGCTTTGGGGGACGTAAAGACACAGTAACAGTATTCAAAGGAGAGTTTCGGGCGTAGAAAGTCTAGAAGACTAATAATTCGCAGAGGACTTGGTGAAGAGTTGAATTTGTCTTCCTCGAGCAACGACTCAGCAAGGAAATCATTCAAATAACGATAAACTATTGTAATATTTCTTACCTCTGGATAGGGGGCAAGCATTGAGGCGAAGCCCCATAGTGCGTTACCAGGTTCGGAGGCTGCCGGATATGGTGCTCGCGCTAGAACATTACATATAACACTCTGAACTATCTATTGCATTTCCAGCACCATGTGACTTCAAAGGAATAACCGTAGAATCTCGGAGATTGTGCGGATGAGCCTCAAGGAATGTGGCGAAGAACGATATAGACTGCTTTGTAGTCCAGATTTAGAACCAAATGGTAGTAGATTAGTTCTCTAGGAATATCGTGAGTTGGATTCGCCATATCGGATCCTGAAGCTTAACGGACACTCTCGCTATTGTAGGCTACTAACTGACTTGAGAGTATCCTGTCTTTCAGACCTACGGATTTTGTGTACGTATGTACATACCTAGGTTGACTTCTTCGTCTCAATACGTTGAAACGTTACCGACACGCTTAACAATCTGGATATTCCCGCTAGAATTGTGATGGGATGATTTATTCGTAGATGAATGTATCAGAAGGAACTAGGATTGTTATGATGACCTTACGGATCGGTAGACGAAGAATAATAGGGCAAATGCGGAAGCTAAAATAATGTGGGCTCTCCTTTTTTTCACGATGGGTAACCTTGGTGACACCGTGAAATTGATGGCGGATACCGACTTTTGGCCTTTCATCGAATTTTGTAAATTACTCCGGCTTCATTGAAACAGGTTTACGATTCGACAATCGCTCATCCGATTGTCGAGATCGTAATTAGTTTAAACAAGGAGTTACTATAGGTGGTATAGTAAGTCAGTCTTCTGCATCCGCGGGTATGCAGCTACACGCAACCTTTTCGGTACATGTAAGACTACACATAAGACCTTGCGCGGGTTAGGTATCACTCGCATTGTAGAATTTGCTGTGATCGTACGATCTAATAGATCTAGCCGAGCATCTGAACATTGGCGTAGAGCCAACGCAAACGGAACCGCGCTCGAGCCTTACTTAATAAGAACGGGGGGACAGTGCCGATTGCTACCGTTTTCCGAAACATAGGGATTGGAGGATTTATTAACCTAATTGTTGAGCGAAGCTTGTGACAGAGTGAAGGTTGAGTTGAGGTCTGGATGTTTCTAAGACATTCATGGTGGGTTGAATACGAGCGATTGAGGGTTATTCGGATTGCCTTAGTCAAATAAAATAACCAATAATCTGTCTATATAGCTAGGTAGTATTGACATGTGTACAGATTCGGATAAGTGGAAGCTATCGTGAATTAAGTGACCGGTGTTAATGGGGAGTGTTTCTGTAGTAGTTTGAAGCCGGTAAGATTGATCGTGGTCGTTGTTGTAGTTGTTATTCCGATAGGCGACGGGAGAAAACGGAGGGGGGAATAAAAAGAATAAGGTACGAAAATACATACATTTATGTACCTTTATACGAAGTACTCAAGTATCTCGTCTACTTAGGTACATCAATTCAGTGAGTGATGGATGCTGCATGTGGGTAAAAGCCACAAGTGCCACAACCTCCAATCGATTTTATGCTTAATGTGGCACAAGAATGACAAGACTTGTCTGTGTCCCGGAGCAAACTCAACGGTTTAAGTGGGGGATCGGCGAGGCTGCGAGATTTGGAGATTTTTGATTAGATAGAGGGATCATCCAATGAAAAGCCAAAGAAATGGAGTTTGTCGAATTACAGTGGGTTGTGGCGCCTAGAATCCATTAACTCGCTCTTTATAAAAGGAGGGAAGCGAAGGTCATACGATATTTTCCAGGTCAGCCTTGCGAATGGTCTGATCTTAGCCCATTTCACCCCACATGACGCGTGATTCTAGGCCTCCCCCCTTGAAGAGATACTTTTTGAGGAGCAAAAGTCAGGCCACCTTGTTGGCGCTCCGATGCACCGATGACTACGCTTTTCGCCTTTTTTTCCAGTCAGGGCTGTAACGAAATTTGCAACCCGGACAAATCCCATAGAGCCGTAGAGCATTCGCTGCGCCCATCAGCCCATAATGTCCAAATCGATGGACGCAATCGACGTTTTCGGTACCCAAAGTACCTTCAGGGGTACATCATTTGCCCGCTTTGCTTGGAATTGTCTTGATTTATCTTATTTTTTTATTGTGTTATTCCCAATCGAGTATAATTTTCTTACATTTTGCTACAGTATCACAAGAATTTACCTACCCAATCCGGTAGGGATTTTTCTCGGAGCATCGTTACAAGACCATACGAGCTACGTTGAAAGTTCAAAGGATGGTTTAAAAAGAAGTATCCGTCTCGATGTGATGCAATGCGATGCCATGCGAAAGCGATGCGAAGCTAAGCTGATGATGGTTACGATGATGCCGCGGCGACGTACCGTGGGACAAAGGAACCGGGACCCTTAACTCCTTAGTATATCGGGATCGCCCTTGGGGTCCATTAGGAGGGTCCCCCGGCTCTTAGGTCCCGGCTTGGATTATTTTTTACGACTTTTTAACATAGTAGGTATCTGAGCGTCTCCGTCGCTCTGCAGCGTCAGGCCATTTACTCTGGATTGTATCGTTGTACCCTTGCATCGTCGGGCGGTCTCGGCCACGGTTCGTGGTATCTAATTCTTATTCTTTAATGGCCGAAATCTCGAATTCCCATTCCTGTTCCATGCTCCATCCCAATCAACTAGATAAACTACCTAACCACCAACCGAACTAGTTAACTCGCCTTTTCTATCGTTCGTTTCCTTCGTCTTCATCGTTTGATCATTTATCAGCATCACCACCATCGTGGCATTATTTTGCGATATTGGTGATATCATATCTTTCCATCCACCATACCTTAGGCTCATCTAGTCTAAGACCCCTACATATCATCTATACTATACACTACCGTATACATTCCACTATACATTATACATTATACTCCTTATCATAGCCGAGTATTAGTGAGTGTGTGTAGAGTGAAGCCACTTTTACCTCCCAGAGCTGCCATACTCAGCAAGCCACACACACCATACCACCCCCCATCACATCCGGACTTACATACTCACATCACGCATACATCCCCGGCCCAAGGTTACCTAACTACGCAACTTGTGTACTACGACGCACAGTAACGGACGTGGCAATTTTTTATCGTCCCCTTCTATAACCTGAATTCCGGATTCTATCATCCATCTTTTTCAGCCGAGCCTGGACTTCGCCGATAGCGCCTACATCACCTTACAAAGGCCTTAGCTTACCGACGACCATCCCGTACCGGGACACATCCCCTCTTATTTTCAGATACCATAGCAATCAAGGCATAGTGTCACCAAATATCTGCTGGTGACCCTTGAATTGTTGTGGGATTCGTCATGGACGCAGGTGTTATGCAGGACATCGACGTTTATCCTGCTGGTAACGACAAGGTATGCTATTGCAAGATCCAGATCGATACCACCTTGCCCGGATCTTAAAGACCCTAACGTTCCCCAGACTTTCGAGACATTCTTCGATCAATCCACAGATTACTCTCAGAATCTATCATCTATCAGCTTCTGGGACGAACTTGACAGGTCTGCCGAATCAAGTGTAGTAAACTCAGTCCCAACATCGGGCTCGCACCAGACACCTAGTACCGCTGCAGACTCACCGGCATCAACTACATCTCAAAACCTTTCCAACATCTCTCACAAGCACAAGCTTGCCAGACAAGACCTACCTAAGAAGCGCCAGTGCTCTGAGATTAGAAAATCCAGATTTGCTGAGGACCCCTCTACCCTCGACTGCTCTGACTATTGGCTTCGCTTCGATAGCGACAACGAGAGCGAACAGATATTTGCCGACACTCGGGAAAGCAAACCCGTAAGTATATAATACCCTTTCTTATCTATCTGCGATATAAGGGGTTGTGCTAATTGCCCGTTGCGAGATAAAGACTAGATCTCCAACTCTAGCTCAACCTCATCCACGATCAAGGATAGTCGGGAGACCCGGCAATAGTTTCAAAGTGGCTTATCCGCCGTCGTCAACTGCCGATCTGATCGACGATAGCGCTCTTGACCACGCGCTGTCGGACGAAGACGACCTCTTCTCTATGGCCCTAGCTGATCAACTCAGCAAGACCGACTCTGCTCCCGTGCCTTCTGACATACCACCTCGAGAAAGACTTTACTCAACCCCTCTCAGCTGGGAGCAACCTCAACCTGGTTTCCGTATGGACTATGTGAACGTGAACCCCCCTTTTAACGACCCAGAGCGTCAAAGACTACTCGCAATTGCTATGGGAACTGGTCAAGTACTACAGCAACAGACTGCCACAAGACAAGCGCCCGGAATGGACTTCAGGTTCGAAATTAACCAAAGCCCGACAACTATGAGCGACAGCAAAAGCAACACACCAGAACCTAGAGTAAAACCCGCCGTTACAAGACCTCAAGCACCCTCGCGTACGAATTCGACCGATGCTATGGAGAAAGCCAAGGAGAAGCCCAGAAATAGCGATCGAGCTGCGCACAATGATATTGAACGAAAATATCGTACCAATCTCAAGGACAAGATCGCTGAACTACGGGACGCTATTCCATCTCTCCGCGCGATACCCGAAGATGGCGATGAGAACGACAACGCAAGCACTTCGCGAACAGCCCCTAAAGTAAGCAAGGTATGTCCAAGTGGAATCTCAATTGGTTGAGGATATACAACTAATAGGTCTAAAGGGCACCGTCTTGACCAAGGCTACGGAGTACATTCACCAACTCGAGAGGAGAAACCGATCAATGGCGCAAAAGAACGAGGAACTTGCTCGTCGACTACACGCTTTCGAACAGTTGGTTGGTGCTGCACCGGCACCAAATTGGGCACCACAGGGATATGGTGCTTCCGTCTTTAACCCTCGCGCCTTTTCGTAGGCAACTTCACACCTTCACTCTCAAATACTTGTCACCAGTCATCAATCACCACTCACCCTTCATACGAATCCTCGAAGATTACGACAACATTAAGCTATTCACAAAAACGATGATCTATAATGACGATACATGAATGCCTTGTTTCAACGATGATACCCAACATTCGCAACCCAACCTGAATAAGTCTGGGCTTGGTTCTCAGAAAGTTTTGCATCATACCACAAAATTATCAGCAACAACATACGAATACAGACATAATCCAGCTGGCTTCTGAGTCACCTTTACCTATTATCACCTTATCTACAACCGTATATATATACCAACTATTGTATAAAAGACAATCGGAGTCTGGTACAATTATGGATGGGTTGCATTTGTTGGGCGTTCTACAAAACGGAGTTATCTAAATTATCTAAGAGGATAAACATCTGGGCATATACAAATGGATTTTTACACTGGGGACAATGTCACTCAGACGGATTTATGGCGTTCATTGGTTTCTGGGGGGTTATAGCCTTTCTGAGGACTGTTAGGTATATTCTACGGTTCATCATTGGGAAATGGGATTTTGTTTTTCTCGTTACTGTTTACTCCAAAAGGATGTATCCAAAGGGAACTCCTGAGATGAGCGGCGAAAATGGCTTTTTGGAATTTACAAATTTTATTACGATGATACCTACCTATCTCTTCTATTCCGCAAGGGACACAGCACTTGCTAAATGAATCCTCCATATTAATAATAGATTCCAGCCAACGGCTGAAACCTTTCTGCGCGCAGACCTTGTTTCTGTATCTCACATCAGATTTGAGTGAATATTTTGAACCCTGCTTCCATCGTATGATTTCCCTTGGCAGTTAGGCGCGCGGGGATTATAGAATTTTGGCTGACGGAAAGGATTGAAACACGATGCTACTCAGTATCCGTATGGTTAATGCGTAAGTGTCTCATCAATCAGCTAATCCGACAACGTTGGGACAAATGTCGGCGGAAAAATTCTCATGAGTGTGGTGTATGAGATTGGGCTCATGAATGGCGGTCGACGAATGTGGCTCCTTTTCGTTAGGCTAAAAGATGGTTCGCTAGTAGGCACGGCGAGGGCGAGCAGGAAATTTATACGGAATTGACACTTTGATCACCAAATTAACTTCGATGCATATTTTAATATCCAATTGTTTGATCGTGCAATAAACTGTACGAATGAGGTACCTTCTAGTACCTAATGTCATCATACTCCTAGACATTTTATTCTATCGAGTAACTCCGTAGAGACTCTCTAGTATGGACCTTATCCGGCAGAAATATTACTCAACTTCAAAGACCCTGATACGCTTTTAACTCCTCAACGCTTCGATATCCTCGACCTCTTTCACAGCTTCTGTAGTCAAGATCAGAGGATTATCATCGCCCACACACACGCTATCCTCAATGCGAATACCCAACCCGCGGAAAGCTTTAGGCCACCTCTCATCATCGGGCACATAAATACCAGGCTCAATAGTGATGCAATGGCCCTCTTTGAGGAGCACATTCCTCGGGTAGCCGGGCACGTCGTGTACATCGAGCCCAACATGGTGTCCTACGTGATGTGGGAATAGTACACTCATCGCGTCCCCACTTACATCGAAACCAAGCCCTTGTAATTGATCCCGCAGCGCGTTCTCCGTGATCTGGTGTAGTTTATCCAGCGTGACATTAGTACTAGCCCGACACAACGACACAGAAGAACGTTGCGCTTTAAGCACCGCCGTATACAAATCCCGCTGCGCCGGCGTAAACCGTCCGGATACCGGCCACGTGCGCGATATATCCGTAATATACGTCCCATACTCACCCCCCGCATCCACAAGTACGAATTCCGAATCATTTAATATCCCATTATTAAGTACGTAGTGTATAAGCAACGCTTTAGGACCTCCTGCTACTACCGGGATATACGCGGAGCCGTCGAGTCCGGAGAGTTGGTATTGGTACTCGAGGAAGGTGGCGAGGTCTTTTTCGTATTTCCAAGGCCGTCGCATGGCTTCTGTTAACGCGCGGCCGGAGGCTTGGCCTGCGCGGCGCATGTTGGATATTTCGGCGGGGGATTTTATGGCGCGGAGGACGTTGATGTGTGGTTTCAAAGGGGATGTTCGGACGTCTGAGACTGCAGTGCGCAGGAGACTGCCGAGTTTTGTTGGTGTGCCGGAGTAGGAGAGTTCGGCGTCTGTGAATATTGTTTTTACACCTTTAAGCGCGTTCGTGAGGAGCAGTTCGACTTTTCCGATGTCTCCTGCTTCATCTGCGTTCCACACATCCCGCGCAGCGTCTACGCCGCTCCAGGGGCCGTTCCATTGCTCGGCTTTGGGGTTCTTCGGGCGGCAGTAGAGATGGAATGTGTAGTCACCGAGTTCGTCGCCGGTGCGTTGGAGGACTGCGAGGGAGTCTGGCTCAGAGAAACCGGTTAGGTAGAGGAAATTCGATTCTTGTCGGAAGGCGTGGAACACAGCGCCTGAGCGGTATTTGAGCGTTGCGGAAGGGAGGAGGACGGCGGAGTTTGGTGGGAGGGAATGGCAGAGGGCTGCGCGGCGTTCGTGATATTCTTGGGCGGAAATACCGGGTGTGAGTTCACCTGGTGCGAGGAGGTGTGGGTGTGTCTCGTGGACTGGTTGGCCGAAGAGGAGGTTGGAGGCGGAAACGGTTGAGTAGGATCGTGTGGGTTTTGAATTACGGGTGAGGAGGCCCTTGTAATGTGGTGACCGTTTTAATGGTATAGAGGATGAGGATGGCGAGGTTGATAAATGTCGTGCTAATTGAGGAGAGCATGGCTTAGTGTAGGAGGTGAGATGTCTCTCGAGGTGCCATAGTGGCAGTTGACGAAGCTTCATATCTGGAGATCCGATTCAACCAATTGCATCACCGAATTGCTTCCCGCATTACCGAAAAGGGTAATGCGCAGTTTATTAAAGTTCAATTATAATTGTTCCTGCACAAGTAGGAAAGTTTAGGAAAGAATTGGTTCCCTCAATGTACCTAGTCTAAGAAGTTATAGGCTGATATTCTGGTGAGCTTATCCCAGTATTTTTGACGTTGTACATCGGAGGATTGAGGGCACCTTCTCATTGCCCAATTGACCGAACTTTATTTTTTCTTTTTGCTGATTGATTACCTAAAATACTGGTGTAGGTGGGGGTAAATAGTGCAATTGGGCGGAATCAGTCAGCGGTTGCTGTGCACCATTGATAGTGGGGGCTGGGAGGTGATGTCAAGCGGTCCGTGCACTAGCTTTGTTGTTGACGGGAAATTGTTAGTGCTAGCGTAGTCTTACCGGGTCACGCCTCAAAAGCTTTAGTTACTGTGATTTTCTATTATTTGCCCACCACCGAGTAAGAAGCTCCCAACCTACCACTCACCTTTCACGCCTTTACACGTCCAGCTTCGGGGTCATTCTCGCGTCTTTTGAGTCACTAAACTCATCTATCACATTAATTATTCTTCAATTGACTTTGGATGTTCCCCCGAAGTCACGTATTTGGTCGTGTCAGCCCTTGAAATTCAGCGTGTTGTGCCACGGTTCGTCGCGTGCCAACTCTGAGGATTCGGAGTGACAAAGGCACCACTTCCTCAAAGCAACTTCAATCCGACAATAGCATCTTTGTCTTCTTGCTGGCCCCGGACCCTATAATACTTCCCGCCGTCACCGATCACGTCACATTGGCATCCCCAAACAACAATTACATTTGTTGATGAACATACACATTTGACCATTAATACCTCTCTTCCCCCCTCTCATCCATTCAACATATGGTAGTTCGGCATTTATATGGCAGCCATATCCTTATCACCGACTCCTGTTCCTCTTTCCAATATGTCTGGTCGACGAATTCCTCTATCATCAAACCAAAATGTGGCCAATTCTCCCATGCGAAGCTCTGCCCTTGCCAAGCACAAACGCCCTTCAGCTCAGGTGCAACGAGAGGAGCAATATGGCCAACCGCCCCCAGCCAAGAGGCAGGTCATTGAGAGTGGTAGTCAACGCCTATTGAAATCTCCCTCGCATCAGCAACGCAGTTCTAGGAGCCAGATTCCTATCCAGACACGCCGTAATGCAAACAGTTACGAGAACAAGTTGGCGAGAGAAAGATCGGGTCAGCATCACCATCACCAGCAACCTGTATCTGCCACTCCCGAGTACACCGAGAAGGACATGCAAGAGATTCTGAATTGGCAAAAGCATCACCGAAACAGGTTCCCCAAGCTACTGTTTTATTTTGACAAGGTCCCCAATGACGCCCACAAGAAATTGACTAAGCAAATCGCCGCTCTGGGTGGTGTAAGTATATCATAATTCGATTCTAGTTTATTTCGGCTGCTAATATTAACCTCGTATAGCACGAAGCGGCCTTTTTCTCTATCGATATTACACACATCATAACCACCCGTCCAATCCCCCTTCCTCTGGACCACCGAGATGAGGAAAGCAATGCCGCCGAGAAGCATGCCGAGGCCATGCATGAAGAGGAACGGGGGCATGATCATGAAGAGGTGAAGACCATTAATCCATCGCTACTAACTCGGCTATCCGAGGCTTCTACAAAACGAAGGGTCCTTGATGGAGATATTCGATCCCGAAAAACGTCGTATACTCAAGTTGAGTCCCTAAACCAGCCGAAGCGCAACACAGACGTCCTCAATCGTGCAAGAGAAATGGGGAAGAAGATCTGGTCGCTAGACAAGTTGCAGCGTATGGTAACTCTACTTCTGGAGACAGATCCTTACGTCAGTGCTGAGATGGCGCGTGGAGCGTGGAAATCGAGAGAGGTCGAACCTCGAACCACGGAGGATCGTAATCTCCTACATCTTCTGCATAACGAACGAGTCAACGGACCGTCCGATCGAGATCCCACCGTCAACGAGAAGGAGTTGCATTATTTTAAGGGCCCGTACATATATGTATACGATATGGAAGAGAAGCAGAAGCCGATTATGGTCAGAGAATATAAAAAGGTGGCCGAGAAAGGAAAGGGCGACTGGCCACAGTTCCGTACTGCTGCACTGGGCCGCTGCCCTTTCGTTGAGGAATATGATCTGAGAGAATCTCGGCCTCCACCTAGACCAAGGACTCAGACGAGGGCTGCCGGCGAGGCTAAACCCATTCTCCAGCCTCCGAAGATGGAGCCGCCGAGACCTGTAACAGGAAAGCGATCATTGGGTGAAATGGAACGAGGTCACTCTCGTGGTTCTAGTGTTGCCTCGATTGAACTGTCCAACCCGCCCAAATTACCTCTTGGGCAAATTACGGAAGGTCGCGTCAATGCATTCACGGGTCGTCCGGCTGGCCGTCTCTTTGGCGGAGAACCCGTTGCGTCCGGCGTACAGCCATCGAATGTAACCTCGGCGATTCGATCACAGATGGTTTCTTCAACTGCCACGACTCCGGGTCTCATTACTGGTTTGAGCAAGGAAGTTCATGGTCTCCAACGTCAGGTCTTGAAGCGCAATAGCACTGCCACCTCCCAGGACATGAGCTCTCGTCGTAATGCTGAAATAGGCGCCCGAGATGAGATGCCGGCAAAGAGTTCTTTTGCAATGCTTAGAACCTCAAGCCGCAAGCTAAACTTTGGTGATGAGAGTACGGCTGAGAAGGCCAAGCTCGCACCACGAGCCGAGAAGCGAGAGGCGGCTCCACCGAAGAAAACTGAACTTAAACCTGGCTATTGTGAAAACTGTGCCGAGAAATATGCTGACTTTGATGAGGTATGTTACGCTTTCCTGATTTAAATCTCCCTTTTGTTCAATTGACTAATGATTCATGTAGCATATCGTCTCCAAGAAGCATCGCAAATTTGCTGATGATGATGAGAACTGGGTCGATCTGGATGATCTACTCTCTCAGCTCGAGCGCAAAGTCAAGCACAAGTATGCCGCCTGGCCCTCATCCCCTTCGGAATGGCTACCACCTTCCGAAGAGCAGGAAAAGATCTTCTAATTCCTTACGGTACCAATCGACTTTCGCAACGGATTTATATCCGTCTTCCATCCCCCACTCGTCCACACGCCACCAAGAACACAGCTTCTTTCAACCGTCCATATTTCTAATTTCTCGTCCATCCTGTCTAAGACATTCGCTGCGCGATTATACCCATTTACGTTGCACACTTCGGCTTTTGAAGTAATACATGCGTGGCTGAAGCGGATCAACATGAGGCGTCTTTCCTAGAAAGGTTGAACGGAAAGGCATAAAACTGCATGGCATGGAGTCCTGGTATTTGATTCTACTTCTCGCATCTGGTCCATCACATTGGTCTCATGCATCGTTGGCGAAAGGTGTTTTATAATTTTCTCTTCTGCTAATTTTTGTTTTGATCCATCTCGGTTGGCTTGGCAGTTGAGGGGCATTCGGTTTGCGTGACTTTTAAGGAGTTAGAGGAAGACCATGGATGGTACTTTCAAGCAACCCGACTCTGATTAATTGACTCGGTTAAGCACGACAGCATTCGACACTAACGAGCGATGGCATAGATATATGTTCGCCACGTCTTGTATGTATGAGTAGTACCCTACGCAAAAAGGAAATATATGCAAATAAGGACTCAAGATCATTGTTCTATAGTATCTTTTACGTGATAGCATTCGATCATGGCTTCTAAATCCCTTTAGATTGCAATTAGAATCCCCAAGATCACTTAATTTTGTACCTAAGTTCAATAGCCCAAGCTTCTTGAGTGTGAACGTCTACAAACTTGTGTGTGTTTTTTGCCGCATCGAGGTGAGCGGCTTACTCATCCCCGGTGTTTACCCCTATTTCCATGTTGAGGACTATCTGCTCGACCAATATCCCCACCAACTTCATAGTCTGAATGCTGTAAATTCGTTCCGTGCTGCTTTGTTAGACTCGCGGCTCCACTCTAGAAATTTGACGATGTGAACTTAGGGTTGTTCAGCAAACGGAGCCAACTAGGACGACACAAATAACGCTAACAAAAATAGAGCGTATATACCAAATTTGAATGGATATTTTTCATCCAACGACATTCTAGAGCAAGCATGATCCGAATTGGTGTAGTGGCTAACATTTGGTGCTCTCATTTCATGGTCTGACAAGAGACCTTGAGTGATCCGCCAAGCCCGGGGTTCGATTCCCCGATTCGGAGTCTTTTTTTTTTCTTTTTTTTTTCTCTCTATCTTCCGCCCACTACCACCCACCCGGTTACCATTACTACTACTTGGGGCTGACTTTGGGGGATATGACGCCCGCAAGAGGATATACTGCCCCATAGGGACGCAGTAGCGTCACCATCGTACCCCTATTCATACTCAATGTCATGCAAGCAACTGTCGTCCATTGTCTGTTCATAGCCGATTAATAGCTGCCGATATCTCGGGACCGAACGGCTCTTAGAAAAGAGCGACGATTATGCTTATTCCCATAGCCGCCGACGGCTTTGGTGGTCGAAGCAACGTGTCATGGTTTCAACGGTACAACCAGATCGATGGACACTGCAAGGTCAGAAAGCCTATACGTAGTTAGCATGAAATCTAACCATGTGTGTTAATAATACATGGGTTAAGTAAGCATTGGAGCTTAATTAACAAATTCGCCGAGACGGGATTGACCAAGGTGAGGGAAATACCGACGTATGTACTGATACGAACTTTGAGATGGGTAGGGAAAAGGTGTACACAGCACGGACATAACGGCGTGCCGAATAATGCAACCATGCCGTACGACTCTGGGTTATCCTGCCAAGGCTGTCTCCGCAGTGGCATTCCTACAGTCATCCCCCGGATGTACGGGGCGTTGTAGTGACGCTAGACATATTCCCTACTAGGACGTGCCGTCCTATTTAGTTAAGCCCACTGGGGCATGCGCCCAAGTACCTAGATAGGGATGAAAATGTATCTCATACCCGCATGTAATGATTGGTCGATGGTTTTTATCGTTAAGTCATGGCTCTGCAATATTACACTAACACTAGCGCCTCATCAACCACATACGTACCTCCTTACCTAGTTAGGCGGGGAGTCTCGAGGCTGCTTCCATCCGAGAGTTCAACATCAGGCAGTACATATTCGCTTCAGACAGTCGTTTAATACGGTATAGAAGATAATAAATTTAGAATGCATAGCTAATTAAGCGTGGTTCCTCGACTTGAACACACGAGCAGTCGAAAACGAAGTTTTTGGAATGTGATATTTCATTAAGTCCGTATAAACCGGGCGGATATGATGGAGTTCGTGCAAGTCATCTCTCCCACATCGTTGCATAATGCGGTTGCACTACAGAATATGAAAGATGGATCAACACAATACCGAAACCGCCTCTTGCCGCATTGCATATCACGCATACACAGGGTTCTGGGCCTGCTTGAGGTGGCGTGCCTACCCATGGGTAGATGCATTGACAGGACCCGTTAACTGTCTTCGAGTGGGTTTCGGTATCCATACCTACTTTAGCATGCCTAGATTATCGTGGTTGATCAGGTGAATGAATACCTAGGTAGGCTGTTGGATGTGATGGACTTTGCATGAACCGTCAGTTGAGGGGCCTGGAAGGATGGGATATATATACCTGCCAGCATCCTACGCCAGAAACGAACAAGAAATCCGAAGCTTATCGCACCTCACATATTCACTTCTTGTCCCTACCATGGAGAATTACCAAGCTACATTAAACAGGCTCGACGCCTTCACTCCCGCCGACTTCAAGGGCCATGAAGTCGAGAGGCTACATCTGCTAGATACCGCACGCAAATTACTCGCTCGTCTGGAAACAATCGAAGAAAGGGTTTATAACCTTACTTTCCATCCGCCTACTCTATACGCGGCGATGAAAACATGCGTAGACCTTGGTATTTGGAGGGGATGGATGGCGGTGGGCGGAGGAGAGAAGTCGCTCAAAGAACTAGCTGAATTAGCTGACAAGGATTGCGATTTGAACTTACTTCGTACTTTTCCCAGGCCATACATCTTTACGAGATATTCATTGACAATTTAAAGGACGCCTTCTTCGCCTTCTTAGCGCTTCGAATATCATCGAGGAGACTGGAGAGGATAGGTATAAGCCAACTCCTCTTTCCCTAGCCTTGGGCGACAAATCTTCTCCTATTCCACTAGCCACCGTTGCCAAAACATATCTCTGGGACCCATCTCTTATCAACCTGCCATTATTCCTTGCTAAAACATCCTACCGCGAGCCCGAAGACGCAAAATACACGAACATCAACGATGGGACGCCAGAAGGGTTGACGTTCTTCGAGAGGAACGAAACCAAGAAAATCTACCAGGATACCTTTAGCGCGTACATGGATATGTGGATAGCTTACCGACTCCCATGGCCTCAGTTCTACGACACGACTGCCCTGCTGAACGGTGCGGATCTATCGGCTGGTCCGCTTATTGTAGATATTGGTGGTCATCATGGTCATGATCTTCTTAGGGTTTTGGATAAACACCCGAATCTGCCTGATGGTTCTCTTGTGATCCAGGATCTTCCGGAAGTTCTTACGGACTCGAAACTTAGCACCCCAAAGATCAAGCTTATGCCGCATAGTTTCTTTGATGTTGAACCTGTCCACGGTAAGATCCCGAAATTTCTCACCTGAATATATAGAATTGGTTCTGACAGATGATGTGCGACAGGGAGCCGAGCGTATTTCTTCCATGGCATATTCCACGATTGGCCCGACGCGACTGCCATCCAAATCCTACGTAATCTCATACCGGCGATGAAGAAAGGATACTCGAAGCTTCTTATCTGCGATGTGGTGCTGCCGCCTACGGGGACGAATATTTACCAGGCGACTATGGATATCAATATGATGGCACATCTCTCCGCGTATGAAAGATCTGAGAGTAGGTGGAGGAAGTTGATTACTGAAGCCGGGTTTAACGTCATTAAGATATGGATGGATGCGCGTAGATACGAGGGTGTGATTGAAGCAGAGTTGGCTTGAATGAAGACATGGGCTTCGTGGGGTGGGGGAATTGAATGATGTGGAAAAGGGGTTGGGTGGTCAGATAAGCATGCTCTCAACAGCGATTTAGTTCAGGGTTTCAACACAGAATAATTAAGATGGAATGACTGGTACAATTGTCCAATCGTAAAATATTGATCGAATATGATGAGATTTACGTGATGTTGTTGATCAGTGTGGCTGTTTGTTCGCTAGGGGCCATTTCCTGAAGTGCCTGGATACATGTATCCGGCTACCCGGCACACGGGTATCAAATGCTTGAATGTGATTGGCTAAATTAGAAAGATGTTGTACAGATATAGAAAGTACCTCATTTCTAAGTTGGGGAAAGGTTGCGGAAGCCTGCATGTGTATTCCCAAGCCACAAACTTTGGAGTTAATTCATTGTGTAATGTGGCTTGTTACCTGCAGCATGTTGCTCCGATCTTGCCCGATTTTCAGATCAAGTGCCTATTACTTTCCCACTATGGATCGCAGCCTCACCAGCTTCAAACCTAAGAACTATTCACCTTGCGATCAAAGCAACTGTGATTCCTCATGCCGAAGGAGCTCAATTATTAACCAAGCAATTTCAAAACGTACCAAGGTGGACTTCAGCTACTCGTTTGAATAATAACCATACAGAATGGAGTTCCCCGACCAGCCATCTCCATCGCCCCCGGATTCCCCAATCGCGGACCGGCCACCATCACCTGAACTTCCACTTACTATGACTGCGTCTGCCGTGCTCACAGCATTACCTCGCGATGCTAGTTCAGCACTTGCTAGCGCAGGCGAGTTCGATCAAGAAAAGATCCTCGTTCGCTTTAGAGCTGTTGGATCTACTCCACAGTTGAAGCGCGAGGTCCGACAAATAAGCGCAACACAAAAATTCGAGGCCGTTGTATCTCACCTGCGCAAGGCTCTACGGCTTAATTCTACCGATGGTCTTTTCCTCTATGTAAACAGTTCATTCGCCCCCGCGCTTGACGAGATCGTCGGCAACTTGCATAGAGTACGTCTTACTTTTGCTCATTTTCTTTTTTGAAAGTACCTTGGTATATTCCTAATTATGAGACGCTAAACCTCCTGTAGTGTTTTAAAGATTCGAATGATCAATTAATCGTGGTTTATTCAATCACACCCGCATTTGGATGAACCGTGTGACGGCCATAAATAGCACTGTCACCTAATTGCTTCCGTCCCAAACGCCTGCTTATGCCAGTTAATCCTGAAAAAGAAAAGCCAGAAATCATTTCCACCCCTGGTATGGGACCCGATTCGAACTAATTGCATCGCGTCATGCCTTTTCTACTTCCCGCCTGAATGCATCCAATTCCTCTTTGGAAATTGGATACGTATGCTCTGGTGCTGGGTATTGTCGTGTTTTCACCTCATCGCGATATGACTCGATGGCCATGAAGCTCTCGGCCCACACATTACCGTACTGTTTCACAAATTTCGGTATGAAGCGACCGGGTGGGAAGTACCCGGACATGTCGACTTGGACGAGTACTTGACCCGAGCATCCATTCCCAGCACCAATTCCGATGGTCGGGACAGAAAGCTTCTTCGTAATGATGGTAGCGACTTCTGCAGGGACGGCTTCTAGTACGGTCGCGAAGCAGCCGGCTTCTTGCACTGCTAGGGCATCTTCGAGAACTCTCATGGCACCCTTGGACGTTTTCCCCTGGACTCTGAACCCACCAAGGGCATTCTGACGTTGAGGCGTGAGTCCTACATGCGCCAAGACAGGTATACCAGCCTTAGTTATCTTCGAAATAGTTGGAGCCATCTCTTTTCCGCCCTCCAGTTTAATACCCTGGACGCGACCATGCTTAACGAATCGGATAGCCGTTTCTAGCGCTTGCTCTGGCGATATTTCGTACGATCCCATTGGAAGATCTCCGACCTAATATTCTATTAGCTATTCACCTTGACATAATTCCGAATGGTCTTACAGTGAAGGCGGCCCGAGTGGCACGTGCGACGGATCGGCAGTGAAGCAGCATGTCCTCGACTGTAACCTCACTAGTGTCTTGCATGCCCAACGCTACCATGGCTAGGCTGTCACCAACGAGAATGATATCCATCCCAGCGGCATCGGCGACATGCGCACTCGGAAAATCATGGGCGGTCATCACGGTGATTGGTTCCCCTTTCTTATGCATTGACTGGAGACTTCCTACCGTCACCTTTTTCCTGGAGGGTTCTGATTGCGCACCCAGGGGCGAATGAGAACTCCATCTTTGTTGTTGTATTTGGAGGTGCTGCAATAGCGATGGCAAGGGTCTAATTGGTGTGAAGGATGCATTTGATTGTATTGTTCGGCATAATGTTGAAGCACGTGATCTCAGCAAATGCGCCATTTGTACTGGTATGTCGCGGAAAATGAACGCGAAATGGGATAAAATGAGTGTAAATTTAGGTGTATTCTTGTTACCACTAATAATTAAGAAGTTTAACAAGGAAGAATGAAACTACGGCCGTAAGACTTAGAATAACTGGTTTTATTCTGTGGTCATGATGGTTTTTGCTGCGTACAATTGAGTCTCATCCAAACTTCTTTTGGTGTTTATCTAAGACCAAGTACCAAATCAGCAAAGTAAGCTTACTGAGGTACTTAGTAGATAAGAGCCGAGGCTTGAGGTTAAACTTCGGATATTGTTTTAGTACTAGCTTCTTTACGCCACATTTATAATAGTCTACAATCAATCTCAAACTTCGGAACTCTTTTCTTTAATTAACAACTTTCATTCTGAAATGACAAAATAAAAATGTAAATGCGCAAATTTAATTCCAGAAACACAGAAAGACATCGCGATCTCCAAGCATGCCTCCACGGAATGAAAAATTAGCAAGCATATTAACAATGTAGAAGGATCTGTAACCCTGGCTGTGGCGCACGTAAGACTAGCCCGCAGTTGATCTGAGCGAGGTGGACGACATTCGGGTTAGAACACCAAGACCCAGACCGGCGCGAACTAGCCCCCCGAACCGTCTACAAAACGCGAGATCGGCATATCGGTAACGCGACGCCCGCCCGATGAAATTGCCGTTTTGGACTTGTGCTACCGGAGACAGGGGTTAATACCCACGGCGAATGCGCCGTTAGTGTTTTTGGAGGTGCGATGGCTGTCCGGAGTATGACTTTCTGGGACTGTTTGCATTTGTGATGGGGGCTTGGCTCGCGTTTAAGGCGGTGGTGGATGGGATACTAGCGAGCTACTGAGCGCGAGGGTCAGGCTCGCGGTTTCCATTAGGATCGTGAGTTTGGAACGACGCCCGCCGAGGGTGGCATGCATTGTTCGTCGTGGAATGCATATGCTAGAGTGAGTCTTGGAAAATGCAATTTTCTTGCATTAGCGGAGTTTGGATATCGTGAGAGCCTGCAGTTCGGCTTGGATCTCGCGCAAGGTTGTCTGATCTCGGCATTGGATGTTACGGTTCGCGCTTGGGTTCGGCTGTTCCATTCGATGAAACGGTGAAGTTCGGGATGCTCGTCGTGTATTGCTAATTCAAGAGGGAAATGGGCATGTCCTGCAAGCAGCAGGCAACCCCCGACCCGCTCGACATCACGATCTGGTCCACGGTATCTACCTATCCGCATTTTAGAGTGCGTCTGTTTGGACTCCTGATCTGTAATTCGATAGGCTCCCCCCTATTTGGTTTGCTACTTGCGGAAGGAGATCGCGAGGCTATTACGTTTAGTCCTTGGATAGATTCCACCGTTCTGTGAGTATGGCCCTTGTACACAGTGGACATGACTAACCTTTCCACCTTGACTGGGACCGACTCGCACCTACGCCGGTTTCAACGCATTCGCCATTTCGAGTACAGCCCCGAACACCGTTAAATCGCGAGGCAATACTCGCTGTATGACGCGTACGAGGTTATTCGCGCCGAGTTCCCACTCGTTCGTGAAACTATTAGTCATGATATCCCCCTACCGCCGTCGTGACATCGACGTCCCGTGGTATCCTATTCAACTAGTATGTTGTGATTCCTAATGCAGATGTTACCCTACTGCGAGATGGCCCGTGCCGGAACTCATCCTATCCGATATAATTTATGCTCATAGTATCTAGGCGCTCTAGCTGCTACTAGGGAACGATCTTTACCATCTTCGCACGTGCATACTTGTCATGCACGGCTCGACGCTGCGAGCAGTCTCATGTCGTCAGGCATCCAGTTTCGCGCAGCTCCTCTCGTAAGGGGTTGAAGTACTACCAAGTACTACTACTTCTGCTCGGTGTTGAAACCCGTCAACTCCTGACGCCAATAAACGCACTTCAGCAGGCTACCATTTCCGCGCTTTGCTCTACGTCTATGAGATAGCCTTTCATAATCTCAACTAACGTCACATTTATTATATGATTAAAATAAGGGGTTCTTTACTAGTATGTATCTTGGTTAGTCCACACGTAGGCCTCTACTGTCACTTTAGGTAACAGAAACTCAAGGTAGCGAAGAATTTCCCTGGCCCAGTGAGAAAAGCTACAGGCTACAGATAGTCAGATATTAGCTAATTGACTTCTGCTAAGCTTCATACTCTATGCGATAGTTGATGACTAGCAGTTTGAGCTTGTCAATGTAGCTCGCCTTCGGAGCTTGAAATGGCATCATTTATATGGGGTTTGTTTGACCAATCCCGTTGAAGAATATTTAGGTGTAAGGGCCAGATAGGAGTTGAGCTTCCCCGCACAACGGCATGCCGATGACTATGGTGATGGTATCCTACTAAACGAACTCTCCATTCAATAGCGTCCCATATTACCTGAAGATTGACTATATTAATCCGAAATATATAGGAATTAAAAGATGTCTCCTTCGCGTGTAGGCGATGTCCTTGAATATGAATATCCCAATGAAACCAAGGAACAATGTATGTACGAGCCTAGAAATAAACGAGTTCCACTTATTGATGTTTTACTTAACAGTAGAATATGCCGACTTAGAAGCGCTGGATATCTCTAAGCTGAACCAACCAGGAGGTAAACAGGAGTTGGCAGAGCAAGTGCTGCGATTTATCAATCAAAATGGTAGGGATCAAGACCTTACATTAAGATCGCATCACTGAACTGCCTCTAGGTTTCTTTTATGTTACTGGACATGGATTTTCCGATGAAGAAGTGAGGCGCCAATATGCGTTATGCGAAGCGTTCTTCGAGCTCTCGCTAGAGGAGAAACTGAAATACATATGCGACACGGCCAAGGGCGACTTCAGGGGGTACAAGCCCCAATCTACGGGGAAGCTAGCTGCGCGCGACAATGACGAACGGTATAACATTCCCAAATTCACACTAGAGCATGAGCGACCGCATCCACAATTGATTAGGGAGCATTGGGACGAGATCAAGGCCTTCTCACTTAAGATCCATAACGACGTCTTGCTCCCATTGCTACGACTGTTTGCCTACGTGCTTGAGATCGACGAGGATTTCCTCGTCGAGCGCCATCGCTACGAGGCGGAAGGTCTCGAGTATCTGCGGTACATGAAATACTATCCACGCTCTGCGGAAGCGGATGCTCAACTCGGGAACATCTGGGCGAAGGGACATACTGACTACAACACGCTGACCTTCCTATTCCACCAACCCGTAGCCGGGCTACAAGTACAGACACCCGAAGGGCAATGGAAATACGTTAGATCACCTAGGGACGCGATTATTGTAAACATCGCCGACGCACTGGAATTCCTAAGCGGCGGGTACTTAAAGAGTACCGTTCACCGCGTCGTCAGACCGCCGGCAGGCCAAGCGGATCGGCCTAGACTTAGCTTGATCTACTTCGCGCGGCCTGAGGCGAATATTATACTGAAACCTATTTCGAGTCCTTTGCTGCAGAGGCTAGGGTTGCAGGCTGATGCGGAACAATTCTCGCATGATGTTACAGCTGAAGGTATGGTATCTATTTTAAGCTTGAATAGGGGTGATGTGTTGCTAACTGGGAAATAGAGTGGGCAAGGGCGCGAATTGCTAAGGATCATAGGTTTCGTACGGGGTTGGTTGATCAGAGGGAGAAGGAGATTATTGCTGGTGTGAATCAAAAGTACTATGATTGAATGGGAGAGAAGAGCTTATCGGAGTCACAAGGCCACATTTTTCTGTCTTCATTATACACCCGCGGAATGTTTCTCTAATTGAGAGTGAATTATCACACCCTTTTAACTGGTCTCCGGTTTTGGTACGGTGGCTACCCGGTGGCTTACAAGTCACAAATCGCCAAGTAGTCCTAATATCAACCAACGTTCACAGGTTAGTATTCGATATGAGCACATGTAGGCGTAAGAAACATTATATTTTGCGCATGAATCGTGTCCACCCCATCAACACACCTTGAGCACCCCTCGACGGCACGGTGGCCTCATGATTACCTGGACTCCTTTCACTGATTCCACATCAAAGAACCAAGAATCCTCCACCAATGCTAATTCCGCTCATTCCACTTCACCAGCTTTGAGATCCTACAATCGATCCCACCAATAGAACCGGCTTGATATCAGTGAAGTTGGGGACGTCACCAAAGACCTCTTTGGCCTCGGAGCTTGCAGCGGCCACCTCCCACTGCTTGTCGTTTTCAAACTCTAGCCATGCTTGAATGACGTACGGCGCGTTAGGGTCAGTGTACTGGGCTACCCTCCATGCCTTGAGGCCGTGTGGGGAGAGTTTGGCCTGGACAAAGGGCATGTGCTTGTTTATGTAGTAGTCCACGTCGAACTTGCCGCCTGTGGGGTACGCTACGGATGCGATTCCAAGTGTCATTGTAAATGTAGTTTATAGCTAGTTGAGAGATAATTGTTGCTGGTATAATAACGAATAGGTGGGGTGAAAATGGTTGAAGCGATTCACAAGCTTATCGATGAATTGTTGATGGTTGTGATGTCTGTACGACAATGAACTGCGGCTTTTTCGAGGTGATAATGACTAGGTTAAATATTACGAGAGAACCAAGGGGAAAAGAAGAGGAGTCGAAATATTTCCCCGGCTAAGAGGTTCTTAGTTAAGCGTACCACTACCCTAGGTAGGTAGGTACCGTATTTGTCGAGAAATGTCCGACCCTCATCGATCGCCAGGTCTCTTAACTCAGCCAAACCCCGCTTTTATGCAACCATACGTCACTAGCGTCCCCGAGATCTCTGTACTAAATTGATGATAATAGCGCTATTCGATACTTAGTTACAATCTGTCTATTAATATCAGCGGCTAATTTAATCTCCTACCCCTATTTCCTTCATACCAACATCTTCTTACTCATATTTGGATTATAAAATCATCTACCTAGCTAATCTACTATGGCTCGAAAACTTCTGCTTACTGCAGAGGCTAGCGATGGAACGGAAGTACACCATTCTCAACTCCGTGTATGTATGCGTGTCTCAATAAGCTGCGCCACCGAGCCTCTCGTGACACTTTAATCGGAAACTATTGGCTCATTCGCTGACAGGATAAGTCAGGGGGCTGCCCTCTCAGTGACATTCCACACAACGAGGGTCACAGTATCATTGATTGTGATTACAGGAATAGCTATTTGATTTTGATATCCTCCCACTTCGGACTTTCACCCATTGCCCTCCCATCCATCATATTGTTGATGTAGCACTCCCCTACTAACTCATAGTAGGTAGCTGTTCCATCAGCTTTCTGATCTTTTGGTCGCAGAACAAGAGGCACGCTGCAGCCGTCCACAATGTAGATCGAATCCCCCTTCTCGGCCATAGCTGGAACCAACCCCAAAGGTCGCTCCGTTTCATGATCCCCATCATAACCCCCATCTGGACATCGATCATAACGTATATCGTGACAATTGTCGCGACCGTCACAGAGGAGTTCCGCGCGAATCAGCTTACGATTCCAGACAACAGCTTGTACGCGACGGAATACCTCAAAATAGGCCGAATTGTCCTTTTCATGGATGAACTCGTTGGTATTGATTCCATAGTGAACACCCCTCTCCACGACAGCAGATTGAATTATCGATGAGTACCCCGGTTCCGGCTCGAGACCTGCACTCGTCCTATCAGCCACTATGGTTCTCCAGAATTCTTCGGGGGGTGGCCTTTTAGAATCTTCCCAATTCACACCACTCAGCCATGAAGCAGGAATGCTCCCATGGACAGCCAAATCCCACATCTCGACTGGTTTGGCTATTTTAAAACCACGCACTACTATTACTTTCGGATTCCCATCCCCCCCATCGCTTCTAATCTTGAAAAACCAATCTTGGTTATTGATAGAGTGCCCAGATGCGGTATAGTATTTTCCTCTGATTACCTAATACCAGGATTAACCCACGGCAAGTAACGGAATGGGGCATAAGGACATACTGGCCCTACAAAAGGGTCCGGATTGTAGCGGACCATCTTACCCCTCGAAGTAGCTCGAAACGGTTTTCGAGTTACATCCAGAATCCAAGACGGCAACTTTATCCCCTCCGGAGCCCACGGTCTGCATAGAATATCTAACGACCTGGATTTCTGCATTGCATGTTTAAGGAAACGTATATAGAGGTCAAGCGTTTCCTCGCCATCATATCGAACTGGAAAATCGGTCGGGCCGGGGTTCGTTTGGCTGTCACAGGATAGGGCATTACGGCGTGGACCGTGAGTGGGTCGAACATCAGAGGCGATACCTAGTACTGCATAGACGATATCTTTGGGCTCCGAAGATTCGAAGATGACAAGAAAGCAGATAAGCTGTTCGAGAGTATATTGCTTGCTCCGACTCTTTCTACTTAGCTGGCGGTGCAGCCCAGAAACATTCTGAACTAGACGAAATGCTGGGAGTGCGGAAATGTTACCCACGTATTCGGAAACATGACGCGTGTCTGGACGCAGTTTGAACAGCCTATCGATCGAACCATCTCGACCGATCCTTTCTAGCAAGGCAATGGCATGGGTGAGCTTCTCCCACTCGAACTGTCTATCCCCGCAATGCACAATTGTGTCTCTCGCCACTCCAACTTCCTAATGTATTGTCAGAATCTTTAGACGAAAACACGCCCTCGCCTAGGTCACTCGATAACTTACCTGCACGATCCAGCGACGACTGAACCAACCTCGTTTCAACAATTTGAACAAGGGCTCCAGATTATGCAGGTTAGCCTTGTTGCGAATCCCTATGTCCACGCTGCCTATATGATTCGCATCATCCAAATTCCAGATAGTATCAATATGTTGAACTGCTATTTTAAGCTCTTCGTCCGTGAAATCGTCTATTATACGGGGATCTACCGTATGTCCTGGTTTCCCAAGCCATACATGGACTCTTCTGGCGCCCTGATAGATCTCCGTCATCCTTGCCACTTGACTAGCTCTTTCTTCGAGGTCATTTTGGTTGATGCAAATGAAGTCGACCCAAAGTTTATTAGGTTGAGCGTTGGGAGGGAGTCGACGGATGCTTTTCAATGCCCACAGTAAGTTTGGCCTCACTAACATTTGATGAAAGTCGTTATTCCCTTCATTTCGAATATTGATCGTGTTTTCACCTGTATAACTTATACTGCCCCATTGCCAAGATAAAGCGTCGTATACTGGCTCTTTATCATTCAGTTTTCTAACGGAAAGTTCGACGTTAACAGCGTCTTCTCCGGGTAGTAGGTGAACGACGCGAATTGACCCTTCTGGTAATTTACTGTATTGGAAGGACATTTCGCGCAAAACCACTGGTGGATGTCTCAAAGGACGTAAACATAGGTAAATAGATTTGATTATGTATAAGATGTAAACAATAATCGGCCCCATGACTACAAGAGTGAAATATAAATAAAAGGGGTTACAGAGCCTCCTGCGAGCAGACTATTGAATAAACCAGCTCAGTATGGAAAACTCGATCGATACTGTGGTAATATTGTGCACGTGCATGCCTCCGATATCATAGACGCCATAAGCGTTTAGCAATTACTTCTGTCCGAATTTGGAAAGAGTTGAGCTGCATATTGTCTTTGTGGCTACAGCCTGCCGCCGTGTTGTGTGATCGAAACATAAAACCTCAAATTTATTTATATCATGAGTGACCAGTGTGCGACCCTTCGGAAATTCTCGGTTCAAACTCTCGATTCAATTTGTGGCTTGCTGGTGATCTGAATGTGCAGTTTAAGATTGGGTATGCATGCGACTCGGTCTTCACGATGTAGCCTGCTTGAAAAACTCCGAGCTGAAAAGCCACCCAAGACGCCACCATCTGAATACCCCTCGAATAAACACGCTACGAGTGGGTACATTAAGATACATACGCGCTTGGGATAGTACATTTACCGAGTGCTCACAAGAGCTTAGGAATTAACAACCAGAGATTTCCATTCACCTTCCGACGTAACCCAGCCAAAGGTCATTTAAACAGCGGAAAAGGGGGCAACTAAGGAGCTCATAACCTTATAAACTTGCCATAGCTGTGTTTACTAGGTTTGGACCGTCTTACAATCAATTCATATTATGCTTAGTTGCTCCGAGTTATGATGATAGGAAAAATTGTTCAATTTACGTACACGAAAAGACTTAGTAAAGAATGCGCGTTGGGCACAAATCACCTTAGTAAGACATGATGTCCAAAAAAGAAAAGGCATGTATTCATCCAATCATACGAACATTTCAATTTAATATTGGAGTGCATCAGATACTACCTAAGGTACCCTAATCTTTTTCTTTTGTTCCCCCCTTCTTCCCTTTTACCAATACATTTCGTCACAAGAGATAGCAGAAGCAAAAAGGGAGAAGATACTCCGATATAGACCTACCTACCCAGGTAGGCACTTAGACAGGTAAAGTAAGCGAGAAATGTTCCTTTTCTTACCCGCTATGATTAGCGGTACGCAGACCCCCCACGGAGAATGTGCATAGCCGTATAATGAATTAACTGCCCATGATTCGTGGTACTTCTACTGTTAGGGTTTTATTGGCTCGGCAGTGCACTTATATTGTCACTTATTAAACATCATAGGGATGTAGGCACAAAATATTTTTCTTTCTTAATCATGTTTTTCTGAACTTGTCGCAGGTAATGATGGTGTTACCAGAAAACACTAAGCGCTCTCAAGCCCCGAATGGAGCCCCGAGGAAGAAGCCAGAGCTTTATTCCGAATCTCAACCCCTTAGTGAAGATACTTGTGCTCGCTGTAGACAAATACCCTGGGACGAATTAGTTACGCCGCCTAGATCGAAGGGTTACAAAATCATAAAGTTACCTGAATCACACGAGCAGCTAAAAACCGCAAGCTGTCGGATATGCCGCCTGTTCGCCAAAATCAAACCGCCTTCTCTCGACGGAAATCGTTCTTGGCTGCGGGCTTGTTCAGCTAGGTTTTTCCAATATAGCAAAGTAAGAAATAGGAAACCAGAGAAGCGCCTGCGCGACAACACTATCCTATATGTATACGCGGGGCTAGGGATGGATCTAGATGACGTGCGAAAGAATAGCGTCCTCGGCGTTAGCAAACCAAATCAACGATACACGTGTGGGATCCAATCTATACAACCGGATAACGTTTCGTTCACACACCTGCGGCAATGTTTAGATTACTGCCGCGCTGAAAAGAACAACCATAGTTGTTCTAAAAGACTATCAGGATCCAAGCCTCCTATAGACTTCCAGGTCATCGATTGTCGCAGCTCGGGTCGGGAACCGGCGGTAATTCCAGCCCCTGCGCCCTGCGCAATGCCGATATGTTGCTCTATCATATGTCTGGGGCGATTCGAAGATTAAATACTCGCAAGTTATCAAGGATGCTATGGTAGTGACGAGAGAAATGGGGGAGCAATACCTTTGGGTTGATCAATACGTGAGTCGAGTTTGTCAAACCTTTCTTGAGCAAACTAATAATTGACTAAAGCTATGATGCGATAGTGTATTGAGCAGGGAAGTGATTCAGACAAGCAACGGCAAATCTCTCAAATGGGTAGTATATATTCCCACGCAGAATTCACAATTATAGCTGCCGCGGGAAAGGACGCTACGTACGGCTTACCTGGAATAAGTAGGCCCCGTCGACAGAAAGGAAAAGAGATCATTACGGGCGTGGCCCTTTTAGAGGGATTTCCTCATACCTTTTACACGATGCAAAGATCCGCCTGGGCAAGCCGCGGCTGGACGTACCAAGAATGCTTTCTATCACCAAGAAGGCTTGTATTTACCGACAACGGAGTGTCCTATCTTTGCAATAGTTTACATTCGATGGAATCTGAGATAATACCATTGGGTTGGATACAAAAGAGTGCGGGCTCCCTCTTCCAAACCTTCATCCCTCCTGGATTCTATCCCGATAGCATGGGCGAAGCTTGCCGACGTCTTGCTGAATATAGCTCGAGGAAGCTGACAAACGGCGACGATGCTCTTAATGCCATTTTAGGCATTCTACAAACAATGGAAAATTCCGTAAAGGGCTTACGGTTTATTTGGGGTAACCCTATTGAGGGCGACAATCTGCTACTCCAATGGCATCATAAGAATCCAGCCAAAAGGCGCCCTCAATTTCCCAGCTGGTCTTACCTTGGCTGGGAGGGCTATTGTGATATTGCCTGTGGCATACCTCGTAGACATGCTCTGCCAGTACCTGATATCAAAGTTGGCGATAGTCAAAAGCCCCATTATACTTTTGACAATGTGCCCTCCCTTTCAATCCAAATGAGTGATCATGGGGAAGATGAACTTCGTTATTTGCACGCTACTGGCCCAATCATTGGTGTGCAGTTGCGGTCTATCCGACGACAGGAGGGTTGTGAAGCAACTCTACATCCCTTCTGCCAAGGGTCCAGTGATGAAATCTATGCTGTGTTTGACGTTTCACCAGACAATCACATACTAGCTAGAATTCATTTTGACCGGAGGAATATTTCGGTCAACTCTATAATCGGTATGCCGCTTGACCTACAAGATTCTACTGGTAATTATAAAAGGGACGCTTGGATCTTGCTCCTAGAAAAGTGCGGGGAAATCTATGAAAGAATCGGTTACGTGTCATGGCATGACAGTTATCCTATGCCCTCAAAAGATGCTAGGCCCTCACAAGATATTCAGCTCTTGAAGAAAATCAACGCGGGGGGGGGGTTATAAACGGTTGTCTCAGCTTAGGGTCTGTTCTGATTATCGTAATACTCTTCTTTGGCTGGAAGGAGCAAGGACAGAGACTGTCATAATTAAATGAAGGAAATATTGGGCATTTTTTGTGAATAGATTTTTTAAGAAGAAATCATTACAGGAAAAGGCGTATATTATACAACCCATTGAAATTAAAAGAATTGATTATTGTTCGTATATACTCACGAACTGTAAAATGTAGACAATCCCATGACGTCACTAGTATTTGCGTCGCCGTGACGAAGATAGCTCCAGCCATGACGTCACACGTCGTCTTGTACGTTACACCTTGACGTAGGCTTCAAGGATATCAAGGTGTCTAAATTAGGATACATCGACGCCTACAAATATTCACCATTGCCAGTAAAGCACACTCAACAGAATCTTGGAAGTCTTTACAATCCAATTATCAACTATCTACTTCAACATCAATACCACCTATCGTCAAAACCCCACTATCACCAAAAACCAACCCAAAACCGCCCACAATGCCCCTGGAAACCAACACCAAATCCAACCAAGACACCGGCGTAACCGGCGCCGCCAAATTCGTCACGAGCACAGTAGGCAACACCGTCGGCGGGGTAGGCCGCACAGCAGGCAACGTAGTCGGAGCCGCGAGCCGTGGTCTCGGCGACACTATCACTAGCGCCACGGGTTCCGCCGGAAAACCCGTGGGCGATGCGCTGGGATCCGTTGGGACGGGAGTGCAGAGCGGAGCGGAGGGCGTTTCGAAGGGTGTTGAGAATGCGGGGCAGTGGAAGCGGTAGATGAATTGCGATGGGATGAATGGATTGATGTACGATGTGATGGAGGGGTTGTATGAATAAAAATTTGGACTGGGATGGGATGCGCATGGTCATCGCGCGACAGATTGACGGGTCGACATCGACATACGATAACGTATAATTCAATGAATATGCTGAAATTTGAAACACCTGTTGTCTATGAGATTAATGACGATCTGACTTTGTTATTGTATGCTGAAATTGTTTCTAGGGTGCGAGCTTCATGGTAATTCGATACCGCAGTAGGTGTGATAGACTAATTTTATAAGAATGACAGGATTCCTAATTTGCAGGTTCAATGGGCACAATTGACACATCTTATTCAAACCAAGCCACTTCCGATCCCGATAAAGATGTAAACTGCTCGTCCATGCAAACATGTGGTGTCTGATCTTCCGAACAGGACATGCAACCTAGACCACCAATTTGTTTTTTGTGTGTCGCTTGCGAACCTGTCTTCCGCCTCCCTTGAGTCTCTAATCGCGACAATTTTGGCGAAGACCTCTTCGACGGAGGCTTCCCGTCAAGGATGTCCTGCAGCAACTCCTTGGACGAACGTTTTCTACCTCCTTCCTCCAGCAGTGGTAGTTCAGCCTAAGTCCGACCAGGAGGAGAAGCTTCACGAATATTCTCCGGAGTTTGGTCCGAAAGTGGCATGAAGCTGTAGCGGCGCAGTTTATCCAGAATATTGTGGTTCGGCTCTGGAATCCGGTTTTCCATTGGCTTTACGCTACTCTTCCGACGATGTGAAGATACGCCGATAGAACAGCCTGTTCTCTTTCCAATTGCCTCGAGCCCCCGGGTCTGCTGAGCGGGCCATTGTAGCGGCGGCTCCTGGAAAGGGAAATCATTTATTGGAACTGGTGTCTGTAGAGGCGATTCCTCTAGTACCTCTAGTGACTGAGGGATATTTGTGCCGCAATGCGCATCGACGCCGCAAGCGTAGAGATCCGATACTGTCTCTCGGTGTTCGGATATGTTAGATTCCCCAAATAGACCTAGGGGAGTTAGCCAGTCGCTGGTAGATGTCCTCGAGGGAAGTTTTGGGAAACATGTCATAGAACCATCGCGTTGGCGAGTGGCTCTGTATCCCATATCCCCCGAGGATTCCCTGGGGCTTACTGGTTCAGATATAGAGCGCCTTGGACTCCTAGGTTCAAGCTCTGGTAGAGGACTTGGCTCCTCAATTGTGGGGTTGAGTCTGGAACTCATTCTTCGAGAACCACTTGGGGATGGAGAATTTGAACTGAATAAAGATAAGCCACGGGTAGACACGTTTCGCGATGCCTCTAATGACCCGACAACACTTGCGTAAGGTTCTCTGATAACCTCCTGTGCTACATTATCCGAAGACCATTCCTAGGTAACTTCAGTAATGCTTTGTCGGGATATGATTGTGGTTCTGTAAGCATCGAGATATTGTTTATGATGGTCAGAGTAACTGGCCATGCTGAAAGAAGGCTTCACGGAGCTGATTGTCGTAGCTGGATCAGCGATACTCGGTGATCCGGGAATGATTGCTTTCACTTTGGGGACAGGTTTTAGTAGTGGTTCCTTGGGCAACAACATTGAAAGGCATCCTGCCGTCGAACCATCTTGGTGGGCACATCGGATACCAGCGATGACAATATCGAGAATTCCTGCAATATCTTGTGTAGTAACTAAATAACTATCCGCTGCTGCCTCGTTAACTTGCGTCTGATTACCTTGGAGAACGCCGCGTTCTGTTCGCAACGTCGGGAATCGTTGATTCTCATTGGCAGTTGGGGCTCTGCTTGCCCTTGATGAGCAATCGTCGTGCCTTCTGCTAGACAGATAGGCGCGAATGTTAGAAACTATCGCATCGGTCCCACGTCTATTCATATTGACCAATCTATCTAATGGGGAGTCAATCGGCGTAAATGATCCTTCCGAACAAGGAGAGTGGTTTCCAGCATAAGCTGGAGTCCAACGATCTGTAGCGATCGGGGATGTAGGAGACGAAACCATGTATTTCACACGGCCCTTGATTCCAGCGTCCTGTTCGTTTGCTATAGGTCGAAGCAACGGAGTGCTATCTGATGTGCCGTGAAATGTCCGATACAGGCGGCGGGCTAATGGCTTCGGACAGAAATGACGATGTTTTGGATTATGGTGATGACGGATCGGGAAAGGGAAGGCCCACTTCGACCTCGATCCACCTGGTGATGTCGGGCTCCGGGTTCCTGGTGAGGATATGGGTGTATAAAGACCGGGTTGGTAGGGAGATGCGGGAGGCTGTGAGGGAGTTATGCGGTGGATCGTATCTTCTTCCAGGTTACGCGATGCCGCAATGAGGCTGACATGTCGGCTAGTAATCCGACTGGATGAAGCACTGTAAAATTGATCATCATCAAGACTGCCGATTGACATGTGATCGATGGTAGGGTCGTGGGCCATTGTCGATGTCTGTTTTGCCTAATTATCGTAGCTAGGTTTCGATACGTAAGAATAGGTCTATGGGGACCATGGTTGTAGGATACTAAAGTGAATATAATTCGAAAGGATGAAATTGAGGTATACAAAATAGGGAGAGTTGAGATTACTATATCCTTGAGCTTTTCCGATGTCTGGAAGCTTTGGAATATTGGGAATCTCTGGAAGAGGAGAAGGAGCAAAGCTGTTAAATGCAGCCCTTGCCTGCCTACCTAGGTACCTAGAATTGAATAACTCCGAGCATGCATCGACACTCATCGATACATACCTAGGTACGTAGCGACTCGGACTTCAAGTCTAGCTAAAATAACATCATAAAATGCAGCAATTGGTTTTTCATTAGTAAGTGTGGTCCGGGGTTTTGTTGGAAATCACCGACAGTGTGGTTCGTGGCCTTGAGTAGGTATTGTAGCCATTGGTAAAATAGACGAATGTGAAAAAAGGAAGAGGTAATAGGTGGTTAAGGCAGTTAGGTAGGTCTCTTGACCTGGCGCAGGCGCTCTAGTTGCTCTAGTTGGTGCGATACTGGCTGTGAAATAGCGTGTTTAGGCGCCTAAGAAATATAAATTGAGTGGGCAGTGACGCCAAAACTGGTGGCGTCTGCGCCCTGAAAGCCTGGGAGTTCACGATGGCTGAATGCCATCTTTTTCGTCGGACTGTAGACAACACAAACTCCTGCTTATAATGCATTTCTAGCTAATTTACCCGATATTCCTCTTGTATTGTTCCGAAGTAATGAGAGTATGTTGGACGGAACTCATAGTATAACAAAGTACGCGTGGGCGGGATGATCCTAACTGTATAAATCAATAGCTACAATTTAGTAGAGACTGATCGTCATCGGAACCTGGACAAGTTCGACCGGATATCTCCATACCCACCGTAACATCACGTATAAAGGAGCCTCACCGGAATTTATTGTAATTGGGTATGTTCAGGTCCGGCAGTTGTTCACTGTTCCGACGTTCCTATCATTGGCACGCAATAGCAAACATCGCGGCATGAACCCGTTCGAGCCCGGACGGTAACACCGATCTTAAATAGGTGATTGGAGGGAATAATACGCATGTAGCCATCTTCTATCACGGCTCGGCGGGAGTGAAGTATGAGCGGAATAAACGACGCCAATCCAATTCTGTAAGGAGGGCACGCGACACCATGAATATGTCTTCGTACACGTAGGTGTGATCCTTCGTATGGCGTCTCGACTCGGCGGTGAGGCAATCAGGCGATCCACTTGGGTGTAAGTGTTGAGAAGTATTGTTGCCCAATCTCAGGGTTTTTGTGTTCCATCACTGGTTCTTGTTATCGACATGGAAAAAAGTATTATTTTTTTCTGCGCAACCCTGCAATGCAAGTCATGCATGTCCCTTACGCATACGTGTATATTAAATGAAGAATTCAAAATATGATTTACCGAACCATTGATGAGATGAAAGTGTATTTGAGGGACGAGCCTTTTCGTGTATGTACGATAGGAAAAAGGAACATTTAAATTGGTATGCCAGATGCAGGTCGAGACTTTAAATCTGAAATAGTAAGGCGGCCAGCGCCGGCTTTTAGTGAGTGTCCGTCCCTTGTCCATTCAGATCTGCCCCACTACTCCACTAATTAGCCACCACTTTAGTGCGAAGTATAGCTGAAAATCAAGCTACAACTTGAAAATTACAGTTGTATCAGCCACCCTCTCGGCAGCGACCGTCTTAAATGACCCAGCCCTTTAAGTGTTAGCCGTCACTATCACCCCACATTGAGTCCGATGACATGGACACCTGCAAGATTTTTGGAAGGCACTTAGGGGATATGACCTAGTAATTATTAGTTCGGGGGACGGCGTCCAAGGAATAATTCGCCTAAAACAGACTTACATATTACACGTATGTAGGCACTAACTTACACGCAACACCGCCCTACGTATTTACAGTTGTATTATTTGTACAGTACTACATATTTATACGCCGAAGTCGCATTTTGTCATAGCTTAATTACTGTACTTGTACCTGGCTAGGCACTGTTAGTTAGGCGGTCTACATCTCAGACACAGCGCATTCGCAGCATTCTCTCCCCAATCTCAATCTTTCCATCTCTCACAATTTTTTTTTTTTACATGAGACGTGTCACACCACTATTGGGATCTTTCTCGTCTATCCCGTGAACGGTCTAGCCCTACACACTGCCGTGCCGCGCGCGGAAGAGAAAAAGGCTGTATTGCTATGTATGTGTGTGTCAGGAGATTGATGTTTAAGCAGGATTCACTTTAAAACATAGTCGTGTCGTGTCGTGTCGTGTCGGTGGCGAGGACGGGGGTATTTCTTTTCTATTTGATTCTTTTACTTCGTCGATATTTATTTCCCCGGGTTGTTTATATCTATCTCTTGCAGTAGCATCGCTTCATCGTACCAAACCTACCAAAGTACATATAAGCATTCATATCCGATCTCATACTCAAAAAAGCAAAAAAGGATAAAGATTAGAGGTTTTTCGTCTTCGACACAATGTGTATTGTTCTGATTACAACGGCACATCCGAAATATGCTCTGATTGCCATCGACAACCGGGATGAATACATTTTAAGACCCACTAGTCGACCACATTGGTGGACACATCAACCCTCAGGCGAAAAGATATTATCAGCACGAGATCTTTACCGTCGCGAACGTGGAACATGGCTAGGACTTACCAAAAGCGGACGATTCGCGGTGCTGACGAATTATCGGGAGTCGAAAGAAGATGACCCGGACCCGGATCACGCAATCGCCGGTGTAAAGAGCCGAGGTAGTATGGTAACAGCATGGCTAGGCTCCCCGTCGGGAATGAGCTTAGACGATTTCGTACACTCCATGCTCGAAGGCCGAGCTGCGAAAGGTGTTGGAGGATTCTCGCTTGTCTGCGGCGATTTTAAACAGAGAACGGAAAAGGGTATTAAACCTCTTGCCATCATTTCCAACCGATGGGACCACGTGGGCGAAGTTCCTTGGATTGGTGGGGAGCGGGGACAAACGTACGGACTTAGCAATGCCGTATACGTAGTACCCGCGACGTGGGACAAGATCAACATCGGAAAGAAGTTGATGAAGGAGGCAATACAAGAGGCAGTCGACCAGGATTTAAATGAAGAGGACCTAACGAATCGACTTTTTAAACTCCTCGATCATGACACGCTACCCCTAGAACCAAAAATGACCTTTCAACAACATATGGATGCTCTTCGACGATCCGTATTTATTCGCAGCTTCGCAGAAGATGATGGTTGGAGAGAAATGGCAAATGCGGCTGATGAAGGCAGAGCGAAGGCAGCATTTGATGAGATTGAGGGTAATAGCGAGCAAGAAGACCACAAGGATGCGCATGGTTATTTCATGAAAGGCGCTTACGGCACGCAAAGACAGACAATTATCCTTCTAGATTGGGAGGGCAATATTACATATAAAGAGCGGGCGTTATGGGATGCTCATGGGAACCCAATTGAAAGAGGAAAAGGGGATGAGACGTTTAAGTTCAAGATAGAAGAAGACTAACGCTGATGCGACATAGAATTAAAATTGTAAAGAATTAGAAGTCCCGTAAGAAATGTTCTACTATTTTTTGGCTTGTTCTCTGATTAGTAGTATCGTGACTATCTGGGTAGCTGGCGCACCTGGACGCTATCGTGACATTCCGTTTATAACCTACGAGTTCATCCACATTGTAGATTGAATTGAATGGCATAGACAGAAGAGACGCATGAAAGTTCGTCCCCTTAATTTCTGTTCATACTAGATATAAATGCTTTATAGATAATAAGAAACTGTATTGAGTTCGCACACGCTCATGCTCGCCGCCGTACCACCCTTGATGCCTTCTGTGAAATCTTGCCGTCGCCTTCGTGTAGACAACTATCGTGAGATATCCTATTACTACCTAGGTGCGCAGACCCTTATATTCCTAGCGATACTGTCTAAGTAATATCTTGAGTGACTTGCATGTGGGGATCTATATAGTGAGTTGAAGGCTGCCGGCCCAAACCCTAGCAAAGGGAAGCGTCACTCGACCAACGCTCCTTAATTGTAGTCAAGGAAGGAATCACAATGACCTTGTAGGCCACCTACGACACGCATTAAAGAAGTAGTGCCGGGGTATCCTCAATGTATAGAAGCTGCGGCCACCAGTAGAAGTTATTCTCGTCCATCGCATCGTCTTTGCCGAGACGATTATGCGGAGCCCCTGAGCAAAAAACATCGTGACCCGCGTCAAAACAACCAGATTAGTCCAACCACACGCTCTCCTGCTGTTTACTGTTTCTTTCTACTTCCACAGCTCTGTTCTCCGCTGTTTTCCCTGCTCTTTTCTCTTTTATTCCCAACACAATTCACCTAGTCCTGTATTTCTTCTTCAAGCACTCATGGCTGGTCAGGATCGTCAAGACCGCCAGAGACACGAACAGGACCAAGAAACATTATTTTCGAGTCCCAAATCTACTTTGCAAGAGCTCGCAAGTATCCTCATTTTTCTCCTTCAATTCAATTGTCGTTCTCTTATTTCCCTTGGTCGCTGCTACGTCGAGGCAGTCTGTGGCTTGTTCAAGGCAACCATACAATTGATTCTCGTCCTTGTTACTTGCGACCTCCTTCTCCTTAGTAAGGTGGCCAAGATCATTGCTAAATCATGGCTTCTTCCTCTAAAGAGCCTCTTCTTCCAAAAGGAGACCAAGAAGGAAGAGAGTCGCCTGGAGAAGATGGATCCGGCTATCCGACGCCTACTCCTGACCGACCGCATCGCAGCGAGGGGCGAAGAGAAGCCCAGCTATTACGAACACCTAGGTTGGCAAAAGGAATCGAGCTTGCCAAACAGTCTGGACGAATGGCTCGAGATAAAATTGCAGGAACCGGACGCCTAATTGGAGGCAGCAATCTGCCGGTTAGTGCGAGTACTTCCGCACTTGGACGTGGACGTGGACGCGGCGGGTACACACAAATTGGATCGCCGGTTCTTCAGGACACGACTTTTGACTTGTCGAAAACTCGCGACATTAATCCGCAACCTTCTTCTGTCTCTGATTCAGCAAGAAATTTGTCGGCGGATAATACTAGTATTCAACCCCCGACGAGCCAGCCCACCACGCAGTCGTCAGTTACCGCAACAACCAACGCACCAGCCGTCGCAACAGGTAGTGGCAGATTTCCTACGCGTCGAATTCCAAGTGTTACTGGAATTGGCCCATTAACAAGCCATCCCACTACAGCATTTACTCCTGCAGCTGCTTCTGGATCCCGGGGCGAGTTCAACAGAAATGCACCTGGACCTCTCCGACCTTCCCAAACCTCTGGTAACTTGAGCTCGACCGCGCACATGCAATCCAACGCGAGCGAGAAAAAACGGGACTCTTTTATTCCAATTCCAAAGTCTTCCACAGTTTCCAGTTTCGCGAGTGCTGCTCCCATTAACCCCACCGCACTCGCTCGTTTCAGAGAGGAAAACATTCCACCTAGTGATAATCCCACAACCAGCATCAGTGCACGACACAGAGACAGCCTAAGATTACCCTCTACTTCACAAGTCCCTCGTCGTAATTTTCCACAATCGAAGACCATGGCGTTTCCCAGTCTACCCCCCACCGCTGAGCACCCCGCGGACGAGAATTCCTCGAACAACAACGGCAAAGGCAAAGGCAAATCCATCCAAAACGAGGAGCCGCAGCCACAACAACCTGCGCAACAACACCAATCGCAGACTTCGCAGCCTACTACCTCTTCCAACACCCAGAAGACCCAACTACCCGCGCCTAAGCCGCAATCCAAGAAGCCCAGCGGTCTCCCCAAGGCCTTTTCTAACTTGACATCTTCATTCTCTCTCGCCAACTTCGGTCGCAGCGAGAAGCGCAACGCCTCAGAGAAATCAATGGCATCCTCATCTAAGCAAGGCGCACCTCCCAAGCAAAGCGGTAATAATTACACCTCCACCCCCACCACCCCGATGTCCCACGGCCCCTCAATCGCAGGCCCTTCCGGCACCAAACCTACAATCCGTCGCGTCACGCAAGACACACCCCCTTCCGCTGCTTCTAACGCCGCCATCACAGCAATGGGCACTCACACCAGTCCCACGCCCGCCTCCGGTTCCGCCTCCGGTAGTAACAACCTCCCGTACCAGCGCAACCCGCGTCTAGTCTACGAAGCGAAGTCCTTCGAGTATTGGTCGGGCCGCTTCATATCCCTACAAGACCAGTACAAGAACGAGATGCTCACGCACGAGAACCTAAACGTCATCGTCGATGCGCAAATGGGACGCACACCTGCCCCTACTTCTACACCCGCAAGTGGTTCCTCGGCTCCTGCTTCTACCAACACATCTCGCGCCGGCCCCTCGCCTCTTCCCGCGGGTCGTACCATGGCGCCTCTGCCTCCTTTACCTGCCGAGGCATCTACTTCTGCTTCGCGACACCAGCATGGTCGCGCCACCGCTTCACCTTCCATCGGCGCCCAGCGACGCGTCCAAGCTGCTGAACTAACTAACGAGGAAGCGCGCACCCGCCGCGTATTCATCAAGCTTGAAGCGTGCTGCGTCGGCCCTGAAGCCCTGAACAGTCTGCAGGCCTGGCAGCAAGCGTACGCGCGTAAGGTGGACCAGGCTGGTTTCCTGCCCCCGGGCGGTACCTTGGGGAGTGGTATGCGTAACACTCACACACATCCTTACACGAACGGCGAGAGTTCCGCTGGTCCCAGCACTGGTTCTGGTACTCAGGCTAAGGCTTCGCCCAAGGAGAAGGGTAGCAAGAAGGGCGATAAAGACAAGGGAAAGTCAAGCGCCAGTGGTAGTGGAAGCGGACGTGGAAGTCGCTGGGTTAACCGTATTTTCAGCGGAAACAAGGATAAGGATAAGAAGGGCAAGGGTGGTTTCGCGAAGAACTAAGGAGTGCGATTTGAATCGCGCAATGTGGTGTGGGGTGGGCAGAGATTTAGGGAGGAGAGGAGACGAGTGATGAACCTCACTATCTCACCACTTCTACTGGCGCACTTACGACATGATATGCCGGAACGAATGAAACGACTGAAAAGACTGGAACGACTATACACTTGCATGAGTTTTGAACTCGCACATCACGAATTCGCACGAGTTGTTTTTGCTTTTCAGAATCACACCGATGAACGAGGATACGCATTGATTTCTTTTTTCCATTTCGACAGGCGTCAACTGGATTAGTCTCGACTTTTTCAGGTTGTTTTTAAGGACCCCATTCTTCAGCGATTGGCTTTGACCTTTTGGTCTAAACCACGACACACCAAACCACACTTATGATGTTGGTTGGAAGCATGGAATAGGGAGTTCAGGAACGAGTTTCTTTCGGTTGTTTGCTTTGGCGTTTGCGGATGCTGCATTAATGATACCCTTTTCGCTGCATTATTAGACGAAAAACTTGGTACGGGGAGGAGGATAAGAGAGATGGTCACAAGTCTACCTGGAGGCATTAGCCATGTATACGCGCAAGGTATGACGGGAGAAACACAAACCACTATGTACCAAATTTGCAGACGATGAGGAAAACTGGCCCATATGTTGCCGTTAATAAATTCTGCTCATGATCATTCATTCAGTCCCATCAATTAGAAAGTGACTCGGCTTACGTGTAAAACCATCTGATTCCTGAAGACATTTGTAATCGTTAAAACGCAAAACTTTTTAATTTTACCTATTGTGAGCCTGTGGAAGCCCTGAGGCATATAGAGACGAAGCTTTTCTATTCATGCCGTAAACCATATGCTCCTATACCTGCCTGGTCCTCATGCTCGCCTATAGATCCCAAAACTCCTAACTGTAATGATGTGAATGCGAAATCAAAGATACCAGGGCAAAAAACACGGGAAATATAGGCTGGTAGGATAGCGACGCAAACGAATCTATCACTTCGCTTCACTAGCCTCATTAGCCTTGCGACGAGACTTCATGAAATCTTTAATATGTTCCACCTTGGTAGCGAAAAAGATACCTTTCTTATCGTTTCGCCAGGCGCAGACACCAATATTGTCAGCAAAGTCAGCGACAGCCTTATACTCCTTATATTCATCGAATTCCTTGAATAGGTAACCGTCACGAGTGGAAATACGCTCGGTATCAAGCTGCCACAGACGAATCTGGTCGATGACTACGGGAGGTAAGACAGGCTTATTGGATGCAGCGGCGTGGCGATACATCTGTTCATCGGCGTGGGTTGATAGGTATGATACGATTTGATCTGCTGTGATGCCGTGGTCTACAGCCTTCTTGATCGACTTGCGTGTTAAGTGGCCAGACACCATGCCCTTAAAACGAAACTTAAGGTCGGAAAAGAGCGCTAGCACTGCGATTTGTAGCGGGGAGTGCACGTATGCGTACATTCGGAAGTTGGTCTCGAGAATGACAGTACACTTGTCCTGGTCTTCGTTATTCGCACCGGTCGCTGCAGAAAATCCTGCGCTGACACTTCGGAGGGCTGTCTCGTTGCTAGTAAGGGTTGTTGCGAGTCGGGTAGGGAAGAATTGGTGGGTATTATGTTGAGGTATGTATATGAGACCGAAGTCGATTAGGTTGGGTAGCATATTGCGGCGATTCTCCGTCAAAGCGTCGGTGCTGTAAGCGCGTCCAAATTCGAGGGAAGCTAGTAGGAAGAAAAATGATAGCATATCTACGCTATCCATCTCTGACCTACTTCCACTGGCGTTGGCCGCGTCGATGGCCTGGAGCCAGAGGAGTAACAAGGCCCAAACTTGGGCATTGGCCTCTTGTAATAGGAACGAAAACCCGATATGAGTGATCTTAAGCTCTCCATGGCTACGCTCGACTAGATGACCGGCCGTGAGAAGTTCCTTTACCGACTGCTTAGGACCGCTAGAACTACCTCCCATACTGGTTAGGCCGGTGGCCGAAACAACGTAGTGTAGAATATCGTCCCATTTCTTCTTTGCGTATTTATCTAGGAATGCGTGATCGACCTCGTTAGGGATAGGATGTGTGGATGGTACGCCGAAAGAATTATGGTCGCCTCCGCCTTCCAAGGCAAGTCGTAAGCTATTCTTGAAGTTGACTGTGAGAGTAAGGGATTGAGGTTGGATTATATGTAGAGATCGGAGGATAGCGACGGCCTGATCCTTTTCGCGAGTCGCAGTGGGTTTGACCCATAGTTCGAGGTCGGACATTTGGAAGGGCGTGGGGGAGTAGAGGATGGCCATAACAATGGTCTTTGCTGTTCATCAGGGTAAGCAGTTGGTCGTGTAACGCAGCAGGCTTCCGCGCTTAAAGGAAGAAGGGCTCTTACCCATATGTGGAAGCATGCGACGAAAGATGGCGAACGCGGTAGAGGGCTGCAGGTAGAGTTTCCTATATGTCGTCCCTGGCAGCTGCTCCAGGTATTGGGAGAGCGAGCTCGTGCCGCCGACCGACATTTTGAAGTGATGTCGAGTCAAACGAAGTCGGATCTATTCGAGAAGAAGCTATCATGGTATGGCGAACGGGTAGATGTAAATTTCATGGAGCGCTATTCGCGCACGATTTATGTTGTTGGTCGGGATCTTATCGATTATAGGTTTGATTATAGCTTGCGATACGTTTCGTGAGAGCGTAAATATTTTGGTAGAATAGAAGAAACAAAGGTTAAATGAATTTAATTGAATGAATTAAAGCACGAGTCGTTATCGCAATCGGCGAAGCTCAAAGTTTAAGATTTCTGCCTATGCGCAGTGCCAAGACAGTTTTAGTTGTATTAGCATAAATGCACCTAAATAACTGATTGTCAATAGCGTATAATTACTCTTTATCGGGAGCAAACAGAATGTTAGAAGTTGGAAGTTGGAAATTCTAGAGATCTTGATTGCTAAGTAATCATAGACGACAATCCGGCCAAATTTGCTACATGAAAGCTACGGGTTTGGCCAAGATATCCCGAGGGTTTCACTACATATATACGAATTATACCCACTATATGATGTAGCTCTCATGGAGGAACCTCATTAACTCGTAGTGCAGTAACCTTACGATTACCTCGAATTCGAAACTTCTTCTTTTATCTGTATGTTTATATTCTTTATTCGTATATATAATCGTTTTCTTTTCGTATGTATTGATTCCATGATTGTTCATAACCAAGGCCAAGTGAGAGGTGATATATCAACAAACCCCCAACCCCTTAATTTTCATACGCCACCGACGTAATAATGCAGAAAATACACTCGCTTCCATTCAAGACGTGTTCAAATCGCTCATCTCATAACTCCTGTCGCAGGTTCCCTTCCAAAAGCATCAACTCACTGCAGCCACCATACCCGTGCACGTCTCCCACATATCCCCCAACTTGTCGATGCAAGATGGCCTCCACCGGGGACCATCGCCGAAGCATATCGAGTTACGCGCCGTGATTTGCATCAACTGTCGCATACATACAACATGCGCCTCATCGGCAGCTTGTCCCTTCAGCGCAGCCTCGAGAAGAGAGTAGTCGTCGCGGAAGCGTTCCCGCAGCCTCACCTCGATGTCGAATGGAGATAGGAAGTCGTCCTTGTGCAAACCGATCTTGCTCAGTTCTACTGCCAGCATCTTCTTCATCTCGATAGGTGCCGCTGGGTTTAAGAAGTACTATGCTTTCTGTTAGACACTATACCCATGACTACTCCTGGTACAGAAACGCTATGGTGGAAGGGGGGAGGGTCTATGTACCTTTACCTCATCCCAGTGCTCGGCACTCATGAGGTGGAAGTAACCGTACCGCCGGAAGGAGAGACGTGCATGCATCAAGTACACTAAAGTACCTTCGAGTTAGTAACCTCGGGCTTTTAACACATTCGAAAGTCCGTCGGGAGTGACGATCCGAGACTAGGTGGCTTGGGAAACGGTACGTACTTATGCGAGGCAGGGCTATACGCTTCTGTGAGTGGACGAAGATGTCCGAGACAATATCTGCAGCGGCCGGTGGGGGCGCCGAGGAATTGACGAAGGCGCGGAGGGCTTGGAAGCCGAAGGCTAGCGATGTCCAGTATATCTGGCCGGCTAGTGTGTATGCCCCACGGCCCATGTAGGGCACGATATCCGCGGGAGGGACTGAAACGTGGATGGCCCTGTCGGGTTCAAAGCAAGTCGTCAAAGCCCCCATGGGATTAAAGGCTTCTGTATCGTATGCTGGGTTTGACGCACATACGATTGTGTCATTGCCGACGGTGCTATTTTCGAATGTTTCCAATTCAGCAGGCGTTATGAACGTTTCTGTGTTACCAGCAGCAATGGGGTACGACGGCTGCGACCAGTCGTCAACCGGTTCGCTTGCGACATAAGAAGACGCTAGCAACTCGAACATGTCGTCATCGGGGGATGATACGGGGGCTGCATCGTCGTTAGAGGTACTACTTGACCATCCTGAATTATCCGATCTCGTGACCGCCGGGGCGGATGGCCGTTTCTCGAGTTCGACGATCGGAAGGCCAGCTACCCTCCGAGCATTCGAAATAGCCGAATGCAAGGCTGTGTCACCCCGTCGGGTAGCATCACTGATGGTACCTATGGCCTCGCGTAACCGTTCGTTCTCGCCCTCTAATTTTCGGATCGTGTCGATCTGCCTCTGTCTGAACGCTCGTTGGGCAAGTTTGCCTCTTTCCCGGCGGGCCTACGACGGAATAGTTGGCATTAGGCCGAATCGATACATATGAAATTCGGTTTAGGTATGGTCTACATAGGAACCGTGCGGGTTAACCTTACCGAGACATCATCCGGAACACCTCCCGACTTCAAAACCTTCTCTGATCTCTTCCCCACCATTGCCCCTACCTGCCCTACTGAGGTGTACTTAGACTGTAGTAACTGATTGATGTATGTATTAGTGATCGGATCGCGTCTCTTCCCTCTGATTAGGAATATTGTTCACAATTTGCTCCTACAGGGTTGTCTCTCCGATAGGTTCGCTTGGTACAAGACTGAGTCCCTAGGAATTTATTACGGGGTTGAGTCCCAGATTTGTCATCCTATCAGTAAAATGTTTCTATAAATAGGTACATATAGTAAGAGAATTTATTGTGTGCTGAGAAATTACCTCGCTGACATCAGTTATTATGCCACTTTCTCATAATATTCAATGCTTAGTCGATATTCCTTATTAATATTGACGATTATCTCTTATGAGTCGCCTTCTTTTTCAACATTGTAACCCTGCGAAAGTTATATAGACATTCCATAATTGTTAACACAACTCAAAAAGACTCAACAGGCGCGCTACTACTTTCGCTTTCGCCTAGCCCCACCTGGGTCTAGGTGGTAGGCAAGTACTGTTCAATTGCGTAGCTTCAATACGTCTCTACGAAACGGTTTAGATAACCATCTCTATTCTAAAGATGGCAACCTAATCATTGCTAAGTAGACTCTAAATTTTTATAAATTCTTCGGACTACCTTCGAATGTTCCTCGCTTCTTATCATGGCTCTCATTATTTTTGCTGAATTTGTTTTACTCCGCACATTATCCAGCGATCTCTGTATTACAACAAAGCGTTAATAACATCGTGACCAATTAAACTCGATCGGGATTGGACAGAGATAATTGATATATCATATCAGAAGCGTTTAAAGCAGCGAGTGGCGTTTTAGAGATTTTGCCTGTAGTACAAGGATTGGTTTGACCCGATCATTTAAAGAGCAAGGGAACTAACTCGATGGCAGCTAGCATGAGACTATCTACTATCCATTCATATCTTTCTATTACGCCAGTTGAGCCATTGTCATTCCATGCGAGGGCTCGGGAATCGGGATCTCCATTATGGCATTCGGGAAGAGCAAGAAATAGCTATCAAGGACTGCCAATAGTTAAATGGATTTACCTGCCAAGCTAGAGGATGAAGGATCTTGGATACCCGATTCACGATGCAGAAAACCGGTATCGGACTATCGAAGCCTCCGATGAAGTTATCTCGCTTTCCTTTGGGTGCGGCGCGTTTAATAACTTATTCAGGACGATATTACTAAGAAGCTAATCGTCGACCGTCCCATACCAATTCCGGGAACTATACGCGGCTACCTACCTAGTTACCTAAGTCATCTCTCTTCCCCCGCACGGTTGGTTGGCTCTCCCGCATGAAGAGAGGGGCACACCGAGATCTTCCTATCATGGCCCTACCTACCAGGTCTACTTATCAGTTGGTAAGGAGGGGGCCTAGAGCTTCGATACCGGGATCTTCCTGTTGTTTGACTAGACGACAAGTGGAGTTCCTTATCGGGATCGTGTTAGGAGAATCCTATTGCTAATTGGTGCATGATACCTCATACTCCGCGTGTCAGCGCGTCATTCGCATCTTGATTATCAGAATCGGGTATCTAGGCGCCCTTTTGGAATGATAGAGATGGATGTACCCCATGATTGTTTGTAGGTCTACTTAAGTTCTCGTCATCGCCGCAAATGGCTATCGACTGTATTATCTTACTACCATATTTCCTTATATCCTAATCAAAATGGGTTCCATTACTTCCGATCCGGTCCCGCATCCCTTTGACCCGCTAGATCAAGATGAGATTGCTTCAGCTATCAATATCGTCAAGAAGGCTCATGGAGAACTCTACTTCAATGTCGTCTCACTACACGAGCCGCGCAAGGCGGAGATGACGAAATGGTTGGCGGATCCCACCAATGCCCCTCGCCCGCCAAGGATCGCAGACACCGTCGTCATCGCGCCCGGTGGAAAGGTATACGATGGATTGGTGGACCTCGCGTCTGGTAAAATCACAAAATGGGAGTTGCTAGATGGGCTACAACCTATAGTCAGTGCAGTTTAATCGAACTAAACCACACGTTACTTACGGTCTTCAATAGATCACGATGGAAGAGTTGAGACAAGTAGAATATGTCTGTCGAGTGGACCCCAAGGTCATTGAGCAATGCGAAATCAGTGGTATCCCCAAGGAGGACATGAACAAGGTCTACTGCGACCCATGGACAATTGGCTATGACGAGAGGCATGGAAACAAGATCCGACTTCAACAAGCTTTGATGTACTATCGGCCTGAAGTTGACGACTGCCAATACCAATATCCTCTAGACTTCTGCCCCATATACGATGCAGAGCAACAAAAGATCATTGCCATTGACATCCCGAAAGTAAGGAGGCCGTTAGGCAAGGCTAAGCCGATTAACTACCATCCTGCCGCGGTTGAAAAAGCTGGAGGCTACCGAAAAGACCTTAAGCCAATCAACATAACTCAACCCGAAGGCGTATCTTTCAAGATGAATGGTCGTGAAATTGAATGGCAAAATTGGAAATTCCACATCGGCTTCAACTACCGAGAGGGTATCGTCCTTAACAACATCACATACAACGATAAGGGATCTGTGCGACCAATCTTCTACCGACTCTCCCTGGCAGAGATGGTAGTACCATAGTAAGAAACACCAGTCCCATGAGACGAAAACGCGCTAATAGTGATCACAGCGGAAATCCTGAGCACCCCCACCAACGGAAGCACGCCTTTGATCTTGGAGAGTATGGTGCAGGATACATGACCAACAGTCTCGCGCTGGGTTGTGATTGCAAGGGATCTATTCACTACCTAGATGCGCATTTCCCCGCTAGAGACGGCAGCCTCAACACCATCAAGAATGCCATTTGCATCCACGAGGAAGATAGCGGCATATTGTTCAAGCACAGCGACTTCCGAGATGAGTCGGTTATCGTTACACGCGGGCGAAAATTGATCATCCAACAAATATTCACAGCAGCCAACTACGAATACGCGATCCAGGTAAGACTTCTCAAAACTCAGGTAATAAATAAGATGCTAATTGAACGCAGTGGATTTTCCATGTAAGACATCGAAGAGAGCCCCTCTGCGGTAGACATCACTAACCCCACATGCAGCAAGATGGTACCATCCAACCAGAGATCAAGCTTACAGGTATCTTGAATACCTATAGCATGGACCCAGACGAGGATACTAAAGGCTGGGGAACCCAGGTTTACCCAGGTAAGTTAGCTAAGAGCGCGCGACCCAGTCGTCGCTAGATCAGATGGTTAACGGAAATTCAAGGTGTCAATGCACACAACCACCAACATCTATTCTGCCTCCGAGTCGACGCCAACGTGGACGGACCAAACAACACAGTCTTCATGTCAGACGCGGTCGCATCCGATGCGCCAGTCGGCAGCCCTGAGAATTTCTACGGTAACGCATTCTACGCCAAGAGGACGAAGTTAGATACTACCGGAAAGGCAGCGACAGACTACAACGGTGCCACAAGTCGCACTTGGGAAATCTGCAACACAAGCAAATTACACCCCTACAGCAAAAAGGCAGCGAGCTACAAGCTCGTCAGCCGAGAAGTACCCGGGCTCTTACCTAAGGAGGGTTCGCTCGTCTGGAAGAGAGCCGGTTTCGCCCGACACGCTGTATTCGTCACAAAGTGTAAGTCCCCACTCCTACCAGTATAACCAACGAAAGAAGCGCGAAACTCACATTTAATTGATAGACAACGACGACCAACTCTGGCCCGCAGGCCGCCACGTCCCACAAACATCCGGCGAGCCCTCCCTCGGTCTACCAGAATGGATCGGAGACGGCAGCGAGTCCGTCGACGACACGGACGTCGTGCTCTGGCACACCTTCGGCGTAGTCCACATCCCAGCACCCGAAGACTTCCCGGTCATGCCCGTGGAGCCTATAACGCTTCTCCTACGTCCGCGGAACTTCTTCGCTAACAACCCGGTTCTGGATGTACCGCCTAGTTATGCAAGCACACCGAGCCAAGTCGCTGCCAGCGGAGTCGGGGCTACTGATGCTGCGGATCGTATGAGTAGACTTGCGTTTGGGAATGCTAATGGTAATGGCAATGGTGCTTGCTGTGCGGGTTCAAATGGGACGAGTGGCACGAATGGGGTTAATGGGCATTGAGGTGCGAGATGGTTGGGTATCTGGGTGGTCAACTTGGGGTTCTTTTCCTGGTTTGTGTCAGTTTCGTGTAGGTGGATCACCGACTGAAGCATGGCAATGTCGTTACACAGCGATCATGTCAAGCGGGGGTCGTGTATACGCAGGGGTATCTGGACAATACTCATTCGAAAGCTGGAATAAACATGCTAATTGATACTGAAAAAAAAAGTAGGAAGATTTATTATCATCCGATTTTTTTTTTCTTTTTTTTTTTTAAATACGTTTAGGTACTAGCGTATTCTTTCGGAAAGACTTATAAAATGATAAAAAGTGCATCATCCGCGAATCGAACGCAAGGCCCATCGACGACAACAACGGATTTCACCACTCTATATTACATTATGGAAAACAGACAAGAACTTACAAACTACGACGGTCCAATAAACATAAAACCACCAATACGTCAAAACGCCATGCAAATATACAGTATGGTAGCACTTTCTACTATGTCACTATAATTACAGGGTGTCATGTGCTGAAGTCCCCTATAAATACATGGACTTTTAAGGATTAGGTACCTACCTAGGTACCTAGGTAGGAAAAGGGGGTGAACACCGTGTATGTGGTATATTCACACTGGCTATGATCATCAAGTACGGTAATCTTCTTAATCTATTCAATATTGGATCCGATCGAGAATATAAAGTTAAGAGCAAGAAATACTGAGGGGCTTTATTTTACTAAGGGTGTATATTCTTAGGTATATATATCTACATCATACTTCGAATACGTCGAAAGCAGATGTGACGATGCAAACTACACGAATTCGCTGATATCGACGTCTGCGGTTAATGCATCTACATTCCTACTTCTGTTTATTCGGTTTACCTCGCAGAAATTCTCGCCATCCCACAATTTAACGATGATAGGTGTCATATCCTCTCCTTGTCTGTCTACGCGTCCTGCCGCTTGCCGTAAAACGTCCGTGGATATTGGTACCTCCATTAGGATGCAGTAGTTGGCGCGTTGTAGGTTATGACCTTTCCCAGAAAGTTCGTAGGTTGATATCATTATCTTATTCAAGGCATTTGTATCAGCAGGGTTTACGGGACTCTGCATCCGTTGATACACCGGAGCACGTTCAGCTACAGACTGCCCACTGTGAATATACAGGTATTCAACCCTAGGGCCAAAATCGGTAAATAGAAGCATGAATAATATCCAGGCAGATACCTGAGAGTCAGCAAATACTATCATATTCCTAACACGGCTTCCGTCTTTCGGGAGTGACCCCGGATTAGGAAGATTAGATGCCGCGGTCCAGTCATTAGTTTTCAGGTCGATGATATGATTGATATATTGAACCAATTGCTGGTACTTTGGGCTGGTCCGGCGCAATTCCGCCTCATGCATCCAAAATTGCGAATAGCTTATAGCGTTCGACATTTCGTTCTGGAATGCTGGGGTGATCTCTTGGCGTTGGGTTTGCTCATTGAAACTTTTTGAGAGAATAGCAGTCGCCCCATTAGCATCTTCTTTGACTGCCTCAGTTAGCAAGTCGTCGTAGCCTATAAGCCCCATTTGATATAATCTTGCTATCGCCGGGAAGCATGCAGAGCGCTTAATAGTTTCGTAGGCCCTAGCCCCTGCAACTGTGGTCCCCGGACCCTGAGTATTCAGCAACTCCTGCTGTGTGCCGTTTCTCGTTGGCTCTTGGCCCTGCTGCCCCGCAGCATCCCAGTCGAGAAGTCTTTGTTGGTATAGATGCTCCACCCATGAATTCACTCGCGCAGCTAAGGCACGATGTTCATCGCGAATTACTCCGACCGGCATATCGAGTCGGACTTCTATGACATTCGCTGGGGTTCTCCCTATCTGCTCACCCCGGAACGTTTGTCCTTTTCGTCTACCAAGTATCAAGGACGGTACGACATCTTAAATAAAGTCTTGGAGCTCGTCAAACCTATCACTAATGGTGTTATCTTCGTCCAAATTGCTTAACCTGGTAGTGAGATAAGTCCAAGCGGCCTCCCACTGGTCAAGATCATCCATGCTGTTAAGCGTATTCGCCAAAGGGGGGACCACTGGCTGTCTTGCCGTAGAGCGAGCTTCCGCAGAATCAAATATGTGCTGGAAAAACGGTCTCCAAGAACTTGGACCTCCTCCTAGCATAGAAGCCGAGGCCCACTGCAATCGTAGGAGTTTTGGTATTGGCACTGATTGTTTGGAGCATTGTAAACGGCCGCGTACGCTTGTTCCTTGATCCTTTGTAGTCATGAACTTCATCCATGAAGAAATAACTAGCGGCTAGCCGGCAAAAACGCTCATTTCCTTCACCTCTACTGTAATGTCCATCTGGAGTATGTACGAGGTAGTTGCTGGTAATAATGATATTATTAGATCGCAAGGGTGGATACTTTCTCTTGGAGCGGAGAATCTTCCGTCGTCCGTACGCGTTATTATTTAAGTCGCCCTCGTGTTCATATATTGTATCTGCGTCATACGCATCTCGGTCTACTATATCGTTAAATGGTACAATCTCTATGTCGGCGATCGTTCGGTCTGTCGCCGCTGTGTTGTGGTAACGGTGTGGTGTTTTCGAAAATGATGAATGCAATATAGATATGTATAACTTCGTCGTCCGGGACATTAAAATCATACCACTTGGCAGCTTCGGCTTCCCATTGCTGAATAAGATTTGGGGAGCAGACGATGATACAGGGATTCGGATCAAAATGTCTGGCTATTCGACTAGCAAGTCCGCCCGGATCGGAACATGGGCATCGAAAGCCAAGTCGGTCTTGGCTTGGGCATACCCCGCCTTTCTTGGGATGTCGTAGGTGTCTTCGTTTACCATCACTGATGCGATGGCGCCGCTCATACTCCATTTCAGCCGCGACCAACTGTATACGGGAATAAAGGAAGATTGTAACTAGCGTTATTCCCGTCTTAGCGAAACCAATATCGTCGGCAATGATGGCGGCGTGGTTGCCGCCCAGAGGCTGATGCAGAAGGAAGTAGATCGCATACATCTGATAATCTTTCGGACTCAGGTGGAGTCCTGGTATTGTAACTTGTTTAGCCCCGATGTCGCAGTTGAAGAATCTACATACCTGAGCCCAGGTGTTATCGTTGATGTTCATGCTTACGCCAGCGCGGTCACTATACATTAAATGTTAGTAATTGTCGTAGAGGTAAACTTTTCAGATTTATCTGTAATTACGAAAAGTACTCACAAGATTGGGTCACCACCCTCTTCCGGGATATCGTCCATTATTTCATCCCTGATATCGCTCTCTCCTTCTTCGTCGTCGTCATCTCCTGAGGACGAACTTTGTGATCCAAAAAGGCTGCCTATCATTGAACTGGTATTGGAAAGTCCAGATTTGACACTTGAACCTGCAGAACTTACAAGACTTTTGACCTTTGAAATAGCCGAACCATCGGAACTTGATTCTGATGGTTCCGCGCTTGCGGCGCCTGGCTGTGGTGGATCGGGCTCTCCACGGTTTCTAGGTCTTCTAGGTCCCCTTTCCCTGGGTTGGGGTGGTGGCCCGTTGAAAGCTATCGTCTTATGCCACCGTCCCCCATCTTCTGACATTGCCGCATGGCCTGATTGAATATCCCCAAGAAGATCATAAAAAATATCTGCGACGTCTGCTGCCACAAATCTGCTAGCAGTTATAAGGAGTTGCGTGCTTTGCTGAATACCGTATCTCTCTTCCAGGTGCACTCTCCAAGCTCTATAGTCATAGTGTTCAGGAAGTCGGTGGGGAGCACTTCGAACCTCGGGAATATCGTAGAGAAATCTGACTATAGGAATTGAATCTATATTCGAATCTGAGTATTTGAAACGAAAATCGAAACGGTCTAGATCTACGGGGACAGGCCGTGGAGCAGCCATGGTGTAAAGTGATGTAATATATGAATAAGTTAGGTTTGCGATTAGTATTTCTTCTAAACGGAAATAAGCAAAGAATAGATCTACACAGCCAAACTACTATTCATTTTGTGTGATTTCGATCCTATATATACGTGAGCCTCGTATTGGCGCATGGGAAACAGCAAGCATTGTTCGTGCAACTATCCGTAGCATATCTACCTAGAATCCGTGTATGATCTTATACTGCTGATAGGGCAGTGAGTAATAGTATAAACCCATTGTTTTCACCATGAGGGTAACTAGAAGGAGCTAAAAAAACATGATATTTGAAAGATGTTCAGGACGTGGGCATTGTTCACTGTATTTGTATCTCAACATGACAGAAACAATACCTAAGCCGTAAATCGACGTCTTTTTCTCTTTCTCTTTATCCTCCTAAAGAGACGACTCGCCTAGAAAAAATGGGTATTATGGTAGCTTTTAGGTAACTTAGTTATTATAAAAAAAATGGTCCTTCGGAACGTCATGCATTACCAGGCGTCCACCTGAGGTACCAGGCCTTTTCTTGCGATGTTTATTGGTACCTGCAGGGGTATAAAAGTGTTTGATATACTGCGTTTTATGTTCCAAGATTTGGTAGAAAACGGCACGTCTTCCAAAATGGGGTCGCGCTTCTTGGGCGAAGAGAACTCGCCGAGTAAAATACGAGATAAAATCCATGCGCTCAGTCAACTGTAGCAATTGTTGAAGTAAGGTCAAGGGACTGTCTTCAGGTACCTACCTACTGTACCTTGTACAGTATATGGTAACGTCAGTGGTGTAAATATATGTATCAGGACTTCCCCCATAGATTTACTAGCTAGTACAACAGTCAACATAAGAAACATACAGCTCATCTACCGTATCTTTTAGCAGCAACCACTACATCGCATTTTAAGGATGCCGTCTTAAAGACTAAAATTCTGCATTAGTTAATGCTCGATTGCTAAATCAGAGAAAATAAATTTAAATGAATGCCTCTTTCCCTCAATATTTCGGGCTCTAATCTTGGGTCATAATTTGTCACTTGCCCCGTCTCTTGTTGTTGGAAGAAATCGTAATGCATTGGACAATCTCCATCAACGTCTTGATGGATTCTTCGCCACGTTGTCGAGGAAAGTGGTTCAAGTCTAGGATCTTCCTTATCAAGTTCACCGGAATCCGAATTAACGAAGCCGTAGTTCTCTCGCCCGTCCGACGTGTAGAATGCCCTCGCCCGATAAGGGCTGGGGATGGGACCGAGCAGCTTAATGACATCATGAAGTCCATAGATCCAACATTCGCCGACAATTTGATATGATGAAATACCTCCTTTGTGCCGGATAATTATTGGATTTGGGCACCCAAGGAAAAGAGCTACTATATCACCTGTATTTCAGCCAAAATCAGCATTTCTACGGCCGTTTATCGTCGTTAGAACCTTGAAATTCACGACAAACTAAGTACTTACCGGATTTTGTGTCCGCAGGCGCCAGCCCAAAGTAACCCTCGTGGGTACTCGCGAATAGTCGGTCCTGGCAAAACCTAAGGGCGTATTGGATACCTGTGCTGACCCTCTCTCGGGTGCGAGACTCGCGCTGTTCGTCAAATTCCAGGTTTGCATGACTTCCGAATAGCGCATCATTCCGGTCTTGCTTTAACCAATGGTCTTGTGAAGGGAGAAAGTCATACTGTGGCCACCGCTCCTTGATCCTATTGTTTATTAAAGTGAGGCCATATGCTGATCTCAGGGGTTCGCCAGTAGGCTCATAAAGCGCCGTGTCCAGATCCAAGTGTTGGGGCTGCCACCGCCTTACGTGCAATACCGCGTCCCAGCTATTGGGTTCCGACCGAAGTGGCTCGGATACCCGCGACACCACAGCACATTGGATCCCTAATACTTCGAGCGTATATGGTTTGCTGTTATCGTAATTGAAATGTGCCCGTGAAGCACCGGTCGCAAATTGACTGCCAAGGAACCAGGGTGAGCCATTGCGGTGCGAAGTAGTCCAGTCCGGCACCCACGAGGGCCCGCCAATATTCCGTCCGAGCAATGAACAAAGATCGAATAGTTCGAGCCGTTCAACCTGTCGCGCGTGAGCCAGAACTGTTGTTCTGAAGGCGTCTGCAGCCATCACTGTGGCAGAATAGTCGGGTCGAATTTTCGAGGCGAGTTGTCGCGGTGCAAGACCGAGCATGCCATAGACCTTGTCTCGTGGATCTTCACAATCTCTTCCCACCATGACTGTGCGGAGGACTAACCTAAAAATTCCGTCTCTTGTCAGCCTGAGGAGGCGCCAGGCATGTGCTACAACTTGTTTTACAGCCTCAGACGGCAGAATTCTATGCTCAAGACAACATATGGCACGCTTCAAATCAACATATTCCATAAAATCGAAACCACACTGTATTATTGCCCCAGGCCTTGTATTTGCGAGATGAATCTCTTGGACAACCCATAGCCGTGTAAACCAGCGACGTCTGAGCAACGCCAATACTGCTTTCCAAGTATCTTCATCGTAAGGCAATTTTACTGTCGTATCGGCCCATTCAAACTCTACAGCATCTGGAGAAGGAATCCAGGATGCACTGTGTGCATCGACCTCGCTTTGGTTGCCAATGTACTGCAAAGCCTGTATTGCATGATTACTGCCGTTGGCTTCTGGGCCAAGCCACACAACGACACGGTATGCTTGCCGGTAAATGACAGGCATGAAAGACACTTGCTGGCTCTTCTCCACATCATCACTTTGTTGAATACAAATGGAGTCAATCCACAAGAGCCGCGACCGGGTCTGATAGCGCATGTATCGAAGTGCTTCTACAACATTGTCAGTCACAGCTAATTTAAAGGCGGTTATCTGCCGCAGTGTTTCGGGATCTTCGGCTGAATAGAATTGATTGTCCGTAGCTAGAGCGGGGCGTGCATGCTCGACTATAATGTGTTGTAACTTGTGGTTGCTGCCCCATGTGTAAGACAATGCCTCATATTTCGGCTCGAAGTCCTCCTTGGGAGATGGAGGAAGCTTGTATGTAGAATGATCGACGTCCGGTTTGGGATGTTCCCACTGTAACTTTCCGGTGTCTTGGTTCTCGAAAATGTATTGGCCCAATGGATTCTGGCGCAAACTCCAACGTGGGGGTAGCGTCTCCTCAACCTGTTCGAAGCTGGCCCTTGGAAGGGGATTCTGTGGAGCTGTCAGCAGTGGCAGATCTGTATGGTGAATCATGACTCTGATGCTATCATTTTCCGCGGCCGGTAGTAGTTCCACAAGCCTAATCTGCTGCGTTGAGTTCCGCAATGGAAGATACGTGTAATCGACCAAATTGCACTCGCAATTGCTTTTGTAATAACCTAAGTTGCCCGCCATGGAGAGGAATTAAAATGATTCTCTGACTTCACAGAAGTGGTCTATAATGCGCGCGATTCCTGAGGGATTGTGCAAGGGCAAGCACCCAACATACACAAGGGCTGGCGAGAGATCACATCCTATCTAGATGATACGCACTATTCAGCAGCTGACGATGCGAAGTTTAAACTTGAATTTCGCTTGTTTTGTAGTAGCAGGGTCGGAAGGGGGTTCTTGAATCTCATGGATGAAGCATGTTAGTCCGAAAAGATGATGAAGAAGGGCTGAACTTCGGAATTCATGGTTAGGAGCGAGAGGCCAGATAGCTCTAGTGCACAGACCATGTAAGACTAATCAAGGGTGGATCATTACCACATATAGCTGGTGGTGTATACTTGTTTAGGTAGGTACTTGAAGTATGTGTCAATAGCATGCGTGATAATTGGATACCTACCTAGGTAGGTAGTTAGGCACGACTTAGGGCCAATGAATAGCCTGCGTCTGCGCCTTTGTGGATACCGGGCTAATAATTACCCTTGACTGATCCAGGCAGGGTAGCGCAAAGAATTCAACGGTTGTTCGGCCCCGCCGCAAACGGGCTTACAGCACGGACTACACGGGAAGATGAGCCAGGCGGGCAAAGCCCGGGAGGTTAAGCAGGCCCGCGTCTCATTATAATGAAAGTAGATACGGTCGTACCATATTTTTTTTTTCTTGACAGGTGATACGAAATATCTACCCTAACCTACGGTACTTACATATCACTATCACAATGACCACGTGAGAAGAATTTGATGTCATTCGTATCTGAACTCTGGTCAGAGCAATATTAATACTTTACCAAGGTAAAGAAGACTCTGGTTGAAGGATCCTATAAACACATGTATCAATCAAGGTTTGAGTCACCAGTCGACATATTCTTCAAAGTAGAGCATACACACGTATTAATGCGTCCAACATCCGGATTAAGGGGGAGGCGGACGTAAGCGTCATCGTTCCTCACACCTCTTGCATAGAGTATCGCTAGTAAGCTAAATAGCTTCCATACGATGCAGTAACCCACTTGTAGGGCTGCATGAACTACCTCCTACATCATACTTAGGTCCCTAGGCGGCCACGTGTTTGTTCGGGTTCCTTTCGGTTACGCGGTCAGCTTCAGCTCCTGATAAGTTAAGGGTAACATCTATATAGGTAAGTAAGAAGATAAGCTGCGACTGTAGCTCTCGCTTACCCCCCTACTTACGATATCATTCGCCGTTGTTATCTGTTAACTACATTGATAAATCAAACTCCTGGCAATGCCGGCGCTCGTGGAAACTTACCATTGTGTATATGCTTCTCAGCTGTTGCGCAATATTATGAATTATATTTTTATATCTGCCGCAGCCTGTGAGGCACTAATTTAGACGTCACTTCACAACTACCTGAATCAAGATATGCCAAATCGAGTAATCATACCTATTCAGGTATAGTACCAATTTTGTTTTTCTTTGATTGAAGCTATTCGCAACTTACCTGGATCTTATCATTAAGTGACCCTCCTTAGTCGGTATAATATTACCCGAGAGCCCAGAATAACCCACTCTGTCAAGTTAAGTAACTACTTGGTTCGTTTGAATCCCTACTTAGTTACTTGTATGTATGTCTTACCTAGGTACCTAGAAATGTACGTACCTTTGATTTGTTATTACTATGAGACGCGGGGAGATATCAGAGCCCCTATAAGTACCCAGGTACCTGGGTAGGTACCTATATAACTTACAACTTACTACACTGAGCATCATGGGCCGTGCCTTTCATTTTATTCTTCAATGGCATTAACTCATGATCCAAATCCATATACCCATTTCAAATAGAATTTGGGGGGCTTAGGTCGCTCACCTAATCCCTCACGAGACCCATCGTCTTCAGCTAGGACAATGACAATTTGAGTTCTCCCCCTGAACCAACGTACAACCATTATGAATTACTGGGTAACTACTAAGTATCTGCGGCCCTGCCACAGATATGTGGCACAGCTTCGAGTTGTCATCAAGCCCCTATGGTGGCTACGAGTTACCAGGGATGTATACCATAAAGGATAGGTAAGCCTCAAGCATACCTCACTTAGGTAAGAAGAGAAAACTTGGCGATCAGCCGCAACCATCCTACCGGGTATGTTTCTACTTGTGGAACTTATCGGAGGCCCATTTGAGACGTGATAAAGCAGAGTGGCATGATGCATAGTAGGACCTGTCAGCTGAGCGGAAGCTTGATATCGTCGGCGCTCGGAGTCATGACACGAACTACGAATAGTAGCTCATCGGCGATAGAAGGGTGGCACGGTTTAAGCAGGTAAATGTGAGTTGCAACATCCTTATAACCTCTTTCTATGTTGAGACTTCGTATAAATACCTAATGTACGCCCTGTCGGATTAAGACAGGATATCTCAACACATCTACACTTTTATTCACTTGAACATTTAGCAGAAAGACGCATTTTATTAATTGTTTAGATTTCCAGATGGCTAAACCAATTCTATTGACGTCACTTGCCTTGAGTCTATATACGAAAGGCATAAGTGCATTCCCACAATATGGGCGTTCCCAACTTGAATTTGACTACGTTGTCGTCGGAAGTGGTCCTGGTGGCCTTACGATAGCCTCTAGACTGACTGAAGACCCTAGCGTCTCTGTTGCGGTGATCGAGGCGGGAACATGGGCTGAAAAGGGAACCGGAAACCAGAGTCAAGTGCCTGGGTACGATTATTACTATGGCGGGAAGGGTGCCAATGAGACCAACCCCTTGGCCGATTGGGGGTTTCTGACTACACCACAGGTGGTTCGTCCTCCCTTGCATTCCCATATTTTTTGCGTACTCCAGAGTTACTCACTACTTATCATAGGGCATGAACGACCAAGTTGTACACTATGCTCGTGGAAAATCGGTAGGTAACTTGATCATACAAATTATACATTTTGATACTGATTATGACTAGCTCGGTGGTTCCTCGAACCTGAATTACATGGGATATGCCCACACATGTGAAGGGGCTTTTCAGATGTGGGCTGACGCTGTACAAGACCAATCATATACGTATGATACTACATCGAAATATTATCGCAAAAGCATGAACTTCACAGGACCAAACCAGGAACTCCGTCTACAAAACGCGACTGTCAGCTATGAACCGTCTGAGGTTGCAACAGGGGGTCCATTGGACGTTACTTTCTCAACTTGGGCGCAGTCTTGGAGTACTTGGATTGCTGCATCTATGAACAAAGTAGGACCTCCTAATACAGAAACCTTTCTGAACGGCAAGCTTAATGGTTCGTCGTGGGTACCGGACACCATCAACCCTCGAAACGGCCACCGCGAATCCGCTGCGACGGCCTTCCTCGAACCATATGTTAATCGACCAAATCTCAAGGTGTTTGACCTAACTCTTGGAGAACGCATTATTTTCGATGCGAACAAGACTGCTCGTGGGGTAGAGGTCACTACCGGTGACCGAACATACACAATTTCGGCAAAACGTGAAGTTATTGTGTCGGGCGGTACGTTCCAGTCGCCACAGCTCCTTCAAGTTTCTGGTGTTGGCCCGGCGGAGCTCTTAAAGAAGCATAATATCACTGTAATTGCAGACCGACCTGGTGTAGGTCAGGGCATGAACGACCACATCTTTTTCGGTATAGCATATCGGGTTAATATCGAGACCCTTTCGGCTCTTAAGTACGGCGATGCCGATTCCCGGGCCATAGAGCAATTCAACGCCAATGGTACCGGCCCTCTGTCAAACACTGCTAGCGACTACTTCGCATACGAAAAACTACCTCAAGACATCCGCCAGGATTTCTCGCCGGAGACATTGGCGGAACTTGCCAAACTCCCAGAAGATTGGCCAGAGATGCAATACTTGACACTCGGCAACTATGCTGGAAACTTTGAACATACAACCCTTGGATCACCACAAGATGGGTATATGTACGCCGAATTACTTACTACCCTTATCACACCAACATCAAGGGGCAGCGTCAACATCTCGTCTCCTCGGATGAGCGATCATCCGCTCATTAACCCTAACTGGCTTACCACTCAACACGATATCGACTTGGTAATTGGTGGCTTTAAGCGCGTTCGCCAAATTCTTGAGTCGGACGTTATGGCAAATGTCACTATTGGTCCTGAGTACTACCCCGGTCCATCAGTACAGACCGACGAGCAAATCCACGAACAAATAAAGAAAAGCTTCGACACCATGTTCCATGTTAGCTCGACATGTAAAATGGGTACTTCTGACGACAAGGACGCTGTTGTGGATAACCACGCCCGCGTGTATGGTGTCAATGGCTGTTAGTAGATCACCTTCCCTTCCTTTTAGAGAAGTGCTAACTTTGAAATAGTACGTGTTGTGGATGCTTCTGCATTTCCGTTCTTGCCTCCTGGCTTGCCGCAAGCAACAGTTTGTAAGTTACTCAGAACTTCAAATACTTTTACGAACGTCAACTAACAAGTGAATAGACATGCTCGCCGAGAAAATCGCGGATGACATAAAGGCTGGAAACTAGAGCTTCGTTAATCTCGCGATCCCAAGGCATGTATTTATATGGTTTTGTAATATTTAGACTGGTGGGATAGAATGGAGGTGCATTAGACTTAGATGGTTCGGTACCAATTAGAAATAGGGGAGCAGTATAGGTAAGACGGCGTATCATTGATCTTCGCACTGTAGGGAGTATATTATTGGGGATGGCAAATTTATATGCGGGCATATCATAGACTTTTTTTTAATATAATTACTTAGATAGTTTGTTGTAATAGTTGGCTCATCCCTGTCGGTAAATACAGGATTGTAATATCGCAGGCTACATCACCAACTTCATGGATTACTACGAAATTAACCAAATGAATGCGGATGTAATCCGCACCCTTTAGTTGATCCTACATAACCAAGTCTAGTAGAAGATTCGACTAAACAAATTGAACGTATCCGTAAAACTCTACATTGTTTCCTAGGTACGATTTGAACCAACCCAACAGTATGTTATGTCAGGACCCTTTGCGCCTGTACGACCTCCAGGGTCCCTTACTTCAGGACTAGGTACCACCAACACAGTGAACTTTACAACGAGCGCACTTCCTTCTCTAAATATTTTTCCGTTGACTAGGTCGAGTCGAATCGCTAAGCGGGGGTTCGGGATGAAACAATACGCTGAGACTTGCCACAAGTTGATGCAAGGTCTCGGATATGAACAATATGCCGCTCAAGGGGGAGATTGGGTATGATGATTCTGTATGCGTGGATTCAGTCACTGATCGCAACACTACAGGGAAGTTCTATTGGGAAATTGCTCGGAGTTCTATATCCCCAGTCGCTTCGCGCACTTCATTTGAACCTAATCATGGCAACACCACCTCCCCCTAGCAACCCGATCGGCTTCGTGCGGTTCTTAACTTCACATTTACTCAATCGATATACTCCCCGCGAATCGACCGGCCTCGAAAAGGCTCAAAGATTTCAAGGAGAAGGAAATGGCTATTTTGCGATACAAAAACAGCGCCCGGGGACTATTGGCGTTGCGCTTGCGGACAGCCCAGTTGGCTTATTGACATGGATATACGATAAACTGGTTATTTGGACTGATAGTTATCCCTGGACTGATGATGAAATTTGTGAATGGGTTAGTATATATTGGTTTAGTCATGCCGGGCCAGCTGCTAGCGTGAACATTTATCACGAGGCATTCAAAGGTGATTGGGTGTCTAGTGCCAGTCTCTACACTCCCAGGACGAAAGTGGTGAGCTAAGTTTTCGATTACAGAGTATCCAAACTACTAAAACTGATTGTTGCGTGTAGGGATTCTCATATTTCCCACAGGAGATGTTTCGGACTCCGAGCCTATGGAACCAGCAGATCGGCCATGTGGTCTTCGAAAAGGAACATGAGAAAGGGGGTCATTTTGCCGCGTGGGAACAACCACAGGCCCTCGCGGAGGATCTTCGAACTATGTTCAGGCAAGGCGGTGAGGCCTATAGTGCTGTTATCAAGAAATAAGTGTAAGCCTTTGAGCAGAAAGCTCTACAATTATGATATGTACAATAGGCAATTGAGAGAAGGTACATAGTTCTCTTATCTCTTTTATCTATAGCATTATAACCCCTATTCATGTGGAACGTTACACTAATTTGAAAAGGGGGGTCCGTCCATGGAGTTGTCTATAGATATGTTCTCCATATCTTTATCTCAATACAGACTTATAGGGTTGGCGCTTCCTGGGAACTCTTATTTATCCTGATTCTAGCAACACGCTTAATAGTCAAGTATAATATCACATGATCACATAATCCGCCAAATGAATACCTGAGTTGCACCTCGGATTCCTCCATGTGATCGTGATCTCTTTCCGATCGGGCTTGAGAGGTGAAAGGGGCGAATCGCGCTGCTCGGTGTCTGCTTTTCGCGAGCGTCCAGTCTGACTGTCAGTAAACCTAGTGTCGCAAAGTTTTCGAGTTCAATGACGGAGTTTCATCATTGTCGCGTTTACCTCAGCAGGAATAATTCATATAGCGGAGTGAAAATAGCTTATAAACACATCTAGGTAGGTATTACGTTCCAAAGTTAATACCGCTGATCATCTGTTACGGCTATGATCGACTGACAGAATACGTGTAATGCTTTCACTCTCCTCGGCAGTAGGCATCCCAAACCTAACTCACCGTACGTTTTGTTTTAGCTCCCGAGTGAGTTTACGGATATCATGGGTAATCCCGTCAAAATTCCGTTGAGCCCACTTCTTATATTTACAAGAATGGCAATTCTCGTAATAGAGACTACGTTAGTTTGTCTGTCCTTGTCTTAGTTAACTCTAATGCGCGAGGCCTAGGCCAGTCTGAGTTGTACGTCGCATCCATCATCCTTAAAATCAAATATAGAATTTCCTTTTATGGATGTGTAAGTCAGCTCCAGCTACCCGGGTATTTACGCTCGCCACTGCAAGGGTCTCAGGAGGCTCGGTACGAGGTCGTCAAAATGATATCAAAATCCAGTCCGGAAGGAATCGGCGATGGCCAGCTCCGTGACGGGTAAACTTTTTCCTATCCAGGAGGTCTTCGAATATTTCCCGAATATCTTGATTTTGTACGGGTTAAGTCATATAGTTGATAGGTAACCATTGTTCTATACAATATCTCATCTATCCACCGCTAATTTACTTGACCTTCTACCTAAAACTTTTGTTATTATAAACCCACGGCTTTTGGAATTAGGGCAGATCCATCACTCCAGGGAACTGTTACGCCCCTTTTCGTCAGCAGTTATGACTTCGATCCGGAAGTGGACAACGGCAGCTCTTGGCGCACGTCCCCTCAATAATGGCATTGGGAACCATGGGTTTGCAGGACCAGACTGTAGGGTCCCCGGTCATACCTGGCTCCTAGGTAGATGAAAAAGTAAGCACACTAACAGCGACAACAGCAATGTCAAACCTTGGGACGCCCCAAGCTGGATATCTGAGAAGATGTCCACACCATTCACCCAACTGTGCTTGGGGAGATATGAATGTTACCAATACCAACCCCTATGCATCCCGGCCGGATACGGGGGTGACTCGAACCTATGATCTCACTGTCTCGAGGGAGACAGCTGCCCCTGACGGAGTTGAAGCAGAACTTCTCCTTGTCAACTCACAGTTTCCGGGGCCTGTGGTCGAGTGCGATTGGGGAGATTGGTTTGAAAGTAAGCTCCCCTTCCCTATCAGCAGCATAAAAGTGCTGACTATATCGAAGTTACGGTCCATAATAACATCTCGGATGAGGGTACCGCAATACACTGGCATGGGAATCTACAGAAGGAGACCCCTTGGATGGACGGCGTACCAGGTATCGCTCAATGCCCGATAGCACCAGGTTCTTCATATACATATCTCTTCAAGCCAGACCTGTATGGCACTGGCTGGTATCACTCTCACTACGAAGCGCAAGCAGTGAGCGGCTTCTCCGGGCCCATGATAGTTCATGGTCCAAGTCATGTCGACTACGACATTGACCTAGGTCCAGTTACCATCTCAGACTACTTCCACACATATTATGATACCATTACCCAAGGGTTTCTGGATAATAAAGTCGAGGTCACCCTCTCCGATAACAACTTGATCAATGGCAAGAACTCCTACAATAATAATGGAGCCCCTCTTGCGTCGTTCAACTTCACATCGGGTAAAACGCATCGCTTACGGCTAATCAACACATCGGCGTTCGCTGTACAGAAAGTATCAATTGACGGCTATGACCTAACGGTCATCGCCAATGACTTCGTACCAATCGAGCCATATACAACCGACGTAGTGACAATCGCGGCCGGCCAACGCTCGGATATCTTGGTCGATGCAACGGGGGATCCGACCGACTCGATGTGGCTCCGAGCATATAAACCACCGAATTGTTCACCAGGGAAGGATGGCTCGTATCTAGTGACAGCGGCGATATTCTACGAGAACGCAGATCGCACACAAGCCCCGACAAGCCAACCGCAGGCGAATGCATACGATAATTACTGCGGTAATGATCCCCTGTGGCAGACCGTACCGGCTTATCCCCTCACGCCGGACGAACCAAGTGTAACAGAGATCCTCCCGGTTGAGTTGCGTCCAAACGGGTCGTCTAACTTATGGTATATGGCAAATCGTACATTTCGAGTTGACTATAATGACCCTCAGCTTCTGAATGCCAATGCTGGAAATTTCAAATTCCCTCATATTCAGAACGTGCATAACTACGGCAGTAACTCGTCACTTCGCTTCATAATCCAGAATACGGGGTTTCAGCCGCACCCGGTGCATCTGCATGGACACAATTTCATGGTGCTCCAGGAGGGGCCCTGCGCTGATAACAAGACGGTGTTTCCGCAGGGCCAACCGGAATCTTCAAATGTGTACTCTCCGGGCGAGGCTTCTGATCATTTCGGTGGGAGACCAGGAGGTGGGCCAAGTGGTCCAGGCGGTCCAAGTGGCCCGCCACATCAGCGTAGCATCAACACCACCACAGCCGAGGAAGATCTCATACGGCGGACTATTGATTGGTCAAAAGCTGAGATGATTGGTGATTACGGATCGTGCTGGGATGGCACCATCGTGAACCCGGAGAATCCTCAACGCCGCGATGTGCAGATGTTGTTACCCGGTCACTACATCGTGTTACAATGGGAGCAAGACAACCCAGGGATCTGGCCCCTCCACTGTAAGTCAAGTCTTGAATGAGGCAATAACGGTCAAACATTGACTTCCTGTTTAGGTCACATCGCTTGGCACCTTTCTGGTGGTATGGGATGGATGATCTTGGAACGCCCCGATGACTTCTACAATAACGCAAATATTAGCGACGCCATGTCACAGACCTGTAATGACTGGCATGCTTGGTCCAGTAATAACGTTATTGGTGTGTATTTCATAGTTTTCTGCAGCGAAGTGCATGAGCTGACCTTTGTGATAGATCAAATCGATGGCGGTTTATGAGGCGGTGTGAACAATCGATGATGTATTTCTGAAGTTCAAATTGATACATCAGTTTCAGTTTCAATATAATTTGACGCTTTCTAATAAAACGGCTTGTACTCGGAAAAGCACGTTTATAGGCGGAAGTAAGCAGCTGAAAGGGATCAGTTCAAGTGCCCACCGTGCGATCGGTACGAGATAAACTGTCCAGATAGGACTATGTGATAGGCTTAAGAATTTTGGTAACGCAGTGGAATACAGTCTGTATAACATGGCCGGTACTTGAGCTGACACCCGGGTGGCTGGATATCGCCCCCCACGGTACCACCACACTCACACCAACGCTGTGGGATTTTTTAACATCCAACGATTTATTAGCCTTTAACAATCTTGTAGTTTCCAGCGATGATCACCGCCGATGAAGCCAAAAGGAATCATGAGGTACAATCGTTCGCGTCAGCGTCAGGTTCGGGCTTGAGACTTCATGCAGGTGGCCGAGGCAATAGTCGTAAAAAGCAACCAACAAGGACATAGCCCACCCGCCACCAATGGAGTTCCAGACTCACCGAAATTAAAAATCCCCTTAGAAGATCATGGTAGTAAAACAAGATAGCGGTAGGAATAGATACTCCGAAAGGATTGGTATTACGTTCGGCATTTACTCAGGATAGCCAGGGGCAAACCTGTGATGATGTTGACTATTGGTCAAGTATCAGCGGTCGCGGAGCTTGCTCCGCTCATGCATGTTGAGGCGTTTTTGTATTGCGAGTGCAAGATGTGCGTGATTTTGCGGTGATGCAAAGACAGCAAAAGCAGCGCGAGCTTGCTACGTTTTACCACTAATTCAGAGAAGTAGAGGAAAAATTCATTCTGACAAGCCACTTTTCATAATCAATAATGATACTGAAGACCAATATAGGAAAGAAGAATGATGTCGTCTACACATGTGAATCTCTTTGTCAACGCGCCAGCCTCTGCTCCACTCCACTAAAGTCCAGCTTGCGATACCCGTGAGAGGAAATGGATTATAAAGGATAAATAGGAATACAAGACGATATAGTAATTTTATTAAATAGGAGTGCCCGTTGACATTGATAGGGAGAAAGGAGAAAAGGAGAATCCCACACTCAGCCCCACTCGGGATAACTCCGTAGTTCCGTGCGCCACCAAATCATCATCAATCTTCCCGGCAGAATGATGATTAGATCGATAGTTGTAGATCGGTTGTAATATCACCCCAATGGGCGTGTATAAGGTCAGCGGGTGGACTGTCCCTCTTTCTTTTCCACGGTCCACTGTTTCCATATAGGGGTAGGCGAGCCTCCGCTTCCATCGAATACGTAGAGGAAAGAGGGAAATACTTGTGAGGCGGGAATTTCGCAGCTTCGGGAATACGTGGGGTCCCAACAGTGGCTTGCTGTTGGCTCAAGAGCTTCAAGAACCGGATGATGATGAAAGCGCAGCTGTCAGCGCCAAGAGTCCAAGCCGCGCGTGCGTACCCTGCTATGAAGAAAAAGTTAGGTATGTCCTGGAGCATTGTGCCATTCCAAATGAATTTCTCGTTCCATTTGACTAGTTCGCCGTCTACCTTGATGTCGATCTTACCGCCGAACTGCATGGTCAACCCAGTGGCGGTCACGATAACGTCGGCGTCGATTATCTGGCCATTTTCCATCTCGACGGTCTTCTCCGTTACTCGCTTGATGATGCCAGTCACGATATCAGTGTTTGGCTGGTGAAATGCCTTGAAAAAGTCTCCGTCGGGTGACATACAAAGGCGTTGTTCCCAAGGGCTATACCGGGGCCTAAAGTGTAGGTCGACATTGACAGAGTCTGGCAGCTGTTTGATAGTCTGCTTGCGGAAAGTCTTTCTCATATAGTTGGGGAACCACAGACAGAGCATTGCACCTGTGTAGGAATAAAAGATATACCATAGGCGTAGGTAGCTAGCCGACAACCAGGAAATCTTGCGGTTCGGTAGTGATGCCACGTAACTGGGGCTTCTCTGCACCATGGTAACTTTGGCAGCTTTCTTGGCTAGATTAGGCAACAGTGTGATGGCGGTAGCCCCGCTACCAACGATGACCATCTTCTTGCCAGTATAATCGTAATCTTCGGGCCAGAATTGAGGGTGGATAACCTTGCCTTTGAAATCGTCAAGGCCGGGTATGATGCTTGGCCGTGGGTTCTCGTAGTCGTAATAACCCGTCCCTAGGATGACGGTACCCGCTGTGTAATGTTTCATAATATCGTTGTGGTTGATTGTTAGATCCCATTGCTGTGCCTTCGAGGACCAGTCCATGGAGACCACCTTGTGTTTGAAATGAAAGTGGTAGTCGAGCTGGTACTTAGCGATCGAAGACCTTAGGTACTCCTTGATGAGATGCCCCTTTCCGACCGGCTGCGAATAAGGCCAGGGATTCCAGGCGAAGCCGAAGGAGTACATGTCGGAGTCTGATCTAACTCCTGGGAATTTAAACAAGTCCCATGTCCCACCAATTGCGTCCCGACCCTCAAGGACGGCGAACGTCACATCTGGGAGTTCAGATTGTAGGCGGTAAGCAGTGTTGATACCAGATACCCCCGCACCGATGACAATCACGTCAAAGTGATCGGGACCGTGACTCTTCTCTACTGACAACCCCATGTTGGTACTACGGCTAGATAGCGATGGTGCTCCCAGGGGGGATTTGGTAACAAAATGAAGTGGCCTCACAATTACCTAGTAGCAAGGGCGATTATACCAAGCAGTAGCGGCGGAGAAACTATCGACTCGTGAGTAAGGAGCAACGAGATATATATTCCTAAAGGAAGGGGGGAAGTGGCTTGCTGGAAAATCATGCCCCCCTAGGGGGCACCCAGTAGTCTTGCTTTCCCTTCAGCTGTTAAAGATAAAGGTTAGAGGCTAATGTTGTGTTACACTTGATGTTACCTATGATCATCACCAACGTCGCTAGTCTCGTCATTAGTGCGAAATTTGCTTTTGGATACTTGCTTTCAAAATCGAAAATTTTTGCCCTTTTGAGCTCTTTTTGCCATTCCCGTGGACCGAACGTGTCCGAGACTGTATCACATGGCCCTAATGCCGAGACCTGTACGGATATAAACATCGCGTTGTTTTCCCCAACGTGCTGTGACGCAAGGGTCTGGGTGCGTGGTTGGTTGCCGTTGGCGAATGGTTGTGATATCGTCAGCTCTTTGTTGCTTCATATGGGGTATAGTTTGGGGAACCCCGGACAATGAAGGAATGAGGGGTATCATGTCCTCAGGTAGATGTCCTAGTAGGCGAACAAATAAGCTTAGTAATGACCCACGAGTATCAATAATGTATGTATATCAGTAATGTATTAAATTATATGGCCTGTGATAGAATAGCGGTTTCTTATAGCGGCCTGAGGACACTTCCCCTCTCAGTGTTTAGACATTAACATCCTTCTATCACATTAGCATGTATAAAGCCTTGACAGCTTTCTCGGCCGCAGCGATATGCCACGGCCGGATGTCAGTCTCCTTATCTACCATACCACGAGCCCTAGCTAGTGTTCCTAGCCCACGGTAATATGTAAGCATCTCCCTTAGGAGTGATTCGTATGCCCTAGGATTCCCTTCGTTGTGTATAATATTAACCTCCATGACGGTGGGCGGATCTTCAATTCTTGTTCCGCCTCGTTTTACTAGATATCCGCTGATTAGAGCTGGGTTGAGCTCCGTCAGTGAAGTTGAATTGTTTAATCTGTGAGAAAGCACAGCACCCCATGTTTGGTCTGTGATTTCCGTTAATGTGGCTTCGTTTTCGGATTCCCCATTGTTTTCGCCTCCGGGCGTAGCAGCGCTCATCATTACATTCTCTCGTATAGGGGTAGTGGGGTTACCACTCTGCTCGGGGGAGACCATAGACCCCTGCGGGGTCGAAACCGGTGTTGTGTAAAATACCGAAAGAGCATTATTAGACACTTTGACAACTGGTGGAAGCAGTTGCAGAGATGGGTCCGTGTCTACTGCGATGAGGGTCAAGCTAATCGACGCCTTTGACTCTCCTTGTGCAAGAGTGGACCAGAGCTCTATCTCAGACTGTTCCATTACGCCACACTTCGCAATAATAATGCGCCAATGAACCTTCCATGTCGAGATAAAATCACGCGTTGCACCCCATATCTCCGTTGCGACATCTGCAACTGGTCTCGATAGACTCTTCCCCTTTCTTCCTAGACAGTAGGACGCAGTCATTTGTTGGCTACCCCTATTGTCCGTCCAGGCCGCCGTGATCCATCTCCCATCTATACTCTGCGCGTAAGCAATATGCAGGCAGGTATTCTCATGTAGTAAGGATGCAGATGGGTTTGTTGTTAATTTGAAATCAATCATCCGTGGTGGTGGTTGTTCAAGTGTAATAGCTGGGGACGTCGCCGCACTACCGAATTGAGTGCACCTGTCATATATCTCCATTGCTAGCCTAGAAAAATCGAAGGGAGATGGCATGGCCACTGAGTTGGAAGATGCTACGAATTCTTGTGGAATCAGTTGCAAGGCTAGGTCGTTGGTTGATGCCAATTTTTTGTTAGCTAGTAATTGTTTGTAGTCTTCGAATATTTGGTTGAAAACCGCACAGCATTCAACAATCGACCAAATAGCATCTGGTGAATAGACGAAGAAAACAACGAAATTTATCTCCTCAACTACCATTGAAGCTAGCGTTTGGCAGATTTTGGAAACACAAGCCGCCATCGATTTAGAAAACGGCGCTGAGTCTTTTTCAACCGAGAAAGGGAACATGCCGTTTTCACTGCCAGATGATGATGGAAGGCGATTAAACGAGCCTAGTTTTAAGGATTCATAGATGCTACGCATCCTATCCGTAAACACTAGCATATCGTCGCCAAGACCTTCATAATCAGGAAAAATGCAGATAGCGTTGATGTCTTTATTCCCCGGGGACGGGCTGAGTCCAAGGCTCTCCCAAAACGATACTGCAGAAGGCAGAACGGACAATTTCGACTCATATCGTCGTAACTCAAAATGTGGTGATGGAATCTGGAATAAGTTGCTTGGTCTCGTTTGGTCAGCACCTGGTGGCCTTGGCTGCATCCTCGTAGGCTGACCAAGAAGCGGCACATCTTGAATTTCTATGAAGGGGCGGAATTGATACTCAGTGGCGGTTGCGAGACAAGGGGGGAGGCAAGATTTGATATCTTGGATGGATTTCCGTGTTAAACCGGTGAGTTGACGATGTCTATCAACTCTTGAATCTAAAGGCTGTGAGATATGATTGACGAAAAGTGTCGAAGTGGAGAACTGATCTGTTAGGATCTGTGCCGCCATGATTAACAGATCATCCGGTAATGAATATTGAAGAAAAGGCGGCTCCGGGTCGGCAAAATATTTTGTGAGAAGATCCGCTTCAGACTTGCAAGTTTGAGGAAATTCAAGTGGCAAATGCGGCGAGCTGACATCCACAGATTCGAGTTCTCTAAATGATGTAGCAAGCGATTCCCCGTCATCATCGACTAGACGTCGCCTCACACTCGAAGATTTGACTGGGGATAAAGGTTCGTCGCTATCGTAACTGGAGTCATCCTGATCTGACACGAGACTAATCTCATCAGCATCTGAATGAGCTTCGTCGATACCAGAGGGACTCGCTCTGTCCGACGTCGGAACTTGGGTGCCGGAAGAACGACTAAGGAGTTGTCCAACTTTCGCAGGAAGTTCTTTTAGGCCCTTTCGGTTCTTTGAATGACGTCGTAGATAATCTGTGGTCGGTGGCTCGTTCGCGCTCGAGGACTTGGTGTCCGCTGCTTGTCGCTCAAGGGAAAAATCAAACCGTCCACTCCCTTCATATTTGCTATTTACCATTGATAAGCCAGGACCGAATTCCACCTTATCAAAAATACTGCTATGAAAAGAGAAGTCCATACGAGAATTCTTGTGGACGGCTTTGTGGTTATCAAGGGAAGCTCTAATTCTCTTGAATACCGTATCCGGGTTGAACGGGCTAGCAGGCCGTTTCAAGGCCGCAGATTGCGATCTGTTAGTTTCGAGTCCACCATGACGTCGCACTTCTTCTCCTAACGAGCTTCGGGCATGTTTAAGCTCAGGTTTCGTAAACGTTGGCGAGGGAGTGGCATCAGGCAAGTGAATATCCGGAGCGCCCGTTTGCATATGTGATTCTTGTGACGTTGGAAGGCCAACTCCAAGATCGAGACTAGAATCCGTATTTTGGAGGCTTGGAAGGTCAAGAGAACTCAAACCCATGTCTCCAGGTTGCTCATCGAAGAAGTTGAAATCCGCTTCTGTTATATCCGTGTCGCCAAACATATCGGGGCCAAGTTCACCGAAAAGATTTTCGGATTCGAATGAGCTGCCGATGCGCTCACGCTTCGTTTCCGTGTTCTCCCAATCATCGTTATATGATACGTTGCGGGTAGATTCCATATCTGCTGGCGCCGCAGTGGTCACATGATTTCCAGGACTAGAAGCTGAATCATCCATCGACGGTGTTGCGCCTATGATGCTCTGGGCGTTAGGTTCCGGTGGTGTAAGATAGAGCCCTCCTGGTGGTGCCCCGGTATTACCAGACCGGTGTAAAGCTAGAGGTGAAAGCCCATTCGCGTGCTGAGCTTGGCCGTCCGCTAATGAGGCTTCCCGAGCTATCGCAGATTCTCTCTCCTTTTTATTTTTTTCTAGGGTGTTATCACGTTCTCCCGCGCTCAAGAACCATTGTTTTGCAACTTTTAAGGCGTCAAATTTCCGGTCGGCTGATTGATCCTCTATTTCACCCCCAATAGACAGCCGCGAAAATATCTTGCAGAAGCAGAGGTTGACAGGCCATGATATACTAGGAGCACCTACAACAGGAGTTCTTTTTCCGTCTATATTCTGTTCTGTTGGTTTCCGACGCATTCGCTGAAGACCAACCCAGTTCTGCGATTCACAGTAAGAGGACGGTATATTACGGGCTTGAAGGAAATTGGAGCAAATATTCCGCCAGGGGCCGTCATCCCTTTCCGACCGCAACCTCATAACCTGCGTATCTGGTGACTGGCCGTAGCTACCCTCGGTGGCTGTAGTCTCGGAAATCGTAATCGGGTGGCAACTAGCAAACATGCCCAAAGGTGCGGCGAGTACGGTAACACCCAGCGACGGGAGAGGGTGTCCTAGGTTTTCCGACAAATTGATTATACCCTCTGCCAAAGAAAGCGCGAAGGATATAACCAAGTTACCCGTTGTTGTAAGATATATGCGTAGAGAGGCGAGAACAGCGGGGACACTGAGGAAATCATCTTGGGAGGTCCGTGGGAGGAGAAATGTTCGAGAGCTTAATGGAATAGCACTGGTGGTAACACAGAAGCTCGAAGATACCGCAGATAGAGCAGCGGAAATGAAGTGTTCGTAGACATCTTTTACAGAAGCAGATGAAACGGATTTTGAATCAAGGGAGACTGCTTTAATGTCCTGCTCGCTAATTGTAGGGAAGGGTTGCCCAGAGGGAAGAGTGGCAGACTGTGTGTTCCTATAACTCGGATCGAGAACGGCGGATCCGCTGGACGAGGAGCTAGCCGGAGTATTGGCTGAATTTGGACCATGAGTGCGATTCTTCACCAGCGCGGCCGATTCAAAAACACCCTCCTCACTCAAAGCAAAGGTAAATCCAGCACTTCCAATGGACTTTGGGAATATTGACGTGGCCGATTGGCTTCCTTGAAGCTTGTCTTTTTGCGACAGGCGAAAGAGCCATACTCCCCGTCGGATGGTATCGAAATAGGCTAAGAACCCGTCTCGCCGGAGTGTAGTCTCGAGCTCGATCGCATTGGAACCGAAGGATGCCAAATTCGGGGAGACAGGGTCGTAAAAGGCGAAGTTCACGGATGATATATTATTCTATAAGGCCAATCGGGCGCTGTTAGCTAGGGATCTTCGTTCGCGCATATTGATAGGTATGAGAAGTATAACGTACAATTACCAATGCATTAGTTTCATATTCGCCAGTGTCCATATCGTAATTCGTATCAATCATCCCGATGTGGTAGTCGTTCCCATACACAAGCTATACGCCAGGTACTCAAGATGCGATGATACCTTCAACCAAGCGCAGACTAGCGTGAGAATAGGACAAAGTTGATGAAAGATGTTCTAGAAGTCGGTTTTAATCTCTGAGGTCTCCAACACATACCGAGCTCCATCTCCGCTACGCCCATTCCAAGAAAAGGCAACGCGAAGCTCGAAGCGCAAAAGAAGAAAGGCGGGAAGCGGGAGCAGTAAGCGGGCGCAACGTAAACGACTACCGAGCCATGGAAATTCCGTCACTGTTGGTATCTGATTGGAGGATAGTGTTTATAATAAAATCGCCAACATTAATGTTTGTGGAGTTGGTCACAAAGGTGGCCATGTATATGTGGTCATAACCCAAGCAGCCTAGTTAATTGTGTTGCCTTGCCGAAAGAAGGGCTGAAGTAGCGAGAGGTAGGTAGTAAAGGAAGCTTTCCAAGTTTGGAGTCTTCCATAAAAACTCCGCGAGGCGCGAATGTGGTAAGTGCATCCATCCATCCATTCCTTACAGGGTATACCCAAGTACCTATGTACATATCTCCCAATGCTGAGTGGGCACGCGGGCAGCTAGGATTAATAAGTGTTACACGAGCCAATCATTTATCATTTACTATATATCAGCGGATCTTGAAGCGGAACCCGGAGACCCCGACCAGGGTCTCATGCAAAGCAACGACGAATTTTAGACCATGACCTAAAAAGGCTAAGGGTGATCTTATCAGCTAAAAGTCCCCATAGTATTTTTTCTTATCGCCCCTCTGGGTACATACCTCGCAGCTTCGCATTTCGTTCATCTTATTTTCATCTTTTTTTCATCTTTTTTTTTTGCTACTTCATCGCGGCAATCCCTACGTAACCTTCGCATCGCCTAAAGGACTTTCGCTATGAAGGTCACTAATCAAGGAGATGTGTCGGTGTACACCATAGCTGGTGCCAATACGGCGCGGCCTCTGCCAGACTGGTAAGACGACGACGCAACTCTTCATCGGCTTGGACAAAACTAATTGCACGTCTTCTATGTAGGCTAGCCCGTCGCCGAAAACGTAGCTTGAAGTCAGATCCCGAGTACCAAAATAGAATAGAACTTTTGCAAGACTTCGAGTTTGAAGAAGCGAGCCAATGCGTCAGGGTTTCGGAGGACAATGATTGGATTATGTCCACCGGAACATGTAAGTCGCGACGAAATTTTCTACGTTGACTACCTTCTAGTCCAGAGAAACACAGATATATAGAGGGTATTTTGAACCAAATACTAACACCCGACAGATAAGCCGCAATTCCATGCACACTACTTACCTCACCTTGCCCTATCCTATACGAGACACACGAAATCTCTTAATACAACCTTCTTACTCCTTTCCACCGATTATTCCAAATCCCTACATCTACAAAGCGATAGAAAACTTGAATTCCATGTAAGTCGATTTCAAATATTCCCATCGAATCTAGTTCCCTTTTTGGCGCAGCACGTTAACAAGCGCATTACAGACCCCCGCCGGTTGTCACTACGAGTTACGCCTACCTAGGTACGGAAGAGACCTCGTTTACGATCGTTATTCAACCGAAGCGCTAGTTCCCTCGGTGGGACTAGACTCCGATGGCCACGGTGAAGTCTTTCGGATGAACCTAGAAGTGGGAAGATTTATGAAATCATATCAAATCGACGTTGGAAACGACGAGGGTGTCGAATCCGGCCTACAGGGAAGCATCGGTGTTGGTAGTGTCAATACAGCCGCTATCGCTGAGAATAGCCATAACTTGCTGGCGTTCGGCACTTCTCTAGGTTCCGTCGAATTCTGGGATTCACGATCCAAATCACGACTTGCTATCCTCGGCGGTCAAGAAGGCGAAATAACAGCTCTCGATTTTAATCCCACTGGTCTTTCGCTCGCCACAGGCACTTCAACCGGCCTGATCAAACTTTTCGATCTTCGAAGCCCGAAGCCGTTAATACAAAAGGACCACGGTCCCGGTTTCCCTATCAAAAACCTCATTCACATGACGACGTCTTCACATGAGAAGAAGGTCTTATCCGCCGATAAACAGATGATTAAAATCTGGGATGAACTTGATGGCGAGACATGGACTTCAGTTGAGCCCTTGGTCGATATCAACTTTGTGACATGGTGCAAAAATTCGGGAATGATCCTTACAGCAAATGAGGGCAAGCCTCTTCACAGCTTCTTCATACCACAATTGGGCCCCGCGCCCCGGTGGTGTTCATTCCTTGATAACATGGTTGAAGAGATGGCTGAAGAGATCAGCACCGATCAGTATGACAACTTCAAATTCTTGACATTGCCAGAGTTGAAATCACTCAGCTTGGCGCACTTGATCGGCAAGACGAACCTATTGCGCCCCTATATGCACGGTTATTTTGTGGCCTCGAAGTTGTACGATCAAGCCCGCCTGATCGCCAATCCATATGCCATGGAAGAGGAACGCGCGAAACGCATCAAGGAGAAGGTTGAAAAGGAGCGTTCCAGCCGAATCCGTGGCAACAAGAAGGTTAAGGTCAACCAGAAGTTAGTCGATAAGCTACTCAAGCGCCAAGAGAAGAGAGCCCAAGTAGATCCAAAGGCTGGCGTTCTAGGTGACGAACGATTCAACCGTTTGTTCGAAGACGAAGAGTTCAAGATCGATGAGACCAGTCGCGAATTTCAAGTTCTAAACCCTAGCACGAAGGTTGATCCAGAAACAGGTGCGGTTACTACTAAGCCAGGCGCACAGTTTTCAGACGAGAGCGAAGATGACGCAAGTGATGATGAAAGCGACGATGAAATACACTCAGAAAGGAATGCGCCGAAGGAAATGGTCATGCACGTCAGCAATTCTAACCGAAGCGATGGCCAATCATCAAAAGATACGTCGTTAGGCTCTAGAGCTCAAAAGTCGGGTCGTATCAGCAAAGCCCGGGGTGGCGATGTTGTGGGGGAGAGGCATGTCACATTTGTTCCAGAGTCAAGGAAAAATAAGGACGAAGAAGCTCCAAAACCACAGAGAAAAGATCGACGAACAGACTCGCGACGGAGTGCTAGTGCTAATGTCTTCAGGCGTCTTTGATACCCAACGATTACTAGCGATATTGATATTGATACATTATCCAAAAAAGCAATTGACTTTGCTATCCCCAAACTCCGTACCGATTGGTACCTAAGTATATAACCTGAATGGAATATCCGATTCGACACCTGTGTCGATTCTCCGCCGCATAACCTTGTCCAGCCCATGCCAATCCACCACTGGGAATCAATCACTTCCTGGTCCACTTCTTACTTCTTCCTTCCGGACTCTGTCGAATGCTTGATTTGGCAAGGCCTTTCTCGAGATCCTCAGGTCGAAGTTTAGGCGTCGGCGGCACATCGTCTAGGCGAACACGACCTCGTGAGGAGCCATTAGATGATTCTTTGACTGACTTCGGAAATTCGGAACGACGAGGCGTAAGAGCCGTGACCACCTTCCTCGCCGAACGCCGAATACTCTCCCTAACCTTCCATTCCCTTTTCTTAGCCAAATAGAAGAGTACTGCCGTAGAGACTATGTTCTGTTAGTGTGCCGGACATTAGTGGTATTGTGCGAATGAACTAACTGCCAAGCACGCAGACGACCGCAACGACAACTATAATAGCGACTATCGCGCCGTGGGAAATTTGAACAACGCCAGGGCTACTTCCGGACGCTCCAGCTGAATTGTCGATGCTACCGCCGGAGCTAATCGAACCGGGCCCGCTATCGCCTTCGCTATATGGCTGATCGGTTGCTAAAGGGAATGTATCCGAAGTAGAAGTCGCCATAATGACTAGCACAGGCAAAAAGAAGTGAATCTAAAAGTGAGAACCGGCACTCTGTTTTTTCGGTGGGACGACGTAGGACGGTCGCTAAGAATTTCGAGCAAACCTCATCCAGCCATATGGGACAGCATCGAAAAAAAAAAGGAAGAAAACCAGGATTTGTATCACGCCACATGGGGGCCCTCAGAACTTATGAATGAGCCGTTCCTGGTGGGGGAAACCTAGCTGAGGCGCTTGGAGATATAGTAGTACTGACTCTACGAGGACATTCCAACTATCTACGTGACAAGCTATGCATAATGGATGCTAGTATGAGCCCAGGTAGCGCACTCGACCATAGTATCTGTGCCTCTCGTAGAGGCTTGATGCACCTCTGGCAGTTTAGATCTCAGGGGACCCGGCACTTTTTTGTAATTCTTATTGGATAGGGCAAAAATTCACGTCGGAATCAAGCAATAATATCTCTTTTATTTCGACCGCCACGGCTTCTCATTGGTGGTTGCGATCTTCGAAGCGCTTAATCAAGGGCGCTTTGGCGCCTTACCCCTTGTCATTATACCAATCAGCACCTGACGACAGGGATTTGTAGCAGGGATGCCGCTTTTCGCGACCACCAAACACATTCAGAATTGCATCTTGTCACATCTGTCGCCCAATCTTTACCTCTTCCAGTTCGTCGATAATGTTGATAATTCAGAACTAGAGATTTTCATCACGGAACGGCTTCTACCGACTGTTCTGATAGAATTTCTACGTAGATGTTATCAGATCTAGTCTATTTTCAGCTAGTTTGGCTGTTTCCCATGCATGAACGGTGATGAGCTTGGAGGTGTTTGGTCACGATATACAAACAACTCAGCTCAACTCCGAATAGTCATGCACTGTATTTCTACGGCGCGTGCGAGACATGCTGCAAGCCACCTCCATACCCATATACCTATTTGGTAGGTACACTATCCGAAACCCATAGACCGGACCCGATAGTACATTGGATGGATGTATATAATATTTAGGTGGGTACATCTTCATAGTGGGTTCAACAACTGGTCACAACTGCGCTTACCCGCATGAATAATGCCACACAGCCTGGGCATGATGTTATCGTAGCCATTTCGGGGGAACTTCGCTACCTTTCATCACTATCTTCATCAACTAGCCGCGATGAAGAAATCGGTGTTTCCAATATCGCAAGCATCATAATTAGCTATCTCCTCCCATTGCCGCCGTATACTCTCGTCGCGCTAGAAAAAGCGTCTGCTCAGTTATGCGTTCCGGATACGAGGCGCAGCCCAATTCAACGCCCCAGCCAGAAACCGGACCTCTTTCATGTATAGATCTCACTGACCACTCAATCGCAGATCAGTTCCTCTAATTATAACTCAAGTCATACCAATCGTAGTCGGATCTCTGGCCTCCCGGCGGTCGTACTATCTATAGCGACAAGATTGCCAGATCCATGTTCCACGACACCCGGGGGACGTTTAAAATAGGCACCTAATCTTGGTCTCCTTAGAAGTTTGAGGAATCACGTCAGTCATTCGGCTTCATTTATGCTGCGTAGATGAAAATAGACATGATGCGTCTCATGGCCTCATTTTCATGCGCCGACATTTCTATCCAGTTCGCTACGTCGCATATAGCCGCCTCGCATTGCATCAATTCTATTACTGGACCGCGATAATCTGAGGGACTATTTCATAGCTCACCAGCGATGCGATTCATTCCTAGGCATGTCGGCCTCAACAACAATATGAACGAGAAATGCTATCCAGGCAGTGGTACAACAACCGAGTCCTCGGGATAGGCGCTCACTTATTCCCTAGTTCTTGACGCCCATACTACACGAGGACTTTATCATCTAAGCAAGACCACGATTTGAGAGTTACCAGATCGCGTTGGCGACGAATGCCTGTTTTCTCGTCAATAAGTATAACTTGCAAACCAATTTGTGATTATATAGGTATATGTTTTTGGGTATGTGTTCCACGTAAGTCTGCATGAAATGTTAGGGTTAATGAATTCATTTTCTGGGGGTGCCGTAAAATATCTTTGAATTTCGAGGGAGATACGCTCCTTCCAAGGTCCTATTCAGACCAGTTATGGAAGCGACGATATCTGAGTATCGAATGCCGTTTCCTTTATGTTAGTGATGAGCACCTTTAATCAAACCAAAATCAAACTTAATCCGCGTTTCGCCAGCTTTTCCAAATCCCCTCATCTAAGTCCCCCTTCATTCATCTATCATTCGCCCTTCTAGATACCCCCGTCTCTCCGTGCAGCCCTTACGCAGCAAAGCACCCACAGTTCGAAGAGACAGGAAAACTATAACCGACGCCTGGTGGTTTTTATAAGTTGCTTATAAATAATTTCAATGGATTAGTTGTTTCTCCAGCACCTAATTATCAGAATGTCACAGCGAGGCTCCCCTCACGAGATATCCGAGCCGGACAGGGTGCTTAATGGCCGCGCTGTTATTGGCTCGCAGGTTGATTCAAGCCAAGTAGACTTTTTGCAACCACTGGAAGACACACAGGGAACGAATGGAGGTCTCATGATTGAAGATTCCTTGCTTGACCAAGCACCTCAGGCCCCGCGCCCAATCCCATCCCCCGAGGTAAACCTGATTACTCGTCCGACTATACAAACAACCGAAGAAATAGTGTGCGGGTTCCAATACCAACCACCACCCAGCCACGGTGGACGTAGCAATGCAAATCAGCGACAGAATTACCCCGAAACTAATCGGGTACCCGAAATTTCTAACCCCAGCAGACGAGCAGAGCCCTCGCCGCCAGAGAACCACGAAGATGAGTTGCCAGTGGCAACAGTAGTCACACAAGCTACTCAAGAAGAAGAGCCAATCCCTACGATAGAAATCCCGCGCGAAACTATAGGAGATACTACCCATGAAGTTCGAGTGCCAATTGTCGACCAGCCTGAACCGATAGGTGACGGTTACCCTTTTCCAGGTGCAAGTGAGAAACCGCGCCCTAGCGAGAGGAAGCATACGTCATATCACTCTCCTTTTACCAAGGCCCAGCTTCCGAAGCCTATCTCGGATGTCCGCCGAAAGGCTCTTGCAAATATGTCACCTCGTAATAGGCTGTCAAAGAGCAATATCCTTTCGTCCCCTTCCGCTAGACCTCAGAATGAACTAGCACAGGTGCAAGGAAATCCCGACAAAAGGGCTGCCTATAAGAATGAGCAGCGCCTAACGGCCCAGAGACCTAACCTAGAAAGCAGCAAGACTACCAAAGACACCCATAATAACAGGGATAAGTACGCTTCGAGACGACATCGACAGGCGGACCCACGTAAAAGGAAAGCTCTCCAGCAGCCCTTGCCCGTTGAAGTCATACAAGCTGAGATTGATCATTCATTGAGGCCATGTTCCCAGGCGTCAAACATCTCAAAACCGCGCGCCCCTGCGAAGAAGTGGCGTAGTCCTAATCGTGAGCAGAATAGTGTTAATCTAATGAACTTTGCCGAATCCTGGAATGCCAATTATATTTACAACCAACAGCTTCTGGACCGTTGGGAGCATAAGATGGCTATGCTGGAGAGGCACATCAAAGAACAGGATGTGTCTATTGAAAAGTACCAGAAAGCCATCGAGTCTCGGGATAAGGTTATTGAGGATTTATCGGCAAGAGAAGCTGAGTTTAACGCTCAAAACCAAAAGATACAGGATGAAATTCTCACATCTACTGCCTCCCGCAAAAAGCTAGAAGAGAAACTAAGGGCTTGCAGAAACCGCCTGAACGATGCGATTGGTGAGCAACAGCGACTTTTCTTGCAATGCAGGGAGAAATGCGAGAAAGCAACCGCGAGCATGAAGGCGGAAGGGCAAGCACGGAAGGAGTCGATAGACGAAGCCTCTGCGGCCATAGATCTCGCTAGGGCCGATATCAAGCAAAGAGTTGCAACTGTCATCAAATATACTAACGAGCAAGTCGGGGAATGTAAGTGGACTACTCTTTTATCGCTACATTGATTTTTGACCCGTGAACAGTGAAGAAAACCATTGAGTCTCTTGAAACTCAACTAGAAGAACAGGCAGAAGAGCTTAGCTTTGAAAGACAACGAACTGAAGACCTTCGCAAAGAGCTCGATGAATCCCACGAATTGAATGAGCAATCACTCCGGTTAGCGACTACGCAAAACCAAAAGCTTTTAGAGAAGATAGAGTCGGAACGTGATGCTGCGAAGAATGTCGAAACCCATATTCAGAAACAAGATCAAAAGTAAGCGATCTTCCTACAGTTTGGGCATTCTGCTAATAATTCAGGATCGATAAAATTCTTGAGGTCCTGGCAGAGACTAGGGAGAGAACAATAGATCCTGCAACCTTAATGGAGGATATAAGGGGAGTCCATGACGACTCAGTTGCGAAGTATGCATTCGAATAACTACCTCCTAACCTAGAGAAGAGGATATTGCTGTACTAACCGCATACTAGAATTACTGAAGAGGTACAGAACTCAGTACGCTCTGCTCAAGAATCCGCTCTTGGAGGTCATGAAAACTTTTCTGAAAACCTTGACGATGTTCGCGTACTATGTGAAGGCATTGCCGAGCGGATGACCGGACTTGCGGAGGCAGCAGTGTGGCAGCAAAGAGCACTCGAATTGGATATGAATGCAGAGGGCTATGTGCAGCGGATTCAAAACTTGCAAGACGACATGCAGCAAGCGATAATCGAGAACATGGAGCAGGGGGCAGAACGGTGGCAACTTCAAACCCAGTTGACGAATCTGCAAAACGCCAAATCCAATGAGCAGGCTGCAAAGGAAAAAGGCGATGATCTAACGAGACAAATTGAAGAGCTTCGTAGAGAACTGGCCGAAAAGGACCAAACAATCACTCAGTCGAGCGAACGACTTGAGGCAGCGAGGGAAGAATTGAGAACACAGGCTCGTATTCTTCGAGACAAGGAAGAGCAAATCCAGAATGAGCACGAAAAGCACAGAGAAGCCCTCGAGTCACATGCCCAACAACGCGAACATGAAATTGCGCATGCCGTTGCAGAAGAGACAAACAATATCAAGGGAAAATATCAAGACGTCGAGAAGCAATTTCGAGAGGCAGATGAGGCTCGCGTCCGGCTTGAACAGGAACTTGCTAAGTCACGGCAAGAAATAGAGACTTTGAACGAAGCAAATATTGGGGAAGACTTACATGAAGTTCAAGCAGAAATTGTGGCGATGGTCGCTTCTATAACTAAGCTAACCACGGGCTTAGAAGAATCGGAGCAGGAACGAACGGTTTTGCGAAGCAGTCTCGAAAAGTGGTCACACGATCGAATCAGCGTTGACCAGATGAAACACATACTAAAGCGTTTGGCGAGGGACCAACCGAGCGCGATCCAAATGGGCGGACAACTGAAGGAGCTGCTAGAAATCCAGAAGAAGCTATCGGGAGCTCTAGAATATCACCGAGCGGGGTTAGCTAGCTCAGAGGCAGCGGCGGTCATTGACATGAGCCGACTTGATAGCGACATGGTTTCTCAACCTGGTACCAGGTCTAACATTGCCAATAGCGTGCAAAATGGTGCGCCTCACTTACAAGTGGACACAGCAAACCTCAAGCGAAAAGTCGTAGTGAGGTCTCCAGCCAATGAAATTGATCCCGCGCTTCCAATATCTATTGAAGAGGAAAGAAGTTCTAGGCGACAATTGGTACCTGCACGAGGGATAATGAAAGTTGGCACTGGCAGCAATCCGACCGATTTTGAAGCGGAAGAAAGCGCTCTAGATACGGGCACCCAAACATCAAAAACGCCACAGCCACCGTCTCAGCGAAGAATAGCAAAGCGTGGCCGGAAGACCCCTTTAATCACTCATAGTATGTACAACCGACCTGTTGCGGGTTCTATCAATTCCAGCTACGAAGAAATCGAAGATGAGGACATTTATGATATCCCAATTAAACGACAAAAAACTTTTGAAGACGACGAACAGCGGAATGAAGGAGCACACACCATAGAGAGTATAAAGTTGCCTCGTTCCATGTCTACACTCCCGTCGTCTCAAGAGGCGGAGGAACGCGAGCATATTGAGGGAGCTCCATCCAGGTCCAACGAGATTTCCTTACGAAGGCGTCCTGTAGAACGACAACGAACAAGGCTGGGAGCTTTCGGCTTGCGGAGCTTCAAGGGAAAAACATCATACAATCAACTACCCACTGGTTTCGGGACTGGTAGACCAATAGATAGCCAATTGACTATGGCTTCTTCCCAGGCGATAAAATTATCGGATAGTCAGGGCTAATCCAGTCTACCAAGGCATCAGGAAGGCCAACACCCTGATGAATATATCGGTTCAAAATTGTAAGACCCATCAATCGACGCCGATACCTATATTGGCAATCTCAATTTACTATTATCAAGTTCAGTGCCATTTGCTTTGCTGACGTTGTTTGGTTGCTGGCTGAGCCTCATTTGAACGGCAATGGACATGTATCGTTAGAGAACGCGAAATCTCGAGGTGGTTTAGTGTTGCTAAGATATGCTGTAATGTAGTAATCGATATTTATTTTATCCCATTGATATGCGGCGTCTATTGCATCACGAGTTGCTGGAGGAGCCATGAGAGGACGGCTTTTGTTCCAGGCGTATAGTATAATACAGATAAATATACCTATGTATACAGCGGTGATGAGATGCACGAACGGTCTTCCAGACCAGATCCTTTGCGTATCCGAGTCTTTACGGTGGGTAATCGGTGGCAATTTCGCGAGACGGTCGAAGGTTCGCTGTTCATCGTAGAGCGGCGGTGGGTTATCGTGGAAGTACGCGACGTACGAGCTCCGACTATTTTCCTCTTCGTTTTTGTTCGAGGAATAATACCTTTTTTCGGACTATGCGAATAGGAAAATCAGTAAGAGCTACAGAATTCCAATTCGTTATATAGCATCAAAGGCTACATAACTATTGCACCACCAATATCCTAGCATTTTACTGGTCTATTTGCAAACGTTGGATTGATAGGGTATTTAAATGGATATTCTCCGACATACCAACTGGGTCGTATTTAAGCATGCTCATGGGCCGTGATGTTCGTGGGCGGGAAAATGTGTAGAAGAAACCGGTCATGGCCATGGATAACAATCGTACGGATATCAGGCGGGACTTTGCTACATACGGGTGGGGGAGGTTAGTAATGCGATTTCTAAGGCTGGAGGTGGGCGAATATACCTTTCTTCGCCATTGTGTATATTTGAGGGCCGTCGGGTTGGCGACGGCGGGAATGGGATTGCGATCAATCGAATGGAGCGGATTGAACGTATTCACGATAATTGTGCTGATGAAGTTTTTGGTGGATCTTGAATTTCCGTGTGGCTAGTGCTGTGGTGTGGGTTCGGTGACTTCGGCGTTTCGTTCTCAGCCACACTTGTAGATTATAGTGGATTATATAACTCGATGACGTGAGTGGGGTTACACAACCCGGAAAACCAATCGTATGGGGGAAGGAGCCTGCATCCGAACATGTGCAATCTCGCATCTCCGGTATCCAGTACGATTTGGAGATGACTCGCTAACTTTTTAGTACCTTGGTTACACCTTCATCCAATCTTAGTCTTGCGACTTCGCACCTTCATAATTATTAAACGTTGGCTCGCAGGTTCGTTATCGTCGCTAGTGTCCTCGCTCTAACCTTCCTTGTACTTGGCAGATGATTTGTTATACGTACATTAAACATACATGTGTATGTACCTAAATATTTCCATCGCATGGACTTTCCGAGAATGGATATAGAAAGTACTTCTACTCTTGATCTTCTCCACCGATCGAGTTCTCATTCGTAACCAACCAATTATCTACTTCCTATTTGTCTTGTACTAGGGATACTCGAGGCCTTGATTACCAAATAATCAGATCCCGAACGTCGTACACCTTGTTAATCTATCCTTCAAAAGGGCGTGAATACCATACCTCCGAAAGGTAATTCGGCTCCGTTATAAGGATACCAAGCGCAAGAGTATGCGATGAAGATGACTCAAAACATGACTATTATCTTGCTCATGAAATTCGTATAAAAGGGAAAACAACCTGACGTTGAAATTCGGTGTTTGCATTGCTCAGGGTAATACAAGACTATTAGCCTCGACTCCGTGGCCGAAAGAACCAGTTTATTTAACAACACCATTTTCTCTTCTTCAACTTCTAAAAATTTAAATCGTCCCTGGTGATCTTATAAGTTAGAACGCAAGTTACAAATAACTCTTTCGAAATGCCTTCCGTCGACTTAGAATACCCCAAGCAACCTTATAGCAAGGTCCACCGCTATGATACCCGAGGTAACACATTCAAAATGTTATGTTCTAAGCAGTTTGGTTAGCTGATATCTCTTAAGCTTCCTATGCGCTAGAGACCATCCACCAAATCGTCAACACTTGCCCCATTCTCCATGTCTCCTTCACACCCCCCGACTCCCCTTTCCCTACCATCCTCCCTATGATCGGGCAAATGGGCTCGTTCGCCCGTCCCAGCGCCGACACGGGAGACGTACTCGAGCTGTACCTCCATGGCTACGTGTCCTCACGTATCATGAACCTATCGCGCAAAGCCAGCGCCGACTCCCCTCCCTCCTTCGGAGAAGAAGGCCTACCGATCTGCGTCGCAGCCAGCCACGTAGACGGCCTAGTCCTCTCCCTCACGCCCAACTCCCACAGCTACAACTACCGCTCCGCAACCCTCTTCGGCCACGCCACCATCGTCACGGACCTGCCCGAAAAACTCTGGGCTATGGAGCTTATCACCAACTCCGTTGTTCGCGATCGCTACCAGAATACCCGCGTCCCGCCCAACGGCGCCGAGATGCAATCTACCAGCGTTCTCCGCGTGAAGATTTCAGCGGGCAGTGCGAAGATCCGCTCTGGGGAACCCAAGGATGAGAAGGCGGATTTGGAGAATGGGGAATTGTTGGAGAGGACTTGGACGGGGGTTATTCCGGTGTATCATACGCTGGGTGATCCCATCCCGGCTTCGTATAATAGGGTGAAGGGGTTGCCGACATATTTGGAGGAGTATTGGACTGGGTACAATCGTGGTGCGAAGGATATCGCGGTTGAGGCTGCGGTGCCCCCGGTGGAGGTGAAGAGGCCGAAGTATGATGATTGAGTGACTTGATGGGTTAGGTGGCGAGGGATGCTTTTTCTTCAACAGAAGATGGTTGTTGCCTGGTGCCTATAAGGCGTAAAGGCCCTCGAGTGCTGGAGTTCTCTTTTAGAGACAATAATGATGCGGTGTCTTTCGTAATAATATGAGGAACCCCTTAATGAGAAATTTCACGTGGTACTCACCCTTTTCTAACATCTTTTCTTAATAATGGGCAAGCACATTAGCTTGCTTAGAATTGTAATGCCATAAGGTGTTGCCATGATATCAGATTTACCGGGTCGCGATGGGCGTCGGTCCATCATCTCTGCCCCAGTGGGACAGCCTTGATTGATTCTCTACGCCAACGAGAGCGCGGATACAAGTAAAATTGGATATATAATTTATAACTATATGTTGGTTATTGAACATAATGCAGTGCACGCTGGATTCTTCTGAACTCATAAGGTTCTTTAACACTGGTTAAGAATAACGTTCCAGCTACGGTCTAACGAAAATATCTATTTAAAGTCGAATGTTAGTTCATCCGTATAAACTTGTCTTCTCAAGAGGAGGGAAAACTTACCTGTCCATGTGTGTAACTAGTCCAACTGCTACCACCATTATAAGTAGTTGACTGGCAGTTGATTAAAACCTCCACGGCGTTACTAAATCGCACCACCGATTAGTATCATGCGATGAATCCTATCTTGATGGGGAACTTACTCCGCGACGATGGTGCAAGCATTGTGTAGTGTGTTGCTAGAATCATTGCACAAGAAGATACCCGCGCCGGAGTTGCAACTGCTAGCTGTGCAACCACCGTTTCCGGGACTCCCTGGGGGTGCTGAGCAGTCACCGTTCGCGATGCTGTAGAGATACCGAACGCCGACACCGACGGACTCGGCGTTGACGTTGTTACCGTAGGCGCATGTCCAGTCCTATGAATAGCGCATTAGCAAGCAAAGAAAAAAGTAAGCGGAAATTAAAGAGCCATACACTTGAGGTGGTAGCCCGCTTCGCAATAGGCTTTAGGTCTCTCCTCTTCACCTTCGCGTCGGCGCTGTCTAGACCTAGCTCGCTGTCATAGTTGGGGTTGATCTCGATGATCTGGTTGTAGATCTCCTACAAATCAGGGCATATCATTAGTTTTATGTACAACGTGATCGTGTTGCTTTTATAGTGCGGAGGTAAGCTTACCTCAGCTGTGCCGGTGAAAGACACGGCAGGCTCGCCGCGTTTAACCTGGCCTGTCCATGTTAATTTGGACGCGGTCAAGCTAGTAACTTCTCGAGCCGAGTTATCAGCTGGCAATGCCTATGATTGTTTACATTAGCGACAGATAGGATGAGAAGAGGTAGATGTTATGATGGGTAAACATACCGCAGAGGTTGTGGCCCCCACGAGAAGGTAAGCAAAGAACGAGTAGAACTTCATATTGACTATACAGGAGGAATAGTCTTGGCTTTCTTCCAACCTACGAAAGCGAGCCTCAGCGCAGCCACTGGCCGGCCGTCTGTCATGGAAATTTGATACTATATACCTACTATGATGGTGTGATATGGGTCCTAGCATCGATACCACATCCCAACGGAGTCAACGTCACTCCACATGTCTCCTCCTATTTGACGTGATAGATCAAATAGGCAAGTGGCATTCATGGATCATGCAGGATCCAAGCTGACCTCTTTTCGCCTTGTTCGTCGGCTAGTATTAATTCCTTTATGACATTTAGTTTGAAGACTATAGGGTACCTAAGAATGCACCCCGCTTGATCAACTTGGGGCCACCGTTGGTTTAACTACTTCGTTAGACTCGGCGATACATAAAACGGCCATTGGCGGAATAGGTTTCCAAAGACATGTAACAAGATATGACCTAGCCAATCAGCGACTTTGAAATGATGATGCTGTGGTCCTTCTATAGTCCTGGTATAGTCTCGGGTTACCCCAAATAGCTAACTAGGTCTGGTTAATTATGCCTGAATTAGCTCGTGGAGGTTTCAAAGAATACCATGGCAAATGGGTAGGAATGGGACGAAAATAAGCTTAAATTGCAGGTAGTCGACTCAGGCGGAAGCGCTAATTGGGTCGAATATTCTATAATCTGGGAATTATCGCCCGATGCACTACCACCTGCTAATACCGGCATGGTAATTCCGCTATAGTGGTCACGGGTAACACAATCGGATAGGGAAGGGTAGGGGATACGCGTACATTAATAAGGGTACCTAGGTAGGTACTTGTTATTGTTTTGTTGAGCCCTTATTACTGCCGTATAAGCCGAGCTATTTGTGACACGGCGTATGTATTGCGGCACAGCACAGTGTATGGGGCAAGGGGGGCATACCAAGAGACTGTTCGAGAACGGGAGATCGTCCCGGATTGTCATTGATTAACAAGATCTTATACCCTTGTCAAGACCCATTATACTCAGGAGCCTCTCCGCCTGTGTGGATAATTCATAAAATCCACTTGACTACCTGTATACTACTATGCGATGTACATAAGTAGTAATTGTTTTGGATAAGTTACGTGCAACCAACATTTTCCAGCGCAAATTAACATATCAAAAAGAAGAAGAAAAATAATCAATAAATCCGATGGGCTATGTTCTTTTTAGGGTATCCCTTTTTTTTCTTTTCCCATCCTTCCGCGCCTCCGCCTCCCGCGGAAAGAAGGTCAGCAACGCAACGCCATGTGGCGCACCTTGCATGATCCGCTAACATTCCAGCTCGCTTAGTGCATTGCCGGGCTGTGTCTTGGCCTGTATTGTTTTCTTGTCTACCCTGGGTGTTTCAAGCCCCTTTCATCATCGACTCTGTCCCTTCTCCATTTTTGTAAACCGGTCTAGGGTATGCCATAGGATGTCCGGTGATGCCATCGCCCATGGCATGCTATGGCTACGTAGTATACCGCCTGAAGACGTCTTGTTCTATTTGAGGATTATGCCTCCAAGCACATGAACCCCCGCACTGGGCAAGTTACGTGAACAGAACAGGACAGGCTAGGTAGCAGTCGCGAGGTTGGCCGAATCCGACTGAACCGACAACCGAGTCTAGCTGGTTGCGTGAAGCTTGAGTCCCATAATGTATCAGCTATAAGACGCAGCGTCCTCGGACGCAGCCCAGCCCAGCGGCATGTCTCGACAGCGCTGTGTGTGGCGTGTTACCAGGCTCCCGCGGTAGAACGTTTACTAAGCCACAATGTTGTTCTCATCTTTGCCGGCTGTTCTGCTGGCTTCCCTAGCCACTATCGTTCGAGCTCAGTATCCGGATCCGGGTGCGTGTTCCGGCGATTGCTTCACTCACGATCCTGCTGTCGTGAAGCGCGCCGATGGTAAATACTTCCGTTTCTCGACTCTCGACCTCATCGGTATATGGACGGCAACCAGTCTATCGGGTCCTTGGACTCGAAGCGGTAGCGTGATCCAAGGCGCTAGTGTGATCAACATGCCAGGTAACGATGTGGTGAGTATCTAGAATCTCTTCTTTCCTTTCCATAACCTGTTTAGAGATATTTTAGCCTCGGTCCACAATATTTCGTCAATCATCACCCACCTAGACAGTGTATAAAACAGTATATACTAATTCGATCTATGATGTTAGCTCTGGGCCCCTGACGTAACCTACATCCGCGGCATCTACTATTGCTTCTACTCCGTATCGACATCCGGCAGCCAAACGTCAGCGATCGGATATGCGACATCCACAACCCTCGAGTCCGGGTCCTGGAGCGACCAGGGCATCGTAGTGACGTCGACGGGCAGCAGTCCGTATAACGCAATCGACTCCAACGTCGTCAACGGCACCGGCGACAACGAGTGGTACCTGCAGTGGGGTTCGTACTGGCATAACATCTACCAAGCGCGCGTCTCCATCAACGGGCAATACGTCTTCCGCTCTGGCAACGAGCACCAGCTCGCGTACGAGCCGGCTGATAACCATAAGATGGAGGGCGCTTTCATTTACAAGAAAGACGGTTTTTGGTACTTGTTCCTAAGTCGTGGTATCTGCTGCACGTATAACCCGAGCACGGATCCCATCGACCAGGTCTACCATATCAGTGTCTGTCGAAGTAATAACCCCGCCGGTCCGTACACTGATAAGTCCGGCGCTGCTTGCACTAGCGGTGGTGGTACTACGGTGCTGGCTAGCCATGGGAATATATATGCGCCTGGTGGACAGGGTGTCTTTTATGATAATGCGCATGGCGACGTCTTATACTACCATTACTGTAAGTGTTTCTCCCTTTTTAATTTCGCAGTGGCATCTTGTACTAACCTATTTGATAGTGGATAAGTCTGTTGGTGTAGATTACTCCCAGTCCAAATTTGGATGGAATGTATTGACTTGGACCGATGGATGGCCTACGGTGTCTTAGATATATCCATAGCCATATGACAGTATAACTCGAAATATTTGAACATTGAAATAAAGTTATGTTAATGAGTCATGAGACCGAGGTTGATTGCTCGGTTATCCGGTTTAATACCCTTCCAATAGGAGGTTCTACCATGTAAGGCAGACCTCATGGTAGGGTACCGGTACTTGTAATGCATTACGTACGCTACGTACGCACTTCTACCCGCACCCCAGATGGGAGCCAATAATACCGTCCACGGCATATGTACCTTTATATATACTAAGTCTAAAGCGACTTCAGAAGCGTCTGATTTGTTGAAATTGTATCGATTGTTTCACTAAGGATTCTTCAACGAACAGCGCCGGCTGAATGTTGAGGCCTTCAGCACCATGCATAATGCTCGTTATTAATCCATATCGGGGGCGACACGATGTCACCGTTTTCACCGTACCACATGCCACTAGCAATACTATCTTCCTCGCGCTCTACCACATTGAAATCAATTTTGCTCTTTTTAATTGCTCGTTGAACCCATGGAGAAGGTTCCCATAATTTAACAGAGTCTAGATGCCGTTCTGCTGCTTCAGCTTGAGCCGCCTGAAGGACAGCCTCCAGATAGGATGATTGCTCGTTAGGCAGAACAGGCCCGACTCCATCCACGCCCACAGGTTGATTTGCGCTCATGTCACCTTCCACAACAAGTCGCAAGATATAAAGAACGTTGTTTGGGGACTCCGCATCATGGCGACCGTAGTATCGATGCGTCCAAATTGCCCATACCTGTTTTCCTAGAGGCCCGGCAATTGCACCCTTCGCTTGGGGTATCTTGTCGAAGAGATGTCTAGTCGCAAAATCCCCCTTTCTTATGTGCCAAAGCATATGATCAAGATCAGGTAGGATTGTCACGCGTTTCTTTACTCCTGGCGCTGGAGCTGCCATAGCCTCACGGATCATGATTTCGTCTCTCCTGCAAAGTTCAGGGAGGTCACTCTCTGTGACCTCTTCGACGAGACTAGATTTGGGAGTCTTCAGTGGGGGGAATTCAAAATGCATATTAGTAGGATTAGGAATCCATCCTAGCTTTGCATAGTATGCCTTTTCGATGTCTGAGTATGACACACTACCAACAACTTTGGCATAATCTGACTGCCAATTACGAAGAAGTCTAGCAAGCTCCTTCATATGGCGAGCAGCATAACCGCGACCTCGGTACTCTTCAGGGCAAAAAACGCTAGCGATGCCGTGGACGACCACATCCTCAACATTTCCATCGGCATCGCTCGTTAAGGAGCGCTTGTAGAAACTTTCGCAGGAGCAGACGATTGGCCGATTGTCTGGTGGTAGGTTTTTATCAACTAGAATCCAGGTAGTCATTCCACCATCCTTTGCCAGCGGGATAGTTGTCAGGAATAGAGATTCTTCCAGATACTCTGGGAGTTCAAGGGAGTCTCCCCAAGACGTCGAGGTGTTAGTCCAGATCTTGACACATTCATTTTCTGTCGGGTGGCTGAGATGAAGCTCGGGGGCGTCGGAATTTGGTAGGTCGGTATGTATATCTTGAGATCCCATGGTTATTAATAAATGCATCAAAATTAAATCATTCATTAACTAATCACGAGAAGTCCGTGTTGGTGCTTGCTGACATGTTGGCGTTATACTCATGCATGTACTCAGATACTAATGATTCGTTGGCTTAGGTAGGTAGGTACCCAATTTCTCTTCTCGAAAATGCCATAAGTCCATGGAAAGTAACAGTACAAACTATATCCAGTGATGAATAAGATATCTTGTCATTAAAAGAGTGGCCGCTCCATACCAAGAATATTATCTTAGGGTACATTTAGAGATACTTATGAATGAAAAGAGAAAATAGTGAGGCAAATTTCGATTTGATAGGCGATACGGAGCGGCAAGTGAGGGGTTAAAGCTGGTGGCTGGGTGGCTGTAGTGGTCCAACAATGGGTTCCATCGTGTACCCATTGACACCTATCCTCAAGATTGATTCTTGGATTGATACAAATAATATCGCCTCCTAACAACAAGCCGCGCCTTTAATTATCCTTCTGCATCCCATCCCATCTCACGAAGTTCTTCGCATCCAGACCGAACAGATCCAACAACCTCCCTGTCATCTGATCAACGATGTCTTCCACGGACGAAGGCTTTGTATAGAACCCGACAACGGGCGGTGCAATAATGGCCCCTGCCTTCGTGACGTCGAGCATATTTCGCAGATGAATCTCGCTAAACGGGGTCTCGCGAACGGCGAGGACGAGACGACGTCGCTCCTTGAGACATACATCGGCGGCACGTGTAACGAGATCGTCGCATACACCAGCGTTGATGGCCGCGAGTGTGCGCACTGAACAAGGAGCGACTATCATCCCATCGACGTGGTAAGAGCCGCTCGAAATCGGGGCTGCGAGATCATGCGGACTAGATTACAATAGAAAGGTCAGTAAAGGGGAGGTTGAGAAGGGAGCTTTGAAGAGAAGGATGCCTCGAACACCAGTTAGCTCACCTGTACGCATGGTCCGCTAGTGCCTTTACAGCCGCTATTGTGTAATCAGTTTCCCATTTGATGGTTTCGCCAGCCCATTTGCTGATAATAACATGCGTCTCTACATTGAGTCGGCGTAGTGATTGAAGAAGTCGGATCCCGATTTCTGCACCTGTGGCCCCTGTGATAGCGACAACGATCCTCTTTCTCCTTTCGAGTACGGGTACTTCCATCTTCGATACGATCTGGATGCCTCGATAGTTAACACCTTAGATATTCACAGTCGAATATTTTCGTGCTCTTAATGGTGGGCGAACAGATTCCCTGGAGAATTAGGTAAGTGGTGGTGGCTCAAATGGAGTTGTCTATAGAGCCTTGAATAAAAGGTAGTCAACTTTGCGACTTATAGGAAAGATATTGGAAGTATTTATTTTCTATGCGTAATATTAACATTACTGCCGTCGGGATTGCATACTAGGACTACGGAGCCTTTCGGACACTTCGAAGTCATGTAAACAAATTTCACGCCTAAATTACAATTGGCGTATCGCCTCAATAATCTACTTCTATTTCAACTTCAATCCTAGTCACTAAAATCACAAAGTAGATCTCGCGATGGAGAAGGACGGCTCGGTTCGGAGGCTTCGGTGGCCTCGGGTTAAGGAGCTGACCAAGGAGCAGCAATGCAAGTACACTGAGCGGCCTCGCGCGGATGAACATAAATAAGATCAAGAAACTTCGAATGTCGAAAAAGATTACTATCCAAGCTATCGGCATAGATCTTCATTCAATTGAGTTTACAAGTAATTTTACAATTGTCCATCCGAACACCTTGATACAAGATGTCATCTTCCACCTCAACAACCACTGCCAAGCAGCAAAAACTCCCCCATTTGAACTTCCGATCATACGTACAAGCCCTCAAAGACGATGGCGACCTCGTCGAAATCAACAAGGAATGCGACCCGCATCTCGAGGTCGGCGCCATTACCCGCAAGGCCCTCGAGGACGAGGATAAAGCCCCGCTCTTCAACAAACTCAAGGGCCAGAACGAGAACGGACTCTGGCGCATCCTTGGAGCCGTAAACGGGTTACGACCGGACCCAAAGCAAGTCTTCGGTCGAATCGCCAGACACATCGGTCTACCACCCACGGCATCTGCCAAGCAGATCATGGACAAGATCATCGAAGCCAAAAGCGGTACCCCTATCCCACCAAAGGTCGTCGAGTCGGGTCCTTGCAAGGAATTCCGCCTTACGCCCGACCAGTTCGATCTTGAAAAACTTCCATGCCCCCTACTCCATCAGTCCGATGGCGGGAAGTACGTCCAGACGTATGGAATGCAGTGTTTCCGCACCCCAGACGGGACCTGGACGAACTGGGCTATTGCACGGGCTATGGTGCACGACCGTAACCACCTCGCCGGCGCCGTATTGGAAGTCCAGCATATTGGCAAGATACACGCCATGTGGAAGAAACTAGGGAAGGACATGCCAGTGGCCATCGCATTCGGCGCTCCACCAGCCGCTATCATGGCCGCGAGTATGCCGCTGCCAGATGGCGTTTCAGAGCCCGAGTATGTTGGCTCACTTGTTGGGGCGCCGGTGGAGGTTGTTAAATGCGAGACTAATGACATCTACGTCCCTGCGAACTCTGAGATCGTTTTCGAGGGATCGATTTCGGCTAATGAGAAGGTGCCCGAAGGTCCTTTCGGTGAAATGCATGGGTAAGATAAACTCTTTTCCTTAATATGAACTGGAGAAGTGCTAACGAGGAATCAACAGATATATTTTCCCCGGCCAGACGCACCAGTGGGCCAAGTACACGATAGATATGATCACACATCGGAAGGATGCCATCATGCCAATTTCTAATCCGGGCAGGCTGACCGATGAGACTGTATGTATCAACAATCCCGCGTCACAAGTTTCCTATACTAACAAAACATAGCAAACCATGATCGGCCCTCTCGCCGCAGCCGAAATCGGATTCCTCCTAAAGTCCAAGGGCTTTCCCATCAAAGAATCGTGGTCCCCATTCGAGTCACAAGTGACATGGGTCGTCCTACAAATTGACACCGAAAAACTCCGCGCAATGAAAACGACTCCAGCGGAGTTCTCCCGCGGAATCGGCGACATCGTATTCCACGCGAAATGCGGCTCCATGATCCACCGCCTTGTCCTCGTAGGCGACGATATCGATATCTACAACTTCAAGGACGTATCATGGGCTTTTTGTACCCGCTGCCGTCCTCGTATGGATGAGTACTTCTACGAGGATGTCATCGGTTACCCATTGATCCCGTATATGGGTCATGGAAATGGTGATATGTGGAAGGGTGGGAAGGTTGTTTCGGATGCTTTGCTGCCGGCGGAGTATACCATCGGCAGGCTCTGGGAAGAAGCTAGTTTTAGGGGGTCATTTCCGAAGGAGTTGCAGGAGAAAGTGCTTTCCGAGTGGGAGACGCTGGGATATACTTCCTAAGGAGTCCTGGGCATGCCGCGATATTTTCCTCAAATTTTTATTCTATTTGAGTTATGTCAGACACATCTATTCTCGCCTATTAATTGAGTAATCATAGATATAAATTGTAGCTAAACTGAATATCATTCAATTTACCACCAGGCAATATCCCCTTTCCGAAGAGGCTCTGCCTTTCAACTTTCACACCAAAAACGGAGACTCCTCGCTTGCGAATGGTTCCGATAAGATAAAATCGGACACCCCTAAAGATGTGTCTCCTGAATCGAATGACGCCAGCCATTCGGCCATACTCCACGATCTATGATATGTCAGCTTAGTAGCGGGAAATGATGAATGTCGATCTCACTCTTGTTGATTGACGAAGTCAATTGATTCATTCAATCCGCTTGAATTGCCTTGTACCTGGGCATTTGAAGACATCCCCGACAAATTTTGCGGTACAGCTTCCCGTTCTACCAATGCCTTCATTGTCTGAAGGGCCTTCAATGTCTTAGTCAACGAACCCGATAAAAGGCCAACCGCTGTCGAATTTGAATCCAGACTATAGTCGTCTTTTTCCTGCTGAAGACTGATAATCATACTATCCCGAAGCGTTTTCGTCACATCATCATGCCTCGTTTCCTTCATCAAACTCAATAGAAGGACAGATGTCAATCCATTATGAATAAACGCCCACGACCTTCTAGCCAGGGGACTCATAGTCCGTAGACGTATATAAGCCCAGGCGCTGCGTTTTAACGAACCCTGGAGTCGATCTAGTATATCCCGACTATCACGATCGTTGGTCGTAGGAATCGACCCATCTGATAGGAACGGGCGGCAGAGAGCTGAGATGACGAAGTTCTTATGTAGATCGAAGGCATAACACTCCTCAATATCCTGCGCAGAGCCACAGAAATGGCGATCCTTGAGATGTGGAGAAACGCATTGATCAAGGAGGTCGATCTTTTTTAAAATAGATAGAGGCGTAGGCGGTGCTGTTGCGCATTTTCGGGATTCCAGGAAGCGGACTGCAATGTGGCAGAGCCAACCCATTGCTTGGCGGTATGTTAAACTGTTCTCGGGAGTAAGAGTAGGCAAATCTTCCTCGAAATTCATGTCGCTACACGATGGAGAGCGACCGAAAGCCACAGAGAGCAATGCTTCTTGTCGCACGATAGCAAGCCTCATATCAGGTCAATAGTTGCACTTTGAGCTCCGAAACTGACTGCAACTTACCGTAAAGATGCATTTCCCTCAGTTACGGACAATGACTCAGGTTGAGGTCGACAAGTATTCATACCTAAGCTCTGCGCAAGTCGTATCGTTGTCCCCACGAGAGCCCAAGCTGCTTGGGGTTTCATATCATCTTGTAGTACATTTCCGAGTATTAAGAGCGTTTGAATAGTCTCCTTAGAAGGTCGAGCTAGATAATCGGTCTTTACTAGCAACTCGAATGCGAGTTTTGCTTTTAATAGTTAACACTCTCAATTGGAACTGCATCAGTGTCTGGTACCTACTATGTTCATGGGATAAAGAGAATCGGCGCTCTAGAGGCATATCCGAAAATTGGGCACCATATGCCAACACTGCGTGTAACAAGCAAAGCCATCGAGGAATCTTATTCACGTCTAGTCCCACATCGGTACCTGGGCTGTGTCTGAATTCTATGATGGCGCATAGTCTCTTTTCCATTTGGTCGAGATCAAGAGGGATGGAATGAAAAGGGTGGACACGATGTTTGTAAGAGCGGAAAAGAGCATAGACATCTTGTTCGACTGATAAGAAGCTACTGAGAAGCGCATTTTCGAGAACGGTCATCAGCTGTTCTGTGCTTGTAGCTTCATTCACGCCTAAGAGAGGTAAAACACCAGTCTCGAAAGCGGCGCGGTCGCTAGGGCCATCAATGAGATGTGTAGAAGGCTCTTGGGCTAGCGTAGCGATTGAAGTAGAATGCGTAAGACGAGCCTTGAATACCCCGATGCTATGAGAGGGGTTAGGCGAGGTATGTGCATGCAGATCGGCTGCGGGTTGCTCCCTCTCGCTGGTGATACCTCCGTCTTGTGGCGATTGTATTGTTTCCACTCTGTGTTCCGTGTGACGATGCTCCGGTCGGGGATTACGATAAGAACACAAATCCGGATAGCCCCGTTTGCTACACGTTGCGCATGGTGATCCTTTATCGCACCTAACCTTCCTCTCTCGACATGGATCGCAGCTCTTACGGTTCCGAGCCTCCTGGCGACTACGGAGAACTTCTCTGAGACTACCACGGGATGCCGATGCCATCAGTATTGTGGGGCTGGAGTCGCATCTGGTATGTAGTTTGCAATGAGATAGATGTTTCATCAATGTCGCTTTGCCGTGCATTTCCGGGACCTTTTTCTCGTTTCTAACCCTTGTAATCTGAGTAAGATTCGGGCATAAATTCCGGGTATACCACCGCCTATAATTATGGCCCTGTTATATCCGACATTGGGAGGGGCCAGATCCAAATGGCGACGTTTTTCTTCATAAACAAAATTGCACCAATTCAACGGTTCAATATGTTCCAATCTTCTCAATCGTACAAATATAATTATTCCATATTTACATAGTCGCTCATATAACCCCGTAGGTAGATGGCAAAGAATATATAAACGTTCACGCTCACCAATCTTGCCAAATGTAGCTTGGCAAAACCGTCCTCATGACGGACCAATGCCCCAGAGCGCTCTTATCATGCCATTCCACCAATTTCTCGGTTTCGTTCACTCTAAGGATATCCGCGTCCGCGCTGGTAGCGGAAAACGCCGATTGCTCGACTTCGTGTTTAGGTAAGAGATATGCTCTTCTAGCGAGACTATCGAGGTAATCACCCTCTGTGGGTTTTCGGAAAGTGATCTCATTTCCGGTCTTGACGCAAAATACGAGTACATTATCGAAATCACGTCCTGTTTCTTCTACAGTTTCTGCGGAAGGTGGCTCTCCTTCTCTGAAGATTCGGCATGAGGGGAATACATCCTTTATCGTATTCATAACGATGCCGAGGGGAGGTAGAGTGAAATCACCGGCATAGTTCTATCTTAGTCAATCATCGCCGCATATGTGTGTTATCAATAAGGGATTACTCACAATGGCTATCACTCCATTAGGCTTCAGCATATGTTTTAAGCCTGTCAAAAACTCCTGGGTGAATAGGGGTATCGGCTCCGCGCCGCCCGTGAATACATCGTGGATGATATAGTCGTAATTTTCGCGGAGGTCATCCTTGTTAGACTGGCTCCAGGATATAGCGTCTTGAATTACAGCGGTGTGATTTGATGGTAAACCAAAATATTTCTTGGAAAAATCGTAGACCACGGGGTCAATCTCCACAATAGTCGTGTCAATACCATGTGCTATTAAGGCCGATGGTGTTGTTCCAATTCCAAGGCCGCTGAAATTTTTATCAGTAATTATACGTAGAATTGGTAATTAATTATAGGCTCACATGTTCAGCGCTTTAGCCTTGTTATCGGGTGTTTTGTTGGGAATCTGGACAAGTCGAACTGCCTCAAGTTGGGCAAAGACGCTATAGATGGGTTCCGCAACAATTTTCCGTGGAAACTTGGTCCACTCCCCACCAAGCAAGCTGTGATCACATCTCATCACTCGAAATCCGTCCCTGTGGCTATCCAGGACTGAAATATAACCCGTTGTCGATTCCCACCGATCAACTATCGACCATGCATTGATATGGAGAGTTGTGTTTAGGGAGTTGGTAGTTATCGGGGTTATAAGATGTGTGTTATAGAAAGCGGCATGTAAGAAGGCCGGGATAGCCCAGACCAAAAGTTTGGATCTGGCGAATATGCTGTAAGCTGATGCTAGCACCAGCTCCAACCCCACGCGTGTTTGTAAGACCGATTTTCCTATTTGGGCGGCCAATTGCTGCATCGAGTTATTTTCGAGTAATTTGAAAACTGCATATGATCCTAACCCCGGCGCGGAGCCGGCAAGAGATTTCGGCAAGCCGCTTAAATCGGCATTCTCGAGAACATCGGCGACACATGCCGTACTAAAAACCACCAGTGGGAATAGGGTAAAGGCCTCCGTTATTGTCGGCCCGATATTTGCGCCGAACGTCTCGCTCGCTTGGAAAAGAAAGGATTGTAGCATGGGAATATACGCCGCCACCAAGGGTAATAGGGTGATTGTCTTCACCGGTAAGACTCGCCTGAGAGCCAGGTTACCTCCCCATCCAACAAACAAAGCAGTCCAAACTAATCTTTGGTGCCACCTGGTCGCAGCGATTTGACCATATACAGGCGATAAAGTGAGTAGTGAGACGTTGGCGTAGACAGCCATGAGAGCGATCAGCGCCGCAGCCTTGGCGTATATGATGCCCTGTTGTGCTGCCCAATTGGCCCATGTCTCTTCCTGAGCTTGGCCTGCCAGCAATTTGAGCTCTTCTTCAAAGTCTTCCTTCGTCTCCGGGGGGTTCTTTAAGCCTTTGGCCTGAGATGGCCCCTTCTTTGGGGTTTGTTTCTTCGGAGGCATGGTGGAATGAATGAACGAATGAATGTCTAACCGATCAATCAAAAATAACGCCTTGCAATTTGCAAAAGCATAAAAAAAAGGAATGAAGAAATAGAGATATGAACTCTCACCAGCCAGCTGTTAGAGCTTTCATATTTTCTCTGGTTGTCGATTTGGTAAGTATTTGTTACAGGCTAAAACAAAATCGAATTGAACAGATTGGATGTTGATATCTCGATAATTCCATTAGAGGGAGCGAATTTAAGTGGAGACATTCTGAGGCTGGTAGGACAAGGTCCCATATCCGACACTAAGACACTTTTGGTCTAGCCTCAATATATGCCTGCATCTAGTGAGTCGATGACCGAATTCCGTTCTTACAGATTACAACCAAGGACTGGACTTGAGTAAAAGAAGATGACTCTTCACACAACAAATCAATGTGAAGATGGACGACGATGACTTTGGTGCGGACGCAGAGTTTCTCTCTGCTCTAGCTTCCTCTGCTGCTGCAAGCACTTCTAGCCAATCCCAAGCTAAATCGCAACCGGCGAACCGAATTCAACAGCCTACTCCCCAAAGAATCCAGCAACCAATTCCCCAGAAGATACAACAACCGGCGCCTCAGCGGTTAGACAAGCCGCCACCTTCATCTAATTCTGCGGGTTCTGGTATCGTGCAGCCGACACCGCAGGCCCTACCACAGCGCTCTTCCGGTTCCTCGATATTAGTATCACCACGTCAAAAAGGAAACCCTGTACTGGCGTCCCTACGGTCCGTAGCATGGGAATACAGCGACATTCCAGCCGACTATGGGCTGGGCTTGACAACATGTGCCCTATTCCTAAGCCTCAAATATCACCGATTGCATCCCGAGTACATATACACGCGAATTCGCAACTTACAAGGGAAATTTAACCTTCGCATCCTTTTGACTATGGTCGACATCCCGAACCACGAAGACTCATTGCGCGAACTCTCCAAGACTTCCCTAATCAACAATGTTACCGTCATCCTTTGCTGGTCCGCTGCCGAAGCGGCAAGATACCTCGAACTATACAAATCATATGAGCATGCGAATTTCAGTGCAATCAAGGGACAGCAAGCTACGAGTTACCCCGAAAAGCTCGTCGAGTTTGTTACAGTGCCTCGAGGCATCAACAAAGCCGATGCAATTTCCCTCGTCAGCGCTTTTGGCAGCCTGACGAACGCGATAAACGGCGACCCTGAACAAGTTTCCGTCATTAGTGGTTGGGGAGAGAAAAAAGTAAAACGCTGGTGTAGTGTTGTAGAAGAACCCTTCCGAGTTCAACATGCGGCTAAGAGACGCCTTGTTGAAGGCGCGAATAGCGCTGCCGACAAAGCCATTCCATTAAGTCGAGTGCCGCTTAGGGATATGCCTAGTTTATCAGCGAGCTTGTCTCGAGACAGCACGACTCCGCAACCACAGCCGCCGACCTCTACAAAACAAAAGGAAGTCCGCCGAAATCAAGATACCGTAATTGCTGATGATTATGACGAGGAAGCAATGCTAGCAGCAGCCATTGAAGAGTCGAAGAAGGATATGATGCAAGAACAACCATCTAGCTCGACTTCGAAAGTTCGCCAGGAAGAGAAGCTCAGCGACGGTATAGCTGCGGCGTTGGCCAAGCTCAGAGACAAGGGATAAGAGATAGAGAATAGGAGAAAACCATGATACCTGCCTAGTTCGGGTGAGCTAGGCGAAATGATCGGGGCATACCAAAATGTGCCACCTTTTTCGGTCTGGACATTTTGGACGTACATCTCCAAGCGGCTAACGAACAACATGGTGCTCGTGAGCAGACATGACATGACAGCAAGCAGCGTTAGTTCATGATGCATCTTTTCATATGATTGTGCACAGACCACATATCACCGGCACAAATAACATACCCAAGTCCTTGTTTAGGTACTCACACGTCCACTTAGGTATAATTGATGTAATCATCCATAGAGCTGGGGTTATAGGGCGCTAGTCGAGGTCTTAGTCGATTTCCCCCAGGATCCTAGGTGAGGCGGTCTAGCTACTGTCGATCAGGTTTGTCTTTAGCTTGGGAGAGTCACAAGATATCTTGCAGATATTTGCGTCAATTTCTCAATCCCCCGAAATATCCAAGTCACTTCAATATTCCTCGGTAAAATATCAGATATCTCAAAAATCGGTTCGGAGTACGATACGACGCTGTGAGATGTCCACTTCACTTATAGCGGCACATCTAGACCGAACCAAACATCGTGAGCAAGATCTTAGTCAACTGCGGGCCGGGAAATGAGAAAGGGCGCTAGATTATTAGTTTACAAACCGAAGAACCACCACATACACTACTACCTACCTACCTTGAAAAGATAGCTAATTCATTCCCTATGGATGCATATACGACACGTCGTGTAGTGTCGTGTTGTTTTTTATGTTGAAGAATAAAGCAGTGGAGATTAGGGAGGAGGCGTATAAGCGGCAGAATGGTAGGAGTTAGATAGGAGGTATGTGCGTTAAATGTGCCCCGCGAAGAACTAACGAATAGGCGTAAGCAGTACCGTCGGCGGCTGTGAGAAGCCGACGCCTTTAATTTCGGCGCTTTTTCTCTTTCTCTTTTTTTTTCACATGGATTCCCCGCAAATCATCAGCTTAGATAAGAGCAGTGTAGCTGTCCTTGCCCATTTCCCGAACCACCTATGATAATGGAGATACTGAACCTAATCTCTAAATTTTTGGGGTAAGGTACCGGAAGCTTAATTGCAAATAGTTGGGGTCTAGTTGGCGCACAGCAGCGGCGGAGTTTCCATGTCAGCCCAGTTTGCTGCTGTTGCTTTGTTCCTTTAGGTAGGTACCTCCAGCTAAAGTATAACGTTTAGGTAACGTTGGATCCAATCGAAATCCAGGATTTTTCCCCTAAATACCCTTGCCTCTTACCTTTTTTAACGTCTATACCAACATGCCGCTTCCTTTGCATTCCTTACTTTGACCATCTTTTGCCCCAATTGGGCATATTGGGTATCCAGATTTGGTTAGGCCCATTGTTTATTTCGCTATGGTATGCATCTCATTACCTCATTGTACAGGGAGATTAGTACAATTAGTATAGTTTAGCTCGGTCTAAGACACAAATTCCCGTCTTATCCACCGTGGGGACCCCGGGGTTAAGTCCTTGTACTCTCTTCTAGTCACAAGACATTCCATCAAACTTGGAAGCTCCCCATATCTTTTCTTCTATTTTTTATTCTTCCTCATTTTATTGCGGCCCGTTATTCATTGACCCCTCTCCTTTACTAAGAAACTAATCCTGCTTTCTTGGGCCAAGTATCTCGGTATTGTAGATCTGTTTCTCCTTTTGGAAGGTCTTACAAGGCCTAATAATCGCTATCCGCCAAGTTATCTCTGGTCTATTGCTTTCGAGGATGAGACTAGTCTTGACTTGACCGCGTTGACATTGGCGACATTGTTGCTTGACGGAAAAATTCATCCGATCTAGTAAGTTGTAGGTAACGTATCCCCCTTTTCGCCTTGACCTACAGAGCTTCTTAACCTTACTCAGGATAAGTTCTGTTCTCAATGGCATCATCTGAACTATTAATGTCTTAATGTTATAGCGTCCGGTGCGAGCAAAAAGCTGTGACTACCGTGCCACATGTTCTATCTTAAGTGAGACTTGGGATCCTCGTGCTGGCATTCTGTGATCAACAGTGTTGCATTGCAGCGACCCTTAGCTGATCTACTCCTTGTCCCGTTGGTCGGGTGCCTGTTACGCGCCAGGAAATAACCCGCGCCCGCGTTCCCTATCTAATAAACTCACGAGCCGCAAACACATCTACTTTGCCATATGGACAATTCTGCAGGCCAAGGTTAAGATGTTGCTTTAAGCTACCTAGCCACACGCACGTACTCTCACACTCTCTTACTCTTCCTAATCACACATTGACACCTACATACCTACATACACACCCCCATTCACCCTCCGAAAGTGAAGGCCCCGGCATACAATCCCTGCTACCTAGCAGTCTAGGTACCGATTTCTTCATCATGGACTGGGTTTATTTAAGGAATATGGCTATGCAGGCGAGATATGGATATGTCCATCCCCCGGACATAGATCGTCACCACCCACCCTGGCATCCTAATCACGCTTGATGATTTACATACCGGAAATTCCCATGTAAACACATCTTATAAGACTTGGTCCTTTTCCCATTTGCTTATCTCTTTCCTTCTCTTTCCTATCTTCAGCCTTTTCAGTATCATTAGGCTCGATCGGCAGGTTGTTTCTTGTCCTGTTCTTGCGGTAGCGTTAGATTAGCTGATCTGCTACGTACTGCTACATCATGGTTAATCTCAGATGGACTTCCGCCCTTCTGGGCTGTGCCTTACCGGCCTTGGCCCAGCCTTCCTACGTGTCCCATCCTGACAGAACCGCCGCCGTTAAGGAGGCTTTCCAACGGTCTTGGGATGGCTACTTTCAATACGCCTTCCCAAATGACACATTGAGGCCTATCTCAAAGACCTATGAGAATGATCGGTGCGTAAGGATCTCGATAAAGGCTCAGGCCGTGCGCTGACATAAGTGATAGGAATGGTTGGGGAGCCAGTGCTGTTGACGCCATATCCACCGCCTTGGTTATGGGAAATCAAGACGTCATCAACCAGATCGTAGATCACATCCAAACGATTAACTTTCAGGCCACCGCCCCCGAGTCGACAAATGTCTCCGTATTCGAGACGACAATCCGTTACTTAGCAGGTCTCTTATCAGGTAAGCTCGGCTGCAAAAAGTCGCTTCATATGTATTAACATACCACCTTCTAGCGTATGATTTCTTGACTGGACCCTTGAAGCAGTACGCCAAGGACCAAGCGTCGATAGACAAAATTCTCGCACAAGCGGTCAGCTTAGCCGATGTTCTCAGCGTTACTTTCAACACTCCCAGTGGAATTCCCATCAACACCCTAAATTACGGCAACGGTGGATACCAAGTCGGTGGTGACACTACCAACGGTCTTGCTACTATCGGGACCTTGGTACTTGAGTGGACTCACTTGAGTGATATCACCGGAAATGACACATACGCCAAATTGTCGCAGGCCGCCGAAGAGTACCTCCTCAACGTCAAGAACCCAGACGTTGGTGAGCCGTTCCCCGGTTTGCTTGGAACTGATGTTAACGTTACGGACGGTACCTTTACGGATTCAAGCGGTGGCTGGAACGGTGGCACGGACTCGTACTACGAGTATCTGATCAAGATGTACGTCTATGATCAGGACCGCTTTGGCCTCTACAAGGACCGATGGATTGCTGCTGTCGACTCCAGCATTAAGTACTTGGCGTCCCACCCGACCAGCCGCCCCGAATTAACATTCCTTGCTGCCTACGATGGACCCAACCAGCTCTCGTTTGTGTCTACACATCTTGCTTGCTTTGATGGAGGAAACTTTATTCTCGGCGGTCTAACGCTAGACAACGATCAGTACAAGCAATTTGGACTTGACCTCGTAGAAGCTTGCCACGAGACGTACGTTGCGACGGTTACCGGTATCGGACCGGAGGTTTTCAACTGGCAGGATAGTAACCTACCGGCGAACGCTTCTAACAACAGCCCGCCGCCTAACGATTCTGCCAACTTCTACAACACCGCCGGATTCTGGATCCCCTCCGGTGGTGGGTCCTACGTGCTACGACCCGAGGTTATCGAGAGTTTCTACTACGCCTACCGTGCCACAGGAGACACCAAATACCAGGACTGGGCTTGGGAAGCGTTCCTGAACATCAACGCTACATGCAGCGCGGGTGTAGGATTCAGCTCCATCGATGACGTGAACGTTGCCGGTGGCGGTGGGTTCGACGACTTCCAGGAGAGTTTCTGGTTCGCCGAAGTCCTGAAGTACAGTTATCTAATCCAAGCGGATGACGCGGAATGGCAGATCAACGCCGCGCATGATAATACCTGGGTTTTCAACACGGAGGCGCACCCCTTCCAGGTTAAAGGTAAACCGATCTAGACGCATATAGACGGGGCCAGGTGTACATGATTGGGTATATCTAGCGAGGGTGGCTTGTCTTGCATATGGGCGGCGTTGATTTTTTTTTTTTTTTTTTTTTTTTTTCGAGACTTAATTTGTACATATTTATCGGCATCTATATCCGAATATTTATTGAACGTTATTTTATCAATTATGCTTATCTTGCCGTGTGGTTGTTACGCTTGTGCTACGGATGGTAATCACCTTAAAGATACTGTGCCGCAATTTAATTGAGAAATCGTGATCGCATGACCCTGCATCATGAATATCCTCAGCTGAACAAGCTAAACTCCGAACTGTAACACATTTATGTTTTATCTACCTAATGATGAACGTACGGAGATATGTCCGATGCGAACACCTGATCTCGCTCCATTTTCACCTCGTCCAAGGTTTAATACCCTTTCTCCGAGTCCGTACTTCTTATGTTGGAAGCCGAGACACGCTTGTACCCGCTAAGCGGTGACCCCCAACATTCCGGCGTCGCACGGCATGTGTTTAGCGGGTCTGTGTCGGTTAATAGTGGGTGAGGCTCTTGTGTTACGGGACGGAAAGGGTGGCTTACTACAGATTGATAGGTTGGTAGGACACGGAAATTGTCTGCCCGAGTTGGGTTTTGGGGGTTTTTACTTGGGGGGAGTTGATGTTACATAGGTAGTGTACTGGATCGTGACGTGAGGATTTTGGTGTTTGAGGGGTTCGCGGTTCACTTGCGCAGATATCTACCTACAGTAGGTAGAGAAAATACCAATCCAAGCCTCCACGCTGATAACCATACATATTAAACTGGTGGTGATCTTCGCTTTGTTATAAGATGGGGTTTTATCCTTGGGGGCGTAGACGTATTCTTGTAATTGGTATTTGGAAGTACGGCGGGGCGATGTCATTAGGTACCTATTCCTGTTAACATGGGGGAAACGTGGTTGGAAAAATCTATAGCTGGTGCAGTAGAGTTGGGTAGGTATGTTGGTGTTGATGGCTTGTTAGTTGGGGGGTAGTAGTGTCAACTTATACTCGAAGTAAGGGATGAGTATCTCACCCGCAGATAGGGCTAACGTGTTACCGCCCCCTTCACCATAAACGCAACATTAAGTATGATCTCATAGGCGAAACTTTTTCGATATGCTCGAATTAGTCAGGCATAATTGTAGAACGATTATAAGTGTTGGTTACCCCAACCGCACAATCTTCCACATTCGTAAACACTCCTGCAAGTCCAACGACAGCGTACCTTCATGGGCAGTCGCAGTATCCCTAATCAACGCAACTAGAAGGCTAGCAAGGGCGAAGGTTTCCTGGTCATCTTCGAGGGCAATCAAATCAGATCTTCTCATGCCCCCATTATCCGCCCAAGCCTTCCACAAATCCAGCATCCTGCATATTGAAGAGGCAAATTGGCCATCAAGGACCATACGGTGTAATAACATCCCAACAACATCCCTAATCATCAATGCGGGGTCAATTTTCATACTGCTATCAACTCTACCCTTAAGCCAGCGTAAGTTATGCTCAGCAACAAGCATGCTATCCCATTTCGGGCTCTGCAAAGCCTCAGATGTGCGAGCTTCTCGGCGTTGGCTCTGAAGTCGCGATTGATCGCGCACTATTAGACGTTCAAATCAGTATAACCATTTCCACGGGTGGGGGCTGTGGCAAACTTACTATCTTGCATCCTTTGGTTGCTCTCCCTTTGCATTCGCTCACGGGCCGCGATCTCTCTTTGGGGAGGCGTCATCCTAGCCTCAGACGCCATCGCTAGACGTCGCTCTGTGCTGCGTCTTACGAATTGTTCATGTGCTTCCCCGCTGAAATCGTAATTTGTAGCCCATTCCGGAGTCTGGGAATCGTCTATCACGCCTAAAAGAACAAGGACACCACATGGAACCGTATCGCGCCGGGCGAAGTTGAGGATCTCATCAGGGATTTTGTAGTTCCATAGTACAGTCTGACTGGTTGTTCCGTATGCCGTGGCCACGCTCGCGAACCATACACCGTCGGATTTCCCTAAGCGGATTCGTAGTGGCTCTATGTAAAGGCTTTGGACATTTGCAGATGAGAATAGGGACCCCTCCTCTTGGCTCATTGCGGCGACTAGACCGTCGACAGATATTTGACAAGTTATGGTGGTCCTTGCGACCTTCTCGGCTTGCTTCTGGATCGAGTCCAGAGATTCCTTTCGTACGCTACCTCCCTCCCTCTCTTTAGTCTTTTCTATAACCTCTGGCTGTTGGCCATCTTGGGATTCAGATGCTCCTTCTACAGGATCGGCAGTTTCATCTTTTTTCACTGGTTCTGGTATTGGTAGTGGTGGGAGCCTAATCCAATACGGAGGTAGGGAATTGGTATCCCGTGTCGTCCAATGCGGTGACCAATTAGCTTTCAGTGAGAGGTGCCCGTCAGAATCATCCAAAGGAGCGATAGTCAGAGCTTCATGGTATCCATCGGGGGATTTCATTAGTGAACAACCCATTGGAGTCCACAATCCAGTCGAGCGCAGTAATTTCCAACCATGAGCGTCCGGAACAGCTCCCAAATCAAGAAGATAAGCTACAAGCTCATCGAATGCGACATCGACCTGGGGTTGACGAAGCTGATCGGCATACTCGACTCGCTGAGTCTTGGCACCGATAGCGCGAGATTGCCAGTTGAAGGTAGTCCATGAACCACCGGGGATTGAGCTTGGCTGTCTTGAGGGTTGCCAATATAGCTCTATATCAGTGAAACGATCACATGGTGTGACGGCGTAGCGAGGAAGTTCCACTTCGATAACGCGGTTTACCACGTCGCTACGCGTTAACGCAGTGAGTCGACCATGTCTGAGCATGCGCTTTATTTTTGATAAGGCGGCTAGTGTCGCGACGGTGTTGTATAAAATGGGGAGTACACCTAGGACGGCTAGGGGCACACCGATGAAGGTGATGATATCCGTTGCCGAGTAACCTGAATTGTTCGAAGACATTATGTCTCTCTGTTAATAGAGAACGGACTTGCTGACTGAAAAACCAAAGTTATGAAATAGCTTGGGAGAATAAACACAGAGGTTAGATGAAAATTGACCATCCCGGTCCCAGTTCAGCCCCAGCTGAACTGCGAGCTAGTGGGAGTTGGGCTAGGTACATATCGTGGCATTCGCGATGGCATCCTTCTAGTACACTTCAAATTAATGAATACAATCTAATATAATACCCTTTTAAAATCAAGTGTCTCATATCGATAGGTGTAGCCAAGAGATCAACTAGAAAACCACCGGTCGCCCCCTTTACAAATAGGATTATGTCAATATCAAATCCGATTGACCGGGTGGGTTAATGCAAGGTACCCGACACTAGGATGATGCCGGGCTCGCCAATTTGAATTCATCGCGACAAAAGATCAAATAATACAAGCATCGGGTCATTATTCAATCAAGAAATCATTCGCTTTTTAGATCAAAGGAGAGAAAAGTCTTAGGTCAAAGCTAGGTCGCATAATGCGAGATTTCATAAATATATGCACAAACCATTCTACGATCATGGCATAGGAGTTTGTGTCCCTTCGTAAAGTCCGAATAATTCACACAGTTTTAAGCCACTGACGGTTAGATTTCCTGACGATCCCACATCATCACGATCCGTGCTCTCTCGCTCTCCCGCCGCGAAACTCAAGCGAACGTGTTTGTATTGATAGCTCGCGAAGTGAATGACTGCCTTACACAACAGGTTCCTCGTCCCCTTGTACCAACCTGAAACCGCGTTTGAAATATTCGCGCAGATTATCCGCAGGTTTAGTGTGTCTACCGGTGCGGATGTAGATCTAAGTTCGTATAATGCGAGTGGACCGGTTAGTGCTACGAAGACTTTTGATTTACCGAAGAGTCCGGAGAATACGTGTTGGATCCGCGATGCGCCCGGGAGTTGTTCTAATGAACAGATACGCGCGCTGCGGGATGGTGAGGGGAGTGTGGTTAATGGTGTACTGCAGATTGGGAGTTCGGGCACGAAGTCGCCGCCTACTGCTGCGTCGGATGTTGCGACGACTACAACGCCGCTTATAGGTTTGTTTACTGCTACGGGTACATCATCGAGTGTGGCTATCCCTAATCAGGGATCCAGTATTGATTTGTGCTTCATGATAGGTACTATTGGTGCCGCGGTATGAATTATTTCGTAGGTCAAGGCGGTTACGTGATATGATAATGAAGTTTCATGAGCAACTTGGATTTGTGACTTTTGTTTACGTTCACTGGATACCCATACATATACGCATTTCAGGTATTGCAAGAATTGCTTTATGGGGGCTGCATTTGAATTGGCATGGTTTATGGATTATGTGCTTAACGATGTAGATTTGATATAAACTTGCTTCTTTCCATCTGCCATAACAGTAAATATCCTAACTACGCTGCTCATAATATACCATCTTCGCCCAACGGCCAAAGATATAATGAATTCACTTACCTGTACATCGCTTGCTACAGAGCACCAACAAAAGATGGGGAGTTACGAGTATGATATTCGAATAGTGCACTATGAAATAAATTAGCTTGAATCATAACTTTAAGTCAAACAGAATCAAGGTTAATGTCCTATATCAGGTGTAAAAGCCTTGTCAAAGGTAGTATCATCAAAGCTATTGAGCTATGTTGACCGTCGTGAATTATTGGATCATCATGTAAGGGATCGAGAAAATACTAAACATTGTAGTTGGCTTACCTTATAATAAAGTATCCAAGGCAAATTTAATTCAACTATTCCAACTAGTTAGTTGATATCCTTCGGCGGAAGAACATCAAGAGACTTGGTCCACTGCGGTCAGGCATGACTGGAGTCATCAACGCTGTGAAGCTCTGACATATGCTTGTCAATTTTTTCGTCAAATCATCATATGCAGTAGGACCAAGTCTTCTGAGTGGTAAGACCGTACTGACCAAAGTATTGTCAGTCAAGACAGTGTTGAGATCTGTAAAAGTTAGAATATGATATTGGTTGAAGGAGAAAATAACCAATATGAAAAAAAAAAAAGAATTCAGAAAATGCATGAATGGTAGTAAATAAGGTTGTCTACAACGGAAACCCGAATCAGACTCGTCATCTAATGCTCATCAGGTACAAGAATTGTCTGTCTGAGTACGAGAAAAATTAACTAACCTTGACTGTAGATAGTGCCAAACAATTAGGCGTATCGCGAGATGTGGTTGGCAAGACTTCTTATCCAAATAGACCAACTCTACGAAAGCCAATGATGTTTGACGATTACATACTAGGTGGTGCCGCTAGTCGGACAATCCGAGATTAGCGAAAGCTTCGCTAGGATATTATGAAGGTCGAGAGAGTAATAGGATCAGTGGGCGAGGTTTTCTAGGCCTGCCACAAAATGGCGTATCGACTCATGTGATAGTGATTCGGAGCCCAGTGCCGCTTCATCATATCGAGGTTGGTGCAGGTTTATGGAGGAAATTTTGCATACCTGTTAATCTGCGACGGTGAACTGTACCAAATTAGCGATTGCGCCAATCATCGTTTTGATAAATAATGTGGTAGAATTTCTGATCAGAAAACAGCCAATTTTTTATCGTCAAGAGCAGATGCTTCAGACGGTAATTTCCAGCTATGCGATTGCATAGAAAGAATCATCACTTAGGAAAAGTTCGGTGAAGCAAAGAGGGAACTTACCGATGGATGGATCACCGCGGGAAGAACGACGATGGCCATCACTCTACCATCGCAACTAATCTAGATTATACCCCAAGGTAGGGCGCATTACCTAGCTTCAAGTTAGCATAAAGAAGCTGCAGGTCTTGTTTCTTGACAATTCCAGATAGGACATTTCTGCTCAGACTGACGTGTAAAAACAGTTTCATTCCAATTGGTCAAAGACTCTAGTTTGCGGTTTACATATTGTCATCAATGAAGGCGAGAGATCTAGGAAAAAAGTTGGGTACTCACATTTTAGATTGTAACTATGAAGGAAATCTTCACGATGATGTTGAATGAAGGGAAAGCAATTGGTTTTGGAGAGAAGAAAAAAAAAATGTTTTTAGGACCCAAGCTTCACGCTGAGTGGGGCGTAGAAACACGGTGCCTGGCCGACAGAGCGGAAAAACGGGTGATGATTATCCGAAACAATGGGTTCTCTTGTACTTTTACACCGGAAAAATCCCGGTTCATGGGTTTGGAGATTCCCGATCCACTGCCCCTCCTCGGCCTTGGCATTTTTCAAGCTCCAACCAATTTTCGCCCCTCATTTCTTTTCCGTTTACTTCTTCATCATAGCGGTGTCAATTTTCTCCTGTGTTACCTAACTTTTCTTTTTTATTATTCTAATCATTCCTAAGCATTGCCTCATTTATAACTTAATATTTATAAAACTTCAAAATCCATCGGATGCAATGGAAACTTAGTAAGTAACGGCTAGATATGGTAAGTTTATCGCGTCACACGGAAGATCCGTGCATGTCGAAGCGAATCAACAAAATCCGGCTTGATCATGGCTGGTCATTGTACAATGTCCACACGACCCGAATTAAGGTACTAGTGACGTCTTCTGCCCGATCTCGCCGGCATATCCCGTCTCGGTATAAACGATGGCGGCTTAAATGTCATGACCCGAAAAATTCCTTTTCAGAAACCCAACAAGTACAACAAGTACTCCCCCAACCCACATTTCCCCTCGGCCGGCCATAGGGCTTGGTCGGTTCTAGTGTTTCCCAATGTTTGTGGCTTGAGGGGTCTAGATTTGACCGCCCGGGATAGATGCCGTATGTCATCGTACTGTTGTTACCCGCAACACCGAGCAAGCCAGTTGGAGGAGAAGAGAGAGGACTAGGTAGCTCGGTGGAGCAACGAAACAAAGGGGTGTCTGTCCGTTTGACACTTACTTAACACATTCATAAACTCCTAGCTATCCCATCTCCCCTCGGCATATATATTTTATCATTGCCATATTTTCGTACGACATTTCTCACGATAACTTGCCGGAGGTTACCCTATCTAGCCTAATCATTCGTGCCTACCTATCTACATATTCTACATATCGCTAGCAAACAACACTGTTTCAGTATTGTCCTACCCTCCATCTCTCCATTTTCCCGCATTTGGTGTTGAAGTCAACTTTCTGAGCCTCTTTTATACCTCCCACCATATCGATCTATCTTACTCCAATCTACTATCAATCTATTGTAAGCTGTATCCAGAATAATGGCGGCGAATGGCAATGGAAACGATGTGCCTCCGGCTGAAACAGCCGCTGTAAACACAAACATTGTCACCTTGACTCGTTTCCTTACGGAAGAGCAAGTAAAACACAAGGAAGCAACTGGAGATTTCACGTAGGTTCCAATTACACCGCAAAAGACTGGAATTGCACTAACTCATGGCACTGACGATCGCAGATTATTATGCCACGCACTACAATTCTCCTTCAAGGCCATCTCCCATTACATTCGCCGAGCCACACTAGTAAACTTGACAGGCCTCGCTGGTCAATCGAACGCAACGGGCGACGACCAAAAGAAACTCGACGTTATTGGAAATGACCTCTTTATTGCAGCCATGAAATCGTCAGGAAAATGTGCATTGCTAGTATCAGAGGAAGAAGAGGAGGTCATATACTTTAAAGACCAGACCGGAGCACGGTACGCCGTAGCTTGCGACCCTATCGATGGTAGTTCTAACTTGGATGCTGGTGTATCTGTTGGAACGATCTTCGGTGTTCACAAGCTCGCAGATGGCTCTACAGGCACAAAAGAGGATATTTTGAAGCCTGGTACCGAGCTACTTGCTGCAGGATTTACCATGTATGGTGCGTCGGCTCAATTAGTCATTACGATGAAGGGCGGTACCGTCAATGGTTTCACGTTAGATAACTCCTTTGGCGAGTTCATTCTAACCCACCCTGACATGCGTATTCCGAAAAAGCGAGCTATTTACTCCGTAAATGAGGGTAACTCGCTATACTGGGAAGATCACACGAAAGAGTATTTTAACTCTCTCAAATACCCACAAGATAACGGCAAGCCATACAGCGCCCGATATATCGGTAGTATGGTTGCTGATGCGTACCGAACGTTGTTGTACGGTGGTATCTTTGCTTATCCGGCAGACAAGAAGAGTCCCAAGGGCAAACTGCGAATTCTATACGAATGTGCACCAATGGCTATGGTGTTCGAAAATGGTAATTATCCATCCCAATTCACTCCTCTTATCAACATAACTAACAATCTATTAGCCGGTGGACAAGCTGTAGACAGCCGAATGAGACGAATGCTCGAGGTCGTACCGGAACACATACACGATCGATCAGGTATTTACCTGGGTAGCTATGACGAAGTTGAAAAGGTCAAGGGATTCTACAAATGATTCTAAGTCGAATGTAGTGGAGTTGGATAGTCTGACGGACTCTGGTGTCTTCGGCGCTAAGCTATGGAATGGAGCATTGGGTGCGTCATAGTAGAAAAACGTCGATTTCGTTCCACAAGATACTTTAATACAATACAATTGATGAACAACGTCGTCTGGTTTCCATGGTTTACTACCTAGGTATTTGATCCCCACCCGGGTATATGTATCCCAATTTCTAGAACAGCTTGGGGAAGAACTTGGGGGTATTTTTTCTCCACTCTTGGTAATCTTTACGATGACCATACTTGGCGTCATATTTCTTCTCACTCAACGGCGCACCCGTCACCTTTAATAGTAAAAATACTACAAACACCGGGCTTACATATGATAACGAAATAGCCAACAGTTTACCTGACAATCCACCCGGAAGTCCAAGGCCAAGCTGGACTGGACGTGTTACCAGAATACCTGCAGATGTTGTTGCCAAGCCTGTCCAGAGCGCGACCTCGCCGAAATAATTCGGGTATTGACTACATGTACACACTTCAATTAGCTCACAGCTCACACGCATGACTAAAAACCACAAGCTCCGAAAGAAGAATTGGAACTCACCTCCGACTCCAAAGTCCCCCAGTAATAAACGGTTCATCATGCAACTTATCCTTCCTCCGACGCAACCAAGCACCCTTCTGCCGATCCGCCGCGATCTCAAACGCGAAACCGCCTACAAATAACCCAAGTCCCAGAACATCGGCCACGCCAAACGGGACTGTAGCTAGAATTGCGGTTGGGACGGCGTTGATGGCTAGAACTGGGGCTAGGCAGAGTGATACCCATACCGCTTGCCCGAACCATGCTCCGGCGAATTTCGGGGCGGAGGAGCGGATTGGATCGAAGCGGGAGTCGTGGCCTTGGTGGAGGACGCGCCGGAAGAGGTATGTTCCTACTATGTTGGGTTTAGTTACCAATTCCCGATTATATGTTGCAGAAAGCGTTTGTGGGAAAATGAGGGTTACGTACGTCGAACGGACCAGAACACCACGGCGGCGCTGAGCGCTACTTGGCGCCAGTGAAAACCGCTTGCTGGATTCCCCGCGAAAGCGCTTTGAAGACTTGGGAATGGCGGTTTGGGGGCTCCGGCTAGGGTCGCTGCGGCACGGGCGCGGAGACTGGGTAGGTATAGGCTGAGTAGGGTGACGGTTAAGAAAGTCGCGGAGCCGGAGACGTCGTAGAAGCGCTCGGATTGTGCGAAGATGGAGGGGATGGCGACGGCGGTTTGGAGTGCGAAAGCTGCTGCTACGCTGGGGACTGCGACTCGTAGGAGAGGACTCCGGAAGTTGGTTAGGTGGAGGGATTTACTTAATAGACCGCTCGCCATCATGAAAATATAATCAACGATAATTGAGTTGAGAAGTATGCTTGTGTAGATTTTGAGAAACAAGGGATTATTATGAAGGGAACGAGCTCCGTATATAACTACATCGCGCGCGGCGTTACAAAGCCAAAAAGAAATATGACCATGAAGTCGTGACGTGATAGAATTCCCAAGTCGGCGAATAAGTACAGAGGGGCATGTCATTTGAGACAGGCGGGAAGTTCCGCTATAGCGGATTCTCTCAGCCCTATAATTAGTACATATCACCTATTAAGTGTACCTACTAGGATAGTTCAGTGCCCCCCTGATCACCATTATTAGAAATTAATCTCAAGATCTCAGAATGACTTTAGGGACCTTATTTAAAAATGCATTCGTTTACAATCTTCCCGATACATTGATTCAATCAATTTGTTTTCTATCAGGACTAGCTACCTGCCCGGCACAGATGTTTTGGATCTCATTCTTATCTAAGTTATACAAGGAGATGAATGGCGGTTTGAATCTTTCGTCCCAAAATAGGATGCACTTCATCTCAGTATATATACCTAACACACCTCAACCCCCTATACCCTCTTCCAAACCCTCTCTCCACCAAACCAAGTCTCCTCAACCTTTGCACCCAACAGGGCATCCCTATCCCACTGCATATCCCAAACCGTCAAATCCGCCACCTTCCCAACCTCCAAACTCCCCAGCCGATCATCCCAAAACACACTCCTAGCCGAGCCATAACTAGCCGCAACGACGGACTCACACACGCCGAGGCGGAAGTTATAATTAACGACCTCGTCGTATGCGGTGTTACGATATGATTTCCGCGTCGTGGCTACGTAGACATTGCCCATGATATCCCATGGTGACGTTGGGCTGTCACTGCCTAGGGCTAGTGCGGCTCCGCCGTCGGAAAACTCACGGTAGGGGAATGCGCGGGTGCAGCGGTGCGGGCCTAGGAGGGACGGCCAGGCGCGGAGGATCCATGGGTCGGCGTGGACGGGTTGGACGGATGCGGTGCTGTTGTGGTGTTAGAAAGCCTCATATAAGGGGTAATGAGGAGAAGTTGGAAGTGAGAACAACTTACATCCCTAGCTCACCTAGCCGCTTAGCATCTTTCGCGGACGCGAGCTCTAGATGTTCTATACGGTGGCGGTTCAGAGGGGAGCAAGTGGATAGAGCGTCGACGGCCATGGATATGGCTGCGTCTCCGATGGCGTGGAGCGCGATTTGCAGACCCGCAGCATCGGCTTTGCGGACAACTTCGTTCAGGATCTTAGCGTCCCAGAATGGTTGACCAGTAGAAGCCTTAGTGGCATCGACTCCCTTAAGATATGGTTCTGATAAATAGGCGGTGCAGGCGTCGACAATGCCATCGCAGATTACCTTAATACCAACAACGTGGAGGTCGGGGGACTCTTCGGCGCTCAATTGCTTATGTACCTCGATGGCACGGTCTACTTGCGCAAGACAGTCCGATTCTGAGGTCGAGGGTCTCATAAGCCAATATGCTGCGAGTCGGAATGGTAAAAGTCGTTCGGGCTCCTCTTTGCGTATGGCAAGTAAAATATCCCAAGCCTGGTCCTCCATCGCCATATCTATGGCCCCTATATAGCCGGATGCATTATACGTCTGGACTGCGGCCCTAATCCATTCTTCGCGATCCTTTTTAGTCGCTACCGAGGCAAGGAAAGGCCAAATAATATTGAAGACAGCTGCCTCATCAAAGGCACCTGTGGGGTTTCCATTAGAGTCCCGCTCAATTTTGCCTCCCTCTGGATCTTTAAGATTCTGGGCGTCGAGTTCCTTTAATGCGGGTGTACTACACCAGGTAGTGTGAAGATCTTTAGAATCTATGTAAATGGGTCGAGGATCTAAATCATCAATCAAGCTCGCTAGAGGCTTTGACATATATCTCATCCATCCTTTGCATAGAATTCGTGGCTCATCGGGATTTGCGGTCGCATGGTCTTTGATGGCTTTCCGCACATCTTCCAAGTTCTCGCAGTGATCGAGTGCGGCCTTGCTCAATGATTGCCCCAATCTCAACAAATGAATATGGCCGTCGATGAACCCCGGGAGAACAGTCCGTCCGTTCAATTGGTGGACGGTAGCGCCGTCGGCTCGAGCTTGGGAAATCTCATCGTCGTTTTCGGAGCCAACGTGTTTAATTATTCCTTCGTGGATGTAAATTGCATCTCCAAACTCAGGCTTCGTATCTAGCCCTGGCTGTTTGGCATGTAAGAACACCTTCCCACCAACAAAGACATGCCCATTCAATCGTGCCATAGAGGTTAGTCAGTATCGTCTCTCATCAAGCATTGCTATGAAATAAAGTAGAGGAGATTCAGCATTGAACTTTAAGCGTGGACTAGAACCTCATGTATCGCGAGGGCGACATCGGCATTATCTCTTTCTGAAAGGAAGTCGGAAGCGTCATGGCACCCCGCGCGATCCACCGTTCCATTGCTAGGTAGTTCAGCTAGGAAAGCTATCTGATCTGGGATCTTGTCCTGACCTGCCTAGCATAGCCTAGCTTTAAGCTTTACATATACGTCTAGATTCTGTAGACTGTTTCTTATGTATCTCTCGGAGTTGATTTCCATTCTTGATATTCCGTTGGTAACTTTATACACGCTTTAAATGGCTCTGCTGTTTGAGAGGGGCTGGTAATTCCGCCTGTAAGCGCTGTAATGTGATAATTCTCTGGCGGAGTGATACAGTACGACAATTCTAAGACGCAACATTCGAGATGAACGATTTCGCTTGAGATTGATCATAGCACCGCTGTTATTTATTGAAACGTGGTATTCCGATGATAATTGAGTGCACCTAGGTATACACCAACTAGTTTGCAAAAGATCGTTGTTGAAATTGGTAGAATGCGCCGAGGTACCGTGAAATCTGTACCTACGCCCCCTATCGGACCCCGCAATATTGATCAGATCAGGGCCATCAGATAAGATAAGATAGCGCTAATGCAGTGACATCTCCACTGGAAATGACGATTTGGGGGACCAATTTTTATTTCTTTCCACTACAACTACAGGATTGGGTTTGTCTGATACCACCCTAACGTAATAGGGTCACTAGCCGGTGTCCTCCGGTGGACTTGGCTTGGGTTTGGTTGGGAATCTCTTACGCTATCTTTCTTAGAAGCGACGATACAACATGGAGAGCAACCGAACGCTGAGACAGTCTCCACCTGTACGCGGAGAACAAGGAGTCGAACCCCTTTGTTTCTTGCGGCTGAACATTCAAATATATTCGCGCAACAGAAGTAAGAGATAATATCTATAACTCTGAATACAACTTCCACCTTTCGGTAATCTCGTTTGAGTCAGGTCGATATGAGTACCCATGGCGGTTCGGGTAAGACATTGGTGGTCGGCGTAGATGTCGGAGGTACGAGCCATTTATCCTTGACAAGCGAGTTCCGAAGCTCACCTTCATCAAGGGACCAACACCGACAGCGTTCTCCTAGATATTTCCAAATCTAGTGGCGATGCAGTACTAGCATCTCACAAAACTCCAACGAGCGCCAATGTGACGCTGTCCGTACAAGCTTCGCTGGAGACATTATTGAGTAAATCGACTGTAAAAGCTTCGGACATTACCGCCCTAGCTATTGGTACCACGCATTTTCTCAATGCCATCATCGAAAAGGATACATCTCGTGTTGAGAAAGTCGCGGTACTCCGTCTAGCATCCCATGGCTTCTCTGCTGGCGCGCCACCATTTGCGGATTGGCCGCGGGGTCTTGAGAAAATAATACATGGTCACTCAGCTATCATCCCAGGGGGATGTAATATCGATGGAACACTCATCGGTCCAATTGACGAGGCTTCAGTTAAAGAACAAGCCGCAATTATTAAATCCAAAGGGATAAAAAACATAGTTGTCGTTGGTATTGGATCCGTAACCGATGAGAAGTATCACCAGGAAGACACAGTGCACAAGTGGCTTCGTACGGAGCTAGGTGACGATGTCAATATCGTCCTCTCCCACAACATCGCAAGACCCGGCCTCCTTGCTCGCGAAAATGCTTCGATATTGAATGCGTCAATTATGAACTTTGCTCGACGGACTATTCGAGCTTTTATTGGCGCAATTCGACGCATCGATCTACAATGCCCACTGTATCTCACATCCAACGTCGGCCATCTTTTACCAGCTTCAGAGGCCATGCGAACGCCTATCCGAGTATTCTCGTCTGGAGCAACTAATTCCATTCGCGGAGCTGCGTTCTTAGCTAAGTCATCAATATCGCAAGCCGGATCCATTGTCGTGGATATCGGTGGGACTACAACCGATGTTGGGTATCTACTAAAGAACGGCTATCCGCGGCTAGCAAAGAGTTATACTAATTTGGCGGGCGTCAAGGTAAACTTGGAAATGCCGTCGGTGGAAAGCATTGGTCTCGGCGGTGGTTCCGTTTTACATGTCGCCGACGATGGAAATGTAATAGTCGGACCGGACAGTGTCGGACACGATCTTACTACGAAGGCACTGTGTTTTGGTGGTGATATCGCGACCGCAACAGATGTCGCAGTTACATCGGGCGTCGCTGGTGTGGGTACTTCTCAGATTTCTCTAACCGAGGAAACTGCGGCAAAGGCCAATGCGCGGATGAAGAAAATGCTTGAAGACTGTATTGACCGCGTTAAGCTTAGTCCGGAACCATGCACAGTCATTCTGGTCGGAGGTGGTTCGATTCTCTGCCCGAAGGAACTCGCCGGTGTGGATAAGGTAGTGGTGCCCGAACATGCCGGAGTCGCCAACGCTATTGGTGCCGCGATTGCGAAAGTATTTGGTGCAGCGGAGATAATCGTCAGGGGCGATGGTATTCAAGAAGGCATTGCACAAGTTAAAGCCCGAGCTATTCAAAACGCTGTTGCGCACGGCGGTCACGCGGATACTGCTATTATCCTATACGAAGAGGCTTCTGGAATACCATATACTACAGACCAGACATTGGTAAAAGTTGAGGTTGCATGTGAGGCGGACCATAAGAGGGTGCATGAAGAGATCGTTAGCACATCAGTCTCCGACGCACTGATTGATCAAGTATTATACGAAGAAACTAAAAAGCACGAAATCCCGGTTAGTAGAGAGGACGAGGAGGCGAAGGTCAAACTAAGCGATTACAAACCGGTCGTTACTCCGGCAGGCGAGTGGATACTCTCCGAAACAGATATACGCTTTCTGGGGATTGGATGTTATATCCTAGGATGCGGTGGGGGAGGGTCACCCTACGCTCCGTATCTTCACATGCGCCAGCTTCTGCTAGAAGGCGATACAATACGAATCACTCGCATTGAGGACCTAAAAGATGAGGATATAATGCCCCCAGTTGCTAGCGTTGGCACTCCAGCTGTGAGCATTGAGCGACCTGGAGGAAATGGTGTATTATACGCTATGCAGGCGATGGAGAAAGAGATTGGCGTCAAATTTGATCATCTAGTTGCGACCGAGATTGGTGGTGCCAATGGTGTCGGAACACTGATTTGGGGGAGCACGAGATTTTATAATATGCCTATAGTTGATGGAGATTTGATGGGTGAGTTTTTCAACAATGCTCTCTTTTCGTCTATTTACTGTTGCTAACCTCGTTATTAAGGCCGTGCATACCCAAATTTCGAAATGAAGTCGCAATATCTTCATGTATCTTCTGTAGACGAATTACTCCCGGTAATTCTATGCAGCGGCAGTGGTGAAACCGCCATCATACCCGCACCTCAACCCGACGTAGCTACCGCAAGCTTAAAAATCCGTACTGCGTGTGTGGGGATGGGTTCTGCTGCTGGAGCCGCCGGTCGTCCTTTCGATGGGAAAAGTATGCGTCAATTTGGTATCCCTAACACTTATTCATTAGCTTGGAGACTCGGTCGGGCAGTTGCTGTCGCACAGCAGACGGGCAATATTGTCGATGTACCCAAAGCCCTAATCGCCGTTGCTGGTGGTGAAAAGAGCGCGCAGGTATTGTTTCAGGGGAAAATCCGCAGCGTTAAAAGCACATTAACTACGACAGCCCATAGCTTGGGCGAGGTAACCATCGAGAGGCTTAGCGATAGTGAAATGGAGACGGAAGTCGACAAGGTTGGAGAAGGGTGGGTGGAAATTGTCGTACCTTTTATGAACGAGAACTTGGTTGCTATTGGGAAGAGGGAAGATGGTTCTGAACAGGTAAGCACATTACCAATTGCCATGGTACAGCTATCATACTTATTTTAACTACGTATAGGTTCTCGCTACTATCCCCGACTTGATCTTCTTACTCGACACTTCCACCGGCGAGGCCGTTGGTGTTCAAGAGTATAGATACGGTCTTAAGGTAACAGTTATGATCATGGCCCCTCACCCAATTTGGGCCACTGAGCGTGCGCTAGAAGTCGCCGGACCTAGCGCATTCCATCTACCTTACAGTTACAAGACCAATCTAGAATACACAAGGCCTGTTAGCGTTATTGATGAATTTAGGCCTCAAGTATAAGAATCTATTATATGGAAATTCATTCGTTCAATCTCAATACTTTATAGTAAGTCTTCACCTATACTACGGTTTAACAACACCTTAGGCAATTCTATGCGCATGCCGATTTAGGGCACTTAGGCCTCTATTTTATTCACTAAATTCAATAGCTAAGACGCTCTAAGTGTGCCGAAATTTGACCCCAGTAATCCCCTAATCCAACCCCTGTATGACATGCTAGAGCAGCTATTCCACTTTAGATAGGTACCCCCGCATGCCCCCCAGGCACCTATACGGCTCTCGCTCAGGCTTCGCCGTAGCCAATAAATAGGGCGACAGGATTGGACTATAGGGAACCTCCGGGGCTATATCAAGGCAAGCTACCCCCCGCATATCATAGAAGATGGCGACCTACTTGTCTTCTCAGCGCCAACAAATCAAATGGCTAACGTTGGGTTACATGATAGCTATTTGTCGCTGAACTCTACCTTTGGTACGATACGCGGCTTCGTAAATCAGGATTACCCACATGTTGCCCAATTCTTAGGCATTCCGTTCGCCGAAGCACCGGTTGGGCCGAGGCGATGGTTACCACCGGTACCGAAAGCTCCGGCTGACCACTTCGATGCGACTGAGTTCGGTCTATCGTGTCCGCAGTGGTTCGGTGGCCCGCCGTCGGTATATGATTCGGATGTTCCGGAGTTCTCTATTAACGATACTACGTCTGAAGATTGCTTATCTTTGTCTATATGGGCACCGGCGGAAGCCGTAAAAGACCCCCCGAAAAGCAAGTTGCCGGTTGTTGTTTGGATCCCTGGTGGTGCATTCCTTGTGGGCGGCTCAACTGTGCCTTATCAAAACCCTATACCCTGGGTTGAAAAGAGTCAAAGACACATTGTCGTGAGCGTAAAGTAAGAGAAGCACCTGTTCATAATACCAAGCTTGGTTCTAAATGATATAGCTACCGGCTTACAATCTTCGGCTTCCCTAATGCAGCAGGACTAGCTCCCTATGAACGAAATCTCGGCTTCTTGGATCAGCGTCTAGGATTGGAATGGGTTCATGAGCATATCTCCTCATTTGGCGGCGATCCTTCACGGATAACACATTTCGGACAGTCCGCTGGTGCTCGAAGTGTGGATGCTCACTCTTTCCAGTATCCGGATAAACCGCTTGTGCGAAACCAAATAATTAATTCAGGGACAGCACTAAATCCTCTACCCGTCAGAGATACAGATCATGGTTATTTCACCTTTGTGGCTGAGAGCCTCGGGTTTGAGGGAGATGATCCTAGTGCGGAGTTGGAATTTATGAGACAACAATCCGCTGAAAAACTGATAGAATTCATCAAAAGTCATACTGCTTCGGGGGAAGATCCCCAATTGAGCTTCAGGCCGGTTATTGATGGGTTTACCTTGTTTGATGACTTCGAAGAACGAGCTAAAGCAGGGAATTTTAGTAAATTGGTAAGTTTCACTGACTTGTTTCCGGGTCACGGAGCTGATTTTCGGGGTAGCCTGCTATTGTCGGAACTACGAATGAAGAAGGAAACGCCTTAGCACCGTATAATCCAGATGGAGTGAATAAGACAGCCGCGGATGGCATCACCAATAACTTCTTCCGCAAACCTGCAGCGAAGATAGCCCAGTAAGTCTGAGAAATTATCACCCGTCGGCGTTGGACAGCTTTCTAAAGAGATTACGCCTATAGGTACCGCTCGGAATATGCACCAACTTTTCGCTACCTTTACAAGGACCCCGCCCCGGAGGGAACTGCTTCGTTCCCTAATATTTCACCTCGAACTTGGATGCGAGCGTATCATAGCTCTGATCTGCCGTTAATATTTGGCACACATTCTTGGTTCAGAGGCCGCTCAACGGCCAGAGAGAAGGAAGTTTCAGAAGCATGGCAGGAATTATACGTCGTCTTTGCCGAAGAAGGGCCTGAAGGCCTTCGCAGATTGGGATGGGGAGAGGTAGGTGATGGCAAAGCTATTGTCATTGGGACGGGCGAGAAGGGGTGGGAGAACGTCGACATCAAGGCGATCGATGGGGATGAATGAAATAATGAATTGAGTATACAGGATTAACAATCTCAGTTCAGATTACAAGGGTTTCCTAAACGCCATTACACCATTCCCATATTTCTCATCAGGTATAGACAATCCCGCCGTCTACAAGCTGCGTCTGGCCAGTAACAAAGTCGCTATCACTGCTAGCCAGGAAGCTGACTAGCTTAGCCACGTCTTCTGGCACACTCACTCTCTGCAATGCAGTGCTATCATATACCATTCTTCTCATTACCTCGCCCTTCGGAAGGCCTTTTCTCTTACCCGTTTCCGCGTCGATTAACTCCCACATAGCAGTCCCAACAATGCCCGGCGCATATGCGTTCGCAGTGATATGGTGATCCGCCATATCCATCGCATAAGCTTGAGTTAAACCACGGACAGCGTATTTACTAGCGCTATAATGCGGCAGCATGACGAAGGGCTTGAATGCGACGATAGAAGCCGCGGCAATGAGCTTCCCAGGGTGATCTGGTTTACAGTTCCCCTGGATAATCATCTGCTTGGCTGCCTCAGCGAAGCAATTTTGTACTCCGAACACATTGACGGCGAACATGCGCTCGAAGTCTTGCTCTGTCAATTCTAGGACTGGCTTCACCTGGGCAATTCCAGCATTGGCTATCCTGGTAGATATGTCAATACGACACCAATAGGGGCAATACAAGTGACACATGCAAACAACCTACATGGTGTTTAGAGGTCCTAGCGCATCAACGCTAGTTTGAATCATTTGCTTTACTTCGTCTCTCTTTGTAACATCGGCGATTGCGGTACATGAGTTTCTCCCCATGTTTTGTATTTCCTTAACCAATTCATCGCAGCCAGCGCGGTGAGCGCTCACATCATTCACGCAGACATCGTAACCATCCGCAGCGAGGCGGAGCGCTATGGCTTTTCCGAGCCCGCGACTTGAACCTGTTACTATGACACTTCTCCCGACGTTGCTCTGACGAGCAAGTGAATATCTAGCTCGTAACCCACATCCAACTAAGTTGGCGGGGCGTGAAGTCCTAGGGAGGATCCTCGAGTTGGCGAAACGAAATATCTTCTGTCTTGTAAGGCTTGCCATTGATTTATCAAGGATGATCGGTTCAATTCTACAAATCAAATAAAGTGTCGATGATATTCATGTTTAATTATATACTTCCCATCAACATGATATCATCTTGAAATACCTAGTTCCCCGCATCGCCAATCCTAAAACAGGGTGTAGAACGGGGAAAGGAATGTATCCGAGACCAAACGGTGCAACTCGTGTGATAGTCGGAGTATCATTGCATCTTCTGGAGACACATCTGTCGAAGGAATAGAGGGGACGCGAGGGGTCGCTGTAGCTACTGTAAATATCATTTGCCGATTAGTTTGCCGACATTATGCTAGAACTAATTATATGCACGCCAATCCCATCGGTCTATACGAATTTAATAGGAAGTCGAGAGGATGTAAGGGCCGCCCCCGCCCGGCCCCTTTTCTCCGGGGAAATCACTACGCATATCCGCGCGGGCGCCGAAGACTCCTTTACGACCACGCTACGATGTTAAGAGACATACCTAATATTTCTACTGAAAAATCCCACCAAATAGACAAAGGATACCGGTGTGATTTACACCAGTATAGTATTTGGGCGCATCAACCAAAACATTCCATTCAAATGCGCAGCGTAAGCTGGATCATAGTGTTGATATGATTTTGCGACGATTCACAATACGATTTAAATACTCGCACAATTGAGTTTGACCCTAGACGTAGCGAATTCAAAGAACTCTCTATGCTGGTATAGTTTACAGTCATCATTTTGTATATAATGTTTGAGACCTCAATTCGACTACGAAGAAAGTTGAGACCTGGGATACTTTTTGAGTGTGGCAATACCTCAGACTAATCGTGATATAATATTGTAATACTTTTAAGGAGAATAGCTTCATCCGATACTATACAAGATCCGAAACACCAGCCAACCTGGCCGGACACAAGAAACTTTTCTTTGCCTCATTAGCGCCGACTGGCTATTGTTTTATGGAAGCCTGGTGTATAAGTGAAATAGACGCGTCACGATTCTCTGTATCTTGAGCACACCATCATGCAAAAAATCCGGGTGCCTGATTTCAGTCAATATTAAAGCACGAATTTTGTTCAATACATAGGTATTCGTACTTTAAAATTATAGATGTCTAAGAGTATACCCATCAACCTGAGTTACTTAAAAGAATACTAACCATGTCCATTCCCAACCATACCATTCTAGCGGCCACAGAAGCCGATATCCCCATCCTCACCGGTTTCCTCCAAGACTCGAAACTACACCTAGCCATCAACCGCTTCCTCTTCCGCGACTGGCCCGCCGAGGCAGCTCAATGCGCCAACTACAGGTCCGCCGTCGAGTTCGGCGTCAAAAACCCGCAGACCACATCTTTGAAAGTCGTCAATGATGCCTCGGGAAAAATCGTCGCGCACATGTATCTGAGGCGAATGAGCGACAATGAAAACCCCGATACGCCGTCTGAATCCGATGAATCGGACAGTGAGAAGGATGAACAGAGCCAAAATGTAGACGACAAACAAGATGAGGATAAGAATCAGGACCAGAGTCAGATTCCGGACATATTCGTCCCCGAAGTCTACGAGAAAGTCGTAGAAGCCATGAATCAAATAGAGCCGGAAATAACTGGTGATCACTATGGTAGACCCCCGTCACCCTAGACATCCGAACGAAACCCCACAACTAACTTCCTGTCTACCTCAGAACTAACCCACATATACGTCGACCCCGCCAGCCGCCGGCAAGGAATCGGCACGCAACTTATCCAAGTATGCCACGACCGAGCGCAAGCCGAGAAGCTGCCCCTGACTATCTGCGTGGAGCCAAATCACCATGATTTCTTCGTGAAGCAAGGATTTAAAGATGAGAAATACGTTGATATTGATTTGCGTCAATGGGCCGCTGAGAATAGCGGGTATGGCAATTTTCGTATTTCGAGGATGAATTTCGTGATGTCTGAGTAACTTCGTTTATGTAAGAATATAGAATTCTGGATAGAAGGTTAGAGGTGTAATGCTAAGGGTTTGGAAGTTTTGTAGTTCGGATAGATTCCAATTATATATTTGCCAGTTTTTATACCAATCCCTATCTAAAAACACACTTCGCAAAACAACAAGGCATATATAACAATAATAGGTATTATTCACTAACCTACTTGAACGAGGACGATAAATACCTATATCAGCTATTTATACAACCGTAAAAAACTAGACTCACGGCGCGGTAGTAATGAACGGAACAAATCAGCTCATCGCGAATATGTACTACAAGCCGAACTCCCATCCCTTAATTCGTCCAGTGATGCTACAGTCCAGGACCTTCCGCTGCCCATTGATGTCCGCGCGGCAGACGTGCGTTTAGATGCGTTTTTCCAATCACCAGATCCGCCCTACCGACCGGTGTTGGCAAATGCGCTCTTCACGTCGGCGCGGGGCCACTCGAAGAGTACGTCGCCGCTGTAAACTGTTGTTGTAACTGTGGAAATCCTTACTTCCACTTCTCCGTAGAACCTTTCGCATTCTCGGAGAACCCTGTTAACGAGACTGCGGCTCAAATTAGGGTCGTCAGCATCTCCAAAATGTTTCTCGACTCGTTTTCGTAACGCTTCGACGCCCTTTCGTACCTCACGGCCGTCATAACCGCTAAGGATTTTGTTAAATGTGCCCTTGGCGTTGCTTGGTTGTGCGGCAACGATTGTGGGGCTCTTCCCCGTAGCGAGTTGTGTCTCGATATTTTCGAGATATTCAAGCAACTTGCCTAGTGGTCGTCGCATAATTGCGTTGAGATATAGGCTCATGTGCTCGCTCATCTCCCCTGCAGCGGCTTCTTTCCAGTCCTCTAGAATCTCTAGTCCGTGGGTATCGAGTTCTTCGAGGAAGTGGTTCATATTTTCGATAAGTAGAATATGGTAGTTGAGCGCTTCCTTATCTTCGGGATCGGCGCCGCTATGTGTGAGTGTGGTAGGGTTTTCGCGAGCAATGACCTTGAGGGAGTCGAACATGGTCTTGATAATACGGTCGTATTCTTTATCCACAGTCTTCCTAACGGATGAACTTGTATCATTGGTCGCGAGCATGTTTTCAACCGCACCAGAGAAATGCGGGAAGACTCGCATAAAAGATATAACACCTTTACGTTTCTTAATTTTCACCTTAGTCTCTTCGATTGCGCGTATTTGTCCCTCGACGAATTTGGAAAATCGTGACTCTAGGCTTCCATGAAGTTTTTGTAGGATTTTGTTCAAGAAATCTTGGTTAGACTGCACCAGCTCCAATTGCTTACGTTCGAGTGTCGCAAGAATACCAACTCCTTGTCTGTTCACATATTAGCTCTGGCAGGACTACGTAAAAGTAATAGATATTGCACTTACAGTGGATCTTGGGATAAAACCCAGTCGACCGCACTCTGTAGGTCTTGTTCCAAGAATGAGAATATTGCTTCCATCGCTCGGGTAACTCTCCTGGCTAATTCCTTATCGGGTTCCATTAGTCGATGTCGTCGTAAATCACCAACTCTGCGATCTCGCGGTTTTGTTGCGACTACCAGGTCGGAGAAGTCGGCTGTTTCTAAGGTAGTGGCATGGAAGAAATCCACAATAAAGTTTTGTTCAATCTCGACGAGAGGTACCAAGTCATCCATCATACCAGCAAAGACTTCGTAAGGTAGATTCCGGCCGTCGGAAATCTTGTCGAGGCTCGTCTTGCTGCCGTCGCCTAGAGGACCTCGCAGAGTCCTAGCTAGGGTCTGACTTCGCTTCACGGTAAGTTTCCTAGCAGTAGTCATGGTCCCTTCCTGCTGTCTTTCTATTTCGGTAGTGAAGAGAAGCTCTGCTTCGTCGCCCGTAGGTTTTCTGGCATTTCGTTTCCACGAATCCAAAATTTCCTTGAATCTGAATTTGTAGAGTGGCAGATTTTTCTCTTGGTATACCTGGAGGCAACGATTCCAACCCTCAAGGTCTACCTCTCTGGCGTAGAGAACAAGAGGGCTATATCGCCAAAGCAGATCTCGTCCCACGTCATGATGCCCGGGATCAACCTTTTTCGATAAAGCTCCGTCGACTGCTGCCCTAATTTCTTGGGATGCCTTGTCGAATTGTCGTGATAGGAAAGCGCTGAACCGTTGTAAGAAAGCCACGCTCTCTGATCGGTACATCTCCCTTTTCTCTTGAACGATTCGCATTTTCCCATAATCGGTATTAAGACTAGATTGACCACTTGAGCTTGCATCCTCGCTCTTTCGGAGCTCGGATCCAGCAGCCGAAGAATCAATTTTCATCATCGCCTTATACAAAGTGACAAGTGCAGCCTCGACGTCCTCAAGGCCCGAGGTAGACTCGAGGGGTGCCTCTGCTAGGGCTCGCAAATCATTGGAGGTGATAGCGCATGTGTCAAGCAGCGATTCTAACTCTTTCCTAAGCAGTTTTTGGTTTGCTGCCTGTACTTGTAGACCTTGTCCCTGGGCTTCTATGTATGCAATGTCATCGGACAATGTCTAGATGTTGATTAGTGATCGGATCTCCAAGATCTTCGGGCCTGGACTTACAGATAATTCCACGCTATACAAGGTCAACAGGTTGTCAAGTTCATCACATTCCGCAATCGCAATATCAAGACCTCCCTTAATCGCAGCGACTCGAGCGTCCTCCTCTTGGAATCGCACAACCCAACCTCCAGCTTGGGCTTTATTTAGTTCGCGATCGATATCGAGTTTCATCTCTTCGAAATTCCGGCTTCGCATCTGTTCACCGGGTACCCAGCCAAAATGATCAAGCCACCTCGCAAAATCCGTCGTCTTGTCGAGCAGCAGTGTTGTATCGATACCCAGAGCAGATAAATACTTCGAATCATTCCCGATTACGGTTAGAGGCCGCGGCTCGATTTCTTGTCGAGCTATCTCCATGCTTTTCCTCTTAGTTTCCTTAACAGAAGCCTGTAAACTAGTAGGGCGACTAGAATTGGGAACCGTGACCTTGACTTCGGGAACAATAGCCGCTTTGTCTATAGACTTTCTCTCGGGTTCGGAAATTTTTGGTGGTTCGGGCTTTGGCTCTGGGCGTGGTGGCGCTGGAACAACACTTGTTATTCCATCTGGTCCGTCCGTGTTGCCCTTGCTTGCTGCTTCTCGCAATCGTTCTCCAGCCCCACCAGGTCGGGGTTTAAACGCGGATGCAGCGGACGCTGCTTTCCACAAAGCTCCGGCCAAGTTATTACGAGATTGCTTTGCTTTGATCATAGGCCCTAACCCAGGGCGAGATTCCTCTTCCGCTGGCGTCTCGGTCGGCGGCGTTTGGGGTACTGGTGTTTCAACGGTTGGTGTTATCGGTGTGCCGTTCGGGCTAGTTATAGGGTCTGAGGGGATTTCGGGAACTGGCTCTGGTGGTGGCGGTGCTTGTTTCTCTGCCGGAGGGGTAGAGTCTGAACGCTTCCCGATTGAATTTTTTCGAGGTGACATACGATCGTTATTTCTCGGTGGCGGGTCTCTGCGAGCGCCCTGGCTCATTAGCGGCGCAGGCACAAGAGTATTATCATCTGGTTCTTTTGGTCTGGTCGGGTCCATTGGTGGTCTTTTTCTATCAGGCAAATCCATCTGAGAAGGCGATTCGACAGGATCACCGAATCTACCAAATGCGCCAGGCCCTGTCATACCTCCCCTGGAGCGCGGAGGTATGCTGGCAGAATCATCACTCCTTGTCGTGGATATTGAGGCTGCTACGGAGTCTTGGCTCTTGTTATTACCAGCAAGCCTTCGGAGAGCGGCAGCCTGGTTCCCGGCACGAGCGTATTCTGGACCAGTGGGAGACCCTTGTATAGGTGACGATGTCCCGTTGGGTGGTACGAGGTTTCGCGCAGGCGAACTAGGGGGTTGCGGGGGACGGTAGGGTTGGATCCCGCCTGTGGCGGCCACGGGGTTTGGCTTGTTTTGTATAGGTAATGCGCTGGATTGGGATGATGGTAGGGAATCGGGTTTCAAGGATTTAGGTTCCACTCGTGGCGGCGTCGGTATAGGTCTACCCGGAGGAGGCGTAGGTCGAGTTCGTAACGCGGGATTGGAGTTAGAGGGAGACTCTTGGGAGGGTGGTGGTATTCTTCGAGATCCTAATACTTGTTCTAGCTCACGCGGGTCGAATCCCTTCAACTCAGGTACATTCCCGCCCGTATATTTTCCGTAGATTTTGAGTAAGCTGGCAATGAAGAATTTCTTTTCCTTATCTGCTTGAGCCTGCCAGTAGTAAGGTTTCCCGATATTGACGATAAATCCAGTATCACCAGCCCATTCCCGTTTCTGAGGATCAGCATTCGAAGCTGTAAAAGATTCTATTCCAGTCAAATCGTTCAAATCCCATGTTTTTCCAATCGAGAATGAACCATTCGCATTTTCCTTGGATTTGTGCATTCGCACTCGACCTGACTTTCGCACAGCCACAATTATTACTCGAGGTTTTTCGGATTGAGCTCGCGCTTCGGGGGGTGGAGGCGACGATGGGTGCGACGAAAATTCGGTGATTTTGATGTGTGTTATGTAGGTTTCGAGTACTACAAGAGGATACGATACATATAAGTTCTTGGTACGGTTGACAAGAAAAAGAAACAAGACGAGACGAGGGGTATATAAGGAAATCTTACTGGACCCGTCACCATCCTTTTTATTGAAACAACTTTCTACAATGCGCCTCTTCTCCTCCTCAAACCGTTCGGCCCTGTTGTATTCACGGCCATACATAGGCCCGCCATTCTGGCGTGGGTGATCCATAGTACCAGTCTATCCTGTGACGAGTTGGGCCTGGAATTCATGAATGTAGGTAGCTTAGTACGATTCGCGGAGGATCGGTGACCATCTTCGATTCCTTCGATATTTCAATGAGCGACAGCGCAAGATTATATGCGACCTAACTTGTAGGTTACTCAGCCAATTGTTCGATTTGAAGCATTGAAGTGATAGAGAAGGGAGCGCGGAGGGATGGAGATAATTAGGTTGAGGAGTATGCAGAATGAGGGAGTGAGTGAAGTATGATGATGTACAATTTGGCGTCTCAGGGAGTTTAAGGCCAAAGCGTCTTGGGGCCGTCGCTTCTAAGGTTTCTTGGCGTTGACATTTGATAAGCCAATCTTGGAAGGTGCCTTGACGGTGGAAACTTTTTATTTTATAATCAACGCCACACTTCATGAGCCATATACACGCCACATTTCACATTTCCTATGATTTAATTCCAAGCGCCCGCATCTATCTTGAACTTTTCATTTTCATTTCCTTTCATTGCTATGGATTAAAAAAATGTTTAATAAAAGCACAGAAATAATTCCAAACCCGAATATGATGTTCAAGCATACCTCTCCATGATTTCTTTGACCCTTTCAAGAGGAAGCGCCTCGATCTTGTGTCCCTGGTTTCCTACCATCGTCTCAGCCATGCACAGAGCATTATAAATCGACTCTTCGGTCGCATCTGCAGCGGCTTCGAATAACCCATTGATTGTAGTATCATCAACCAAATCAACCGTGATGGGAGTGGGTTTAAACGGATCAACCGCCCTTCGCTCCATTGATACTGACTGGACCGGGATTTCATTACCAGTTGAGAAAGCCAGGAAAATATCACCAGAAGGGTTATGGCCATATCCCCCAACTCTAGAAATCCCCACCGTCGCTCTTTTAGCAAGTCTTTGCAATTGAATAGGACTTAAAGGTGCATCTGTCGCGATGATGACGATGATGCTTCCGTCTTTCCTATTCTTCTCTTTCTCAAGCGCGTCATACGCCATCTTGATTGCTGGGTTGCTTTTGGCGGCCTCGTCGGCTTCCTGAGCTAGGATTCTCCCCACTGGTACACCCGCGATACGAAAATGCTGTGGCCTTCCGTAATTTGCTTGTACGAGTGCACCAACGGTGTATGTTTTCGCCTCCCCTTTGCTGTCGAATCCATCAACCAACCTACTGCTACTACCGGTACCACCCTTGAAATAATGGCAAATCACTGCGATTTTGTTTAGTACGGGTTTCGTATTAGAAAAGGCAGATGGTGTTACTCACTTCCGGTTCCACCACCAACATTTCCTTCCCGTACTCGATCGCTTGTTACGCTCTCGAGACCCTTGACAATATGTTCGGGCTTGATAACGAATTGAGTAAGATCGTTAAGGTAACCATCGAAAGTCTCTGCGACGACAGGTAGCAAAAACCAATCAACATTCCCCTTGGCTACGCCTTGAGCCTTTATGGTGTATTCGTAAATTCCTTGGTATGCGGCACCGACTGAGAATGAGTTGGTAATGACAATAGGGGAATGTAGCAAGCCAGTCTCGTTGATCCAATGGCTACCAGTCATCTCGCCAGAGCCATTGAAGCTGAATATGCCGGCGTAACAGGCATTATGAAACCAATTCGTTCGAGGTAGGATGCTTGTGACACCAGTGTTCACAGCACCATCGTCAGCGAAAATTTCCTGTGTATGAACAAGGACGCCAGGAACGTCAGTTAAGGAATTGAGGGGCCCGGGTCTCCAGTATCCCAAGTGCAAATTGGGTAAAAGATCCCGAAGTCTTCTTCGAGACTCATTGCTCGCAGTTGTGTTTGAAGTCGACGACATAATGCAGGACGAATTCTTTAAAACTCAATTCACTGGCAGTAACCCAATTCTACCATCTGCCTACATTGATGATGATAATCTCGAGTAAACAGTGTTTTTATATTCAAATATTCGATCATTACGCTAGCATCATGTCCCCTATTTTGGTGTTCTCCTAGCTGACTCACGCCGAAGACTAGCGAACTCAGCGAATCAAGATCATCGATAAGAACAAGTCTTACCCCATTTAGGAGGTCGATAGCACTGTAACTCAAACGATTTCAGGGTATAATTGTCAAGTTTCGTGGGGTTAAGAGATAGCGATACCACCCTTTTTAAACAAGCATCCAATCTCGTTACGAATGAGATTTTTAGAAACAAGTATAATCGACTTATAGTTGTCATTTTAGATCAAAGTATACTTAGTATCCCTTATGTATACCTTCTAATTTGTACAGAGCTACTCGAGACATTAAACCGAGCTACTTCAATTATGCGGAGATGTTTATTACCGGCCCAAGAACCGGCAAGAACGTCAATTCCCCCACAGCGGGACACTTACGCTACTCTATTACCCCACATTCTATTATTCCCTTTGTCCTTCACTACACCTACCACCCTTACCAACTCATCATACAGGCTGGACTAATTCCCTAGACCTCGATCATATCCTCGGAGGCTTAAAAATCCATTTCATTTATACCAATTGACACTATATAGCTGGCGATTATAGCGGGAGAGCGACTAGATATATGTAATCCGATATACTGTATTTTCGACAAGTCAATTGGTTCTCAAAATAATCTATACAGATCTCACAACCGGCAAATTTCAAGATGGTTGCCGCAGTCCGAATAGCTCCGAGCGTGAGTACTACAACCCCGAGGTTAGGATACACGTACTAACGTTGTGAGAATACTAGGCTGCTACAAGAGCAATCAGCTTATTACGAACAGTTCAGTACGCCCACCCGCCAAACTGCCCATGTCATTCCAATCCAGGTCACCACCATCACCATGCGAAACCTCAGATTGACAGGTATGCTCAGCATACCCATCGACGAGGCTTTGCCTCTCCTATGGATCCTTCCCAGCAGAGGGAATATGCCTTCGAAATGGCTGCCTCATCGATCCGCTTCGGCCCGGGAGTCACCCAAGAAGTCGGCATGGACTTCAAGAACATGGGTGCTAAACGCGTCTGCGTCGTGACCGACTCAACTGTCCGAAAGCTCACTGCTGTCAAGCAAGTAGAGGAGGCTTTATCAAGGGAAGGTATTGAATATGAGATATTCGACAAAGTTCGGGTTGAACCGAAAGATAGCTCGTAAGTGACTACTGAGTCTTTTGAGATAAAATGAGTTTTGACTCAATTGTGCCTAGAGTTAAGGAGGCAATCGCTTTTGCCAAGCCATATCAACCAGATGCATTCCTCGCTGTAGGCGGTGGTTCAGTTATCGACACCGCTAAATTAATGAACCTCTACACCGAATACCCCGACGCCGACTTTTTGGATTTCGTCAATGCGCCATTAGGTAACGGACGGCCAATTGACAAGAAACTCAAGCCTCTTGTCGCCATTCCAACCACGGCCGGTACCGGTAGTGAGACCACTGGGACGGCGATTTTTGACCTTGTAGCGAAGAGAGCCAAGACTGGAATCGCGCACCGCAACTTAAAGCCGACTCTCGGAATATGTGACCCGCTCAACACTAAGACGATGCCTGCAGCGGTAAAGGCGAGTTCTGGATTAGATGTACTTTGCCATTCGCTTGAATCGTGGACAGCTATTCCATTTAACCAGAGGGTACCTCGACCGACCAACCCAATATTAAGACCGGCTTATCAAGGCGCAAACCCTATTAGTGATATCTTCTCATTAAGTGCGCTCCGCAGCACAGTGAAATACCTCCCAAGATCCGTAAAGGACCCAGAGGATCATGAGGCCCAGAGTGAGATGCTTCTCGCTGCTACTCTTGCCGGTGTCGGGTTCGGAAATGCTGGGGTTCACCTCTGTCATGGTATGAGACATCCTTCAATAGATGACACGTATGAGCAATGACTAACAAAGAGCCTAGGCATGTCGTATCCAATTTCCGGCCAAAATCCCGGACACCAGCACGCAGGATACGAGGTCACAACGCCTATCATCCCGCACGGTGTTTCCGTTGCTGTATCTGCACCCGCCGTCTTCCGATTCACCGGCCCCTCTAATCCTGAGCGCCATCTTGCTGCCGCGGAAGCGTTCGGGGTAGATATCACCAACGTTAAGCGTGAAGATGCGGGTCGTGTCTTGGCAGATGCTATCACGGAGTTCCTTGCCGAGTTAGGTGATCAACCCAAGGGTCTAAAGGAACTAGGATTTGACTCGAGCCACATCGAGGCTCTAGTTGAAGGCACGATACCGCAGGCTAGGGTATTGATGTTAGCGCCTGGCCTGGCCAAGGAACTCGAGCATGAGAGGGATCAACTGAGGAGGCTATTTGAAGATGCATTGACGCATTGAGAATGAATAGCATTTTATCGGACTGTATATAAACTACGTGTTTCATGTGGGGAGTTTACTATTGATACTATCGCTAGGCCAACGATGTCCAATTGAAAAGCTTCGCTTTTGGTCAAGTTGTATGTCCTCTTTACTTGAAGCAACACTTTTTTGGATTGGAATATCGCGATAACTGCGGATTCAGGTAAAAACCGAAGATACACATCTGTGTCAATGACACGAGACCTGTATTCAAGTGAATATTATGTCGCCACATTTCCACAATAATAATCCCATAAAGGCACCCACGACAGCGGCTGAGAATGCGACGTAAAGGGTTCCAGTTTCATCAAATAAGAAGCAACTACGGTATATAATATTCTGTAGTTACTGGTGGGAAGATACATAAGTTTGGTTCTGGTTGCTGCCGAATGTAACAATTGGTCATGTTGGAGCAACGAAACATTCATGCTCCGAAATGTCAGCGTCCCCTATTTTGAATATTTTTTATTTCCACATTGTCATGTTTCCAACCTCCAACCTACAACCTATGATAACTTTCCCAATACCCTTCAATGATTTAATGCGGATTTCCCTAACATAAATATCGTTCGCTTCAACATTAGCGTTGCAGAGCGTGTGCATCTAGATAGGTTAGTATCCAATTACCTCCCAAGCCTCACCAAGCCGTGGCGATATTTCGCTTGCCTGAAATACGACCTAAATATACCTCGGGTGACTGCGTAACGTAGCAGCAACTGGAAATTCCAAGACTCTCATTCTCACCACGGAATACCGATGAGACATTATATACATAGCGCATGGTGTGTGCAGAAGCTGTCTAATAAATTGCCTTAAAATGCTGTGGATACAGCTAATAAATCTCGCAGGACTCCCGCGGTGACTTGCATTATGCACCGCGGTAGACTCCGAAAATCTAAGAGCCGAATGAAGTTTGACAGCTTCGGTCCGAACCTCTTCGGGCCTACCAAGTACGCATGATTGAATTCGCCGGTTTTAATTGTTTCGATGGGAATGTCGCTCGATCGTGGATACTACACGGGATATGCGATGTTTTGTCGTCTTGCTTCGCTTGGCTTTTCGTTGTGGATGTTGTCTACGTCTGAACCCCCGGGCTCAGGGGATGACCCACCTAAATCTATAGAACTGCGATCCGATATTCCGGCGCCATATACAGCTAAGATGCACGCGAGGGTGTGTTGAATTTAGAAGCATTATGACCGGTGGGCATAGCAATCTTATTAAGATCTCGCTACGATAGTTCGAATAGGAATAGCCCCGAACCATCTAGTTGGGAGCATCGAATTGAGGCGCGTCTCTCAACTGCAGCAGTATGTCTCGCATACTCCTATAGCGAACATCTGGGTCCTAGCTGAACCCCGGATTCCCACCAATGGCAACACCAGTCTAACCCATACTCTATCTAGCGCTCCTTAGATCTCGGGCACCAGGACCCTGAATCCCGGCGCTACCCTTCCTACATAACATAGCACAAAGTGGCGTGTCGCAAGGCGATTCGAAAAAGACTCAGCACGTGCCGATCCAGCAATCCTTGCCGGCTCTTCAAAAGCCCTTATAGTAGTAAGAGGCGATCTGCGCTACACGAGTCTTACATACAGATTTCTCGATACCCTATCCAACGCGTGTGTGTGGCCAAGAAATATCGCCAAGGCCGTGGGGAGCAACGCACTCCCGGGAGTTGCCTTGGCGTCTAGAACCCGATCTGTTAACCCCTGCCTAATGGCTATGGTGGGATCACTAACAGGCAGGCGATGGCCTATTTGGGTAACACAGCATGCTGCTTTGGGGTCGCGGAAGTTCTCGACCCGCCATCCTCTTCGGGATTTGCTGGCTTAGGGCAGGGGTAAGAGAGATTGGGGGTCTTGCTGAAAAGACGAGAATGCGAATAAAAACACCATCTTGTCCTATAGTCGTGTTACTACGGTTGCTCGGATGTTCGACTCTTTTATCGAACGTATATCCGACATTCCGAGGCCGAATATTGTGTCACTATGGAGGAAAAGGATATCAATGGTAGCGGCGTCTTGGTGTCTCATGAGCAAGTTAATGTGAATGAGGGTACAAGCGAGTCGGCGGGCAAGTCCGTTGCGAAAGCTAAGGCAGTCCATAATGTAAGACTCTATTTTGCTTTGGGGCGAAAGCGCGACATTATCTCTCTATTCTAGAAAGGAATTGATCATGATGCTAATCAGGTGCCAGGCCGAACTCTTCGCGGCTATTCAGGAGACCAAGATCGACTACAAGAGCAGAAGCTCATTACATCTCTACTGTAAGAGATAAGATGATAAAGCGTGCATCTCAGTATGGCCAGCTAGCTAATATTTGACAGTCGCCATATGTGTCGCATTCTGCTGTGCCTGTGCCAATGGATACGATGGTAAGAAAAACTCTACGAAAACTCCTTTGGTAGGCTGAAGTACTAATAAAATTGGCAATTCAGGGTCCCTCCTTACGGGTGTCGTCGCTATGGATCATTTCCAAAACACCTTCCATAGCGGCAAGACCGGCACACTCGTTGCTCTGATGTTCTCCCTTTACACTGTGTTAGTACCCCTGAAAACCCCCCCTCCAGTCATTAACTGATAGGTGGCTACAGTGGTGCGATGGTTGGCAGTCCTTTCGCTGCTATTCTCTCCGATAGATATGGCCGAAGAGCTGGCATGTTTGTTGGCGCTATTGTTATTATTATCGGAATGATAATCGCATCGACAGCATTCACAATTGCGCAATTCGTTGTTGGTCGTTTCGTTCTCGGACTTGGTATCTCGATCATGACCGTTGCTGCACCGGCCTATGCGGTTGAGATTTCTCCTCCGCATTGGCGAGGCCGAGCTACAGGTAAGAAAACCGTGTAAATGGCCTGAGAGTATACAAGTACGGGATGCTAATTGAACCCTTACAGGATTCTACAATTGCGGTTGGTTTGGAGGTTCCATCCCGGCAGCTGCTGTGGTTTATGGCTGCAATAAAATCGACAACGACTATTCCTGGAGAATCCCCTTAATCGTGCAAGCTCTTGCTTGTATCTTCGTACTATTTGCAGTCTGGTTTATACCCGAGTCTCCTCGATTCCTTATGGCTAATGGTCGCGAGGAGGAAGCTGTTGCATTCCTCGCAAAATACCACGGGAACGGCGACCGCAACTCTAGGCTTGTGAAGCTCGAGGTTGACGAGATGAAGGAAAACATTCGCCAGGACGGCATTGATAAACGGCCGTGGGATTGTAAGTTCTACTTCCTCGCAACTCGAGTAATGCATCATGTCCCGACTAATAACCATTAATAGACCGACCCTTCATTCTTTCCCATAGCGGTCGTTGGCGAATCGCCCAAGTTCTAATGATTTCCATCTTCGGTCAATTCTCCGGGAACGGATTGGGATATTTCAACACTACGATCTTTGAAATTATTGGTGTTTCATCGGTTGAGCAACAGCTAGCATATAACTTACTCAATTCCGTTCTTTCGGCTGTTGGCGCATTATCTGCTGTAGCTTTCACCGACACGATGCCTCGACGAAAAGTATTGGTCTTTGGAACACTCGGTGAGCATCAACGTTCTGAATTAATCGAACTTCGCGGTGCTAATGATATCAAGCTTGCGCTGCGGCATTGGCCACTAATTCTGGCCTTTCCGCTGCCCTCGACGCTCAAGGAGAGAATATCCAGGAGTCCTATGCTAAGGGTGCTTTGGCATCTTACTTCCTGTTCAACATCATCTTCTCCTTTACCTATACCCCTCTTCAAGGTGTTATCCCCACTGAAGCCCTCGAAACGACTACCCGGGCGAAGGGTCTTGCTTTTTCAAGCGTTATCATATATGCAGTGGGTTTCATCAACCAATTTGCCGGACCAATCGCCCTAGGTAATATCGAGTACAAATATATCTATGTAAGCTACTTTAAATATTCCCTTTTTGACGATTCGGGTAAATGAAAATAAACTAACGAGGCGTAGGTATTTGTTGGATGGGATATCGTCGAAGCGATACTGTGGTACCTCTTTGGGTTCGTAGCCGCCCCCTTTTTTACCCCCCGCAGTAATCGCTAATTCACATCATAGTGTTGAGTCCCAAGGCCGCACCCTAGAGCAGCTCGAATGGGTTTATAACCAACCCAACCCCGTCAAGGCGTCCCTTACGGTTGACAAGGTTGTCGTTAAGGAGGATGGCAAGGTCGAAGTGAAAACCGAGGCGGGCGGCGCGTGAACGTACCGTACTTTTCTTAAGTTAATCATTCATTTCTCGGATTCTGGGAGGGTCCTCTATCTTTCACAGCATAGTCGCATTTCCGGTGTAGCAATCAAGGAAACGGCCGAATCGGGTTTTTCTTGTGGGTATAAGGCAGGTTCATAGAGGTGCAATATACGGAACTTTGAGCAAAGATACCATTCCCGAGTTTCTGGGTTGCTGTTGAAACCGAATCCCGAACATGCCCGTATTAAATGTTAAGACACGTTTTTCTAGTGGGTTAACGCAACACGCAGAGCCAGTTTAAGGCACCTATGGCCTAATATTTTAGGGGTTAAAGTACCCGATTCGGTCGCTGTGTGGGGTAAGATATAGCTGTTAAAACTCGTACCACAGTGGGTTGACACCTCTATAATTCAAGGCATTAATCACCTATGAGTTTATTTCCGGCTGACCAATTCTAAATAGGGATAATTATAGCGCGTTTCTCTTTAACAAATCGGGATCTGTTAGTTCTGTTGGCGGGTAAACAATTCATTGGAAATGATTCGTGGGCATGTGAGTTGCGGCGTAGCACGAACCACCCAACAGCGGCGGTGCCGAAATGAGGCCCGTCCTTTTTTACTGACCCGCCTGTGGATTAAGAAGTTTTTAATTCAGTGATGTCTCCCCAAGGCCTCAAGCCCCAGAATATGACACTTGTCTCTCATCAGCACCCCTATCATGGCTGCACTCTCTCCCGCTGAATCGCTCATCGCCGTACGTGCGGCCCCTGAAGTGGCCCCAGACACTTTCATAAATAAGAAGTATGTATTGATGATCCCTAGATAAAGGTACTCAGTTTTCATCTTGCTTACGCTATCTCTGCACAGGCCTTTAGGATTACAGCAAAATGGGCGGTCCACATTCGGCGGCCTGCTGATTTCCCAAGCAATCTCCGCGGCGAACCGTACGGTTCGTCCGGATTTCTACGTTTATTCATCACAGTCCTCTTTCCTACGTCCAGTTAGAAAGGATTCTGAGGGGGAAGTGATTTATCGCGTTGAACGCACCGCAGATGGTCGGACATACGCTACGCGTCTCGTCCATGCCATCGCCAATGGCACATGTGTTTACGTGGCCATAATCTCGTTCCAGAATGACGAATTACGGGCTTTTAATGCCTTAACATATTCTGTGCCGATGCCCGACGTCGACGCCAGCCCAGAAGACGTTTCAGAAGAAGCCAGTTCGCATTTCAACGAACAATATGCGAAACAATCTGGAGGAGTTATGAAACCATTTACCCCCGAGGAAAAACCATTTGACTGGCGCCCTTATGCGTTCGTCAAAGAAGATGACCCAACGGAAGTCCGCATACGTGGATTCGTTAGGGCACGACCTTTAGCAAGAAATACACCGCCGGTCAATCTAGCCGCCTTAGCATACGCTTCAGATGAAATGCTTCCGGGAGTATCGATATATGCAAATCCCGACATTGCGGGGGTAGGAGGTCGAAATGTCGCATTAGTTGCGAGTCTCACCCATAATGTATCGTTCCACGACCCGGCGGTCCAGGTTGACCAGTGGATGTTCGTTGAGCGCAAGACTACGTGGGGCGCGGATGGAAGGGTTTTAGTTCATCAGCAGATGTGGGACTTGAACAGTCGACAACTTGTCTTAACGACGGATCAAGAAGCTGTAATTAGATTAAGGGACTCCAAGCTCTAAGAAGAATGATGTATACCGTATTGGGCACCGTCTGGATATGATTTAGGAACTAGATGCTATACGTAATGTAATGAAAAGGTCTACTAAATGTAAGACATCTCCCGCTGCGTCCCACTATAGAAATAGCACACTAGGTCCTAAAGCGCATTGTATTTACAGCGTCTATTAGCGACCGCCTGGGCGTGATGGTGAGGATACATGTATTTTAGGGCTCGGTAAAATGCCCTATTATAAATCACTAGGTATAGCGGGGTAGCGTTATAGTATCAAGTCCAGCAGCTATACGCTCTATAATTATAGCAACATCCTCCTCCCATCCTCTTCCACAAATTAACTGACCAATCAAATCGTGTGGCGTTTACTAATATGGCAAGCAACACAAACATGTACCCTTGTAGCGAGAGTCGAGTTACTAGCGAGCCATGCTATTGAACGAGTAGGTACATTAATCATATAGCTAGTTATTTGTTATCGAGTAACTTCATTTCTACTCTGATATCTTGCTCAATGAAGGTTAGTCGTGTATATTCAAGGTGCACTTGGACGTGTTATTGGTGGAGGAGTTTTAGAATATTCAAATCTATCTAATAGCCTCGATTCTGTGGAGGCTCACGCTATAACTTGCTGTATTTCTGCTAAGGCTTAGCACTATGGCGCCTGTAATGATAGTGCATTGCCGCCCATTAATAGGCGTGTTGGTTAGGCTATATGGCGTAACTTCAACCTCTCTGGGTGACAACCCCCGGACCGATAGCTATAGCAGATAGCGACAGTAATATCTTCAAAGACTCTTCTGTATCAGCATGTTAGTCCGCCCAACCTCTCTCATCGCATTCTCCATCTCCTCTCTAGGTGGTGTGTTCATAATCATCATGTACAAAATATCCTATTGTGTCTGTTAGTATTTATAAAACAAGTTGCGAATCTCTAGTACCTGTCGTATCTTTCGCTTCTTCGGACCCTTCGGAGCCCTCTCAGGATGTTTAAGAGCTTTTTTCTCAAGTTTTCTCTCTCGTTTTTCTTCTTTACGTTCATCCTTCTCAAGTCTACGTGCCTGCTTTTTGAGGTCCTTAGGCGTAAGTTCTAGTTTAGGCCCCATAAGAGAGTTGAGCGCGCTGGTGGGATTCTTCCGGACCTATAAATAGACCTCCTGTCAGTAATTGGCTGTATAGGGAGCAGCGCATGATCTCACATATTTCCTCTGAGCCTTGATATCCCTTTTATCCTTGAGGTTTTCGAACGTCTTTGATAACGAGCCCATCATACTGCTCTCGGGCTTTTGCCCCGTCTGCTCCACTTGCTCATCGTCGGATGAATCTTCGAGGTCTGGAAAAACTAGTTCTGCTGAAACTGGAAATTCGATCCCTCCGCTCATACCATCGTTGCTTCGGTATGTGCTGCGCGAATCAGTTCGGGCATTCATGCTGGAGTTGAAGTCCCGCTGGTTTGTAGGCTTGTCGAAATTGACGCTGTAGGCCATGATCAGACAGTACAAGCCTCGTGGGCGGAAAAGCTCGTCGTTCATTTTTGATATGTAGGCGTTTTGGCTATATCGCGAAAAATTTCGTAAGTAAATAAGTTGCAGCTAAATTGTGCAGTTTTTTGTCACTTACTGTCTGCGATCCTGAATCTCCTGATAGACGCCAGCGGTAATCTGTACACCTAGTGCAATGGGTTGCACTATGGCGGAGGGGACTAAGCCCATTAAATCTCCCGCTAGGTGGACAGCACCTACAACCGGCGATCCCGCTGTTGCTCTATCGAAACCATCGAGGAAGGCCATGAAAGTAGGCTGGTCGATCCCACAACGCATTAAATCGGGCGCATAAGCTCTGATGAAACCACGGCTGCGCGCCTTGGGTCGTCGTTGGGGTATGATAACAGGATATTGAAGTCGCCCCGGCGCTGTTTGTAGAGACGATCCAGCATATCCCGCATTTCCTGGTCTTATCAAGGACCTATTTAGGTATTGCTGTTGCATTTCGTCATATTCCCTGTCACGGTACGCGCGGACCTCTTCTTGAGCCTCGTCTAATTCCCACTCATCTTCTTCTTCGTACATGTGATGGGAATGCTGAGGATGCTGATACTGAGGGTGTTGAGGATGCTGAGGATACTGGGGGTACTGAGGATGCTGGGGATGCTGGGGATGTTGGGGTTGGTATGGTTGATATGATTGATATGGCGGAGGTGCTTCTATCTGTTAGACTTGTATTAGTTTCGGAAAAGATTTCGTCCTACTCACCTCGCTCTGACTGGTAGCCCCCCATGATGTGTGATATATGCTATTGAACTAGGCGATGTCTTGATGTATTTGAATGAAGATTTGATTGTTGAATATTGAAACGAGGGCTCACTATGAGGTTCTCTTAAGTTTATATATACGAGCTGTAGATGCTAGAGTGGCTAGTTACGTTGATGGGTTCTGCAGAGCCTGCACTGCCTCTAACAGCGACTGGGTCCAACACTGTAACCCTACTAACACTCAATTAAAGTTTTGCTACCTGACAAATCATTGATTGACTCGCCCCCTAATTGAGCATTTATAGGGTCCACTAAGCTGTCACTCTTCCCAATTGAGAAAGCATCTAGGCTATTCTTCCATCGCACTCGCATCGCCGAGAAAATAGCTCTAAACAGACACCCGGATCTAAGATCTAGCTTCTAGCGCCGCCCCCACCATACCGGCGATCCAGCACTCGCACTCGGATTACCCATGCCAATACTAAATTAGCTATCGATAGTTATCCCTTTCCAACACTATGACGTCGCGGGCCGTTATTTCCGTGGTCTTGGATTCGCTATCTTCTTTCTCCTATTTCATTATTTCCTAAGAATTGCTCATATAGAAAGGTTAAAATCAATATACGCCTCAACTGCAGGCCCCTTCTTTGGGTTGAGAGCGACTGACTCAGCCCAATTGAATAAGTTGAAAATGGTAGCACTAACTTAGGTATTCCCCAAGGATAGGTAATACTTCTAATGCCTATTGTATCATCATGGGTATCCATTTATTTATTCTAGTAAGTAACCTTACTAAATCTACTATACACTTCTCTACTCTTTTTCTTCTTGTTGCTTTAAAAAACTAGCCTCCAATACTTCAACTTACCTAGGTACCTAAGTTGTAATGGTAGGGAGCCCTATAGTGCTATTCGTAGAGGATTCCGATGAGTCTTAGCATTGTCGCTTATAGGGCATTGCCTATTTAGGTAGGTGGGTTAAAGCAATGAGTATCGCTAAAGTCATCGTTAAACCAATTCTCGATAGGTAACTTGTTAAATGTTAAGAGATGCTTGATTCTAGGTTAAAAGTTTCTCTTTGATAAATACAAATGTATAATTATTGGATAAAGTTTCATATATTTGGAGAGAAAGATGGGAAATATTTTGTTCAATGGCGACTTCGTCGTTAGCAATCGAAGCGGCATCGTGGAGAACAGGCACTTGGTTAACGCTGCTGTGGTCGATGCAACTGGCAAACTCCTGCACACTCTAGGCGACCCGTCACGAATGACGATAATTCGATCCGCAGCCAAACCTGTCCAGGCTATCCCCTTAGTAGAATCTGGAGGTATGGAGCAGTTTGGTTTTGACGATGCGGATCTAGCACTCATGTGCGGCTCTCACAATAGCGAGGACAGACATATCGAGCGAGCGAAAGCCATGTTGATTAAGTCGGGTGTCCAGGAGAGCGATCTTCAGTGCGGCGGTCACCAGTCTATTAATCCCGCTGTGACCAGGGCTTGGATTCAGAAGGGATTTGTACCTACACCAATATACAGCGCGTGTTCCGGTAATCATATTGGCGTTATAGCGGGCGCAAAAGCTATCGGGGCTAGCGCTGTTAATTATCATACGCTGGACCACCTAATTCAGAACAGAATTGGGTCTATTATGGAAGACTTGACAGGTCTTAGCTCAGACGAGGTTAAATGGGCTTTGGATGGCTGTAACATGTATTCACCAGCAACACCACTACAATCTTTAGCCCTCACTTACGCTTCTTTTGCTCAGGCAGTTGATGATGTGGAAAAGGACGGCGATTCAGTGTCTTTACGCACGCAGGCGATGGCGCGCATCTACAACGCGATGGTTCAATATCCGGAAAATGTTGCTGGTGAAGGCCGCTTCTGCACTTCTCTAATTGAAGCCTACGGGGGTGCACTTATTGGCAAGGGAGGCGGGGACGGCTGCTATGCCATTGGTGTTCGCGAGTCACAACAAACACGGCGGCTAGGTGCTAAGGGCGCTATTGGAATCGCCTTGAAAGTAGAGGACGGTAACTACGCTATAATGGACCCAACCGCAGTGGAACTCCTCGAGCAATTACAGATCGGGACGGCAGAAATACGGCGGCGTCTAGGCCATTTCCATCGCGGTCAAATTAAGAATTCTGCGGGAGTAGTAACTGGACATTTATCTTTCCCATTCAAATTACGAGCAACTTGAAAATCACAGCATATCTATTATTCACTCATCAACTCCCTAGTTAATCCTGCCTAGCAAATACAGCTTATGTCTTTATGATGGATTATGAGCATTGACGAAATACCCGCCGATTTCCGGTGGCCGTATCGGCAACATCCTCCTAATCCAGTAAAACTTCAGGGGTCTTCTCACCAACCGGAATGGTTTCGGGGCTCATTTTAACATACTAGTAGCGATATAGTCGTGGGGGTCAGCACCAACATGTCAGCCATTTTTTAAGATCCCCAATCGCTTTTTCCAAGCCGACTAACGGGTTTGAATGGGGACTGGACGCTTCAATTTCACCACTAGTTCTAAATAATCATGATGGAAATAACGCCGACCCCTCTGCCAACCGAGGCGCCCATAGCGATGAGTAGCACTGCACCTGCGCCAAAGAATGAGACGACTATGAAATCAAGCGGTGATGGCTGGAGACCGACGAAGCGATTTTTGTTGGCATTTATGTCGCTGTTGACGATCGTGGCAGCCATCGCAATTGAATCGACCAGTTTACCCACTGCACTCCCTATTATGAGTGCTGACTTAGGCGGTACCGCTCTACAAGCGTTCTGGTCTGGAACCAGTTTCCTTCTGGCTTCGACTGTAATCCAGCCTACGGTCGCCTCAATGTCGCATATCCTAGGCCGAAGAATGGTGCGTTCACCACTCCCTTAAATATCGGGTAATGTGCTAAAATGGTCTATTTAGATGCTATATTTTAGCAGTGCTGGATTTGCGGGTGGTTCTCTCATTGCTGCACTTGCCCAGAACTTCAACATTGTTCTTATCGGACGAACTGTCCAGGTGGGTGCATCAGTAATACGTATCTATATTATTTACCGTCTAACATAAATCAGGGAGCAGGAGGTATATAGTCGAATCTCTTTTAGAATTGAATATTCATACTCACTTTTATCATCAGGTGGAGGACTCATCGTACTTCTAGAGGTAAGCCCCTCCTGATCCTCCAAAATACAGGGACCTAGACGCTAATATAACATGCCTACAAGATCTTGATATCCGATCTCGTGCCTCTCGCGCATCGTGGTACTTGGTTCAGCATAAATTCTATGATGTGGGGTGTGGGTACGGCGACGGGGCCCATTATCGGGGCCGGATTCGCCCAAGACATCGTACGTAGTATAGCTGCAGTATTTTAATGACGATACTGATTCTTTCAAGTCATGGAGATGGATTTTCTGGATCAATTTACCCATTGTTGGTCTTGGTATGCTCTTTGTTACATTATTCTTGAAGCAGGCCCAGATACCGGGAGATATCGCCGAGAAACTCAAGAGGTTTGACTGGTCTGGCTCTGTACTATTTTCCGCTAGTTCAGCAAGTTTCTTATATGGAATCACCTCCGGCGGTGTTAGATTTCCATGGTATGTGTCGACACACCCATCCCCTTCTCCAAACAAGGTGTACTGAAAAGCTATAGGTCATCCTACCAAGCTCTCGTACCACTAGTCGCTGGATTGGTTGGGATGTTCTGTTTCGTTTATTGGGAATTTTATTTCGCTACAGCACCCATAATCGACAAGCGCATCTTCAAGACTTGGACTGCTATATCCGCATATATCCAGACTATGCTGCATGGCCTTATCTTATGGGCCGCCATATACTTTCTCAGTGAGACGCCACCCCCACCACATAAGCACCCTAAGAATTGTAACTAATTACTCGCTACAGCCCTATTTTACCAGGCCGTTAAGCTATATTCCCCTGTAACTTCGGCGGTAGCCCTTCTTCCAGAGACAGTAGGTCTATCGCTTGCGAGCGTTGCGGTAGGTGTCTTAACAGGCATCACTAAAAGATACCGCTGGGCTCTGTGGAGTGGATGGGCCCTCACCACAACCGGCGCTGGCCTTTTATATCTTTTAGGTACTCACACCACTGTTACTCAATGGGTTTTCTTGAATATACCGTTTGGAATTGGGACTGGTATGCTTTTCACGGCAGAGATCCTGGCTATCCAAGCTGCTACCGAGTACGTATCTGCACTGACAATAACTTAATGCTTCTAATTTATGCTAATATTTCTTACCCAGGCCCGAGCTCAATGGCGAAGCCGCCGGCTTTTTCTCTTTCATCCGCATCTTCGGTCAAGCCCTTGGTGTCGCAATTTCAGGAGTGATATTCCAAAATTCACTGAAACAAAAACTTCTCCAAATTCCCGGTTTCGCGTCCCTTGCTGATGAATATTCGCGCGATGCGACAGCAATAGTCGCTCTCATACAAGGAATGACCGACGGTAATACCAAGACGCAGATGATCCAAGCATTTTCGGATGCGCTTGGTTCTATCTGGTTATCGTTGTTGGCGTTCTCAGCTACCGGTTTGTTACTGAGCATGACGGTGAAGGGTTATTCGATGGCCCAGGAGCATGTCACTTCTCAGCATTTAGTGCAGGAGAAGGATGGTGCTGGCAATGAAGAGGCTGGCAGAACCCAAGCGTAGCGGGCGCTAACGTCTAATTGCTCTGTGGCAGCCAAGTAAATACAGCGCTTCAGTACATAAACCAAGCCCTATTAGCTTCAGTGCAGTGACGCCATGTACCTACCTAGGTAACCATTCGTTTAGCACGTCCCGTCCTCCGGGGGGGAAAGTCCATAATGTGACTTCCAACTCCTAACGATGTTCGCTCAAATGCAGGCACAATCCTACTACCATCTAGCTTCTTAGATCTTTCTTTTTCCTTTATCCTCCCTTTCAAAATTTGTATAACTTTATCGCACTTCTCTAATACAGCGCGTGGAAGTGGGATCCCTTAGAGGCGTAGCAGCTTCAGGGGCTAACATATCTAGCAAGTATGCCCACGGGTTGAAGATACCTACCTAGGTAGGTAGCTATTCCACCAGGCTTAGATGCCCTTTGAACCTATTTTACAGCGTAGATGCGCTCTCTTCTGGTAAGCTTCTAGCACTCCCTCCCCTAACCAACTAAGAATTTTATTACTGGTTAATCTTCAAGTACGCTGCTGCTGCGACATGATGAGTAATCAGGAAAAGTCTACGTAGTGGAGTTTCTAGCGATGGCTTTACACGCTATCGGTAGCTGGGGTGTCTGCACAGTCACCTTTTTGGGCACGAACCCAACATCTACGGAAGGGGTATTTGTGATGACGGGGGGTCTAGACGGAGGAATGATGACGCATACCGCGCTACTCTCGGGATGACCTGCATTTGCATGAGGCCGACTGTGAGTGTTTCGCGTACATTCTTATGTCGTTTGCGTATGCTATCGTGCTCGCTTGTAGGCGCATCGGCCTTCGTCTTTAATAAACGTGAGCGTTGTTGACGATAGATCACTATTTTGGTAAATCCCCACCCCCAGGCTCAGTGGACCCCTCCTGAAAGTTGGGGTGGTTCCGGCCCACAGACCTACTGGTACTCAGGGGTCGTCTAGGTAGAGCGGACCTTCCAATAGGGGGGATATTCGGTTATAATATCTACTTAGGTCCTTGTTTTCTTGGTTTGGTTTTTCATCGAGAAACACATAATACCAACTTTATCATTCAATCCACTGAAATTAGGGATTAATACTTTGGGCTTACAAATCCAATGGCAAAGAATACAAAAGAACTATTTTGCACTCTTCAAATATCCGAAAAAAAATATACCATTATCTATGATGACCCTAAATAGGGGATCGCTAAGGCACTTCTCCAGCACCTAGATAGGCGAAGATTAACGCGATTCCACTATCCACAGCGGCCCGTTTAGCGCTACGTAGTCCCTTAGAGCGCTAACTTCCGGTTCGTTGGTGGGTCCCTATCCGCCCAACTTACACGTACCATGGAATAAACTTAGATATCGCGATACCTAGATAGTATTTCATAATCAAAATGGTAAAATGCTGAATTATCCGTTCTAATACATACATGTAAGTTATAAAATGCGAAAGGGGAATAAAATAAGCTTTCCTAAGTACCCACCTAGGCAGGCAGTTGGAATGGGACGAAGCCATCACATGTAGCTCGCTCTTTGTTACTAACTCATCTATTAAGGACTGTGATGATGGTAAAGAAACAAGATGATTCAAATCTAAATAGTAAAACTACCTTTCGAGCAAATATAATATGCCTACTATACTAGATTGTAAGTTGCCCTTTCCTGTAAATCCCAAAACTCATACAAAAGTACTATGCCTTAATATTAATACACTCTGCTGAGGTTACACGCATAAGTTTCGAGTACTCCACTTAATTTCTACCAATAGCATACAACTAGACCGTTTCCTTTGCTCCTATAAGCTCGATACGTACAAGAGTAACTATCATGTGTCTAGATGGTTTATTAGTAAATAGGTAGAAATTGTCCTGAGGTCAGTAGCAAGATAGCTAAATTCTTCGGGAGTTTGAGAAATACTTTTCTCGAGGATCTGCGTCCTGCCCTCGTTACTAGAATGACTAATCAGGGGTGAGGTTGTTAAGGGGAAAAGTGATCTGGATTCTGAAGCGTATAATTATTTTGTCAAATAGGCCAGGCGCTCATTCCGCCTTCTACTATAGCCATCGGTTTCGAAGAAGGGTTCAATAATAAAATCAGAGCAGACACCCCTCGTTTCATGGATATCCACCAGGATGTGTCCCCTGTCCTGGCCTGCACCTTTGTGCTTCCTTGAAGTAACTTATGGTTGCCCTGATTGGTAATCAGATGATATAACAGGCAGTGTCGAGCATGCATGTAACCCGCCCCTGGCCTACGGCAGCTGAAGAACCAGTTCTCTATTTCGAGTAATATCAACCCTGACAACATCAACATAGGCTTGAGACCAACAGCCATTCATGGAGTGTTCAGTGCAATACCTCGAGGAAGAAATACATAATATTAGAAATTAAATCTACCTATACAGGTGACGGATGTGAACTGAACCTGTTCTAAGAACTTACCAAGGCCATGGGGTCAGTTGTATCAATGAAATTCGAGTCTTGTGTGGCCTCATAAAATAAAGAATGGTGGCCCCAGCGATGGTATAGTAGTATGCTCATTGACAGAAAGAGAAACTTCCTAGAACGAAAATAAAAGGAACTTTTGCAGCAAGCATATCTACCAATGTAAGAGATATTTTGGTATCCTCAAATGACAAAAGGTCCTTACCTATGTATCTACAGATAAGGGCACTCAACGGACGAGGCACTCATACCTTCCCAATATTTCCTCCTTTCGGTAACATGTTCGTAAAGATGTTGGCGTCGTAAGCCTTTGATTGACAGCAAGAAACAACTATCACATGTATGCCGTAAATAGAGTCGCATTTTCTTGATAGGGCAAGCAGAAGGGGCCGTTGATCTGCCCTGGTAATTTAAGGGTTGAGTATGACTTGTAGGACTCAATAGGTCTATAAATATTAGGATTTCCTCTGTCGAAAATGAAACTTCAAACCAACTTCTCATTCAAGACATTATTCTAGACGCTCATCACCATGCCTTCGCAAATCATCCCAGATACCTCAGGTGCGGCTATAAGTTTTACTGATGAAAAGAAGAACCTCATAAAGAGGGCCGTGAATCAAAAGGTTTTGGTTCCCAATGTCCTCTCCTTGATGCCGGCGTGGCCAACTGAGCTGCAACCTGATATCGACGAAGTCAATAAGGAGGTAGATGAATGGCTCGCCGAGTGAGTTGCCGTGTCTCCTGTCGCATTTTATTATACTAACTTTAATCCTAGGGTCAACGTACCCGAACATAAAAAGGCGAAGCACCGGGCTCGAGGAGACTATACCTTTCTCACTGCAGCGTACTACCCACATTGCAAGAAAGATAAAATGCTTCTATTAACAAAGTATCTATATTGGGTATGTCATCTAATTTCCTACCAAATTATTGCAATGAGTTAACGTCTAGCGCAGATCTTCTTCTGGGACGATGGTGAGAACCATACCTAAGTAACAATAGCATGAGCGTCTACTAACTGCGCCTTAGAGATTGATGCTGGTGGAGAACTCACCGAGGATATGGAGGGCACTCTGCAATGCTGCCGAGAGACTAAGAAGAGCATCGATGATTGTCTTGGTCCCAATCCCAATTTTACACCTCCTGCGAATTTACGAGGGACGGTGGAGATGCTGTACCCCATTCTCCAGGAGCTCCGAGAAAGCTTTAGCCCAGTTACAGCAGAACGACAGCGTCTTGAGCTCCACGAGTACGTAGATGGTGTCGCAAGGGAACAGAACGTTCGCCAAGGAAATCACTTGCCAAATCCATGGTATCATTTCCGCATCCGCTCGGCTGATGTCGGCGTTATTCCGAGTGTCACCCAGATCGGATACGCCATGGAGTTCGAGATACCCGAGCATATCCACAGACATGAAGCAATGCAGACCATAATCCAGGAGTGTACGAAACTCACTACCCTAGTGAATGACCTGCTTTCACTACAGAAAGAGTTTGTAAGTTCTCTCACCCAATGAATTTGAAGCGGAAAAGTATGAAACTAACGATGACGTGGTTTATTATAGCGGGTATCTCAACTTGAGAACATCGTATTTTTGTTTATGAATAAGTACGATCTCAGCCTCCATGGCGCTGTCGATCTCGTTCTAGATCTTATTCAAGAACACTACGAAGTTGCTGTCGCTGCTGAGGAAAGATTGCCTTGGAGTGAAAGCGATGAGAAACTAAATGAGAATATCCGAGAGTACGTACGTGGTTGCCACTACATGCCTATCGGTACTGCGTTCTGGAGGTAAAGTAATCAATCGTATCGCTGACGACTAGCTCGACTAACTAATGATTCTAGTTATTCGTGCGAAAGGTACTTCAAACAAAGCCAAGTCAATGACAAGATGGAGGTTCTTTTAGACTTATCATATTAATGAGGTGACACATTAAGGGGTATGTTACTCTCCAATGCGGAGGATAGAAGTTGTGACCTGTTATGCTTGTGTATGCTCAGCAACAATTTTTCACCAGTTTCTCGGTTTCATCATTTGTGAGCGCCTGTTGTTTTAGGACACCCCATAAGATGGCCAGGGTCACAAGCCAGTTATGGAATATCTTTAGCATTTAGTATATGATGGTCACAATTAAATAGCGACCCCTTATTATCGTTGCTTTCAAGAATTGACACCCAATATAGCCTGAGAACCTAGGTCGAACGCGCTCTCCCACATATCAGAGGTAAGACTTATGCGTCTTAATCACTGCCATTCCTCAGGAGCAGGAGAGCGGGCTCGACCACGCCAGTACCCATCGTGACTCGTGTCGACTGGCGTGACAGCGCTCGAAGCATTGTACCACTCGTTTACATTGTCTTCATTAGCGGTAACAACCCGATTCTTTTTCCCCTTTTTCTTGGGTGTAGGAGCGACAAGGTGGTGCCGGGCCTGGTAATGGGCAAAGCGACAGTTGGCCTCTGTTTTCGAACAACGGCCGCCATCCGCCCAGAAATGGCATATTAGAGGCTGTATTAATGCGCCCGGGATATCTTCGTGGTACATCCCGCACTTCTTTTCGCGGCAGCTGTACCCTTCCGTTAACCACCACGGGCAGATTATCTTTACGTTAGGGCCGGACTTTGGCGCGGCGGTGCTGCTGGTCATGGAGCGAGCGGGGGCGGTGGGAGTTGAAAGGGCGGGCGAATTATCCGCAATGGCGAGGTCGCTGAGACTTTCGATTAGTGAATTTCTATGGACTATTGGTACCAATGCAACTTACGCGAGTTCGCCTCCGAGTCCCAGCAGGTCGTGGGATTGTATTGAGACAGGCGTCTCCTTTCCTGGACGAGGCATAGCATTCTGGCCCTCCTTGATGGCCTGCATCTTGATCTCAACGGTGGAGCTTTGGTCCCCGCTGAGAAGGGCGAGGATCTTCTCGTGTGTGGTACTGGATATATGGCCAGCACCAAGCAAAATACCAAGACCCTATTATACCGAGATTGCTTATTAGTATTCGATTTGATCTATGGACCGAGGTGAAAGGTAAATTGGCAGGGCGTCTTCACCGTTAGGACTTGGGTAGTTCCCTTTATGATCATGTCGTTTTGTGCCATCTTGGGAATTATTAAATGACGACAATTATTAGTCGGTGACGGTGACGAAGACTCTTTGGACTTAGGTTTGTCGGGGACGAGTTGTGTAGGCTGGGCTCAAAAGTATTATTTAATCGGTGTAACGCTTGACCAGGCAGCAGCCAGGTAACACAGCAAAGAATAAAAATGCCTTATGGGAATTCGCACCAATCTTTGGCAGGGTTTTATTGATGTGTCGGATACCTGCAGGGTTGTTAGGTGAAAGGAAGGGAAGTACGTAGACATCGGTCAAAAAATATATTTAATAAAATGAATTTTTAGGAACCCAGTGCAAGGCCATGGATATATGGAAACAGCCATAACTTATCTTGGAAGGAAGTACGTGTGAGTTCCCTATTATCATCCAATTAGTAGATTACAACAGATAAATGAAATCTTATATACTGTTCGCTTGTCTGTGAGTCAAAAGCTTGGGCCACTAGAGCATCAGTGTTTAAAGCCACATTCTTTCCTCAGATATTCAGTGATGATTGTTGCCTGACTGCTAAGGTATCGCTTAATTCCAAACTTTTTCGTTATTAGACGGCTCTAGTGTTACCTACCCGTGATTCTAAAGATACAAGAGCAGAATGCAATGCCCTTTTCTTCTAATTTGCACTTAGGTTGTAGCTTTTTCTTCAGCTTGTTCGTGTGTGGGGAGAGGGTCGACACTGTCAAAGGGATTGACCCACAAAAGATTCACAGCTGTATGTATCCATATCAGGACTCTATTTTTAACTGCCTAGGCGCTTGGACTGTTTTATGTGCACAAGGAGAATTTTAGGCGGGTATTCTGGTAACCAATGATAATGGAATGGGGAAAAGGAGACCCTCATGGGTGTCACGTGACCTCTGCGAGAGCGAACGGAGCGTAATTCATTCATCTTTAAACACAGCTTTGGCAGCCTAAGAATGGATGGAATTCCAGAACGATTATATTACGTTATCACCTCGGTATATATATATTGGTCTCTAGATTGAGCTTTTGATAGATTTATGTATAGTGACAATCATCTGATAAACGATCTTGCCGATACCTACCTAGGTCCCTGTATCGATACCTAGGTAAAACTGCTTCCGTGATTTACCAGGTAGCCATGTAATCATGGATGTAACATGGCAATTGTTGTTGGTTATACCATTTTATATCTAATACATCACACTCATGGATAGCAACCAATGAGAACATCGGAAGTTCCATAGAATGATACAAGGAGAGGCGAACGCCCTATCATGTGAAGAGCCTACGAGTCTAGATTCAGAAGGCGACATAATACGTAACAACAGAAATATCCTATGGTGCCCCCCTTCCGAAACATTGGGATACCTCGGGAAAGATGTCCCCACATCGTCTCCTCAATACGACGTCATATTGACAACGGTGCAGCGTTCCCCACAGCATAATAGGAGGTGCTTCTATATTAAATAAGGGTGAACAGAATGCTAGTATTCGCTCCTGCTATATGTATACTAAGAGAATTAGTTTGTAATTCTATTCACGGCACGCTGGATATCTTATACCATGCCAACGGCAATCGTGACAGGTGCTACCGGTAAGTGTTTCTAAATATCTCGAGAGTAATCCCTATCTAGGTATTCTTGGAGTCAACTAGATCATACTCGATATTAATAATAATCAAAAAGGTATCACGGGGACGGCGATAGTCAATGCCTTAGTCAACGCCCCTGAGTACACGGAGATTTACACACTCTCTAGGTCACAGAAATCGCCAGAACATCCAAAAGTCAAACATGCGACTCTAGACCTGCAATCATCGGCTGATGAGATGTGTAAATCACTTTCACACATACCGCCAGTGACGCACATCTACTTCTGCGCGTATCTGGCCAACCCTGATGAAGGGGAAGCATCGCGGATTAACGGCGCCATGCTATCGAATTTCCTCGAGGCTCTTACCAAGTCTGGCCAGACCATAGAACTGAAGCATTTCTGTCTTACCTGCGGTCTCAAGCAATATGGTGTACATCAAGGTCAACCCAAGAACCCGATATATGAGGACGATGACGACTCGCTTGTATGGCTTGAGCAAGGAGACCGCCCACCAAACTTTTACTACACTCAGCAGCGTATTCTAGAAAAGCATGCTGCCGACCACCATAATAAGTGGGCGTGGGTTGTCACCTATCCCCAAGATGTTATTGGGTTTGCTAAGGCCAATTTCATGAATCTTACTACTTCACTTGGTCTGGTGAGTATCTAAATATTACCCCTACTAGTAACCTCGATACTAACATTAGCAACTCTATAGTATTGCGCGATCAGCAAGGAGCTCGAAGGCTCCAAGCTCATCTTCCCAGGGAACAAAACCAATTATCTGTCCTTCAATAACTGGACATCCGCTCGAGTACATGCTGAATTCTGCCTATGGGCAGGCAAGACACCTAACGCAAACAACCAACGTTTCAACGTGAGTAATGGCGACGCGCAGAGCTGGCAGGACATGTGGCCCCGGCTGGCGGCCCGTTACGGATGCAACATACCGGAGAAAATGTTTCCTGCCGGAGACGAGCGAAAGGCATACCCAGGCTACGAGATGAGCTACACGAAACTCCACGATCGGCCTCCTATAGCAGAGGTCGCAGCTAAAATCGGGCTCAAGGACGAGTTTAAGCCTTCGGAGATATTCTGCCAGATCAACCTTCAGGAATGGGCTAAACGCCCGGAGGTAGTCAAGGCTTGGGAGACATTGCGTGATCGGTATGGACTTGATCAGGGTTCTTGGGATGGAGCCACTTGGGATTTTTCGACTTTTGTGCTGGGTCGTAATTACAGTTTAATCGGAAGCATGAGTAAGGCACGGAAATTGGGTTGGACGGGCTACGCGGATACGTGGGATGAGTTCCAGAGGACTTTTAAGGAATTGGAAGATGCGAAGATGCTGCCTCCTGCTGCTAACTTGTAGGGCATTGGATTGTAAGATAGGCGTATTCTTTTGTTTGGCGGGCTCGTTGGATCACGTACTAAATTGCATGTCTATGGGAAGAGTCAACTATCAGTACCTAGGTAGTGAATTAGTATAGGGGATTAGGTACCTAAAATGAGAGCTGAAGCGCTGTAGGTGCTGGAATAGTGGAAAGTTTTAGGTGCTACAGGCGTTGGATTCCCCAATTACTAGAAGATGCCCTAGGGCTGGAATTCTAGGGGACTGTGGGTGGATTTACAGGGGCTTCTAGAAGGGTGCTGTAAAGTGCCCCTGTAATTGCGGTAGGTACGCGCTGTAGCTCCCTGTACCTGCCCGTGAGCTTAGTGCACATTTAGGTACCTAGGTACTGTAAAAATTGACTGATTAAGAGAGTGGACTGATATGATTGGCGGAGAAAAAAATAAAAAATCTGGGGTAGCCAATCGGGGATTTTAGATCAAGATCAGCCAATTCATACCCAAAATGGACTAGTGCCATGGGGTGATCCCGCAGCCCCACCGCTTTTCTATTTATATGTGCCATTCTTCCACCATTCCATCTCTTCTTCTTCCTTTCTTCTACAACAAATACCAGTTTGGCCGCAGTTGGAGAGACCTTCTCTCCCAACCTAGATGACGCTTTTAGCTGATAGGTTGTTGGCTTCGAGTCATGATGAGGGTTTAGCCTTCGGGGCGTGGGAAACCACCTAAACCCATGGAGCCTGTTCATTTGTATTTCACTCCGACGTACGTAAGGTGCTCCATTCCTTACGGGGAGGGCCGCATTTCAAGACGGGACGATCACGAACCTAAAGAAAGGGATAGGCTTGCCACTGATTCTCTGGGTGTCCTGTCGTCGGAAATGTTGGTCGTCCGAGGGGCCATCCTTCAATCCAGGCGGCTACCTGGCTAGGACCCCCGCGTCGAGTGGCGGCCGATGCGCGGCGAAGTCTACTCTCCCCCTCTCTCAGGGGTAGACTGGAAGTTGCTCGGTTCGGTTGGTGAGGGGACGCCATTCTATTAGGACATCCTCCTCTGTTGTTTCTCGAGGTGTCACCCGTCGGGGGTCGGGATTCCATCAATCGAGTAAACACAGGTGTTGCATGCTTCCGGAACAGAAAAATTCCCGTACAATGCAGGTTATACCTCCCAGTTTCACCATGCTCGGGGTCCTCGAGAGAGGAGAAGATCGGCCGTAGGGTATGCGTGGCGCGCGGTTGAGTACAACCGTAGATTGCAGACGTGCCCGATTTATCCCTTTGGAATCTTCAACTCGAGGCCATTCTGATCTTTTTTTGATTTCTGGGCTACCTGTAGCCCGCGGTGCTGGTATTACACTACCTCCAGTACCGTAAAAACAGGCACCTTTTTTTTTTTCATCATAATCTTCGGCTTTCTGGGGATATGGAGAAGACGTATCAATGTTTTTTTTTTTTTTTTTTTGGATATCTACTTTCTAACACCCGTTTGTCCTACGTCGTCGCCCGTACGAACATCATCACGCCCGGGCACATCTACTTCATTGATGATGCTACATCGATTATTACGATTCCACTCAGCTACGTAACTATACCCTACGAGGCCAAAACGACCCTCGTAAAATCGCAATTATTTAGAAGTCTTCATTTCTAATCACTTTTCTCTTTATCTAGGTCGAATCCAAAGACCCCCCTCATAGATGGACTATTTCCCACCCAAACTCCACAACTCACCAAACCTAGTCCCCGCCCGTCGAGCCAACTCTTCAGGATTCCCCTCCTCGACAATCTCACCCTTATCCATAACAACAACACGATCATAATCCATAATCATATCCAATCTATGACTCACCGCAACAACAGTGTACTCTCTAAATTCCCCACGAATAACCTCCTGCATCGCCTTCTCAGTTTCTTGGTCCACACTCGAACTCACTTCATCAAGTAACAAAACCCCACCTTCCGACCCCCCGCCCCCAAACCCAAGACTCCGCGCGCGAATGCGTCGCCGGAGAACGGCGCGGGCGAGGGAAAAGAGTTGGCGTTGTCCCTGACTTAGTGTATTGACTAGTAACCCAGCCTCCAGTCCCCCACGCTCGCGAACGAAGGGCCATAAGCCAGAGACCTCGAGAACGGCTTGTGCGTCTGTGGCGCTGGAGGCGTGGAATGGGTCGAGGTTTTCGAGGAAAGTGGAGCCGTCGGGGAGGAAGACTGTGTCTTGCGGTATGGCGATTATGCGTTGACGGAGTGTGGAGCGGTCGACTAGGTGGAGAGCTGTGTTGTCGATGTGTACGCGGTCGGACGTGGAGGTTATTGGGTCAAGGAGCTTGAGGAGGAGGGCTATGAGTGAGGATTTACCGCTTCCGGTGCGGCCGCAGATAGCGACTTTTTCGCCGCGGCGGATGTTGAGCTGGATATTCTTGAGCGCTAGAGTGGGGGTTTCGGTTGGTTCCTCGGTGCTGGGGAATATGTTAGCTCTCGTTCCTATGGTAGGAAGGGAACGCATACCCATAACTGGCTGACACGCCTTCTAGGTTAATTTCTCCTCGCTGTGGCCATTCTTCTGGGGGGATGATGTCCTCGCCGGGTTTGTCTTCCGATGTGGCGGTCTTATCGAAGGACTTGAGTCGGCTGATGGCGCCGAGGGATGTTTCGAGTTGGGTGTAGAACACTACAGCACTAGAGAGCAGTCCTCCGAAGGCCATTAGAGTTACTAACGATGCACCAGTGAAGCCTGAGTTGGAGCTTAGGCGAACAGCGAGGGTCGTAAGGAGGACCGCAATGATACCGACGACAACGTTAAGCACAAATGTTAGCCACCTGTGATACGACATTAGTAGGCTGAATGAATGAATGGCTTCCTAAAGTTGGCATATAGGATAACTGACTGTTGAATCATGGTAAGAAGGTATGCGGGTCGCTGAGATCTATCTAGAAGGTAGGCATTCTTCGCTTGGTCTTCGCCAGTGAACCCGAAAGCACGCAAGGTAACGATACCCTTGGCGGTATCCAGGAAATGGGTGCTGGAATCTGTTAAAATAAAAAGGTAACCCATTGTTAGACGTAGAATTGCTTACTAAAGCGGACTCTTCGCTTCCAAGTCCAGTAGCCGTAACTGTCTTGAAGTTCGAAGATAAAACTTCTGAATACCGTAAAGGATACCTCCCAACAAAGGATAGCTGATCAGCAGATAGGGAGATGATGTAGCGACGACTGCAGCCTGGCCAAGAGCTACGAAGGCCGTGTATATCACGCTTAGAAGAGAACTGGGTAGCTCGGTATCGATGAGATTTAAGTCCTGGGAAAATAGATTCGTGACAATGCCTTGGTCAGTCTTGGTGAAGAAGCTAAGTGGTGCGTGGACAAGAGTTTTTAAAGCATCGCGATGTAAAGATTTCCCTGACCGATTAATAACCGTGATGTAAAGTAGGATTCCAAGACTGAGTAACGACAGGAGGTTGGAAACTTCGAACGCCGCGTAGATTCCTGCATAGTATCCGAATGGGTGGGGAGGATTTGTGGCGACGGCTGCGTCAGACCAATATTTCAGCCATATTGTTTGGAAATTGTCGAAGAAGCCGACCGCCGCACCACAGACGAATAGAGATATAGCGAGGGGTAAACCCATGCTCTTCATGTATACCTTGTAAGCAGATTTATCACCTGCTATTCGCGCCCTGTCATTATTGCCTTCGGGTATGGGAGCTTGTGTGGAAACTTCTCGCAATAGATTTAACTGGGGTTCTGTGGTATTATCGTCGGATTCTACATTCTCGCTTGGTGTCTGGCTTGTCGATGAATGTTTAACGCCAAGACTGTGGACGTAGCTCTGGTTAGCAAGGAGGTCCTCAAAACTTCCTTGCTCGATAACATTTCCGCTAGAACCTAGAGCAATTACATGCGCCGCAGCCGGGAGATGGCGGACCGAATGTGTGCATAATATCACAGTTGCCCGTCGTCGCCTTAAAATACCGTTTACTCCGAAGACGCGTTGGAACACTTGATCTTCGGTGTCGGCGTCCAAACCACTGAAGACGTCATCCATAATGAGAAGGTCGGACTCCAAGTAGAGGCATCTTGCTAGCGAAACTCGTTGCTTTTGTCCTCCAGAGAGGGTGATTCCATTGCTTCCAACATTGGTCCTATCTGCTTGAGGTAGTGTCTCGAAATCGACATTGAGCATTGTCGCATCGATAATTTCAGCATATCGTTCCGCATTGAATGGCGAATAACCTACGATATTGTCTTTGATGCTACTGTTCGACAAGAATGGCGTTTGGTCGCAATATCCTAAGCGTGGATAATTGGTGGCTATTGACACCGTACCTTGGTGGTACGGTATTTCTCCTAAAAGCGCTTGGCATAAGGATGATTTCCCAGATGCAATCGGGCCAACAACCATTGTAAGAGAACCCCTAGGAACCTCGATATCAATATTATTTAGGACCCATTTATCGGATTGCCAACCAAAGTTACCGTTCTTGATGGTTACCGCAGGAACGTCGTCGAGTTGGGTCTCGGGAGGCTTTTCCAGGTCATTCTTCCGCGCTACGGATATGGTTCGAAAATCATCGCGCGCTTCACTCTGCAGAAATTCTTGGATACGATGTAAGCAAGTGAGTGCTGCGACAAGCATAGGTAAAGCTTCGAACAATTCGTTGAGCGGGACCGTCATAAGCAGAAGATATGACAATGAGGTAAAAAGCTGCGAAGCTCCAAGGCTTTTATGCGCCACTGCAAAGGTCACAGCTGGGGAGAGAAGCATCGGTATGTAAGCGAAAGTGGAACAGCCTAGCAACATTTTTCGGAAGGTGGAACTAGCCCGCAATTCATCGGCGCGGAGCTTTTCGATGTATCGAGCTATCGGAGATGTGAGACCGGATATCTTGATGTTCTTCATGTTGGCGATAACTCCTGAAGTAAGCCCGACGCGCTTTTGCACTCCGGCCATCCAAGCTTTTTGCCCGGCTCCCATAAACTGCATCATGACTGAGACTCCGCCTGTACAGACTAGAAGGATCGCGATAGGTGCGATGAAGGCTACACCGAGTAAGTTATATAACAGCCAGCTCGCAAGGCCAACTTCAAGCAGATCCGCCCACTACGGCGAGGCGAGTTAGCAATGGTTATGCATCCAAGGGAAGTGAAATCGCTTACTACTTCGTGTAAGGCTCGGAAGCCAAGCATTATACGTTCTATGTCGGTGCTCATCAGTGTCAACGATGCATTCTCGCCTTCGCCAGCGACACGAACATCCGTAGCCTTTGTATAAATGGCCGTAACGAGACAAGCGCGAAGCATGAATAAGTTCCGATGATAAAAGTAACCGTAAAACGCCACAGAAATGGCGATACAAGAGTATATGAAAACGCTAGCGCCGATATACCCATAGCTAACATTCGACTTAGACAAAGCATCGGGGTGTTCGAGATGTTCAGTGAGACTCTGAATAAATAGGGGTTGGCAGAACTTGAATCCGATCCATGCGAGTCGAGGCGCAATGGGAAGCACAAGAGGAACCGCAAGTGTCTTCACCAAGACTCGAATAAGATTTATCTTGTTGCCCTTAAGCTTTTCTTGCTCCAATATTTTGGTGAAACGTTGAGATACGCGGTTGGCGGCTAGAGTCTGGTCAAGAGGGTACAAATCCTGCATTCCCAAGACCTTGTTATAACCTTCGAGGAATAGATGGTTGAGCCAGGAATAAACACCCAAGCTATAGATGCCGCTAGTTTCCTCGGGGCTGTGGTCTTTCGAATCCCAGTCAACCCATTTTCTTTTTGGCTGAGCTTCAAGTAAGAGCATGACCACTTTCATAGCAAATGCAGCTGTAAAGATAGCACTATATGCTACTTCTGGTCGAGTTGTGGAGGCCAGCCAGTATGTTCGAACTTGGGCGATATCGAACAAGAGAGTCCAGAAGAGATATACACTCAGTAAGACGGATGGCCTTGGCGACCTACTGTGGTCGAAGTAAGAGAGCCCGACCATGCAAAGAGCGGCAGCAAGGCGAAGAATGGAAGAGATGATATCAACACTATCGGCGCCGAACGAGAGTAGCGTGACTAAGATGAGTAGCGAAAGCTCAAGTGAGGCATACGAAATAAGCACGGCCTACGTTAACGTGTAAGTCTGCGAAAGAGTGAGACTAAGTGAGCGAGCCTTACAAGTTTCGCTAGGCGCAGCAATGGAGCGCCAACAATGGTCGGCCTCGATACGAGTAGGTAAATTCGCCATAGCGACGCGAGGATGAAGATAGCCGCAGGAGTGAGAGAGAAGAAGAGTTGCTCAAACTTGATGGTGAAGTCGAAGTCTCCTCGGCAACCTAAGACATTGGGTCCGAAAGACTGGTCATTAGTATGTTCACAAGCAGAAAACAACATCTTGTGTTGATGATCTGAGCAATTGAAACATCAATTTCAGTCCACAACACCAGACGGTCTCCAATTGATAAAGGATTGGGATTATATTCACAAGGACATGAATATTACAGCAAAATCAAAGGAAGATTTGCGACGCGCTCTAGACCAGGCAGCTCATTGATTACATACCTAAGGTAGGTACTTAACAAATCTGGAACTATTCCGAATCCCGCACAATACGCCGACTCGTAATTCGTACCTAGATCTTACTCGACCCATGTCAGTCCCACTTAGCTTTTGGGTCAACATAGTCTTAGAAGTTGAAGCTTATAGGATGATCAATTCTTATAAGACTTAAGCTTAATAGTATAAGAGAAATAGAGTTACTTTGAACATACTCTGGAACTAAGAGAAGAGAGAAGATCTAATAGCACGGGGGATCGGGGATAGGTACCTACATGTAGGTAGCATGTAGAATTACGCAATAGAAGGCTTATCGATATAGTATTAGATACCCGAATCCGAGTCTCCGAATACGCCTGGACCAATTTAGCTATGTACCTTGGCGGTAACCTTGCCCCTGTTAGTTACCCCTATAACCCCGGCTTGTACCTAGCATAAATCAACTGAGACGGTTTGTATACAATTGATAGGTTACACCATAACAGCCAATATACCCAGTTTAGGAAACAGAGAGGTACGAAGGCCACGTCCTCGACTACGTAGGGCACGATGCCTGCTCAGTTGCCTAGGATGCATACGCACCTAGCTGAACTACGACATAACCCCTCAAAGAGTTGATCTCACGAACCCCTCTCTTCCGTCATAAACTCCATTGCAAATTCACCGCCGAAACCTCAAGTCATGGCCGACGAGATCAGGGATTCGGTCGTCCGCCGGGACAAACAAGCGAGTCTTCCGTTTCTCGCCCAATTATCCCGCGCCACCACCATTTACTCCTACAAACTATTAGGCGTGCCGACTCTTTTTTACAGGGATTGGTTCTATCCATCTGAATTCCCTCCGAACCTCATTAAGACATACGATAGCCGACCGTTTTTGCCCATCAGGTACCTATCCCACAACTAGAACCACAGACCCGACCATCCGTGCCATACCTAACGAAAGTGCTCATTGTAGGATCTTCTTCCCTAAGACATACGAACTCGACTCCTCTCACGAACTCCTCCCCACCGTATTCACCATCCATGGCGGCGGCTTTTGCCTCGGCCGAACGCAAGATGACGACGAATGGAACGCGCGCTTCGCCAGCATGCATAGCGTGCTCGTGATTGCCCTCAATTACCGCAAAGCCCCGAACTTCCCCTTCCCAACCGCGACCTACGATCTCGAAGCCCTAATCCTAGCCGCATTTAACGATGAGAGCCTCCCCATAGACAAGAATCACATAGCAATCGGCGGGTTCTCCGCAGGCGGAAACCTATCCCTCAGCGTCTCCCAACTTCCCTCGATCCGAGAAAAAGTCAAGCCCGCGGCTGTCTTGGCTATATATGGTGTTGTGGATATGACGGTGTCGTTGGAAGATAAGGTTAAGATGCGATACTATAAGCCGGGTCTTGCTCCGGGTCTGCGTGGGAGCGCGGTTGATTTCTTGGCGGGTTTGTCGCCGGCTTTTCAATGGAGTTATATATCCCCTGGTGTAGATCTGGGAGACCCGTTGCTTTCGCCGTATTTTGCCCCCCGCGAAAATCTACCTCCGCATCTATTCTTCATCGGTACGGAGTTGGATCAGCTCGCGCATGGGACGTGGCGCATGGCGAGCAAAATAGCGGGACGACCGATACCTACGTGGACAGACAAGCCGGGCCAAGAGGGGCTCGCGACGAAGGAGGGGGAGCTCATATTAGACGACGAGAGATTTGCGTTCGAAAAGGTTGAGGACGGGGGCAAGAAGAGCGTTCGGTGGTTGTTAGTCCCAGATCAGGTTCACGGTTTCGACCATTTGCCCCATCAATGGCTTGGAGAAGCAGCCGTTAAGGACGGGAAGCTAAAGGAAGTCGCTTATTCGAAGATCTTGGGAGATTGGTTACGAGAAGTCGTATGGAAATAAGAAGATTGGGTCGAATACCGGAGATAGCCTAACGATTATTACTAACTCGCATTGCTAACATCTAGAAACCTAAGCTTACACCAAGATCCGTCACGAACCCCATGATCGGGTTTTATTACCCTCTTATCTTTTACTGTCTATGGATGGCTCCGTACCAATTACATTCTGCTAGACTAAGCATGTTCGTTATCGAGTCTAGGATAGCAAAACATTTCCTTAGATTCATATGCTTCTATTAGTCTTCTTGCATTCTTCATTCTATGAATTCAAGCCACCTTTCCAATAACTCTTTGAAGTCAAGATTGCTAATTGTAACAGGTGTACCTCCGTCGTCACTATTTTCTTCTCGTGAACCGGGAAAGAACATCGGGTAGTTCCGAAGCCGACACATGCAAGAGAAGCCCCAGTCTCGTCTTATATCCGTCTGCCTCAAGTTGCGCCTAGTAGTGTAACCCAGTAATAAGGCACCACGCCTCCGAGCCATTGACCTAGGTTTAGCTGCCTACTTGGATTGACGATACCCTTTACCACTACATCCTTCGGTGCGGGGGGTATATACAGTCCAAGGGTCATCATGAGAACCCTGTGTCAACCATCGTTCCATGATCTCGTGTGCTCTAGTGCTTTGTGGCTTAGCGCAATGATGGTCGCGGGCATTGGGTAAGTGCCCACTGTTAGGCGAGGAGAGACTAGCATGAGCCTTAGTTTTCTAAAAAGAAGGGCTCTTAGCTCATATCCGAGTCAATCATGGAGGTGGCTCTGTGTTAATACCTGCTGAGCGTGGGGCTCTTGCGGCTTGCTTTCATTTACCATAACGATGGACTAGATCTGGAAGAGAGTAGATAGGCTAGGCTGAAACTAAGTGTAAAAGAGGCCGAAGCTATCAAGTGTTCAGAGGAATGTCGTCAACTTCCGGGGACTCTCGGTAGCTTGCGATGAGAATAGGCAAGGCTCGTGAAAGCTTTCAGGTTGTCGATTGAATTCAAAATCCTAGGCCTCAACGTGGATTACTACCTTACCTTTATACGCCTAAGTAGGCTCGCCTCGGATTCATACGCCTAGGTTAGCTCACATCGAATCCATCATTATACCTGGATATCATGTTTCGCTTATGCGAGGCCTATTGAGGCGAACCCGCTAAATCAGAAATGCCTTTCCTCGGGACGTCAGAACACCCCGATGTGGAGGCCGCTTCCCGTCCGGCCAACAAGCCAACACTAAAAAGTAGTTCCACAGCGCCGTCATGCTGATTTGAGGCGTAATCGTCCTCAGGAAGTTAGTAAGACATACCTGGGTAGGTATGCAAACCCGACCAATCAGGACTTGCTGCACCGAAAATAAGCGCGCCAACTAGTCCCGGAGACGGATTTGATTTGGGCGCGAAGGGAGGGTGGGGAGCCTAACGAGGGGGTTGGCTTGAGAAGCGCACGATCCGGCTGTCCTTTGCGCGGCTCTCGTAAGTCTAATAGCATGTATATATGTAACCTTAAAACTTGGATGTGCAGGTTAACACGTAACAATATTTCCAATCGGTGCGGGAATGGCGTCAGGAGCCTCGCCTTGATTCGTCATCGCCGTTATCGCCACGGCTTCGGTGAGCACGAACAGGAACTTGTTGGGAAAGGAGGGCGGCCCGGTCCCGGTCCCGGTACCCCACTTATGACCGTCTGGATGCCGGGATCTAGCCAAAGTGGAAGATAGGCGGTACTCTAGGCACTCTTTAATGCGACTCTATATCCCCGTCTAGATGCGGGCGCCGCTTGATGATTGAGGGGTATGTAACGATTCATCGAAAGTGCAAATTTGAATGCGGCACGGAGGCGTCTGCTGACTTAGTTTCGAGGTCTTTACACTAACCTACTAGGATTTGAAAAGTGATGAATGTTTTACACCATCGAGGGGCACCCATGTCTAATATTCACAACATTCAACCTAGTCAGAGCATTTCGCAGAGGGAAGTAATGAAAGGCCCGATACTCGAAGAATACCTTGGCAGGTATTTTACCCCTATTTTCTTATGTGAGGAAATCGACATTCTCCATACACAGATTACTTGACATAATTACGTCCCACCCCTTTCTCAGGATCGCCATCACAATATCTCCGGTCCAAAGCCTTACGTCGTATCCAGGCGTAGGTTTTCTCCAACTGCAGACGCCAATACCAGATTGCTATCGAAAGCAGCGTCAGGGGAATGAAGAACCAGATAAAAGGCCAGAAGAGATCAGATATGCCATGCGTTTCCGAATTTTCCAAAATACCGGAACTAAAAACGCCCTGTAAGACAACGAGTTAAAGGGATTAAACATCGCGGCCGGGTAGGGAGGTTGAGCATACCGCGAGGAAAGTTCCAGGCAAGAAAATCAACGTCAAAACAGTTATCGTGTTCATGGACGAGCTGTGTCGCGCGGTTTGGTGCGCGATGTCGATATTCACCGAGTTGTCTTGTTGGGTAACCAGATTATATACCTAGAAATCTTTAGTCCAACGTCGGGTACATCAGGGATTTATGCTTACAAAATTCATAGCGGTATCTTTCCTGGCCTTGTAGCTAATTAGCCAATTCTTCTGGCAGTGCCAGGTCTTCAGGATCCACGCCATCGAGTCTTGAACATGCTGCCGCGACGCGGGATCTTCAATCCCGTTGGCAGTGAAAGACATGTAAGCTTCGAGCATCTCTCTGCAAAGCTCAATCGACATATCGGCACTGGCAATTCCTGAATCACATGTCTGAGAGACGAGGTGTAACTTCTTGGTGATGTCTTCCAGTTTCTTTCGCCCCGCGTCAACCCCTTCTCCATCACCGAGGTATGGGTGCGTCTCCTGGGAATAGTCATTCACTTTTATGATTTGTTCCATCAGATTTGTTCGAACATCCCCTAAATACTCGGTGGACTGGCGATATGCTGTGCCAGAAACGAGGGCGTGAATGAAGAATGGATTGAACATTACATCTGGAGCCATTCCGGTGTATGGCTTGTCGGTATCGGGAATCCCAAGATTTCTCAAGATGTCTGAGACATATCCATCACTTTTCGCCGAAGAAATCATATAGTACGACGTATTCGTCTCGCCCTCGTGGTGGAGATAAACTGAGCATGGTGCCCGGTGTACGGTAGTATCATGGCGCGACTTTTGCAACCAGCGTGGATGTTGACAGAGGAATTCGTAGCTACTCCCACCGCCCAGTAAGGTGATTTTGCGTCGACCGAATGCTGACCAATAGTCCGGCCGACCTAGCATATCCTGAATAGCTGCATCATGCATCTCGGTACGGTCGATAAACTTTTTGAAACTGGATTTTGAAATACTGACTTGCCGCTCATACTGCGCCTCGGAGTTATAATGAAGAGACACGAAGAATACAATGAGCGTGTGATGATAATTTGGGGACTTTGGTGATGCATCTCGGCTTAATAGGCTTCTGATACCAGCATCATCAACAGCGGGTAACCATAGAACGCCATGCTCGTCCGCCTTCACGACCTGTATCGTAGATTGGGATTGGAAATTCTGAGGGTTAGAGAAGGCCTGCTCGGCAAGTAGAGGACTCCACGGTTCTAGGGTTAGCTTTGGCTCCGACAGAGGCGGAAAGACGTCTGAGAACTTCCTATAGCAGCTCGCTCCATCATCGTATCCCTTAATAGGTGATTCACCCCCGACAAATTCGATTTCATCGATTTCCACTGCTCCCTTTCCGTCTAAATTTGTTAGTATGCTCGGTATAGACATGCCTCGTAACACATCGAGTTAAGAGCTAGTCAGTGGCTACAGTTGGCCAGTACTAAGTACTGCAGCATTGTTTCGAGGGTCCGAAGACTTTTCTGTTTCGCAATTCTCGGGGGCCAAAAGGATATAGGTTATAAAACCGTTTTCTTTAATCAAACCATCTTCCGCCGCCTATAGTCTTATTGGACCATCATACTAGCGAGCTGAAAATCCCCTGCGCGATTTGAAGTAAATCCATGATCACGGACACCGCATCCTTTGAGATATACGTTATCATCAATAATTATAGACTGATAAAAGTGCACTTTCCGAGGCTTCCCATTCGCGGGAACAGATGATGCCTGGAAGAATGGCTGCAAGTTGGTGCCGTTTCGTCACCACTTTGCCATGGTACTGATCTTGGCACCAAACCACAAACAATTAGCTAAGGTACGCAACCTCTAATATCAAGGCTCTAAGGGGAAATGAAATTTCGTGATATTGTGTTTCTCGGGTTTTTAATCTTTGATCGCGTTCTTGTGTAGATTCATGATGAAAAAGATGTAAGGAACCACGACCCTAGACAATTTTGCTGACTGCTAGTACAAACGGCTAGGGCCAATTTTAATGCCTGTCGTCCCCCTACAACCCTTCCAGACCATCTTCTACCCATTTTCCAGAACGCGTAATCTATTGATTTAAATCTAAAAAATGTGTAATTCTTTTCAAACATAGAAATCCCCCACGTGCTCATTCACCGAGTTCGAATCCAGACGAAGATAACTTCACACGTAGTAATTGAAATGGTATCCTGTTTTGTCAGCCGATTCGCCGCCTAGCTTCTCAGTAGAGGGATTGAAAGACTAGCGAATAAGACTCTAGCTAAGAACAACGTGCCCATGCATTCGATAGCGTCTCGCCAGGGTAGTCGGATAAACACTCAGAGTCAAAGAATCGCGACCTCCCTAATGCGGGTTTTTTATTACCTATTTGCTTACGAAAATAACTAACCCAGACTATGCAATCGAGGGAGGATAGCTAAAATCCTAGTTGTCGTACCTTGCCATACAAGCCGCACGTGCAAGGTGTACCGATACTAAAATGGCAGCTAAAATCAACCACAAGTTGTATATAAATCTTAAGTAGTTAATGCTTCAATGGTATTCTGCCGTGCTCCGTGTTGTTGTTATTCGCTCGTTCTTAGACATTGTTGACTTTGGGGTTAATAATCCACGATGAATTCGCTACTGACGACAGTCTCTATTATCGCTGGCGCCGTAGGTGCTGCGGCGAAGTGTGTACCACGTGCCCCTCAAGCTTCAACCGTAAACAAGACGACTTGCAACGGTATAACTTACGAATATGAGGAATTAGCCGGCTACGGATACGTTGTCTCGGACGCGGTTGATAAGTTCGGCGATACCCTTGGCGGCTTGGGTTCATCCCTACACCTAGAGCAGGGCGCTTGGAAGAAGCTGGATAATGGAAGCTATTCGGGTGTGCTATGGTCGCTGCCCGACCGAGGCTGGTAAGCACATGGTTACCCTTAAAGTTGAAAATACCCCTAAAGCAGCTAGCGAGCCACGGCGGACGCGCGCCGGAAACTCCTAGTATGCGGCAAAGGTGCTAATAATCATTAATAGGAACACTCAAGGGACAATTAACTTCAACCCGCGAGTGCACAAATTCAACATCGTCTTTACTCCGCAACCCGATGCGACTGCGGATAATCCATCGGGTCAGAACCTGTATTTCGAGTACCTGGATACAATACTCTTCTCCGGACCCGACGGGACGCCTTGCACGGGGCTAGACGCCGATGCGACCGGGAATATCACATTCCCCGGGTTTCCGGCTCTTCCCGTTACTACTTATACCGGCGACGGCTTCGGCGGCGATGGACCGGGCGGTAAACGTATCCCGGTCGACTCGGAAGGACTTTGGGTGAATGAAGACTCGAGCTTTTGGGTATCTGATGAATACGGACCCTATATATGTATGCGGGCTTATCTCAGGTTATTTCTGAAATGTAGGGAAGATTACTAATGCTGGATTAGATCTCTTCGGCCCCGATGGAAAGATGCTTAGCGCAATCCGTCCCAATGATGCTATCGTACCCGTGCGCAATGATACCACCTCATTCTCTGCCAACAGCCCGCCGCACTACGTCGATAACGGCGAGGGTGACGATGTTGACCCGGCTGACCCCGACAGTGGCCGAGACAATAACCACGGTAAGCTCGTATCGACTCGTAACACGATTACTATTGCTAATTCATATAGGCTTTGAGGGTCTTAGTGTCTCAAAGGATGGCAAGACATTGTGGGTACTTTTGCAAGCTGCGGCTGTCCAGGAAGGTGTAAGTAGATCGCCATTCTATGGGTGTGGATGGTCTGGAGTTAATGATGAAACGACTTTAGGGCCTAGACAAGCAGACCGAACGCTACACTCGTTTCCTCAAGTACGATGTTTCGAACCGACTGGCCCCCGTTTACGCGGGGGAGTGGGTTGTGCCTCTTCCACTGTACGATGACCCTACAGCGAAGAAATCGAAAAATCCCAAGGTAGCGGCACAATCTGAGATACTTGCCCTCGACAATGGGCAGTTCTTCGTCTTATCTAGGGACTCCAATGCTGGGCATGGTGCTGAGAGTACTCTTTCTGTCTACCGCCAGATTGACGTCTTCGATATTACCGGCGCGACGGACATCAAAGCTAACGGAGATTACGACTGCGTTGGCTGCAATATCGCTAAGCCTAAGAAAGGAGAACTCAAGGATGACATTACACCTGCGACATATTGTAGCTTCCTCGACTTCAATGTTAACTCGCAATTGAACCGATTCGGTATACACAATGGTGGCGATCAAGATTCAGCCCTTCTGGTAAGTAATATCTCATTCTCCGTTGACCTAGGGTAGATATCGGCCGAAGCTAACGTGACGAATTGATAGAATGAGAAATGGGAATCGCTCGGATTGGTTCCGGTTAACCCCGATTCCCCAGACGGAGAATATTATGTCTTTAGTCTCAGCGATAACGACTTCATCACCCAGAACGGATTCATGAACGGAGGGAAATTCCCTTACACCGACGATAGCGGCTACAACCTTGATAGCCAAGCTCTGGTGTTCAAGATCCGAATCTCGTCTTGAAAGGGCTTATTTGGTAACAAAATGTTAATGTTACTGTCGCCGATACTCGGTTAGGCGGTGAAAGAATGGTGTAACAGAATTGAAATGTTTCGCAAACATGGCAGCTAATAGATTTTGCATCCCTTAGTAGCGACGATACAGTGACGTATGTACCTATCTAAGGACCTGGTTCGCGAACTAGAACCCCTGACTAGGCGACGTAGGACCTTGGTTAGGCTGTAGACATTGCGGGCTTGTCCGTTGGCACGAGCCGGAGTTTTTGTAACCGAACAGCCTAGATTAATTGTGTTATTGTCTATTTATCGTGTCAATCATAAAATATGTGTGAAATCGAGGAAGGGCGTGGAATTTAATTGTAGTATCATGGCCTACTGCCCTAATCTGACCAGAACAAATTCATTTGAAAGTTCCTAGCGATCGAAGCAACGTCTTCCGAAACAGAGAGGATTGAAAAAGAAAATTAACTCCGACACTAATTTCTACGCACGGGTCATATACAAAAATTCTATGTGCCAAGGATATAGAGCTTAATCAATCAGGCGACGTCATCATGCAGCTTGATATCCTGGAAGTGAAGTTTACATATGTACTACCTAGGTATTCATTACATACTTGTCAAACACGATATTCTAGATTATTTGAGATCCATCAAAAAGTGCGTGTTGATACGGGTGGGTAGTATCCGCAAGGAATATATCATTATCTTCATGATTTTGATATTGGTCTGGCTCGTACTTCCGTTGAATATGGTCAGTCATTCATGTACTTGTCCGTCGTACCAAAGTAGCTTACTCATTAGGCTGCATGGATATTCGGCATGTGTCGTATTGGCAGGGTCTTATGATACCTGTACTTCCAACCTGTCACTGTCCGTATGATACGTCTAATCCGTACATACGCATAGATGTAGTACTTAGGTTGATATGTAAACAGATAACTGTTTGCATCGCCCCTTTATCGCCTTGGATGCGGTGAACGCGGTTTACATGCAGACATGAAGAGGGTGCGACTTGGAGGAATCATACTGTCGTACCGCATACACAGCTCATAGGTCGAGACCTTCAATATAAAGACCCAAGCGCTGCCCAATTATTCCGTTGCCAAGACCTTCAACGATACGCCGGGCCTCATTCGTAGCCTGCTCCGCTCTGGTCAGCTATCCAATATATAGACTGAAGATACTTATGGGTTTATGAGGGAGTCGGGTATGAATTGCACGATACTTTGTACGATACGATACTAGATTGGATACATCTGTCAATATTGTACAAACGAATAGACCCCTGTTTAGCTGGGTTCTCTCCTAGGATAACCCTGTCTTTTTATGTGGGGCATCTGGGTACGTAGTGACTGTACGCAGCGCTAATGGGGAGATAATACTAGTGCGGCATCACCAGTTCTCTGATGTAATTAAGTCTTAAGAGAACTTGATTGCCCCTCCAAATCTTTAAACTCAATTCCAGTCGAATCTTCTTAAACTTGTTAAAGTTTCTGTTTAAGTAAGACTTCTTTTTTCTTACTCGGCGAACATCTTATATATCTACGAAAAAGACAACCATAAGCATCAATACCTTATCCCCACATACCCCTACCATCCTATCTTGCGCTGCTTGATCAGGTTCATCGATCAGGTCAGTCCGCGACGGACAGAGTCGCATTCAGGTCATACGGCACCACTGCGTGTGCAAATAACAAATAAGAAAAATAGAAAAGTAGGACTACCTACTTAGGTACTTACTTAGGTAGCAAGATACGCGACTGAGGTTCGCCAAGGTGTGTTGCGCAGTGTGGTGGATATTGTTTAAGCCACTCACGAAAAAGAGGCCCCGCGCATCTTCTATTACCATCGATATAATACGCTGCTTTTCCGGACTGGCTCCCCTCCTGTCGTCATAGCCCGAAGGTCCGCTGCAAGCGCTACAAGCCATTGCCCAACATCATTACGTCGACATCATATACCGCCATCTTCTACATTCTCCCATCAGTTTCAATTCTTGCGAATATCATTTACTTATTCATTTATTTGATTTACTTCGTTTTATTTTGTAATATCCTTTTTACTATATTATACCAATTATACCAATCAAGAAATGTCGAATAGAAGGTTGGTGGATGAGGATTTGGCCTACGGGGAGTCGTACGGCGGTGGTGGTGGTGGTGAGAGGTGGGACAGGAGTCGTTTCGCTCTTGAGAGCGACCGCAATCGACCAGTTGCAGAAAGGGATCGCTTCGAGGAACGCGACCGTTTAGTCACTCGCGGCCCGGGTGGAAGAATCCGTGAAGCTTCCGTCGATGAACGATTTGAACGAAGACCACCGCGACCCTGGGATGATGATTATCCCCGCGAGAAAAGATACTACGATGAAGGCCCACGCTTTCGGCGCTCTCCGCCTCCCGAGGTAGAGCGCCTCGTCATCGACCGCGAAAGAGACCGTGAACGAGAACGGGGCCGTGAATTTCGCATGCCATCTCCCCCACGACGACCCGGACAATTGATACGTCGACAGTCGTCTCTCGACACATTTGATCGGCGCCCACCGCCACGATTTTTCGAAAGGGATGAATATGAACCCCGTCGCGAACCCCGCCCTGACCCATACAAGGTCGTCCCTCTTCCGCGATCAAGGGCTCTACCTCCACCAAGGATATATGCTGAGCGAGACATCGACGAAATCAGGATATCCGAGCCCGATCGCTACGGCGACGATGAATACCGTGCATACCCCGAGCGCGTCCGTGAGATGGAGGTGGTTAGATCGAGAAGACGGCACGACTCGAGAGATAGGCATCGCGGCAGCGTCCGAAGTGGCAGTATCGATTCGGACGACTCGAGCAGTAGTAGCGGGGGCACTACCATCACCGTCAAAAGTGCGAAAAGTGCTAAGAGTGTTAAAAGCACCAAGAGCGAGTACCCTAAGAAAGGAAAGACGAGGATACCAGTCCGACTTGTTCACAAGGGGGCTCTCATCGACCTGGGCTATCCATTCATCGAAGAGGTATGTTCTAACGTTCGATCTCATTCCAAAGTATCTACATATTCACCAGTCTAACATTTTTAGGGTAATGTCATCATCGTGCAAAAAGCTCTCGGACAGCAGAATATCGATGACTTGCTGAAGATAAGCGAAGAGTATAAGAAAGCCGATCAAGAGATATTTGCTGCTCGATCGGTTCCTGGCGATGTTGTTGAAGAAAGAAAAGAAGTCTTCACCATTCCGCCACCGCCCGTAGCTGCACCACCTCCCCCGTCAATCGTACATACCGCAGCACCCGTCGTTTCTCCTCCGCCAGCACCTGTTGAGGTTGTCAATCAGACATTCATCCGTGAGGCCTCACCTGCGCGCACTGCTCGTACCCATCGCAGTCATTCCACCTCCACTACACGCACGCCTGTTATTATCGAGCCGCGAGAATATCCATACGAATACAGTGAAGAAGTCCCCGTCGGACCCCTTGCATTAATCAGCGATGACCGACGTCGTTCCGATCGGGAAATCAAGATGGAAATTGCACAGCTCGAAGCGGAGCGCGACCTCCTAAAGGCCGAGCGACGACACCACCATCACTCCCACTCGCGACATCGATCTCACAGCCACAGTACCAACCGCGAATTGGTATCAGCCGAACGTCTACCAACCGGTGAACTCGTCTTGTACGAAGAACAAGTGGAGAAGGTCGAGGAGCCGCGGCGCGGGGTGCGCATCGAGAAGGACAAGAAAGGTAGGATGTCCATCAGCGTGCCTAAGTATCGATAGGTGAAGGTGCGCTTTTATCTCTGCGCTATAGCCGCTCTTCCTTGTAGGGATTTTTGACTAACATTACTCTTTGATAGGTCCCCCACCTGGTTTGGTGAGAGCTATGCTTGCGACTCTTACTTAGTCGCTTTATTGTCTTTGCGAGGTGTTAAGTGTTCGATGGCGATGGCGATGGCGATGGCGCTAAAGGTTCAAAAGCGGACCACGGCCGCGATTTCTAGCAGCCCCGGCTTCAGGTCCCAATATGGTTGCCAAAAACTAGTCTCGATTTACATCGAGCTTATTGTTCACGAGATTTTTTCAATATTGGTGTGTGGCGTTACAATGCGTTTGTTTCACATGTTTATACTATCAGGTATACTATCAGGATGGGTCAAGGAAGCGTTTAGGTTGGGTACAATTAAGCGCGAGGCTGGTCTCGTCTTTTGATTCTAGTTAGATCACAGGTACGAGGACCACGTTCGTCGAGCTGGATTCATTGGTTTGATTATCATTCTAGTCGCATTCTTCACAGGATGGCTTCGTGATAGTAGCGCGAGTCGTAACGACGTAACGACTTAATGTTCATGTTTTTTCCTTGACAGATAAGCTATTTATATACTTCAATATATATATGTACTTATCTCATATATGGCAAGTCGCTTATCTCGAGCGTGACGTCGCGCAAGGTAGATTTACGATCATCTTCGTAACCCACAATCCGATACTATCAAAGAGCTCCTACACCAATTCCATTGTTCGCTCTAATAATATCTACACACCTAGCCTACCCAACCAGTCAATCCTTAAGCCAAAGCCTCCATAAAGAACATCTCGGCAATTGTTGACAGACAATGCATTCTCTCAACGTCTTTGAGAAACAATGGTTTTCTACGACTCACATATATATCGAGTTAAGACATTTCATCGTTTCCAATATTTCACTCTGTTTCTCAACAGGCTATGATGATTTTCCGTCTATATCACGCCAGCCTCAGCTTCCGGATTACGATGGTGTATCATATTATTCGATAAACCATCTACTACAACCAACCTAAGTTAAGGAACATCCATACGACCCTATCTCTTGAAGAATTTATCGATCGAGTACCTAGGTACGTATCAATGCTAAAAATATCATTCGAGATGGCATACACCACAAGTCGAGGAATCGCAGGCGAACGCGCTGCAATACGCGAGGAACAGCGCGAAGTAGCACGCAGACGAGAAAGAGAGGCAAGTCAAAAACATCCTACTCTCGATAGATCTGAGTCCTCAGTATCATCGGGAAGCAGCATTGGTAGTGGTGATACAGATATGTCACTCCCAAAGTTTCAATTCCTTAAGCCTAGCAGACCGGATGCTTTGCCTCTTAAGATGGAGAATTGTCTGGATATGGCGCCGATTAAGAAGGGCTCGTTTTTGTTCATGAGTACCAAGTATGTGGAGGCGGATGATTGGATTGAGTATGAGGAGGAGTTGCGGCTTGATTCTGCGACTTTTTGAGGTTGGGTTAGTGTTTTTGTTATGGTAGGTATGGATGGTATTGGATTCGTGAGAGGCGCATATGGCCGCATCGTAAGTAATGGTAATTCTATAATATGCTTGAAACGCAATAAAGATATCGAACAATGAACTTGTGTGAGTGTTGTTGTACGTCGTGGATTGATGATCTTTGTCCCCTATTCTCAGGGCAAGCTACCAGAGGACGGGATACCCGACGACGAATCAACATCCCACGATCGCAAATATTAGTACTGTATTTAAAATCTATTATAAATCTAGCAGGTAAGTTTTCACGGTTCTAATAAGTACAGCTGTTGGCGAAGGTGGCCGCCCAAATACAAGTCTAAAGGTTTATGATCATAACTCCCACAACACTTCCAACCGTAGCATCAACCAAGTTCAAAGCAGCTGGGTGGGTTTCAGACAAGGGCAATATCTGGCGGCTCTACACCATAATACCACAAAGTCTCGTGAACTCAGCCGCCGTCGCATCCATTTTATGCACCACAACAACCTCTCGCGCAGCATCTTTAGTATCCCGCACGAGCATCAAATTAACATTAGCCAAGCTTCCAGAGCACAACAACCAGAACGAAACCGATGTACCCAATCTCTGTAGATTTTCAATGATACCACTCAACTCCTCCCACAAATCCCGATTCGCGACTCTCTTTAACCGACTCGTTCGCCAACGGCGACGCACCCACTGCGGCAACAAACTCGTCGCACCATCGACAACGTACTTCAAGTCCGTCGCAACAACAATGCGCCTCCAACCCTCCTCCTCCCAAGCACGAAACTCCAGCGCCGCAATAACAGCCCTCAATTTCGCTCTATTGCTTGTAGCATGATAGCCCTAACCCCCAGGCCCACGCTTCTCAAGCGGAAACCCAACCACCCCACCATCATTCCGGCTCCCCTCCATAAACGGAAACGCGACGCCCCCAGGACTCTTGTATGTGAAGCTACACCCACCGGCCAGCGGTTTGGTAACTACATCTTTGCTCCTGTTGTTGATACAGCTCCCGTCGACTAGGACGAGGATCTCGCGGCTATCGTACCGGTTTATGAAGCGGGACTGCGTCGATCGCGCAGATATGGTTTGTAACGGGAAATGATGTTCGGGCGTTTCGCTCGGGTCTTGCGGGATGAAGAGCGTCGCCGAACGGATAGGCGCGCGACGGGTCAGGCGGCGGCGATAGCGTGGTGTTTGTTCGGATCCGGATAGGAGGGCTATGGTGCCTACGACTCGATGAGCTGGCCTTGGCCATGGTGGTGTGTTTTCATTCTTGATGGGCATTTTGCTTCGCCTTTTGTTTCTTCAGCTATTAAGGATGTTTAAAAATTGAAGGAAAGAATCCGATCTTGGGAAATTGGGAGGGGCCATCGAGCGGGTCGGCAAGTTTCCAGCTACGCGATGGAAAAAGCAATGTTGGGACTAACACCGCCGGGAAACATACATACGGAACTAGATTTTGATCGAGGAAAGCTACAGAAATTTCACCGCTGGATTCATGTATCTACGTTCCTTTTTTTTTTTTTGGAGGCATGCAATACGACCCCATCGTGAATACATATGTAGACATGAAGAGAGGATACAGGTGGAGCGTACTTAGAAGAGGGAATATCCCAGTATCTGAGATTACTGTGTGACGATGGGATCGTCACTTTTAGGCCATTCAGGTACGTACCAATTATTCGTCACATACAACTCCCATGCGCTTCGGAGACAAACTCTTAGTAGTAATTTATTTGTAGGTATTAAATGAACGTGTAGGAAGACTCTCATAAGACTTCCAATAGATGAAATCGTAACTCATCATACTGAGCACCTAAAGTACTCATACCATGTAAATCCCATATCGTTTACTCAAACAACTAATCCATATAAACAAACGAGGTAAAATGAACTCCGCTAGGTGTCTCCGTACCGGTAGAAAAGCGGGCGAAAATCAAAGAAATACATTCATGAGATGGTGACTCTCACCCCTTTGCTGTCTTTCTTGGTCTGCGGGATGAACAAGTCGTAATCATAAAGTACGTCCTCTTCTGTCGTCTCAAAGAGACGCATCCGAGGGATGACGCGTAATGTAAGCGCAGCTAATGCTACATGCAATTCGCAAATCGCGAGGCTTTTGGTCTCTGCATTAGCTCGACGCCCAATATGCGGGATTTATGAGGGGTAAGATCAAGGAGGACTCACTTCATCCCTACACAATTGCGACTACCCCTTGAGAAAGGCATAAAGCCACGTTCTGCCACCTTTTTGCTCTCGGGATCCAACCAGCGTTCGGGATTAAACGCGTATGAGTTGGGGAATGCGCTTTCGTCGTGATGGACGAGGGCACTTGACATGCCAATGGGGTACCCCCTAGGAATCACGTATCGGACCTTCTCTTCCTTCCACTCACCAGTGTATATCAGATCTTCGTCTGTTGGGATACGTGGCGAACGGGCAGTGACACCTGACGTAGGATGTTAGCGAATTTCCTATACTTTATACTGATGTGGTGAAAGATCTACCGTAAGAGAGGCGTAAGCCCTCTTGGATCACCGCCTGTAAGTATGGAAGAGACTCAAGCTCATTCCATTTCGGTAGGTGTTTTGGATCTTCGACGGCTTCTCCCAGCTCTTTTGTAAGTTTTGAGAGCGTTTCGGGTTGGGTAAGCAGATAGTATGTGATGACGGTTAGAGTCCAGCTTGTGGTTTCGGTCCCTGCTGCGAGGAGGGTCATTGCTTCGTGGTTCGAGTTCAATAAATTCTTCTGTCCAGGCGGCAATTGTAGTAGAGTGTTGAAGATAGTAGCACGATCCATGGTTACGCCCGAGTCAATTTTGAGTTGTGTGTTGCGGACATGGTTAGGCACGTCGATTCTAAATGTCTGAATGAACAAAGCGAGGTCCTTAGGGAGATAGTCAACTAGGCTTCGATCTATTAGAAACTCCGACTCTTAAGATCTAGGGGAAGAACGTAGCTTACTGGTCTGCAAGTCCGTAGAGTTTAGTAAGCATGGGGAAATACCGAAGGAAGTAAATCGGCTTCAATACGGCAAGCTCAGCAATGTGAAAGTTAGGGGTCCAGTCTTTCTGTTCTAGAAAACCGAAACATTCACCGAAGCAGTACATAGAGATGATATCTGAAGTGAAACAACTGTAAGCTTGGACGGAGTCGATTGGGCCGTCGACACTCGACAGTAATTTGTCACAAAGGGATTGCGCCAGTCGGTGAACGTCATCTTCCAGCCGAGCTATCATTGCACGGGAGAAGAATTTAACAACTGGAGCACGTCGTAGCTTGTGCAACTCGTGACCAGTAGTGGCAAAGCCGGATTCGACGTACGGTACACCTCTAGTTACGATCTCGGCTTTATCCCGTCTACGATGGCTACTAGCGTAGATATCATCAATGAGATTGATGTCATTGCAGTGTACCTCATTGGGATTGATGCGAATAATAGGTCCTAACACCACCTATTAGCCAGGTATATTCCCGTATATTGGGGAGAAAACTATCAAATTCATGTTACCATATTTCTCATGCATATGCGCTATCTCCCATGTATACCGGCCATGCTTCACAAGATCATAGTACATCTCCGGTAAGTACGTTGCTCTCGCCAGCAATGGCCCCGGAATGTGACTAAGGGGATGAAGGGGAGACAGGTTGTACAAGATCATGCATAAATTATATGCAAGCCATATCCCACCGAAGACACATAGGATGGTGGCAGGAAGTCCTACGGAAGGGAGAACTGTCAAGAATTCATCGAAAAACATCGTGGAAGAAGGTAATCGTGGTGGTTTGGGTAGTTGGAATCTGTTGACATTAACTCTGGAGGCAAATATTGAGAACGGAGCAAACGGAGAGACTCCCGATATTTGTAGATTCTTTCGAAACTACCCATTTTCCATCTACACGTAACATTACCCCTAGCTTATATCACTCACTCCGTACCGGAGCTTCCCCGCCATGGCGTAACTCGGCAGAATCATCGTCGAGCTCATTATCCATCACATCTCAAGCTGCCCAGCTTGAAATTTGGGGGTGGACTGCATGTACCGCCAATAGACCAAGAGATTCATACTCCACCATACAAGATAAGGAGTCAAGAATTACACAAATGACCGGTATAGGGACGCTCGAAGGCAACGTAGATCAGTATAAATTACATGATCGTTGCGCGAAGGTTACGATCGCAAAGTCTTATCGAAAGAAAAAGCAAAAGAAGCAGCCGTACAACCCCAAAAAGGCCAGCAAGGATATAGGTGCGGCGCATGAGGTAGCACCGATGAACAAGAGGAAATATGACAGGTCAGAAACATGCATTGCCTAGGCGCATCTCAGCTTCGTAGCCACGCAGCCATGCTACGCTAAACCGTAATCATCGTCAACATCACAGCTTACTTTTTCTTCTTTTGTAGGTTTTGATTTGATCGCAAATGTGGCTACCTGGTATGCGCTTACATATTGCTTTTTTAATACCTAAAAAGTCAAAAATATTTCTCTTGAGATCCATCGGGGAGATGGAGAAAAAACCGTTGACGCTAATTGATGCAGACTAAGAAGCAGGCGCGAGAGCCGTGCGAATATACCTAACGTATGAAAATAATCCTTTCATGCTGGCGGTGCGTCACCCGATAATCATAGGCTTCATATAGAACCTATACGAAGCATATAGTTGCTCCGTGGCAAGTGAAACAATCCAATTATGTGACCTTATCACTCTGCATGAGCAGGCTTCGGTGTAAAATGATGTGCTATGAATCTAGGGCTTGCATTCCTGGGGTTGCAGGATGGAATCTTGCATGCGCCGGAGGCGATGCCTATCGAGTTAAAGGGCCGAGCCTCGGTCGTTTCTTGGACGGTGGGTTGGATTTCGTGAGAAATACTTGGGTGGATTGAGTTCTTGTATATTCCTATGTGTGTTGTCCTGATGCTTCCCCCCTATTTCTTAGCTTACTAACACTTGTGTAACATCAGCATCAGCATTACTCCTACTTTAGAGCTCTCATGGCCATCAATGGAATTATATAATACATTCTTAGCTACTAGCCGGAAAGGCAACATCCTGCGTTACATGTGATCATATTCTACCAAAGCCCAGGGGCGCTTAAAACGGGAAAACTAGAAGATCCCGCAACAGAGCTTCTTGTGTCACCAGAGAACCCCCCCATCGCTGCAACCCTAATACTCTACTTCATTGGCAGATTCCCTAGAATGTCAAGTCGTAACCATTACCCTGTTCTAGTGCTCTTTTCCACGCGGGGCGAGAGGTACACGTGTCAAACCAACTCTTCACCCTTGGATATTTGCTTATGTCGATGGAACATGCCTGAGCACCAAAGTCCACATACCACTGTATAACAAAATCGAGCCTCGTCGGTAGTTCTGTCCCATTGAAGTATTGGCGCCCTTCTAGTTCGTTATCCAGAAATTTGAAGATATTGTCAACTTCAGCGTCAAGAAATGCCTTATCGAGTATTTTATTGAAGCCTAGAGCAAACGGGCGGATGAAGAATGGCATTGCGTTCGCAAATACTCTTAGTACGCACTTCATACATAGATGTTGATTCAACGAAGTCGTGACTAACGACAGAAGCTGTTCTTCGCGCAGTCTGTCGTTCTTGCTACTGTCAAAGCCGGGAGTCCCAGCAGGGGGTACCTTGAACCGCTCCTCTTTATCGTATGTCTCGATGAGATAGAATGCGATAGCGCTGCGCTCTGCAATGGTACGGCCATCAGCTGTGACTAGTTGTGGTGCTTTCCCAAGTGGATGTGTGTCCTTAAGAGCGGCCGCTGCGCGTCCGTTCGCACGTTCGTGAAGGACTAAGTCATACTCGATACCCAGCTCTTCTATCTCCCAAAGACATTGCTGGGATCCCGAATTCTATCTCGTGTTAGTTCCTATATCAAGTTTACTGGCACGAAACAGTTCGGGCGATTGGGAGGTGTACCGCCATATAGTGAAGTGTGGGTTTGTTATTCTCCATTTTGTCAATTTCCCAGGTATTTTGTAAACGGTCGGCAGCAGCTAACTTGGTAGAAGATAGATATAGGGAAGTTTAACTAAGAGTTTACTAATTTCGTGGAAGCTGGAGCTGAATCGATTTAAGTACTAGATACCCCAGCTTCTTCAGCGGCGCAGGTAGTGGATCTAGGAATCGAATATGGGCCTTTATTTCAAATTAGTTCCTCAGACAATGTGGCACATGGTAGACACTAACCGAACATGGCTTCTCTCCATAATTCATAACGAGAAGATGATATTCTCTAAGCTGAGAATGTGTTAGTATCGTGCTTACTCTAAAATGTGACTTGAAACAATCAGCCAATAATAGCACCCATATCTCTTATTATTGTCCCTAAAACGTTGGCATATGTAATACGGCGTATCAGCCTCAAGAGAACCCGTAGGACGTCCGCCCTATAGCTATCCCGACCTTCTAGACCTTTGAGTTGCGGAGCTGGCGGGTTTTTATATATCCGAGTTCTGTAGTCAGAACAGATGTCTTGTAGTGCATTCTAGGCCGTGCTAATATATACAATGTACATTGTTATGTATTACCTAGGTAGGTCCTAGAAATCCTGACATACATCGCACGCTCATAATTATTTCGCTAAATAACAACATTTGTGCATGTTAGGAAGTCTCGTTAGTACCCCACCGCTAGGAACACAATAGTCATGATATGCTGCCGGAAATATCTACGGAGTTAATCTACTCACAAGTACTAAGGCGCATTTTCCAGGTTGACACCCAGGCTTTTTAGATACTCGAAAGCTCGGATAAAGTTCTCGGCCGGTGTAGCATCTTAACTTGAATGCGGTACCTTTCCCACCGTAGTCCGGAGCTTCAGCCTCCGCGTAGGGTCAACGGGCGAGTTTGAATCGTCGCCATCCCGTATTTAATTGGACCATTAAATGGACTCTTGCTCGAAATAGACCATTAGATGGAAAAGGGCGGTGCCTGATGTCCCGTGTTCTCCAACTTCTTACTGTTCGTAGGTTCGAAAGCCCCCAAGGACATCCCATTATAGAGCTCGAAACACGCTGTTTCTATGCTAGCGAAGTCTAGGTGGCTAGTTTCTATGATGTGATGAGTACCCAGTAAGATATTGTTCCCCGCTGGCGAGGGTTACATGATCCAGGGGGCGGCTCGATCTCAGATACACGAGACAATATAAATATGTATCCCATAAATCTTAAAGCTAGCTCTTGGATATATAATTTCCCGCGAACTGGAATCTTTTCGTCTTGAAACGCAGCCCGACTTTTCAAACTCTTGTTAAGGTCTGTTCTCATTCCAATCCCAGCGCATTAGTAAGAAGTCCGGTCTTTTCGTCTCGAGTTCAATTCAGACTCGGTTTTTCGCAACCGGCCCTTCACTGGCTTTGGTATTGAGCGAATATGGCTTCACTAATTGCTGTGGCTTTGGTGTATCTTGCTGTTGGTACATATGCGCTACCACCTATGAGAAAAGAGTCATGCGCTGCGACAACGGAATGGACGGGGTGGAAGGATATCAAACATGCCTTCATCTTGTTAGTTTTTGGCGAGCGAATTCTGAGGAATACATGCTAATATATTCCCAGTGGAGATAGTTATACACAGACAGGTACTAACAAATAAGGGGAAGGTACTAAAGTCAATGCGAACGATTCTGACCTACATTCCCAGGGTTCGACTACACGAAAACTCCACCATCGCCCTCGCATCCCTTTGGTAATCCTGATTATCCTGGATGGACGTCTTCAAATGGGCCGAACTGGGTTGGCTTCCTTACCATCAAATACAATGCTTCTCTCTTGCAGACGTATAACCTAGCGTACGGTGGTGCTACTGTCGACTCGGATCTCGTTAAACCGTATCAACCGACGGTCATATCCGTGAAGGAGCAGGTACAAGATCAATTTCTTCCAGGGTACACCGGCGACTCCCCCAAAGCTCCGTCTGCTCCGAAATGGACCGGTGCCGACTCCGTGTTTGCTTTCTGGATTGGTATCAATGATGTAGGGAACTCGTACGGATCGGGACCCGATTCTTCAGGGCCGCTATATGATAAGATTTTCAACGTTTACTCCGGGCTAGTGGATCAATTGTATACTGCTGGAGCGAGGAACTTCGTCTTTATTAATGTTCCACCAGTGGATCGAAGCCCGTTGACCGTCGGCCAAGGGAAGAGCTCTGTAGACACAGAAAAGGCTGCCATCGCAGATTGGAATAAGAGGGTGGCCGACACAGCTGCTGCTCTTAAGAGTAACCACACCGAGGAAGTCAATGTCTGGGTCTATGACTCAAATAAGAGCTTTGGCGAAGTTCTGGACAAGCCAAGTACATACGAGCAAACTGCTGGACTGAAGAATACAACCGGTTATTGCAATGCCTATCAGAAGTAAGCCGAAAATCCTACTTTGTGTTAATGCGACGCTAATAGATTATTCAGTGGAACACCAGAGGATAACACTCTCACGCCAAGTTGCGGGGTTCCGGTGAACGAATATTTTTGGCTCAACAACTTACATCCGACTTATCCTATTCACGATGTTGTTGCTAAACAGATTGCGGAAGCTCTGTCCGTAGGCCCTGCCGTATGCTAAGTGGGTCAATCGTATGTTAAAAATGGCTTGAGAGGGTTCGAGGTTGATCATTTGTATACGGGAGGATCACCTCAGTACATAAACGTATCCATACAGCTGTTCGCCGTGTATATAACTAAATAAAAAAGGGGCTGACCTACCCATGTAACTTCCGAAGCCGAACATAAATATTAGCACGAAGCGACTGCTGATAGTGGTAGGACTGCTCTTTCCTCACCTATATAAATTAGAAGAAACCTTCTATGAGGTGACGAAAGAGGTCGCAATGAGTCATACACCTCAAAGAGAGAGAAGGTGCGCGCGGGCAACTGGGCACTATTTAAATCTGCTCTCGAGCCGATCTCCTTCGTCCTCAAATTTTCAATCCTTAAGCTTCCAGGACCAAGTGTCCATCAATCATGGGCCCCTTCATCTTTTATAATTGAATCATTGAGCGCTTTATTTCATTTGCCGTCAAATATGCTCGATTGAATTGTCGCAATAGCCTCATAACGCACTGTACTTGCGCAGGTCTCTGCTTACGTCATTCGCATCGAATGAGGGCGGGACAACATCATCGACGAAGATGGGATGTCCACAATACCCGATACCCATTACGAACACGTTTGAGAGAGCCTTCGAGACATAACTGACTACCCTCACGTCAGGTGTGGCTAGCAATATTCGTGGCGCTGGTGCCGGGTACCGGTGCGGGAAGGGAATAGTTGAACGCGTGGTGCGAGCTTGCGATGGAGGTGAATAAAAACTAAGACCGCGAATGACAGCTAGTTAGATGAGCGAGGATATAAAATATGGCCGGCGATCCTGGAGGAAACTTAGCTTCGACGGAATCGCGCTTCTATTGATTGACCTTGCATTCAAACAAGAGAAGAGATTAAGAGGAAGAATGGGGGTAAGAACAAGGGTAAGGGTTAGAGTTGTCGCAGGGAAATCTTCTCTTAAGCACTTATGTAAGTGAGCGGGGCATATGGATTATGTAATCAATTTCAACTTGAAGGTGCTGATGACTAAGGCAGATACTTAAACTCACTGATCATTATTGTTGAACTTAAGAAATACAACATCAATTATTCACAGGATAACGTCGCGAAGAGGGCGAACTTTACATCTATACTAGGTACTTAGGTATCTAAAGGGGGGTTCCTGTAAATTATTAAAATTCCAATCCACCAAAGCCCATCAATCATACAATCAAATTGACCACGCGAATGATGTAACATCCCCGCAGGACAGGCTTTCCGCACTTTGGTAATAGTTGACTCTGTCGCAACATTAGAAGCGATATCCGTCGGAGGGGGCCGTCGAATACCTCCCTGAAAGATTCAAGATAACGGATTCGCTTACTCTCTCATCCCCTCGCATAGTTACAAAATAATTAAACTTCAAATGAGAATGGAAAATGGCGAATATTGCTCTTGAAAGTTTAAGATCAATTGTCAATAGTACAATTGAGAAGGAGTCGTCGGATTTGTGGACGCACATCAACCAACAATTGCATCAACACCCAGAGACGGCATATGAAGAAGTATTCGCACACGATACCATAACCAAATTTCTTGAAGATCGGGGTTTTACGGTGAAGCGCAGCACATATGGGTTACCGACTAGTTTCGAGGCCGAAATTGGCTCCTCTGGACGTCTTGTGGTCGTATGTGCCGAGTATGACGCTCTACCCCAGATCGGCCACGCATGTGGACACAATTTGATCGCGACATCGTCTATCGCCGCTTTCCTCGCTGCTGCGAGCGCTTTGAAACAGAGCGGTGCGGCTGGGAGAATTCGAATTCTCGGTACGCCGGCGGAGGAAGGTGGAGGTGGTAAGGCAAAGCTGATTGATGCTGGCGCATTTAAAGACGATGTTGCGGCCGCTATTATGGCCCATCCTATGTGCGCGCATCAATTCTCCGATGACGTAGGGAAATATTCTGGCTTGGCGGCCCTAAAGATGATCGCAAGTCACAAGTTTCGCACCGAATTTCGCGGGAAAACAGCGCACGCTGCCGGCCAGCCGTGGGATGGTGTCAATGCGCTGGATGCTGCCGTCGCGGCGTATAACAACGTTGGACTACTTCGTCAACAGATTAAACCCGACGAGCGGATCCATGCTGTGATTGAGGTTGGAGGGACAGTTCCTAATGTTATTACCGATTATACGCGTATGAATTGGAATGTTCGGAGTCCAACTCTCGCTGGGGCTGACAAGCTTCTTGCTCGTGTTAAGGCATGTATAGAGGCTGCAGCGACGGCGACCGGCTGCGAACTTAATTATATAGTGTAAGTTGTTTGATTCGTTAGGGTATCGTAGCTGATATGCATAGTGCGCCTACTTACGCAAATCTGACGGCCAACAAGGCTCTCTGCGAGACATACGTAGATGAGATGAAGGCCGTCGGGGAGAACGTCCTGCTACAGCAACAGGAACAAGTTACGGCATCTACAGATATGGGTAACGTTTCCCACATCGCGCCTAGTTTCCACGGGGTCTTTGCGATCCCAACAGACTCGGATGTATCGCTTCATAACCCCAAATTTGCTGCCGCGGCTAGCACGAAAGAAGCCCACGATATTGCGTTAAATTGTGCGAAGGGAATGGCAATGTTAGCCGTTCGCGTTCTATTAGATGAAGAACTAACATCTAAGGCCAAGTACGATTTCGAACATAATCATGACTGGTAATCCTTCAATTCGACACTGCCGCTATTGTTACCAGACAAAGCATGGCTAGTTCATGTAGAATGTTATTATTGGATATCGCCAATATGAAGCATCCTAAAACGAAACAAATCTTTGATGTCTTTTGGGTATCTTGGTTGCTCTATTTTAAACTCTAGATGCATACCCCTATTTTAGACTTAGGGTATGGGATAGGGTTGTATGTTAGTCATCTGTGTCACCCCAATTATCCTACGCTCATCATAGCCCGTACACCTTCAACATAGGATCTTGGAGGAACCTCTCCATTGTTTCCTTCTCGAGGCATACACTAATGTCAAAATCCCCCGTATCCGCGATGTCGATAACCTGGACCAAGCCATCCATTCGAGGCATCACTCCCTGGACATACCGAGCGAGTTGCCCCGAAGCACAGAAATCAACTTCATACGCACGTGCCCGCACCCATGATGTAACGAGCATATGCCTTGACCCGAGGAAAGCTTGCCATAGACGTTGCGGGCTAACTTCATGAGCCGCATCATATATGTAAGCGGATACCGCATCGGAAGTGAACAGGGACATCGTCTGCCGTATCGAACCCGCAATTGCTCCAATAGGAGCAGTGCTCGCTTCGGAACCTGTTTTAGCGACATGGCCTAATAAGATCGGGGATCCTACGAAGGCATCTGGTAGAGGCGGGTCGAGTCGTCCACGGACTCCAAGGGTGATATCCATATACACTGGATCTTGATCATTTTCGAGTTGTCTTGCGCGGTTGATGAGAATCCATATATGCGCAAGTGCGGAATCGAGTCGCGACACACGCTGATCGCCTAAGGAACCAGGGAGGCTTGCTTCGGCGGCTTTCTTCATTTTTGAGATGGAATCGGCCTTGAAGCGGATCTGTACATGCTCCACGGGCGCTGCCATGTCCCATGTTGGCCAAGGAGGAAAAGTAGAAGGACCTAGCTCTACATGAGCTAGTTCTTCTGTTGGTGGCATGGTGACGCGCGATGATGATGTGGCAAAATCGGGATACCCGGGGGCATCAGTCGCCCACCAGTCGAAGCGGTGCATGGGTAAGGCTCTTGCCTTCTTTATTCTTTCAGGGTTCGGTCGTTTCTCGTTGGCTGTTAAGTTGGCATACTTATCTAGCTGCGAGGGGTTGAATAATGGCGCAATAGTCTTCCCTCCATTGGTGTGTGGCACGGATGACTTCTCAAAGAGCAATCGGGATTGCGCCTCCCAAGCATGCGCAAATTGTGTGAGACATAGCGCGTCTGATAGACAATGGGCGAGCTTGATACTAATCGCATATCCGCCACATTTGAACCGTGTTAATTGAATGACAACGCCTGGTAGGTCTTCATATTCTCCGAGTTTCGAGAATGCGAGTTTGGTATTGGACTGGAATTCGCCTTGCGGAAAATCTGTCGCATTCCATATTCGTTTCTCTGTTGACCGTTCTTCTCGACTTGGTACGATAGCGCTGAGTTCTCGACTATCCTCGGCGATGACCAACTCGACCCCAGGGTCCTCTTCTGAGCCATACACAACAATCGGCCGCCCGAGAAAACGAGGATTTACGTCTCCCTGTACGAATTCCTTGGATGCCCAGCGAAGCTGACCTGAGTAATGGGGATAATTGCTCAGTGTCTGTGTGAGCGCTTCTTCTAAGCGTTGGAACACACTTGGGTCGTGCGCATTGGCATTGTCGGATTGATCATAAAGCCAGACGGCGCCACATGGTGCGAATCGTGTGACTGATGCGTCAAGAATAGATAATTTCGTAGTTGTCGTCTTTTTCGGAGGTCTTGCTGGGAAGATCCTCTTAGTACGTCGCACGCGACATGGTGATGCCGTCATGACGATGGTGATTTAAGGTCCTTTGTCTAAACTTAGCTTCCGCCGCAGTAGAGCTTTGTTCGCATGTTGCTATGAGTTTTTGACGATCTTCGTCGCATTTTGTTCTACCTCGAACTGACCTTATAAGGTCGTCGCTTATGTACGGATATCGCGACGCTGTGGCGCAGGGGCTCATTTTACGTCAATTCGGCGTCTTTCCGAGAACAGTAATACGGCTAACTCGTTGGAATGAGTCAGGATGAATCAAAATGAATCATACTTGGGTTGGTCGTATTGGACCCATCTAGACTCTCAATTGGTAATCCAACCAACAAAGAAATCCAAACCCACAAATCCTACCCTAACTCTTTGTTAGAGAACATTGCGGAGTGGGTTGATGCGCCAACCAGAGCACCAACAGGTTGAAAAATATTCAATTGTGGGATTTCCTAATGGATGGGGAGATTGTGTAGGTGTTGCGGAAACCTCAAGTACCCAGCGATTTTCAGCTTCCCCTATCGTGGGCAAAGACCGCCTTAGTATTTTGATAATATTATACTGATGGTCGTATTAAATAGAGTTTCGTTTTTTATCCATGGTGTAGGGCTCGGATATTCAACGCAGGTTCATCTTTATAATGAAAATATACTACTCGTAGCTTTTCCGTTCTCCCCTAACCATTCTCTCCATTTCGTTTTTACCTCTACCGGTGCCTCCCATTTCGTATCGGGACCGACCCATACATGCCACCGCCTTACTCGTTTATCTTCCGGGCTTCCAAATTGTGAGCCTGGTGCGCGTATAAAATCTTCACCCGCTTCCGCACATATTAATATCAGATCCACATATTGACCCGTGTACGCCTCAATTTCCAGAGTGCCCGATGCAAGCCGCGGCATCCTAAGTACAGCATCTGCCATGCTTTCTGCCAGTGGGTTAAAAGTATTCGGATCAGGTTGCACACGCCACTCATGGGTGGGCTCGCGACCATTCGCGACAGCATCCCTACTTTCATCATCTTCGGGCTCGGTCGAACTATCCATAGCGTCCTCGTCATCAGATGAACTGTAATAAGAAATCGGCTCGGCCTCAACAGCTTTGGGGTCTCCGGTGTAATACCATTTCCCATTTGGCGCGATAATCTCAGCTTGAATGCGAAAAGACCGCAGGGTGGGCCAGACCGAAGAGTCATGACCGTGGGCGCGGCGGTCTAGGAAGAGGTCAGATGAGACGAGGATACCTCCAATTAACTCCAAGTGCACTAGTGGGGAAGACTGTGATAGTTTCCTGAGAGCATCATTCAGGGGATCAATACCATCATCCTCAAGATTTCCACAGTCAAAGCTGTGGTTACGAACCGTTGTGTTGGTCTGGCGAGATATACGTAGATATGTAAGCCTCGGTAGGTCGAGCGCTAGAAGACCAGCAGCAAGTGCGCGACGGTGTTCTTTGCGCATTTCCCTCCGTTTGTTCATCGGATCTTCAACATCAAGTTCTAACCTTTCTAGCTGTGGGAAGACGTTGGAAAGTTGGCATATAGCTGTCGGGTGCAACGCACGGCCCGGACTACTATTTTCGATTATGAAGGCGGTTACACACCGCACCTTGGGCAATTCCTTTCCGTCAAGTGTGAGGAATCTTCTAATTGAACTCGAGTTTTGGACTGTAAAGTCAAAAGTGATAGGTCCTGTAGATTGATCGACATCCCAATCAGTAGAGATCTGAAGCTCAAGACTCCCAACATCTTCGCTCTCCCAGTCCTTTAATATGTTTAGAAGCCCCTGAATAGCATCCGTGAAGGCAGCCTGGTTCCTCGCAAAGTCGTGACGGGAATCGCCAAACGTCGGAAGTAAAACGGTATATCCCAGGCGGCGTAAAAGTGCGCGTCGCCGGGGTTCGGCAAAAAGGCTAGCAAATGTGGTGAGTTCGTTAGATGTAAATCTGATGCGCTCAAAAGTCCACCGTTCGGCCGTGTGTTGCCATTCTCGTGAGATGGTGGGGTAGAGCATCCGTGACTTTCGTTCAGGATCTGGTGTACTGAAATAATTCCATGGTCTGACGTAGAGGTAAGCCGCAATGAGGTTGAGTACTTCGTAACTGAGCTTGTCCATGATTCCACCTAGATAGATAGGTTACTCAAGAGTTCACGTTGTTAGGGGTTTGGTTGCTACACAAGACGGTGTTGAAGGAGGGGCACAAATGGTCATAGCTCACCAACATGTACCTACCTACCTAAGGTAGGTAGGCAACCGGGCGATCACTGTAGAACGTCCTAACTACATCCTAGGTACACACCCAAACACCTAGTATAAATTTTTATACAGAGGCGTAGCGGTTTGAGCGTTACCCACCACGGGTAGGTACCAGGTCGTTTCGACGGGCATATCCTCCCAGTCTTTTTTTAATAGATAGAAACTCAGAGCCCTTACCTGATGTATCCAAGAACCCAGGCAAACCGTACACACTCACATAAAATTAAGTGTATACCTAGGTAGTGTGTGCATATACCGTACCTAACGTTAGGCGATTTAGGTCTCGTGGTTGGGATTACGTTTGTCCTTAACACGGTCAATGAACTTCGGGGTTCTGTCCCCTACCTACCCCGGTAGATATTCTCATTTTAATGGGTACCTAGATATAATATCGATGCCATCCTACTGCCGCGGCTCGCCGCATTAGAAGGATAAGCTAATGTTGTCCTACCTTTTAAATTGCTTTTGATTTCAGCTATCCCCGCGCAAGCCACTTCTTTAAATGTCTGCCCAAGGCCCATGTAAGTAGGGGTTCCCAGTCCGGAAACAGGACCAAACAATGAGAAATGGTTTAAATCAACTTCCGTAAGCCTAGTGTATGTAGTTGCTTTACTTATCTTCAGCGCCTGATGCGTTTAGAGAGCGTTCATGTACAACAGATACGTAGGTACATATAACCAAATAAAGCCTAAGATTCCTGCAAGAGGCCATCCTGGTTTATGTCCACAGCATGCTCCTCGGACCACTTCAGAATCCGCCCAGCATCCACACATGTTCGCGGGATCGGATACTCCGTCTCTAGACGCCGCCTCTCCTTCCCTTCCCACCGAAACGTAGTCAAGGTAGTGTCACCTCGACAAAGTGCTGCCACACGGAGCCATTCAAGGCAATGCTCTTATCATAGGACGCTTCCATCAGCATGTCTCTCGGTCGACACAACGACGCGCTTTGGTTGGTGTCTCACCTATGTGGGCTTCTTCTTCTTCGAAATTGACCGTTGTAGTATTTCCATAGTAATACGAGCGGTAGATCCAATGCTTTACCTTCTTCTTTAGGCATGGTTAAACTTGAGCATCAGCCGATTTTCATATATGCCGACCTAGGCGCAGCCTTACAAGACAATGCAGTTCGTGGTAGACTCCAAGTTGGGCCAAGACTCCCGAACCATCGGCCAGATGTACGGAATCGACACCATACGGCTCCAACCACTCTCTTGACACTCGAATGTTCATCCCTATACCATGATTGGCAATTAGTACTATTGGTAGCTTAAATGGGAACACTACTAACCGGATAGTTGTTTGCTCCAAGCGGCGTCTAGCTCTGGGCTTGGCTTTTGCGAAAATGGGCTACTCCAATGACCATACTTCTCGAAATAGGTGGTTTCGTATCTCACAACACTTCTCGCCGGGGCTTTTAGAAGTTAGTTCAACAGTAGCCAGGCCTTGGGTAGTCAGGCTCATCATAACCTACAATGAGCGTGAAGTGAAGATTGAACCTCGCGTGTCGAAATTGTTCCAATAAGGCACACGAGAAGGGCAATACTAAGTAATGAGAGGATAAGGTGCAAGCCGTCTAAACCCCAGGATTTCCTGTTTCGTGGTAGTCCGCCGTGGTTATGGTTGTCGGGTGTTTGTAATATGAGGAGAGGTTCTAAAGATGTCGACGGATAGTCATTGCTATCTAAAGAGTCTTGGGGATCGGGTTTCTCTAAAGACATTGCCCTTGCAAAAGATTCAAATATACGTTCCAGAGAGTCAAGGATAGATTTGAACATCCTAATAGCTACGCAATCAATCATCATATATATACCTAGGTACACATTATTCTAAGCTATTGCACAACATTTGGTAGCACCGGCCTGGGTATACATTGGTAGAGACGGTATTATAGGGCTCGTTGGTAGCGAAGTACAATGGTTAGGTAATTTACGTTGAAACACATATGGAAACCCACAATACCGCCCTTGCCCGCCATCCCACAAAGCAAGACAATGTTTTAGTACCTAGATAGTCATACTGACCCGAGAGGCGTATTCAGACTGCGCTTTCATCGCTGTTGGAAACACAATTGCCGCACCACATGTTGCCGAGGTTTTCGTCTGCATCAACAGGTTCTCCTTATTTGTTGTTAGAGTCTAGACTATGCTCAAATGTAGCAACGTTATATATATGACAGTACTTACTCTTCGCAATAACCTCATCACGATCTCTTTTGGCCCCACGAATTTGGTGTTTATCGACTTAACCTATGTTAGCAAATTTCTATCTATGGATCATGTGGCACATTACTATTTAAGGTCAATGGTGAGGCCAATGTAAGCCCCATCGCGAGAAACCCTAGAATGTAGGAGCTGGTCTTCATGTTCAGATACTTAGAAGTAAATTCGGCGAAAATGTGGAAATACTGGGTCGGTAAGGTTATGTAGACTGCCTGGCTAATATTTATCAGAATTTCAAGTTGGATGCGGAAACTAGTTTTTATATGCATTATATCTACTCATTGTAAACACACGGTATAGGTAAATACCTGGTACCTACTTCTTTATGTACTGGTAAAGGTGAGGTGGAAGTAATTTGTTCCCGACTTCAGTTACCATCCATCATTGCATACAATTTAGATTGGGTGTGGCTAAGTGTAACTCCACGCAAAGGTCGTGACGATTTTCATTTTTACTATTTTGAGATATAAAGCACAAGGCGCCAAAAACGGTGCGAAATACATGGTTTTGTACTACTACAGTGGAACGGTAGTGTCTATTTTCTTATTCTATGTTGCGGATTCCGTATCTATGGTACTGCAATCACGTCACGTACGCAGAAGGATCATGTATGATGATAAGACCTTTCGTGTACCACCGATTCGCCTCTCCAATAAGGGAAGGTAAGACAACCAAAAGAAAATATCATAATATTTCAATCAGTGGCTTTATGTGACGCACCTTAAAAAACCGATGCCATGTTTCTTATTGGGTGTGATAAGCTGCACAATAGAGGATATTGGCAGAACCTTCCCGATGCACGCCTGTGTAGCAGACCTAGGTGCTTAGGTGCTTAGGACAACAACGGGGCTATTACCGGCTAGCTTTGTGCCACTCCCCTATGCCCGCCGTGCACCTTCCGACGATTTCGAGGCCCCTTAAGCCGGCGCAGATTTCTCGCCGAGACTTCCTGACACTGCATGTAATATAGTTAGACATATCTGCGACATGTCTTTATAGCTACACTACTGGTAAGCCTATTTACGCAGATAGGTTATATTTATGGATGAAATACGATTGGTCTGACTATGGCTACGCCTAAGGAAGGCATGTACTCTTATCTAATCGTCACTGGGCATGCAGAAATATTCTGAGAACACATGCATACACCACTTTAAAGTCCGCCCATTAATGTAATCTATTTTGAACGAGCGTGTGAAAATATGCTAGGATCTGATGCCTCTACCATCCGAGATTCTGCCCATTGTCTCAGTTTAATCCAATCTACACACTCATGAGTACTGTGGACCTTCGAGAATGGTTTTCCCTCCTGCCAGACAAATGTTGCCAAAGAAGGATCTCCCCGACATATTGCAGCCTCGCGCCAGTATTCGAGGCAATGGTCTAGTCGATATTAGATCTATTTCCATGATCATGAAGTATGCCTTACCTATATGTTTAGATTCAAGATCGGCCTCGTCCGCTGTCATGTTGCCGTAATAATAATTCAAGTGCAGATGGCGGCGGAGACGCTTCTAAGGCGAAGCTGAATTAGAGATTGAATATCCGAGGCCAGGTACGGAACTTACAATGCAATGGAGCTCATGGAATACAGCCATTTCTGCAAGGTAGCCGGAACCATCTTCGAATGCAATAGATGATTCACCAAGTAGAGCAAGCTCGCTTGAAGAAATTTTGATTGCCATTGCTAGTTGGGTTAGCATAGCACGGAAAAGTTGATCATGGTATTCTTACGCTTGATTAGCTCCGCCCACGCCTCATCCAGCTCCTTTCTAGGTTTCCCTGTGTAAACATTTTCAGGTCCAATAGACCTCCAAAGCACCCTCCGCTCATATGAAATAGAAGAAGTAGCCGGCGCTATTTTTCTTTTAGTAAAGAGTTCGATCTACTCTTACCAACGCTCATGCCTTCTGGTGCTTACAATATGAGAGCTTTGGGCGGATGCAGACATTGTCAGCAAGAGTCGAGTACTTGATAAACCAAACCACGTTTGATACTACAAGGAAGATTCCAAGTATCATTATTGATATGTTTGAAAATCTGAGCGAAGTTGGTCTGGTTCGTTGTGTTCTGACGGAACCTGAGTTGGATTCGAGAAAGGGAGTTGCCTCGACTGTTTCTTGCTCCATATCTGTCGACATGTGGGATGTTATAAAACACAGAAAATTAGTTTCAATTAAGGACAAAATACTATTAGGAACTCATAGCTGTGGTGGGATGATATACGCTGAGTTTGTTTGTTTGGTGGGTTCCCTCCAGGGATCGACCTCTAGGCAAAGCCACCTAAGGATGCTAGTGACCAATACAATGTTCAACGCTATTCGATTAGAAGCCTATGTACACTCCCATCCTTACCCTCCCCCCCTTTTCAGCAAGCCACTGGGCTACACAACTCTACCTACCTAGGTAATCATACATGATCCTACGGTTTTTGAATTAGAAAGTTGTGTGATTTTAAAATAAGCATTATATTTTGCTTTAATAAATACCGAAGTACCTGCTTTATATATATATATTTATATGTTATTTTACCTTCTGATGTCTTGATCGTGCTCTAGAACGAACGTGTTAAAACAGTATTGTCCATCCATCGACTCATTATTAATTCCTTGCTCCCACAGTTTGTCCCTCAATATATCATTCGTTATCTAAGCGGGTTATATCCTATTGCCCATAATGTCAACTATATCTAGTAACAGCGATATTTCTACCATGCTCTATGTCTTTAGCGCGATTTTTGGCTTAATCCCAACCATTGCCGTCGCGCTACGCTTCCAAGTTCGACGTAGAATACAGTCATCGTTTAAATGGGATGACTGGGTCATTTTATTTGCTCTGGTTTGTACGACGCCTAACACCTAGCCACTCCGCTAATTTTTGAACAGCTTTCGTGCATCACGATGGCCATATCGATTGTTGTTGGTGTGTATGGAGTTATTGGGCCACATCCTCTCATGCTAATAGTACCAAGGAACGGCCGCTGGAGGAATGGGGCGCCCTTTGAGGCGCGATATCTACGGGAATCCTATTTACGATCATCAGTATGTGATCTACCAGAAGGTGAGATAACCCATGGTCTTTATCTAGATATGGGACAAATGCTAATAGTAGTCATTTGTGCTAGATAAATTATGTGATCGACCTTGCCCAATTGTTGGCTCTCGGACCTACTAAAGTATCTGTGCTTCTCCTTTACCGGCGGATATTTGGCATCGACAAGCGACGTTTTAACGTCATATCTGGGCTGCTTATTACTATGGTTATTGCGTGGACAATCGTTTTTTTCTTCACAAATGCTTTTCAAAAAACCCCCGTCTCCGAAGTTTGGGCGGAGAAACCGTCAGAAAACTTTGGGACCTTTGCAAACACCACAGACATGTATTTGGCGCAGTCGTACATCGATGTAGTCCTAGATGTGCTGATAATAACGCTCCCCGTTCCACTAAGTATGTCTCACTGAGGAAATACATGATGCATCAACTAATATTTCTAGTTTGGAAACTACAGATGTCGTGGAAGAGAAAGCTGCAGATTAGCGCCGTTTTCCTCTTGGGTACGATGTAAGTCTACTAACTTCAGCGCCCTGTCTACATATTATTGATTGATATTTTACAGAACCACCGGTGCCAGTATCGCCAGAACCGTCGTTCAATACGGTGTGGCTAAAGAATGTACGTCATAGCTTTCGCGTAGCTTTCGCGGGATTCCTCCTAATTCGTGATCACAGTCGATGCCCATAATGTGGATACAACGTGTAAGCCACTCAGAACGAAAACATTAAGGAGTATGGGCTAAATGACATCAAGACTATGTTGTTCCCGTCGCATACTGGCCATTGATAGAGGCAGCTTTAGGTATCGTCGCTGCCTGTTTGCCTCTGCTCCGTCCCGTCGGTCAGATCTACTCTTTGGGGGACCTAGTCCTCGTTTCTAGTGAGATGATGTCTTCGGTATTTAGAGTATCCAGCCGTGACAGTCGAAAATCAAATCGTGGACACACGAATCAAAGCGAGAGCGGAGATAGAGCAGCCACCGGCTACGGAGATACTCCCGGAGACGACAAGTGGCTTAAAATATATAGCACCTCGTACAAGAGCCCCGTTGCTTCCGATACATGTAGATACTTAGCTAATATCTCGCAGATTATTACAACAGACCGTTGACAATGAGACTCATATCGAGTCCCAAATTGTCCCACCTCCCTCTGTGCACAGTGCTCCAGGTGATGGTATCAGATGCGAAAAAGGATACAAAGTTGTCTATGGACCAGACTAGAAAGAAATTTCTCAGGGTTAAATGTACGGTGAAAGATTGTGAATTACTTTTGTATTTTTTATGGTCACGTATCACAGTTACTAGTGTCTAAACGTATGTATCTACGTATCTATATATGTACCTAGGTATGTACCTAGGTATCTAGTTAATGGGAGTGTCCCTTAAGCATCATCCACATTGCGTAGAGGGGGGGTATCTTAACTTGGAACTCCCTATCAGAGAAAATTGTTTGCTTTGGTAGGTATCAAATGTACCTAGCGCGATAGCTTGGTCCGATAGGCGCAGTGCCGCCGAGTAACTCGAGTATGACAGACCTTTGTTCGTTATCAGGCCCTTGCGTGCGGAGCAATTCGACTTACCAACGAAATACAATGACTCCAAACTCATTTTTATTCTCCTTCGTCCGAAAGACTACGAGAGCTCAATCATAGGCTACTTGAAATCCTCGCTTGAACATAGCATAATATGGCTTCTCCTAATAGAATAGTCGAGCTTTCGTCGCTGATCGCGAAAGAGACCGCAGTCATCGATGGTTTCCTCACCCGGAATCAATTGCCAACGCCGTCACTGGATGCGTACGCTCTTAAGTCTATACCTATACCAGAAGAAGCCACGGAAATCCATACGGCAAGGAGGGCATTGATCGAAGCTTGCTCAGAGCTGAAGGCCCTGATGACCGGCCCAAAAGATCTTCTGAAATTTGATGTTAGTCTATCACTTCCCAGCACGACTAATCATTGGTGGCTTATTCCTGCATCCAGTGGACAGCCTTCGTCAGTGTCAAAGCGGCCCTTCGCTTCAAACTTGATAGATCTTTCGCTGTTGGAGATTCAACTACATTTGAAGATATGGCAGAGTTTTCAGGCCTTAACGTAAGGAACGTGAGGCGCATCGTCAGACATGCTATCCTGAACCACTATTTTTTTCAAGAGGCTCAGCCTAATGTTATTACACATTCCGGTTTGACAGCGGTTCTGGCTGAAGATGAAGTTGCGCGCAACTCTCTCATTGTGGAGCTAGATGAGTTTTGGCCGGCAGGTGTCAAGGTAAGGAATGTGTTAACGCAAGATCTTTGGGCCAGTAGTTTGACGCGTGCATGCAGTTAGCCGACGCTCTAGAAAAGTGGCCGAACTCCGAAGAGGATAACGAGACAGTACGTTATATGCATGCCCCTCTATCGTAACGACACCTAACGTATCAGGGGTTTTCTCTCGCCAATAACAGCAATAAAGGTATGTATGAGATCTTAGCTGAAAATCCTGCCCGGCAGGAAAGGTTTGCGCTGTATTTTGCAAACCCGGACAAGACAGCCGACGGAATTTTTGACAATTATCCATGGACGAATGTCTCTAGCATGGTGGATATCGGGGGCTCGCTGGGTAGCGTTGCTATCGGGATCGCTCAACGCTTTCCGAACGTGAAGTGCGTCGTACAGGATCTGCCAAATACGATAGCAGAGGCGGAATCGCGATTGCCGGTCGAACTCCGAGACAGAGTGACGTTTATGGCACAGCAAGTCAACCCACCATAACCCCTCGGAAAGTACCATGATACTAATAAGTTTCTACACTACAGTGACTTCTTTACCGAGCAACCTGTCAGCGCAGATGTGTACTTTTTCCGTTCCATCTTCCATAATTGGGCAGATAAATACTGCATTAGGATCCTTGAAAATTTGGTGCCTGCGTTAAAGCCAGGTGCGAAAGTAGTCATTCACGAGCGTATGCTACCAGGCCTCGAAAGCTTAACAACAATGGATGCAAGAAGAGCGATGTAAGCCGCCCAGTAAATGCACTTTTCCTGCAATGGAAGCGACTTACGATGAACAGAAACACAGATATCGGGATGCAGCAACTTCTGAATGCACAGCAGCGTGAGATGCACGAATGGCCCGAGCTATTTCGTAAGGCAGACTCACGTTTCCGATACATTGGAGCCAAGAAGCCTACCGGCTCCATACGTTGGATTATCGAAGCTGAGTGGCAAGGATAAGTGGTGGTACTGGTGACGGGAGTGAGGTGGATTTCTTTTTTTGTGGCGTCACACCATAATATACATCTGCTGTGCGACTCTTGATAAAGCCCGTCGGACGTACGTAGTGAAGAGGCAGGTTTTACAATAAATAATATGCCCTGAGATGTAAAAGATCGTCGTTGCCGTCACACCTCATCTACGCCACCTTATGTCGGCACGGGCCGATTGCAATGGGTTCAACTGAGACGCACAATCGGATGCGGTGTCGACTGTTCTCTGCAAAATCTCCCCTCCAAAGCATAGGCTCAAAGCATGCCCCGCATCATCACGGTGTCTTCATCTTCTAATCGCTTTCTAACATGTTCCACGACTATTCTTACGAGACGGTCTGCCAGAACGAGGACGCCCAAGTCGGCGTTGCTCGCGATGACCAATATACCTCCAATGACAAACGGCACTCAAACCCCATCCAAGACGTCAGGGGGGTTTTAGCTTGCCGTTCGATATACTTCTTCCTTAACGGGATGTTATTAATTATTTCCTTCGTCCTCGGGTCCACGCTTCATCCATTGTCTCTATCAAGACTAAATAATAGCTCCAATTTGCAAAACCAGTCCAATCCAAATGCATTCATACCCCCTTGTAAGTGCACTGCCTTCGTCTATGGGGGTTGATAGACTGTGGATTGAACCGTTAACCTGTCCTAGTGCCTATAGAGACCAAGGTGTTCGAGTTTGACGGGACGTTTGCTGATGATCCAAGTCCGAACGTAACATCGGCATGGGTGTCTTTAATACCTAGTGAGATTCCCCCCTTGGTTCACAGAGCAATGGGCTTTCTTCCTATAAGACTAACAAACAGCAGAAGGCCAAGGCCTGGTTCGACTGCCGCTGCACCATGAGTTTGACGGTAATATATTCAACATAGCCGCTTATCACAGCCTACACTGCCTTGTTAGTCATCCCCTATCTACGCCTTGTAATCAATGTCTGAATGACGAGGACAGTTCACACTTCGAGAATCATTCTTCCTTTTCTACCAAGTTGCGAATAATTCTGCGCGGATTGATACCACCGAGCTTGCTTCCAAGTTGAAGCACGGACGGCATTGCATAGAGTACATTCGCCAGAACCTAATGTGCAACCCCGACCTTAATTTAGAGCCGATCGAAGGAGGGACAGGCAATCTCAAAGAATGGGGTATTCAGCATCAATGTAAGAGTCTCCTTGCTCTATCCAAGTGGAGCTATGAGATGAGGGCAAGCGATAATGAAGGCATAGCTACATAGGTACCTAGGTGGAGAGAACGTAAAATACCCAGAACATTGGTAACGTCTTGGACTTCTAATAGTTGCTCGTGTCATCAAATCCGGACGTGCCAATGACGTACACACTAGGTGAACCCATTTGCCCGGAAACCTTGCCATAAGAGTGCCGTTTCCTGAGCCTGTTATCTCTAGTATAAGAATGAAATGGTTGTCCCGTTCCAGGAACATATTTTGACATTAGTAAAGGCCTGGGGGCCATCTGTGTGTCCTTCAAGTCAAACGGAAATATTTTCTAGTTCGTCCGTACTTACGGGATCACGAAAGCCAAAGAAAAGACGGGCGGTGAAGAAAAACCATTGTAAAATAGAAGGCCATCACCGACATCACCCCCACTTACCTGGGTGCCTACTCAGCAGGGTTAGCTCGCATCGCCATGATAGAAATACACCTACTTACCTACTGCTAGATAGTGAAAAGCGTTGATACATCTCCCTTCTCCGGTCCACGTAAGGCGACGGTCACCGCCCGGCGCTTGAGAACAATCAAGGATGACGATTTAGGTGTCGTTGAATGCATACTCGGCACAATGACATCGCAGTTGGCGCGGGCTGCGCGGGCTACGCGGACCACTTCTGTCTAGGTAGGTAGGTTTAGAATGTGGTGCTTGACGATGACGGAAGTCGTCGCGCATCGTTATTTCGGCCTAGTTGTTTGTGCTACCCACCTAGCGGGTATGTCGGGGGGTCGACGCCGCGGATATACGGTACTAGTAATGATTGCAAACCATGGCTTGGAAATTATCGCCCAGCAGCATAATAATACCAAGGCAGCTAGGTAAGGACCAAATAACTCTGGCTTGTTAAGATCGACGCCGAGCAAGAACCCGATGGTAAATAATCTCGGGTATCTGGGGTATGTCTGAGGCATCCCAGCCATTGGGTTCCCTTAGCCACATGGCTGTGTAGTTAATGGTCATTGACAGCGGTATTCGGCTCTCTTCGGCTACGCTAATGAGGGATCGACCGTGCTGCTATGCTGGTAAGGCTTATATTGTTTGGCAGTAGATGAAGGTGAAGGCCAAGAGACAAGATGCCCAGGTATCGACGAGCCCTTTTTGCGGAGTGCACTCATTGGCGATGACCTACGCCCATCGATAATGTGTCATCGAAGTATAGCTCGCCGTGCATGAAGAATCTGAGGGCACTCGTACGAGCTGAGGGAGGAATGCCGCGTGTTGCGAGAGCCATAAGCTGGAATTGTGATGCGTCATGATGAAACCGTTTATATAAACATCAATCAAGACCGCCGTATCAAGTTCTCCCTTCCAAATGCCGATTTATCGGAATGAACCCCACAAACTCGGTATTCCTCTTCCGACGGAGTCGAACTTCGCTATTCACAGGATGAAGTTTGCGCATTAGCAAACTGCAGATTAAACGATCGCCGACGACAATAAAATCCTATTGATCTAGTAACCGCCTCTGTCGTTGAACCCACAATCATTCTAGCCGCGCAAAACTGCCAGAATGCATACTGGATTGAAGCGCGGGGTTGGAATGTGAATGTTTGACTTGGCACGAGTGTTCGTAAGTGCCAGTTTTAGAATGAGTACGGTAAAGAAGCATGTCGATAAATTTCACATCGGTAGGTATATGTGATCCGATAATGACAGGGCCTACTAGGCGGCCGCATGGCTTACCTGTTAGCTGTATGGTCCATGTGTCGCTATTGTTTTGTATGGATTAATCGAGTCAAATACCGTCCAAAATAGATCGAAAAATAACTTGTCAGCTTATGAGAAGTCTAGGCTTCAGCTAGGAGGTATCCTTGTAGATCGCATTACTGCTGCAATTGAGAGCTGACAGAATAAGTAAGTGAACTTGTTGACAATGATGGTCTTCAATTGAAACCCGTTGTTGCGACATCATCGGCAACAACCGATGTACGTATTTTAATTGTTGCATACCCATGATCAACAGGGGGTTTGGGGCTTCAAATTGAGAAACATAGTGTACGCAGGTAGGTAACAAAGTATTCGCTATGGCACCTGGGAATAGCTGATGTTGTTTGATCGCCCAGGGGTGGGTTATGCAGGGTCCAAAGAGGGCCACGACCGCGGGCGGGTGGTTGGAAAATAGCGGATCAGGCGAAGATCAATCCCTTCTCGGCGCACGACACCACCTCAGGGATAGTTTTGCCAGGGAACATGAAACCGGGACTGTGCCAAAGTCTCGGATCATGACCTCAACCAAGGCTTCTCAGTCGGCTCATCGCCGGTAAGGTAACGCACGGGGTTTTCCTACTTTCAGGATGAAGTTCCCCTTCTCCAGCTTCTGGAAAGAATTCTTTTCAGATATTCTCAATTTCAATTCGATTCTTATTTCCATTCGGAGTCTTCAGCAACAATTATCGATGTGAGAGTCCTGGTGATACCATCGCCTCATTCCTTTTTTTTATATTATATTCTTTTCTTTGGACCTGGTGTTCGTTGTCTTCATATTTTCATTCCACGATGGCTGGCCTTCTGAATGGTTTGGGTAACACCTTGGGGGGACTTGGCGGCGGCCTGTTAGGTGGGAATGATGATGAGAACAACAGCAACAGTAACGGTAATGGGAATACACAAGCGACAACGACTGGAGCGGAAGAACAGACCGGGAAGACGAGCTCGGCGGTAGGCAATGAACCTACAGCCAATTCTGGCGGGAAAGAATCGGCCGACCCGGAGAACACGAATAATTCGGACGATTCGAATAATATCAATAATTCGGATGATTCCAATAATTCAAAGGATTCGGGTAACACAAACAATTCAGATGATGGCGATGCAAATAAGCAATCGGCCACTTCTGCGCAACAGGCCGCGACGACAAAGTTACCCGAGTCACCCGCTGAGACTTCAGCTGTCGCACTCAACCCCGGTGCTGCCGACAACACCGATTCTGCTGTTTCCAGTGCATCGGAGACATCGAGCGCAACACAGAAGGCCAGCGCTCCAGAGAAAACCGCCGACCCCGAACCAAGCCAGACGTTTACTGTTGGTGGGCAAACAACGGCCTCATCGGTTCCGACAACCCTTGCGACATCCGTCAAGTCATCATCAAGCTCACTCCTCGAAAGCGTGGCCACCAGTCTCAACATCCCCGAGTCAACCAGTAGCGTGTTAAGCAGCGCAGAGGAAACGCAAGCTGCCGCTGCATCAACTCCTGCGCAAGTCCAGGCTACGCAGCTCCCCCAACAGGACTCTGCTGCGACTCAAAGTGCCGTCGCAGACTCCAATGGAAATGCACTTACCCAATCAGAGACAGCCTCAGGCAACGGCGGTGGAATGATCGGCAGCTTACCCGTCGCCGCCGTAGCCGGTATCGCCGGAGGCGGCGGTGGCTTAATCATTATCCTAATCACGATCTTCGTCCTCAGGCGCGTATGGCGCAAGCGGCGCAACGGCAACGACGAGGCACTAGCCCGTCTCGATTCCATGTACGAGGCCGGAAAGCCGACCGCCGCGGAATCGACTGAGAAGCTGGTCCGTTGGAACAAGGGACTATCGGCATATCACAGAATGTAAAGTGATAAATGCCGCGTAATACGGGGAAAACTACAGAGCAAATTGTCAGTCAACGGAGTCTGGGAATAGAGCGATCAGGTTTGCCCTTACACGTTAAATCATATATCAATCATATTTAACCTACCTATACCTATATATTAAAAGCTAGTCTAGTCGTTACCATAGTTATATCCTTAAACCCATCGTCGATGTAATAGTACTGTATTGGGATTGAAGAAATAATGGCCACTCGGTCATACATACCAATAGAAGTTAGATTTATTTGTTGTTTATTTCGAGCGTTGAATCAGTGAATGAAAATCAGAAACCTGTAACTCATTATTTTGTGTTGGTATTTCGTGCATAACTGCGCACTTACATCATGCCGCAGCAAGTCGTGCGGCACGCTCAAAGGACTCCCCGCACCTACCTTCTCTCTACAACCAATATTGAGAATCCTACGAGCCTACGATAATCATTAGAATGGCAGAAGCAGTGAGTGAGCAATTCCCAGCCATCAAATAATCGGACTAACAATCTGATCATTGTTCGTAGTCGGTTCAAAGTGTCTCGTCCGACAATTTCAAGCTTGAAGATGGGCACGTTCGAGTACATATCGAGCGAATCGGCTGTCGCGATGTCCACTACTATCAACAAGATCGCATAGGCGACATTGTCTTCCTTGAACCTGTCTACACAGGCCAAGGGAGCTGCGGGATAGTAGTTGAAGTAGGCAGTAAAGTGGAAAATATCAAGGTTGGAGATCGCGTAGTAATCGAGCCCGGTGTGCCTTGTATGAGGTTATTCTTCAAGCGCCACCGTCCAAAAATGTGATGTGGCTTGCATGCTGACGGATCGACATAGATGTGCTAATTGCCAGTATAAAAATTACAACATGTGCGCTGGTGTCATACTCAGTACTCTTCAGAAATACTACGTCGTCCCTAGTGTTTACTGCCATGCACTACCGGCCAGTGTAGATGCTGAGGATGGGGCGCTCGTCGCACTTGTCGCCCTTGCGCTTCGAATCTGTCAAGTCGCCGAGCTGCAAGCCCGTCAAAACGTCCTCGTCCTCGGCTCCAACTCCATCGGCATATTGACTCAAATGATTGCGAATATGCAAGGAGCTAGAGTTATTGGAGTTGACACCTCCCACTGGCGCACCTCATTTGCTTCGGGATCCAGCGCGCATGGCGTGTGTGTCCCGAAATGGTCTTCTACTTCTACCACTGACTCAGCCAGTCCGCCACCCGAGGTAGTAGATCAAATTGTGCATCAATTCCGTCTTGGCGATGGCGCCGACGTCGTTGTGGATTGCACCGGTTCTGAATCCTACATTAAAACCGGTGTGTTCGCGGCAAAAAGGGGAGGGACGTATGTACAAGCTACAGTAGTTGATCCGGTATGTTAGTTCTAGCAGACTTGAGAATGTGTTCCATATTAAATATGGAGAATAGTTCGTTGAACTTCCCATCGTGATGGCTCAAGAAAAGGCCTTGAATATTAAAGGGTCGGTTCGCGACATAGCAGATTGCTATCCTTCTGCCATAGACCTAGTCGCATCCGGAAGAATCACTCCTCGGATCCTTGTCATGAACCGATTTGAGGCCGATGAAGCCGAGGAAGCTTTCGAGGAAGTTAACGAAAATCGAGAGTACAGTATGAAGGTTATGATCAAAGGCATTCCATGAATGGGAGTTTTTTATCCAACCAGCAAATAAGTTTCTACGTTTCGGGGGAGATATTCAATTTATATCTGGCTAAATCTCTATTACGCCTGCAAGTAAAAACTCTAAGCTCCTCGCTATCTCACTTTTTCTAACGCAACTTCCTAGAATTATTTCTCCGTAATTCAAATCCATCACGAGTTCAATTTTTGGTGGAGACACTCTCCAACGAAACTTCACTGGTGCGCACCAAGTCCGATAGCCGCCTGCGGGAACAACGGCATTTGATTGGAGGGGATCTAGTCACCGGCGCATGCACACCCGTAGTCTATCCAGTAGTCTCGAATTCGGTATGATGTAGTCCGTACCTCTCCGCACGAATAACAACCCGCCGAGTACCCATTCCCCCCTTAATAAAGTACCGAGCCGAAACCTATCTTTGTGTCTCGGAACACTGCAGACTTACACCTACCAATCAACCATCTCCGGACCTTCATACTCTACGCCACCACCCACCCCCTCATACAATCAAGAAGACAGGTATCACCATGGTTCTCGCACCCCACCCCAACCCGGACGCCCCGGTACTATCGCACTTCAAACTCGACGGCAAAACCGCGCTAGTAACCGGCGGCTGTCGAGGCATCGGATTAGAAGTAGCGCGAGGTCTCTGCGAAGCCGGCGCCAAAGTGGCCATAACATACTCCAGCACACCACCCCAAGAAGCCAACGAAATCGCAGCCTCAATATCAGCCGCCAACGGCGGTCGTCTAGTCAAAGCCTACAAATGCAACGTGCGTTCCCAAGCCGACGTAGAATCCGTCGTCAACGCCGTGGTCGCAGAAGTCGGGGATGGAAGATTAGATATTCTTGTCGCGAATGCGGGAATCGCGGAGAATATCCCTGCGTTGGAGTACCCGGAGGACAATTTTAGGAGTATGTTTGATGTTAATGTGAACGGTGCGTTTTGGACGGCGCAGGCTGCGGCGAGGGTTTTTGAGAGGCAGTATAAAGCTGCGGAGGGCGAACCCCATCGTGCTTCGATTATTTTCACGGCTTCGGTTTCGGCGACCTTGGTTAATATTCCGCAAAAGCAGGCTGCTTACAACGCTAGTAAAGCTGCGCTGGTTCATCTTGGGAAGTCTTTGGCGGTGGAGTGGGTGGACTTTGCTAGGGTTAACAATGTTTCGCCGGTGAGTTGCTTCTGGAGGCTCTTGGTGTGTCTCTAAGCGCTAACTTGATTTCGTAATAGGGGTTTATCATAACGGAGAGTAAGTCTTGGAAGGTACACGTGTAAACGGAATTGGTATCGCTAATACATTAATAGTGCTGGACGTACATCCATACGAATGGAGGAGTCAATGGAACGAGATGGTCCCCGGTCGCAGGTTTTGCTATCCGTCGGAGTTAAAGGGAGCGTATGTTTTCCTAGCTAGCGATGCTAGTAGCTACATGACTGGTGAGTTCCTCGCGGCAGCCACACAACACTAGAAACTAATGACTTTCGCTAGGCGCGGACTTAATTATTGATGGAGGTTATACCCTACCCTAAGTTGAAAGCGAGTGGTGCAGGCAGGAATAGTGTATGATATCGACAGAAGGAAGAGTGATAATTCATCACTATTCGAATCTTTCAACTCTGCGACAGCGAGCTTTAGACATCTAGACTGTCTCATATGTATCGCCTTTGATTGACTTATTGGTAAAGATTCAGGGTGTACTTGCCTAATTAGGTGCGATAATAGTCTTCAAAGAGCCGGCTTGACTAGCGACGGCAATCACAGTAACAACGTTAAGAACAGGTCGTAATCATAAACTACATTTTGTATGGAGGACGTTATTCAAGTTTAACGTACCCGCGTACTTTATCCCTACAATAACAAAGCGCCATCTGCGTCAATCGCCCCCTCACCGTGTATCCTTTATATCATGACAGTTCACGGCGGAGGGGCGAAGTATCTCGTACTCTAACATATTTCTCCCCTGTTATTAATTTATCCTTCCTTCCTTCCCTAGGGGAGAAGTGGTGCTTTTTAATATACTGACAAGAATAAAGTCAGTCATGATTAACACTGTCTAGTCTCATGAATAGATCTCTTACCACCTATGCGCAGGGGTCAACACCCCAACGGCTCCGAACTCTTCTCCAATGGTCTCGCTCGGCATGGGTCACTTGGTCTGTGAACATGCCGTTGATGGCGCGCATGATAGACCGACGCGCGTTGGAGGCCTGACAGTGATAAGACGAGAATCGAATTATCAACTTCGATATGTTGTCATTCGTGAACACTGTCTCGACATTCTCTAGCTCGTAAGAGAACTCCCGTTGGAAGAAGTTCTCTAGGTAGTCCTGGTTTATTATCGGTGTCGGGCCTGTTATTTCGAGAACGCGTGAGATATACGATTCTTCTTGGGATGCCACCTTGTGGTCATTCATTCGCGCTTGGGGTGTGTAGGCCCCGACTACGAACTGACCTGCCCTCACTCTCTGCAGGAACTCGGTGGCCATCTGTCGATTCCAGAAGACAAGTTTGGCCGCAGATGTCGTGTACACGCCGGAAGGAGGCCGGATGTTGCAGGCGTATATCTTGCCGACGCCCCTAATAGCTCCCAATAGCTGTGCAACCGTGCAGTCGGGAGGTAAATTTGTCAGGTGCAGGGAACAGTTGTCGTCATCCGGAACCGCCAGCGACTGCTCGGTGTTGTCAGTGCCCCGGTAGGATGTCGTACCTACCGCGGCGTCGCCCTCGGGAGCTGTGGCTCCACTTGTTTCGCCGACGACGTCCGGGGCCGCGACTGGGACCCCGACGGCGCCCTTCAAGTAGCGGCATGAGGCGCCGCTTTCTTCAACGGTGGCGTCCGCGGGATATTGGCCCTCGCGCCACTCCATCCCTGCAGGCTCCGAATTGTTTTCGGAACTATGCGCAGAATTATGCGCAGAACCATGAGCGGGGCTATTAGCAGTCGGTGGCTGTTCCGTTCCTTCCAACTCCGGGCTACCCTCGAAGTCACCCTCGGAATCGTTCATACCCGAGAGGAGGACCTCGATTATCTTCCCAATCTCTCTCTCTAGGACCGCGCTGGGGAGTTCTTCGGCATTGGAGGTTGCCTCGGTTCCTTTATCATGACCGTTGGCTCCTATATCGGTATTGTCTAAGGGGCTCTGCTTGCCGGCTTGCCCATGGCCGCCTTTGGGGGTTTGGTCACTACCGTGGAATTCTTGCATTAACTTTCTGAGATAGAACAAATAGTACAACGTGTTTATTTATCAAACATACCTCATCGTTAATTGAGTCACAGGGTTAAATAAAGAGGTGTTCTCTTTACAACCTATCCGGCGGATCGCCTTATTTGGCACCGTTGTATTGGTCTCGGGGCCTCCCGCGCTTATTTGTGCTTTGCGACAGCGGGTTATTACCTGGCTGTATTTGTTAGAAGAAACGCTTCGCATAATTGATAGTAGAGTTATAAGCTGACTACATACCTTCGTGCGGTGATAGGGCAACTGTTAGAGTCGAACGCCTATGAAAGCAGAGGACTAAGATTGTCAACAATCCTAGGACCGTGACAGAAGAAACAAGGATCGATTATCAATATTCGTATATTTATTTTGATGAATTAAGACGGAAGGACTTAGAAGTAGACGAAGGAGAGTGAAGAAGAGTGATGTAGGAAAATTGTTGGGAGTGAAATGTAAGAATTGTAGGTTATTTATACCTAGGTATAATAGAAAGATGGAAAGATGTGGAGTGGGAGAATAACTGCAATTAATTGTTTTCTCTTACAAATTACAAATTTTGTAATAAAAACTTTTTATCGGTGGGCACCAGCAGCGCACTTTCCCTCGACTTCTAAGTGGTAATAATATTGTCGTAAACAAGTCGAAGAACAGTGTACATGCCAGTTAAAGGGGAAACGACGGTTAGTGCTGGCAGGAACAGAAAAAATTTGCCGTCGCCTGGTAACTGTGGAAGGTGCGAAATGGCTACTCAGGTGATTTACTAGTTGTATCTCTTTTTTTTTTTACTTCATTAATTTGTTTTGCTCATTCATTTATTGCGTGTAGCTTTGTGCCTAGTGCTACAGAGGTAGGTATGTTTAGAGCCATGTAGTGAATCTATTGGGTACTTCACGTCGCGACTTCCTAGAATAATCATTATCCCCTAAAGAAACATTAAGATAACAGAATTAATCGTAACTACCCCTATCCCAGGCAACTGAAACAGGGGGTAGCGCTGTAGGTCGTCAGGGAGTTTCCAAGTGTGTGCTCTATAACTGAATTCAGTCGTGACCATACGCTCGAATAGACTACAGTTACGATTCTCCTTAGGCAGGAAATTAGCTGTCGTAGTAATATGTTTGGGTAGGCTGCTGCATCGCGCTCTCACGTGATATCCCAGGGGGTCGCCTCTTCGTATATAATTACCCCTGACTAATTGGATCTCCATTATTTTTCTTTATCGCCTAATTCTTATCAAAGTTTGTTTCCAGGCGACGGGTTTATTCCAGCCCTATTTGGGTGTCTTTTATTTTTTGCGTAGGGAATAGGACAAAGCTAGGTAGACAATCTTAGGAACCAAGGAAGTGGTTAGGCACTACCCGGGTATCCGACAACATGTTGTATCGGAAGCAGTCTCAGCGGCGAAATATTCGTAAACTACACCTTCGCCTAGTTATTTCATCGCTCGTAGGGAGTACACAGCTAAACGCTTGATACAGTCAGCATTACATACCTACCTAGGGTATCTACCTATGTAGCAATCGAGGCGTTATATACTAAAATACTTTTAAGGGGGTAATTTGATGTCTATGCATAACATGGACTTGAGTCAACCTGCCTGTCATACTATGACGCAAAACAATCTCTGAGTCTTGTAAGGAATGTATGTTTTGAAGCCCTTTGTTACGACTAGACCAACTCTGCCTCAATCAAGCTCTCTGATCCCATTTCATAGTTATAAATTTTCGCGATCTTGAAACCAGCCTGATCCAATATCTTTCTCCAGTGTGCCTCCGTGCGCTCCCTCATGGCACCAAGAATGAATACTAGTTGGTCCATAGACGTGACCGGCCATGTTGGGTTCCTATCTGGCACGATGATTTCATTAAGTAGTAACTTTGAGTATCCTCGTTTTATCGCCGGTTTCAACTGCTCCAAGATCCGGACACAATCCTCGTCGCCCCAGTCGTGCAACACGGAATGGAGATAATAGGCGCGGGCTTCTTTCACTGGCTGAGGGGTAAAGAAATCATGCGCCTTAGCTTCGAACACATTACTTCCCGAAACTGTTGAAATAACCTCGGCTCGGTCTTGTAGGATGAGTTTTCCAGGGAGTGAAGGATGCTTCTTCTTCAAGTCCTCTAAGTCGTGTCCCAAGCCACCTCCAACGTCGACGAGGAGGACGCCATCACCCGCGCTTCCATCGAATCCTTCGGCGAGGCGCTCATTGACGGGGTAAAAGCCTGGGTCTACCCAGGAAGGTTTTCCGGCACGGTATGCCCCCATATAATTGTTAAACTTCTCCAAGTAAGGGGGGTTCTGGTCTAGCCAAGCGAAGAAAGGAAGTTGTGTTTTATGAGCAGCTTGAAAGGGGCCATCGGTTAATTGCGTTGGAAGTGTGTAGTTGATACTCTTCAAATATTCGGGCAGATGACGGAACGATGGACCCGCAACGTCGTATCTACGAGGTGCGTTAGTAGGTCGTTCAAAAACATTTACTACAGTTGAAAATGTAGCGAGCTTTTGGCAGATCACTTACGTGTAGATGATGCCATCGCGGAATCTCGGCTCGGTAAGGGCGTTGCTTAAGTCGGTTGCAATATATTTATCCGTACCAGTCTCCGCAACCACGTTAGTAGCAGCAAGATGCTTCAAAGTTCGAGCTTCCAGAAATGTTAGCGTATTTCCCTATAATTCGAGGGCATATCTAATATACAGATCAGCACTTCGTCGGCTCCGGTCTTAGCGGCTAACTCCTTAGCGCTAATCCCTTGATGGCCGCTTTCTTTTAGAGACTCGAAGAGCTTCAGCTCGACAGCAATGCGACAATGCGCGGCTTTGGCAGGCTGCAATTAAAACGACTGTAAGCACCTGGTCGATATGATTAAGTTCTTTTGATGTTTACCTCAGCCCATCCCATCCGTTGGATGGCTTCGCTTGGTAGTTCCACGCTAGAAACCAAGGCGTAGCCTAGATTCAGGAGTTGCTCGCGCGCTCCAGGTTTCTTCTCCGCATATGCGGAGCCTGCAGCTTGGAGCTGTGCTAGGATAGCTTCTGGGGTAGAGGACATGATGGAATTTCAGAGTCAGTAATTATAAGTGACTATATGTTAGAATAATCACAGTCAAAGGTTACTACCTTTTATAGGTCAAAGGCAGGGAGAATGTTTATACTCAACGGATAGTTATTGGGCAGTCGGGGATAGCGATATTAATAAGCAAGGGAAGTTGTCGATTTATAACAAAGAGGATGGATTCCTGCCCTTGCATGCTTCATGCTTGTTGGTGGTTGTGGTCTACTAGACTTGGTATAGTAGCTCCACTTCACCGCCTTATACCGACCCACCATTCTTTTACTCAGGTATATATTGCAGCTCGGCATCGTCGGTGGCTCGTACTAAATAATTCCATCTCTTAAGGCACGGAAATTCTAGTACCTCCTCCCTAGTATAGCTCCGTTTGAAATAAATCGCTAGTCTTGAACTTCGACAGGACAGTCTGAAGGCCCGGACACGTCCCAAACCCACGATACCAGCACGAAGCGGCTGTCCATTTAATCTATATTCACTCGAAACGCCCACCCTTGCGTTTGGTTTCCAGTGGAAGCAGCAAAACGCTGGTTTCGTTCGGGGCTTTTTAGCTTTCCGCATCAAGGAAAATACCTAGGGGATGCGGTGAAAATGCTTTCGGTCGAAGTACTACCATTACTAGTATCCTTAAGTTTTGAAGAGATGGATAAGTCCAGCCTCGATATCCGGTCGTATCGTTCGTTTTCTGCATCCCCAGTCTTCCGTTCATCTGATATACCCCACAGAAAAGGTTCGTAGAAGCCGCATATTTTCATATAGTAGCACGCTAGCCGCATCCTTTTGTTCCAACCCGTGATCATATTGGCGTGATAGAGCAAATTGTATCGATTGCAGTTGTCCGATCAGACGAGAAAGGCCCCGCTCATACAATTTCCGATCGTTTCTTCATCAATTAACCAGTTCGTCGACACTTTCGGGTGAATCAAGGTTATACATCCGCGGCGAACGATATAGGATTGTGTTGATCTCGTAGTGACGGCTGGCCTAATCATCTATTTATCCAGCTCTGTAGCACCGCTGTCTTGGTGTGCGGTCTGCCATCGGCGCATTTGTTACCTTTTGGATCATAGCCAATGCTATATTGAGTGTGTCGGCAACGGCATGTGTGGTTGAACGATAGCTTCACAGTTGATAGATCTAGCAAAACAGGATATCAGGCATCAGTGTCAATAAACCGGGTCCACTTGTAGACAAGTGGGACGTGCAGTCGGCAGCGCAAATGTATGTCGCTTTGGAGACTCGGCTCTATGCTCTCTACCCAGGTAGGTACGGTGTAAGTTTCTAGTGCATATATTTACGTTATCACCATTATATACCATGCGATATTGCGGGAAATACAAAAACGAAAGGGCATATTTGAAGCCACGACTACCGCGGTCTAGGAGACTGGCCCCGTACAGACTAGATACTCAGGAACTAGATGACGTCATGCTGAGTTGGTGCTTTACAGCGACGACAGAAACGGTGCGACCGATCATTGTTCGTCGATGAACTAATTACCGACAAAAACTGGATGCTTGTTGGGGATGGTAGCAATGATGCTTCAGCTCCGCGACCGAACTGCGGGGTTGTGATGCGGCTGACGATTATCGTTGGCCGCGGGTGGGTATGGGCTGGGACAGGTGCTCTACTCTGTTATCGCTATCCCTCTATCGGTTGTCTCATTGTTCTAGGCTTCGAGCAAATAATAATTCGGCAACGTCGAAGCATAGTTGAATCGAACATGTCTCGGCAATGGTTAGTGCTGCGGATAGTTTCACTTTTATACACTATTAGACGCCACTGCCATGTGCTTCTACCCCATGGGCTCTTCACGCGTCGTTCGTTCAACTTGCTTCGTGGGTGCCCTTTCGTAGATCTATGTTGTTGGCTAGGGCGAGTCTGCTGCTACCTGGGCCGATGAAACGCCAATCGCGTCTCGAGGGAATCATTTAAACCAACAATTTCCACTACAGAATGATTCCCAGCGACTTAGCTGGTAGGCTAGTGTTAGACACGACCCTTGTCATGCTTCCCGCGTCTTATGCATTGGGGGTCACAATTTAGTTCCCTCTTGGGGGCTAAGACAATACCTGCCTAGCCAGATTTGAAGACTTGCGGCTGCTGGGAACTTGGATGTATGCTTAATGTAGAATTATTCTCTACTAACTGACCACATGGTATCCACTCCAATGCCAGCATTCGAACTACTCGTCAGTTCTTTCTCCGAGCCAGTCCCATCACTTTCCGCCGTCTCACTGCTTCTTGGCTTTGGTTTTGCAGCGGCAGCAGCGGAACTTGACCCCCCTGTCCATCCGCCACCAATAGTTTGTAGTGGCACGGCTGCCCTGTCGGCTTCGAGCCTTTCGAAATTTTCACGGTCCTCTTTGCGACTCCTCCATGACGAAGGCGACATTGACCAGTCCTTCGGAAATAATTTAGAAAGGTATGGCCTCATGAAGGGGAAGTTCGCGACGAGGATGGCTAGCTCGGGTTCGAGGACAGTCCAGAGTAATCCCATCGGCAATGTCCATGTCGGATCGGTAAAGGAGATATCTATGAGGGACTTGAGACGTATTATGGAAATTGCTGTGATACTGTAAACTGTTAGTTACGTTTACCGCCAACCCGAAGATTTATTTCTACAGCATGGGGGCGAGGTACTGACAAGAGACCAAGGCCAAATGTGGCCATAAGACCGACCCGTTGCGAGACCGGCATTTTCAGCTTCCAAATGATTGGCACGGGGACCAACAAGACCATAAAGTCCGTGGCCATGTTGGTGGCGCCAGCCACAACGTAAACAGTATTACGATCTCCGCAGCTACCTTCGATGGATGTATCCCAATTGTATGCGAGAGGTCGGCAGAGGAGAAATGTCTCGAGGATAACCGAAACCATCCATAAAAAGATGATCGCCATAACTGCGTATGTAACCCACCATATCGACTTGCTGGCACCGAATACGCGTTGATAAAAAAGTAAAATAGACCACTTCACGAACATAAGGGTTACACCGTATAACGCCTCAAATGGGATGATAAGCTGACGGAGTGGAGTTAGTATGCGGAAAGGTTCTGATTGGGAGATCTGCTTACTTTAAGGGTAAGAACTGCATCTAACCTGTTTATGTCGCCAATGTGTCTACCGGTTCCACCCCTGACAACGCCTGTTGAAGCGTCAGCCATCAATTAATTCAATTTTCCAGCATACGCATTAACGAAAGACAACTAACAAGCCCACTGAAGACCGAGAGACGAGAACACCAGCACCTTTAGAAAACATTAGAGACATTCTGCAGACGTAGGTGAGTATGGACATACCAGAGCAATTAGCAGGTATAATTCCTGCGGGTGAAACTTCTCGCCTCTTTGCTTTATGATACATGCTCGGGCCACGCAAGAAAGCAAAGCGATGACTCCGAATAATGTTGACACAGCCAGGGGGCCGCCTGTTTCTGGCGTGTTCGGTTCGTAATACGTCATTTTCTCCGGTTGGCGGTTAGAAATTCCCCAATGTAAACCCCCCGAGAGTAATGGTCTTTAGTCGTTGAAAGCATCACAAGTGATGGACATCATTACGGTTCCGAGGACAATAAAGGGAGAAAGACCACGACGAAGTTGTGCATTTAGAGTTCGGTGAGAGATTTCCTTATATCAGATTTTCACATTCTGGATGTTTTGAACTATTTTTTTCTTCATGGTTTGTCATCTCAAGGATATAATCACGGGGATTGACGGGTAGGTAAGCATGCAATTGTTTGAGGGACCATGTCGTATCACAATACAGCCAATCCTTACCCTTTTCACAATGCAGGTTCGCACTGTCTTACCTTTTGGCGTAGAGGGTTGGTGTTAGTGAGATTACTGATCGTCTTACTGACAGTTGGTACACCGAATATGCTGAGTAACTGTAAAGAAGGTATATTTCAAGCATAAGAGTACTTCAGCTCGTTCCCTACTGCCGTAATTTTCTTAACAGAGCCCGTAAGGTAACATCGTGGGAGGCATGTTACCATTCTTACAGGGGTTGAGGTGAAGACTATTCCCCTTTCAGTTCAAAGCACGGTCCCAGCCGTTCGTTCCCGCAAACCTTGGCAGGATATACTTTTTCTCACGTAGCATTACTTTCAGTAACTTCGCGGCGTAGACGCATATCATCTTGCTGATCCATGGTATTGTCTTTTCTCGCGGTGGTACGGAAGGCCCTTTCTAGTTATGGGACGACTTTATCACCTTTATGACTATCCTAACAAATGCGGGTCAACCCCTGGATCGAAGGAGTTTCAACACACCACAGTGGAGTTCTCTTCACAAGGGGTAATAGCAATTTGAATTCTCGATTATGAATAGCAATAATTCGCAATGTACCTGGTATGTAATGTTTAAATAAGCTCGTGAGATTTTCGATTGATCGATTACCTATACCCCTAGTACTATCATAATATTGCGTCTTACGTAACACCAAGGCTCTTCATTTCCCTCTCACATCTTCACCTTCTTGCGATCAAGTTTATAGGCCATGGCGACTATTGATACCGCTTCTACTATCGACATAGGCGCAGAATATGACTATGTGGTGGTTGGAGGTGGGACAGCTGGGCTCGTGGTTGCATCCAGATTGACTGAAGATAAGGATGTCAGTGTCCTGGTCCTGGAAGCGGGGGCGAATCGCTTGAACGACCCAAAGATCTCTATTCAAGGTCTTGCCGCCTCGACATTTCACAATCCAGATTATGATTGGTGTATAACTACAGAACCCCAGGCACGTATCTCATTCATCATGTCGATAGTCGGAATTGGCATCTGACATGTAATTGCCGATAGGTCGGATTGAATAACCGTAAATTGGCGCAACCTCTGGGGAAGACTCTTGGTGGCTCTTCAGCGTAAGTATACGGCAATACGTTCCTTTTTATTGTGTAAGCTGACCCGAATTGGGCTGAAGTATCAATCTGGGGATGGTCATCTACCCGTCTAAATCCGGCTACGATTCATGGGAAAAGTTAGGAAACCCGGGTTGGGGATGGGACACCATGGAAAGTTATTTCCGGAAGTTCCACACATTTACCGAGCCCCAACCAAAGCTTAAGGAAGAGCTCATGCTTGATTACCTCTTAAAGGGCGCTCACGGCACAGACGGGCCCATCCAAATCTCTTACGGGAGTGAGGAGGGGTTTCCTCCCTTCCTCCAAGCCTGGCCGCGAACCTGGTCGGCCCTAGGCAAACCCATCGACGGCGATCCTATCGCTGGCGTATCCATTGGTGCTTTCAATAACGCAGCTACACTTCATCCAACAACTAGGGAGAGAAGTCATGCTGGAAATACATACTATGCCGATAAAGCCGCCCAACGATCGAACCTTCGCGTCATCACAGAAGCTCTCGTTGAGAAGATTGGCATCACACAGAACCCCAACAACCTTCGAGCAACCGGTGTCACATTCGTTGGGAAAGATGGAAAAAGGCAACAGGTCTCGGCCAAGCGCGAGGTGATCCTAGCTGCTGGTGCGGTCAAGACGCCTCAGCTACTGGAGCTCTCGGGAATTGGTAATAAGAATGTACTCGAAAAGCACGGAATTAACTGCCTTCTAGACAACCCCAACGTAGGCGAGAACTTCCAGGATCACGGCTTCGTGCCGTTCTCGTGGGAAGTAGCCGACCCATTGACATCGGGCGACCAAATGCGCAACCCAAGCGTCGTCGAAGCGGTGATGGGTGCTTACCAGACGGCCAAGGCAGGTCCCCTGTCCATCAATGCGCTCGGATCGGCCTTCTTCCCACTCCAGGATCAAGATCTGAAACCCGTATCTGTCAGCCAACTACTTTCGGATCTCGGTCAAGCAGACGTCGAACCCAAAATCCTCCGGGAGCAGATATGTACCCCAGGTGACAGCTCAGTGCAATTCACCGTTGCGCCGTTCCAACTCGATGCCTTCCCTGGGGATTCGCCTTCCCAGATCTTTAGTCTTAGTGTCGACGGTTTCTATGCATCTATTGTCGCTGTTCTGAACCATCCCTTTAGCCGTGGATCGACACACATACGATCAGCCGACCCGCACGCGAAGCCCATCGTCGATCCACGTGCCATGACGCACCCACTAGACCTAGAGCTACATGCACGGCATGTACTGCTCCTCGAGAAGATCCGCGACGCCTCGCCACTACGAGAGCTCTTCAAGGAAGGTGGGCGACGCATACATAACGGCGGCAAGAGGGTTGAGACCTTGGACGAGGCCAAAGAAGCAGTGAAACATGGGTACACGCCGCATTACCATGTATGCGGGACAGCAGCCATGAAACCTAGGGAGTCTGGTGGTGTGGTCGACTCGAAACTCAAAGTCTATGGGGTGGATGGCCTAAGAATTGTTGATGCCAGTATCTTCCCGTTGATTCCGCGGGGGAATATTCAGAGTTCCGTCTACGCGGTTGCCGAGAGAGCCGCCGACCTCATCAAGACTGGTTAGAGTATTTAGGTGATGTACCTATAGATGTGGTATTCTAGCTTAATCCTCAGTCTATATAACATACATGTTCGTAGGTGGTATCGCCATTGAAGAACTCATTGATATGCTGCAAAGCATCTTCAGCGCTCGCATACTCTTCCATCCAACATTTACGAATAACATCCCCTGCCCAGATACCCGTCACGTCAGGAAATTCACGTTTCTCGAAGAAACCATCAACCATATTCATGTATGCGTCCATTGCGGCAAGCGATTCGAAAAATCCGGCTGCAGGTTCTCGGTAAGGCCAATGCCCAGTAAGTATCGTATAAAGAACAGATCCCATGGCGAATATGTCCGTATTACGCGACTTTTCCGTTCCGGAGTTGGGGTTGTAGAAACCGGCGTCTGGCAAATTCGGGTTACTCAACCCAAGCTTCTCGCATTCTGAACCTCCGAAATCACAAAGGCAAAGGTCGAGGGATGGAGGAGTAGTGGATGTTGTTGTGTAGATAAGCATGTTGTCGGGACGTATGTCACAATGGATCACCCCTTTTTGATGTAGGTACACGATCGATTCGATGGCTTGCCGACACCACTTTTTTCGAAGCGACAAGGGAATAGCGTCGTGATTCTTATAGAGATATACTCCAAGATTACCAGGGCTAGCTTCGGCGAGAAGGAATCCTGGTTGTTGATCGGGCGTAGCATCTTGCCATCCGAGATATCTTCATAAGAGAGAAGTTAGGGGCTCATTAATTTTCGATAGTGTTAAGGTATGTACTAACCTTACTATCCTGGGGTGCTCTCCTAGTAACTCGAAGATTTGGCGTTCGATATCAAACTTAACGGCACTTTCGTCATTTAATTCTTGTGTTGCGCGGTCATGGGGATGCTTCAAGACTATGCCGGGCTCAACATGGAGGATCACCGCTGTCGAGCCCAGATACGTTTCTGCGTAGGCCATGACTACAACTATCTTGCATACCTCCTTGGCAGATAGGTAGGCAACTGTAGAGTTCCAAACGGAAGAGTTTATGAGTTTTAATAGATGTCCCAATAGGTACATGCACCATATCATATCTCACAAGACATTAAATACGTAATTCCATATTAATATAATTATTTTTCTGTATAGAAGCGTCCTGTCTCTCTTGAAATATCGCACTAGTCCTGTTTAGGAAGTGGGTGCGTTTTGTTTGTATAGATGGAGTTTCTTTTCTTTTTAATTATTTTGAATGCGTGTCCGCTTCTCCGTATTCCGTTTTCTTGAATCTACAAACGGACGTTGTTTGCGCAGTCAACCTTATTGATATTCTTGTTGAATTGCTCCTGGATAGTATGAAAAGGTCCAATCATAAGAAGTGTCGCTCTCCGTTTGCTAAGGGCTCGGATACATACACGAATGTTTTAACACCAGACGGCCAAGGATGATGCACAACACATTTGGCCAATCATAGCAAGAGTAACTCTGAAACAGCATCCTACATCGGGAAGGCCGGTCACTTGATATTGAAGATCTTAGTTCAGCTCAGTCGTCTCCCTCTTGTCTCCTTACCAACAAAAGAGGAACTTCCAGAATAACATTAGCCCAAACACCCGAGTTAGGCTGAGCTTACGTCAATAATCTGGGATGTTTCAGTGATGGGCATAACTTAAGCTATTGACGGCAGTTCTTTAATTCGATGTAACCCAAATACGGGCCGAGGCATATTTACAGTGTGTAGCTGATGAATCATCCGTGTTACCCCGGAATTTCCTATCCTATCATATCCCGGTGCTTTGACGATCATATATCGTGGGGAAACGAGAACCCCTGATTATATCTACGTCATGGTGTATGACCACTAACCAAGTAGATCAGCTTTCATGTTGGTTTTGGGAACATATATCCTCCCCACAACCGCCACCTACAATGCGAAATTCTGAGTTCCAATTGAGAATTATGTTTTGAGGCAATTGCTAGACCGCGCGAAATAGAATACCCAATACTCAAACAACGACAACACCATGCATGCGAAACTCACCCTCGCTCTTGTCTTCGCAAGCAGCTGCCTAGCAAACGCTGCTGAAGTCGAGCCTCGCCAGACGTCCAATCCTGGTGGTCCGGTTGAATCCTTGTCATCTGCGATCTCCTCCGCCATTTCGTCTGCGACAGACCAGGGCACAAGCGGAGTGCTATCCATTCAAACCGACACATCCCTCCTATCCATCCAAACGAGTACTGGCATCAGCAGCACCGGTGGCACTGCTTCCTCAAGCGGTTCTAGCTCCTCTGCCAAAGAGACTTCTTCCTCATCCGGCTCGTCCGAAACCTCGGCCGGAGTAACATCATCTACCTCTGGAGGTGGAGCTGCACCCGCCCGAGAGACTGGCTTCCCGCTAGCGGCTGCTGCCGCGGGTTTCCTTGGGGCCGTCGCGGCACTATAATACTCTAGCCATAGGCCTAGAAAGATGCAACAGCTGAAGTTCACAGGGTCCTGTTCATATACAAGCTCCAACAAATTGACGTACGCGATGTATCATATATATCAACAAATGGAACCACGCAACATCAATAGTAACGAGATATTTCTTTTTGGATATTGGTGTCTATTGGGATTGAATGGGTAGCCGCCTAAATACAACTACTCGGCGTCGCTTGTAATATTTACCTCGGAAAATATTACCAATATATATATTCACCTCCAGCTAACCCGCCTATTCGTTCAAACTAACGCCGTATTGTCGTTCACTCGTGATTCTTGATTGATCTTTATCATGATTTCATACCAATCGAGTCCCCAGAGGGATGCGCCTTACACTTCATTGCAAAGCTTTAGGCACAGCACAGCCCTGATGGCGATACACTTTGTGGGGACATAGGCTCTAACATGTTTCTGGTATAGGTTGCATGATATTGGGGCGCTGTATAATGAATGGCGATGTTCATTGGCTGCTGGCTCTATATTACTTACCTTATTGGTGTAGATCACTAATCTCTACACGACTTCCAACCAGGGTATAACAGATCGTCTTGTCGTTCGATTCTTTCCTTATATACCTGCTTTTGCATTATTTCAATTTGTCAGCATTTTATAGTACCCGACACTATCTGGACATCTCAGACGTTTATCCTATCGACCCTACCATCTAGCATACCTGAGCATGCTTCGTTGGCACCGACGACAATGTCGCAAACCAGATGTAAGCATAACGGATGATGTATTATTCTGTTCTAGTTGTGATTCAATTGCGGAGTTAACATGTCTCCACATAAATCATCAACCCACTTCAACGAATACTCATATGAGCGAGTCGTCACAATCCCTGAACCTTCGGTGGCCGCTATCTGTTCAGTATTCTACGGAAGAAAGTCGCAACGACTCCAGCGATGGCCTCCGTGCATGCAAGGCGGGAATCGGGAGTCTCTCACTCAATATACAGAATCCGAGTCTGTCGGACTCTAAAAAAGGGGAGCCGGGCACGGACTCCCAACTTGACGGCCGATTTTACACCCCACTGGCTCAAAAATATGATATTCGGCTGCTCAAACTTTCTACTTTGCCATCAAGTCAGTATTTGCATGGCGAGTTAGCCCTGGTCGATTTAGTCTACAGCCCATCGTTCGAAGCACTATCGTACACATGGGCGGGGGAGACTGGCGACAGCACTAAGCCGAAATTCATATTCATTGGATCCTCCTGGGATATAATTCCCATCACTGCGAACTGCGACTCAGCATTGAGGCTTCTTCTATCTAAAGGCCACATGAATATTTGGGTGGATTCTATCTGCATCAACCAACAAGATCCCCAAGAGCGAACACATCAAGTTTCTATTATGCGCGAGATTTTCTCGAAGGCTTCGCAGGTATTGATTTACTTGGGACCCGCAGCGCGTCGCAGCGATGATGCGATGGAAGCGTTGGGCAGATTAAGCAGCCTTCCCCCAGCGATGGCCCATAATCCGGAGCCTGAATTAAGCGACGGTCAAAATTTCGGTCTGGAACGTCTCTTTGAAAGGAGATACTTTTCCCGTATATGGATCATACAGGAAATTGCTATGGCAAAAGCAATCACTTTTTATTGCGGCGAGAAGGGCGCCTCTTGGTCATCATTCAGCACGAGTGGCATCCACATTCCCTATCGCTTTATTCAAGGTGTACCATGGTTATCAAGATACGGCCGAGGAACTGCTAGCGCCATGACACAGCCAGAGGAGCTATTACAGCTTTTAAATGCGACTTCGAGTTGCTCTGCCTCGGATCCTAGAGATAATGTATTCGCGGTGTTGGGTCTTCTGCGAGATGGTCTTTTCGATGGGTTAGTACCTGATTATCTTCTTTCTACGAAGCAGGTATATACCGGTGTAGCATCATACCTCATTACGCGACATAAAAAAACCGAGATCTTGTCGTATCCGAAAGGGCGTCACGGTTCACTCCCTACGTGGGTTCCAGATTGGTCCGTTTATCGCGCTCCGAAAATCTTACCTAGTGAAGACGAGAGCACATTTCAAAATACCCCCCATACGGACACTATTTTTAGGAGAAAACGATATTATAAAACAGAAGGGCATGGTTACCAAGAATACGATGATCATTTTAAGCTGAGGCTCCCTGAGGACTCATCCATAGGCAAAGACGAAAAGGTGGATGCTATTTGGCTCAAGAGCGGCTGCACGTCTTGGACGCTATTCACTACGAACGACGAACAATCGCCACGGATTCGCTATTTCTTGCGAAAGTCGGAAGACAATGATATGGAACACGTATCTAAGACCAGACCGAAGATCAATGCTACTACAGGGGCACTAAGCATACACTGCACCGTTGTGACAAGTTTTGAATCATTTGAGGCGAACGCTCCCTTGGAGTATACACGAACAGTATCCTTTCCGAGCACTCGAGACGAATTTGAATGGTTAGTGAAGACAGAAAATCCGGTATATCCCGAACTTGATGTCGTCGCATACGTCCCAGGTTGCGACTCGTATCTACATTTACGAATGGACCAGGCCGCTGGTGGTTACGCACTTCTTGGCTATTGTCGCATCGGTTTTCGCCAGGGTACTGTACGAAATGCGCAATTTGGTATGGACAGGTATAAATTCGAAACCATTAGCGGTATCCCCGGTTGTCGTGTTGCCGATGTGGACTTAGTTGGTGGGATCACTGCTCCGAATCTCCTCTGCGCTTCATACGGGTTTGATAGACCATTCCTAGAGTTCCTTCAAAGCTTACGGCAAAGTAGAGTTGGGGAACTTATAGTGTCACACCTCAAAGATCAGGATGCGCCTTTGAGCGGCTTGCGGGGCAACGCGATGAAAGTATACCTCGGGCAGCAACTAGGAGCATTAGCGGTCTGGAAAACTGCATTGGGGTGGAGGACGTCAATCAAAGGCGGCATCGGAATTAACGATGTAAAGAGTTTATGTAATGCGGTGGCAGAACATGTCAAGTTCTGGGCTCATCCTGCGACTTGGCGGGCCCTGGACGCTATTGAGGTTGCTATGAATTCGATAGACAGTTTGATCCAGATGTGGTCTGATTGGAATCAAGTTGCTCGAAGTATTGCAGCTCTGGAAATGAATGGATTGAAAGGCAAAACAGATAACCGGACCATTGAAACTCTGGCTGATAGCGACGAGATCGACACCTGCGAACACAAGATAGAACCCCAAGTTGCTTCACGACTTGGTATCCAAACGCCTCAGACTTCCCTTCAATCCCTACTACTCGCCTTCTCCAAGTCAACAACACAGCTCATGCAGGAGTTAGGGATAGAATCGGAACTATTCGACTACTCCCCTACCAATCTAGACAGTGAAGAAAAAAACGGAAGGGGATCGTGGGAGCTAATCCCGACCGAACGCCTTCGACTGGGGAGGATATACACGAAAATCCGAAGAACCGAGGCTCAGGACCCTAATAATCATGCTTATGATCCTTTACTGAGTTTAGGCGCGGAGACTTTCTATACCAAGGTCAGATCCAGGGTTGATACCCTCGAATGGCTACAGCCGAGCTGGCAGTCATACCGAGGACACCTCATGGGATTCCGACATGTTTGCCAGCACATATCTGGTATTGATGCGTTTCAGGATAGCATGTGCAAGGTCCAAGAAATCACGATACTTTGAGAGAGGGGGTGTTATAGGGAAATGAATGTGTAGGTCACTTATGCCATGGTAATCATCCATTGAGAAATATTAGTGACTGAGGTACTCATTGGTTTTCTGATTTACCTAATGAATGAATACGCATAGTCCGTTAGTCAGTTGACTACTCCCGATTGCAGAACCAATTGAGAGGGGAAAGTGATGAACGTGAGCCAAAATCGTCCCAACACACAGAGATATTTCTGCTATATTTCCTTCCCTCCCCTCCTCTACGCTTTCTTTCTATTTTAGCCCACTGAGCCTTCACCAATACCAATGCTGATCTCCAATTATTTCAGTGGTATATCGCGACATCAGACTAACTGTTGTGTTACGGCGGGTTAGAGACATTATCACGAGCAGCAGCCACAATGGTGTTACCAGTACATCTCCAGATATGTACGCATAACAATAGGCGATGTATCTCGTCCATCAATCTGAAGGATAGGTAGATCTTGAAATATTGAAGTTTACCATTAATAATATTATTTCGTAATAAAAAGAGAAAAAGAAAACGTAAAAAAAGACGCCATCGTCATATTCGTTCCCAACAGATCTTCGTGCCTCTGTTAGGCCGTATGGCTACCACTGCCCCCGCATATTTGATGTCGTTTTGAAGGCGGACGATCAGGCTTGGCTTCGTTCGACTGGTCCCTTTCTACCGGTCCGCGAAATACCGCCCGGACGCAAGGCATACCCCTTACTTTCGTACAGTCAGCATTGTTGGTCGACCTCTACCGAAAATCGAGGTATTACAACACCATCAACATCTACATACTCCAAGTGGCGTCCGGCGCAAAACTTGGAGGCAGGGTAGCCATCCAACGCCCATACATATTCGTCATAGTGAACAATGTGAGATGCAGACAAATCAAAGACCCCTTTCGAGACGTGGCACCCACCAACCGTGATGTCCTATCGAATATGGCGGGTCACATTTAACTAGATGCGCATGCGCAATACCTTGATGTAAATTGAGAGTAAGCGAGGCAAGGAGAGGAATTTATGTAAGTCGTTATGTAAGTCGATGTGATGTTTACCTATCTGGTTGCCGATACTAAAGGCTTGAGTCGCCTCAGCCCTGACCGTTCGCATAAAAGGGGTGGGTTTCGAATCAACTCCATCAAGATCCGTTTAGCTTTGATGATTTGTTAAATGCGACACCCATACAGACCCGTAACGTGGCCGTAGTATTTCCGGTAGCAGTACAGTGAGCATGAGAAACCGGGCTCTCTCAACCATCTGGCTTTTTCTCGTGAAAGGCATGGTCTTAATATAGGACCCAGTCATTCTGGTTAATCAGCTTATAGGCCCTTCCGATCGAATTTTCTTTTAACTCAACTGTGTACCATAACAGGAGGGCTGCCTGTCGAGCCTGTCACGGAAGAAACCTAGGAATTTCTTAGCCAATAGTGTTACGACATCTGTAGTATCCTGATAGGAAGCCATCACCAACACATGTATGGACGAAGGTTGATAGGTCCACTGGAAGCGCTGTAAGCGCTTTACTGCATATAAGGCACCAACACAGCTCTTGGCAGTCTCGCATCCAAAAAAGGAAGCTGTACTGAATATCATGCACTGCCGTCAGGCAGCATAAAAGGAGTAGCTTCTCCCGAAGGGACTTGAGGGAGGAAGATACGGCAAGTAGATCGTAAAAAGATTATAGCTACTCAATATATTGCCTTATCCCCATTTTGACAAATAGACTAGTATATTTCGCATCACTAATGTATTCTACGTATATTCGATAGTAATTAGGTCCACCAATACCGCTGGTAGGCATTCTAGCGTAAGTGATGTGAGTCAGTACCAAGAAGTTTACAACCTCATCACAGGCCAGAGCAGAAAGGACAGTGATTCAGGAGAGGCTATCGACGAGCTATATTAGCAAATTTATCCTAGTTCAGTAGATATTTCCCTAACTCCTAAGCCCAAACCTCCTATCCTAACATCTAAAACTACGACTGTCAACTAATATTGCTCTAAGTTTGTATATAAGTCGCCCCGGCCAAGCCCTACACCCACAGTAACAATGGTCACCCCATCATCGTAATTGAAGCTATCAAAATTAGATATTCCAATCAACATCCCGTCATTAATATTAGCTAATCCGTGGTGTGGCGAGTGCCCTGCTGGTATATCATAGCATGACCCAAGCTGTTGGCATGTCCCCTTGCACACCCGCGCGTAAGGGACAGCTGCTAAAGCCACAACAGAACAGGAACGCGAGTGAAGTAGCATTATACGAGCACAGAACGCGAACGAATCAATTGTCTCTTAGTCAACTGATCTCTCTACTCCATGTTGGGCGTTGGGGGATGATGTACACTGCGCCTCCTCAACTTATGATACATGGCATCGGCGCGTAGGCGCATATAGAAATGTAATCGTAGAATTACTTATATGAGGCTTCCATGTACACGTTGGAATTTCGATGAGAAGAAAGGGGGGTTAAATAGCCTACCGATATACATAGATGCACCTACTGCCATAACATTTATGTAGGTAGGTACATGTAGGTATAGCCTCTCACAGTTGTAAATAAGGAAATATGCATCACACAGCCTGACATATAGAGGAATAGTTACTGTTGCTAAACTAAGATAAACAAGCCCGTCTGTTATGAAACAATGCAATATAAGCCTTCTCACCGAAGACAGACTTCAAAACCAACTTTGTTTGAGGCTATTCAGCACCTATATATAAGTTCTTTGAAGCTATTACACTGCAGACTTATATTTTCTATAATAATATAAGAGCCACTGTTTAACAAAGTACATACATAGGCGCTGGAAGTAGTTTGACATACATCTCAAAGACAGTAGCTAAGTCACCAGTTAATTGATCATTGATATTGGCCTTATTCCATATCACTGTGATTAGAGCCAATCTTCTATATTGTAGTGATTCACAGTCACAAACGATCCTATACCACATAGGTATATAACCGGTTCCCAAGGGCAGGCAATTGCCCATTTAGTACCGTCAAACCCGCACCTTTGGCTTCCTCATACCACTTTACTACTTCAAACAACAATCCAGTAAACTATGAGTGGACACAAGGTACCTGATGGCGGGTGGTTAGCATGGAGTCAAGTTGTTGCTTCATTCCTCATTTTGACCTGCACCCTCGGCCTTGGAAACTCCTTCGGGGCTTTCCTATCCTACTACGAGAATAACACCCTCCAGTCATACTCATCGTCAAGCATTTCATGGATCGGAACGGTGCAAGGCTTCTTGCTAAGTGTCATTGGAATTATTAGCGGGCCCCTTTACGACAAGGGCTATGTCAAGTCCCTGATGTACTCTGGTATGATACTGAACGTCATCGGTCTGCTAGGGACTAGCTTCGCACAACAATACCAATGGATCATGCTCTCGTTAGGCGTATGTATTGGTCTTGGCTGCGGCGCAATCTATGTTCCGGCGCTTGCCATCATACAATCATACTTTTACAACCGGCTGGCTTTGGCAACTGCAATCGCTATTAGCGGATCAAGCGTTGGTGGGATCATATACCCTATTCTGTTCCGGCAACTCAACGATGGAGTTGGCTCCGAATGGACTTGCCGCGTGTTTGCCTTAATGAACGGAGTCTTGTTGCTGGCAGCATGCCTTATCACGAAGCCTCCGCCAAAGCCGGAAGAGGAAGACTCAGAGCCGGAAACCTTCGACTGGAAAGTATTCAGGGATTGGAAGCTGCTCTTACTCGGCGGCTGTGCTTTGCTTTTGAACATGGTGGTCGATGTACCATACTTCTACATCCCCTCTTTCGTCCAGGACAAAATTCGACTACCCTCAGGAGTCGAAGATTCGCTACTCGCAGGAATGAATGGATCGTCGCTGATAGGCCGCATACTTCTTAGCTTACTGACAAGATACTTAAGACCGGTTGTCATTTGGCAATTCACCATACTTGCATCATGTATCTTATTATTCTGCTGGTCGTTAGCGATTAACCTGGGCGGCATAATTGCCTTCGCCATTCTATACGGAGTATGTGTTGGGGGGTTAATCGCATTAATACCGCCTTCGGTACGGGACTTAAACCCTGACCCGAATACTATCGGATCCCGCCTCGGATTAGTCGAGGCGTTTGAAGGGATCGGCTTCCTTGTCGGACCGCCAATTGCAGGAGCAATCCGAGACTCCCCAACCGGTTATCTCGGAATAAGTTTACTCTGCGGCTCGCTGTATCTCGGCCTCTTTTTCATACTGGGAATTTTCACTTGGCCACGGCGCGACACAGAATCGGCGGAGAACTCACCGGATATGAGTTCTATTGGCTACACGGAATTTCAGGGATTGTCGCTGGCGACGGCTTCGGGGGTGGAGTTAGCCGAAACAGGCCATAACAACTCTGCCGTATCTCCAAGGATTGCGTGAGAATTCGCGGAGATGCCTGATATTTATAACTTAGCGTGATTTCTTGGGATAATAAGCGAAAAACATGGGTGAATGATGTTTTTTCTGTACCTTTAAAGGGATTGTTTTTAGAGATAAAGGAAAGGTTTTTAATAAAAAGGTTAGGTAGGTTATTAAAAAAAAATACAATTGTTTAACCTTAGAAGATTGTTTATTCCATTGAATTTTGAAATGAGTATTATCTTGTAACTAATCAGGTGCCTATCCGAAATATTTGGAACTGCTTCTGATTCGGCCTCGGAGGGGTACAAGAGAAGCGGCTATTGCTGGATATCATCGGAACTGGGGACCCCAATTCTCCGCATTTCCCCAACTCCAGCGCGTCATTCCCGTCCTCTTTCTAACTATCTTCCCTATCGTATCTCTACCGTGACCATTGCATTAGATACCCGCATCGGAATTCATAGTTGAAAGTTCCCATGCATTCCGCATGTTGCATTTACCTTTTGTAGCCGTTAATATTTTTACCTTTTTATTTCAGTCCTTCCCGACCATTCCGTTTCATTTAGAAGTGACTTGGAAGTATGTCGACATATTCAATGTTTGACGTATCATTAAACGCCTTTCTCTTCAAGACCTATAATATCAATCCACCTTGAAGAGACTTGCTTGAACCATCCAATATGCCTATCACGAAATTTGATTTTGATGAAAAATACAAGTACCAGAATGGGTTTGGGTCTTATTTCGAGTAATTACCGTGACCTATCTGAAGCACCTGTCGATCCATATTAATAATATACGTAGGACCGAAGCCATTCAGGGCGCTCTACCCATTGGTCAGAATTCTCCTCAAAAACCACCCTACGGTTTATATGCCGAGAAGTTCTCTGGTACCGCCTTCACGGCTCCGCGACATGAGAACCAACAATCATGGCTCTATCGAATACTTCCTTCGAGTACACATCCCCCCTTTGGCCCCGCGACCTCTAAGACGGATAATTCGGCCGATATCTCAAAACTTGAATACATACCAAATCAATTGAGATGGGATCCCTTCGATCACAACGATCAGATCGACTTCGTGTCGGGTCTACATCTTGTCGCAGGAGCTGGTGACCCAACGCTGAAACAAGGCATTGGCATATACATATACGCCGCGGGGAAGTCGATGGACGAGCGTTCTGCCTTCTATTCGGCAGACGGTGATCTTTTGATTGTAGCTCAGGATGGGGTTCTAGATATCAGGACCGAGCAAGGCTGGCTTCTAGTCCGGCCCATGGAGATCTGTGTTATCCCACGAGGTGTCAAATATCAAGTTCATCTACCCTCCGGTCCGGTTAGGGGATATGCGCTTGAGCTATACCAAGGCCATTTCAGTCTCCCAGAGCTAGGTCCAATCGGATCAAATTGTCTGGCGAATATCCGCGATTTTCAAGCCCCCGTCGCTTGTTTCAGTGAGGACTTTGGCGCGACTGCTTCCGAAGGGCCTAATTCCTACACAATCACGGTCAAGTTCAATAACTCACTCTTCCAGACTAAACAAGCCCATACACCATTCGATGTTGTGGCCTGGCATGGTAATTACTACCCATACAAGTATGACCTCGGTCGCTTTAACACTATCGGGAGTATCTCGTATGATCATCCGGACCCGTCGATCTTCACTGTTCTCTCGGGTCTGTCGGATCACCCCGGCACCGCTATTGCCGATTTCGTTATCTTCCCGCCGCGCTGGCTAGTAGCTGAGAACACGTTCAGACCACCTTGGTATCACCGCAATACCATGTCAGAGTTCATGGGTCTTATCGCGGGTGAGTACGACGCGAAGAAGGGCGGTCAGGGCGGTTTTATGCCTGGTGGCGCCAGCTTACACAATGTCATGAGTGGACATGGACCAGATGCGAAGAGCTTTGAGGGCGCGAGCAATGCCGAACTCAAGCCTGCGTTCGTTGGTGGGGATAGTTGTGCTTTCATGTTTGAGAGCTGCTTGATGGTGGGTGTCACTGAGTGGGGCCTGAAAACGTGCAAGAAAGTACAGGACAGCTACAACGAGGAAAGCTGGGGTGGCGTTCAAGTACATTGGAAGAGGCCCGAGGGTGTAGGCGCTAATAGCCACTTGCTCAAGTGAAGCAGGTAGTAGATTCTGTACCAAAATTGAGATCAGCAACTAATATCTGAAATTAATTTTTTTGCCTCGGAATATTAAGTATTCAACAAATTCGCCTACACAAGTGTCTAGGTAGATATCTACCATTATGCCATCTGAGCAAGTGGGTAATTAATAGTACATAATAAGTCGAAGCGCCAAGCAAGAAGCAAAACCTGCTTATTACACAGCCCACCACCTGTGGCCGGACTTCCGGAGTTTCTTTCCTTTTCCCTCACCTATCCCGTGTTTCATTTCTCAATTAGCTTCGGGAAGATTCAGTTCGGGATATTCTGGAAGAGGCATGCCGCCTTTGTCGTCGGGTATGAGCTTGACAAGAATCTTGTCAAGCTTAAGCTGTATAAATAACGACATAAAAAAGTATATGACGGCGACAGCCAAGCGTGACTGGAGGGTCATGATGCGTGGTATAATGGGAGGGAATTTTTGCAACTCGTTGATGTAAGGTCGTGCATTGACGTTATAAGCCTCGAGTGCGACCGGAACATTGCCTCCACTCCTCATCAACTCGCCCACTAGCATCCATGAGGTCAACAGTGATGCCGTTGTGCCCATGCCTGTAATAGGACTCGCGCAGCATGCTGCATCGCCTAGAAGCGCGACGCGTCCTTTTATTATTGCTGGAGCCTTAACCTGTCCAAGGGAGTCACCGTAGAAGTCGGTACTTTCGTGCATACCCTTTAAGAACCTCTCTGTCTGCCACCTAGAACCTCGGATCAGTTTATCGAATACAGCCTTTTGTTCCTCCACCGACTTTCTCTCAATCCCATTCTTGGCTTCCTCGGATGACGTTCGCACCATGAAGTACACCTGCGTTTTGCCGGGAACACCTACGGGGCGAGATAAGATATTGATCCCGTTACCCGCAAGGTAGAAGCGCGCCATACTATCATCCTCGGGAACTCGAGGCACGGTGAAGTACGCTACGTAAACGCCCATACGCTTGAACGCATCAAGTCCAGCCTCCTCGCCGAATATCATGCGTCGTGTTCGCGACCACTGTCCATCCGCGCCGATCACAAGGTCATACCGATCCGTAGTGCCATCCGACAGCGTAACATCAACACCATTCTCATCCTGCGTAAGCGCCGTCGCCCACGTGCCGAATCTATACCTAACACCCGGTCCATCACCCTTCGTATCCTTCCCTTCCCCATCCATAACCCCCGTCTTGGGATCCTTACGACTAGCCTCATACAACAACTGCGAGAGATCCCCACGCATAATCTCAAAATCGCTTGTAAAAGACTGCTGTCCACCACCAGTTCCCACAACGCCGAACACGGCATGCGCCTTGTTATTAGAGTCAACGAAGGACGTGCCTTCCTCTTTGACCAACAGCTTGCGCATGTCTTCGAGGAGGCCAAGCCGTTGCATGATAGACACGCCCCACGCACGAAAATCGATCTGTAGCCCGTTATGGCGGATACCTTCATGTCGCTCCAGGACTGTGATATGATTCTCTGGGTCAGCGCGGCGGAGTAGCGTCGCCGCAGCTGGTCCGCAGAGACCTGCGCCGATGATGAGGACTTTGAGCGGCATGTTGAAGCCTTGCTGTCGGTATTGATGTCTGAGTAGATAGAAAGAAAGAAGGAAGCTGTCTGATCTTTCCTTTCTGCAACTTGTCTCGATATCCCGTTCCTATGAGGTCTCTATATAGTAAGATGATAGAGCAGGGATAGGGGAGCTGCGCCTCGATTGCCGGGCTAGGAAGCCGTGTCTAGGCCCGGCGCGACACGTGTTAAGATATACTCAATTTTGATATCCTCGTGAATGCGAGTTGAACGTCGCTAGTAGACATGCTGGGCAGATCGTTTCGGACAAGATCGCGTTGTACTGATCCCATAGAAATGTGATATGGAACAACATATTCGCTCTCAAAAATCCGCTCAGCCCCTTATTTGACCGATTTTAGCCACATTCTACTTCACTGACGCGAAATCAAATCGGATGGTCCGAGGAATCATGCTCGCTGCCCGAGATTTCGGAGGGTGCTTCACGATGTGAATGGGCAGCCTTCATGCGATGTAGCATATCAACGATGTATGACTCAAACAAACAAAATAGTATCGTGTTTAAAGGACAGTTCGTTTCAACGCTAATTAGATTACGTTGACGATGCAACCCTCCACTGCCGTACCGTGCGCGCTAATCTCGACCCCTGACGTTCTAGCAGCGTAGTTTAAATGAACAATCTTCAGCTCGGATTCGTCTAAATATGCCTAGGGAATTATGTGGGGTTTCAAAACACCAAGCGTAAAGAAATGGATAGAAATCTACACGTTCGATTGCCGAGTCCTGCATATGTAGGTCTACCTATACGAAGATAAATTGATCAGTCACCCCCGAAAATGAGTCGGCATCCTACGCAAATTCGGCCCCGTTATATTACCCTGTAATAATCGGATCCGATTCAACGGGCGAAGAGCGAGGCGACGATAGAATGAAACCTCGGCGTCGGCGCGAAGCCACTCGCGTAATAGATACGTTCTTATATATACCTAGGTAAATATCATTCTTCATTCGTGTTAATGCCCTTCGCACGATACTAAAACCTTCGTAGTTTAAAGATTTAGTGGGTGAATTCGTCGAACTGGTTAAGTCGAATATCAACCATCAAGTATGTAAACGGCCATGAAAGTCTAGGTGCAGCCTCTCCTCGGTAATTCTAAATTCCTCGGGGAACCAAGAGTCGAGCTCATCGTCATCGCCGCCATTCATCATACGTACTAGTGCGCGGGCACACATCCAGCAGAGGACCATTCCATGTCCCTGAAAGCCACACGAAACCCATAGGTCCTTCTCTCCCAACATCTCACCGACGAAAGGGAAGCCGTCGGGGCTATAGCCCATAATGCCAGTCCATGCATTGCGAATGCGCCCCTCCGGATTGTCCTGACCCCAATTATCACCGAAATACTCGGGGAGACTGCGATTTAAGGCTTGCATAATGACATCGTCAAACGCGGTATCATCCGTCGTGCCATATTCCTCGATACCTTCGTTGTCACCTTTAGCAAGACCCCCGCCGATCACGATATCGCCTTCAAACTGCGAACCCTTAGGTCTTTGTATCATATAGTCGTAGCCGTCCTCGTAGATGAAGCTATACGTTACGGGTAACCCATCTTTCGGCATCTTCGAACCTTGTCTTTGGGCGGTAACGTGTCCGCGGAGTGGGACGATAATACCTTGGAATTTCTTCCAGATCCTCGCGGTATAGCCATTTGTTGCCAGGACGACTCTTTTAGCTTGGATTGACCCTCGAGATGTCTCGACTTTCCAGCCACCATCCTCGAGTTTTTCCAAATCCAATACGGAAGTATTCGTCTGTAAATTGAGTCCCTTCGCCAAGCATAGCTTCAACACCCCAATACCGAACTTGTAAGAACTCAAGCTCCCCGCTTCGTACGATACCCCGCCATATACACCTTCATCTCCCCCGCAACCGCAGAAGAACTTATCTCGCACCTCTTCAGCGCTGTGAATGGTATACACCGATGCATCATCGCCAGGCATAGCATCTCGCATCGCCTCCACAGCCTGCTGATCTCGCTCCCACTGCGCCTCATCGTAGACCACATCTATAGTATCACAAGGATTGCTATCGCATTCAATACCATGCTCTTTTGCAAATGCATGGACGGCACGGATATTAGCTAACTCAAGACGAGCAATCTTCACAGCCGTCTCGGTGCCATATTCTTCCTCATAGTATAAGAACGAGCGGTACGATGCCGCTTTCGTATGTCCGCCTATCTCAAACGGTAAGCCATAATTACACAGAGTGGGGGAGCAAACGTACCATTCCGTCCAGTGGCGCCCGAACATGCCTGTCGAGCTTCTAACATGACGATATCATTGGCGCCACTATTCAATAGATTGAAAGCCACGGCGGCACCCGTAATCCCACTTCCGATGATGACTGTTTCCGCCTTTTCGGGTAGCGAGTCGGTCGATCGTAAATCAGCAATCTCGTCGGGTTCGAGTTGCCAGTAACTCTGCGTCGGATTACTCCTAGGCAAGGTAACTGGGATTGCGGCTCGGTCGTCCATGGCCCACGGTCTCAAAAGTATCAAGTATGTGTATAATGAATAGAAGTAGTACAAACATAAATGTACGTAGTTTTGTTTCATACTCTAAATAAATCTTGAATGCACCATGTCGCCCTTGCCTTACGATGAATTAATTAAAAGTAAACTCCCACCCCACGTCTAGACGGTAATCGCGCAGGTTTTGGCATGGTCGGGGTAGTTGTAGATAAGAAAAATAGTTAGACCATTCAGGTTGCACCTGCATCACCAGATCGGATGTTTGCTCGTCAGTTGTACAGTATAACGGACAGTATTGAACGGTATACATACTACAGAAATTAGAGTCTCCCTTTGATACACGCTATTGTGTGTCAACCATGTACAACTACCAACCTTCTCTCCATAATCAGGTACCTTCCGCTCTAATTCCTTTCTTGTTTACTTAGAAAGAAGGCGATGACGCAAATGCATCTATTATAGCTATATGAGCTAAGTAAGAATAGTAACACCTCCAACTAAGCAATCCAACATTAATACCCTACTCTTCCTTATCAACAATTCGGGCCTCATCTCTTTTGCTCATCACGATTCTCCACTCCCACCCCAGAACCCTCATCCTCCGTTGGTAATTCCGTAGGTACTTCCGTCACCGTATCCTCACCATTTGCCTCAACATCCTCAGGCGCCCTAGCAGCCGGTGCACTTTCCGCAGCTCTCGGCTTCCTCAGATCCCAGCCTCCCCTCCAGCCAACCCATCCCTTTTCATGCGGTCCTCGCACAAACAGAAGCAATAATCCGGCAATCATCTGCGCAAGGTTAAAAGCACCAGACCAAGTCCAACCACCCTTCGCATACAGCGCATTACCAACAGCTGTGCCAAAGAGTTGGCCGCAGAATGTGTGAACCATATAAACCGAGTTCACGGCATTTTGTGACTTGGGGTCCACGTGTGCAATAGCTACACGATTTCCCACGACGATCGTGTTCATACCCAGATCGCCGAGGAATGCCCAAATCACGGGCCCCGCTAAGGAGAAGGTGCCAACCCATGTACCGATGCAGATAGCAGCGATAGTCGCTAGGTGCGCGATGATCAGCGTAGCATGAGGATGCACGCGAGAAATCAACAGGCGCGAAATCACCGGATTAAGGAACACCGGTGAGATGCCGATAAGCGCAAACAGACCAATGACCAAAGTTGACAAGTGGAAAACATCCGCGAGCTGGAAAGTAAGAGTCGTCCAGAACGACGTAAACATTCCAGATACGAGGAACGCGATAAGTGACATCTGCGCAAGATCCGGCTTCTGGAAGGGGAGCGTGACGATTTTCAACAGAGTGCCTGGATACGATCGTTCGCGGTTTAGGATGGGGTAATCGGGCATGTACAGGAAGAGGCAGATCCAGACGAGGCACTGCAGACCGAATGAAATCCACCATACATTCCTCCAGGACGTGTACTGCGTGACGATACCACTAAGAAGACGCGCGACTAGCACTCCGAAGACTAGGCCGGACATCACGACTGAAATCATTGTAGTTCGATGGCGTTGTGGGGCATATTGAACTGCTAGTGGGAACATGAGTTGTGGCGTAACAGTCAAGAGACCGACTACGAACGAGAGACCGAGGAAGGAAGAGAAAGACTTGGTGAGTGTACATCCAAGCCACTGAAACGAATTAGAAAGGCTTCTTTATAGTGGATGGTGGGGGTTCTTACTATGAATGCCGTGACAAAAATTAGAGATAGAATCATAAGTCGTCGTCGCACAATATCCCCGGCAGGAACGATAAGGAGAAGACCAGCGGCATATCCAGCCTGCGTGATCGTAGGTACCAACGAAGCACGCTGATCCGAGATGTTGAAATCATCGGCCAAAATGTTCAGGATAGGATGGGTATAATACAAATTTGCAACACTGAAAGAAGCGGACTAAACAAGAGTTAGCATCGTATTTTCTCAACTCCCAAAAACCAATTGGCAATTGGCTGGATTTTTGCTTACCAATCCGAAGAGAATATTCATCCCCCATGTTAGGTCGTGGTTGGCTTTTGGATCCCATTTGACCCATGGTGGTGTCCAGATTATCTTCTCGAGGAGACTCAGAACCCCGTCCCCTTTGTGCTCTTCCTCGGGCTTTTCGTTCGCCATTGTGTTGTCTTTAGAGGCAAGTTCTGTGAATACTCAGGTAGGAAGTATACACGAAGGAACGAGAAGGGGAAGACTGCTCATTATGTACGAACATCCATGAGCGGTGTCTCGAGGTTAGTCATGCCGGGGAAACAATATTATTATATATTTTAAACCAACTAGAAATCATGCTGATCTCGGGTGGTTTTCTTGTAAAGCCGAAAGAAAGAAGGAAAAAAATCAAAGGCGCATAGTATGCTAGGTACCTAGGTACCCATGGTGATGAGACCAGGATGATGTTGTATTATGAAAATAGCGAGGTCCGACAAAAAGTCTCTTCATTTCCAGTGTTGTTATTGGATATACTGACATCTTAGCGTCCATGAACTGAGCTAAACACTGGCTCACAGGGCCTAAATACATACCTGAAGCACCTTCAATGGCATTTCTTTACGAGCCTTTAGGCGTTATAGTGGCCTAGAATCTCATTCACCAATCATATCCTAATGCAACCACTATAATTGTAACTGTTCCCAATCATCTTATAGAAGGCTTTATCACTGAAAACTCCTATGATCGGCTTCACCTCCTGCACCGGTCTTAACAAATAGGCGATAAATAGTGTCCGATAGAAGGAATAAAGTACCATAGCCAATTAAAATATAGATCAGATCTCGCTTGTTAGAAAATTGACTCGAAGCAGCATAGTACATAAGCCCCTCGGTGACTTTCCTTGCAGTATAAGCTGCATAAAGACGCCCTTATCGACATAACATGCATATCGCGGTTTCGGCATTAAGACCTAGCTCCGATTTATTCCCAATTCGATCCTCCCTTCATTCTGCTGGAATCTAACTGGTTGGAACACCAAAGCCTCTTACAAAATATGTACATTGTCTAATGTATAAGTTGATTTATCATTTTATTGTCACATATTCTCAACTAACAAAATAAACACAATTTTGAAAAAAATTGTAGAGGTTTATATCAGTATCATTTACAAAGCTTCGTCGCTCACTATAGTCCATCAGATTAAATAGATTGCATACATTCTCGCGTTCCACGAAAAGGCGAGATCCCCATACTAGTGTGGGGTGAGAGCCCGCCCAGGGGTGAGACTGGTATATATTCGCGAGTCGCGCCTACACCATGAAGCACCGAAAGTCGATCAATCTCTCCCAACATCGAAGAACAGCATATGTTTTCATTTCGGTCAGTGACTCAGTCCGGCGAAGGATCATAACTTCAAGATTAGACCCGATCACGGAAATGAGCCAAGATCGTCACCGCAGAAGATATACGAGAGAGTGGCACGAAGAATATCGCCATTCCATGGTCTAAATGTCTAATAGGGTATCATCTAAATTTTCTAGTCCCGTCTTATCGTAGCGACCTCCGATAGACCAATCCCAAATCTATTTCTCAAAATTATGGTATACAATCGTTTATCACACAGCTATCAGACCGACTCATCAACACCGTTTTGCTTATTCTGCACGCTTTCGGCAATGACTTGCTCCTCCGTTACCTTGATCTCGTGGCTGTGATCTAGCTCAGAAAGCACAATCCAGGTGAAGGGGACGCAGAGCACAGTGATGCCGAAATTGAGACCAATGCTGACGAAATGGTTGGCATTGCCCTCAGATTGCATTCTGTGTCAATAGTCAGCATTGGTGAAAATAAAAATTAGGAAGAAAGGAGAATGTGGGGGATAACTTACGCCCAAGCAACAGTCTGTCCGAGCGCTTCAACACCACGCAGAATACCTGTGTGATGCGACAGCGAAGATAGGTCCGTCGCATATTGACCAACGAGCCAGTAGAGGAATTGCTGGAAAGCCTGGCCAGCGAACGTCCAGAAGAAAACCAACGCATACGCCGATCCAAACCCGCCGGTAAACCAATCGAACACCGGGGCAGGCGACTCATCGTAGAATCGCTTCTGCAGGATTACAGCCCAGATCCAGGTACCGATCAGTATAACAACGATTGAGATGAAAGCGATGCGCCCACGTGTTCGGATGTGGATTTTCTGACGATCGAGCAGCGCAGCGACGAGGAAGGAGCTGAAGATACCAGCGAAGTTGGTGAAAAACGACGAGAAAGCGCGCGATCGGACCGTGAAGTACTTCGTCAACCAAGTGCTCACGAAGCCGTTGTAGAAGTAACTGATGAAGAAAGCCGGGAGCAAGAGCAACACCCGTCGCGAAGCGATCAATCGACCCACAGCCTGGAACTCAGCACGCCAAGTCGCTTCCTTCCGCACAACGACCCTCGTGCCATCCCGTCGCCAGACTTTACTCGCAGGACTCAAGCACAGCGCAACAGGCAGCCCCAGACACATAATCGCAATAAACACGATATACGTAGCCGAACCAACAGACCCAGCACTCGACTTCTGCGCATTAAGTCCCAAATTAATAGCACCACCCACAATCGGGCCCGCCGCCTTCGCCGACTGCCAGATCGCAAGGTAAAAAGCGCGGTCCTTGGGACTCGGGTATCCGATAATAATAGCCGCCTCCGCAGCCCAAAAGAAACCCGCCGAGATACCGCACAGCGCGCTACCGAACAACATGAACCAAGTCGTAGCATTAACGTTATTCGTATATAATCCCGCGCCGTAGAGCGGGTATCCGATAGCGCCCAACGCAAGACCGTAGCGTAGACCGATGCGGTTGTTAATCGCGCCCGCGGCTACGCATACGATGGCGAAGAGTCCGTAGACTAGCGCGTTGGCTGCGGATACGGCGTACGGTTCGGCGGCACCACCGGCGCCTAGGCCGCCGAGCGCATCCCACATACCGGGTGCGGTAAAAGATACTCCGCAGGCGACGGCGATTTGGAAGGGTACGGAGCGGAAGATAGAGTGTTTTAGGGGTTGTTTGGAGACTTCGATTACCCCCTCGGGGACCTCGGTGTGGTCGGATACTGAGGACGCCATTGTGACTTTTTTTGGCGATATCCTACAAGTGACGATAATAACCAAAAAAGGTAAGTTAGGTGAGTACCCGTGCCGGATCTATATCGTTGTGATACCGTAACACTCAATCAACATTCAATTCCACGATTCATGCAGCCTGTAAGCCGAATATTATATACACCCATAGCATCGGATCTCAGACCTTGAAGTAGTGCATCAGAAGCACGAAATTTTGCGGGTGGAGCCCAATTGCGTGATCGTCTGGATCCAGGGCTTTTTCGCTGGTAGCGTGATAATCTGACGGACGCCGGTAGACTCGACTAGTCCAAATCCCCGGGTAGAGCCGTAGAATTTTTCTATTGTTATTTTATCTGATGGGCCTTTATGATATTACTTTTCATCGGCTAGTCAGTTGAATATCTACTATTGAGCTATATGGCAGTTAGGTAGAGTCAGTTGGCCCTTTAGAAGTCTCTCGCGCGGGCTGGTAGATGTTGTACAACTCGATACACAGTGGCAATATGCCAGTCCTTCGGCCATAGCAATACCCAAATAAGTAGGTAAATAAACCTGTAGGAGTAAGCAACGAACATAAATCTAGAATTGCGACAACGATGAAATCTAGAGCCGCATCTAACCAGGTACACTCCAGCTCAGGGGCCTCCCTGTATACGGCATAGTCTCGGTGAATTGAGGGTAAACGCAACTCCTTAGTGAGATGGCGCAATCGAGACGATGACATAAACGGAAAGGACTCTTGGTCCCCTGAATTAATGATTCAATCTAGCGCTGGAACTATTCTAGAAGTTAACTATAAGCCTCATATCAGGGGTAATGTCTTGAAAAGGGTTATATGTTATATCCCAGAAGTTAATATACTTAGTAGTTGTTAGACTGGATTAAGTCTCGGGTTAGTCCAAACTACCTCAGGATAAAGCGCACTTAAGAATAAAAAAATGTGGTTGCAATTTTTCGTGTCCAGTAATGGAGCTTATCTACCTCAATAGCTACCTACTTGGCAACTTGATAGCTCTCCAACTAGAGCAAACCCCTCTGGGGGAAATTTTCCTAACTAATTAAGGCCCTCCTTGACCAACGTAGCGCAGCTCTCAAATGCTAAGCTTCATTGAGTCGTTAATTCATCCAGTCGTCTGTCCATGATGTCTATCATAGACGCCAGTATTAGGCCACTTCTTTTCTCAATTGTTGTAAAGTGAAGGTATATCCTCCACATCTGTTTAAACCTTGTGTGTATGGCATGCCTACTTCGCCTCATGGCTTTGCTCGCCGGAGCCGGATGGGTGCAAGCCTGCACTCGCCGCACTCTCTCCCACTCTGACATCGTCCTCGGGAACACCAGCCGCAACGCTGCTAGTAGTGCTTAGACCACTCACACCTCGTTCAATAGGTCTTCGCTCTCCTCGGCGATCTCCCGCGATAGTCGTGCCGCCTCCAATCACACCACCAATGCCAGTTGCACCACTAACACTAACACTCGCCGTAGTGCTCACGCTCTCGCTTCGGTCTCTTCCACTACCAGTACGAGAAGCATCACTGGGTCGACGGTCACGTAGAGCGCGTTCTAACTCCTTGACGCGTCGCTTCAGTGCCTCGTTCTCACGCTTAGCGGTATCCAGCTCTTGTCGGTAATGAGCCGTCTCTTCATATCGTAGGGTTGCCGGCATAAGACCAGGAGATAGCTCTGAACCAGGAGTAGCCGCAACACTGGTACTGGAAGAAGTAGAACCGCGAGGGAAGTAGCTTGATCCGTAGTCGTAGGGGAATCCATGCTGTTGTCCGTACGAACCGACGCTACCACTGTGTGGCCAAGGATAGTTTGATGAGTGAGGAGAATGGTTTCGGCTTGTACTTCTCTGCGAAGCACTGCTATTCTGTCGGCTCATGGCTGTTGGTGCTCGAGGGTATCGCGCTGCTTCTAGGACCGCAGCTGCATTGCCGGAGTGAGGTTGAGGGATAGGTATCGGCGCAGGTGTAGAACCCTGAGTGGCGGCAGTGGATTGGCCCAAACTACGTGTACTCGCGCTCGAGCCTGTGCGATGATGTCGGCGGTCAGCACTAGTCGTCGGAAGAGGGAAGCCGGGTCCGGATAGGAGATGAGTGTCGGTGAACGAGGATGGGTGGACCTGATCGGCAGAGGTCGACGCGCTCGCGGAGGAAGCGTTTGAGGCTACAGAAGAGTTCTGTGCGGCGCGCAGCATAGACAGATCGCGCGTCAAGCGGTTCACCTATATCAATATAGTTAGAACGATTGTTAATGTCTTGATGTATCTCCCCAATACCATATTAACCTACCAAGAGCTCTTGTTCTTGCTCCAACTCTGAATGAAGCTCAGCTGCGGTTAGCGGACGTGGATGTCGCAAAGGACCTGGACCAGCGCCAACGCCAGTGTTATCCTGTCCAGGCGCAGAGGACTGAGGCATTGTTGTGGCTCCAGATATTGGCGGTGAGGGAAGAGAAATTGAGGAAGTGCGGTTAACGGTTTGTTGGTTTGAAGGTAGAATATTCAGAGATGGTGAGAGAGGTGCGGCGGGAGGTGAGACTTGCGACTGGCCATTTAAATTAGAAGAGGACTGTCGAGAAGCCGCCAGCACTCGAGGTGAAGGCGGAACAGAGTTCAGGTCCGGCATCTTTCGTAAGGAATCAAGCTTCAATATCAAAAGATAGTATGGCGGCTTGGTGCCTTCAAGGTGTTTTTACTTCGTACTTCTTAACTCAGATGAGGTTGACTTCAATAGTATGTGAATGAACCAACTTCAGGCTGGAAAGGAAAAGAACGAATCGAAGTGGATGGATTACATTGCCATAGAATGTAGATGACCACAACCAGTAAAACAAGTCAAAGGTAGTGTTGTTATTTGTCTGTATTGGGATATGTTTGTTTCTGTTAAAATCGGTCGCGTTGACTGGTCGCCGACAGCGTTTGCCTAAGTTTAAGTCCCAATTCAACCTGGCCAATGCAGTGAATTCTTTAGGTGCCTGCTACCTAGCTTCAGAAGCTTCCCAGGTGATGCGGGGTCCCATCAGCCTTATCGATAGATTTTATGGGTCGTGGCTTGAACAGGTACGATATACTTAAACCTCTTCCGGTCTGGAAACTCCGGGAAGGCCCACCTTATATTCTACATCGATAATCGATAAGGAAAACCAATGACGTAGATATCTTCGATTGTTCAACATTGGAATATGGGGGCATGACGGCATCGATGATAGCACTGATGTCAAACTGCTTTTCAAGGCCAAGCTCCGTCTTATAGCCTCAGGGGTTGCGTGATTACCTAGAACATTCCAATCCAAGAATTGTATTTAACTCCCTCAAGCCACTCCCAGACAGGTGAATCTAGACTGTACTCCTAAACCTCAAACTTCACCAACCAACGACTAGAACATATCATCAAATCTAGAAACCAATCTTCAAATTTCCTCATTTTCTTACCACCATGTCGTCTGCATCTAACGAAGGTCGTCAGTCCCCTCCCCCTGAGCGCCAGACTGGTGCTCAGCTACAAGACGCACCCGCTTCCGGCCAAGGCACAGATGAGGCACCAAACAAGAAAGAGTCTATGGAAGATCAGCTCAAGGTTAGTTACCCATTGATATAAATCAAGTTCACCCCTCAGGTAATGGTTGCTAACGATGATTCATTCCAAAGAACCTCACATCGAACCCCAGAGGTCCTCTTGAGGACGCGGTCGAGAGCAAATTTACCAAAACCCAGAAACCGTCAACCTAAGCAGATAGGAGTTGGGCTAAGGATGACGAAGATGTACAACAGCAAGCAGCGTGATTTTTATCTAACTAGTGAGGGATATTAGGTACAACACAATAGGGCACGGTCACCCAGGGACTTCATGAATAGACGAATGAACAAAAAAGAATACTTTAAGCTTCGCCTATACTATTTAGCTTCGTGATAGTAGACCTCGTATGCACCACGATTAAAAAAGAAAAAGGCATTCTATTCAACTATAAGTCACCATTCACTAAGTAGTTACCTAGGTGTACGTTAAATGATAGAACTACTGCTTGTCATCAGCTTTATAGTAGTTGTAAAGACACTATCCTATAACATAAAGACGTCTTTACGATTAAAGTACTTTCCTTACCAGTAATCATTAACATCATTCAATCGGACTTTCATATTTCACGGAGACTGTCGTAACGTAACAATCAAATCGCATTAATGTGGGTACCTAATACTTGTAAAGCTTCACGGCACTCAACCCCGAATCATAAAAATCCATAAGTCATTAAACCGATACCATTTCATCAACCTATACCTTCTCATTTCCGGGCTCTTTCGCAGGAATGGCACCTGTGGTTGCGAGAGGGGTAGACTCCTCTGTGCCAGCCTTAGGTCCAGGTGCGGGAACCGACGCTAGGTGAGTAGCATGTCAGCAGGACTTCCAACATAACCAGATCCGTTATAAATAGGTTATTTACTCACAGGAATCGCCAGACGCGGCGGGTTGGGCAGCCTGTCCCTTCTCCTTACCGAACACTCTCTCAAGTCCTGAAGCCTTGTACGCACTTCCACCATGTTCCTCCTTCTTTAGATCGGCCAGGCGGCGAGCCTCGGCATGGATATCCTGGACTTGACGCTGGCCATCAGTGTAGAACTTGACCAACTTCTTGCCAGTAGGCGAACTCGTCGCCTTCTCGAAGTACGAGCTCAGACCACTAAAGATACTGTTCGCACGGTTCGTGATACCGTACGATTGATCGGTCGCCTTAGCGCGCTCGGTAGCGTGGTACTTCTGATCGAGATTCACCAAGGTGTTCATGAAGCGGTTGGTAACGCCGTGTTTATGGTCGAGCTCGATGGCGCGCTGCAGGGTAGCATCGCCGACGACATACCCGTGTGCCAGGTACTCGGCTAGAATACGGCTTCTAGGCTTCTCCTCCTGAGTGATCTCGTCGGTGTCACGGTCGGTGTTGGTCGTGTGCGGAGTACCGTCGTCGGATTTGCCATCGGCAGGCGCTACGGATATTTGCGACCCCTTAAGTTGCGTGTTGTTCAGTAGTTGCGCGGTCTTGGCGGCGGTTTCTTTCTCAAATGTCACGCTGGCATCTTTGGTGTTGTTTTCGCCGGGGGTGATCTTGATTTCTGTGATCTTTCCACTATTTAATGATAAATTAGTATGTAGTAATAAATATCAGGAAATATGGGTGCATTCATACCAGAAACTGAAGAAATCCTTAACCTCCTTGTCGTCAGTATCGGCGCTGATGTTCTTAACCAGAACTGTCAAATTGGAAGCCATGATGATCAGAAGATTGGTAGACTGAGGGGTAGTGAAATATAAGAATGTTGAAGGTGATGCGTTAGATTCGATACGAGGTATCTCAATGAATTCTTGAATTAAATTTAGGAGAAAAGTATGAAAATGGGTTTATATGTAGAAGTAGTTATTGTAATGATTAGAGGCCTAACTTAAAAAGCACTCGTCAACGCGCACCTTCTCGTTAACCTCACTACTTGACTACCTAGGTACTGTCAATTGTCACAAGCCTGTAATGGGAAAACGAGGGGCAACATACACGTCATTTAGGTCATAGCTCCTCCTATATCTTGTAGTCTCCACTATAAATGTGGCTGATGACGAGGCATCAATAGCGCCGTTTCAATTTCACACAATCATTACATAATCTCCCACCATCCCAGCCCCCACGATTCTTATTTTGCTAGGTACATCATGCGAAATATATCTCCCTGTACGGAAACCCAGATGACGGGGTAATATGAAGCCTGAACCGGATGCACGAAGGGCCTGCGTATGACGCGCGACACTGCCTCAGTAGATGTTGATTTGTCCAGCAAAATGATTGGTATGATAAGGAGGGGGCGCCGTTTGGGCGTTCAGAGCCTTACCGATCTTACCCAAAAACCATTTTACCTCTGTTCCCAAAAGGCTGTCATGTTGTTGACGAGAGCAGTGTCATCATGGCAGAAGCGATCCCGATTCTGAGTCTCGTCTGCAATGTAATGCAAGTCATCTCATTTACCAGTGAAGTTGTCAGCCTCTGTCAACACGCGTATGAACATGGCTCTCCTGATCCTAGCCTTGCATCGAATGTAGCACGTCTCTGAGGCTTAGTTTCATCGTTGGAAGAAAGAAACAACGACTTTATTTCTGTTCTTCCAAATGCTGGTCTTGAATCGAATGGCACAGAACTGCAGAGACGATTATCGAGATTTAGACTCAAGAATCTGGCAGCAGATTTAGTTCGAGATACCAAGGAGCTCCAAGGGCTCCTGCAGAAGGTTACGGCACCTGGTTCAGCAAGGAAAGTTGCTCGTCTCTGGATAGTTCCCAAATACATGTTCCGACATAAACAGATTTTGTCCTTGCAAGAAAGAATAAATGGGACTCAAGGGGTCCTTAATTTAGAATTCTTAAATCGGATTTGGCAGGGATGATGATGGCGATTTTGAGGAACCAACCACTAATTGATTTTCTTAGTTCATCGACGGAGGCTGGTTACTCTCGTTCTGGGGAGAGATTCTCGAGACTACACGATGAGATACAGCAGTTTATCAATAACTGGTCAGACGGGAAAAGAACCATGGTAGAATTGATCTCTAGTGAAGCACAGATAACAAGAGATCATATCACTTCAGATGGGGACCGAACCCGTCTCATGATTGAATCCGAATCTACTCAACGCCATCTAGAAAAAACACGCAATCGGATGCTCAGCACTTTGTGGTTCCCCGAGACGAACCAACGAGAGAATAACATTACAGAGTCCTCAGACGATATCGTAGATATGATATTCCCAAACTCCGAATTTTCAGATTGGCTTCAATCGGACGGCTCGGTATTTTGGATCAGTGGTAAACCCGGAAGTGGTAAAAGCATTCTTATGAAATATTTAATCCACGACACCCATACCATGGAATTTCTTCGCCGTTGGAAACCCTCAGTTCAGGTATTTCGATTTTATTTTTACGAGATAGGGCTGAATAATTTGCAGCGGCAACTCGCGGGCTGTGTACGCACCCTTCTACACCAGATTATTGACAAAAATCCTAATGTTTTCGAGGTTCTATTGCGATCCCAACCAGAGATACGAATGAAAATGTCAGCGTATGATTGGAACCTCCGTGAACTTTTTGATGCATTATCCACATGCCTTCGGTGTGAAGTTTCGGTCTCTTGCCTATTTCTCGATGGCCTGGACGAAATACAAACTGACGGGAGACAAAACATTGTAAAAATTGTGGAGTTCCTAAAAGACATTACAAATGTCAAGATATGTGTGGCGAGCCGCCCAGAGATTATGTTCAGGCAACACTTAAGTCATTACCCAACTCTCAGAGTGCAAGATCTCACAAACAATGCGATCCATTCCTACGCTAGGACGTCTCTACAAGAATATAGGAATTCGGACAGGTACATGTCTCTATTTGAGACGCCAGAAGAACGCTATCAACGTTTCCTAGAGGAATTCGTAGCGATGTCGAATGGGGTATTCCTATGGGCAGCGTTAGCACTTAGAAGCGTTGTGGGGGGTATAGAGAACGGAGATTCATTAATCCTATTAAACCAGCGAATTTACGAATTTGCACCCAATCTCAATGAGTTGTACGAACAAATGTGGAAAAAACAGAATGAAGACTCACAGGTGTATAAAAAGCAAGCTTCTGAGATATTCTGGTACATATCACAGAGCGAGCATGATAACACGGTATTATGCCATCTGCTAGCAACTAATCAAGAACTACGGAGAGAGTTACAGCAAATCGTAACAACCAAAGGATACTGGACCAATGGGGATGAGGGCCACCTATGTCGGATATATGAATTATAGATCCTCACAAGGAGTACAGGCCTCTTAGAAATAGTCAAACGCGATAGTGCGCGCCCCGATACAACAACTTACACCAAAGGATTCAGGGCGCAGGTTCAGTTCATACACCGATCCGTTCGAGAATTTCTCGAGGGCACGAAAAATGGTCAACAGGTCATGAATCACGACCAGAGGTCTCCTGAGGCAAGGGATCTCGCATATGTTAGCGCTCAAATGGATGCCGCATACGTCTTCGCTGCCGAGGGATGGAAAGTAGCAAAAGTACCACTGACACCGTGGATTTGGGGTATCGATCCGATGGAGTGGTACACAAGAGCAATGAATTGGATGGATCATCTACGACTAAATGGCATAGGCGAGAAACAATATCAGGAATGGATGGCATCAAATATAAAAGAGAGCATGAGCCAAAACGTCCTCGTTGCCAGTGCTGGTGCAGGCGATGCGGCCGTTCTCAATCGGGTTCATCAACAGGAGGAAGCATTTGAGCGCATTCCCTCGCAACAAAAGGCTGCAATCCTTGTACATTGTTGCGGAAAGTTCTTTGTCCTTATGTCTGTGACGGATAATGGCATTAGCAGTGTTACTCTCGACTATTTCGAAATGTTTGGGTTCAACAGCTTGTGGCGGTATGTTGATTGCATTAAGTGGTTACTTGAAAACGGCGCCGACCCCCATATGATCCTTAAGCCTGGGGCCGCCACGTCTTTGGAGTTCACTGTTTGGCTTCCAATATCGCTTCTCGACTTTTCAGCCTTTCGATTGTTTTCCTCCCTCGCTATTTTTAGTACTATGCACATTTTCTCCGACATGCCAATGCGGTTGGACTGGTGGTCTTGGCCGTCAGCGCAGGAATTCATAGTAATTATTCAGCGGGTTATCAAAATATTTGGCAAGCTTAAGAACGGTGACCTGCGGGATCATGTAACCCTCAAGATCCGACCTAGATCTAGCGTAATGCCACAAGTTCGCTTCTCGACAAATATTACCCAGAACTCCGAATTCATCAATCGAATTACGCATGCCGATAACCCCGCTGACGCCCGAGCCATCCGCGATCGCTATGCTGAAACCAACTTCATTGAAATCCATGCAATAAAATTCAAAGGGTCCGGCTGGCAGCGACTTGCGACAAACAATGAGATCGGGAAGATTACTAGTTTGAAAGTTGCTTTCGCTGCGGCCTTATTTGAACCGGATTATGTTACTGAAGATAAAATCGGTTCTGAGCTTGAGGATGCTCTTGAAGCGATTGCCCTAGAGGAGCCCGATACATCTGACTCTGATATGTCCGACGCCGATTCGTCCATGTCAAATTAACCATTTATATCTTCGGTAAAATTAAAGGTCGCGTAGGCTTCAAGATCTGCTCGAATATTTTAGTATTTATCTGGCCTCACTGTGTTCTGGATACGCCGCGGTTGCTTCTATCGTATTCGTATAAGCGACGTCAATCATTCCAGTTTTTTAGTATGCATAAGTCCGTCAATCCATGCTAGGAGGGGACGATATAAATAGGCTCATATATCATTATGATTTCTAATTCAAAGTGCCTTTGGTATCCTACAGTCAATCAACGGTCCTACTATCCATGCATAGGGATATTCCCACGATATAATCATAGTCCTCGGCAGACACTGAGTTTGGCGGTAGGCTCCCTGTTATTCAGCTTTTTATTATGAAGATACCAAATCTCTCTACACAGTATCCTGACGAATGAGACCGTCTCATACCAGCTCCAAAGTGGATTCTAAGCCAAGTGCCCTGTCGAAACGTTGAGAAGTGCTCTGCGAGCTTGGAGGCCTCAGCACAAAAAGCATGAGTCTCGAACTGAAGCCGTTGCCTGAATACGGCCGGTTTTTCGAGCATCTTCCCTAGCGAGAATATCATCGAATAGCGCATTCGGCGCTCCCACCTAAGCACATCTTCGGTACCTCCCAGCCTCGGGAATACATATGTGGAACGTATTATATATGATGCTCTTCCAATTCTCCTTGACAATTGCAGCATCGTCTTCGCTCCCGCCAGATCGTCCTCACAAGAAATGCCGAACAAATAAGTGCGCCCAGCCCCGCCAAGCCAACCGCGGTATACAGAGCGGCTCTGTACCCATTCAGTTTACTCTCTATGGTCGGACTGCCTTCGTTCACGTATGACTCCACCGTCCTAGCGATCCCAAGTCCAATTGAAATGCTATAGTTCATCACGGTGCTAACTAAGCCCGCAGCGGTCCCTTGATGTTTCCTATCAACAGCATTAGAAAGGGCCAATGTTGTGGCAGGGAATCCTGTGTCCATCGCCCAGGAAACAATCAGCACAGAGAAGAATAGCTGAGCCCAGTATATCTGCATAGCAGGCATTGTGGCTACCAGGGCAGAACCTAGCGTGAAACCTAGAAGAGAGATGAAAACGATTATACACGGACCCAGCCGCTGAAGAACAAAGCCAGTTGACATAGTAGCCAGGCACCCCACGACGATACATGGGCTAACATACGCCGTAGCCTATATTCCAAGTGAAGTTAGCTTCCTTATACAATTCTGGGGCGTATGGGTGTCTGTAGCATACCAGGAGTGGGGTAATACCACGAATATTCTCCACGAATTGCCAGGTATAAGAAGCCCAAATCCCAAAGCATGACCAACCGCAAGCGCCCGCGATGAGGATGAAGGACACATCGGACGAAAGAGCATAAAATGGTATAAGAGGCCTAGGAGCGTAGTAACTTTCAATCAACACGAATAGTGCTGCAAGTAGAACGCCTACAACGAGTGCAATCCAGAGGTACGGTTCTTGCCACCCAGTTATGGGGGCCTGATTCCAAGCAAAGCTAATCAACACGAGGGCTGAAACCCCTGTTATTGCCCCTGGGATATCGAGCTCAGACATCGCAGCACGAATATTGGTTGGTCTCTCGTTCTTCTGTGCGGTTCTAGGGATGGCGAAATGCCCTACTCCGGCAATGAGGAGCAGTGTCAACGCGAAGGTCCAATATGTTAACGGCCACCAAACCAGTGCGAATAAACTTGCGCTTGCAGCTCCGACAATAATTCCTATCGGGGCCATAGTCGCGACCAAAGTAAAAACCATCGCCTTTTGCTTCCCAGGCGGATACGTTACTCCTAAGAGTGCGAGTCCATTCGGAAGGGAAAGGGCAGCACCTAGACCGTGAAAGACCCGAGAGACTATGAATAAGACATTAGTCGAGTAAATTGCTGATCCAGAAACAGCGGACCAAACGGCAGACCAGACGAATCCAAGCAGAAATATTCGTTTGTATCCGTAGGTGTCGCCCAATCTACCTGCTATGAGAATGAAGGTGCCAATTGCCAAGCTATATCCAGCAAGAACCCAAATCAGGTTGCTAGTATTACTGATGCCGAAGCTAGCCCCAATTTCACGGAGAATCGCCAATGTCTGGCCAATGCCGGCCTCTAGACCCATGTCATCAATCTCAAGTAAACCCTATTCACGCAATTCTACTTACGTGCGCACAATTGAGCCATGCATATTGTCGTAACGAACACGAACACATGCACGTTCGTCATCTTCCCCGCCTCATGTACCGGCTCCTTCGACGGCCCGGGCAAGGGTTTCGCGCCGGGAGGCATAGGCCATGATATCTCATCGATATCACCCAACCCAGAACTCCTCCGCACACTTTTCTGTCTGCGATTATACTGGTACCTCGCAAGACTATACGACCGCGGGAGCGGGGGCAGCGCCTTATCGCGGAGGGACAGTGGTCCACCAATCCTACCCGAAGACCCGGAGCTCTCGCGCGCGTCCTCGTCGCTGCTAATCGAGAACCGGGACTGGCGTTCGGGCGCGGCTTGGGTGGATGAGGAGGCTCCTACCTCCTCGTCACTGGAGGGCGGCGATGGCGTGTGGATCTCGCTTAGACGCCGCAGGACCACTTCGTGCGTCTCGTAGCTCCAGAATGAGTTCCGGAACAGCGAGTCCGGGAACGACATCGCTTTGGATAATTGGGGTGGCTGGGGACGTGATCGTGATGCATGGTGCGTTACACATGTGCGAGGTGAGGTGGCTTGCTGGTATATAATACCAGCTGGGGGCTTTTTCTTTTTTTCAGCCATTTTCATCCTGGGATATTTGTCTGGGGATATCCGCTGGTGGTGTACTAGTTGACTCCATCTTGGGATAAAATATTGAGGGTGTCCCCAGTTGAGGCATCACACTTTTTCGTTGGTAGCTTCTTAACCCGCGATCCAGGTCTATCACAGTGTTGTATTGGTACGGCTATGATCTAAGAAGACGGAGGGTAGGACGGTAGATGATTGGCTTGTTGATCTGCAAGCCAATCGCCGATTCGGTTCCGACGCATTTATCTACGATCATCAGACCACCAGTTTAGAAAATGCAACATCCTTCGTACATGGAACACTGAATTCATTAGAAGTGCATTAGGAACCTTCATAGCCGTGGGGTTCTAGCTAGTGGTAATAAGATGGAAATTGGGACTTAAAACGGGTAAGTGCTTTAACTCTGATTGGTTTCTGACAAGGTTCGTAGGCTGAATCCGGTAATTCGTTTCTACAACTAAAGCGCTCACGAACCATCACAGTCGGCTAGAGGGGTAATATAAGCATCTAATACCTAGGTACTCCAAGAAGTTTCGCGCTGACTTTATCTAAAAGATTAGAGAATACATCTCTTTGTAAATATTCAGACCACACCAAAAATACCAGTGGTCAATATAAGGAATCAGGGGTTCGGTTGACTGCTTCAGGATGAAGTTAAATCAATCCTAACTGATCTATTTTCATATAGCTTCTACCCATTAGATGCCGTTCAAGCACCATAAATCATTATCCCGAGCACGTGGATTTACCGGGAATAGAAACTGGGGTCAGTGACGCAAATATGACTTAGAATACTAAGGAAGCGTGTCGGCTCCGTTTGTGTTACGAGATGTAGCCATCCTCATACCATTTAAAGGCGCCAGTATACATCATATTTCGAGACAATGAAGCCATTCCACAAGCAAATTCTTGCGGTTTGTCTAATTCATATCTGCTTCTATACCCGTACCCCTTGCACTCCAGAAAAGTTTCCACATTGTAGGTTGAACTCTACCATCCAACCTCACAGCGAATATTGACAAGCTGAAACAAGGCTCAAAGCATCATGGCAGCTCAGGGCGAATCTTATTTTGCGGCTTATCCACCAAAGCCCAAGCCTTTTATCTCGCATGGCTTGACATTCGAGAAAGCTTGTGCTCACCATGCCGAGACTACGTTTCATGCCTCACGCATTTATGTCGTGGTATCCAGGACCATCAGTAAGACCGAAGCCTTTACAGCCCTCCAGAAAGCTCTCGGCGACAAAATCGTCGGCGTTCGCTACGGAATTCTTCCTCATACGCCGTGGGAGGATGTGTTCGCCCTCGCCGACGACCTGAATGCGAAGAACCCGGACCTCATCATCACTCTTGGCGCTGGGTCGATCTCAGATGGTGTCAAGTGTAAGCGACGCTAAAACGCATCCCCCCTCTTCCTAACATATTCCATGAATCTCATTACCTCTTTCAGAGCTATTTCCCTCGGTTCATCCGAAGCCCCTTTTGTTCTTTAACTTCGGACACCACTAATTCCCGTACCAGTAGCACGCCTCCTCGCCGCAAATGGCGTATCGGAAATGCAAGGGGCCGATGAGCTCTTCAACAAATGCTTTGCCGACCTCTCCGACCTCACGAAGGCGCCTGCGGGCGTGAAGCCGGCCACCATCCCAGTCATCAACGTACCCACGTCGCTCTCAGGTGGAGAGTTCACTTCAGCCGGTGCTGCCACTAATCTCAAGACCTTCGAGAAACGTAACCTATGGCACGAATCCATGATCGCCGATATCATCGTCTTTGACCCCGCGCTAACGGTGTCCACACCCGAGCGCTTTTGGCTGTCCACCGGCGTACGTGGGGTTGACCACTGTACCGAGGGGCTATATGCTACCCAGCCGGGCGCGACTCCCGAGCTCCTCGCCGAGATGGTGAAGGCGCTGCGCATGCTGCTAGTAGGCTTACTCAAGACTAAGCAGAAGTGGGATGACCTTGATGCGCGCTTGCAGACACAGCTTGCGCTGAAAACGGCGACGCGGGCGTTGGAATGCGGTATGGGTGCTAGTCATGGTATCGGACACCAACTCGGACCTATGGGCGTGGGACATGGCGAGACGAGCTGCATCATGTTGCCGTTTGTCATGAAGTACAATTGGACCCATGGGGATGAGAAGGTTCGTGATTCTCTCCGGCAGGTGGCGTCGGCGTTTTGGGATGAGCCGGCTGTTGTTGAGGCCCTTGGCTTGAAGGAGGCGGACCGGGACACGAAGGATCCCGGGGACCTGGTGGCTGCATTTGTCAGTACGCTGGGCTTGCCCCGGGGTCTGAGTCAGTTCGGCATCGGGAATGATAAGTTTGAGGTCTTGGCGGAGAATTCGCTGCTGGATCCGTGTATTAAAGTGAACCCCGTGAAGTTAGATAAGGAGAAGGTCATTGAGATATTGAAAATGGCGGCTTAGATAACGGGGATTTGTTGTGCGGAGGGTCCACCGCTGGATTACTGATCACATCAAACCCATGGGTACTGCTTATTAGCCTGCAGAGTTTTTTCTACTCTGTGCTCGATCCTGAGCTGAGCGAATATGTTTCAGCCTCTTCGTTAGGATACTATGGCGGTCAGCGTTTGAGTCAAATGGCGTTCAGACAACCAAGCCCACCAGCCTCTTCTTTAGCAACATGTCTGGCCGCTAAGTATGAATCCTATGCACTTTTCGGTGTTATTTTCAGCTATATAGCAAGGGAGAAGAATTTCCCTGATGATAATATGATGCCAAGATGAGAGACCCCTAGATGTTGACGCATATAGTATATCGGATGAGACAGTTCGTAGAATACCCAATAACCGAGACCTCTATACCATCAATATATGCAGACTTAACCCTTACTCATGCTCCCGGCTATGCAAGTTCGAATCAAGGACGATATCTAGACTCGCCAAGTCACCGAGGCCGACGAAGGTCCCGACATGTAAAAGAAATCATAGAATCAATGCATAATCACCTAGCTTTAAGTCAGAGTAGAGGCCCAGGAGGAGTGAACGCAATACTAACACGAAGGTAAGACCGGGCGTTAAACATCCAGGTACCTAGGTGTCCGCGCATCTAGTTGTTAGAAGTCTTAGCTCCTCACGATACTTTCCTGTTGAAATTCCATAGAGTACAATAATAAATGCAGTAGTCATTTGAATTATGGTGTCTCATTTGCCACACTGGCATTTACCCCTTTGAATTCCATGTTAGTCACCCCCTTTCCTTTTCGACGCACCCGTTTCCGTATACGATCAGGTTGATGGTCACCCAAAAAGAATATACCGTCCATAGGTATTAAAGCTCTAGTGGACACAATCTAGCGACTTAAACTCGTGTTATAAAAACTTTTACCCATGCTCGACGCGGTGAACGCTCAATTTGAGATAGTTTCCTTATACTTGGCGAATCAAACGTCAACGTCGGGGATGCACATTACCTTTTTTCCCACGATTGACGAATAAATGGCCTGGAAAGTGAGGCATCGTATGTGAGTCTTTCATTTTCAGGCAGACTTCGCGACGCGTGTTGGACCGACCAGTCTACTTGCTTTAGTTCTGGAATAGGGGGTGTTAGAGATTCATGAGCCACCATAGGGCCCGAACAAACCCGCAATGTCGTTAATTTAGAATGCTATCACGCTTACCACACAATATGTAATAACTTGTAATCATAATCGTTACCGAGTCTGTTAAGAAATACTGCCTAATCTATATGCTACAGCGTCGTGAGTGGTGGCGAAGGGCACAGCAGACTCCAGATTCCGGGCTATCGCTGTCGCTTGCATCAGTACTTACAAGAATCTAGAAACGTAAGCGCTAGGCTGTAATCTACGGGCTAATGTGCGAATGTCTGACTCACGATGCTTTTGGAGGCTGGTGCGACGAAGTGAGTGGTGTAATTATAACCTATCATATCCAATACCGCCTCAAAACGCTTGCGAATAGCACCTAAGAAGCTCATTATTGGTCAGTGGCAATTAATTCCGTCGGAGGCAGCCCAGGACACGCTCCTGATTCCGTCGACTGCCGTGCTAAGACTTGGGTAAGATTGAGCGTTACGGAGTAATGAGATATGGGGAACTACCAATGATAGAAATACTTGGTGTTCATGATTTGATAATTTAGGAATATTATATCAGATGAGCATAGGCTATCCAATAATTGGTTGGACAAGATCCCTCGCGTTGAAAGTCATCACTTTATTGTAATAGACGAGAATCTCTATGACTATTTGTCAGTGCTACAGTGAGTGTAAGTCATACGTACATACGAGTGCGGGAGGCAGCCTGCTCCAGCCTCGGGGCGCGCCATCGCAAGGACTGCCGTCGCAGTAACACAAAACCGTAGAAGCCAATAAATCAAACAGGCTGGTGAAAGTCGATGTCTGTATGGATTGCGTTGGATCAGGCGTCAGCTTCCCGCGTATTCCACCTGACTTATCTAAATTACCCGATGGGGATTTCGCCACACCAATGTAATCCCCCACGCGGAGGAGTTATTGCACAACCGTTGCCGGTGGACTAGTATCACCGTTGAAGTTGACGGAAGGCAAGAGTCAGACACGCGGCAGGACATATAATATGTTTCTCAGCAAGTCACTTGACTTGAGATGCATCTCAACACTAGGAGAACGCACAGCCACCCCCAGAGATCTCGCTCCCGTATTGAGGCGAGGCTCGCCAGTGCGCTCGCACTGTTTGCCTCATTCAGTATCATGAGGAATCATTCTGATATCGCCATCTTCAGTATACCGAGAAGAATCGGGGGTGGACGTAGACTTGACTCATGTGACTCATGGATGGACGGAATATGTCATGGAGGCGTAGTTGCACAAGCCGGATTGGTATCACGGCAGTATCTTTTGGGGTATCGATGTACGAATGAAGAGCATTGTCGTCGATTGCCCTAATAAATTAGGAATGGTGCGACACTGTAGCCTACGGAATTAATTCATAGCCTTGCAGAATATCTAGATAAAGTCGTACGGATGAGGCGGAACGATACCTAGTAGGCTGACGTGTGACGCGGCATGGGCAGGACGGACCATGCTTCAGGGATGTGATAGATGGAATCTAAGCGCGCAGGTAACATGGAACGCGTCAATGTTGTGATAGAGCACACCGAAATGCCAGATCGAGGCTCAATCAAGTGCCGTGTTTTTGCCTCAGCCTCCCCCAACGTCGCAACGGCAGATCCTAGTAGTAGCATATTGCGAGGCTGCTGCCTACAACGTCTACTCAGCTTTCCCTTACGTGAACGCGACCGCGGCATTTGAATGGCTAAATTCACAGGCGATATCAGCGAATGTCTAGCCCTATGAAACTTACTCGTCGTCGCAATCACTATTCTTGTTGTCCTCGTCATAGTGTCAAATTACACTGAGTACTGGAGAAGGAGTCAGCACTGGGCGTTGTGGCAATATTGCGTGAGATTATGGGGCTTTTTCTTTTTATTTTCTCTCATTTGATTTGGTAGGATCTCTCGAAGCGAGCGTCCGAGCCCCCCAGATCGCTAGACATCAAGCGAATCCAATCCGCTCTGCGGTGAGTCACTGCCCCCAGCGGTGAAACTTGATAGACAGGCAACATGTAACTAGCGCCTGGATGGGATCCAGTTAATATAGTATGTACGTCGTATTGATATTATTGTGTTGGGTCGGAAAATGGAGAATTTTTGGTATGGGTTGAAGGGTTCTCGGACTTACAGTACAAGGTCTACACCACCAGACCACCCATTTCGTAGTAATCAGTGCAAGAGGCGTGCGACTATTGACATTTGTTACATACCTATTCCGAGTATCAATTCTGCAGGGGGCACTTTTTCTTTCGTTGCGGCTTCTAATCTCCCCGTTCCCGAAGCGGACTTGTGATATGCCCGCTCCGGATTTATTTCCCTTGCAGAGAAATAGGAAGAATTGTATGTGTCATCTATTAACATAGCAATAAGTCTATGGTGCCGGCGATTCCGTCCAACCCCATAGATAGACAATTGACGGGATTTGAAGAAAATCGGAGATAGGAACCCTTGGCCATTGGGCATTTGTCAGAATTGACAGAATGAAGTAAACGAAATAGAAATCCAAAAGGGCAATGTTCCGGAACAAAGTGGAGTGGCCAAAAGAACCCAAGTGAGCGGTGCCAACTTGACCCTATAGCCCATCACATGCCAGGGCCTAGATTTAGTGAAGACAGTAGGAGAATATAGCGGCACAGCCACAAGCAGAAGCGCGTAAAGCTTTACCCATTCGTCTGGCTCTCAAGGGTGACACGTCAACGCATACGGCATACCTAAGACCCAGGCTTCTGGGTCGCGAATTTCTAGATTTCCTAGTAGAATGTTGTAGCCCTGATCAAACCTGCATCTTGTGTGTGTGGTCTGGTCTGTTAGACGTACGACTACGCTGTAGGCGCTGTGCACGCTGTGCAATGTTCGAAGAATAGTAGCATAGGAGCTGCGATACCGGGCAGTGCGTAGGGCCCATAGCGAATAAAAAATATCGAAACCCGGCGCGCTGGCCCGGGTATTCTGCTTCCCGCATGTATCACCGCCCGTGTTGCCTCGTAACACGATTTGGCCCTTTTTCCCTTCGTGATGCGTACGCCGGATGAGTTGCGTTCCTAGACATGGTATTGGACGGGGCGAGCGAAGGGAGATAGGCAGAAAGAAGTATGCAGAGGCAACCACCCAACTTTGGGAAAGGCATCTTGCCATCTTGCCATTTGGCCGATAATAACGGCATTTTTATAATCTCGATGTGCGAGACAATGTCGAATCAAGATCTCGGAGCCCCGCGAGACAGTGGACGAAAAGGGGGGCCAGGTGAGCGACGACAGGGATATTTGTTTCTGGGTCGAACAACGCAGAGGGGAGACTCCTATTTTTTCTTATCACGAAGTTGTTCTGGTTATGGTAAATGACAAACCGCAACCGCCCCGTTTTCGTCACATACCAACACGTGCGCTTAGGGCCATACCTGTGGTTGGAGCGACCATACTTTAACGTATACTGATGGTGGTGTCGCTATAGTCCTGATAGGTCCAGCCCTTCTGCCTCCAATACCCGTCTCGACGCCGGGTTTGGTTTAGTATAGCATCAGGCTTGGATTAAGGACTCGCGAAAAAGGAAAGTGAAGCCAAAAACAAGAAGAGGGCTTGAATCCATCAGCTGCAGCATGATGTTCTGGAATATATTCCATGACTACACGTATTCCCCTTTCGTCTTCTCCGGAGGGGCTGATGAGGGGCGGAGGGGTCATCTTCGCCAATACTAAATTCCAAAAATATTTTTTTCATTTCGATTTTTTTGTGCGCTGCCGCTACGTCACTGTGTCAACACGACCAGGGGCGGTACCTGCACTCTGCATGTAAGGCATGATGAACAAGAAGGTTCCGAATATCCTGCAGAGCCATGCTGTCTGTTGTCTAGAAGTCTAGTAAGAGTCGGTGAGTGGTAGAAACTAGGAGGATCTACTTCGTGATTGTGACAGAGTTGTCTGGTGAGGACTCCCGTCTAGGCCGGAGTGTTGTTATTATTATTTTTTGTTTTGTTGAAGGGCATGGTGGAGAACGGTCACTGTCCAACGGGGTGGCCAAGATTTTGGCTGTTGGGTACGGTACGGAGTAGGGGAAAAAAAAACATCGTGATTAAATAAAAATACTAGGTGGCCTAAACGGGCTATTGACCTCTTAAACCCCCTGTTTTCTCCAATCGGGTAATGCATACTTGCATGAGGTGTGGTCTTAAGTCGGGTCCCATTGACCAAACAATTTACAGAGTTCCTTCAGCTTACAGATATTGGACATCATTGCATTTTGAGCGCAGGGCATCAGGACATAATCGTACATGACGTCTACTTCGTATGAGTCAGAGGGTAAATGGTAGGCTGATGGAATCAGCGAGTTATCGCACGTATCCATCCTTTTTGCCATTCTTTCTTTTTCCTTTCGCATTGCTAATTCACATGTATCGCAATGTAGGGAGGGAAATGAAATATTTGGAAAATGGAAAATTTTTCGTCTTCTATGTCGTATTGAGAGATGAGAAAGTGGATTGGCCAATATCCAAAACAGGGTGCGCGGGACATGGGAGGGAAAAAATGCAGTATAGGTACACCCAAAATAAGGGGGGCAGTTCTAGAAAAAGGAATCAGGGGTGATTGGGGGCCGTCAAGGTGTGGCCGGTGAATGTAGCCGTATACGGAGTACGGGGAAAAAGCAATGTCTTTCCCGTCTATATACGTCCATGGGATGGATACACTGCTATGGGGCGAGATAGGAGAAGGACTAAGTGGAACCCCTGCTCGCCCTTGTATGTGTACTTGTGCTCATGGCTGCATGGGTTCAAGACGCACGCCCAGCCAAGAAAATCCACTACTGGATTGACCCGCGGCAGTGGGTGTAATCTCCGCCGAGTCGATACTCTAGCGACGCCTGCGGCTTGATCATGTCCTGGGACAGTCCCACCTGTACTGTATGGAGTAATGTACTAGTAAAATCGCAAAATAGTAGGTATCCATCGTAGCTCTTCGTGGCTCGCCGGGGAAGTTAGTAGCAGTCGTCAGCCGAGCCGGCCCGGGCTCCTAGCTCTTTGAATCAAAAGCTAGTCACTTAGGCAAGTCCTTGCTCGGATAAGTAGATTAAAGCATACGGAGGCGAAAGTCCATTCTAGATTCGAGAACCATACCTGGGTACTGGGTCGCGAACTCTTCAAATGTTTGCTGTAGGACTCAATGCGATGTAGGACGAAGCATGCGGGATCCTGCGGCGATATTAAAGACGAGACTGTCGCACAAAATCCCACCGTTTCGAGTTCCTGAACCATCGTAGGATGTTGTTTACTACGTTAAAGTAAGGTGAGTAAATTGATAGGATTCTGTTTTATAATTGGGCCAATCAACGTGATGCTGAGGGTTGAGGGACTCCTCGGGATTGTGTTTGAGGCAATTGTCTTCGGAAAGGCCCCTCGCCCTAAAGGGACCCGACTCACATCTGAGGGGACAAAGATAAGACCGGTGGGCTTGGGGCGTCGAGCTGAGGGAATAAGACCGAAATAAGACAATTGATGGATTAATTGACCAACCACAAACATCCCTTTGCTTACACCGAGGGGACAAAAGAAACAAGAGGGTGTGAGGCACTTGTGCAACGCGCCACGAGGCGACTTTAGGTACAATAGAACAAAAAGGAATAGATGTAATCACATTTCAAATGTAAAAGATAATAGGCGGCTGGGGGGCTATTCCGGTGAAGCGGAGGCTGAAAGTCCTTTGAGTGACCAATCAGTTGCCAAATATGGTAAGTTATAGATTATATACCGAGGAAGCTGGGGGTTGCGGTCTGTGCCTAGATAGGATTTATCAGAGCCGATTGACCATCGTGTAGTTTCTTTTGGGTGTGATGGGCTGCACATCAACACTTATACAGAGTTGGCTATTATTAATGAGGATGGCTAGCATCTAGTTACCTATTTGGAAGTGGGTAGTTATACGGACTTCCTGTATAACATGTAGAATAACGAAAGACTCGATCCATCCAGTTAATTATACACCTAAGAAGCAGTTAGTAATGGAAGTGCATGTTATAGTTATTATTAACCAACGGAAATCGAATGTCATAGTAAAATAAAGATCTTAAGGCTGGGGCATGTGATATGTTGTAACTCATATACAGATCTCGGTGTTTGATTGCTTGTCGTCGACATCATATATGATTATAAGGAGAAGTGATTGGCGAGGGGGTAGGAGATAGGCCTTAAGCTGCGACCTCCACGTTTTTTTATTTCCTGGCCTTTTCCCCGCCATGCGTATGCATGGTGGGTGCAGATGACCCTCTCTGGAACGAACTATCGCCAGTTCAGGGGTTCATTGGCTGTGATCGGCCTGGGTCCTTTTGCTGGGTCAGTTTTAATTCTCGCTCGAAAATAAAAAATCATGAATGACGCATCCATGGTTCTGATAGTTGCCATGTAGTATTCAGCTTAGAATTTTTCTTTTCTTTTTTAAGCCTGTTGAGGGAACACTTACTGGCTATATTGAGAATTGAAGCGCCGGATGGTACCCTACGAACATGAATGGTGTGTAAGACTTTCACCACCCTCCCAATTCAGCCCACCACCACCGCATTCCGGGCGCCACTTGATATAGCACTGGTAGGAAGCGAGGCTACCGAGGTAAGAGGATGTGAGAGGACGCAAATACGTATTACGTATATGAAGTTGGTATGCCTATCCAGGAAGGTCTACGTATACTCAAACTAGTTTAGATGAATTGAAGTATTTCGGTATGAGTTATTTATTATTTATCTTAATATGTTGATAAGTATAACCATATTTTGTAAATTGAAACGTAGGCTATTGTAAAGATTCATTCAAGGGATGCGGGGGATTGTCGGATTTGTAACTATTCTTAGATAGGTTGTGCTCAGGTTTATGTATGCGAGAAAGGTTAAAGGTTGGTGGTTGGTGATGGAAATGTGATAGCGACATGTTAGATGTATTCATGGGTGACGTTAGGTAGTAGTCCACTGTGGTAATAGGTATGGGTAGGTACTTCCTCTCACTACCTAGGTATAAACCTGTACAATGCATCCATTACTATACACTTTTGGTCTAGACATTACCCGCATCTGCCCACTTTCCCCGCGCGGGAGCTACTACCTACCTACATACTACCTACTATGATTCTATACATAGTGAGAAAGGCGAGGCAGCTGCTACCCATCTCTCTTTTAGATCTGAACTCACATATATTCGGCACCGCCCGGTTCCATTTTAGATCTAATCTTCTTCTCCATCTTCCTAATTATACACATGATGGTTGTATGGGAAATCTGACCTTCTCCTATGCTCGTCATTTCTTGTCGCTCCAACCATCTAACTGATATGCCCTGCACATAACCAACGAACACCGGGGGACATTATTCCCCCCGACCAACCCAGCACCGCATTTTCAATTCGGCGCTGCAATCAACCGATTAAGCATATGTTCCTCCGCATATCCTGTCGGCTTCCGTTGGAGACCCGTGGCCGAAGTGTACAAAAACGTACAGGAACGAACGTCCGAACATCTGATTGATTGATTCAATATTACTCATAATTATTCCACCCGGTTACTGTTTGACAAGGAAAGGATTCTAAGTGGTCGGTGCGTGAGGATCGTCTCATCCATCCGTCGCGATTATTAAAACCAAACCAGCTACCACCACCAATCCCTCTATACCAACTCGTTTCTCATCGATTGAGTCATAATCCCGGGTTAAGCATTATTTTTCACTTTCTTTCGCAATTAAGGACCTGGAACGGATCTGAGTTATCTCCATAGCGAAACGACTGAGCGACCAAGATATCTCTTGATATTTGTCGCAGATCTCCATTGCGCCTCAATCTTCCAGACAGGGACCCTAGGGATTGAAATCTTTGCTAGTGGGCCATTTGACAAATCCTTGAAGGAGGAAAAATTTTTACATTCTTTGCTCTTCTTTTTGATACGGTCCATATTGCTGGGACAGTGTCGGTGCGTCACGACGGAGCAAGGAACCCATTATCCCAATTTCGCTAAAGGCAGCCGAAATCTCGGCACCCCCCCTGGCACCCAGGATCCTGAGAGCATCATCATTCAACCATCGCACAAGAAAGAAAATTTTGAGCTGCCGTTTTTACTAGGGACGGCGGGACTCATCTAATACGATAACCCTTTATGATGGGAAAAAAAAATCCGAATTGCCTGAACTACGATAGTTGAATGACAGGGTTACCTAGGTATACACATGTATTGAAAGAATTACGCGGACCCGAACGAACGTCATCGTAATCGCATTCGCCGTCGCCTTCGCCGCCTAGGGAGATCCCTTAGGCTACGATAGGGTATACGACAACGAATTGTGGAAGCGTGGCCTGTATTTATTACTACTGGACTTCCCTGGGCCTCCCTGGATCCCCTGGACTGCTGGACTTTACCGAATCAATTTAGCGCTGTGCGGACCGATTTGCAGCGAAAGCAGCTGAATTAAGCAGCTCGCTCAGCACACAGTGGATATAACCTTCTAAGGGCACCGATTGGATACCGAAACAAAGACAAAGTGCGAAGGAATTCTTCTTCAAACTGTGTGGCTGTGTCTCTCATAAGAGTCATCCCCTGTCGACAATATACGTACCTACACAGTGGGCATTATTGCGCTTACTCCCCTGTAGTGAGAGACATCAGCTTCTCACACACCCATCATCGGGGGTACGTACCCAAGGACCTACCTGCCAAGGTACCTTACCTTTAGGCTAGGATTAGGCGTCGCTGGGTCCCCCTTGTCACTTCTGGCATACCCCTGCACGCCCCCCCGACAGTGAAAAAAACTTTTCGACCGTCTGTTGTTGGTGGTCCAATATCCTGTTATTATTAAACAAGGCCTCTTCGCCTGCCCAACCACCTCCGACGTTCACCTTTTCTACCAAGTTTGGCTTTTGCCATTTTTTACTGACTCATCACCTCAATCGAAGACCAAATTATTATTTGTATTTGATTTTTCCTCTCCCACGCGGGATAATAACTCTGGACTACATAGAACGGTCCAGTTTCTTCCAGCACTTTCACCTTTCAGAGTCGACTACCAATCGACTTTGATGCCCAATCCTCCTGGGGGATATAAACACCAAATCTTGACATGTTCTCTCAAAGAAGACGGTTTTCCTCTCCTCTTCCCACCGACCACATACCAAGGTGACAGGTGTCCCTTCCTCCAGCGTCACGACACAGGCGCCATTTAATCATTATAAAGAAAAATCAAAAGAAAAGCATATCACACAATTTTTATTATTTTTTACATTATACCATCGAGTCGCGACGGGGGCGACCACAGAAAAAAACAGGAGTTGAATCGAAACCATCGCACGACTACGGCGGAACAGCTTCGCGCAAGAGTCAGGCAGTATGAGTTACGGGTCGCCATACGGGACCCCTCTTCGAGGTGGTGATGCGGGTTATTTCTACGACGTACAGAGTCCCTCACCAACACCTTCGCCACGTCACTACCCATTTTACCCAGCTCAGACCCCCCAGCGACCGGCTACCCGAGCTCACGTTCGTAACGCCAGCGCCAATATTCCCGACTTCCGACCGTCGACCGCTTTCTCGCCCCGGTACACAAGCACCGGCGAGTATGCCACCGGCCCAAGCCCGAATGTGAGTTCGCGAAAGCACAGTTTCTCAATGGGGTCGCATCATACGCCTAGGCGCGAGCGTCGGAGCTCCTTCTCATACCATCGGGCCTCTCATGGGGATTCCGACGAGGACGAGTTTTTCGAGATCGATGGGGTCAGATGCGTGTTGATTGCGGAGTCCAAGAGTCGCAAGCGCAGAGATTCTTTCTATGCTGCTCCGGGACATGGCACTGATCACTACTACCGTTCGCAGGGCATGCCGTCGTCGTTTTACGAGAAAGAGAGCCGCGATTACCCACGTTACGATGAGCCCCCAGCTCGTTCCGCCACGAGGGTCGGTCACCACACCCGCCGTCCGTCGGCAACCGCTGTGCCCATCCAGCGCCCCGCCACCACGCGCCCTTCTAGTTCGCACAAGAAGAAGCCCGTCGCATCCGGACCAAGGAAGGCCACGGAAGCAGATGCTAAGAAGCACAAGATACCACAAGGGTATTCATTGAAGAATTGGGATCCTACGGAAGAGCCCATCATGTTATTAGGAAGTGTCTTCGACTCCAACTCATTGGGGAAGTGGGTCTACGATTGGACTGTACACTACCACGGCGCGGCTACTCCCATCGCCGACGTCGCTGGTGAATTATGGGTTCTCCTCATCCAACTCTCGGGCAAAATAAAGCGCGCCGAAGAAGTTGTACCGGATGTCAGGACCCAAGCGAATAGAGAGATGATTGAGGATTTCATCGAGTCGGGTGAACGCCTCACCGACAAGCTTCGCATTCTGCTGAAGAAGTGCGAAGCTCCTATGCTCAAATCCTCGAGGAGTAAGGAGGCGTCCCACCTCGGACAGAATGCCGGAGTGGAGTTTGTTAAGACCATTTTTGGTCGCGAGCGCGAACTTGAGCGCACAGAAGCTTTTATGCAACAGGTCCGCCTTTGGAATTTGCGGTTCGATGCGAACTGCGACGATATCCTTAAGAGGCCCAAGCAATAGATATTTGGACTTTAGGATTTATTCTTCCAGGACCTTTGCTACCTTTCCGTCGGACCATCAGGACTCCGGACGGACTATATTACCATTAGAAAAACTGATTGGAGGAGAGAAGGATGGCTACGCCATCGTGTACTAGTAAAAACTGATTTCCTGTCTTGGGTTGTATTTCCGGAGTGGTACATCGATACCAGGATTTCCCCTTTCAGGATTTCTTTCTGTCATATTACACAAGCCGCAGGGCAAACTAGCATGCATCGAGGGGAGAAGGGCCTGGATTTTCCTGTCTCATCTTTCGTGTTTTTCTCAAGATACCCCAGACGAAGAGGAGGGTGCGTGTCTATATTGCACACAGGCTCACCGCGCAAGCAGTTGACGAGGACACGAGCGATATACCCTTCCGGGACATTATTCGGGAACTCAAAAGTTGGTTTATGGAGAGATGGATTGTTTTTGTTTTGCGCAACGACTCTATGTTAGTCGTTGATGGGTTATTGCATCGGGGTTGGTTATGTCCAACCATAGAAAAAAGAGTTTTAATGGCTATTGTTTTTTGATATTACCTACCAACTAGCGATGGATTCGCTAGCCAGCCGACGTTGTATTTGCTTCACCAGTTAGCACCGTGCGCGTACATGAGCGGGCGTTTTGTCAGACATGGTGGCATATTGATTTACTGTTGTTTCAAGGTCGCATTTATAGAGGATCTCTACATGTTTTGAGATCGGGATTTGGGTTGTACTGGCTGGCTGGGAGATACCCCTTTTCTTTCACTTTTTATTTCTTGATAGTAGTAGTAGGAATCTCAGGCAGAAGAAAAAAAACACTATTCTACACTTTTAACATATATGCGTCTTTGTTCATGATTGTGATTTGACTGACTTGAAACATTTTACCCATCCAGGAAGAAACTTGAAACGAGTTTCGTTTGTATGAAAATTTGCCTAATTTAGATATTTTGCAACCCAAGGCGTTGTGCTTGCGCATCCCTCGTCCCGACGTTCAATATGTTTGCATGTAGTGTGCATGTGCTTGCTGCCGCGCTCACTTGTGCATGTAGGTATAGGGTATGGGACCCTAGGTAGACGGGGACCCGTTTGCAACGATCAATTATTCGCAAACATGGAGGAATTAGGTCATTGGTAGCAATGGAGACCATCATGTCGGTGTGGTTATTCTGTCGACCATCCATAATGGAGGTGTCTCCTCCATGACTCAACTATACAGGGGCTAGGATAATAATGCTACGGCTCCTCCGTCATACCTCCTTTGATCTGACAATATCTCTCAACATGTATGTCGCAAACTATCAAATGATATTCCCAACAAAGTCTTGCTTATGTCTTCTACAGTTTCCACACAATGCTATGGGTGACGAAGTCGCCAAATATCTATTTTCCGAATATCTAATCGGATGACAAATTTGCTTGCAGGGGCCAAAAGTGCGCTCGCTCTTTTGGTAAAAGCCGAGGTGGGAAAATAATTAAGGAAAAAAATATAGTCAAAGGATGCCATGCAAGGTCAGCCTCCATTCCCATGGCGCATTGTAATAATAACATTATATGTATATGCTAAGATCCTTCGAAATTTTTTTCTTTCTTCCCCTCCCCTTTTTTCCTCACTTACTTTTTTCTCGCTTGACTTTTGTTTTTTGTTTAATTTTGTGTGTGCGGACGGAAGTATTTGACCGAAATTGCTTCTCATGCCCAAGCCACTCATCTACACGCGTTCGGAGACTCGCACCGAGAAAGTCTTGGAACGCGAACACGAGAAAAAAAACCAACGAGGGAATTTTTTGTGTATACAACCATGATATGTTGTTTGTTATGTTATGCCAATGCTTACTTTGAAGAATTACTATGACAACAAGACTGTGTACAATACGAAGTCCGTAGACTCCCGTAAATCTAATTGCGACAACAAAAAAGAAAAACAACTGTTTTCTTCATGACACGGACTCGTGTTAGGGTTCATGGATAGGGTTACAGGGCCTTGACCATCCCTCATCCTCCTCATGGCCATGAGGTTTATCCAGGGGGCCTCTCTTACAGGCCCCTTTAGCGAATAATTACCCCCTTGTCTATTGTCTGACAGCTGAGCCCATCCGTGTTCCGTGCGCAAGCTGCAGCTGCAGGTCAACTACTTTTTTTTCTCTTCCTGGTTATGTACAAAATTAGACTATCTACTCCCCTCCGTACGTCTAACCATGCACATATGCATATTGAGGCCGGGTTTGTATCATGATGGCCATCGAACAGGCGGGCCGCCGTGTTTCTCATTCGCCAGCTCTGTTACCCCTCTTTCCGGTCTGTCGACAATGCTGTCAATCGAATGAGCAGTTTCCACCATTGATCGCTCGAGTCACCGTGAAATTGGTCGTTCCGACTTGTCCCCTCCGTCATAGTACCTAGTAGTATGATTGTTAGGCACCTACGAAATTTGAATAGGGCGCCAACGTAGGGATCCGCTCATATACGCACCGCTGCTTTGGTAGGAGGACTTTGTTATGCCGCAAGGCCCCCCCTTCCAGGGCTTCAGGGGGGGTCTCTCCCTCTGGATTGTGTAGTAATAGTGTGCGGCACGGTGGCAATGACACCAAGGTAGCGCCTTGGAGTATCTTTGGGATTCCCGCCGCTATGAGGTTACAGTACATGAGAATCCACTGCCACGCGAAGAAAGGATTCTTGTTTTCTCTTTCTTTCCTGTTTACGACCCTAGCCCCCAGTGATGTCTACCGTAGTAGAAGTGCTACTCTTTGTGCGCTAGCTATAACATACTGAGACAATTCGTTCCAATTAGGTAAACAGTATATCATCTTGCTGCGTGTAATCGTGTAATCGTGGCTGGTGACTTATTCAGCGATGAGTTACAGGAAGGGTGTGTGTGTACAAAATGGGATCACAATAAGGTAACACATAATTCATATCTGAGACTTATGTACATTTACGTTGGCTATTGTTCTAGACCAGCATCACGTCAAAATATCCCTGGCATGAATTGAATTGATTTCGAATTGTACCAAATTTGATCACGTACAAATATCAGAAAATACATGATATTGAACAACAATAATAATAACAATAACCCAAATTGAGTACCATGCGACCCTATTAGAGCGACCTACGACAACACTACATAACACAGACCGAAGCGGCCGCAGGTACTTGCTCGATTTGACCAACACACCTAAATACACGGCAGTCGAAAAAGCGACCGAGTAAATAGGCCTAACACACAGAGGCCAGAAAGCCACCAACCTCCCCGTTGCCCCTGTCTTAGACCTATTGAGTCTATCATGATGACAGTTGGTTGTTTCGATATCTTCCATCTACTCATACCGGTAACTATTTACGATACTAGCTGACGTGATCCCAAGAAATTTCAGTCCACCCACTTTACTTCCAATATGGGATTTTTTGTCTGCCACGGGCTGAGGGCACATCGCGTCCCCAATCGTTAGCCCAAGATCCCGACTGTGCCGTACGATGCCCTGAAAGCCCATCAACTAAACCTTGCCCACCCGGCAATTGGGGCCGAAGAGCACGCATCTACCTAGGATGAAGATGGTGTGGAAGTGCGACAAGGCGTCAGCATTCTTTTTCGCGCGCAGTGCATACATTACATTAAGTCGCATTAGTCCGCGACCGAAATAGCAGCATCGTTTGCTACGAGTCTACAGTGCGGTGAGATGACATAATTATCTTCTTTTTACAGTATGATTTTTATTTTCTTTGCAGGATAGGAAAAGGATCACGTAGGTTCATAGTCACCAACACCCTTTTTCGTATATTATTTTCGACGAATTAGCGCCCGCGGACCCGAAGAGGATGTTGAGGCACAGCCAGGAGAGATCGCCTAGCATCAGAATCTGCCATCGTCCTCCAAGATGGCTTTTTTTTCTTGCATTTGGAAAGACATACATTCATCTTTTCCATAAGGCTTAGCACTCGCAGCGGACATTATGCACGCACCCGTAAGTAATCTATCTATGTCACTGATCACTGACCAGCCGTCCTATCGATTCTTCCTATTTCCTAAGTCAGACGATGAATGAACTGATTTAGCGGTAACATTCTATGTTCTTCACTTCGCTTCGCTTCACTGCCAAGTTGCTGCCCTCAATTGCCCCAACAGTTTGGACTGTTTAGCCTGAAATGGACGTCAAGTTTGGATTAGCAAGCATCACTGATGAATTTCGCATACTACACGAGGCCGTCGGGCACAAGAACGAGGCGATGTCTCCAACGCGTAGAAGTCATCGGATGAATACCATTCGCCAGCACGGTCGGCGCGGGGGAAAGAAGGCTTGTTAATGGTCTACACCCTATCCATAGCCACACCCACCTACCAAGTTTACATGCTATAGACGCCTTAACTATCACCAAGATGTGCAAGTCTAGAATCCCTTGCTCAGCTTCTCGAACATTTTTACTTGAGGGGATACCAGCGGTTATGCAAGTCATACGTAGGAATACACTAAAGAAGACAGCCCAATACCAATGGCGTGGTTTGCCTGTAATCGCATTGGTACAGCTTGCGAGACATCATCTACTCACAAGACAAAGGTCAGGCGGAGATAGTCATAATTAATCCATCCATAGCCAACCCATTTACTGAGTCACTGAAGCCTGCGATCCCAGCCCCCCTTTTAATCGCCTGCTTAAGAACCTATGTGACTACACGTGTACGAGACTGTTGCCTGTCTCCCACATACAAACCGAAGTATCTATTCCCAGCCCCCCGTTCTCTATCAGACGAAATTTCAAGCCTGGATAATATTCCGAAGCCCCCCCTCCACAATTCCTCCACATTATCGCTAGCATTCCAAAGGCACGTAAAAAAAGAAGTGATACATAAACGCTTACTAGATAAAAAACGCAAGGTACTATGCGTATTATGTGCGTATCGGACCGTAACGGCGGGTATGACAAGAAAAGACGGGGTACATTTTTCGCACCAAGCCCCGTAGAACTACCTATTCATAGAAAACACCTAGTGCTAACCGCGTTAGACGGGGATCGCTCGGTACATTAGCCCCCCATGTACGTGCCCCCAAAGATGCTATAGCCTCGCCGGATGGGAGGTATGTTATCGGCACACGGACTCGGGGAGGGGGGGCTAAGGTATAGGTACCTCCCATTCTCATGTATAGGTGTGGCGCTGCTTTTGCCTACCTTGTATACAGTGTACTATAGTCGCGTACCTATATGCAGTGTAATCTTGCACTTTCATCGGCATACATACATACATACTATTCTATTTCGATTGTATGTGTCGTAGCCCTACTTGCTACTGTACAATATCTATAGGTGCATGCTGTGCTACCAATACCAACCCCTCAATCTGTCATCCCGCATCACGTTTTTGGAGCTTACGAGAGAATTGAAAAAGTCCGGCGTAAATGGATTTGCTTTCTTACTTGCCTGCCCCCTCATCCCTCTCGCTACGTCCAATACTGTACGACGCCTTCTTGTCATCCCGCGGGCGCTATCCACGCCCTAGTTAGTAGGTCGAGCTTCCGCAATACGTTTAACGCGGAGGTTGGAGAAGGTAGTGACCGGCAAGTATCGGATAGCTGCAGCGTTTTTGGTAATACACACCCGGACGCCTCGGGGGGTTGGTCATGAGCACCTTCATTTCTTGGGGTAATTAAGAACGAATTTGTTTGCATGTTTGTTTCGTCCGATCTATGATGCACAACGGGTGCCTACGACCGGCATTAACCCTGTCCCATATTCATCGCATCGGGAGCTGTCGGCGTAGGATTTTAAACTTGATTTACTAAAAACGTGAGGAAGAGCCGATGATGCTAATCCATTCTTGTAAACATGGTAATTGGGGGGCCTGATCCTTCCACCTCCTATTCTCTTCACTTTCGGATCCCGCCCTCCTTGGCGTAAGATTCACGTAACACTTACATTCCTAAGGGGAGTCTTCAATTGCGAAGTCGATTATTACAGCCGAACATGCAATATTGTAACCCAATAATAGCCATAGCTGAGCGGCTGACAAGGAGGGTTGGACTATACCTTTCCCTCCCTACTTGTAAGCAATGCACGTACCGTAGCACGTGTGGATATATGTACATAAGCACGTTGTACCACGGTGGCGGCCCCGGTCCCCATCGACTACGGTCTTAGTTTCGCGTGGCAGACTGGGATTCTCTTCCCGCTCTCCGCTCCGTTCCGTGAGTACGGCTTCGGACTAGTGAAGGAATCAGGGGCTGAGAGATCAATATCTAGTGATATCATAACTTGCAGTGTAATAGCCCACTAACTGGAAAGGGTACTTTACTGTGCTAGGTGTGGCTCCGTGGTGTCGTCTTGTGAGTTGTTACCCGTAAGGCTCGATAAGGCTCTGTAAGGCTCTAATGACGACACTTATACTAGGTAGCACTCACCTAAATCTCGATCTACCCGCATGATATATGATACAGTTGTAAGTACGTTACCTGTATATTATGATAGAAGTTTATCTATTGCATGGAACACTATTGGGCGACAGGTTACTCGATCGGTGATCTATCATCTCGCTTCCCAGCCTTTCCCTTGGACCCAACCACCACGTTGCTATGCATTTTATAACCTGTATTCACAATAACTACTGCGATACTTCAAGGGGGTTCGGCATCTATGAAGATGAAAAGTGCAATGATACTATAGGTACTTTGCTTTTACATTACGTGGTTCGCTATAGCATCCTTGTCGGTCTCTCTCAGTGGCCAGCCCCATGCAGAACTTGGTTTTCACCAGGAATATAACTAGGAAATGAAGATATTACCATAGTCATTGACGCCCAATTGCTCCTCGGGTTGATTCAATTGATTGTACTGCCATTTCCCGCAAAATACCGAGCCTAACACTTGATCATATCCGGCATTAGATGTAGTTGAATTCGGTATTCTAAAAGGAAAAATGAAAAACCAATATTTCCGCAGGAGCGCTGTTACATCATATATACATGTTGTGACTCTAAGGTGAGTGTTTCGTTGAGGGGAATAAGGGTCATTAGATAATCCGCACGACATTCCTTGGTTATTACATGCACTGGGCTAAATTCCAAATAGCTCAACATGATATTACCATTCGCATCCTCAACACTTATTCAAGTGACTGAGTGGCTATATCTAGACCTATGTGTAGATTTGAGGCAGTTTAAACGCATTAATGTGGGGTGGGTGAAATGTACGATGATGAGTATACGTTAAAGCTCGCAGCATCACTCCCTGATATTAACAAGTTGCATGATATCTCTAGCAGGTATTTTTGGTAATACGTCGATAGATATTTGGTCAAGTACTTTCCCACGGCTTTATATCATGTTTTTTTGATCATAAATGTCTGCATGCCCTTAACATGAAATAGAAAGTAACGTCCCGAGATCAGGTACGTGAAAAGCATAGATTGGATATTCGAGCCCCCTCTAGGCTCACAATGGCTCTTGAGGATCATAGAAGATTCATTACGTACAAAGGAGTATACGACGCCGCTATATCTCGCCTTTATAATCTCTATAATTCACGTTGTCTATTGGTAGGAAATCCTCTAGTTGTTAGGCGTTGGTGATGCCACTTATTATTGATACCTCTACTCGAGGGTAACGCTGATAGCTTTGCCCTCCTGTAGTCGGTCAACTATATCGCTCACATACCTATGCAATCGGAGCGAAGAGGTGGCTCGCCGAGTAACTAACTAGTCTGCTCTACCTTATAAGCCATTCGGGGTTTTAATCAAGTGTCAACTCTGAACATGCTTCATACAGTCCCTGGGTTTACTGGGGGCGAGAGAAGCTTCTACCTATCTATTATACACTGACGCGACGCTGAAGGCTACCTAGGTAATGGGCTCAAACTTGTTATGCGTCGCGAAGGAAGCATGACTTACCTTGACAAGAATGAACTAGAGCAACATATGCAACTATATCGAATTCCGTGATACTATCGGATCCCCTGGCGGTACGCGTGATGCGAGTACGCAGGTAGCGATATAGAACAATCAAGAGTTCTTGAAGTTGTTGGGGAGCCTAGTATTTGCTCTACTTCGGCCTACATACGTGCGGCTTGCTCAACCGACAGATTGGATTATCACGGCAAATGATTATACGCAACTATAGAATTGCCGTAGGGATCTTTCTCGGGACCCGCGTTAAAGCGACGCGGCCGACATTGATGGCGAAGATAATCATCCTCGAATAATGCGGTGGCCTGATTTCGACACGCAAGATATATACAATGCAGTATCAAGCTAGTAAAACCGCCGAAGCTCCCATCCAGTGAACTCGATTAATCAATCGTTAGGAAAATGGCAAATTCAAGGACACGTCAGCCAGGTTAAGAGTGGGTGTAGTAGGGCCAACTAGTACCGGCCTAATTACTAACATCTTCATACGTATCGACCGATTGTTTCTGGAAGGTGTTTAATCTGAAGCCGTATCCACTCATCCCAACCAAACCTACAAGCTTTCGGAATTTATAATTCATCTTGGTCAATGAAGAAAGTAGGTTGGAGGAAAAGAAGTAATTCGATAAGGTTGAAACATCTAGCGACGAGACCACATTTGTTTCGCGAAATGATCGTCGCCGGCGTTAACGTATTGGAACAACCGCGACGACAGCCGTCTGATCTAACTCTGGGGCTTAGCTTGGCTTTCCGCGAGGCTGTCCATTGATAGCTGAAATGTCAATTAGTTGTAGTTAAGCTAGCGAATAATTATAATGAAAAAAAAAATCTGGTATTACGACCAGCCAAGCGAACCGGTGCGGCTCGCCAAGGCGACGTTGATACCCCTTGGCATTGGGATCTTGTTTCATCTCATCCGCACCCCGGGCTTCCCACTACAAACGAACTATCAAAGCGCGCGGCGTTTACTCGCTGAGGTCCCTAGTGAAACGATCTAAACTGCGACACGGCAATGATGTCGATCACCTTGAAAGTGTCGCGTGAGCTATTTCCGCATCCGGATGTGTAAAGGATAGTATTACAACTCCTCTACCCCCCTAGAGGGCTCCCATCTTTTCCCGACCCCCAATGTTCCTTGGCGACTCAAAATTCGATACCTTCAAGACGAGTTGAAGGGTAGTTGCCCGCTTACCGGCATTCGCGGTCCTATTGTCGTCGAAGCACCATCTCTCCTCCCACCATCGATCGAACTGTTTCTACACTACTATTCCCTGGTGGAGTTAGGTGTGCTGGAGTATTGATCGGGCAAAAAGAAAAACTAAATTTTGGGGGGACGCGAGCAAGGCTTTACTCGTCTCGACGGCATTTCATTCGTTTGGTTCGATTTTTTGTTTTAGTTACGATTGGATAGTTGCACAGGATGGCATATCAATTCCCCAAGACGATCAGCGCAGCGCGCGTCGCGAGTTTCGTCAGTACGGCGGCATGGATTCAGGGTGCTGCCGCTAGTGAGGCCTCTTTACCAGAGGAAGCCCTAAACAACTTCCTGCGAAGGCATGGTGTCACAAAGGTAGCTAGACAAGCACCCGCAGCTACAACCACGCCGGCGCCTGAGCCCGAAGACGAGGAGGACGACAAGGAGAGCGACTCGTCGGTAGATAGTGATGGAATATCATCTGTTTCTTCGCCTGGATCCACAGCTAGTGCCCCATCGGAAGAAGACGACAAAGAAGAGGATGATAAGGAAGATGACGACAAGGATGATGATGCAGCAGCCGCAGCCGCAAACTCCTCTGGTCCGCCCCAAGCCGGTATCGCCGCAGGCGCATCAGGCCAGCCAGCAATCGAATCGCCTGGTCCACCACCTCTCAGCACAGGCGCCAAAGTCGCTATTGGTGTATGGTCCGCAGTAGCTGTGGTGGCCATCTTAGGATTGGCATTTTTCTTCACCCGAAGACGAAGAAGAGCAAGACTCGCACAAGACGAGATGAACGCACTCCGGGACGAAGAACTAGCCAGGTCGCACCAAGAAATGTCACAAGGAGGAACCATGCAATTCCCACCTCCACCTCCTCCACCCGCACCAGTCATGGAACCAGCTTATCTCAGAGGTTCACAAGACGGCAATGGCAACGCTCGCGCGCCGAGCGGACAATGGATGGCAACACCACCATGGCAAGAAGACCCTCCCACGTGGCGAGACTCGCATCCCTGGCGCCAATCCCAGCCATCCGTAGCCGCGGGACCATCTGGTCTTCCCTCAGGCATAAGACCACCATTACCGCCCTTCGCCATGCAGAATACAAAACCCGAGGACGATAGGCGAACTGAATTCACGGCCGAGACTGAAAGTACGATCTTCGCGTATCGGTAGTGATGGACCGAGATGAGGAGTTCGGTAGGGAAAAACATGTTGCGCGCCAGGACTGCGCACACTTATAGAGCGGTATTACAATTCATCTTCGTTTTGTGGATTGAGTCCATAGTTAGTGTGCCATGCATTTAGTTCGGTTAATATCATTTGTTGCTGCTCATTCTAAACTGTTTAATGTGAGGAGTGTAATCATTAGTATTCTCACTTCGATGCTATATAGTTCCACCGCTAAAGCATCACTTGCGTTGCCAATTTTCTGAGATGTTTCCGGTGTTGAGAAACATGTTCGTTGCGCAAAAAAGGAGATTATAAGGCCTACTTAAGCATAAGCTTCTAGTAGACGTGGTAAAAAGGGTTGAGGGGAGTCAAGAACAAACGCATTTTCCATTATATAACTTCTCGACTATCTGGCTGGCTTGAATATCGCGCCGTAGGTATCACTGTGCTTTTTTTTTTGAGGACCATTACACCCAAGATGGAACAAGTAACTGTCCCAAATTTCATAGGAATATGAGAGGCCTGTAAGAGATTTCCTCCGCCGTAGCAATCCTCCTTACATAATGACTTCGTTAGCGACATCCTGTGAAGTTACGTTAGTTACGTCCATTCCAAATGTTATCGAACAATGTTAGGACTTACCCTCTTCAATTCCTTGAAAGGCAAGCAGACACAGTTCTGCACGCGTACTTCATCTCCAACTCCACATTCCTTGCCAAGAATGGTGATGCTTTGTACCTTCACACCGTTCTTCACAATACTGGTGGAGTGGCTCGTGACGGGCGTGGGGGTCCCTTCAACGCGAGCCCACGCACCGACACGGCTGTTCCAGCCAACAATGGAGTATAGCACGCAAGCGTCGTGCTTGATCTCTGCATCTTCAAGGACGATAGACTCCTTGACTCTTGCACCGGGTCCGATAGTCGCTCGGGGACCAATGGAAACGTTGGGGCCAAGTTTAGCGGTAGGATCGACGTGTGCAGAAGGGTGGATAAATACGGGGGGTATGACGTTAGGAGAGGGCTTCGCGAGTTCGGTCGATCCAGTCTGGAGTGCCTTTTGTAGGTATAGCGCGTTGGCTGGGACGGCGGAACCAGCTGTCTTGATTTGACGCCAGAAGTCCTTAGTCTCGTAGACGAAGAACTGCTTGCTATCTGCAAGATCACCTAGAATGTCTTGCTCCAAGCGGATGACTTCATTCTTGCGCTCCTCGTCTTCGTCGGCCATGAAACTCGACTCTAGGTTCTCGGACGATGGGTATGAGAGTAATCGTGGTCGGTCGGTTCTTCGCTTGATAGCGGTCTTGATGCTAGGGAAGATAGCGTCGACACTGAAAAGGTATACACCACAGTTGATAAGGTTTGAGATATGGCTCTCTGGCTTCTCGACGTAGTGGAGAACACGACGAGAGTGCTGGTCCGAGACGATGCAACCAAAGTTGGATGCAGCGTCCTCGCTCACCCGCGTACCGAGAATGACGGCCTCGGCATCTTTGTCGTCGAATAGCTTCTCCATCTCGTTGAGGGGGAAAGAACAGCAAACATCTGAGTTGAGGACAAAGATGCGCTCGGGCCGACCCTTGAGGATTGCATCTCGGAAGTGGTACAGACCACCTGCGGTGCCTAGTGCTTGGTATTCTCGTAGGTATTTGATAGGCAGGTTGGGGAACTCGGAGGCGGCCTCCTTGATGAAGTCCTTGAATACGGATTCGTCGTAGTAGCCGATCATGCAAACCTCCTGGATGGAGGGGACTTTCGCAATGGCGGTCAAGCAGTGCCAGATGATGGGGTGGCCAGCGACGTCGAAGAGAGGCTATTTTCGGTCGTTAGTATGGTTATTCGATATATATATATGTAGCCATTCGGCGAGCAGACCTTAGGGACATCGAGCGAGAGAGGGCGAAATCTGGTTCCTCTTGAAGGACCGCCGACCTGGATATCGTAGACAGCTTTGGTTAGTGGGGTCATTCACATATGTGCAGGTGTTAGGATTGTGATTGGGAATGGAATGTGCGCACAAGGATGACGGCTTTAGTGCCTTTATTGGCACCATTGGCCTTCTCTCGGATCGGAACCTGAAGCATGATGTCGAATTCGTATCAATGTTGTGTATGTTATATAAAAAGAAAAGAAGCAGTTGACGCTTGCTGGGCAAAGAAGTTTAAGTCATGGGGGATTGTGAGCGGTAATCTGCTTAGGACGTTTTTATTTAGCGTGGCGGGGCAGCACCTAGAACACTTGGAACTTTCAATTGTCGTTTAACACCCCCTGACCTGAAATTCTTTAGCGCATGCAGCTGGTGAACCTTGCTGTAATATAGCATTGAGTGCTCATTGGGGAAGTACGACCCTAGGGGATTGGTGGATGCCATTGACTGACATGCGTGCAACATGCGGAGGCACTAATTGGCGGGTTCTAGAGCTCGGAGGGAATAATTTTATGCCTTATAATACGGTGTTACTATCAGGGTACATAGGTACCTAGTAATAGTCATTAGCGACAACAAAGATTATCTTTAATACTATTCATTTGTCCTAGGAATGAACTTTCTATTCGTATCACTCTTTTCCTTTGGAATTTTTTCAAGGAGGGCCTAGCAAAATGCATAGCTTGACATAATTCCAGGAATTTGTCATGTTAACTGACTACGGTGTGGGCGATGACTTTATGCCCAACTAGTACTCCTAGTAGATGCTATTGGTACACGATCAGTTCCATGATTATCAAAACCTACGAGGTTTTGAATTGAGGCCTCTCGTTTATTTATCTTCCGTACTCTCATCCTTTGCTAGATCATGTTCCTTTAAGAGCGCTGTGATCTCATCCGCACTCCAAAGTCGGTGGTAGATCTTGCCATCCTTGGTCTGTCCCACTGTCGCAAACTCAACTATAAGGAATGATGTTAGTATTGCAAAATATATCGATACTTTAGAACCTTAACTCACTCTTCTCACTGCTCAACTTAGTCGAGTCCATAGTCTTGCTTAGTACCTTAACCGCCATGCCGCAAGCCTCCTTCAACGTGCAGTCCTCCTTGTAGTCCTGCTTTAATAAGCTCGAGGCGCTTGCATTGTTGGCACCTGCACTCGTCGCTTTCCAGCCACCGTAGTTACCCGAAGGATTGCTTAGGTAGAGCTGGAATTGTCGCTGGGGGTCCCAACCGGCGTAGATGAAGGATACACCAAACGGCCGCAGTCCACCATGTTGAGTATAGCCTTGCTTAAGATCGCATAGTCTTCGGACCAGCTGCTCACATGGGATGTCTTCGTTATAAGTGAGGAGGTATCGTTGGGCGGCTTGTCGGGCATAGTTGATGAGGATGTTTGCGTCGGCTGTCATGCCAGCTACTGCACAGATCATGTTGCTGAGAATCATTAGAACCTAAGGTCAAATTAAGTTTCGATAGCAACCCAAATACTCACTCATTCAAGATATAGAGCTTTTCTGCTGAGGTATCTTGCTCTAATAGCTTCGATGTAACCTTGCGCTCTGCAGCCAGAACGATGCCATCTTTAGCGAGAATTCCGATCGCAGTTCCGGCGTGAGATATAGCCTCGAGCGCATATTCGACCTGGTACAAGCGACCTTCAGGTGAAAAGATAGTGGTCTGTCCTAAGTATTAGCTTCCTTGTTCGTCATGTTGCTATATATCAGGTAGACAGCTCTGGGGCTTACTCGAGAATCGTAACGGCGAGACATGATGTCAAATCCGGCCGAGAAAATAGAATATTAGAATTTCGGCACAAACTTCAGTAGCAGCACGGATTGACGAGTAGAAGCAGGAAACGATAGTTGTTGTTTGGTATGTTAATTGGTATAGAGTTAGCAAGGTTGAACTGTTGTTGGACTGTTGCTAAACCAAGGCTGGATGGCAGCTAGGCAAGAGCTCCGACGCGTACCTACAAAGCTGTCTGGAGTGCACTAACCCGCAAGGCGAGAGCTAGGGTGGGATTACATAATAATAAAGTGGCTCATGATTTTGGGAAAGCCACACTTAGTACCCCGCCCGCGACCTTGAAATTTTAGCAAGGATACATGTATACATGTAATTTTACTGCTGTATGTATGTACCTAAGACGTTGATTGTATGGAATTAGAAAGTGTCGACATTTTACCAATCAATCGGCCAAGCGTACTTAAAATTTGGATGCTTAGATTAGAAGCAGAGGTAAGTGTTATGACGATGAAATTGAATACAATATACTATCTTTCAAGGTTGTGCCGAGTTCTCTGTTTGTATTGATGTTTTGTTTTTTTGAAGATAGTTGAGGTACATTATACATAATGTATCTATCCGACGCCACATATGCACCGGGTACGTACCTATAGCAATCCTTGTCGCTAACAACCGCGGCTTCTTTATTTCACCAGCCTTCTTGCCTCTTGGGGGATTTTCCTAACCACAGCGCCAGAGCGCCTACCTAAGCTAAGGATGTAAGGTCCGTGCACGCAGGGCGCCGCCGCTTTTTTCTATGTAACACTTCCCCATTCAAGAGTCAAACCTCCACCCGCGACCATCCAAACCTTGGAACTTTACAACCTTACAACATCAAATATCCGGGTGGACCACGTCGCGGCGCGGATACAATACGACACGGAACGACACGGCATTGTAATACATACGCGTATTCATACTAAATTTCCTTACTTCAATCAACAACAAGGAGGTACCGCTTTGTTACTAGCGATTGAATCCTTTTGCGACGAGGCCTGTTTCGCGGTATCGGCGATTTCATCGCATGTCATTTGGCCCTCTTTACCTATTCACCGCCTATGCGCCAACTTCGCGAGCTTCGATCAGCAAATTCGATTGCTTTTCTTTCTTTTCTCTTCAATCCGAAATCCGAAACAAAAGCTAGGTTCCATTAGGTACTAGAAGTGGTTGGAGTTACTCTCAAATCGTGGGAAACATCCACCCCCATATCTTCTGGTCAGATCATAGAGATCAATCCATTTCTCGTAGAAGCCATGATTGCCTGAAGAGTACTGTTGCCAATTCCTACAAGTCGCAACGTAGACACAGACTATCTAAACGCCGCAAGCAACTCTACTACTTCGTATACTGTCTTTTAAACGTCACCGGTTTTCATTATGTCTGGTAAGACCACCAAACTTCCATAGATTTGCGACGAACAGCATGGCAGCCTACCCTATCGTCACTAGTCTGGCCTCGATATCTAAATCTACACTTTCTTTTACAACCATCCAACACTAAAGTCCGCCTAGTGATATATGTATGCTAACATACGTTCTTTTCCACAGCCGCCGAACAAGAGCCTCGCCGCTCCGTGCGAGCTACTAAGGGTCAGCACACGAAAGCTTTCGATCAGCTCGAGAACGGACCGGAGCCTGCAAAGCGAAGGCAGACCAAAAAAGGCGGTAAGAAGGCGGCAGAGAAGGACGAGAAGCAAGAAGAAGACGAAGAAATCATTCGTTGTATCTGTGGTGCGACCACTCAAGATGACGATGATACGAACGAGCCATGGATAGCCTGCGACAAATGTGGCGCTTGGCAACACAATGTGTGCATGGGCATGAGTGTTTTTACCGAAGATTTAACTAGAGATTATTTCTGCGAACAATGCGCGCCCGACGATCACAAGAGTACTCTAGAGGCCATTAAGAAGGGAGAGAAGCCCTGGGAAGGCCGAAGACAGAAGTACGAGGAGGACAAGAAACGCAAGAAGGGTAGGAAGGGTAAAGGAAAGCGCGCAAGTGATCCTAAAGACCGCGCGTCGCCCAGCGCTACCAGCACGAAGGCGAAACCATCACCGACTCCCGACGCGAAAAAGGAAGAAGGCGTCCCAGAGCCCATCAATAAGGGAAAGCGAAAGTCTCGAGACCACTCTCAAGGTCCACAGAGCAAGCTGCGCAAAGTTACAGAAGCTCAAGCGGTTCCCGTACCTGTACCCGACCCCAAGTATACCCCTCCGAATGATCTTCCCGAGAATATTCAGAAGCTTGAAGGGTCTCGAAGACAAGCGGCGGTTGCATTACAGAAAGCGCTTGATGCTGCCATTGACTTAGCGGAGAAGAAGAAGCTTTATACCATTCCTCAAGGCACTGTCAAGAAGAATGTCACGGAACGCTTGGCTATCGAGATTGAGCGTGCCTTTTATGATACCCATCCGAATACTTCACACAACGCATCGCAGCTTCGAACGCTTATTTTCAGTTTGAAGAACAATGTTGAGCTAGCTGCGCAAGTACTCGTGAAGTCAGTATCGCCTCCGTCTTTCGTAGTAATGACGGGAGATGAGTTGGCTACTAGGGAACAGCAGCGTGAAACCGCTGAGATGAAAGCTCGCGCAGAAAAGCAGTCAATTCTTATCACGGATGATGGCCCGCGAGTCAGGCGGACCCACAAAGGGGAAGAGGTGATCGAGCCAGACCACTTCACTGGCGATGCGGATGATACTTCATCTAACCTTCGTCGTCAAGCATTAAAGGAGGCGAGGGAAGCAAGCGAGGCCGGAAACACGAGCAATGACCAAGCTGTGTCTACATCAACTGATAGGGTGGCGTCCCCCGCGAATGCTGGTAGTCGATCAGGCTCCTCAGCAGCGCCCCTTCGAGTTGATACACAGTCATCTCAACATTCGCCTAAACGAGCTGATTTTGACATTGGCAAAGTTTTCTCGAGCGTGCGATCCCCATCCGCATCACACCAGCGACGAGCCTCAACACAAGTCCAATCAACTGGCCCGGGAGATGATCCCGATGTCGACCGATTACTCCAAGAAGATGGCAATGACTCACCGCCGTACTCTCCATCTGAACACATCGATCCTGATGTTGTTTGGCGAGGTCCCCTTTATATGACGAATGTGGCCGAAGTGGAGGTCGTGGCGAAGTATGCGGGTGGCGCTGATCTCAGCAAGGTTAGGAATATCGCATGGAAAGATCTCATACCTGCCTATCTTACTGTTGCTGGTCGAATCACGGAGGAAAAGGCTATTCCGTACCTTTGTGGCTTGCGATACAATAACCAGGTCGACCTAGTCATCACCAGCTTAACTCCAAGCCATTCAGGGGATCCCGCAGCCCGTAAACAATTCTTAGCCGTTATCGATTATTTTCTGTCTAAGAAGCGATATGGAGTTGTTGGAGAGAAGAGACTTGGTAATGTGAGAGACACGTATCTAGTGCCAGTGCCGGAGGGCGAAGGTGGAATCCCGGAACCCGTACAGAACATCGATGGGCATCTTGTTCCTCTAAAGCGCACCGAGCCTATGCTATTGATGATATTTGTTTATCGGGACGAGAGACAGGTTCAGATTCCGATAGATCAGCAACGATCCGAGATGCAGAAGGCTACTTCAACGACACCTGCACAAGGTACCCCGTTACCACCAAGATCTTCCGTCTCGGCTGGACCAGCGTGGTCGCCCGCAACTCCGCAAGGGTCTTCTGGTAACAACAATATACCCCAGACGACGCACTACAACCAGACACCGGTCCCGCCGCCTAAGATTCCGGGCCATACTCCGCCTGTAGCGCCTCCCCGCCAAGCCCCATCAACTGGCACAGCACCTGTCGCTCAAGATCCTATGGTACCGGCCCTACGAGCCGCGCAGGCCGAGGGTGAGAAGAAGGCACGTGAAGTCCTTGGTCCTTTATTTTCTAGCTCTACAGTGGCATTCTTACTGCCGCACGCCGCCCGTATGAAGGAAGGCGAATGGACAGCTGTCCGTCGTGCTCTGGAGCGAGATCCAAAAGCTCGTGACGATTTGCAGCTTTTAAGTAAGCTTCTCACTGAAGATGGCAATACCGGCCGCAAGCCGGGCGCCCAGACTACTAATGCGGCGCCATCCGGGGTTGTACAAACTACACTTGCTGCTGCGACGGATGGAAGTCCAGCGCAGGCTTCTTGAAGCGGACTGTTGAACTACCCGCCGACTCTCGGCAAATCCTGTTTTGTTTGAGTGGATATGCATCTCGACTTGGGCGATTGGCGTTTGGTCACTTGAATGCATGACGAGCTTTCTTGAAAGAAGTCGTAAAGGAGGACTACATGTACTCCTAAACAACGTTTCCGACTATAATAAACCAGAAGTATTCTCTCAAGCATTGCCAATCCCTTTGATCTCATCTAGCCCGAGGCTGTGTTCAACTGGCAAAATAATTGAGAGCAGTAGAGATGCATTTGCAAGGCCAGTAATCGCACCACCACCCCAAAAATCACCGATTTTCAAGCAGTTGCGATCAATGCATCATATTTTTCACGGGCGCCGCGCTACACACTCAAGTAGAGCACGGTTTTTTAATCAAACTTCGAGCATCGGGACGTCTTCAAGAGGTCTCACCACACTAAGGTCAGTTCTATGGACTGGTTTGAGCACACTATTCGCTCAGAGTCTAGGAACTAACGGCGTCAATAGGAAGAGGAAGATCCGAATTTCGTTCCTGTCTAAAGGATGCGATTTATGTTTCCCTGAATTAACGGGGATCGTGTAATGAATTTCACACCTGGAAAATGTTGGAGGATTTTTTTTTTAATTCGGGCATTTCGGTGCCCGCGTTCCTGGCTTGTATGTAGCAATTGGCCGCTTACGCGCCGCGGTCTGAATATATCGCACTCGGATTTATTACTTATTTATTGCTTTTTGCTTGCATCGTGCTTCTGGCCTGACTATTGAATATCCTGGGCTGTGGGTTGGGAGAATCTGAAGTTGGAAAATCCCTGGTTACTCGAGGGTACGTCTTCCTGATCAAACTCTTAACTCTCAATCCATGCATTGATCCTATATCTATCTCTTAGGTTACTCGTCGACGCTGGGTTTCCTAGCCAGTAACTCCCAATCCGCCGCACAATTGACACTTTCATTGAACCTATCGCCCAGTTTGATGATCTCGAGAATGTCGATCCAATGGGGTCGGGGTGTCGCCACCGCGACGGCGAATGTGGCGATTGCGGCTCGTCCGGTCGCATCTTAGTAACTATTAACTTAGTAACCATCTTGCCCGTCGTTTTTTCTTCGGAATATGGAAAATAACTACGGAAACACCCCTCTTAGCGTAGTCGCAGGTACCGTCGCGATATATGCTCAGTCACATCCGGTAAAGGAAGGACCGGATAGCGTGACGATGGATGGCACGGATGTGACGGTCTCGACATAAACGAATTGACTAGTGGCAACAACAGCTAAGGCCTAGAAGGCCCCAGATCTGCAAGGCTCTACGAAGTTTTCCGTCTACAGATTACTGATAATCATTGGGCCGCAATCAATAAGCGCTACATAACCCCTGAGGTCGTAGGCTCAGCGACGTCTAATTCTCCAATTGGCCCGAACTACGTACGGGATGATCCAATGTTACGGAGGCCAGCACTTAATACACTTCATCTATTTCCGACCGACACCTAATTACTTGGGTTATTTTGTTGGCCATTAGTACTTGGGTGTACGTGACCGAGGTCCTAGTTTAGGCACGACTGGGTTCCGGAAGCCCGTTAGGAAAGAGTTAAAGTGGCCATATCATTTTTCAGGGCGAATAAGACTGCAGGATTATATGCGTTTTACTTTGATGTAGGTACATTCTAAGTGCAGACAGACTCAGAACGGTCTCTAAGTCATCTCTAACTGTGCTTAGACAACACTACGAATACCCACTAGGTCTATGCGTTAATAAACCCATCTCTACTAGGTTTTAGGTAGATAGAAGTCACTTAATGATTGTAAGTCAAGGTAGATGAGAAGTATCATTTTAAATTAAAAATCACAATTACTGTTCCCCATATTCTAGGTGATAAATCTCACTCTCGCCTTCGTGAGCTCGTGCCCATTGTCTAGACCCCCCAATACATGATGATTCCAGATTACAACATGATGCGACGGCCGACAACCTTACACTAGCAATACAGGTGAGGATGAATACATGATGGGGGTATATTTGACCCCGTTTCCCCATTCCCAAGTCTTTTATGTGTTCCTTTTCCCTCCCGATGCCCAAATGATTAAAAATAATGTAAAAATGAACAAAGGAAAAGTAATGGTGAATAAGAATATGCGACAGAGAAGTAGAATATGCAGATATCCCTCCCTCCTTTGGGCACTCCGACAATCTATCGTAGCTCACTCGCTCGCTTCGCTTCCCCTTCCTCGTACATGACGACAGCGACAACATGGTGTACAGCTGATGATGATGAAAGAAGTAACTAAACAATAATAAGTAAAAAAAACCTGCTCAATGATATCCCAGTTCCCCTGTCGATATCCCGTGTGCTTTTATGTATCCCGTAAATAAACCCCGTAATTCCTGTAAAACCCTTGACGATAAGACGGTTCGTTCGCTCGTTGACTCGTTAGCAGTAATCAAGCAACAGCGCCCGTCAAATTCCTCGTCAATCTCCCAAAGGTATATCCAATCCATTCTATTTTTCGTTGTTTTTGATTAGGTAGGTAGGTAGTTGATTGATTTTCCCTTTTCATTCCTCCTCTATCGAGTCTCCAAGCTAGGCCTAGCAGAGACTGTGGACTTCGCCACCCAAGAAATTTTTAGTAAGTCGCTTAAGACGGGGAGCGGGATCGCTCCTTGGTGAGGGCATCGCGGGTGGCGACGCTGACGTTGCTGCGCTCGGCGGGGTTACGCACGAAGAAGAGACCGTTGGGGGATCGACTTTGACGCTTGCCGTTAGTACGCGAGTTGCTGCGCGACTTGGGTCGGCTGCTGTTGTTGCCACCCTGGAGCTTGTTGACAAGCTGTTCGAACTCAGTCGCTCGGGCATGCGCGAGGACACGCTCGGCGTTGGCGTCGACGACCTGCTGGTTCATTGCGGACAACTTCGTCGTCAGTGTCTGCACTTGCTCGATCAGACCGGGCACTTTCTCGGCTTCGGTTTGAAGATCCTTGATCTTGCCCTCGAGGTCTGTCTTCTCCTTCGTCAGCGCTGTGACCTTGTCTGTCTCAGCAGCGAGCTCCTTGGCCTTGCTCTCGACGGTGGCTTCAAGGTCGGCCTTCTCTTTTGTTAGAGGTGCAACCTTGTCGGCTTCGGCTTGGAGTTCCGTAGTCTTGGACTCCAGGTCTGACTTCTCTTGTGAGAGAGTTGTGACCTTGACCTCGAGGTCCTTAACGCTTCCCTCAAGGGTAGCCTTCTCCTCGCTAAGCTTTGCGAAGCCCGATGACTCCTCGAGATTCTTGTTGACGGCTGCGAGCTGGTCCTTCTCATCTTGAAGCGCCTTGTTAGTTTCTTGGTGCTTCTCAATGTCGGCTTCGAGGCCCTTGGACCGCTCTTCAAGACCAGCGTGATCCTGGCGGAGCTTCTCTAGGTCTTCATTGACCTTCTCGAGCTCAGCGGTGCGAGCGATCAGCCCTCCCTTCTCCGTCTCAAGTGCCTTGTTCTGGTCCTGTACTCGGCCGAGTTCCGTCTGGGTAGTTAGCAAGTTGGTTCGAATGCTCGTCAATTCGGTGTCGAATCCCAAACTTCGAGATGCTAGCGCGATGTTGGCGTCCTTGGCCCCGTTAACTTCGGTGATTAGCCCATCGATCGTCGACTGCTTGTCGTCTAGGACAGCCTTGAAGTCTAGAGCTTGCTTGTCGAGCTCTTGCTTCGTGGTCTCTAGTTGCTTGCCTAGGTCTTCCTTGGTAGCTTCCAGCTCCTTCTCGAGGTCGCCCTTGGCGGTCTCAAGCTGCTTCTCGAGATCTGCCTTTGTCGTTTCGAGTTGTTTCTCGACTTCGTCTCTGGCGATCTTAGTAGCGTCGAGTTGAGCTTGTATGTCGCCCTTCTCAGATTGAGCGGCTTCAAGTTGCTTATCGATATCTTCCCTGCTAGTCTTTGCTGACTCTATGGCCTGCTGGAGGGAGTTCTTGTCCGACTCGAGAGATGATAGTTGTGCCTTGAGGGATGCAAGTTCTTGCTCGAAGCCTTGAACCTTTTCTAGGAGTGCAATCTTCTCATTTTCGAGACCCTCAATTTGGCTTCGGAGTTCTAGCTTTTCCTTCTGGAGTGCTTCATTTTCCTCCCTGAAGGGTGTCCTGTCGACTTCGAGGATCCTCACTCTAGCCTGGAACTCCTGAGACTCTGCTCGAGCAGCGTCTCTTTCAACTTCCAGTTCCTTGACCTCGTGGTCTAGGTCGCTGAGTTCCTGGTTAAGTATTCTAAGTTCCTCGTTAATCTCCTTGACATCCTGAGCTCGAACCTCCAGTCGCTTTTCATAGTGGGCTGTGTCGGACTCTAGCTTGTTGATATCCCGCCTGAGCGCGGCCTCTTGTTCCCTTTTAACGGCTTCTTGGTCTTCTAGCGCTCTCTCGAGCCTGGCGATCTGCTTTTGGTACTTGTCTTGGCTGTGCCTCAGGTCGTCTCGTTCCCTCTCCGCCTCTTCTAGAGCTGCGCTGAACTCATCAGAGAGTTGCCTCTGCTCTTGGAGGTCTCTGATAAGAAGTTCCTTGTTGTTTCGCTCAAAGTTAAGAACTCGTACTATTTCCCTGTGCTCGTTTCCTCGGTTCGATAGTTGTACTGATGCGTCGTCCAAGTCCTTGCTTAGTCTGCTGCGTTCGGATTCTAATTGTTCAATCCTGTACATCAGATTATCATCTTGTCTCCGGGCAACCTGGAGTTCTCGAGACGGAGGTGGAGGGAGAGCAGGTAAAGATTGAACTTGAGATTGAGTTTGAGATTGGGTCTGAGATTGGTTGGAGCTTTGTTTTGGAGAGACGAATTCGATGTGTACCGTCCTACTCTTCTTCTCCGGTACAGGAGGCTTGGATACTTCTGAAGGCGCCTTAGATCGTGGCCGTGTCCTGACCCGGTTTGCTTGTGGGACATGTCGAATATGCTTAACCTGGGTTGAAGGCTTAGACGGCTTCGGCGGAATAGAAGAACTATCCGATAACACACTGGTGGCTTGAGTGTTTACGGAAAGATTGGATGAATCTGATTGAGAGTCTGTCTCGTAGCTGAACCTCTCACTGTCCGAGGGATATGTTTGTTCCGAACCAAATGTTGGTGATTGAGGTGCCGAGACTGTGTGATGGTATACCGGCTCCGGCCTTGGTACCCTGTAGAACCGTGCTGCAAGTGGGTCTTGTGGCCGTGTTAAGGCCATGGGAGGATTTATGGAAGGGATGGAAGATGGTGGTAATGGGTTCTTCAGGATACTCTTTAGGGTACCTGTTGTTGTTGGTGGTGATGTTCTTTGACTAGATGTCTCTGTCGTCTCTGAGTCTCGTGATGTAGCAGGTCGTGATGATGATCTCGGCCGTGATAACTCCCTCGGCCGGGATGGTTCCCTTGGCCTCGATGGCTCTCTGCTCCGCTGCTCAGTGTAAGTCGGGAATCCGCCCGGCATGGCGAATGCCCGATCCACGGGTCGGCTTATTCTGGTGTCCATGCTGCTTCTGCTTCTGCTTCTGCTCTTTCTATTGCCCTATTCCTTATTATCCTCTTATAGTTTATCGTATTCCGGGTAGAATTGGTAGATTATGTCAGTTGAGTAATGTGGCCAGCTGAGTAGTGTTAATACAATTTTATGAATTGAAGAAGTGTTGTGGTAATAGATCATTTCGCTGGGCTTGGTTAGGTTTTTGATGTCTTGGGGCTAAGACAAGGTGAGGCAAACGGTTAAGGACGTAGTAGAGGGCTTTTGTTCGATTTCCAATGTGAGGATCAGGAGACGCATATACGCATACATAATACATACATATACATACATACACATATACACACCCCCGAAAAGGAAGGCTGACATCTATGGGGTACGGGGGGGTGTGACGGAATAGTACAGATTTCTACATAGCGCACTGCAAGTTGTCGGGACCACACGACCGCGTGCTAACCAGGATGCCATCCCCGGGTGTTCTGCAAGGGAATTTGCTGTACCTCCTTGACTCACCGCGAGGCGCCCAATCGATAAATGGTACGTTGCCCAACGGACCCAGTCGTTAAAAGTAGACACAAGGACACAGTAGCCTGAGACATGTCTTTCGTAGTAACTCGTAGTAGAAGTTGTAGTATCCAGCTGCCCACACGGTTGTACCTGGTGAGCGAAGAGGTTGGATCATATGCCCAACTAATCGAGTTGGGCAGGCATGCATTCAGGTAGATATGATTGGTCAAAAAACAGGTGACGATGGATGCCAATGGATGCTGCCCACAGTCCACCCCACCCCCTATATTTGCCACCAATGCCAAGTCACAGGGCGCAATTATTATTACTGACCACTCCGCGTTCCTATCACCTTTGTGTGAGAGTATTGTATGCAATTCTCGCTTCGTTGTTGGCTGGATGACGTCTGTTAGGTCTCCTCTGCCCTACATTTCCCACTCAGGACCCAATGCTGGCCCAAGGGCTTATGCGCTAAGCGAAGACCTGTCTTAATGCCTCTTCCAGGGACTCACGGACCTCATGAAGGCCAGATACGCCCTAATTTATATAGGATTGGACACTGCTTGCATCTCTGTATACCAATCACTGTGTTCCGGAGCCAGTTGAACCATCATTCCTGTTTTGAGATTGTTTTCTAGTATGACGCCTCTCTCCGGCTTTATTGAGTCGTCAATTGTTGCTATATGCAGAGCGACTAGATAGGCCTTGCCAGTGGACAATGGATGGATCGGCCATCCAGCGCCCCTGATAGTCCGATTGAAAAACTCCCGTTGGCGTAGTGAGCGTCCTTTTAGCAGAGCGATTAACAATGTCGGTAGATACCTACAAGAATGAATCGCGTCTATCCTTACTACGGTAGGGTGACTTTGAAAAAATTTGCACAGTGTTACATTTCTTAGTAATTGTGAAAAGGAAAGGGTTTCAATTGTGTGAAACATCACGAATACTATTCGGCTTGATAGATATTAAAGATTCTCGATCCCAAAAAGACTACCACAGTCAATCATCGGCAATCCTTTACCTAGTCAACACCTGTTTTCAATATTTACAACGTCTTACAAACTGTCAGAGATTGATGTCTGTCTAAGCGACAAACAGGTTTTTGCCAGATGTGATAGACAATCCTATCGAGATCTCAGGGACCGAGCATAACTGTTGTGCTCCCGGTCGCATGGTACGAAACTTGCGCGCATTATTTGATTTTCATGATTTTTCTTATGATTTTCTCGTTAACATTGTTCCGATAGGTAGTACCGTCTCGCGCTGCATAAAACAGTTGCGTAGGTGGAGTGAGAAAATCAAGTAGTTCATACCACAGTTGATGAATTGGCGTTTATGCCATAGAAAAGGGAGTCTTCTCACCTATACCTCCACTTTCACACTGTGCCATATAACTACTTCTCGAGTAAGAAAACACATCAGCTTGCATCGCAGTAGTGTCTACGTATTGAATATCTCTGCCAACCAAAATCGATACGTCGTGCAAGAGGCCGAAAACATCGTTCCTAGATGCTGCACGTGATTTATTCGCAGGTACTATTTGCATCTAATATACATAATATATAGTATAAATATACCTCGTCTACGTAAGCGTGATACATACGAATGAATAAATGAAGTCCCCTATTCTCTGAGACACTGTGGGTGACTGTACGACCTTGGGCTCCAAGTAACAGGACATCCGGAGTAAGGACATAAGCCACAGTGACGCTTTGTCCCTGGACTACCCGCCCAGCTAGGAAGGACAATATTGACCAAAAGCAAAAGCATTAATATCAATATAAATCCTGGCATATCCAATACCTTGAAATACGTCATCGCCAGTAAGAGACCATCAACTCGGTAACTTGGACGTATTTGACGCCCGCCTAACGTGCGGAAACGCAGGATATTGAAACCAAGAACTTTCTAGCCATGCAATGCATATTACATATACTGCTACTGCATCACTCAGGGTTGGCTCTGGCCCGTACCGTCCGCTGGTTCCCGATGCCAAACGCGGGGAATCGCCAATTTTGAAAACTGCAGCGTAGCGCGGCCCGCCCGCCGGCATACTCCCAATCATCGGCTCCCAACGGCAACCCGGGCAACTTATTGGCCATCCGGAAGGGTCTCGTGAGTTTGCGAGTGGGAAAACGCGGTTTAATTCCACCCTCACTCCCCTGCGCCCGAGTAGAGCGAAAAAAAAGAACCAGACGATTCCTGCTTGTTCCAGACGTCTTAATTGCACCCCATACCCAACCTCCTCCATTTTTTCTATGGCTAGGCTAGAAGGGTCCAGGCAGACACAGGTACAAACAATACAATCGATACAAACAACAACACAGACGCACAATTTTTTTTTTCACAGACCGACCATACGATCAACCAGATGGATCGACCATCCACGGATCTCAGGACAGGGCTCTGGACATACGAAGGTAAGGCACCTCACCCTTGAAGAAGGGTTCTCCCTCACCGCTCATGCCGAAGCGTTGGTAAAAACCCAAAGCGCCCTGGCGGGCGTCGCACCAGATACTCGTGGCACCTTTTCTAGCGGCCACCTCGATGGTGTAAGTAAGTAGGGCGGAACCCACTCCTTTGCCCTGCCACGCCGGTGCTGTGGCGAATTTGCGAAACCGAGCCGCGCCACTCTCCCCATCGACGAACAGCGATATGATGCTTACCAGCTCCTCGGGACTTCGCGCGTCTTCTTCATCCCTATTGATGCCATCACTGACGTCGTCGCCCTTGTTATTCGATGACGAAGCAGCATCAACAATAACATAAGCCCCGAAATGCTGACCGTCGAGGTCGTCGGGCAGCTGCACGTAAGACAGAGGTTTGTTGGGCCATAGCACTGCCTGCCGCAGCGCGTATGTATTCTCTGCTGAGATGTGCCGTATTGTTATGAGTGGCCTGTTTGTTATGAAAGAAGAGGCGCGTTGAGGCTCCATGTTGGGTTGAACTTGAGTTCTATAGGTGAGACTATTTTTTTATATTTCACTCATTCGTCAACTCACGATGGCTCGCAATAGCTTTCGATGAGTCACATGAGCCCTAATTTAGCGGAGAAGAAATCTAGCTAGAATCGCCTAAGATTATTTCTGCTGACAGACTCGAACATCTGGCCCCACTGACTATTTCGCTGACAGCCTCCCGTTCCCCCCTATAACACCACAGCACCAGTATACAAAAAGGGGGTAGCCCCATAATCAAAAAAATAACAAACAAGTAAATGAATTACTATACTACACAGTGGTGACAATATATGGACATACCTAGCAGCAAGGATAACAAGGAAAAATACGAAGTTACAATGGGGCTATATCCATATATTCCACGTAGGCCGCGCGTAGACTATTGAGTTAATAACTGGATTAACAACCAGACTATAGACCTTTAATCCTTAGTATACCCGTTATTGAGCCTCAAGACTCACCGAAACCAACCAGTAAAAACCAACGAAGACGAGGCTAAGTATGGGCAATGCGCGCTTTGAGCAACTCGTGTTTTTCTCATGACAGTTAAGACAGGCAAGGTAGTATTCAGGACAACTAATTTTTTACATTTTAGAACCACATTCTATATTCCACAATTATGATACGCATAGAACATGCAGTCGAGGCTTTACGAAAACTATTGATATACAAACACTCTGTTAACTCCAGTTGTAAAGACTAGACTGAGGCCTCCCGCCTAACCAGTAATAATCAAGGTTGGCTCCGCCCGGATGCGTTGCAATCGGCCAAGTTGTCTGTACTCGTACCCTTGTTGAGCCCCTCCCTCCACGTCTGCCGCTCCGTCTTGGATACTCCGGGACCCTCGTATACACTCCCGTATAACCCCGTCGCCCAGGTACTACCCTGTTTCGCGGCCTCCGTAATTGGTTCACCTTGCTTCTGTTTCTGCTGCTTCGTGTATCTGCGTCTGTACCACTTGCCGTAACTGAGCAGGTAGTACAGCCGGAAGCAGAGAAACGCAAACTTGTCATGTTCGAGGTCCGCCGGATACTCGGCACCGAGATCGACGGCCGCCGCTATACCAGACATGACTGCGACCTCGTGGGCGTTGACCAGGGTCCAGGCAGCCGCGAAGCGGGTGTGGTTCTTGGCTTGGAGAAACATCATCCATGGCACGACGAACAGGTAATGTGTGTAGCTGTGGCACAGCTGATGCCAGCAATCCTTCCTAATAATTTTGTCCTCCTTAATCTCATGATCCGTCCACAACTTCCTGTCGCGGTCTTTGTTTAGATAGATGGTCTGGAAAACATGTTGTTCGAAAGGCGCCTTATCCGGAAACTGGCTCTGGTAGTTCGTCGTGTCGAAACACATCTCAAGCTTCGACTTATCCTCCGGGTACATCTTAATGTAATACATCGGCCGAAAATTATTCGTCGCAAAGTCCAAACGTTCAGTCTGGTCAACACCGTTTATCTTCGAAACAGATAAGTCCCCGCGATAAAAATTCTCATAATGGTTTTTCATATAATCCGCATCATTATGCGTAATCGTAATATCATCACTAAACTTAGCCGACCCCAGCACCCGTCTCTCCCTCCAAGAAGCCGCTCTACCCAATACCTTCTTCGCGATATCAGCCAAGCAGCACATCACGATCTCATCGAAAACCTCCTCAATAAGCGGAGCACCGGGGTCTCCGCCAGTAGGATTATGCCCATCATCCGCCGGAGTACGTGATTTGAGCTTAACGATCACCCCGCGATTACTCCTCTCAACGATCTCCCTTAGCTCCGTTGATAGGCGAACCGTCACGCCACGCGTTACGAGATCCTTCCGCCAAGCATCGTAAAACTCGGAGAAGTTGGGGAACACCACCATCGGCGGTTGGTTCCTAACGACCGTGTTTTCGTCCGGGGCATACCACATGCCATACGTCGGCGACGTGCACAAGCGCTCGAACATGATAGCGGGGACTTCCGGGGTCGCGTTTCCGGTACCTAGGAAGAGGGCCGTCATGGGTAGGGCAATTGTGTTGGCGAATTCCTCCGAGAACCTGAACAGCTTGAGGACGAATTTGAGTGGGAGTAGGGCGAAGAATATCTCGAACCAACGCATCACCTTCAATATCGTTGGCAAGCGTCTAACTTCTCTCTGATGCCGCGCTAGAAGTTTCGTGGGGAATACATTGGACCAGAAAATGTCATCCTTTCCGAAAGAAACCTGGAGATTTACAGGGTCTGCGTGGAAACCCTGTCGATGAAACATGGTCAACGTATGGTGGAAAATGTAGGAGCCACCCTGAACTCCCTGATTGCACCACGAAGCGCCATGGTATTTCTTGTCTAATGGGATTGAGAACGCTTGTCCGCCGCAGTAGTCGACGGCGTCAATCAATGTAACATCAAATTTGTTGGGATGTTGTGATAAATGGTAGGCCGTAGACATGCTATTGAAATGTTAGAATAATGAGATGCTATAGCCATAGAAATTCAGATATTCAATTCATACCCAGCAGCACCAGCACCCACAACGAGGACTCTTTTACGTCCATCTTGATCCTTGTATCCGTTCTGAGCCATGGTGGGACCGCTCTGTCGCTCAATATCGTGATTGTAGTTGTCGCTAGCCATTCACTGCTGATGCACTCCACTTGCGCGCTACAACTATAGAGCGGAATTTGACGAAAGGTACATACATTCTGTCAGAAATCATTCCTTTGAAGCCTAATATATACTATTGAAATCTGAAATATTAAGTTTAGTGTTTACTATGGTGATGATGAGTACACCATATGTCACGACGTCATTGATTCCGAGCAGCTGGGACAACACGCGCTAATCAAGCGTCAAATTCTTTTGATCGATTCTTGCCACCGCCCTTTGTCTACCGTAATCGCGGAGTAAGATTGCTTACCTAGATAGATATGTAAACGCGTATGCGACAGATCACTTGTCGTAGGCGATATCTATGGGGTTGTACATAGATGGTTTAGATATAGATGACCCTTTAACGATTTGGTTATTTAGAACTAGGGGAAGATTTGAATCCCTAGCCCATCCTCTCATTCTAGACTTCCATGGGTAAATAAGATCAATACCTTGAACCCTGTGAGTCATGTTAATGGGAGCATGGATGTCAGCACCTTTCTGATCTTGGTCTAATTTCTGACGCATAACTCAATCCCGACCTACTTCGGCTTCGCCCTTGTATATAAGATATCATTTATATGCCCACTCCTTTCGGGACGGGCCGAGATATGTGCCTACTGGCATGGTGCTTCTGAAATGACGGTTCTTAGGCCCCCAACAAGGGGGTATTTTTTCAGCTTCCAAGAGATAAATTTGATATATCTAATTTAGTGACTGAATAATTGATATCGAATTTTGAAGATTGTTCGTTAGCTGTTCGTAAAGTACCTAGGCACAAAAGTGAGAGAATTGAAGCTTCAACTCCAGCGATTGTTGTCCGCAGCAGACGTATAATGTACAACTAAAGAAACACGCATCTTATATATACAAGAGTTTTTGTAAACACAAGCAGTTTTTTCGTATCACACCAGAACTCCTCGCTATGTACAATGCTAGATATCCCACCTCAAGAAGTATGCCCATCCAATAAATTTCATATCGTCGTGATATTATAACCAATGGTTTTATGCCTCCCAAGCCATGCAAACCCAGATGATACAAACATCGGAATGAATATGTAACGTAAATATAAAATAGAAGAAAATCGTTATGGGTCATAAAAATTCGATCCGAATTAAAATGTCAATCTCCCAAGTATCCGTATATAAACAAAGCTCAGCGACTCTGATAATAGTAACTCGCATATTCGCGCTAGAATATCTAACGTATCCGGTTTCTATATTAGGGTTGTGGATGTAGGTAGTCTTGCCTACAAGGCGCCGTTGCTGGGACGCTGGTTGGGTGGTTGAACTTGGGAGAGTGGTGCCGCTTGCTCAGCTGTGTCAAAGGTTCCTGGTGGCTCGGACGTAACTGGACTTCTGTTGGGCTCATCTTCTCTCATCTCCATGATCTCGTCCTTACGAGCGACAGGTTTCCAGTTTTCATCCCCGTCTTCTGCGGCTTTCTTAGCTTCGGCGAGCCATTTGCGCCATTTTTGTGTGTCAGGTGCAGCACCGCTTCTGTGAACCCAAGCCGTAAGCTTCGTTTCTCGAATAGCATACCATAGAGTTCGCGTGAAGCTCGCTTTATCTTCTCTCTTGTCACTGCCAGTATTCTGATGGGCATGCTGGGCATCCTCTGGCGTGATATCTTCGATGTTATAGCGGCTCAAGTCCCAAAAATACTTTTTGGGCAGTAACCCCATGGCCCAGTAAAGACCATTAAGTACGATATAACTGCCGCCGATGAATATCTGTGTGTACCATTTGCAATTACCCAAGAGGATGACAGACACCATCAAGAGGCAGGTGCCGAGTGCCATGAGAACCCGGTAAGAGCGTCCGCTAACGCGATAGTTGCATTCTTCCGTGCCTGAATAGAGTTCTCGCGCTACGTCTTCAGTGCACTTGACAAGCAGAAACGCGCCTTCACGTGTACGGATTATTACGTCGCCGTCAGGAACTACATTCTTTTGGTCACGCTTCATGAGCAGCGGTCTCCACCACGAAGCCCAGCCAACAACGGAGCTCGCCAGGGAGACGAGGGCGACGGCAATTATGGCGGTACCATCCTGCCAATAAGCCGCAAAGGCAATGATACCGAACGTCAATAGAGTGGAGAAGACTGAAAGTATGTGGACAGGGGAATAAAAAGTAGCTGGAATAGCAGGTCTGGACGTGAGGTCCCGGACCTTCTCTTTGAACGTTGCTCGCTTTTTGATACCCGGGTGAGGTCCCCCAGCTTCTTCATCGACGCCTGTACTGTACGCTGTACTCGCCGCCGTTCGTCTCGACCTAGCTCCGCCCGATCGGGAATTTCGAGATATAGTAGGAAGTTCAAATGTTACATTGGAAGTGGGCTTTCTAGACGAGCGTGGCCAGAAAAAAGTAGACCCGTTCGTGGGCCGGGATGGGAAGCCAGCGACCTCTCCGTCATTGTCGTCGGCATGTGTGATCCTAAGGACCTTAACTGAGTATGGCTGTAACTCTTCGAGAGGGTGGATGATACTCGCAAAGAAGCCTACGGTATCTAGGGTAACACCACTGTGGACGCCGGTCATTTTTGCAGTGGTTTCGGGGAGTCGGATCGGGCGAGACGGTTTTAAGAAAGCTTGAGGGGCGGGGATAATACGCGGGAGGAGACAAAAAATGCTAGCGGTAATGGTTTGGGTATGTTCTGCTACCGATGACTCGCCGATAACTGCGAGTAGAGTGACAACATCGAGACGCCAACCCCAAGGTCCTTGGGCGGCTTCTCCAACGTCTGAGGAGAACCATATAGCGGCTTTAGGCCGGGAAGCCAGGTCCGCAGCATCATCGGCCATTGTTATTTATAGTTTCAAAGTACGCTTAAAAGGTCTTTGTTCATCGGGAAGCGGGTAGACGGGTAGGAGAGTTCGAACTGTGTGGAGAAGAAAACGGATCGATGACTTGCTTCGAGGCTAAGATGAGTCGGTTGGGATCGGGCTGGAACGAGTCGATTAAGTTTAAACGGTCTGGTCGATCGGGCGAAGGAACACGAAAACTGTGGTTGATTGGGTGTATTTATACAATAATAATGTATATAAGTAAAATCAAATAGCAAGAAGCAGAATAGGAAGCCAAGTCGAAGCACAATGGGTTGAGGGGAAAAGAAAGACAGGAAACAAGATGGAAGGCTCACGAGAAAAATTAAGTTGAATCTAAACATTAGCGCTTCCTTCCACTTAAGGGTCTTGGGTGTTGGGGCTGATCGATGTTTCGTTTTGTATCCGCTTAAATGGAGTTCTGCCCCGGTTTTCTGTCTTGGTGTTCGGTCGATTGGTTGCAGTTGGTCATGGCCCGTGCGTTTTCTACCAAAAAGGGTCTAGATTTGAGTTTGCGAAAGCTTAGCTTGAATCAAAATCGAACGGGAAGCTCCCGTGCGCTTAGTTGATTTGAGCTTAGCTGTCCAGGTGCCCGGGACATTGGTAATTAGAGGCCGCCGTTGCGGGGTCGACTATCACAGCCTGCCTCCAATGCCCGTTACAAGTACCTAGTGCGCCTTCTTGTGCTACCAACAGGTGGAATCGTTAGGCGTTTAATTAATCATCATGGCTGCATGGTCAACCTAAAGCGAAACTATAAATATTTTCATAAAACTAGACTATGAATTATGTTTTATACAATAGATGCGTCATTCATATCATAACATGGTCAGAGGGTGTTTGTCCACTAGCTACATACATAACATCTTCAGTCGTTTTATTCCCGACTTAACCCAACCACCTAAATACCTACACTCCCAATTAAATCCTGTGACCTAGAGCCCTCTCAGCTAGGAAATATTCGAGGATTCATAACCAACAGTTGCACCTAAGGGTATTCGGAGTTGATAACTTCATCGTAAATATTTTTCCTTTTTTTCTTTTTAAATCTTCCCGCAAGCGAAAGTCTTCAAAGACATTCATATCGCCGCTTACACCATATCTTTGTCCTTAGAACCCGCACTCACCGAACTCTCCGCTCGAGTATGATCGGCTCTGCTCTCGCTCTGCACGGTCCAGCCGTCCTCTCGAAGTATCGTCTTCGCGGGGTAAGTCGGCATGGGGTGGGTGCTTTCGGCTCCACTGATTTGGCTGTAATTATGAATCTGCTTCGATGCATCGTACGGGAATAACTCCAACCCGCTCGAACCATCTGGTGCTCGGTCGCCGTTGCTTCTGTTGCGGCTGCCGGAGTTGTTGGACCGAAGAGATACCTTGGAGCGTGCACTTGCGACGATACTGTTCAAGCTGCGGTTGTCGAAGATGGGCTTAAGTGTCGGCAAGCAGGCTGCGACGACACCGACACCGACCTCGACGTAAGACCATACTAGGACATTTGTCTCGACACCTATAAAATGTTAATGACTTCATTCGAGCGGTGAGGGTTCAGGATAAGACATACCTCGGACATCACGTGCACCCGGTGTAGTCTCGACGATGTCGATTGCGACGATGACAAGACGGGCAGTGCCGGCTGCGGTCGACCTATGTTTCATGTAAGTGATTGGACTCGAGCAAACACGGCTATGTTAATTTCAACATACAGCAAACCAATCAAGAAAATGAGCGAAATAACAATTTTCTGCTTGATCGACATGCGAAGCTTCCAGATCTCCGGGAGGGGCATAGACAGCACAATTAAATCCGTGGCTATGTCCGTAATGCAATGCGCAAGCTGGATATTCTTGTACTTGTAGCAAACTTCCTTGAAAGTCTTGATAGACTTCCACAGCAGGTCCAAGTTTTGACCGTTACATTCGAACAGCGTGGCGAAGAAGAAAGCGACAGTCCAGGCAGTGATGAGGATGAGAATGCCGAGTGAGATATTGTAAAAACGTTGATTGGCGAAAATGCGACGATAAAACATCACCACACCGAATTTGAGAGTACCGAGAGCGATCACGGTGAGGATTTGCGAAATACCACCAAACTATTTTCCATTTCATTAGTAACCAGCCCCCAAAAAGAAGCCCAACAGCTCTTTCTCGAAGCGTAGGATTTTGCCCAGGTGCGCCACGGTGCAACTTACCATAGAGATCTGATTCTCATGCGGTGTGACAATCACTGCGCCGGTGACAGGATCGGTTGTAGTGTGATAACTAATTGTACCTTGGGTTGTGCCTAAAAATCAAAACAACACAATTAGACACGATATAAGAGCGCGCGCTTATGGGTTGAGTCGTATATACCATAGATGAGAATTATTCCCAGTCCCCACGTAAGTAACTAAAAATGCGATTAGACTGGTGCGCACAAAGTAATACAGAATGCGAATGTGGTCTTACCATAGCAGCAGTGATGAACCAGTCATCGGCTTTCCATCCTGCAGCCCTGATACGGCGCGCCTGGTAACGAAGCGCGACGGCAGCAGCGGCGACAACGAAAAACACAGCAGCGAGGCCATAGATGCCTCCCGCATTTGGTGAGGACACCATGTTGGGTTCGAGTCAGTATATATACGCCCAAGCGATAGGCTAGTTAATTGAGCGAGTCAGATTCTAACTCGTCATTCAACTAAGACCAATATCGTAAAGCCCGTCTCGTATGGTGGCGTCCGTCTAAGTGCACGAATGTACAAAGACAGAGGGGGGGGGCGGTTAAGGAATGCTGACGACGGGACCTAAGAACTAAAGAGCAAACATTAAGCCAAATAGAAAATAGGTGGAACGGAAAGGATCGAGATACACAAGAAACGGGGCCGAACTAAGGATGATATAGAAACGCCATCCAATAGTGCCACCAACAAGCTGAAGGGAGCGGGCTGGCGGGAAGAGGGATTGGGAGAGAGGGCGAGATCGCATGGCCAAGGCCAAGTTCAGCCCCCACGACCACATGGTAAATCTTACATGGTGTGCTCCATTGCTTCCATTACTACCGTATTATGCAAGCTATTGTGTGTGTCAAGTACGTATACTACCAAGGTTGGTATACTAGATGGTTAAGTAACCTAGTAAATCAACAAATCAACTAAGAGAAAAACACGGAAGAGAGAAGAGAAAACGAGGAATTCCCCCTCACGGGCGGTCACGGTCACGTATTCCGGACCGAGCTGGGTGGGTGGTACAATCGTTGGTTCGAATCCTTCTATGTAACCAACCCGATTCGATTTTCGCTCATCGCCTATCCCTTGATTAAAAAGTAAAGAGACTGAGGAAAATACCTGCCTGGTCTTTAAAGATTTCCATTGGCGCTCCACTTACTTACATACACCTCCCTCTTTCGTCTTATTTAGACGAACAATAATCAATTCCTCCGCCAAAAGAAACGAATTCACTCACTCGTTTTTCATGATCCTATCCATCCATTCATTCATCCGATTCAACCATGGCAGCTGAAAAGTCTGGAACGAAATATTCGGAGCCCGAATATGCAAAGGCGCAAGACAGGGCAAAGGTTCCCTATTACCACGTTAATATCGAGCATCGCCTAGTTCCAGAGGTATGAGCCTCAAACCATTCCCGTCCCCAAATTTGTTTGGAGGATTTATTTTACTTTTTTAAAATTATTAATTAACCTGACCAATTACAGACGCAGGAGCTGTTAGAGAAGTACAGCCATATACCGCGAGAGCAGCAATCGGAACATGTTCACATAATTGTCAGTTTACCTCTCCCCTCCGTAAAAAAATAGGGGGTAGGAATTAGGAATGTCTAGAACAATTAAGCGAAACCAAAGAGAAAAAAAAAGTAAAGTAACAAACACGAGAAAAAAAAGGAGGATGAATTTAACAAAAAGAGAAAATAATTGCGAATTCCCCTGAATTGAGCCGAACTCCCTAAAACTGACCATACACTAACCACCGGGCAGCGCGACCGAGCATGGGATATCCGGGCATACCCCTGTATAGGTCTCGGCTCGTGGCTTACTCCGCAGCTGTGTCGCCTGCCCGTATATTCGCAGATCCTGAAACGGGTCAAGGAGGATGGGGCCCTACTCGCAGACATGGGCACTTTCTTTGGCCACGACCTGCGACGTCTGGTGTACGACGGAGCGCCCTCGGATAACTTGTATGGTGTTGACATCGTCAACCACTTCGATGTCGGGTATGACCTGTTCCGCGACCGCGACACCTTCAAGGGGCACTTCATCGAGGCTGATTTCTTGTCGACGACTTCGCCTGAGCTGAATGCACTGAAGGGGAAGGTCGATATCATCGTCATCTCCCAGGTCTTGCATCAGTGGCTTTATGAGGATCAGGTTAAGGCTGCGACGGTCTTGAGTTCCTTCACGAAGCCTGGCTCTTGGATTGTCGGCAACCAAATTGGTAATCCTGTGGCCCAGGACGTCAGCCTCAAGCAGATGGCAACGAGTGTGTTCCGACAGAATCCCGAAAGCTTTGCTAAGACGTTTGAGGAGGTCGGCGCCGCGACGGGGACGAAGTGGGAGACTCAAGCATGGCTGCGCACTTTTGAAGAGATGGGTTGGGATGCAAAGGATGGCGCGTGGATGGAGCCCGATGTTCGCATTATTGAGTTCGTGGCGAAGCGAATCTCGTAGGGTGAGGTAGGTGGTAGAGTGAGTTAGCTCGACTTGTGCATCATATATGTATAGTAAAGATAAACACCAAACGAATGACTTCAGGCTTCGGCACCTAATGTCACTAAGTGATCTATCTCCTTGTACGTCTATATGCTTTCAATGCAGCATTTACGCACGAGAGCTTTGAATAGTTGAATGTCTTAGTTGCTATGCAAGTCACAATATCCTCCCTAAAACCATCGCTATGCTATGATCCCAATGCCCCGTCCTCCTTTCCATTAGCAGCACTACTATTCTTCCTTAGTTCCTCCACGACCTCATAATATGGGGAACTCGTCGGACAATTCATATACTCAATCAACGAGTCACGAAACGGGTCATCAAGCTCTCGTCTTTCAAAGCAAGCCGAATTACTTATCGCGAACTCTTCAAGCTGGTCCCAGTCACGACACATACGCTTCGGCGGCAATTCCTCCGGATCATCGACCGGGTACGAGAGCAATGTATCGTCGGCGACGCACATAATATCCATGCGAACGACCTCAAGGCAATGCGCAACATGGTCTATAGTCTGCACGCGGGACCGCCCCTCCTCCCAATCGCGCACGTAACTGTATATGATTTTCTGACTCAGGTCAGCTTAAGTCAGTTACTCCAGTCCAGCCCTTTAGCGCTGCATTGATACTCTGACATGCCTATATCATGCGTCAGAAAGGGAGGGGCTCTGCTTACCAGACAATGCAGGCTGTGATAACTATTTAACATGTAAAGCCCTCTGGACGTGTCCCACGGGAAGTCCTGCGTCGTGCCGAAATGAGCGTCTTTTGGGAGTTGGATTACTCCGGCGTTGACATCCATTCCGTACCATAGCTCATCGAGCGCTGTCATGTTCGTTGCGTTGCTCCATGGTGTCGGCTGGCCGAATTGCACGAGTTTGCTTGGACTTAATCCCGCTGCAAGAAAATGTTAACAATCAACTCGATACCGGTCGGGGAGGGATACGTGCATAATGGGGATTTGCAGACATTAGCGGCAGCGCGTGCTTGAAGCCATGTCCAGAGTTGAATGGCATTGGCAATAAGGGAGACGACGAGCAACCCGATGAGTATGAACCAAGGGCCATACCTCACGAACGTTTTCCGTTGCTGTGGGTGTGGCCTTAGGTCTTTCTCATCAATATCGGAATGTTCAGGCGTCTCTAGGAGACCAACCGCTTCGGACGAGCTAGTCGGGTTTGCGTCCGGACGCATAGTCGCGATGAAACGACAGGAATGAGACAAGCCACGCCCAAGCGGGAAGTGGGCTTCATTCAATCTCGACTCCCAAAGTCTTTCAAATGATTGCAGCCTTGTATTAGGAATCATAAACGCGCGGCCTAGAATGGGCCTTCAACATGCAAGCACTTTCTGACGGTACTATGTGGAAGCGTAGTACTCGCAAAGAGCCCATGCAGTCATGCGGCGTAAAGCAAAAGCTACCCCACGAAAAAACGTCCCTTCGCCCATTTACATCTCGGGAAGATTTTCCAAATCCAGAGGGTGGCGTTTAAAGACCGGCTCAGGGAAATCAATGGATCAATAGGTTGGGGGCCAGGGACCCAATAGTTTACATCGCTACATGGGACTATTCAATGTTCTAGGGTATGTGGCTTGCCGGCGGCAGAGGATCACCCGTCACCTTCCGTCTTCTGTTGTACATGAACGCTGATCAGATCAGATCCCATTCTTCAGTGCCGACAGTCGAGGCCCCGGCAGAGGTATCCGGACTTGCATAAATACAAGGGGCATCCAAAGCTTATTGTTCCCTATTTGCCTCCATGAGCTTCAACTCGACACTCCCTACAAACATCTAAGCAAGCCAATAACAAAGCCTCGCTATTCATACTCACACTTACCGCCAAGATGAGATTCACGCTTCAGATCTTCGGTGCAGGCTTCTTCCTCGCCGCTTTAGTCGCTGCTGCTCCCGCAGCTCCAGCCGGCACTAGTAGGTTCTAACGAACGCCTCTTACGCTGACATTATATACTAACAATTTCCCCTCACGCAGCACCCGATGCTCTCATGGAGTGGGCTAAGAACCACAAGGTCGATGTTCCGGAGGTGGGAGCCGCTTTCGAGGGTACTGCAGACTACTCTGTCAGTTACTGATTTTGAACTTTGGAATATGATGTTATGAGGGGATAGGGCGTAGTGAGGGCAAACAGATGTAACCGCTTCAAGGATCTTTTGGTTAAGGGAAACGTATGATAGCGTGGTAGCGTAAGGTGGCAGTATACAATTGGGACCCGGACATTCTTTTCTCAGCCTATAATTGGCTCGCGAGTTATATCTTATTGTGGTAGTATACACCGTACCGAATTGTATGGTATGTATCCGCGGCTAAGGGTAGCATTTGTACGACCTTAAATACCAATATATCGGCTGGTTGCATTCGGTCGAATCCTTCACCACTGTCTCCAGAAAATTTATGATACTACTACTGCATGATAACGGAGCATGCCCTGAGAGTGTTGGAAGTTCACGATAGGCAATCATATGTAAAACCGGCGTATTTTAGTTATTTCGTTGGCTTGATAGACGGCTGACGCGGATCTGCAGGGTAACATCGCGACTAAACAGGATCCCTGAAATCTACATCTCCTACCAAAACAGACGTAGGATTGGCGGAAATAGTCAAATTTGGTCACCGGCTGTGCCAGATCGGCCACTGATCAGCTTCCTCTTTCTTTTTATGACCAATACCCTAGACGCCTCGTAAGGATACCCACAGGCTCGGTTCTGCCAACATATGTTAAGCTTCTGATCCGTACCATTTCGTCCGTATTAGGTATCACTGCGCGGGCTCCCAGAAATAAGGCAGCACTGCCGTGTTCACGTACCAATTGTAGCATACCTGCACACACTATATAGACAATGGGAGACCACTACTTGGGGGCAGCCTTGGCAGGGCAGCCCTCCCCAAGCATACCAACTACCGTGTAAAATATTTTGGTTTGAGATACACTTGGCTCACATCTTGGCTAACATCATGGCTCACCACAATGGTTACCAAAAGGTAGCAAAAGATGAGGGCGACGTTGAGTCGGCAGATGGTAGTATCTCTACACCACCTCCACAGCCCACGTTTAAGAGATATTTATACCCATTGATTGGGTTACTGCTCATCTCGAACATCTGCACGTGGTATATTTCCGAATGGAAGGTTCGGAGGGAATACCGAGCAAAGGATACCGGTCGTAGTCCATTTGGTGAGTTTTGGGTTTGTTTTCGCTTTCGTATCAATTTTTTCGCTGACGAGGCTGAACAGCCGGTCTGGAATGGGACACGCCGCTTTCACTGCACTCGGAGAGTCCATTCAATCAACCGAACGAGACGCTCCGAGATGCGGCTTGGGATACCATCAACATCGACGCCGGCATGATCGCTGTGCCGCAGTCCTTCGTCGAGGAGAAAGGTCTACCAGATTCCCAGCGTTTCGTCTGGGATCGGAGCAAGAGTGTGTACCTTCTAAACGGATACCACTCGTTACACTGCGCTGTACGTTTCCCCTCACCACCCCTCATTCTCGACTCTCAACATGGTCTGTGCCCGCATCTAACTAATTCGTTTGCAGAGATCGATTTACATCTCCCTGACTGAATTCAACCGGGGTCTACCACAATCACGACGGTGGGGACACATCATGCACTGCGTGGACCAGCTACGACAAGAAGCGCTCTGCAATGCGGACGATACACCGCGATTCTCGACTCAAGACGAGATTCCCGTCACTGGCCTTGACCAGATGCGTATGTGCCGTAGCTGGGACAAGCTAGAAGAGTGGGCTAAGCAGTACACTGCGTGCTATCGCTATATCAACCAAACCGCGTCATACTCCGAAGTCCCACAAGTCGAACGGTTCGTCTGGTGCCCTAAGGACTCGCCTTATAACAAGGAAGTGGAAAAAGTCTTCGGGCATATTGAGTGGAGCGAAGATGGATTCACGATATCAGAACCAGAGAAATGATGGAGTGGTTGGTAAATGGTAGGGTTAGGTAATTTGAACTAGCGTTATTGAATCGTCACTTTTATTTTTATTTTATTCGAGGCCAACGCCTTAGATTAGTACAAGATTATACCCGTAATATGCTATGCAACTTGTATAATGAATCTCGAGATTCTGAATAGCACTTGACCCATTCCCAAATAAGTTTTTGAGTTCTTATTCATGCTATATTAGCCGCTAAGGTGCGGCCCGCTCGCTGTCTAATGCGCTGTCTCATGCGCTAGGTTGACATTCCGATGCACTGCAACCAATAGAGTTTAATTGGGGGTTCAATAACACCTAGCTAACCCGCCAGCCCGCCACCTATAATTGAGTCTTTTAAGGGTGGGTTGAGGGGTAATGGGTCTTTAACAAGCGTTCTATAGGTTTTACCTACTTCTATTCGACGTTGTCTTACTGTTTGGAGGCAGCCCTTTGCCTCATACTCTGACATGACGATCTTTACCGCAGATAGACCACTATAAAAGGGAAAGCGAGCCACACCAGCATTCTCGAAAAGACACACGATCAACTTCTGCTAATAGATTTCTACCTATCTGAGTCGCTTTCTGCTAGAATGCGCAATTCCATCAAAGAAAAACGTTCTAAAACTACCTAGATACGGACTACCCACCATACATGAGTGAGAGTATCACGTCTGCTCCGAACTCCAAGCGTAGAATGAATTCACCACCTAGTTCATTTCATTCATGTGGTATCATCAAATCATGACCCCCGATATCCACCCCAACACCTGGACTCCAAACCGGGGAAAAGAGGCGCCTGTTTAGTATCCTAATGCATAACATACCTTATATAGGTACATCTGTCGTTAAGCTTGATTGAAACTGCCTTTCTCGCGCCTGCCGGATCTCCTCGGCTTTTTCGAGTCTGTCGAGTCTTATCGGGCGGACTTGCTTCCCGAGTATCTCAGGGATGAACTCGTGCTTCCATCGCCTTTCCCACTCAACTATAATTCGTTTACGCTCATCGTCGCTCAAACAAGAGTGGTCAATACTCCATTTCGCAAGTTGGCGCCAACCGAACAAATTCATTTCTCGGTTTCCTACCATGACTTCGTAAAAATCGTGTGATAGGGTAGATCTGGAACAAAAATTAGTACGACAGCTCAGATTTATGCGGTTTTGGAGACGTACCTGAAAAGAGTACCGTTGTCGCTGTTTAGGGAGCAGTGTATTCCATAAGCAAGCAACTCGTAAATTCGATGCTCGTCCATGCGCTCCACCAGTCCAAGTATCATGTTCGATATAGGGCAAGCCTCGACGCAAACCTTGTTGGCTTTCATTTCCTTCATAACTTCTGGCTTTTCAGGCAACGCATAGCCATGTCCAATCCGTTTAGCACCGAGCCTAAGCGCGCATTCGAGGTTGCCTTCGATATCGTCGGGGGTTTCACCGCAATGGAATAAGAATGGAATCTTAACCCCTTCTTCCTGGCAATTCTTCTGAAATTGCGTGAACTCTTCTTCAAAGTATCTGAGTGGGTATTGCTTATCGTAAGCTTCTTCACCTACTAGATCGAATCCGGCAATATATTCTGACCACTGCTTCTTCATCTTTATGCACTCCTTTAACGATTCTCGCACCATCTCTTTTGAGAAGGACCGAGGTGTACAGTAAATAACCTTCATTCCACCGAGAGAAGGTATATGGCCATCGGATTTTATGATATTCCCATTCTCATCCATGTCTCCGATATCTTTCATGAAGGTCTTGTATTCGTCGATAATAATTTCCATCAAGCCAAAGTTGTCAAAGCTTCCTGCTCCATCGTCTTGTAGGACTTGATTGCTCTTCATGAAATTTGGCCGGATTTCGGCGTACTGGACGTTTTCAGTCACGAATTCCTCTAAGCACTTTCTGGTATATGCTCTGAATGCCTTTTCATAGTTAAATAGACCTTTCATCATCCTGGTGCGGCCGTTGAATTTTTCCCATGCTCTGTTAAACTGTTAGTTAATTCAAATAGGTAAATTTACTTGATCAGGTACCTTATTGCTCTCTTGCGGTCATCTTTGTATGGACTTTGCTGGAATTTTGTTTCAATATCCTTGGGCCACTTTGCTTCCTCGGCTTGTGGTCGTCTTGGTTGTTCTTCTTTTGCCGCCTGTGATTCCTGCGTTTGATTTGATGCCTTATCCGTGGGGTTGAATATTAGGTCGATATCCTCTTTGCTGAAGATGAGTTTACTAATCAGCCACTTGTCACAATCCATACTCATATCCCAAACTGTAGGTTCGGCTGAACCTATTTGCTCCCCATTTCGCGATAGAGGTCTCTGTCTAACCTCCTGCTCTTCGTTCCAGGCAGTAAGAAAATATTGAAAACGCATCAATTGGCGTGGCTCGTAGTCGTCGTGGAAAATATTTGGGCCTCTTTTGTCCTTCTCAACTAGTTCTCGTCCTCGAGATACGGGGTCCTCACTTAGACCTTCTAGTACCTCCCCAAGAGGGCGAAGAGTGAACACAATTTCACAATCCCTAAAGTCGTCTTTGGACCGTAGCTTGTGAGTTGGACTCGAGATGTACATGTTTTTCATCCCCTTCGCTATAGTCAGGAGAAACCCGGGTGGGAGGGTTGAATTAAAATGGAGATGAAGGTGTGCGCCCTTAGGCATTATTCGTGCAGTTTTCAATAGCTGTGTCTTGTCGATGGTGTCTACATTTCGGGAGAAATGATTCTCAGGAAAACGTGTTCGGGGATTTCCACCTGACCCCTTTGAGGATGCAGATTTGTCGTAAAATTTATCTTCATCGTCCTTCCTTTTCTCTAGTAATTTTTCATTCGCTTTAAAATCGTCCGCGCTGGCGTGAAATTTCATGGAATTCTGGAAGTCGAGTGCTCCGCTTCTACGCGGACTAAGCATATCTACAGCCATTTTGACGAATAATAGGAAGATCTGAAGGTATCGTAGAGGTTTGGGTGAAGAGTTCTCAATAATTTTTTCAGACTGTCCGGCATTGCCGTTATTAGTATTTTGAGAACTACCCATCAGCGCATTTCTATGAGCGCGTAACTTGCGCTCGGCGGTAAGGGACAGTAGTGAATGTATTTGAGAGTGACTGAGAGAAGTGAGTTGGTAGTTCACTATTAAGCCCTGTATCCTCTGTCATCGCGGATTGATTACCCCATATATGCGCCCACTATACGATGGAGAATGTGAATGCGATGGGAGTGAAGTGAGGTGGCCGGTCGCAGGTTTGGCTGACCGTAAAAGAGGTCTACGCTTGCTGCGCCCCACAAGCTAGAGCCTTGTTCTAAATGGAATGGATCTGAGTCAAATTTCCCCCACTAGGCGCACGGGTCCCACATGATTTACACCAGCCCTAGTATATGTACCTGGGTATGAAATAGAGTTACACTAGCTGTGGCTGAATTTGGGCTGAAAGGGTACTTTTAATCGAAGCCATTCCCCTCTTTCTCACCATTTCTTCTCCTTACATACCTAGGTGTGTTTGTGATGAATAGTATCGAACATTACGACTTTTATTTATTTTACTGATTCAATACCTAGGTGGGTTTACCAATCCTAGGTGTCCTCCCCGCGATTGCAATCCAATCTACAGGATATGTGACAAGTCATTTTCACCGACCATTTTGACCAAATCACCCGCGCGCTTATTGCCTCGGCGTTGGTATGAAAATGAAAATAACAACTGCATTCAATGTAACTTGATTCTAATTTTGATAAGTTTTCTATTTTCATAATCATCTCGGTTACGGGGAAATTATTTCGAAGTTGTGAACAAGTGAGCCTAAAAAGGCCCCCAAGTGTAAAAAACAATTTCACGACTTTACACAAGTGGCGTTTTGGCGAAGCACTATCCCTTTTGAGGAGGTAGCTTGTGATGCCTCACTGAAGTCCTATATAACCACGGATCAACGGCTACCTCATCCTGGCTTGCTACATTATAACAACTTCTCCACAGACATATTGCTCCCTTGTTCACTACTACCTATCGAGACTAAGTCGACCCATGTTAGCATCTCATAATGATGGATAGCACCAGCAATATCCCAGCAGGCTAGTTTCTTAATAATACTAGCTTGCGAGGCGTCGCGGCGACGTTGACGTTGATGCGTTCAAGTGGGTTTAGAAAAGGGGAGATATTGCAATTTGCGCCTTGAAAATGAAGCATCAGCCTCGCGATAGCGTTGGCAATAGTCGTCGATATTTTGGTACGCCCTAAATTCGTGCTTTCGATCGCTAATGGAGGGGACTGCGCCACCAAGAATAGGGGTATAGTTGATCGAGAGCCTGGTAAGTATACAAACGCATTTCCATTTCTCCATTTTATGCCCCTTTACTTAATTCCTCATATGTCTATATCCCTATAGCTCTCGGATTGCTGGTTATCGAGACTACCGTTATGCACCGACGCGATGCAAAGCCACTCGGAGAGCCTTGAGACCTACATATAGGCATTTGGTCACACGCACAGCATGTCTTCGCCATTAAATCAACAGTAAAATATTTACCCTGATACGTATGGCAATGCTCATCGAGCCAGACAGAATGAGGGAGGGTGTTGCGATACCGGATACGTGTACGGACACGTACGTGTATCTCATACGCTGACCCCTCCTCGACTAAGTACCTAGTTGTATGGGATATCTGGATATGACCGTCCAAGGAACCTTGAAAATGTCTTAGACATTGATCACTGGAAGGACCCTGGAGATCACCTAGTGGACCGCGGAAGAGTCGACGTGTCTGGGCGTCCGACCCTGGATCACAATTGAAGATGCGCCATACGTCAATTACGAAACGGATAACTCGCCAAGCAAGGGACTTTGGCGGTTATCGCTCGTTCATCCTAAGAGGTTGAGATAGCCGACGCTGTCGCTCGCGAGTAAGCGCCGAAATGGTTTAAATCCGAGCTTACCTCATAACTTCGTGAAGATCACGCGACGGTGAAACACTCAATCCTATATGGTGGATTAATATCTATATATTCCATTCACAGCCAAAGGCTTAGCCCGGCTCCGAAGTTATGATAAATGGTGGGGGTTTGTTGAGCCAAGCGGATGTGCGTTTTACGAGTGTATCCGCCCGTTTCCACTACTTGGGTCCTGATTCATCATAACTCACTCAACGCAACCTACAGGATCTCCGATCTGACAGCGATCATCCCATATAGTCTTATGCGAAACCCTGAATTTGGTACGTTCACCGCTGCAAAGGACCAGTATTTCGCTTTAATATACCTAATTATTAAGGCAAGGGCTGTGTTGAACCCCATCCCCCCACTTAGATTGATCATTGGTTGTTTGCTAAACGAGACCGCGAGAGAATCCCCAGGCAGTAAAGTGATCGGGACAATAATCAATAAGCCTCGCAATGAAACCATCTCAGATGTTTGTAGATTGGTCTCTTAGATCTGACCTAGTTAGATGAGATGATCATATTAGTAATAAATCCATATGAACCCATATAAATTCGTTAGCAGAACTCCTTCAACCTCTAATATCGTTCTAGGGATACCCAATCGAATCCCGACAAGTCATGTTGAAGAATACGAAAGAGGCTGGGGCTGGATTAAATTCATTCGTCTAAATGATTAATACTCTATTGCGGGATCCTAGGATTCTTTGTTCATCCTATTAACAAAAAACGTAATTAAGAACACCGCCGCAAGACTAAGCCAAGCAAACATCCTATCATGACAATCATCTATCTGTCAAATAACGGCTTTTTCTCAAATCTAATGTACTCCGCAAAAGTCGGCATGCTTAATGTACGGTCGACTGCCATGCAGCGTAGAAGTGGTATCGAATGAAAAAAATAATAACAAATCCCCTTTTAGTCCATATACAGATGTTTGTGAGACCGTTGACGAGATAAATGCGTAACATTCCATAAGCGCGCGTTTCGAGCGGATCAACCATCCTTCTTCCTTTTCTTGAAGTTGGTCGACGGTAGCCTTGGCGACGGCGGAACTTTCCTTGGACGTGCGAGTAGCCTCGGCTTCTTTTTTTCGACCTACACCCTTCTCTCTACTTGGGGGTACTTCTGGATCGCCTGAGTGACTCGGCAGGAACTCGTGGCTTCTAATCATCGAATTTGATGCTTCGGCTCATGTTCACATCCAATGGACCGCCCTTGTAGCTTCCCCGCTTCTTCTTGTTCTTCTCCTTGGTGAAGCCCTTGCCTTTGGTCACAATAAGATCCTGATGGGCTTTCTCACCGTACCCATGGGTGACATAAGCATTGGATGATAATCTTGGGTCGATAGTCACATCCTTGCGAATGCGGGAGAAAGGCTGATTTTGAGTCCTAGTGGCTTTGATTCCGTTCTTACCCCTGTTATTCGCCTTCAGGGTGTTTGGGTCAGGTGGAAGGGGCGCAAACTCGGGCGAAGCCTTGTCTAATGTCGCGGAGCTGTCTGAGCCTGATCCACTAGCGGCGTTGTTCTTGGCTTTGGGTTTTGGCTTTTCCTCATCTGACTCAGAGTTAGAGTCGGAGTCGGAATCGGAATCACTTGAATCGGAATCGGAGTCAGGCAGTGGCACTTCGGCAGCTACTTTCAAGTCCACCTGTGGCTCTTCTTCGGACTCGGAGTCTGACTCATCATCGGAATCAGATCCAGATTCAGAACTAGAAGAATCATCATCTTCGGCTTTAGGTTTGTTAGTGACCTTGGGCTTGGCGTCACTATCGTCCTCATCCTCGGAGCTCTCGTCATCCGAAGAATCGGAAGACTCCGATGACGAACTTTCGTCAGAGCTTGAACTAGTCTTTGCCTTCTTAGTTTGTGGTCGTTTGTCGTCCGAGCTTGAGTCTGACATGTCCTCGTCAGAATCAGAGTCGGAGCTCTCGCTGTCCGACTCCGCCTTTCGCTTCCGGGGATTCACGCCGTTTTTGGCAGCACCGGCGGCTGGTTTGGCGGGCTTCGCATCCTCTTCGTCACTTTCGCTTTCGCTGTCACCGCTGTCGCTATCTTCAGAGCTAGAGCTTTCAGAAGAGCTGGATTCGTCGGCAGCAGGCGCGTCATCCATGGCAACATCCCCTGCGTCATCACTATCACTCTCACTCTCTGAGCTTGAGTCATCGCTACTGTCGCTTTCACTGCTGCTACTGCTAACCTTGGTGACCTTCTCCATGGGATCCTCCTTAGCAAGGACGGGCGTGTTGACCTGACTGGAGAATGTCTCCCATGTCTGGAACACGCTCACTAGGGAGTGATGGGCCTTCTTCTTGTTCTTCTTTCCAGCACCTTGCTCCTTCCAGCCCTTCTTCGCTCGGTGTTTCTGGAATTCGCGATGGGCGTTGTCGAAACCTTGGTCGGATAGGAACGATTCGACTAGGTCCATGAGTTGACTTGGTGGGACTTGGCCCTGGCTAGCAGAGGCCGAAGCTGAGGGGCCCGCGGTTACGGATGCCTTCGCGGCTTTTTGGGTTTTCTTCGCCATTGTAGGGGTGTCGGCGTTTGGCGGCGCAGATGTGGACACGGACGGATTGCTGGAATTGTTACTGAACAACCAAGCAGGTGGTCCTTGTGAGTTTTTGGGAGGATTATTAGTGTGTGAATTATTTGACATAACCTCAAAGTTGGGTTATGGTCCAGTGTTAACGTCTCATCCGTAGAAAAACGAATCGCGCTTCCTAATCGATTGGAAGGAAAAAATCGTCGGCTTCTTACTCTGCGAAGAAAAAAATTGTGGAACGTACCAGGACCCTCTTTCTGCCAGTAATCTTCAGAATTTCTCTCACCGCCTACTTCTTTAAGCAAAGCTGCCTATACAGTGGGGCAAATCATTACGTCAGCAGTGGTGCTGAGTAATCATACAATACCAAATAATCTCCGACCGTCAATTCAATCGACCAAACTACAACTAAATAATCAGAACAGCTCCTATTCGAGGACTGAGACCATTAGCTCTGCTACTCACCGATCAACTTTTCGAGATCTTCGTGTGATACCGAATCAGATCGCCACGCAAGTATCGATACTGAACTATACCGAATACCAGAATTCGGGTGATTACGCAATAAGTATGATATCCCAGCTTACTCGCGAGGCATTTTCCCCCGGTGCGCCTAGCTTCGTACGAAGTGAGTTATCACATACATGCCTTCTAGCTGGGCACACCTAGCTCCGAAATCGTACAAGATACGCCGGGGTCGTTGCCACAGAGGTATAAGGTCAATCGTGACGCGATCAACTGTTCGTTTTATAATTTAATAGAATTATTAGTGAAGTACCTGAGAGAGGGCCTTGGGTGCCTAAAGTAGATGGAATATGAATTTCAATGGCAGAATTTGCCTAAGAATTCCAATCGGCAAACGGAATCGAAAGAAGGCTCTGGGTAGGACAGAAGAGTGGGATGGTGTAGGCGAATCCCTACATTCATCATAACTATTGCACTGACCTCAGCTAGCCTGAGTAGATAGTAAAAAGCTCACCGTTTTAAATAGGCCATGCGAATAATACGTCTACCGGCTGTGTTACCCAAACTTCAGCTCCAGCTGGTTACTAAGACGCCGATCTAATCAAGACATGACATAATAGGAAGCATGCAATAGCCATCACAGCCCTCTCGATAGCAACATGTCGGATTGTCTTCAAATATTTATCTACACTGCCTCTTTCTCTGACCATGGCTCCAAGCCGAGGCCCCCGGAAACCCTTTGGGGTATTCTATGCAGAATTCAACCACTCTTCGGCTTATTCTCACTATTGTGCGGATGAAGATGGCCATGGCCTCTCAAGGCATGGAATTGGCGACCAGGAGTATTGACCTCCTCACTGCTTTGGGGAATACGGCCAATAGCCCAGACTCCATTGTACGGGCGGGTGTGGAAATTAGTCGTTGGCTCAGGCGCGAGAGATTGAACGAGACAGAGCTATAACTCTGCATTGAGCAAGCTCGAGGCCTAGTGATTCCTAACGAAAATTGCTTCGCTTTTTACCAAGCCATTCTAACCAGTTCTCCACCGAAACCAGTTGCGATATTCCTTATTCAAAGTTCGGGTTCGCTTGGGCGACTTATGGCTGGCGATCTTCACCTCCGTTGGTTAACTTCAACTGTGTCTGGCCTATTCCAGTATCACTCCGAGCAGTTTATTTTTGATACGATTTGTGCTTTCATTTTCCAAGCGCGTCGACCAGCTAACAAGGAGTCCCTGTCGAAACGCCAACTTGACTTTAATGCTGATAGAGTGAAGATACAACCAGTTCTTGATAAGATCATATCAAGTATATGGTTTTATATTGTGAACTCAGGGATAATTAAGTCTGGAATTGGGAATATGCTACCCCTCCCAGAAGAGCTAGAGAGCATTTGCACCAAAGGACATCATCTACAGAGCCATAAATTGGGCACAGTGCTGGCCCAATTGCAAAGGTGCAAAGGGGAGCTACTTATTGACAGCAAGTTTCTGATTAAGAATCTTACTTCGTGGCTTATTTACCATTTCACTGGCTACATTCGCATCGTGGTGAAAGGAAAGGTTATATATAGCCAGAACTCCGGAGAGTCGGATAACGAGAAACGAATTGAAATTCGCATTTGGGACTCGTGCCTTTCGGATGGTGAATGTACTACCGAAGCAAACACTACGATGGATGAACTTAACATTTACACGCTCGTAGCTGGCGACCTTCAATTACTTTTTCGACTTGATTGCGTGGACAGTTCTTTGCACGAAACAGAACCACGGATTAGATCGAAACTGTACCACACGTCTATTACTTATCCTAGTATAGTAACAGGGCGTGGAAGCATAAAGAATTTAATTAGGTGTGCAGCGGTACAAATCGTATCATGGCTGCTTAAGCTACCAGTTCTCAGATACCTAGAACTTCAAGACCTCGTGTTTGAGGTGGATGCCAGACAAGCAAATACAACATCGGAAAAGAACACTAGATTAGCCAACCTCCTTACTAGGCTACCATCAATTCTTAACCAGGGGTGGCCCGAAGATTCTATTTCCACCTTTATTTATGCGAGACCGGTTGCGGACGATACGGATGATAAGAGCTCTACGGACAGTGAGGAGGAACTTGGTGACACCACAAAGGTCCCGTACATGAAATGGGTTAAAAGCGTCGAGGAGCCTATGTTGAAGACCGTTATCGAATACTACCCGATCATAAGAGATAATTTGAGGGAAGTCCGAAAAAGTTGCTATTGTTGGGCATGCCGTCATAGGATTACTACCAAAGGGCTATCTATATTTCGTGGTTGCCTGCTCCATAAAGCATTCATGGAGATTATGCAACTAATCGCCCACGCTATCGCCGATAGTTTTGGTTGTGATGATATATCAGCCGTGTCCCACATCAAACTGGACGATCTTGGCGTTCTCAATGTTCTCGGGAATATTTCCGAGGGACAGCTGCGATGGAATGACTGGTTCACCGTGGTAGCTCGTACTTATCTGGGATGTCCTCCGTTGACAACGATGAAATCTGGAAGATCGACTCTTATGGACCAACTACCTCAGGTAAAAGGCCTACCAATCTCATACGCGCCGACCGTCCTTGCTGTTCAATATGGTGGGCTCGCTATCGTTGCCCCTTGGATTGACATGACGATCGACGCGTATCAGTGCAAACCATTCGCGATGGAAGCTGTGGTTGGGAGAACAACTATTTCGAATGAAGATACTAAACAGTTTAGAACACAAGGCGTCGAAGGTGACTTTGCCGTTATTGAAGCCCGCGATGCGGAATTACTCGACCATGTTTTAGACAAGTTAACGGAAGGAGCACAACTACCTACTGAAGCGACTATACAAAAAGATGACACAGCGATAGATATTGATGTGATACTGGCGAACAGCGGACCGAGTCGTTATCAACTTTGGCTTCGAGTTTCTACAGCAGCCCAATCCCGTCTAATTGACCCAAACAGTGCTATGAGAAGCGCATGTCGGTTAGATACCAGAGTTAAATGTCCTCACAATACAGATTATTCAAACGAAACGCAAAGGCGTGTGCGAGGCCTAGTACGCACCTACAGTTTCAACGACATATTAAGTCTATGGAGCGAGGCTATGGGACAAGAAAAGACACCCGCTCACGAAATTCCTATCATAACAGTGTCGCCTTTATGCGATTCATATCTTAAACTTAACGTCGTGCTTTCGTTTAGTAGCCACCTCCCCTTGATATTGAGCTCCGAAACGGCTTGCCTATCGTGTATTGTGGAGCAGGCACAGAACTTTGGGCGAGACGAGGAATCGGATTTCCTCGTAAACGGGTTTGTTATTGTCGCTTCTAACGAAATGAATCATACGGACTGGTCTATGGTTTCTCCTCAGATTCATGGCGCGAAGACAATTATGGACGCTTGATAGGTATTACTATTTTGCGAGAATACGAACTTATAGATGATGCTGAGCAAGTCTCAATAAATAGCCCGAATTGTGGAAGGGAGAGGTAGACCCGCTAATTAAGTGCTAGCGCTGCGGGACCCTTTATAAAAACTAAACTCCGCTGATCTCCAGCGCCCAGCCTACGAATCTGGGGGCTGAGAATTGAATCTCACCATCGCAATTCTCCGACACCTGATCTTGATCTTGAACTTAATCTTAGTTTTCATTCATTTTACTTTAGAATTAAACTAGTATTCACCATCTTTGAGCGCAAAGTATATTAACAGCATGGCTTCTAAATTCGAAACCTTCATAAAATTTAGCACCGACTCAGGTACGAATCATCCTTTTATTCTTCCCCTCAACGCTGTGTAACAACCTACGATATCCGAACCCCGCTGTAGCCGAGAGGCCACATAAGTCTACAAGAAAACATCTTATTCCGTATTTTTTTCTATCAACTGAAATCGTATACTATCAATTGGACTTCGTCTCGAATATAAAGTTATACTCTAGATGTCTGTATGGCTGGCACATCATTTGGTGTTGATAGTCTTGTGCAAAAGTACAATACGTACATACTGGTGACCAACTACCCGGTTATGAGCAGGCCTATGATACTACGGACTATACAGCCCGGACTTCATCTTCGTCAATTAAAAAGACTCAACGCCATGCCAAATCGCTCGGAAATTTCCTAAGTATAAGTTAATACATGGCTATCAACCAATGAGCTTTTAACGTCTAGTGAAAGCTCACTCTAGCTCTCAGTAAGAGTGGTACGGGGTTCTATGCCGCCTCAATCTTGACCGTAAACCGGTGTGAAGAGTATGAACTCATTTCGAAACACCACTTATGCTGAAGACATGATATATACTCACTAAATTTTCATATAAGCCGCGTCTAAAATATGACCATATACTTATAAATTCACTCTTAGTCGGCCTAGAACGAACCTTCCGACTTCTTCAAGCAACCGTCCAAATCTTCTCATCCTACACCCTGCCCTTCGACTTGTTGCTCTTCACCCTGAGTCTCTGGGCGACCAGCATCCCCTCATCCTCCGGCATCCGGAGCACCCTCGGTCTCCTCAACCAACGTCTAGGCCTAGCCCGGCGCTATCTACGACTATTCCGATTCCTCGAGTCCTTCAACGCCGCTCAAAAACTATACTCACAACTCTCCTCTGCTCCGTCTTCACCCCAGGAGAAGAGCGCGATTGCGAAGATTACACCATGGCTCGATGTCTTCGCCAAGACCTTTAACGGCATGTACTTCCTCCTCGAAGCCAGCACTTTACCCCACGCACTCCAAATCCCAGGCTTATCCGTCTGGGGTCTTGAACGCGAACGCGTTGTTGCTATCGAGGCGCAGCGTTTCTGGCTATTCGCGCTGGTATGCGGGTTATTGCATAACTTACTCCAAATCCCACTCGCCGTGTCTTCCGCTCCGCCACCGGTAGGATCGGCTTCTACCACGACTAGCGAGAAACAAGATTCCCAGACCGAGGCAGAGAAGAAAGACTCGGAAAATGTATCAGAGAAAGGACCAACCGACGACATGAACGGCCCTGAATTCCGCGAGTGGACACGGAACCGCGTCAAGGAAGTCAAAGAACGAACTCGTCTCCGCCGCCGCCAGATTCTAACTAAGGTCCGCAAGTTGGGTCGCGGGGCAGCCACTAACGCGCTTGATATCCTGATTCCGGGTACATTTGTTGGATGGATTAATGTTGAGCCCGGGACTGTTAGCGTGGCTATGTTCGTGACGACGATATTGACCTCTATGGACGTATGGGAGAGGTGCGGACGTGAGGTGGCTGGAAACTAGACGTGGGGGGTTGATTGCACCCTTTAGATGCGACAAGTATGTCGTTTTTCGGGTCTCAGGAATTACGAGAATAGAAAGTCGGATTATAACTAGAACCTGGTACTCTGATTTATGATGACTATGAGGACAATACGACATGGCTCTGTCAATTTGGAATTACTTCATTGCATCGGAACTGTCACAGATAGATAGGTATTTAGGAATAGTTGAGCACTACCTTTGTGTGGATATGTACAAAATAACGAGTTGTTGTAATGGTGTACAATAGGTATGTAATTCTTTTTACCCTTTCGAATTACGCCGTCTAGCTGTATATTATAACGAGACGATCCACTCCGGTGATTTAGTTTATTGACCCGGGGCAACTAATTTGCCTTGTGCTCGGGCATCGGGGTTCCATCCACCAGCCAAAGCTTGAGCACCGCCATGCTCAGCAGCGTACTTCTGCATCCTCGCCTCCAACTCCGGTCGGAAATGTCGGATTAGGCCTTGGATAGGCCAGGCGAAAGCCTCACCCAAAGCTATAAAGACGTTAGTATTATTATTAATATGAAAATCATAGTATGGAATTGTAAACTTACCGCAAATTGTGTGGCCCTCAACTTGTTTTGTTAACTCTTGCAACATATCAATCTCACGTTCACGGCCCATTCCCTTCTCGAAACGGCTCATGATTTGCTCAGTCCACTTGCTACCCTCTCGGCAAGGTGTGCACTGTCCACAGGATTCGTGTCGGTAGAAATGACTTAGTCGGGAGATAGCTCGAACGACGTCGGCGCTCTTGTTTAAGACGATAACAGCAGCGGTACCGAGACCCGATTGGCTGTCCTTCAACGCATCGAAGTCCATCAATTGGTCGTCGCAGATGTGCTTAGGTAGAATAGGAGTAGAAGAACCACCAGGGATGATGGCAAGCAGGTTGTCCCACCCGCCTCGGACGCCACCGCAGTGCTTCTCGATAAGTTCTCGTAAGGGAATGCTCATCTCCTCCTCAACGGTTGCGGGGTTGTTGACGTGACCGGAAATACAGAACAGCTTGGTTCCTTGGTTCCGTTCTCGGCCAAAACCGGCGAACCAGTTACCACCTCTTCTGCAAATTGTGGGAGCAACTGCGACGGTCTCGACATTGGCGACAGTGGAAGGGCATCCGAACACACCGACCGCGGCGGGGAATGGAGGCTTTAGACGGGGCTTTCCAGGCTTGCCTTCTAACGATTCGATAAGTGATGTTTCTTCACCACAGACGTAGGCACCGGCACCACGGTGTAGGTATACATCGAAGTCGTAACCGGAACCGCAGGCGTTTCGACCAATTAATCCGTCAGCGTAGGCTTCGTTGATGGCTTGCTGTAAGACGGCGGCTTCGAGGATAAATTCGCCACGGATGTAGATATAAGCAGCGGTTGCATTCATGGCTCGACCAGCGACTAAACATCCTTCGATAAGTTTGTGAGGGTCCTTTCGCATAATTTCTCGGTCCTTGCATGTTCCGGGCTCGCCTTCATCGGCGTTGACGACAAGATATCGCGGTTTCGTGTCCTTATCCCAATCCTTGAAGTTCATAAATGACTATAACACCAATTGATTAGTTGTTTCCCCCAATTAACAGTGTAATCCGACGTACCCATTTTAAGCCAGAAGGGAAACCAGCTCCTCCTCTACCTCGTAGGCCCGAAGCTTTAATCTCACTAATAATCCAATCATGGCCTTTTAGAATAATCTCCTTCGTCTTATGCCAATCTCCCATTCGCTTAGCAGACTTCAAGTCGGCGGGGTATCGGCCGTAAAGGTTTTGGAATATGCGATCTTGATCTTTGAGGCCGCCATAGGTTCGTTTCGGAGTTCCCTCTTGTACGGTCGCGAAGCTTCGGTTCTGCTGGGACGAAGAGGTCTGTGGTAATCTGGAACAGGACGGTAAGGCGATACGCGACAGGGCCTTCGCAGAGGCTGCCGTCGGGGTTGTTGTCCTGGACAGCATGGTGGAAGGGAATCGGCGCTCAATTGAGCAGAGGGAGTGGAGAGTCCGGATGGCGATGTGGAAATATTTGGGAGGATTTGTCGTTGAAAAGGTGAGGCCTTTGAATGGAAATGACCGCATCATGATTGGTTCGGTGTCATATAGAGGTGGATCTCCGTGGCGATCCAAGAAGCTTAAACCACATTATTTCATTGTGGCTAGTGAATCGAGGCTGAGTGATGAGGTCATCAACCGTCTTGATTAATATATTGGTTGATAAGCAGTTAACACAGTTACTGATAACAACCATTACGTAAATACATCTGAAGTTACACTCGACGCGGAATACTAAAACATACAAACAAGTCTATTGTATTTACTTTAATTCTTTGGCAGCTCTTCTCATTTAAATCAAGGGGGTATCTAGGTATGCAGTCATGAAATCGAGTACTTTAATACTCCTTTCGCTCGTGTTACTTCCCACATAGTCTAAACGAAAATCATACAATGTCGTCCTCCAAACGCCAATCCATTCTCCCTCGAATTCCCTCCGGTCCTAAAGCGCCAGTCAATTTCTCGTCGTCTATAACGATAGCCGAAGCTGCGATCCTAAGCGGAAATCACACCATTAATATCAGCTCCGAGTCTGTCGTACATCCTCGAGCGAAGCTAGATTCCTCTAACGGACGAATCACTATTGGTCGGAGATGTATCATACATGAAAGAACGAGCATTGGGGCGGCGTCTGCAGATCCAACGCCCAGTGAATCTCGTGATGGCGTAGTTATTAGTGACTATGCTACAATTGAAGTTGGTGCAGTACTCGAGTCTGGCGGCACAATGATAGGCGAAGGGTGTCTGGTTGGTGTGGGTTGCAGAGTCGGCAAGGGAGCAAAGCTAGGCAGGGTGAGTTTTCCCTATTCACATATGATATTGTAGCCATAGTACTGACCAACTACATAACAGCACTGCACTATAACACCACGGAGCGTTATACAACCAGGAGAAACAGTACCGGATTATACCGTTGTTTATTCTAACGGAACAAGACGAACCGATAAACGTGGTATATCGGATCTCAAGAATAAGGCACAGGCTCGACAGATTGAAATACTGAGGAAGCTTATACCAAGTGTTCCCGCCAAGTTTCAATGATCGTACCAGATACCCATAGCATTGATTTAATTCATATAATGATACCCTGTTAAGTCTACTAGCTCGAAGTCTTTTGTATCTGTTGCTTCATATTGAATTCTATTCTACTCTTAGTTTACCATAATTAATTAGGAGCTTCATCTTCTCTGCCCAAGCCACTACAACCCTCTTGATTTGCTCATTCGCTGTTTTCACCGCCTCTTCAGTCATTCGCTCTACATTAGCATCTACATCCGGACTGACATCTCCATAGTTGAGAAGTAATTCGATCACGTCTGCGCGCTCTAGTCGTATAGCTTCAAGAATAGTTCTCAAATTAATTATACCACCCTTGTTTATGATCTTGCTAATGATATCGAGTGACTGTCCACAGACTATTGCCGCGGACAATGCGCCGCCATCCGGGGGACGCCCCATATTGACCTGCGCACCGTTGTCTAAGAGTACATGTATCACCGAATTGATCTTGTTTGGCGGTTTGGTGCATGCTTTCGTTAGGAAAGATTCCGCTACATGGATGTATGGAAAAAAGAAATTTACGAAGACAGGCTGGTGGTTGCAGAGAATTCGTAATATTGTTGGGTCGGGATTGTCCAAGATGGCGTCAACGATTCGGACCTCCCGCATGAGAGAAATTGAAGGGTTCATCTGAAGAAGTCGCCTCACTGCATCTCTGTCTTTTTCCTCTACGGCGTACCTCAGCAATTGAGAAGGAGTGAACTGCATGGTGATCGTGGTCGCCGTTAATGTTTCTTGGGCGTTACCAGGGTCAGCGAAATGTGGAGGTTGGGCCCCTCGATCTTTTTTGTAAAGCCAAGTTATCTCTAGAGCATGCATCAGGCATAGGGATGTCTCTGGTACCAGATAGAGCCATTATATAGAGGCTCAGAGGTTGATTGAAATTGACAGAGAAAAGTGTAGCCTCTGTATAACATCAAACAGGTAGCTGGAAGCTACGCAGGTATAACAACATGTCTATGGGCACGACTGCTAGTTTTCGCATGACAGGATGTCCCTATTCGACAATCCGTTAGTAATTCTAGTCACAGCAGTAATAGTAGTTGATCTGTTAACAATATTTAACTGATATTTCATGCTGCGTATCTACCTAGGTATGATTCTTATGACACATCATGTATGTCTTGTACTCCATTCCTCCCCATACTAAGACTCAGCTGAAAATAAATCGCTTAACCACAATATACCATGGCACATTCTTTTTCTCTCTAGAAGAGCCATCATCCTCCACCTGTGCCAAATAATCCCGTCTACCAGTTACCAAGTCTGCTTCAGCTAAGGGAACAATCTTTGTCCCCTTAACAAACTTCCAACCAAAATACAACACCGTAAATATCGCAATGACCACATACGAAAACACAAAATCAACAGCAGCAAAACCTCCAATGAAAACTTCGTATCCAGAGATGAAAACAAGAAACAAATTCAGCAACACGACAAACCAAGCCCCATAGGGATACAAGAAAGCACGGTATGGTAGCTCATCCACCCCATGGCCCTGCCTTGTCCACGCCCGTCGCAATCGTATATGCGTCACACCAACAAACGCCCAAGCAACAAAAGTAGCAGCACCAGCGATGCTAATCAGATACGAAAACACCTTCCCGGGAGTAGAAGCGATATTAAGCAAAGCCAGAAGGCCAAGCGTATTTGAAAAAACAACGGCGTTGACAGGTACACCGTTTGAGGTAGTCTTCGCAAAAAACGCTGGCGCGCGCCTCTTAACAGCAAGCGCCACCAAGCTGCGCGAAGCGACGTATATTGCGCTGTTGACTGAGGATAGCTGCGCTGTGATCATAACAACATTAACTAAATTCCCACCACCAGCCCACCCAGCATTAACAAGCGCCACCGTCCAAGGCGATTGCGCAGACTTGCTAGTCGCCGTCAGGAGTCCCGGTTCGTTATACGGCACAATAATCCCTGCGAAGAATACCAAACCCAGGAAGATAATCAGAATACGCCAAAACGTCTGACGAATCGCCTTAGGCAAGTCCTTCTTTGGATTCCGGCTCTCGGCCGCAGTCAAGGCAAGCATTTCGGTGCCGCTGTAATACACAGCAGCCAGAACGAAAGTCTTTCCAAACCCATTAATCCCATTCGCGACAGCGCCCGGATCGCGCCAATACCGGAACCCGATATACTCGCCACCCACCGCCCCCGTATTAACCAGTATCGCAACAAGGAACCCGCCAACCACACACACCAACTTCCAACACGCAAGCCAAAACTCCATCTCGCCATAAACCACGACCCCCAGAAGCGACGTACACTGAAAGCCGGCCCAAAAAATAAGTATCCAAGCATACGCCGGCACCGCATTCGTCCAAAGTCCCATAATCAACGAAATATTATTATAATCATTCGCGATATTGGTAACCCAGAGATACCAATAATTCACGCCTAACGAAAATGATAACGCCGGGTCCACGAATCTACCGGCTAGTTCGATGAATGCGCCTTGCACGGGGAAGAGAGTGGACATCTCGCCTAAGCTCTGCATTACGAAGAATACGTCGATGCCGATGATGAGGAAACATATTAATGCACCGACGGGCCCGGAGTAGGCGATTGCGGACCCGGTTCCGTACCATATGCTGGCGCCTACTACGCCGCCGAAGGCTATCATTTGCTGTGGCCATGGTTAGATATTGCGAGGTGAATTTTGAGATGGGGGTACTGACTAAGTGACGATTCTTAAGCCCGCGCTGGAGGCCTTCATCGATGACATTGCCGTTACTAGCATGGGCGACCTCGCCCTCCTGGGAAGGTATCTCATCGGGTACGTCGTCGGGAGAAGTCGACATCTTTTCGACAACCTCTGGCGTTGGTGTTACACCCATTCTCGCGGTTTGTAGGATGCCTCGGTTCTATACACAGGTTCCTCGGTATCTAAATCTTTCGAGAAGATAAGAAGCGATTTACCACATCAAGCTTCCCGAGTCAACGGGGTTAGACCTTGATCGAACTTTGATCGGTCAGCAGATGTTTGCTTCCTGCTGTGCGTATAGAACCTGCTTCTCCGCGAAGAATGATCGTCCGAATTGGGAACCGAACACTCCCAAAGTGAAGAAAAGGCATATTCCACTGCCTCTTATCGTTATAACATTGTATGCCTAGGATATATACTGGTTCCTGTACGTACCTCCCATACCCCCACTTGTTATTGGTTGATAGGGTTACAATCGGGATTGCGACATCCAACTTGAGTAAGTCTTATCATGAAGGCAGCCCAGATTCCGTATAGTCCCCGATAAGCATGTAGTAAGCTGGGTATATGTTTGTAATGGATAAATCAGAACTTATATTAGACATCTGATCAATTTATTTTAGTTTAGTGTCTTTGATATTGGTGTTTGCGTGGAATAGCGTATTGTTGTTTGTCCGCTTTTCTAGAATATCACGATACGAAGCCCTGGCGAGTTGGATCTGAAATTGATCGATGCTACTGGCTGAGAGCATTGTAATGGTGACGCTTTCTTAGGGAATGGCGTGACTTGTGAAGCAGTAGATGGGACGGGGTCGTCTTACAAAGAGGGCAACTTAAACGGCAGGAGATGGAATTTGAAGAGCAAAAGATGAAACTATATCACCGGATTGAAATATGTATCTATATGATTGTTAGCGATGGGTTAAAATGAAAGAAAAAGTATTGCCAACGCACCTAAGATTTATCGTACCAATTTCATGATGGTGCAAAGTGAATGTACCTTCGTAAATCCAAAATATCGCTTCTGGACTATTCAAAATTTGGGAGGGTATATTGATAGATAATGCGACAACCAGATCTCGAGCATTTTCCGGCTCAGTTGGTCGACCATACCTGTACTCTATTATTATACACCATGTCTAATATCCAGTTTAAACTTTTATGATCGTTGTTAGGTTTATCATATCGACTCATCGGTTCTTCGAACGGCGAAGAAGTAATTTCCAACTTTCTCACTCCCATTTACTTCCCTCCATCCCAGGCCTGGGACATATATTACGCCCATACACCTCGGCTCAGCCCATCCCATTCTCTTTTGTAAGAAGTGGCCTCTCAGCTCATCTTCATTGATGTATTTCCGCCAGTCATGTGTCCCTTGAGGTACTATACGTAACAAATCCTCGGCGATAACATTGGTGGTCAACCAACTCATCCATGTCCTCGCAATCGTGCTAAGCACTAGCCAACCTCCAGGCTTGACGAAGGGCGTACATCGGTCGAGGAACTGTGCGGGATAGGATACATGTTCTATAACCTCGAATATCGACACGATATCGTAGCCCTCTTGGGGTGTGCTCGGGGCTGGCAGTTGCTCAATAGGTGTATTGAGGTATGTAAGTTTCGACCGTAACGCGGGGTCTCGCTTCGCATGCGCCTTCGCTACAGCCAGCACCTCAGAGCTGGGATCTATCGCTGTTACAGATGCAGTACTAGATAAGCGAGCAGCAGACTCGGCAAATATCCCCCCTCCGCAGCCTATATCGAGGTATTTCAGACCGGTAGAAGGTGGGGGTGGGTCGTCGAGGACAGAAGCGCGACACGATCGAATGAAGTCATGTCGGAGCGGGTTCATAAGGTGGAGGATTCGTGACGGCCCTTGGGGATCCCACCAAGAGGATGCGAGAGCGTTGAAGTGAGACACTTCATCGGGTGATACGGTCGTGAAGGTAGGGTCGGTGTGATTGGGGTTTGAGGGCGAGGGACCCGAGGGTGACGAGGAGGCCGAGGCTCTCGTGGCCGAGAAACTCCGGCTTATTATTGCATGTGAAATTGGTCGCACGCTAGCACTGGAGTGGCGCAGTTGTCGCAGAAGAAGTGCAGTATTAGAACTTGTTGGCATGATGTATTAGGCTTGGGAGCAGCCTTCGCTCTAAAGTGATTACTGTTATAATCTTGTCGCAACGGAAGCCCTCGCCATGTGTGATTACGATATGAGAAGAATTGGAAAAGTTCCAGATTGGGTAACAAGCTTTGATGAGACGCAGAAGACCCAGACTAACGGGGTGCGCCGGTTTCGTCCCGTGCAGGGGTTGTCTTAGAATTGGCCAATGAAAATGACGGATTCCTAGTGTGATGTAATCTTAGACCCAGAAAACAAGCCCCTCAGCATGAACGCCGACCCCGCCGAGCTTGTCCTCGGAGACCCTTGACTTTAGTGTTAAACAGACAGCCAAACAGCTGATCAGTCAGCATTTGAAAGAACTTTCCTCATTCTACGCCGTGGAAAGTCCGGGATGAGTAAGGAATCGTCAGTGCCGTTTGCTACATGTAATCAACGAGTATATTATTCTTATTCTCATTCCGATTTGGATTATATTATAACTTTACAAACTTACTCCTCAAAGACTTACTGTTAGAATCTTGTTACAACATATAGCGTATCACCAGTTTGTTGCGTTACTTTTGTTTCCCACGTACCCTAAGCCTTATGATTTACGGTAGCTGCATGTTGTGACGCAACCTTTGATCTCTAATCCCTTTGTCGCCGCAGCCTACGACCACCAATAGTTAAACCGTCCTGTCTGTCGGTACCCGTCTACGAAACTTGGGAAACAAAAGCAACTCCAAACCATTTCGTACACCACATCGCCCATCATGCCGTCCGCTCTCATTGACCACAGTCGATTCGATTCGATACCAGATTCTATTGCCGCTTTCCGTATGTCTTCTTATTCTTAGGTATCTAAGACAATTACTCGTCCGGAATCCCCCTTGTATACTTTTGTAACTAATGAGTATCTCGTACGATAGGAAATGGCGAATTCATAGTGGTAATGGACGACGAAAACCGCGAGAACGAAGGTGACCTAATCATAGCCGCCGAAAATGTAACGACCGAACAAATGGCTTTCATGATCCGACATACCTCCGGCCTAATTTGCGCACCTATTACACCCGCCCTTACCGAGTCCCTCAAGCTACCGCAAATGGTAGAGAACAGCGAAGATCCCCGTGGTACAGCCTACACCATCTCAATCGATGCGGCTGACCCCTCCGTAACCACCGGTATTAGCGCTCATGACCGCGCACTCACCGTCCGACACCTCGCAGATCCTAAGTCAACCGTAGCAAGTTTCCGACGCCCCGGACACGTATTCCCGTTGCGCGCACGACCAGGTGGTGTTAGGGTCCGGAGGGGACATACAGAGGCCGGTGTTGACTTCTGCAGGCTAGCTGGTAAACCCGAAGCCGCGGCAATTTGCGAATTGGTCGAAGACGGAAACGAGGTCAGTGGTAGCGCAGTACGAGAAGGCCCTAGTATGATGCGAGGCGAGGGGTGCATTGCGTTCGCGAGAAAATGGGGACTAAAGGTCTGCACGATTGCGGACCTAGTCACTTACCTGGAAAAGGCTGAGGGCAAGATCGGGGCAAATGGAAGCTCATCATAATTCATATGAGATTATACCATTTTCCTGGATGTAATTGGAATATCGGCGTACGTCTCAAGCCCGCCGAAGGAGCTGGGTGGCGGCTGAGGGTCACGTAAGCACTATACATGATTGAAAGCTGGATGCGAGGATTTTCTTTTTGGATTACAATGGAATTGCATAGGTAGAGAAAAGGGGTGTGCTATCATATCATCAAGTCACAACTCTACATACATATATCATGTTGTATTATACACCATAGCATGGATCTGACATCCGAACCGGAAATCCAAAATCCCAATATGCACATTACCCCAAGCACATGTCAATTGCGCAGGATGAATTGATCATAAGATAGTTGAGACGAAAAGCCTAGGCTATCACCACCCTTCAGCCTCAGCCTACCTTCATTGAAAGTCTTGATCTTAAATCTTTGAGATATCAATTGACAGTAATGATTAACTGACTTCGGCCTCAACATTCTCGGCTCCGACCCCCTGAATCGCGGGGGAACAGCCGCGTAAACAGCCGCGAGAAGCGCCGAACCACTAAAGTAGGATACCGAAATTCTGACATTGGCCCCGGTGAAGACAACATAGCAGCACGGCCATATTAGGAAAGCGGGAAGCAAATTCAATGCTTGCTATCCAAAGTCTGGTTCATGAGGCAATTCTGATAAAGCGAATAGACGATTAGTAGCTTTAGTTCCGAACCACGGATCTCCCTACCCCCACATCGATCGAATAGGTGCTTTAACTCTCCACTCTTCTCAGGCAGATTCATCTCCTTAAACGTTGTCTGAATTGTACAGATGAATGTAACGTGCACCGGAAACCGAGCTCTCGGTTTTGTCTTTAGATTTCGATGGGTCAATGGGTCAATAAGTTGAACCGACCCGACCTCACCGACCCTACCCCGTAAAATCCATGTTTGTTGTTTTGTTATAAGCAGGGTATCGTAAGATCATGAGATGTCGACCGGGTAGCCAACATCAAAATGTCCCTTTTTGGAGATATTGTTATGTGGGAGGTTGGCGAAAAAGATTGGTTTTTGATACGTTGGCCGTATGGAAAACAGTGTAAGCACTAGCGAAAAGACCCATGCCTGGGGCTTCAAAGGATGGGAAAAAGCACCCATCGTGAAAATTTCTTGCCAGCCGGGTTCCACACATACATAAGGTAGGTACTTTACGTACCCCTAATTAATATACTGCGGCATGTTAGGCGATAGAAGGATTCGTTAAGATGTAGGCGGTTCCTGTCGGGAGTTATATGTAAATTGTGTGGCTTGTGGCGTTTGATTTGTTAGGTGCCTTACCCGATACACTGGAACGTGGGAATATTGAAGATTTCCAAGGTTGGTTTGGGGTCGCACTACATATCCAAGTACATTTTAGTATAATGTCGGTAAGAAGCAGCCACAGTGGATACTTTACACGTACGCCGTACCGTATCGATGCAGTAGCATCTTATTTGACTGCCGATCGTAGAGGGCAGGAGCGTATCATAAGAAGCGGTATTGACCTGTGTCTCACCCACGATGTACTTCACCGACAGGGGGTACCGCGGGGTACCGCGAAGCACCAGTAAGGCCACCCCGATTTAAGGTGACAGCGTATCGCCTTAGCCGGCAGGCATAGCAGTTACGATCCCATTATGGTGTATTTTGGAAGTAACCCTCCTGGCGTGGCCGAATGGAAAGTACATTATGTATACGGCCGCGCAACTCGCATAATCTTAAAACTATAACTCTTTTCTACTATATCATCCTTACTTCTAACTATTGTTTCTTGTATATAATTCAACTATCTTCCAACCGCGTTTCGTCGTTAGTGACTTACGTAGATTGTAAGAGCCATCAACCAACAATCCGCTAAAACGGCAGATAGAGAGGCTCACACATACTGTGCCGCATTGCATGGGGGTCTCAATCGCAAGTCCAGGGGTCCTCTTTTAAAAGGCGGGAATCCTTCTTGACAATAGTTTTCGCCTTTACCTCACAAGCTCTTCACCCCAAGGCTCATTGTCTATGGGAATATCTGTCACGATGGCGCCCATAGTGACTTCATTGCTGGCATCGCCGGCTCTATTCCTTACAGTTTACTTTTCTTTACTTCCCATATCTTTAGTGGTGTATCGCCTGTTCCTACATCCTCTAGCCAAGGTCCCAGGTCCGAGGATTGCTGCTATTACCAGTTTGTGGTATGTCTTCCAAGTGAAGAAGGGTCGCAGTGAGTATTCCCTCATAATTATCCCCGGTCAAGTCGCCATCCTCTCAAACCCCGAGCTTGGTGGGGCTACCCGGCTGGTAGAATGAGATGGTGTCAAATAATTACTATCGTCGTGAAATTTGTTTACTGATTCCTCTCATTCTAGTGTTGATCCTTAACAGAGACTTGCATCGAAAGTATGGACCGGTGGTTCGAATTAGCCCCAATGAAATCTCCTTCGATTCTGAGGAGGCGTATCGGGCAATCTACAGTGTGTAACCCTCGCGAACCTGGCCAATGGCCCAGGCCGTTACGGAAATTATTGACATTCATGATAGCCGGAAGCCACTATATTCAGAAGGGGGACTTTTATTGTATGATTACCCGCACATTTCAGTGCAAAGACCATCCACTTATATCTTACAGGGGCGCTGGACACCCATCCCGGGAAACTCGACTGGCGTTTCCGCCGAGAGCAAACTGATAAATTCGCGTTGAACGCCGAAATGGACATAAACCGTTATCGAAATAATAGGAGAAATATTGGTCCAACGTACGCTGCATCTTCCGTCAAGAAGTATGGCCCTCGATTGGACGGAGTAATGGATGAGTTCGTCGCGAAGTTGCAGACGCAGGGAGGACAGGTCCTTGATTATACCGATTGGGTTCACTTAGTCGTTGTTGAGTGCTTAGGCGCTGTCACCCTCAACTGGTCCCCCGACTTCGTTAAGGATGGAAGTGACCATGGTTATCTCGTCAAGAGCATCAAGTTCTGGCGAGAGATTACCGTTTTCGGGTCTCTTAAGCACTTGCTTCTCGTTGTCCAAAAGTGGCCAGCTCTACGACCCAGGATAGCCAAGTTCTTTGGAGTGGATATGAGCAACATGCCAGCGGACTATGTCCCATTCGAGCCGGTACGTAATCTCCCCGCAGTTGAAAACCTGACATTTTGCTAACTTGGGCGATAGCGAATTTTTGGAAATATCGGCAAGCGTACCGCGGAGTTTCTCGCATCGGAGAAGCAAGGGAATGCAGAAGATGCTGATCAAGACATGCTAGGCGAGCTACTAGAACTTACAAAGAAAAAAGCAACTTGGAAACCACACTACGCGGGAAAACTGGCATTCAACAACTTCATTGCGGGCCACGAGACGACTACATCGATCGCGACTGCGGCGTTGGTTTCTATCTGCGGTAACCCCGAAGTAAAGGCACGTGTACAGGCTGAGCTAGATGAAGCCGATGGTGATATTGAGAAGTGCACGTATACGCAAGCTTGTATCAAGGAAGCACTACGAATGGAACCAGTCACATCGATGGCACTATGGCGTAAGGTTCCCGCGGGCCCGGACCTAAGCTTGCACGGATACAACTTTCCCTCTGGAACCACGGTTGGTGTCAATGTGGCGGCGATGCATTTGAACCCAGCTATTTTTGGACCAGATGCATCAGAATTCAAACCCGAGCGTTGGCTCAAGAGTCCCGAGGCTTGGCGTTCTCTCGATCGCACGAGTTTGGCTTGGGGTGGAGGTGCCCACACTTGCCCGGGGCGGCCCCTGGCGGAATTGATGCTTAACAAAATTGTTGGTGCCGTTATGCAGAACTTCGATGTCGAAATCGTGGAGAGACCTGATATAGAATCCATGGACAGCTACACATACATCGCGCTAATGACCGGGATTAGGGCGCGGTTCCTGCCGAGGCAGAAAGCCGAGGCTTGAAGAGCATGGGACAGAATTGGGAACTCGAGGATTTTGTGCGTGTACATGGTTGTACATAAGACGCTGTGCAGATGCCTGGGCGGTGCTCAGAGGCCTGGGTCATAGACCGTTAATATTGGATTTTACTACCGCCTATAGTTATTGTTACACAGGTGGCTAAGGGAAATGGAATTTGAACTATCTTGGAGTTGGATACTTATCTGCTATAGGGAAATGGTGGGGTCATAGTGTCAAAGTAGTTGACATACTTCTACGATGAGTGAGGACATACCCAAGATAATGAGTTTTATAGGTATCCAGTTTTACGGATAATACTGCCAAATTTGAATGAATTACTTCCAACTAGTAGAAATTTTATACTGAGGAAGTTGACGTGGTCTTGTACGCGTGCTAATGTGAGTGTTGCCCCTTTGCCCTTTCATTTTCGAGTCGCTTCAATAAAGCCGAATTATATGTTGAAATGACTAATAAACACGCGACTTATATCAAAAGTAATTACCGAAATATCCCTAAAACGCCAGCCTATATACTCTAGTGACCTACCACAAGCAATGGGATTCCACCTTGTCATATTCCTCGACTAACACCACCCTCAAAATTAGAAATAAACAACTTACGGTATCCACCAATACCTACGGGCGCGGATAACAAGCCGTTGGACCGCAACATCATCCGTGAACCAGACACTCCGAATCTGTCTCCTCATCCTCCTTCGATGGCGGAACTGCACCAACCCCAGACTTTGCGCATACAGCGCCCGTTGTGTCTCACCCTGCTGTCCCTGATCCAGACGAAAGAAACGGGATAATAGGATGTATATTAGGGAAGCATGTGCGTAGAGATACCTCGACAGCAAACTATCGCGCCACTGCGGATTCTCGTATCGGATTCGATCGCGCAGGTGGTGGAAGCATAGCATTTGCGCGTGAACGCTTCGGTATGCGTATGTTACGTTTAGTCTAGCTGTAGGCATGACCGTGATATATGTAATTAGGATAACCCAGTCCCAGATTACCGTCAGCGTGAGGTGGTCGGTAGGGGTGAAGTCCCAGGTTAGTAGGTTGGTTGGGGCTGGCGGGCTGTGGAGCATAGCGTAGAATGAAGTTATGATAAAAAGCGCTACGGTGAGGGGCCGGAAGGTTATAGTCCACAGAAGACCGAATGAAACGGCTGCTTTTTCTCCGTGCGCAAACATTAGGTAGAAGTGTATTGCCTTGCTCACCTTACGATGTGTATAGTCGAAGGCAATCGTGAGAGAGGATGGGTAATCCCAGATCCAACTAGGAAGACGACTGCCGAAATACCGCCAAATGAGATTTCGGTAAGCTGAGGGAAGAATAATACGGCTTATTAGCTGCTTAGTACCGATGTACCAAGTCCCCCAAGCAGAAATGAAGGGATCAACATCGTCTCCAATATAATTATCCCGGTTTCGTCGCGTATTTCCTGTGGCATGGTTAACGGGTTGCCAAAGCTGGCCATACACAACCATTGTGTGTCGAACGAACGGGACAATTTGCTTCGCGAGCCGAACGGCAGTGATATAGGTAATACTAGCGAATCGGTAGGAATTAAGTGAAAATGACACAATGTAAGACAGGAGATGCCCAACTGCCTGTACTAAACTTTGCTCCGTGAACCGAATGACGGCGAGGAATAAAGAAGCAACGAGTCGATAGGAGTGGACGACGAACGACACAACATAAGTTTTGAGGTATTCAACCTCCGATACAAGACTTTTCGTGGTCGCATTCGAAAACCTCCAAGCATATATGATACCAGCCCAGAGGGCCGCGAAGATATTAGTCGCATGTGTATGGAACAAACGCCAAAGCCATAGCATGGCATAGAAGAGCAGAATGATAGTTTGCAAAAAGTACCCTTTAAAGATGTAGTCAGCGACTATTCCAAGATTATAATAGGAAAAAGCTCCAATGAATACAACTTGGGTGAATCGCAGTCCTATCAGCCAGGGGGATGTTTTCTCAGCCATTCTGCTGTTATTGATTCATAGAACTCTGGGACTCGAAAACCTCTAAAGAGAGTAACAATTCCAACTTCACGAGGAGATCGCGTCATCTTCATATACCCTGGTCGAGAGCCATATACTCCCATGTTTGTTGATGATAAAGGTATTGTTTCTCGAAGGATAACATTGAGAGTAAGCTTCCTTCATACGTGGGTGCTAAAGTAGAAAAGGGGGAATGAAGAATAATCGCATTCTTTACCGGCTTATCAAGCTACCCTTTATAGGTAAAAACAATGCCATTGAGACAAGACAAGGTATCCACAAAGGGTTAGACATGTAGGTATGGAGTAGGTACTGTTAGGCGTGTATCTGCTTATCGGGACCCGTGCCGGCTTCTCGGCTAGAATTGCGGGTGTGACGTATCCGGGAAGCAAATGGCGCAACGCCGAAGTCGGCTAACTAACCCGTGACCTTGCCGTGCCCAGCCGGTCATACCGCCATTCCTTCTTCCGCTTACACTATTTTGCGAATTGAAAACCAATAAAACTTCCCACAATATATTTATCGTAGTATTTGTGGTAATCTTATATTCTCAAGAATATTATTGCCGGGAAACTGGACTAGATGTTTGAAAGAATTACCGCACCCCTCAGGTGGTTCTATCATGAATTTGGAATCGCTGCGATTCATGAAACTGGCTCGGATGCCTACCTTATCATCCTCGCGCGAACTGGCCGCATGTTCGCCTATGGTACCACAGCATTGATTCTAGGTACGACTCCGGGCTGATTCGTGAAGATGCATAAGATCCTAGGTGTTGACATAACCTTACAGCCATCTTTTTTTCCGCATTAGAAATATCGGACCACCAGATTGGCCTTTTTATGACACTCACACTACTGGGGGATGTTATCCTTGGGACATTCCTTACTCTTGTGGCGGATCGCATTGGTAGACGAAGGGTAATGATCGCTGGCTCGTTGCTTATGATTTTGAGCGGTGTCATTTTTGCGATATTCGAAAATTTCTGGATTCTTTTGTTGGGCGCAATTGTCGGGGTTATTAGTATAACCGGTGGTGATTTTGGCCCTTTCCGAAGCATAGAGGAGTTAGTCGTTCCCTTGAGCAAGTGGTTGAATTATAACTGATCGTGTTGTAGATCTATGTTATCGGAAATTACCACAGCTTCTACAAGAGCAGACGTCTTATCATGGCATGTCACTACGCCATTACTCGGATCTTCCTTGGGAAGTGAAGTATCGGGTAGGCTTCTCCACTACCTACAGAGTAAGGATGAATGGTCGAAGGTCGATTCCTACCATGCTCTTTTTTGGATCTATTCTTTGATGGGGTTGTTGAATCTCGGTATGGTTTTGATGCTCTCGGATGCGTGCGAGCTCGCGAAAATGAAGAAAAGTTATACGCAACTTCCACAGGGTGAAAGCGAAAGCAATGTAAATGCTATCGACGAGAGCCCTATGGAGATGCCTAATGTGGCTCCCGTATCTCAGAACTGGGTTATTCGAAGTTTCAAGTGGCTTTCAAATCGATTGGCCCAAATATCAGCGCCGACGCGATCCACAATGTACAAGCTATGGTTTTTGTTGGCTGTCGACTCGTTGGCTGATGGCATGGTGCCTTATTCGTTGACGAATTACTACATGGACGAAAAGTTCCATCCTGCCAAGTCAACCCTTGGCGACATCACTTCGTTTAGTTACTTCCTTGGTGCGTTTTCGGCAGCGTTCGCCGGTCCTCTTGCACGAAAGATTGGCTTGATCAACACGATGGTATTTACGCATATCCCATCGTCAGCAGCTGTATTGGCATTTCCATTTCCGCCTTATCTCTGGATGACGGCGGGGTTGTTGCTCATTCGCGCGGGGTTAAATAACATGGACCAAGCGCCACGCGCCGCTTTTATCGCAGCTGTGGTGAAACCTGAGGAACGAACAGCGGTTATGGGTATTACTTCGACAGTCCGCACACTAGCAGCCACAGCAGGTCCTACTGTTACGGGCATTCTCGCAGCGAGTAAACGATTCTGGATCGCGTTTGTAGTCGCGGGTTGTTGCCGTCTTTCATACGACTTGGGCCTTTACGCCATGTTCGTCAATATGAAAATTCATGGACATGAGACTAAACCGGTCGATTCGCCGAATGGGCAAGATGCAAGACGTGTACCGGATGAAGAGATGGAGCTTGAAAGCCTAGCCGATACTGACAGTGGCAGTGAAAGTGAAAGTAGCGAAAGTAGTGAAGAATCGTGGCGCGAGAAATCAGCATCCAAGACGGTTAGCCTTCAACCTCCTAGTGGAAATCAAAGAGTTCGAAGTAGGAGCCCACGACGTGCATCGGATTCGGAGGATTGATGAAAAAAGGCGTTTTAAAAGAGAGAGATTGCATTCAGTTGATGATACCAATTATCTAGAGGAAATGGTGTTTATGTTTTATGTAGGGGATTGCAATTGGTGTTATTCCGTGCATTAATTACAGTGGTAAAGTTGGCGCCGTCGGATAACCTTAGACATAAAAAGCAAATATTATACATTTTATGCATTGTACGACCACTCGTTCCTTACTAAGCAATGGATAAATTACTGCTGGTTGCGTCATATCGCGATTGCGATGAATAAGTGCACGGCGGCGTGATTGTTCGACCGAATTCTACCAGGGTCAAAGAAAAGCCCACCTAAGTCTTCCGAGGTTGAAAACATACGTCTCCTATTTTGCCTGGAGCTTTCATATAGCACTTTGAGTGACATATAAAATTGCACTTTCATATAGCACTTTGAGTGACATATAAAATTGCACTTTCATATCACCTCCATTGACTTTACCTTAAAAATAAACAAATTTATCATTCTACATAAATCATGGCGTCGGTGGCTGCAGTTTTCGGAAGTACCGGAGTTGTAGGCAGTCAAATACTGTCAACTCTTTTAAGTCACGATGCATTCAAGGCGATCCATACCATTTCTCGTCGAGCACCTAAAGCAGAGTCACCTAAATTGAACGCCACAATTGAAGCTGATACCGCCAAGTGGTCGTCTGATCTCTCAGGTATCAGTCCCGTACCGTCAATAGTCTTTTCAGCTGTGGGAACAACTCGGGCCGCCGCTGGTGGCGTCGCGAATCAGTGGAAAATCGACCATGATTGTGAGTCGCATTCCCTCAATCCGCATCCTCAACCCCTTCGTGAAAAAGCAAAGTTAGCCAAAATTACTTTTCTAACCATCGTAGTAAACGTCGACCTCGCCAAAGCGGCCCACACCGCAGGCGTCAAGACCTTCGTCTTCATATCATCAGCAGGCACGCGGTCGCTTCTCAGCAGCCAATTTCCCTACTCGAAGATGAAGATCGGCGTCGAGGACACCATCAAAGACGCAGGCTTCGAGCAAGCTATCATTCTGCGCCCGGGCTTTATTCTCGCCGAGCGCGAGGTACCCCACCAAGGCGCCACGCTCTTCCTCAAGCTTATCCGTAGCCTATCGCATTTCGGCCAGGCAAGACAGGATGCTTGGGGCCAGGAACCGGAAGTTATTGGACGTGCGGCTGTTCATGCGTCAGTCCTTGCGGCCGAGGGGAAGGCACCTAGTAAGTATTGGGTTCTGGAACAAGCGGATATTGTGAGGCTTGGTAGGGATGAGTGGAAGGCTTAACTTAAAGGTGTGATGGGAAAGGGGAACCGAAACTTATTCGACCTTGTAATTTCTCGTGGCTTGGGCGTTTTGGCGCATGTGAGGCTTTTGGGAGAATCTCCGCGATACCATGTTACGAAGTCCATCTTTAGCTCTTACAATACATGAAGTGATGTTCTTCAGGCGGCTCTGCGCGCTACTTATATCTTTCCGCTGAGCATGGGGGCGATGGAACTACCCTTGCTTCCGGGTGCTTATAGCTCAGGCTAGATGCCCTTGGCTGAGCATACGATGAAGGATGCATTGGTGTGTTCGTATGTCTGTCCCCACAGTAAGACGGCACAGCTCACCCGTCTCATCGCGATGCACCCTATGTATAATTGAGGAATATGAATCGCTGATCGGTTCTAGATTATATTCAATTGTCATTTAAGTTGAACGTCTATGAACTTGGTAGCATCAATTCTATTCAATTTCTTCACTGCTTCGCTGACTGATTGATGATCTACGTGAGACTTGAAAATCTCCCATGCCAGATCCCCTCAACAACACTCCTACTCATGTCGCATTAAGGGATTTTATTGTCTTTAATCTAACTAGTAGTCGTCCTTTTAGAATATGGTAACTATCGCTTTTCCCTCACTTAAAACAATCCCTTTGTACACTTCGTCATCGGAGGAAGGGTCTTGAAAGGCCATTCATCTTTCTAGAATACCACAACTACTATTTAAGAGCTTAAATATCAGTGCCATTAGCTTCCCTTCCCATCGCCATGAGCTAAATCAATCAAGACATCTACAGCAACTGATATTGAATCTTTCAATATCACCTTAAATAATTGTCACAATGCCTCAGTACCTTTATTATACCCACCAACCCAACAGACCTACATCTATCATGAGCAAAATTGCCACTGGTGTGGGTATCGCTGTCGACATTGCCTTTGACCTTGTTCTCCTTTTAGGTATCTGGATGGCTATCAGACTTCTATTTGTCAAGTGCTTTCTCTCCTAAGGGGTGGTTTTAATTCATGTTCATTGCTCTTTTCCACATATGCTTGTGAGTAAGCTCTGAGCTATTACCATTGCCATGACTAAAATAATACTAAATGTATACATAAGCGCGGCGTTTGGTAGTGAACAGTTGAAATAGTTAGATTTGTATCAATCGAAGTCATCCCACTCGTAATATCCTCTCTCGCCTATATAATGTGATACTCCATCCAATAGGTAACGTAGTTCTACAATCGTGAAATGAAATAAATAATGTACCAAAATAGCTCTTAGTCTTATTTACAGCACTTGCTACGTACCACCTCAATCTACGTACACCCGCATCGCCCTGGTTTCCCGTATCCACAACACACCATCACAACCCCTGCCCTGCCCTCCCCTCCTATCACCCCCCTACAACCGCGGCAGTCATTTATAATAAGCCTTCAAAATCCTGCCAAACTGCTCACGGCGGGGCTCCTCCGTAGTATCAAACCTCACCTTCACAATCCCCACCGGGATCTCCGCATCGCCCGCCGTCAAGCCCGCCCAAGCCTCATCCAAGAACTGCTCCACAGGAATCCCAATATTACCCTCTCCAATAGCAACAAGCTCCGCCTGTTGCGAGTGCAACTCCGTCTGCACTGCGGGGGGCAGTATCTCAATAATTTTGATATGCTTACTGCCCTCATTGCGCTCGAGTTGCGCGCGGATAGACCATAGGAGGGAGTGCAGCGCTGCTTTTGTGGCGCAGTAGTTCGCGCAGCGTGGGAGGGGGACTAGGGCCAGACCGGACGATACACCCACGAGAGCAGCTGGGTTCGGGGCGCGGGCTTGCAGGTGTGGGAGGAGGTAGGTGATTAGGTAGAGGTAGGATGTGTAGTTGGTGTTGAGCTCCTGGATGGTGCGTGGTAGGTCGATGGCTTGCGGTTTGGTAAAGTCTAGTGTGCGTTGGATGCCCGAGTTCAGGATCACGGCGTCGATGGTGGGGTAGGTGGTCGTGATTCTATTTGCAGTGGTTAGTAGGGCCAATTGGTGTTGAGATTGTTCTTATGGGTACTAACTCTTTAACCCATCCCTCGATCTGGTCAACCTTGGTGATATCGAATTGTGAAGCGGCGGCCTTTTCAGGGCCATGCTTGGCCACGAAGGCGTCGAGTCGCTCCTTGCGACGACCGACGCCGATGACGAAGATGCCGTTCTCGATTAGACGCTCCGCGAGGGCAAGACCGATTCCAGCCGTCGCGCCGATTAAGAGAACGTTCTTATACGGAAGTGACATATTCACGCCTTATCTTAGGTATTAAACTGTAGATGTTATATCTGATGACTTGAAGTATGAAATCTGCTTCGTTGGCCTAGGTGTTGAATTTCTAATTACTAGATACCAATGCTAGACGTGTATTTCTTAGTCGTCGAGCTGGCATCCCTAGATACATAGATACGCAAGACACCCTTGAAAATAGGCAAAGTTGTTCTTTCATTCGCTTCCTGGGAGCATTAGCCCAGGCCCAGGCACATGTATTAACTACTTGCCGGCATCACATGAATTTGTACAGATGCGCTAGTTCGGGAGATGTATACGGTACTCATCTTGTCCATTCCACTCCCACATGGGTTTCATGGATACTGCTTGATCTAAGATAGACCCCACACGACGATGTTGCAATATCGACGATCAAGAGTTCTCCATATCGGCAGCTTATATTCCGTCGTGATTGGCTCCGTACTTTGTAGTTCCTGAAAAGTCGCTTCGCCGAGCCCTTCTACCCTGTCCCCAATTTAGTAACCGCAATGCTTTGATCACGAATCGGCATCCCAGAAGTTGCGGGGTTTTCCAGTCTAGGAAGATATCTAGATAACTCACATTCCCCTTTAAGGAATTGTGAGCTACCTAGCTAATCAAATGATGTGACTAGTTTGTCGGGCGTGGAGATTGGAGAAAGAATAGAGACGAAGAAAGAAATTGGCGGGGTATCAAGATGAGGTAATATTCGTCGGATTATATAATGCTTATATAATAAATGCCAGATGGGTTACATAATATTTATCATGCTGCTTTAGGTAATCTCTTCAAGCCATCTTTCATTAAGTAATGCCTCAGTAAGTTACACATCATTAGATTATTCTTCATTAGGTAATAGATGACTCAGGTCTCCTTGTCACCATATTACATAATCCAACTACTGATGATTCAGCATTGCTTAGTAAGAATCGTGAATAGGGGGTAGTTTCGATGAGACACATATCCTTGGCTCCCAGATGGCAATCCTCCCTTCCAAATATCTCGAACTTGAAGGCTTCTACTTAATTTCCTTCTTCCCTCGTCAAAATGCTGTATTTGCCTCCCTCCAGACCATCCCACCAATGCACACTAGAGGAAGACGGCCAAGTGATCTAAACCCAGACCCTGTGGTGAGAAATTCCAGTGCTCAGTGACCCGTCATATCTCCTGAAGCCACTGAGAGAGGCTCAGCCTGATAGCGCGACCAAGGCCGCGGCAAAACTCTCTGCTTCCGCCCCCCATTCCCATTCTTCCTTGCCCTCGTTCAGTGCATGAAGTCGCTCCAGTTCCACCCCGCCGTAAGAGACAGGAACAAGCCAGTCCACAAAGTTTTGAAAGAGAACCATAAGCACAAAACTGGCCGTGGCAGTGGACGCCCAATACAGACACCAGACGAGCCACCACATTTTCGCATCCAATAATAGCTCGTAATGTTTAGTACATATGAAGTTGGCGACGGTGTAGAGTAGAAAGCAGAAAGCCAGGATATGTGCCGGCTTCCAATACCTAGGGAGGCGCCTATTACCCGCCATCGTATTATTGGAATTGGGTCGTATGAAGGTGGTGATTGTTGATAATTTCGGTTGTTAGGACTCTAGGTCTGAATGTAGGTGACACGGGAGTCTGTTTCTATTTGGAGGTGGGTAGGAGACTTTTTGGTTGCACGCGAGCTGATAATATTCAAGTGTGCCAAAGCTGACGATAAAGTCGAGAGGTGGCGAGTGGGATGGGTTGATAGTAGTTTGCCTGCGCAGTGGACAAAAGGGTGTAAGTTACTCAGATATATATAGCACGGTCTGACCATCCTGATGGAAGTAATACTAGTATGTACTCAGATCAGTCAAGTTTAACTTCATATAATGTCCTTGCGTTCGAACTTACCTACGCTACATCGAAGGGGTAAGAATATCTTCCCGCGAAATGTGACCGGGCTAAGAACATGCTATGGCAGATGAATCTAATCCTTATATTTATGTTTCGTGCTTCATATGGTCTTAAAATTTTCAAATTAAACTTCTCCTCGGTTGTGATTATTTATTATCCTGTAGCCAATTTTTCCATTGTTGGTCTTTCAGAATCGACCTAACTCTAGCTTCAAGCCACTCAGTATTGCCCCAAAATCCCCAAGACGCCTGAAATCTTAACCAGTCCTAGATAAATTGAATTAAGTTAGTAACCAAACGCGTCCCATGACAGAAAATAAATGCCTTAGCAATCAAAGCGAAGTACACCATACGCGAAGCGAGGAAAGCCTTCAAAAGATAGGAAACGAAGGGAGAGAGTCAATACATACCACTAGCGCAGTCTCCCAATGCCGTACGAACTCGTCCCAATCATACTCTTGAATATGTCCTTCCGCATCCTTAAAATCGACAAGTAAACTCGAACAATAATACTTCAAAAGCTTTTTCTCGCCTTCCTCCATTGCAAGTTCATGTGGCACGTGCCTTATGTCGTCGACAAGCAAGCCTAGCGGTACCGAGCACGTAAACAGCTTTGCGAGGTCGGAGGCACCAATCCCGAGGCCAACGTATTGAAAGTCGTAGAACGCGACTTTATCGCCAGATTGGGTGGTAAATAAGTTTTCGGATTTTACATCGCCGTGGATGAGTGTCTCATAACTCCGACCGCGCGGCGTTAAGAAATCAGCTACCATCTCAGATACCGACTGCCCACCCGGAGTCCTCGGCTTGCAGAGAGCACTTGACCACTCTGAGTTTCCATCTTTAGCGAGGGCAGAATATTCCTTGCGACGTGTAGCGAGATACGTGTAGCCTCCATTGAGCCAAAACTTCGTTCCCGAATTATCGCCGTTCTGCCTCCTCTTGGCTTCTTCGAGGGGTGGGCGTAGGAGCTCTTGTAAATTGTCTGGGATCAACTTTCGACTACTTCTGTGAAAACTAGACAACCAGTCGAGTGCCGCATGCACCTGTTTCGTATTAAGTTCTGACCTCTTCTCCCCGGCAATTGGAAATTGGGGTCTTAAATCAGTCATAACTGTGTTAAAATAGTTAATGCATGACTCCATCAAATGTTACACAAAGGCACATACCAGTAGCCGTCAAACCCTGAAGCTCCTCAGCTCCCGCCTTTCCTTGCGAATCGCGCGTGGTAGCAATAACATGAGCGACAGCAGTCTCGTCCTCCAAAAGCGGGGCTACTGAGTCGTAGAAGTACTGCTCCACCTGATAACTCATCAACTTCCTAAGATGGCCTTCATCTTCCGACTCCGGCTTCGTTGGTGGAGGTGCGATGAACTTGAGTACCAGTCGTAATACTTCTGATTCTTTTCCAACCCCATTTTTACCGCTAATTTCTCGCGCTGTAACTTCGTAGATGTGTCCATAACCCGCCCATAGAGTTTGCATCTTTTTGCATGAGACTACCTCAAGAGAATGCCACGATGACATAATCGCAGCCACGCGCTCGGGCTCAATCGCGTTCTTAGTGGGGACATGACGCATAACTAAAAACCAGAGTCCTAGAAAACACACCAGTTTGATTAAAGTCGAGAATTTGGGTAAGTACCTCATAAGGGATGTTTTCCCCTGCTAGGCACGATGATGAAATATGAAGGTGAAGAGGTGAAGAAAGCTTAGATAAGCGTCCATTGATAAATGGTGGAAATCTACTGACTAAGATCTTACTAAGTCATGTGAAATGATTATGCCAGTTACTTGTGTAACGCCGGGCCGTCATCGAGAACTGGCAGCTGACTAATGACCCCTTTTCTACTTCATGCAGGGGTTCAGGGGCTTCGGGGTTACACGAAAATATCGGACACATCTTAGGGGAGGTAGAAAGGAAGACTCTGCGAATTAAAATGGTCTAATGAGAATTAGGAAGCAGTATGATGCCTAGACATTTGCTTACACTCAACATCAATGGGACATATCATGACAAAGTATTGTCCCAGATGCTAGTAGCACCAACCCTATCCTTCCACCCCTCTTTCTCAGCATTATTGCCAATCAATTTATATCCAAGACGCTTCTCCTCCCCTTTTCTTAGTAAGAACCCATTGTTGTCAAATGCGACGATAGTCTCATCAGCATCACCATCCCCCAAAGCAATCCAGGTCCAAGCACTTGTCCCCTTCTCAGCGCGAACCACAAACTCATCCGCGCCGCTATCATATTCAACGCTCAACCCCGGATCCATAAGCGACGCTGACGCTAATGGTGTAGGTGTGAACCAATTAGTATGCGTATACGTCTTCGTAGTCTCCGTATTCGGCGGTGTCCCGGTCGCCGTAAGGTTCGCCACCAACAAGACATCCTTCGCATCAACAGTCCCATTTGATGTCAACTCCCTAATATCCAACGTCGCTATCACCGTGGCATTAATCGGCTGAATCGTAAACTCCACATCTCCCAAATCTGTATTAACAACACTTCCATCCCAACCAATCCAGCCAAGACTAGCTTTCCCCTTAACCTCACTCCACAGATCACTCACAGCGTAAATTTTTAGAATACCTGTATCAACGTCGAACTGCGGCGCCAGGACAACAGGTTGGTATATATCCTTCGCGATATAATGCAGAACCTTCCATCTCCCATCATACTCAATACCGGCCCAACTCGGCGCCTGCCAAATATCATTCAATTGCCAATACAAACTCCCGAGCCGGTGTTCCGGGCGCCCGGACCCGGCACGGTAGTACTGGATCTGACTCTTATAAAAGTCAGCCTGGAAAATCTGTGTCGCATGACACCAAGCCGAGAAATTCGCCACGGAGTCTTGTTTTGCGGGGACCGGGTAGTATGCCTGGACGGCGGTGGTCATCTCGCCCATACCCTTGGCCGAGTTCACGAAGTAGCTCGTGTTGAGGCTCTGGACTGGATAGTGGTGGTTGCGCAGCATGATGGTCGAGCTGTTGAAATGCAGATCCGCTTCATTGACAGCTTGGCGCCAGGAGTGGATGCTAGGCATGCTGTGGAAGCCATATTCGACGGCGAATCGACCAACTGGGTACGTGGATAGGTTGAATCCTTGGATTGGGTCGTAGTTGTAATAATCGGTGTCTCCATAGATAGATCCGGGAGTAGTGTTGGTGTAACGCAGGCTGATGGGGATCGGCTTGCTAAAGTCGATGGACTGTGTCCCGTTCCCCGTGCTACCTGCTGAGTACGAGATACTATGGCTATTGCCGAAGAGAGCCGGTATTAGCGTGTCCAAGAACAGAGTCTCATACTCGTTTGTGTAACGCTCGAGTATCTCCGGTCCCAGGGGTTTGATGAAATATGCAAGGAACACTTCGATTTCGTTACCGCCAACCCAGAGGGCGAGAGAAGGGTGATGATTGGTGCGTCGGACCTGGTACACGGCTTCTTGTCGGACATTCTCGAGAAAGTCCGCATCGACAGGATAAAGCGCATCGCCAAACTCGAACTCTGACCAAAGCAAAAGTCCCATTTCATCTGCAAGGTCATACATGAAGTCGGGCGAATAGGCACCGCTTGACCAGACACGAAGCATATTCTGATTTCCAGCGATTGCTGCATCAAAAAGTTGTCTCACCTTGCCCGGAGTTACTCGTGGCCAGAATGTATCCGGTGGGATAATGTTGCTTCCTTTAGCGAAGAATGGTTGGCCATTTATCTCAAAATGCCAATGATCGCCTGGAGCCACTCCCTTGGCTATCTCCTCGTCAGAAACAGGACTCGTATTCAAGACAATTGTCCTAAACCCTGTTCTCTTCGTTATTGTGGATATACTCTCGCCCGAGTCCGACGCGATTTCAATGGTGACGTTGTACAGATTCTGATCCCCTAATCCATTTGGCCACCATAACTTATAGTCATCCGCAGACAGGGTAGTAGAACCAGTAATAACGTCACCATGGTTTGTAACATTTGCCAATTCTCCACTACTAACCTGCTCTCGAGTAGCGATGTCGACAATATTAAAATTCAGCTTCGCCCCTTCCGGCACAACACCGATCACATCAATGCTCGCATTCAAAACCCAGTTAGCGCTCTGATCAGGAGGAAGGTTGTTCAATTGTCCTTCGCGATATATATCCAGCAGCGAGTTGCGAACATATATCTCGCCTTCGCCAAGTTGCACGACCCACGCCTTCTGCCAAATTCCCGCTGGAGCAAACGCTGGACCCCAGTCCCAACCAAAGTCAGACTGCTCCTTTCGAATAAACTGGCGATTCGAGAATTCGAAGACAACTTCGACTCCCTCCGGCCACGTCTCCTGTCCTGGCTGATTTGCGATAGCCTCGGCAATTTTCGGCGCACTTCCAAATCCGACTTGAAGCTCAGGAGAGTCGGATCCACAACCGGACAGAATATCCGTGACATCGAAGAAGTATTGGCGGAACTGGTTATTCGTACTCGCCACAGGTTGCGAGCAAAGTTTAATGTCAGCGTATGTGTCAAGGCCATTGAACAAGAGGAACGTTTTGATATTTTCATCGGTTGACAGTCCAGATAGTTGTGTGGTGTAATTCCAGGAAGAGAGCGCAACCCATCGCAGGTCAAAGTCGTTGAGTCCGTAGTATGGATCCGATATCACTTCCGATTCCAATAAATCCAAATGTGCATGGGACGGGACTTTTCCGGGAATAGAGACATTCATGGTGTCATTCTTAAGTGACCAAGTCGATTCGGATAGATCGACAACGTTGGCGGCTCCTGCAATAGAAGCCGCCAAAGCGACGACGAAAGCGTACGAACAAGCCATGTCCGTCAATGCGATTCCTCAGACAAACTTAGCCGCGACAACCGCCTTAATAGACGTGTCCCTTTCATATCCTCACTCATCTCAGGTAGGATGCTATTGCTACTTATGTCATGGGCGGAATTATAACGCCCCGCATGGTGGGTCGCTTAAAGCGGTATGGTATTACAACTTTGTATAGCCTCATTCCGTCGTAAACGGGTACCGAGGCCCCCGACGAATACGGGGTATCGGTCAAAAATGAGGGGAAGTGGTGCAAATGCCCCCGTTTTGGATCATCGGGCTAAGCACGTTGCACCATGACAAGCTGAAGACCAGACTCCTCATATCCGAATGCGAGCTGCAGATCGACAGTGCCACAATGGGAATTTCGCAGGTACGCATGTGACATGATGCTAGCTCCTTTCCTCAATTTTCATATAAAGCTCGCCAAGAGATCATTCGTACGCGTCAGCGCAAATATAGAAAACATCGCCATAATACCATTTCTTCAATTATATTGTATGGCATCAAGCCAAGCATCACTTGGGCATAGTGCACTACCCTTGTAGGGCCATCCACCTTGTGTCCTCACTAAAGCGTATTCGTGTAAGATGTTTCCGCGAAAAGACGTAATCACATTTAATAAGTAAGATTTGATGTTGGAATTCCAATTGACTCCTCTCTAAATAGGGGTAGCTTCAAGGCGTATTGAGCTCTCACCTCGCGCTAGGAGATCACGCACAACTCTACTGTTAATCATGAAAGCCAGGATCGGGGTAGAATCGCTCACCATATTAAGTTAAAACTAAAATGCTACGATGCCTACGTGGTACGCGAAGAGATGCGAAATTATTGATCAAAATGGTGATATTGTTTATGTTGATGTGGCTATACAGATAATACTATACAACTCGACATGATACATCCTTAAGTAATAACAACAATGAATCCCTTCTTCAAAAAAGATCCAGAATAATACCCTGAAACTACCTTGAATATGCATTCGCCAGCGGCTATTGATGCTGAATACAGGGAAACCCCCACGGGGACAAAACCTGTAAAATATTCTCACTCCTGGCCTCTTCCCGTGTACTTCTATATCGAAGTATTAACCAGTCTGATTGTAGGGCCTGGTGTCAACCTGATGGGATCGAGTTAGTACATGAGCTCAACAAAACTCAACTTGACGCCAAAATCACTTACCTTGGTGATATAGTTTGGCCCGTTTCATTCCGGTTGTTTTCTTTGGAACCATTGCATTTCCCTCGATGCCTTACTGCTAGATCTAGTCTAGCTCTGGGGCTATCTTGGGTTCATGCTTGTGAGTGGTTCTCTATAGGTACCTCGCTGTGTGACGAAGCGAGTAGGTGAATTTCGTCCCGGTTTCTCGGCTGGGTTGGGATGATGCGGGGCTAGGAATAAGCTTGTCTAGTTAAGCCCTCAAGACATCGCAGCCACCGCACTCCACGACTTCGACATGTTTAGAGTGCGGGTTCCAGGGATCGTGGTTGAGATTAAGGTGGTTGGGGCGACCACCTTAGTCTTGGAATTCTCCGGAGTACTGGTAACGCCGGGGGGGTGGGTGTTGGTAGGTGTCACCTCAGGTCGTTGAGGCGCCATAAATTGGCGGACCTGGGGTGTTGTCCACCGGCTGTAGAAATTCCAATTCCTCCCCATATCAGAGAGGAGATCGGTGAGACTCTCCTGGGTCATTCGAAGCCTCTCCGTGGTCTTGTCGAAGCCCTTAAGTGTTGTTGCCGGGACCACAAAGATGTTTCGAGTGTATACCCAGGAGGTTTTGGGCTTAGGGAAATGTCCTCCTTCGGCGAGCTGGAGGAATCCCTTGGATCGGTCTGGCCTCTCCGAACCGTGGAACGCCCGAAATGCCTTGGGCTGCTTCTTTTGGTGGTATACTTGTTTCCACGGTGGGAGATGGCCGTTGTGGTCACCAGAGCTGTAAGCCGAGACGGTGGTGACTAGGTAGTACCTGGAATCATCCGAGTGTTCCAAGATGATGACTGGGTGCTTTGTTGCACCCTCGCGGATGTATCCGGATTTGATCAGGGCGTCGTACTCGGATTGGCTGAATTCATCGACGCTTTTCAGGAAGGCGATATCCCCATCGCGCCAGCCGGATGTTGCTTGTCGGCTGGGGATATGCCTGGGTTGCCATCCGGATTGGTGTTGGCGTTGAAGGCCGGGTTGACGGCGGCCTTGGTCGGCGGCGTGTCTCGCGCATGGAGCCATTTTTATATATATGTATGTGTGGTATAGGAAGAAATATATATAAAAATGGGGTCGAGAAGTCGTAAGGTGACTTGGTACCGTTGACAAGCTGGTGATACGAAGTCGATATCAATAAGTTTTGAAGTCGTAGATTTGGAGCACTTATTGACGAGATGGTATGTAAACGCGAGACGGTGTGTGAAAGGGAGAGAAGAGGAGGAAAAGCAAAGTTCGCCTTTTATAGGCAAATGGGAAGTGGGATTGATCCATGATTCAATAGATCAACGCGGGAAGTCGAGAGTGATCAGGACGTAAACGCATGGAATCGACGCCTCGACGATTTATTAACGCACTGTCCTCTCTGCTCTGCTTGTGCTGGAGATCTAAAATATATGATTGGTTGGTTATTTTTTTCAAGACGATATTTCTTGAATTATCTTGTTAAAAATGAGTGAAATAGGGAAAGCGCCAGGCTTTATATCGCTTAGGTATTGTTAATGCTGTAGTTTATGATAGAGTTAAATAGATTGAACTTATAGGTCAGGGGAACGACTGACAGCTTATAGAGTTTCTCCTAAATAGGGGTAACTTAATCGTTGTGTAACTAATATTCAGGGGCTTGGCTTCCACCTAAGCGGATCGGCGCTGGGGACTAAGACCCATTAACTTTTGATGACATTTATCGTATGCTAGATTTATACAAGAGCAGTTCAGATGGGAGTAAGGTTAGCGTAAGTAAAGGCCTTGTTTAACGGGAATAGTATCACTTAATTATACTGAATTGTTACCACTTCGAGCCCTTTATGTACCTGTCTTCTACGTACGCCCCAATATACTTCATAAAGCGATTGTTCTGCTTTTTATATCGCTTGCTGAAATAGTTCCATGAGGCCTGCTATTATAAAAACACGTAGAATGTACGTGATATCCCGTAATGAAGTGAGTTAGCGTAATTGCCCTGCCAGTTAAATGTCATAACGCTCGCTAGCCAAGGGAAACTCCGAATCATCGGAATCTCAAATACTAGATAGTCATAACTTAATCGCTAACTTAACTTTAACATCACGCAAACTATGTGTTTAGGGCAACCTCAATCTTGTCATCTTGGTTGTAGGTTAAACATGGAAGGGGTATGGACTATAGAAGGGAAGGTAGGACGATGTAAAAACCCTATTTAGGGGGATATTCGATATCTTTCAAGAAAGTTAAATATCGATTTAGCGAGCTTAGGTTAGACGGGCCATTGCGAGAACTACAACTCTATGCACGGTAAACGGGCCATGTGATAGCTTAGAGAATGCCCCTTTCCGATCTAACAAATCCCTTGTTGTTTAATTTATGGGAGGACCCGTTGACAGTATGTGACAGACTCTTTAAATAAACCTTAGATTGAACCTTCGTATACCCCCTATAGTTTATCCTGTCGCTGGGGTGAGCGAAACAAAACACCCATGAGCGCTCTTTGCTGTTAGAGCTACCTGTGCCTGATAGGGTTTCTCATCTTCGCTCCTGATTCCGCTAAATTCTTGCAATACCCGTGATACTATATATGAGGCTTCCATAGTCGCCTTTTGCTGTGCCAAGCACTGTCGAGGTCCGGCCCCAAATGGCACGAACGTAAACGGGGGAGGGTTATAATTATTTTCCCAGCGGGAGGGACAAAACTCACTGGCATTGGGACCCCAAAACTTCGGATCGCGGTGAAGCGTAGCGAAGCAAGTATCGAATAGAGTGCCGGCTGGTGCGAACACTGGAGCAGTGCCATCTAAGCCTCCTCCGGTAGGTAAAACTGTATCTTTTAAAGCAACGCGGTTCATCTGCGGAAATACAGGGTACAGACGAAGAGCTAGGAATTACGTTAGCGGTAACTTTTTATAGAGCCAAATATTAGGAGGCATACTCTCAGTGATAACATGTCGCAGGGACTTGATACGCGGTAACTGGTCGAAATCCAGCGGCTTGTCACTCACGGCCAGAACCTCAGCTCGGACCTGAGCAGCTATATCAGGGTTGCTAGCCAAGTTACGAATAACGTGGCTAATTAAAGATGCGGTTGTTTCGGTAGCTGCCATCATAGCCTGCACTACTTGGTTCCGCAGAACAGTCCTATCAGTCGTCGCTTGGGCCATGTTGAAAAGCAGAGTGCGTCGCCTTGCTTTTTCCTGGCTATGTTCGACCGAGTTCATTTTCTTACTGTATTCGATAGCCCTGTCGACATATATATCGGCGAATTTATGAACCTTTTCGCATGCTTGAAGCCATGAACCCTTTGGCACCAAAAAGCTCAGAGGCCCTAGAGCGATGCGTATTCCGCAACCATTGAAGCCAGCCTGAAACGCATCCAAAAAGCCTTCTGCATGCGGTGGAGGCGTGCCGGAAAGCATACCAATAGGCTCTCCAAACAGAAATAGCGTATTTAAATCAAGATACTAGTGTGCATACGTCAGTGCACCAGAAGCGTAGGCAGGAATTCATAAGACAAACCAGTCTTAAGAGGCATGGCTGTAAATCAAACTTAGAGCCGTCCTTTGGGATCTGCCCTAGAAGAATCTGGAGGTGCTCTTCAAGGGGACCAAAATCAGAAATATTAGACCTATGGAAGCCGGGCTTGAGTAGGTCGTGCGAGACCTTCCAGTCAAAGCCGTCAGCCGTAATAAATCCCGTGCCACAAAACGGGCTCATGCTGTGTAGTCGCAAAGGCTGAATTCCCCAGTCTGCAGCATTTTTAGAGAAGACTACCCGTAGGTTTTCTGGGTGGATGGAGGATATTCCATGCGAACCGAAGTTTAAGCTTTCGAACGTATGGCCATATGTATCATATCGCCGCTGGTGCTCCACCAGGAATTTGTTCTTGGAGATAGCATCTCCGGTTCGCAGGAAGATATCCAACCCGAATACGGGGTCCTTATGCTTGTAGCGGGCCGCAGGCTCACATCCATGCTGTTGGGCCCTGAGTCGCACTGTGTAGGTTAGATACAGACGATAGGCAGCAAAAGCCGCGACGGAAGAAGCCAGCAGCACTAGTAGCGACACGGCAGTCATGGTGATTTCGGTGTAGTTGGGAAGAAAGAAATGAAAGAGAAGGAAATTTGGAGCAGTCAAAAGTTTCGTTTCCAACAGAACTTGCTGTGCCGTTCTGCCCTTCTGTGTTACGCGAAGTAGACCAACTCAGAATGGGCCGTGCGTAACACTTGGTACGTCTGCTTGTAACAGCGTTGTGACCGCTGCGCCATAACGTTACCTCTGTTGAAGCTGCTGAACGAACAATGCGAGATAGCTTGGCTGTTTCATTTGCAAGATAAACATATAGCTGGCATATATTTTTAGGATTAAATATTTTATATTTCTTTTTGTAAAATGCGTTAACGTACCAAGCTATATGTTGGTTGTCAAATGACTGAAATGAAAACCAGATCGGCGCTAGGCACGGTCCTGAGGCCTCTAAACCGGGAACCCGCTTTATTATGATAATCTCTGCTAGCTCTGCTTCTACCTCTGCCGAGCATTGAATAATCCCATCATGGCCAGGTCAAAACCCCGTATGGGCCCCTCCTTGTATAGTAACGCTGACTCGGACTAGGACACGACAACATCTGACACAATGGCCCCGACGCTGCCCGCAATGGCTTCAAGCAGTATCAATCCGCTAATCGTGGAAGATCCAGTAGAAGTAGTAGACGTCTGTGTTGCGCACCGGCTGGTTTTAAGAGGAGCCGTAGGCAATGGAGGTGACGCGATCCGCCAGCGTAGGCGGGAATGATTATCGCTTAATCTTCTAGAATCGTTTGATCCCAGATGGCGATGCTCTAATTCTGTTCTGCGTTCGGGGAAATCAAGTAGAGTAAGAGAGTGATTGTGTCCACCCAACCTAGGTGGCTAGATAGGTATCCAGGTACCTAGCGAAGCAAGCTCTGCTAAGACACTCCCCCGTCTTTCCTCTGAAAAGTTTTATCACGCCGTAGGTGGCTGTTTTCCCAGTCTCTGATTGGGTATAACAACACTACTAGCAGGTAACACCACCTACAGCCATTCATCTACAAATTAAAAAGTGCGTCGTGGCCAACACTCCCCCAAAATTGGAGTTACGGATTCTCCGGGACCAGATTTAACTGAATCAGGGGCCCATGCTAATTGGCCGCAAGTGCCTCGAAAAATAAAATTGTATATAGTTGCCAGTTGTGTTATCTCCCATGGTCGCCCTCATTTATAGACCTACACCCCCAGGGCCCTGCTTGCCTGTGCAACCACGGGAAGCTGCCCCCAACAAAGGATAACGCAAGAGATCGTCACATATCCGCCGTTACACGTGCATTAAGGGCCTATCTGGGTGGAATGGGTTAAGTGGGAGACGAAGAATCGGCATTGACATCCATTCATCGACATCCGCCGAGACAGACCAGAGTAAACTTTACCTTAGAACTAAAGCTCATAGTTCTATGTTAATAACCTATACCCCGCGATATCAAAGCGTTAAGAATGAGGCGCCAAGAACGGCCGTGTCGTTCAACGCTACTTCAACTTCAACTAATCACGTTGAACAGACTAAGTTGACAGGCCGGCAACAACCTTATTGAGTCGGGGCCATCCGGCGATCTCAAAGCTACGATTGTAACTTAGAGCATATTACTAGCTCTGACCCGTGCATGGGTCTATATTTAGATATCTGGAGAGTTCATCAATAGTTGCCTGAGTACATCTACTGACCAACTACGTCAATAAGCTCTGTGCTCGGAACAATGTACGGCTGTTGTTGATCCCTAATATTTGTCCTCTGCTCGAAAGCGTAGGCAAAACCAATTAATTTCGCCTCGGTGAATTTAGCTCCCATGAAACTAAGACCGAACCTATCACCAGAGTCAGACAGTGCATCATAAAAGTTAGTGGACTGTAAATAGTAAGAACTCTTACGGTATGTTTGGACCGTCAGTGACAAGCCCCCACGAATTCTTCACAACAGTCATATTGGCAGGAGAAAATCCCAATGGTACCGTGACAATTGGCGCTCCAACACCTGCAGCAAAAGTAGGGGACTGATCCGATGGTAAGATCACTGCATCGAGATTATTCCGCTCGATAGCCCCTAGAAGACCACCCTCACCACCATAGTAAAGATTTTGCTGGTAGGCGGGCCAAAATCTAGGGTCTGTGTTATTCCAACCCTGTTTGAATATAGTATCATCCCAAACCGCCGTGTCTCTGGCTGGGTATTCCTCGGCGGGAAAAGACTGCGTAAAGTCTCGCACTCCTGCGAGAGACGTGACATTATTGGGATTCTCGGTCAGTAACTCCAAATAACTTGCCAAATTGACAAGAAAATCGGCTTGTAAAACTTGCATTTCCACTGTCGAGTTTAGGAATTCCGCAGCTGCTGTAAAATTAGTATTATCAACTATAGTAGCTCCTGCGGCTTCAAGAACTGAAATCGCCTCTTCAAAAGCAGTAACCTGAGCACTGGAAATGCTGCTTGAAAGAAGCTCTATCGCGTTGCGAGCGACACCAATCCGAGCCCCTGAAAGAGCTGATAATTGACAAGCAGCAACATAGTCCGGAATAGTTCCATTATCGGGGATGGCAGATGTGTAATTATCATATGGATCAACTCCAGCGATTGCTTGCAGAATAATCGCAGCATCCTTAACGGTTCTTGCTATCGGACCAACGGTATCTTGATGCTCACTAATGGGGATAACCAAATTTCGAGATGTCAACCCAACAGCTGCGATAAATTAGTCTAAACGTCTTCGAGTTGCCTGGTGAGAGTTTACTTGGCTTTATCCCGACGTTATTATTCTTTGATGATGGGGAAATAATTGAACCGTCGGTCTCTGACCCTAAGGTTCCTGATGCTAAACCGAGTGTAGAAGATACTGCACTTCCGCTAGAACTTCCGGAGGGGTCCTGATTAGGGTAGTAGGGGCCATAAACTTGACCTCCCAAGGCCGACCAGCCATTCGTAGAATTATTAGATCGAAAATTTGCCCACTGGCTAAGATTGGCCTTTCCGAGAATGATGGCTCCAGCACTTCGGAGTTTGTTCGCGATTGCTGAATCTCTAGGGACTCTCGCACCAAGAAGAGAATATGAACCGGCTTTGGCGATATGAGTAAGTATTCAGGTATCTGAGTACATTTGGGTATTATGCGACTGACCGGTCGTGTTTAACTTATCATCGGTAGCGATGTTATTCTTGATAAGAATGGGGATTCCATGGAGCGGCCTATCATTTTAGCCGCAGTATATAATTGTTATCGGGACTGAGCTCCTCACCCTCGAGTAAATCCAGCTGAACGTTCCGCATCTAATTCGGTCGCCAGAGCCAGAGCATCTGGGTTGGTCTCAGTGACGGCATGTAGAACATCGTTCACTTCCCCTATTCTATCTAGATATGCCTAGAACATCTTTGTTAGCATATATCCTATAGAAACTAGTAATAAACTTGCGCTATCCAAGGTAGGACCTTAGGCAAAAGTTAAAATACTTCTAATCCTCCAATACAAGCCAAGAGAGGCTTCCAAATCAAGAAGGTGGAGTATACATACCTTGACTAGATCGACGCTAGTAAATTGTCCGCTGTCAAGACCTGCCCCAAGCTCGTCGATGGTAGCGTCTTTCAACGATAGATATTGCTGTGACGATGCTGGGAAGCCGGATAAGCAGCCGGAGCAGATGATCGTTAAGATTTTAGACTTACCCCGTAAACCAGAGCGGCATGTGGTGAACCTAGGATTAATGTTGCCTAGTGCCAAGGTGGCAAGGCACGAGACAGACATTTGCAAATTTGCGAACTTCATCGTGTTGAAAGATTCAAACTTGGTCGTCGGATACTCAGAGGTAAGCTTATGATGACCCAAGAGGATGTTATCTATGAAGTTGGATGCGAGATCGCAAATCCAAATCCTCTGGGACCAACCACACGTGATCCACTTCCAGCCAATTAGAGCAAAAGCTGCATGGAAGAGGTATAATAGAGGTATAAATTGTGCTTTGACCTTTCTCCCCCTTTTTGATCTACAATATTAAGGTAAATGGTATACATAGAGAGCTTTCGTTGACCCAATCGTTAGTTCGTATGGCTTATCACAGAATGAATAATTAAATATCCTTGGGAAGATCTTTTTACTGTAAGGATTATGCGATAAGACTGTTACACTTGCCACGTCCATGAGATGAATACGTAATCGATAGAACCTGAAGGGAGACACAATACAATCAGCATATCCAGACCGTAGTCCTCTGTATATCAATCAAGTTAGACTCACTTGGACTGGTTACCTAGTATTGTTATAGAGAACCCCTGGTTCCATTGATAAGGAGATTAGTTCTGGTAATCTTACATACCACATCTCTTAGAACTTCGGACTTGAGCCAGTTGTTATTTCGTGTGTTCAGGCGCATCGCGTAGCTGTGCTCGATTGCTAACTTGTTGGCAGGAAGTTGGTGTCTAGAGTTACAGTCCAGCTCGCGTAACAGGTGAAATCTTGTGTAACGTGACCCACTCGATTCTAGCCTACGAATACCTAAGATAGACGAGTAGACGAGATCCCCGAATAGGTTTATCTGTGTAAGTAAAAGAATTTTGCGCCCGAATTTGCGCAGGTCCACTAGTCAGACCCGGATTTGATATTGTAGAAAAATGTTCGTAAACAAAGAGGTGTCTCAACCTGGTCTCTTCGTGAGCTTCTAAAGTTATGACGTCATCGCAATCTGTGAGAATGTGAGGGTCAATGTCTTCATCTTTCCTGGGCCTTTTGGAAAATTGGGTTCTTGTCCTCTCTTTACAGGCATTAATCTAGGTAATAAGTAGAAAATCTGATGCGACTCTGCGGAAATTATCGTCTTGTAATTTTAAACGTGCGGCGCGACAATATCTGCTGACTCAACGTTGTAGCGTTGCGCTAGGTCTTTGGAATCGTCAACGACCCCTAGGTAGATATTCGGGAATAGTGGTATTATTGCGAAATAAAAGGATGATCTTGTTAGTTGTTGAAGTTATTCCCAAAAGAACCTCTCGGTGCTGAGCCGCAAGGTTAGCTGATTAATTCCTACTTTAAATAGGACATTCCCAGTAAAAATAAAAGTAGGGTATACCACTAACGGTGCCTACGGTGCCCAAACGAGTATAACTCAGAGGAATTCCCTTGCTGTAACCGAAGGCTAGGTACCGAATTAGGAAAATACCCAAGTGTCCAAAGTGTTTGTATCCGTTGTTTTGGGACTTGGGTCGCGCAGAAGGAATAATAATGATGCTATTTTAAGTATTGAAGATGGGGTTTCTTATCGAATGGCGCAATCACGATATATTGCACCATTGTAACACTGAGCACGCAATCAGCTGAAACATAATATTATCTATGGGGCGGAACTCGATCATATTTCGTAAATCAATTGCCCCAAATTTCCATGAAGTCTAGAAGGGTTCTCTATTGGACTAGGGTATATCTCGCCAAGTATACGTCACAGAGCCTCATTTTCTATTAGACTTCTCACCAGTATCGCCAACGTCATTCGAGCGCGATGGGTTGGAAAGAGAAAACCCAATTCTGGCGGAGCGAGTCGCCCGCGCCCGCATCTGTTACCCAAGAGGGCGTTTCCACTATCGATAATGACGCGGCCCTCAAACAAGACATCCAGACTGGCGAGTTGACGCTCGAAGAAGCGAGCCAAGGTGGTCTTGGGCGACATTTGGGCTTAACTTCGACTACCTTTTTGATGTAAGTCCAAATGAGTATTAATTGTGCTAATTTGGAACTGACATATCTAGAATTGGTCGTATCATCGGTACCGGTATCTTCTCGACGCCGTCGTCGATCACTTCCTCAGTTGGAAGTGTGGGCGCGTCAATGTTTCTCTGGCTCCTTGGACTCCTTCTCGCGTTTTGCGGTCAGATGGTATGGCTAGAATTTGGATGCATGTTTCCACGAAGCGGTGGTGAGAAGGTTTATCTCGAAGCTGTTTACCGCCGTCCCAAGTTTTTGGCCACAATTGTCTTTGCGGTACAAGCCATCCTTCTAGGCTTCACTGGTATGCGAACTCGATCCGAATGATCGTCAATGTTGGTCTGACAGAAATGTTTAGCGTCTGGATGCATCGTTTTCGCTTCCAATATTATCGTAGCGGCGAATAATAGCCCAACCGAATGGGTAAGTAGCCAAGACTCAGCACTTAGATGAAGCTTTTACTGACTATTGGGTACCGTATAGCAAGAACGAGGTATCGCGATCGGCGTGATTGTCTTCGTTACTCTCATCCATACTTTCATCCCTAAGGTTGGTGTACATCTGATGAATGCGCTCGGATGGATTAAAGTCATCATCCTCGCGTTTATTGTGGTAACTGGTTGGGTTGTTCTCGGGGGTGGCGTAAAAGCTATCCCAGATCCTCATGCGAGTTTCAGAGACTCATTCGCCGGAAGCTCGCATTCGGGAAACCAATACGCCACGGCTCTCTTCAAAGTTCTCAACTCTTATGCCGGGTAGGTAGATCAGTGGTTCTTTAGCTGTCCAGTCACTGACGTCTATGGTTAGGTGGAGCAATGCAGCCTATGTTCTAAACGAAGTAAAGCGGCCCGTACACACCCTGAAAATAGCCGGTCCACTTGGACTCGGAGTCTGTGGTGTTCTGTACACCCTAGCTAATGTCTCTTACTTCGCGGCTGCTACACCGCAGGAGGTTGCTGCGAGCGGTACAACCGTCGCGTCGTATTTCTTCGGCAAGGTCTTTGGTGTGACCGCGAAGAGAGTTCTCAGGTACGTTATAACTATTACCCGCGGTAAAAGAAGCAGCACAGCCCTCCTGTACCAATGTGTCCACATTTCACTAACGTGTATCTCAGCGTCTTCATCGCCCTCTCGGCTTTAGGTAATGTCCTAACCATCACCTTTGCCCAATCCCGAGTCAACCAAGAATTGGCGAAGGAAGGTGTTATACCTTTCCCAAAATTCTGGGCTTCGGGTTGGCCTGTCGGATCGCCATCTGCCGGTTTACTCCTCCATTTCATCCCTTCATTTATTGTCATCGTCGCTATTCCATTCGGAGATGCATTCAACTTCATCGTTGATGTCGAGGGTTACCCTTCTAGTGTAATATCCATGTTCGTTGTCATCGGACTTTTTATACTCCGGCGAGAAGCACCGAATGCGCACCGGCCATTCAAGGTATGGTGGCCAGTAGCTGCTATATTCGCAGCTGGCCAAGGATTCTTACTCGTTGCGCCATTCTTGTATCCTCCTGGAGGAAAGGGAGATACAAGTCTTCCATACTGGCTATACCCGATTATAGGAATTGCGGTTCTGATTGCAGGTGTTGTGTACTGGGCTGTTTGGTGGAGGGTTTTGCCTAGGATTGGGCGATATTCGTTCCAGGAGAGAAAAGTCGAGTTGAAGGATGGAACGATTGTTACGACTTTCGATCGAATCAAGAATCAGTGATGGAAAAGATTAAGCCGAACCTATTCACATATTTATGCGTTGATTTGAATTTGAGTGCTTAATCTGGATAAGAGCGTTTGCGGTTTATATAGAAATAGTTCGGCCATGGATATTTTCCAATTAGACTGGGAAATAAATAATGATATATTCAAGCCGGGCAGATGTATCAATTGTGTTCATGTCTATCGGTTCCATCGGACTTGAAAACACGAGGGCCTCATTCATACATGACAATACCATACGCGAAGGTCTTGGCGAACTAATCTTGTATAATTTATCATGGATCTATACTGTCAAAGACAGATCATGCCCTGAGGCCTTTTCCTCGGCGACTATGTTACTGGACAAGAAAATGAAAGTAACCGGGGCGCCTAAAAAAACCAGGAGTAAGAAAGTGCTGATCGTGAATGTGGCTTCGTCCTCCACTTATCCCCGGCCTCTTGTGCAACCCAAAGTAATTCCAACTAATAACAAGCAGGATTAATATGCTTACTAAGCAGAAAGTCTGTTGAGAAGGTATTTCTACATGAAAACATGGGGATGATTCCACATTGTCTTCTTCCTCGATATCCTCAACATGAGACTCCCATAGGAAATCTTCAATTACATCATACGAAATGTACGTACATGTACGACCTACTGCGACATCGCTTGACCATAGATCTATCGATAAGATGCATCTTATCTAATCGTTAACTAAGATCGTAACCCCCACCATGCAGCTCAATTCTATCGGAGTCCATAGGAAGCCATCGAATTTCTAATTAAACTTTATGACTCTCTCTTACATCTTGCATCTCGGTAGCTGTTTCCTCATTTTTATAGACTCAGCAAGTTATACCTGCCTAATATAAAATAATTATTTACTCTCTTATTAATAGACTTACGGCTTAATTACCCATCCGGAAATATTAAAGACGCCGATATTACTCACGTACATAGAAAGAAAGACAATAACCCCGCCATCTCAGAATCCTTGTCACGAATCTAAGACAACAATAATCCTACGAACCTCGACTAGCCAGTCCATCAGCACAATACCACCCAATCAACCAGTTCAAATCTACGTAATCCATCTTACTTAAGCCGGGCATCTAAGACGCTATGGCAGCAGCAGTAGCGGAGGACGACCGCCCGCGGATCCTCTACGCAGACTCGGGTCCGGAGCCCCCGTTTCCGCTACGAATGGAGGGCACCGTCATATCGGGCTTCGGTCGGGGATCCAAGGAACTAGGCATCCCGACCGCGAACCTACCCGTCGACGAGACCGTAACGCCTTGGATCGCCGACATAAAGTCAGGCGTCTACTTCGGATACGCCTCGTTAGCCCTCCCTTCCTCGCATCCCGACCGTAATCAAGCCAAAAAAGACGACACATACCGCCACCGCTCAAACCCACGCGCACCCGCCGACGCTCCGCCAGCTCCTCTCCACGATCCTCCTCTTACGACCATAACATCCGTAACCACAGCCTCCGAAACCTTCCCCTCGCTCTCCTCCTCCACCTCGGCGATAACAAAAGAAGCCCCTCAGAACCCCTCCACCAACACACCAGCCACCACCGAAACACCAAAGCACTGGCAGATCTACCCCATGGTAATGTCCATCGGCTACAACCCGTTCTACAAGAACTCCGTCCGCTCCGCCGAAGTCCACGTCCTGCGACACTTCAACGCCGACTTCTACTCCGCACCCATGCGCCTTCTAGTCCTAGGATTCGTGCGCGAGGAGCGCGACTACGACTCCCTAGACGCGTTAGTCCGCGATATAAACATCGACTGCGAAGTCGCGCGAGCGAGCCTCGCCCGCCCCGGTTGGACGCCTCGCGAAGGCAAAGAGCCGGGTGAACTCGATGGGTCTTGGCTCGTGCGCTAGTCCGAATGTGATGTGATGTGATGTGATGTGATAACGAAATGAAACGCTTTGCCCGGTTTTTGCGAATTTAGGGTGGACAGCGGGATCTACATTACCTACATACATAAGGGATCATGATGTACGTATGTAACGTACGTAACGTGCTGTACATTGATGGACGCGAGGGGTCCCCTGGGTGATGTGCGCGCTAGGTAAGGAGGGGTAGGTAGGGGTGATGAATTTGGTTACCCGAAGCGGCCCGAGGCACGATGCCGAAAATTTCCGATGGACCGAAGGGCACGTGAGACGTGTTGGTTCTCTTCATCAGGGGAGGGAGATATGGGCGCCCCTTAATATCCATCATATGTGGATGTTGCTCTAGTTTCAACGTAGTGTTTGGTGAGGCAATCATGAAGTAGCTCATTAGATAGGCGTTGGATGGTAGATAAAGAGTTAGACGTTACTAAATTTTGGTATCTTATGAACAAATGAAATTCATGGTACTCGATCGTAAAACTGAGCTCAAGTCCATGCTCTATACCGGGTCTACCCTATATATATAAAGTCCAGAGATACATGCATGAATACCTAGGTAGTGAAAATGACCAGCTCCCTGCTAAGGGAGAAGGGCTCTAAAATGTGAGCCCCGTCCAGAACGCCGCCCATGCTGAAAAAAAAATAGGCCCGTATGAACCAAGAAGAAAAGTATTCAGAAACGTTGCATGCGTCTATCATGTATCGTGCATCCAGCCAAGTCTGTATCCATATACCTATACAGCCAGTTGGTCCTGATTGCGGTAGTAACATGGTAGGAACTATAGTGGTTGGTAGATTAGCAAATTGTTCAGAATAGGGAGAAATCTGCGCTCGAGGGGAACTCACATTCATAACGATTAACATTGGTATATCAAACACATCGCGTTTGATGGTCCAGCAAAACGTACAGTCAATTTTGCCATCCTTTTCGAGCCTAGAGATCCCGTGTTCTCCATCTATTCGAGTAACCCTATTGCTCAGGATGCTACTATTCCGACGGTCCTTGTGAGGAGACTCGTCGCTGCTTAAACATTCGTTCATTTCTTTTGTTCGATATTTGAGTAACCGGCACTTTCTCGTGACATGACCACGGCTATCGCCAAATGCCAGTTGAGCGAAATCTTCGTAGAATTGGATCACGCTATCATCATCCATGAATTCAGCAATGAAGACGGGTTGTATCTTGCCCTCTGAATTCTTTGCCATGTCTGGCTGGTGGCTTTTCAGGCGCGGTGTAGTAGTAGCCCCAATGCCACTCAGCTCAGACCCCGACCGACCGATGTTGGCATTCATGTTGGGTTCTTTGCCCAATAGGATATTTTTGGTCCACCCAGTTAGCGCTATGAATTCTTTGTTTACCGCCGCCACCTCTCCAGTTCGGCGGCAAACGATCGTTGGTGCAGAGCAATGTCCCATGAAATCCTCGTATTCAAACAATGTCCGTTGTAAGCACTTCTCCATAAAAATAAGGTCTTGTCGGTTGAGATTACGTGTGCAAGCAATGAACGACGGCCGGATGCTAGCGAGAGACTTAGCAATACGCAGGGTTTTGCTGGCGGAGAATCTTCGCTGGACGAAAGCGATCAAGTTATGAAATCCAGTGAGGTAAGGATAAGGCTCAGTAACAGTGTCATAGACCGCGGACGGATCGCGATGTCTCTTGCCTAGGACAGTCTGAGGACCAAATCGATTGGTTGAATTCGTAGATTTTGGTTTTGGTCTCGAGGGTTGTACTATGGGTTGGGAACTAGCAGGTGTATGCGTGTAAGTACTCGCGGTCGGGGATTTGTCAAATCCATAACCAGTAGGCTGAGGACTAGATGTATTGTCCGTACTCGGACTAGCCAAACTGTTCGGAGTTGGCCCAGCAGCTGCCACGGCGTACGCATGAGGCAAGCCATGCTGTAGATTGCCAGGGTATGCACCACCGTTACTTGGGTCGACACTCATGTAACTATCAGCCATACCATTCTCATATATCTGGTTATATTGGTTGACACCGTTTCGAAACACCGTCGTGTGGCTATAATTAACGTCCGTCCCGGGAGCTTGAGCTATAGCATCCCTAGGTGGCGTTTCTGCGGCGCCAGAGGACATGTGACCAAGCATCCCAAACTCCAGCGCACCGTAGTGGCTTCCAAAATTCAAGCCTTCAAGGTCAAAATTGAATATGGCAGGATTGCTTGGGTCGAACAAGGCCGTGGAGAAGTTGTTGTTCATCTCGCTGGACACGTGAGGGACCTGCATGGAACCCATCTGTGCTGCCCTGGATGTGTTTGGTTGGTATCCAGGCGTTACGGGAGATTGTTGCCCACCGAAAGACATGTTATCCGGTAATGATGCCATCTGGCTCTGACCGTTACCGCCATACATGGAGTAAGAGGATGAATTAGAGGCTTCCGAATAATAAGGCGAAGTTTCAGCGTTTCCATTGGAAAGATGTCTCCCGTTCGTCTTCGTATGGGCAGCTGGGTTGTAGGTAGGCCCAAGGACCGGTCTCAAGGCCTCCGGAGGGGCATCATGAAGATACTTTGCCTTCTTCCGGACTCCGTCTTGACAAGCGTCCGCAAGACCACGCTTTATACATCGTTGACAAGGACGTTCGTCTCCTATAAAAACGTCAGCGAAGCTACAAACGCTGAATTCATGATATTTAAAGGTAGTTTAGTGAAACAAATGAGTAGTAGCTCAGTTGTGGGGATGTTGAGACACATAGGCCAAGATAAATATTTGAACACATTAGTGCACATAAATGTAAGGCTGAGACTCACCGCAAGTTAGATGCGCCCTCTGGCAAGCATAACAAGCACGCCTTGCCTTCTTTCTTCTCGGGCGGTGTGGATCCTTAGGATCGTACTTTTTCTTAACCTCTCCCGACTGGTCAGCACCAGGCTCAGGTGAAGTGTTTTGGTCGTTCATCTTGATATCTTCGTCTTTAATGGCGTGTTCCATGTCGTCGTACTCGTTCTCATTCTCGGACATAGCATCTGAGACCTCTGTCCCATTTGCTTCAGCGTCTTCCGGCATCTTGTCTTAGTTTATATATACAACAGAAAAACTGCTCCCTTTCAGCTCCCCACACCTTATAAAAAGGTATGGCAATACAATATGCCTTAGGGCGAGTCTGGCGCAACCACACCTCTTTGGATTGATGAGCTGCTGTTTTGATTTATTTTGCAAACGCCCGCAGGAGTATCACAATAGAGACCGGGGGAGCTCGTCCAAAAAAACCAAATAAAGAAATCAATATTCCCTATTTCAAGCACTAACACAACCCTCCCACCGGGTCTTGGCTTCGAGTTGAGCACTGACCCTCGGTTTGAGTCGTGGACCAGTAGCAGTGGAGTGGTAGCGTATGCAAGCCAATAAAGTTGCCCGAGAGGCCGTATGTCGAAAGCTGGGGATGGTGAGGAGCTAAAGATACTGCGTGAGACACGGGCTTAGGTATTATGGCGCTGTACGCTGCCGCGGTGCGACGGCCGTGTCTTGGGGGGGCCAGTACCCCCAAGGAGCTTGCACAAGCACAGCACAGCGACAGGTGCTCGTATTCAGCGAGGTATAGCAAGGTATAGCTAGGCAGACGCCAATGGGCTCGTTCCCCGTTACAAAGAGGCGTTTCCTTGTGCAACGGGGACAGGGCTTGCTGGACCCCCGTCGAACGGGTCTATCCGCTGTATTCGCACAGATCGCGGGGAGTGTTATTTTTTTCCAACAGGTATTAGGACGGAGCGGGCGGCGCGGGGGCACAGGTCTTCGCTCATGGAGTCACGCGGCGACGGATAAGGCACTGGGGAGTTTGGCTAGGGTGGTATGCGGGATGTTCGATGGAGATGCAGCTACCCGGTACGTCTGAGTCTGTTCGCATTTGGTACAGGGGCGCACAAGGTATTGTTTTGTCGTCGGCAATTCGGATATGAAGAGAAAAGAAGCTAGAGGGGGGTGAGATAGAGGCGAAGAAGATTAGGTCTATGTATGATGTATGTAGGTATATGTATGTAATGTAATGTATGTGGATGTATGTATGTATGTAATAATATGTATTTCTGGATCGGCGACCTATGTAACTATGGTATAACGTATGTACGGTCAAGTACCTAGGAAGTAGGTGAAGAGGAGGTGGTAAATATGCGTATTGTATGCGTTATTGCTGCGAGAGGTTGCGAGGATGATCGAGTATGGCGCAAGCTGCATAGGAGATCTGGTACGGATGCATCTAGCGACTCAAACGATCAGCGCGAAAGAGGATGGCAAAGCGCCAGACCAGCAGACCAAGCAGACCAAACAGATCCAGCAGAAAGAGGCTGAGAGGAGAGCTACCCAACTAGGCCAAGGTGGGAAGCACAAACGCAGCAAAGCCGAGCAAGCGACAAGCTAAAGCGCAATACTGAGACAATTCAATATGTATTGTTGAAGATGACATCTACCATCCACTAAGTAATAGCAGCGTTAGTAGTCAACTTTGTTTGAATTCTTTCGAGTTGGCAGCGCCAATCAATTGAAGCGAGACGGTGGTGGCGCAAAGGTTAAAAAAAAAGAGGTGAGAAAGTTGATGTCGACACTAATGACACGGGCCTTAAGCTTGCGTGAGCCAACCGACAAGGAAAAGAAAAAAAAAGGTTGACGATATCGGTCGGTAGAGAGGTGAACCGAGAAAGAGGGAATGACGAATTCTAATTGGCCGATGTCATTCCGCATTCTCGAATAATCGTCTTTGATGCTTCAATCGAATTGCGGGGTTCCCTCATTCAATTCTTTTTTTTAAGTTTTTTTTTTTATTCTTTTCCTTCCTTCTTTCCCAAATAATATATATAATAATACACTTTCCTATGTACATATAGATGTACCATGAAATCAATGCGTAGATGCTTACATGCACATCTGTAATCCCATTTTTTCCCCTGGTTTCTCCTTTGGGTAATCCATTTATCCCCTCCTCCTTCGGTTCTATTCTATTCTACTTTCCTCGTTTGCCAGGTTCCTTTTCTTATCGCATGTGAGCCGAGTTGATTGCAGATCACGAAACCAACAGCACGGCAGGTGAAATATTCTGCTCCCTACATACAAGTACCTAGCGTACCTAGCAGTAAAAAGTAGGAAGGGGGACTTCAGCAGGAAAGGGAATAAAAAGACGAAAAGCCAAGCGACGCTAGACCTAAAACTACATGTGCTAATGCAGTAGCTTGACCCCACCAGGTCAAATCGACCATTCAGGCACGGACCAACCAACGCCAAGAACGCCGCCAAGGATTTCGATTCGAACCACGATGGAAACTTGGATTACTAACTAAAAAAACGTGAGAACCTTGCACGACAGAAGAGATTCTATGTACCTTCCAATGTTTTCTTACCCACCACCCGCCATCAAACCTTCATCGCCCTAAACAAATCCCACCATCTAATTAATATAAGCCCTGACAAGGTCCCTGCCGTTGATGCATCGTTCCCCAGACGAGCCATAGTAGCTTGGTCGATCATATCATATCATATCTTGTTGCTTTGCTTCCAACCCTACCGGCCTTATGTACGTATAATATACGTATGTAATAAGTGAGGTATAAATCCGATCTTAAGTGGTAATTACCTACGAATTGCAAAGTAGACCTACAATTGGTGAAGCTGTAAATGCCTCTGTACATTACATATGTATGTAGGTATGTACGAATACCATACGTATCGCAGTGGGTTCTACATGTACTTCCCAAGGAAGCTTCCCCTTTATTTTAGGTATCCCCAATACACCCAATACATTACATTTTGTACACCAATAATACTAAATTGTACTGACATCCTGGATAGTGACAAATTAGAGTTGGAGGTTACATAGAAGTATATGTTGTATATAGGGCAGGTACAATGTATGTAACTTTACCTAGGTACATGCCACAAAACTTCCAGCCGGATAGATAACAATTTCTTTTTTTTTTCTTCTGTCTCCGTTCTTTCTACTTCATCGCGGACGAAACTCCGTACTTTCATTTCTTCCAATTTCAGCAGGTGATCACGCCGGTCATCTCATTCATACCTTCATACAGACACGTATACATTTCTATTTTTCAACAATTTAGACGGGGCCACACGGGGCCACAACGGATGGACCATCGATACATGAGTATATCCAATAACAGCAACAACAATAACGCTCCAAATTAGTTCCCCCGTCAACACGAACGTCGCTCTCAACATACCTACATACCTGCATACGCTCCATTCTGTATGGTTGAATAGACCACCATAAGCGACACATGTCTCGTCGAATCATGGTCTACGTATCCGTACTGCCGAGCCTGACTGGGAAGGAAGACGCCAAATGCAATGCCGAGGGATTGCCCCCCCCCTTCATGTCCATCGTGGGTCAAGCCGCATGTGTATGCGCTCAAAATTGAATGGACCCAATCAACGCAGGACTGACCTGTCGAAGCTTTCTACTGACGCGTCACTTTGTAGCAAATTCAATGGATGAATTGTTGCATACAGCTATTCCTTCATACTTTACGGTCTCTCCATTCTCCATGGTTGCTTCGTCGGTCGCTCGCCAAATCACAATTAAATAGGCAGGTCACCATATTGATCTAGAATCCGTTCCAGACGTTTACCTGCCTTACCGCTGTGTTGTCCGTACCCTCCTATCGCCAACCTTCCCGAATTCTCCGGGGGTGCCTTGAGGATCTTCACTGCAAGAGACCTTCATCTTCTCATCTTTAGCATATCACGGCCTAGGGGTAACCAGTAGCGATCGCTGTTAGTGCGACTAAGGGAGACAACATCCGACCCCTCAGATCGCTCTCTCGCGATCGTCCTAACAGGCGCATGTGCATAATTACCTGGGTATGTATACGATGTATACGATTATTTTAACCATCATTGCCTCGATGGTATTACCTCTAATGCATGCTAAAGTGGGTTATCCGCATATACAGCTTCAATATAGTCTTGTCCATCTCAGATCGCTTACCCAACTCTATGTAGCCCACGGCGCCAACCGTCCGCTGCCGCAATGTCGTGCATTGCATGAAATAGTGCGCACCACTACTCCTACGGAATGCAACCTCGCCCAAGGCTGGCTATTCCCCTGTATACCCGTCGTGGATAGTAGACGCGGTTCCCTTAAGCTTTGATAGGTATATTCGCTTCTTCTTTTAACGCCGGCACTACTCCGTCAGAAATATCATAGGGCGTGTCAGCCCTGCCCTTGGTCAAATGAACTTAGGCGACACAGCATGTCAATCCTTTGGAGTATCATGCAATAGTATGGGCCACTTATATCCAACTCCAAAACACGGCACTTCAGTGGCCCAGGGGGGTTCCCCGTCTATTAGCAGCCGATCTTTCATAATATAAGTCACGTGCCTTGACTGCATACGACCCTCGCGCGTCCAATTTCAATATACTCTGTGCCACGTGAACCGGGGGGAGGGGGAGCGGGAAGTCGAAGCAAAGATTCAAGTGGTTAATAAATCTCTCAGCCAACTGTTGGCAGGTGACTGGCTGCTGAGGTTCATGCTCAGGCGAATGGAACACAACAATTGAACAAGGTCCTAGAGGGGCCAGCTGAACGGGTACAAGCTTCGTGATACCCTAGGAAGCGCTCCTCCGAATGCAGCCTGGCTCCAGGCAGCATCGGCGGTCTTGGATAGTGCCGACTATGGAAGACAGATACATATTGTACGCTCGTACCGCAATTCCTCAGGTTGGTGCCTAGGTATTACACATGATGTCACGGTTCGAAGCATGCCACATACGAGGATTGCGTTACCTACGGTAAAATAACCTCAAGTTCACTCTAATCGGTTGTACAGAGCCCTAGCTTAAAATTTCACCTCGGATACGCAAGATCACAATGGCTTGCAGAATTCTGACAAAGCAATTACAAACAACTTTCGAAAGTTTCTAACGAAGGGTACTTTTGTTCGTCATACTAGCAAATCCTTTCGGTTCTGATGAAAATCGCTAGCGTCGGTATTCAGCATTCTTGAGTGACGTTGGGCTGCGAGGCTTACGTTCTATCCTTGGCAGCCCATAGGTCACCGCGTCAAAACCTGCCCCTGGATTAGACAGGACACTACTCCAGCCCTTCACTCTGTCTGGAAAGAACCAATAAGAAGAATTTCCTCGCTGTAAACAGGGAACCCCCGAAAATAGGAAGGCCCCTAGTCTAGCCATCGTGGGAAAAAATCGGACTTCCGAAATACCAATGTACCTACCTAGGTAGGTATCACTCTTTTGTTGTTTCGGTCGATTCTCATTCAAATTCATGTAGCTCTTCCAAGCCGACGCTACGTATGCGATCGATCACGGCCATTGCCACAGGTGGGATTCTCATGCTCTAGTTGGGCGATCAGTGGGCTAGGAAGCCGGCGATCTACACATCATTTAATTGTGTGACACAAGCTTGAACCAAGTAGCCAGCCCATCGATCCAGTAATATTTTTAGCGTGGGAGTATAGTCATCAGCCCTCAGTGCATGTCGGTTGTGAGCATTTATCAAAACTTGATACGAGGTTACAGGGTCCTTAGGGCTATCAGAGGTTAATCAATACGTGCATCGCCAAGTGGGCAAAAACACGGGTCGATTCCACAAACCGCCAGTCATATTTGGGTGCCTAGGCCCGACGAAGTGGGAAGGATGGTTGGAATGAAGGTCCTGTGGCTGGCACGTTCGGACAGAGGCATACGTTGTATGGTGGCGCCGCACATCGCAGGCCAGAGCAACCAATCACTGAGTACGCTGCTGGCCCTGACATCATCTGAGAATTATGTGGCGCTCGATAGCACCAAGGTCTAGAGCTCTAAGAGATAGGAAACAGTGTCGAACAGTCCATGGGAGCTAAGCTGTTCAGAAGGCTAGGTGCCACTTCCGACCGTCACAAACATAGCCCAACAATCTTTGCGGCATCTATCGACGTGTTTCTTGGCACGAGTACCAGGATTAAGCCGTGAAATTGACCTTACGGCCGCACCTGTACTGTCTACACTAGTGCAGGTCCTATTTTGTGTTGCGGTTAGGTACACACACCACCTTTTTTCAACTACCGGAGCCCCTAGTCTTAATGGCGCTCTTGGAATAAAACTGGACATAATCTTGTCAACATAGGCATTATACATCCAAAATAGAGACGCGCTAACGCAGCTCCAAGCATGAGCTGTATTTTGTGTTGCGTTCGCAGCCCGGTCCCTGATCCCTCGTCAAGTTTTATTAAGACTTTTCCATCTCGGGAGCCAACTACATACGATCCGCTAATTTCATCATGTTTATTCAAGCAAGGCAGTAAATTGCGAACCCGTGAGTACCCGCAGAATTGGTCTAGAACCAGACAATTAGACCACACATACAGGACATGATCGGGTTTTCAACAGTATTTGCTGCCTCTCCGATAGAAATCATAGTAACAGTGGAATTACTATGAATATACTTTGAGCCTGGACTCAAACCGGGGTCAAAATCATCGTGTCGATCGGACCCTGTTTGGATTCAGGTGCATCTCATCATTTGGACGAATGGGTACAATACAGGTGATGGATCACCGTGGTGGCCGGCCACGGTGAATGACCATGATGGTGGAATGACAGCATGAATACGACACGATTCCCAGCCACCAACTCTATAGTCCAATTGGACTCGTCTCGCTATTTCTTCCCTCCTCGAATGATAGGTGAGTGACCGGTTTGGGCCACGCGGTGCCCTGGTTTCGGGGCTTCAGCCTCAACAATATCCGGACATCGTTCAGCTCTCCATTCCCGCACGTTATGTCCATTTCTGTCTTTCTATACCTAGGTATGTGCCAATTTTCCGACCGATCGATGTCTCAAACACCGATATCAGACGCCGGCATTGGGCAAGCCTTGTCTCCCCCCCTAATCTCTTCGGGGCTTGGCCCGCTTGATCTAGATTTCTCGACCGGTGAATCTGTCAGATAAGTATGATCAGCCGCGATACAACCCTGTGGCTTATGACGAGAAATACGAAACCACCACAAGTTCGGCACAAGAATCTTTAACGTTCCATCAGCCTCCTGGCATTCTGACCTACAGCCCCCACTCCTTCGTTCTGGCGTATGATGGATTGCTTCCTAGAGGCCGGACAAGAGCTACCCGTAGCCACGATGAGACCTCACCAATGCGAGATAATTCAGTTAATATGCGAACATCTAACCGCAGAGCCTCATAGTCCTATGTAACATGCCTTTTTGTCTGCCAAGCGTACGCGGCAAGAGACGCCTCGAACGATAAGCCAGAAACGACTTCAGCGCCAATAAAAAAGTGATCGTCAACTCTGCAGAAAATGGCGTTCAAGCGTACTTGCGTTGCATATGTATCATTAAAACTCTGCATTCGTCAACCATATTTCTGTCTCGCTTTCTCTGTGCGTCTCTCATGGTGTAGGTAGGTATACATAAAACAATTCCCAAAAACACATTCGCATGTATCGTGACCCACCCTTTCTGCTTCCGGCATCCTCATCGGTATATAGATAATGTATATCAAAACAATAAATAATCAAAACCTGCCGCCCATATATGCAAAATGCTTCCAAGACTACAACCAATCTTGTGAGTGTGTATGGACACGCGTAAGATAGCCACCACTACCTTCTTTCGGCCGGGACGTTTTCTCCGGCCTCTTTTGAGGCCGACCGGAAAGATAATTAAATATTCGTCGAATTTGCGCGGTAGCCGCGATAAAACCAACCAACCTACTTACCAACCCACCCGTTTTTTTCTTTTCTTCTAGGTATATCCGTAAAATCCGATGCGGAATGCGGACACGGGCGAAATCTCCTTCGGGGGACCGAGCGTATGCATTACACCTCTTCAGCTTAAATGAAGCCCTCTTGCAGCTTTCGACTTTCAATTAGGGGATACGAAACGAGACGGGACGGGACGAATACAATCTTAAGATAACCAACCCCATGCATGTCCAGGCACACCACACACATACAGCTTGGGAGAGAGATTGAAATAAAGTATGTAGGTAGGTTATGTTTTGTCTGGACAATGCATGTAGAAAGGGAGGGTAGGATCCCGCAGTTTAAATAACACCCACCATTCGCATTAGAAGTCCAATCATACCGCGGAGAAGCAAAGGAGAAAGGCCAATTGGATATTGTCGAGGTTGAGTTTCGGACCAAATGGAAATTAATACGTTTCGCTCAAGTCAGAAAAATCAGGTACGTCGGCGTCGCAATTGAAGTCTTTATCGTACGCCTTTTCGGGGAGGATACCAGCTGCGAGACCCTTCTTGTAGCTCCATTGGGGCGCGGCTTCGGTGTCCCAGGTCCAATACCACCAACCCCAGCCTTTCTCGAAAGAGACCATTTGGGCCTCGGCGAACATCTTGAGGAACTTTTTATAAGTGTCGCTGTATGTACTCGGGTCCGCGTTGGCTCCGTCGCACGTACATGAACTGTCCTGCTTGGGACACTTCGGTGTGAGAGCTTGTGTGGATGAGTTCCCCGAGTCGTACGTCCCGATCCACCGGTTGCCCCAGCCGACGTTGGTCAGGTATTGTGCACAATCCGTGTCCGCTTGTGACCACTCGGCGAACATGGTCGGTCCGAAGCCTGTTGAGGTGTCCATACTCTCTTCTGTCTGCTGCGTCCAGCCGGAGCAAGCGTATTGAACTTTCTTCTGATGCGTGTATACGATCTGGTCGTTGTTAAAGATGACATATTGGTGCACATCTAATACTAGCCCATCCATGCCCGTCAGTTTGCCTTGCCAATTGGCTAATCCCATGAAGCCATCCCCGAACACCACGTTAGCATTGACCCCGTTCTTCCGCACTAAATCGTATGCTTGTTGTGTCCAAGATAGGACGGCCTGGGTGGATAAGTCTACCATGCGTGGCTCGTTGGCTAGTCCATAGAAGGTGATAATGTTCTTGTAACGGTCTTGGGCGAAGAACTTGGTTAAACGGTCATGCACATCCAGGGATCGTTGCGAGTTTAGATCACCGTCGGTACCGTTGAGCCAATTGACAACACCCTGTCTTCCACTATGATTCCATCCATTCTGACTTCCGGGAAGGGCGTGAAGGTCCAGGTTTACTCGTAGCCCGTATTTTCGTGCCCACTCAATGGCACGAAGAAGATAGCGCCATGATGTTCGGAAGACATAGGGGTCGTCATCATATGTCTGGACAGCCCAGTAACTATAAGGGATGCGGACATGGTCGAGTCCTGCCGCTTGTATCTCCTGGAAGGTTTGCTCTGTGACAAATGTCGCATAATGTTTTTCTAGTGTTGAAGCAGCCGTCTTAGGGCCCAAATGCTTACATAGAGTCCACTCATCGATGATCTGCAACTTGCTATCGTAGTTGAATAGCGAAGGTGTGATAAAGGGTTCTAGCGATAGCCATCCACCAAGGTTGACACCACGTGCTGGCGTTTTGGCGTAGTCGCCCCAAGATTTCTCGATCGCTGGGACCTTGTCGTTGGCAGCCTTGGAGTCATCCCAATCCATGTTAAGTCCCATAATTGGAAGATCGCCAACAGTTTCGTTCGTATATGTCACATTGAAGTCGGTTGTGTCGTACCATGTGAAGGGGTCTAAATAGGTTCCCCGTGCGGCAGGAGGTACGTCATTCTCCGAAACACCGCTAAGATTAGATTTGTCCGGCCCGGAGTTGTTCGCTTGGTTCTTCTTGCTCACGGAGACCGCGACGGCAATGATGATGATAAGCAAGACAAGTGAAATGCCCCCTATGATCCCTAATTCTGATGTCAATACCGTGTCCACCATACGATAGTCCAGACCTACATTTCTTCTTCGTTCTCCATATTTCTTTTAACTTCGCAAACTTATCCTCGGTTTCTGTTCCTGCCTTCTCTTTCGCGATGCTATCGTAGCTATCATAACTGCTATGCTTACTGGCAGCGCCGGCTCGCATCTTCGACGTCGCCCTTCCTTCCTCAACAATGGCACCGCTAACCACTCGTCGATCTTTCTTGCGATGTCTCCGTTCTCGTTCCCTAGGTACGTCTTCTTCGTCCTCGGTCGCCGCCGCATTGCGATGTCGCCGTCGTCGGCGGCGCTCTTCCCTGTCCCGAGATTCGTATCCTCTCTCATCTTCTGTGTATTCCTCTTTCCGCCGCCGTCGTTCTCGTCTAGGATAATCGGACTCTCCTTCCGACTGGCGATAGTCGTCTCTCGTCCGACGTGGCGTCCTCGGCGACTCGTACTCGACATCGACAGCTGTGTATTCTTCTCGCCGACGTCTTTCTCGCATTGGCCTCCGCTCTCGTTCTCGTTCCCTCGGCGGTTCTTCCGTATGATCCCGAGTATTATAATCGTTGAGTTGAGCCAATGCATTCATTGACAACCTTTGACCTCCACCTCGCGATGCGCCCCTCGAGGCCGAGCTATCCCCTCTCGAGCCATGTTCCCGGGAGCCCTTCTTTCTATGACGTTTATGGCGTGCTTCCGAATCTCTACGTCGATATCCGTCTGATTCTACGTCGTCGTGCGCCATAGATATAAGGTAAATGTCAAAGGTAGTAATACATTCAAGAATAGATAGGAAGTATATATAAAATGTCGAAAGTGTCGCAAATGTGTTTGTAGACTGGTATGCAAAAAGCTATTTGTGGAAAGAATCTGCAGCAATCAATCGATTACGGAAGATAGAAGGATGAATTGTCCGGACGAGACTTCCTTGAACTTACAGAAGCCAAGAGGTGGCATTAAACGCATTAAACGGTGAGTATTTGTGTTGACCGGGCAACAATCGTAATAAATTCAATTTCCAAGTCAATATCCCTGTCGATCCTCTCCACACCCGGCGGCGTGGTCCACGACGGTACGTACCGGGGTACACACTTGTATTAGCGGTCTTGGCGGGTTTAGTGCCGTGTGGGGTTGGCCTTTCTCGCCTTTTCCAATGCCAATTCAAACTCTCTTGAGCCGAATGCCGCAGATAAGCGATGCCGAGTCTTATGGATTATGACGCTTTAGCTTAGCTGACTGCTTTGCTTCCTCGTTCTTTAATCCTTTTTTTGCAGAACGTTGTTAGTCGATAGCGAAGCATGAATTGGCAGAGGTAACGAACGAGTGCAATTAAAATGACGAGCCATTCTGTTGTACTCAGACCACTTGGTACAGTGTCTAAAACCGTTAGTGCTCTGCGAAAGTGCAAACGTCCGGTAGTTTGTACATTACGGAGTCGAAACTACTCGACACATCCGCCGAACGCGAGACTCAACCTACCCACCGACTATTCAACAACATCACTATTAGCACATAGCTCGCAGACTGCCCTAAGCAATCCAGAGTTGTCGCCCGAAGCTAAGAATGGCACAGCGAAACGTATGAACTTCTTCCAGGCCATTAACGATGCTCTATCAATTGCGCTTGCGGAAGACGAGACCGTTCTGGTATTTGGTGAGGATGTTGCCTTCGGAGGAGTGTTTCGCTGTACCATGAAGTTGGCGGAGAATTTCGGCGGCGCTCGCGTCTTCAACACACCCCTCACAGAACAAGGTATTATGGGATTCGGCATTGGGTTGGCAGCCGAGGGTATGCGACCGGTAGCCGAAATCCAATTTGCGGATTACGTCTATCCGGCATTCGATCAATTAGTAAATGAAGCTGCGAAATATCGGTATCGTGAAGGATTGACTGGGAGACACGCAGGCGGGCTGACAGTAAGGATGCCGTGCGGAGGGGTAGGCCATGGAGCACTATACCATTCGCAGTCGCCCGAGAGTCTTTTCACCCACATTCCTGGTCTAAGAGTGATAATGCCAAGGTCGCCTTTACAAGCCAAGGGCCTCTTGCTGTCCGCGATAAGGAGTAATGATCCGTGCGTTTTCATGGAGCCGAAGATCCTATATCGAGCCGCAGTTGAACAAGTGCCAACAAGTCCGTACACTTTACCGCTTTCCAGGGCCGAAGTACTCAAGGAGGGCGAAGATTTGACTATTATCTCGTACGGACAACCGCTCTACACTTGTAACGCGGCGCTTCAAAAGGCAGAGGAAGATTTGGGAATCTCAATAGAACTTATTGATTTGCGGACGATATATCCGTGGGATAAGGAGTGCATCTTTAAGAGTGTGCGAAAGACGGGGAGATGCATGGTGGTCCACGAGTCAATGGTAAATGCTGGAGTAGGTGCTGAAGTGGCTGCAGCAATCCAGGAGGATCCGGATACATTCATACGATTGGAAGCTCCGGTGTCGCGAGTGGCTGGATGGAGTATCTTCACTCCGTTGATGTTTGAGAAGTTCAATATCCCCGATGTAGCCAGTAAGTACCGCACGGTTTCCAACTGTGTAATGGTTATAATGCTAACGATAACATAGGGGTATACGATGGAATTAAGAAGCTGTTAGAATATTGAAAAGACCAATGCGGCAGGTCCAGATCATAGGACGATCTCTAAAGAATAGCACATAGCTGGTAACAGCTATGCACCCTGTATATACCATAGCGTCGAGACCACAGCATAGAACTCTCTATACGTATTTGAAATCAGGTAGCCTCATACGTATATAAGAGAGATTAGGGGGTATACCAAAGTGGGCTTTTAGAGAAAGAGCTTATAAATATATTATAAGACAACGACAATATGCCCATCGTATGTAAATATGTTAAGAAAGGTGATTGTTGCAAAAAGTTAAGTTTGATGGATGAAAATGTTAAGTGGAGATATTCTTGGTGGTACAAACCCAAAGCTATTTTAGGTACCTAGGTATCTATCGTCATATTGTTGGTGTTTCTTATCGATAAGGAACACCTAGAGATTCTAACCAAGCTCCGCCTACTTGCCCCGCGCTCCCCTGTTTCAACGCTGAAGGCCTAATAAGTCACCAAGAGCTGGGACAACAGTACGACTTCAGACGAAGACGCTACGATAATCAACCCGATCGGTTTCGCTTATACCCTACCGAATATCACGTCGATCCAAGATGTCGTCTGCGTTAGATACTATCGGATCTTTCGTAGAAGGCGCACCGCCTGGCGAGGTATATACAATACCCACTCATAGAAAGCTAGGACTTGCGAACTGACTTATAGACATATCATAGTTAGCCGACGTAATAAATGGTACCTTGGACTTATCTACTTGGAATATCGAACCGATTCTAATATCCTATTACGATTATAGATATCAAAACCTTAACAAACGAGTCCGACATCGTCTCCAAGCTGGGTCCTGCATTCGAGAAGTACAATGAGGAACAGTTCGTCACAGCGAAGCTCCCCGGCAGCAGCCAGCAAGTCATCATCAGCTCGCATAGCTCCTTAGGCGGTGGGCGATACTTCGACGTTGAGAGTTCCTCTAGCTTTGCGTTCGATCACGCTACTCAAAAGGCGAGCGGAGTGCAAAGCTATGCGTTGGAGGGTGCCCAGGCAGACTTGGTGTACATACGACCTTTCGAGTAACGCGTACGAAGAGATGGCTGATTAATTATGCGCAGGAAGTCTACGTTAAAGAGCCTATCTACATACGTTAAAGAACATTTTCCCAACGCTTCCTACGGCGCATACCCTATCGAGGACGACTCTAAAGTGGCAGTTATAATCGTGGCCAACAAGTACAGCCCGAATAACTTCTGGTAGGATTTTATTAATCTGGCCAATACACCGTGAGGAAATATTAACACGAATCCAGGAACGGACGATGGCGATCCCTCTACATTTTCGACCCCTCATCGAGCAGCCTCGAAGGTAGCATCAAGGTTGACGTACACTACTATGAAGATGGAAACGTGCGATTATTAACCAACAAGCCCGTCGCGGGATCAGTCTCCTCCGGCACAGGCGCAGGAATCGCGAAGGAAATCGCCGCGGCCGAGAAGAAGTACCAAGAGGAACTAAACCGAGGGTTCACAAATCTAAGCGAGGGCGCATTCAAGGGGCTACGAAGACAACTCCCAGTTACACGGCAGAAGATCGAATGGGATAAGGTAGCCAGCTACAGAGTGGGTCAGGACATCGGTGGTGGCGCCTCCAGGAGATAGTGCTAAATGGTCGCGTTCAAAATCGTTTCGTCTAGATGTTTGGTCAGCCTTCGTGTTTTAGCCTAGCAGAGATGAGTAAAACGGGGAGTTTATTCTCAGAACTATTACAGACACATTTAAACTGAGTTGTTCATCACAACGACTTATAAGTGCGAATTTCATGTGAAGTATACATAATTCATCTTACATTCCACGAACAATCATAACCTAATAGCACCCTCCTCGTAGGCAATAGAATCATCCGTGGGCACCCGTCCCGGACGAACAAACGTCATGATCTCAACCCCAGGCCCTCCCAACGTGCGACTAAACACATATTCCTGATTAGTAAACCACGCGATACAATAGCATATCAACGCCACCACGGAAAAAATATCCGCAGGTTCTAAGTACCATCTCGAGCTAAGCCCCCACGACCTCATAGGCTCGGTAATCAGGAACCACCTAACGCCTTTCGGCGGGCCAAACGGCAATCCGTGTGCGCCGAAGACATAGGCAACTGTGTACGCCATGTAAAACACGGTTCTTTCACGCATGGAGTACAGATTAGGAGATTCGAAGTCTATGCGGTTTCCCTCGGACGAGACAAACGGCCGCATAAGCCCGAGGAATATGAGCGGTGTCTTGATCAGACCGGTTATGATGAGGACCCATGTGGCGCTGCCGTGGGGATACATACGAGCGACATCCGCGCTGAGGAGCATGGTATCGGCGATGGAGCGGAAGAAATAGTAGAATACGGCGATGATGTAAGGCGGTTTCCAGCGGAAGATGAGGGGTAGTTCGATGGTTAGGATGAGGATAGGGAACATGCTGGGTACAAGGTGAGATGTGAGTTTCTAGTAGACGAAAAGGAAGGGTGGGGGATGCTTGGGGTTGTAAACATACATCATATCCAAACTCATAACTAATGGCGCGAACTTCATAGGAAATTCATTATGACTAGGTCTTGTAGAAAATCCGATGATGATGAGCCAGAAGAGTCTTAATAGTATGCATGAGATAACTGATAAAATTCCGGCCCTAATGAAGGAGTCAGTCTCCCGAATAAAAACCCCGGACAGCCAGGTAGATGAATGGTATTACCATTGTGCATAAACAGCTATAACAATTTTTAGTACCTAAACATTCTAACCGATGAAATTCTCTTATAATGCTTAGCTAAAGACTTACTTGCGTTGAATAGTTTGGCATCTTTCCAGATATTGGTGAATAAATTCATGTTTGCGAAATCACCCCGTTTGGGGGTTCTAGATAACCGTATAAGGTCAGCAGGCGAGATAACAATTCAATACAGCTATAATCTAGCCCATCCAGATGTTCCCATGTGAATGCCTCGATTCTCTTATCCTTTCGCGATACTTTTAGTAGGTGAACAGTCAAAAGTCGGTTCGAGCATGCATTCGACTACCATATACGTAATGTCGCAACTCGAAGCTGAAAGCGCTGCGCCTTAAATGAAACCTCGCGAATAATAGCAGACATAGCACTTTAACGATACAGGGTCTAGCGTATCGGATTCGTTTCCAATTTCAGCATAGGGTGTGATCGCGGCTGGGGTTATAAGTGAGCTATATGTAAGCACCCCTGAAGTACCCTCTCTTTCATAGGTGAGATCGCGGTGACATAGCCCACTGGAAGCTCCAATCATACCTACAGTAGGTGGCTAGCCTCACAAGTTAGCATCAAGATAACCATCTAACTATGGAACATAGGGCTATTTGTACTTGAATAATGATTATTCTGTTAAGCTGCGTGATAGCAGCCATCCACATCTGAGCGCGGACCATCACGAACCCCCTCAGTGCAGGGGTCTCAAAAGATGTCTAACCAAGTTTATGGGCCGTTGGGGCCGAAGTCGATACGTCTTTTATCAATCGTACCGGGCTTCGCATCCGAGACGATAAACTGCAGTTTAACTGTTGTCGATGATAGGGATCAAGCACCGGAGTACGATGCCATTTCCTATGTGTGGGGCAGTAATCTGTCCGACGAACCTATAACATGCAATGGCCAGAGGATGGTAGTCACCGAAAATTTAATCGAAGCGATGAGATATCTCCGCCCGCTTCCAAGCTGGGATTCAGTTATTACCTGGCCTGAGAACCATCCTCTCCATTCGAGTCACAATGTGTGGCGCGGGTTCGCTACGAACCGGCAAGAAGAACGGGAGCATTCGGCTTCTCAGCAGCAGAGGCCAATCTGGATTGATGCGCTATGTATCAACCAGTTGGATAAAGCTGAGAAGGAGAACCAGGTTAAGCTGATGGATAGAATATATGCCAACGCTACTACAGTAAAGATATGGTTGGGCGGAGCTCGATCATTCCAAATGGCACGTACTAGCTCATTATATGGACTCCCGTCATTTCTACAGCCGGCTAAGTTCCATATCGGACAGTATGGGAGGATGCCTGTGGTTCTTGCGTTCGTCGCGCAAGCGTTAAGGAATGTCCGGGCTGGCGAGGATTATCCTACGGCGGCAAGAGCCGCTACAGATGCGACCTACAGAAACAGTGTGCACGGGTTTCCAATTGCGACAGCTGAGGAATGGAAGGTTCTCTATGACTTTTTTGACAATCCATGGTTTGAACGAATCTGGGTCGTCCAAGAGGTTGTCCACGCCAAGCAAGCGATAGCTATCCTGGGTGACTGGCATGTCGAATTGGCGGCTTTAGGAGAAGCTGCTAGATGGTTTCAAGCACATGGCTTTGGTTTACCTTCTAACGTTAAATATACTGGAGATACGAAAGACCTTTTACCGGTTGCTAAGCTTGCGGCAATGTGGCAAATGCATTGCACGCCAGGGAAAAGAAGCCCTTTACTTCAAATGCTGCGAGATCTTCGAGGGCGAAAGTCGACGTTGAAGGTTGACAAGGTATACGCGGCGTACAGTCTGGCGGAAGAGACCGCGGAAACAGAAAAGCTCAACCCATTGATCGAGCCAACATACGACCATGAACTAGTTAACGAAGTCTATCAGAACATGGTACGTTTCCTTGTTATAAACCATGGAAATCTCGCGGCACTGTCTCATGCCGGTGGGATCCAAGGAGTGAAAACGCTGGATCAGCTTCCATCGTGGGTACCGGATTGGAGCCAGGGAAAAGAATCCGTTGAGTTGATCGATGGTAGCCAAGACGATACTCCTTATAACGCGGACGGCGGCGAGAATTTAGTAATAGGGGACTCGATAGACCCTAGATGCTTTTCCGTGAAGGGTATCAGGATTCCCACTAGGGTGATACGAGCTTATGGAGATAGACTTATAAGTTACGGATTTCGGCATACAACGTACAAGGAAGAACGCGATTTCGTCAAGTCGGCGTGGAGTCTTATCGCACATTTGGCCAACAAGGGAAATAGCATAAGAGGTGAACGGTTAGAAATGTACCAGCCAGAAAACATTCCACGCACCTTTGTCTCTACCCTTACCGCAGGTCTTACCAACATCAGAAAGCCAGTAGATGAGGATCCCGGATTCCTTGACGATGCGGCGAACTGGATGTCCAAGCAGTTTGGCGGTCGAATACCAGTTTCGGGAATCAGTAAAAAACCAAAATGGCAGACCGCTCTTTGGAACTCGTCAAATTCTGGTCGATTTCATGAAACCTTCACGCGAGTTTGTTTGCATAGGCGATTCTTTATAACGACAGAAAATTTGATGGGAATAGGGCCCGAGACGATGGAAAAAGACGATATTATAGTCATCTTATTCGGTGGTAAAGTCCCTTATGTAGTGCGTGAGCTGGGTGAGAACGAATATTCGTTCATTGGGGAATGTTACGTACCGGGATTGATGTTCGGAGAAGCAGTGAAGCAATGGAGGGAGAGTGGACGCAAGGCGAATTTCTTCAATCTTGTGTAAGAAATACCGAGACCCAGTTTGTCGGTATTGTGATATCCCCCGCTCTTCGTATTCGTTCAAGCGTGCTATTCGGAACACCATGGATTGGCGTTCCTAGCTCCGGTTGGAACTGCCGGCTCCCTGATGCCTACGGCCATGAATACGTTTTAAATGATCTCTAGGAATCGACCAGTAGTGCATGTTGAAGAAACCCTCCCTCCGAATCTCTCATGAGATTCGAGACAAACATCATACGATCGGATGTCGGAAGATCCGGGTCTTCGTTGAGGATATAGGTAGACGTCATTATATTCACAACTTACCGGTCTTAACTGGACAACTTGAGTGCGAATATACGCGCCTTCTCACTCGGTACCGACCCAAAGTGCTGCATAAGGCATGGTCTAGACCCCGCTGATTCGTTTCTTTAGGGGTGAGAGAGCAATTGGTTCGGATGCGATACAAACGGATACATGGTAAAGCCGTGCGGAGATGATGAACCAGCTAGGCAAGGCAGTCTTGGCTTAGTCTTATATTATATATGCATATAAGCAATGTCTAAGATATATAGGTGTTTGTATGTGATGAATATATGTGTTGAGATGAGTGAGATGTATAAATTTGAAATGAATGGATCTAATGTCGCGATCTTATTAAAATATTTGTGAAAATTGTTCGAAGGTTCGGACTTGCCTTACTTGGATCAGATAACGGAATAATGAAGTTGTGTAATACTACGGATCTTGTACGACAGACATGTACCGACCCAGCATCCGGACTGAATCAGTGTACAACCGACCAGCCGAGGGGTGCATAAAATAATTATGTACACATATGAGACACACATCTTCAAATGGTAGAGTACGTACCCTGAGATATACTATGGGTCCACTGAAACCAACCCAAGGGTCCGTTGATTTACTGAGGTATCCACGCTAAAAATCGAAGCTTAGTCCCCACACAGAGTGTTGATAAATGAATTAGGATGTAGCTGATTCGCTAGAATCCGTGGATCCCATAGGATTTGTGCTCCGCAGACCGCTAGCTCGGAAATTTCTAGGGGACAGAAAGTATTCGAAGATAGGGAAATCTAACCACCAATACAATTTACAATCTACTTTTACTTACACATCTCACTTTCTTAATCCTCTCCTCCAACCAACCCCGAAACTCCGTGCCGAGTATACGTACGTGTGCGTGTGCCTTAGCTTCTGATCCTTTTGACTTCACAATCGTGCCATTGTCTTTTCCCAATCGCAAGCGATCGATCTCGATAGATTTGTTTAAATTTCTAAACAATTAAGTCAAAATGGCGGATAAGGAGCTTACCTATCAGGATGTTGCCGAGCACAACACCAAGAAGGATCTCTACCTCGTTATCCACGATAAGATCTACGATACCACCAAGTTCATCGATGAGCATCCGTAAGTATCCCCATATAGTGCGCGATTCGTATTCGGATTTCCCCTTATCTCCCTGCTCGATCCTCGTCGCAAATTGAACATTTTGCGAATTTTCGTGACTGACCGACTGACTTGACTTCTTCGTGCAGCGGTGGTGAAGAGGTCCTCCTAGATGTCGGTGGTCAGGATGCGACGGAAGCTTTCGAAGATGTCGGCCACAGTGACGAAGCCCGCGAGACCCTCGAGCAACTCCTAGTCGGTACCCTCAAGCGAAAGGTGAGATCTTACCCCTTTACTACCAGCCTTGTTTGCTTTTTCTTGTCTCGTTTCAATTTGCTAATTATTATCAACCACAGCCCGGTGACCCGTCTCCCAAGGCTCAACAAGCTTCCCTCGCACCCGCTGCCAACACGGACTCGGCCGGTTTAGGTACTGCTCTATACGCTATCGTCTTCATTGGAGGATTGCTCGCCTTCGGTGCCTACCAATACCTGCAAGCGCAGCAAGGCAAGGAGGCATAGGGGATCCATATGTCCCGCTCCAAATGATTTGGGATGATAGAATATACTGGGCGATGAGGTGATGAGATGATTGATACTTTCCTGAGAGCATACCTGTTACCAATGTTTAATAGATTCGAGGCCGGTTGGTTCTTCATACATATTGCTCAATGCTATGACTTTAACAGGCTGTTTGGTTTACGAAGAGCTGGGAGTCTAGGTAGTGGGAAATACAACACTTATTTAACTGGTAGAGTTGACTGACCGAAGCAGGGCTGTCACTCTAAGAACAGGCAGTTTTAATAAATCCGACGATCGAAAACTAAACAGGGTCCCTAATATCGTATTATTCATACGATGAATTCAAACATTAATATATCAATTGATGTAACATAAATGTCATTGTCACTTGGTTTTCCCTTTGCCCAACCATCCTCGATTTATTCTAATTTATTTGGTATTCGAATTGAAATGAAGGTCAACAACTTCTGACTGGATATTCTTATTGACCTGCCTACATGTCTACATACCTAGGTATGTAAGTACCTGGACTTCGGTTGTTCTTCCCCCCAAATTATACATGTAGGTAAATACCCGTGCAAGGTGAAACTTGTTTCCCCAATGACGCACTTCCCGAGCCATTTTCATCTCCTTTCGGTCTCTTGCATCCGAGTGTTTGTATGTCTGTTTCGGACTATCTATATAGACTCGGTTTATCAGATTGATTATTTGTATTCAATACATGCATCCGACGTTGCAAGAAGGTACACATATGTACACCATAAGTACTTTTAAAATTGATCCCTATTAATGATGGCGTACCTGAGTACATTGACGTATATTGATAAAAACAGCGTTTAGATTTGTCTCACTGCAAAACCCAAACAGAAGGGTCAACCCGCTCAATAACTGAATCCCTACTACCTAGGTACAATTCATCAAGCCACGTGCGGACTGCCTACCCGCTGTACTGTATTTACTGGGTCCAGGTACGAAGTTACAGGTACCGCATACACCTGTGGATGCTAGTGCATCTCCACTAAAATATCTAATGTTAGCTAAACCTTTCCTTATGCGGGAAATTACCTAACAATTCAACTTATTCAACTTTATTCAGCCTTGTCTTTCATTCTCAATCAACTTCTTTTTCCTTTCCATCATCCGTCCTATTGACGAGATCGGCCTATATCAACCAAACAAACCCGTCATTATACTGCGAAAACTCCTCTTCCGCTTCGAATAATCAAATCTTCCGTCATGAGTCCACAGAAGCCGGCCAACGGCCTAAAGCGATCGGCGCCTAGCTCGTCGGCCGCCACTCCAGCTGGAGGAAATGCAGGCAAGTCTGATGGTGCACCCGCAAAGCGACAAAAGCGCGACGGAAACACAACCGACAAAGATCACGATGCGAATCCGACACCCGCCGCCCGTGCCGCCAAAGCAGCATCGCAATCCACCGGTAGCCACATGATGACGCAAATCACGTACGGAATCGAATATCTGAAGAGCAAGGCAACGCCCAAGACCCTACAAGAGCTTCTCGACCATTTGACATTGCATCAACTCGATGAGAGTATGCAGTATGCCTTCGCCATGGCCATGCAGAAACATTCGCGTATTCAGTACAACCCGCCTCCTAAGTCGAAGGTGAACGCTGACGCCAAAGTACCCGCCTGGCGCCTGGGCACGTACGAATTCCGACCTCTACTCCCGGGCGTCAACACCAAAGTCGCGCTGCTCGATTATCTACAACACAAGAAAGACTCTGGGGCCATCGAGTTGAAGACGATCAAAGATGGCTGGCCCAACTGCGAAGCGGCGATCGATGAGTTAGAACGCGAACACCTGATTCTTTGTGTGCGCACGAAAAAAGAGAATGCTGCCAAGTTTATATTCCGCGACAACCCTGAATTGCACAACGAGGTCGATCCCGAGTTCAAGGCGATGTGGTTCAAGGAGAAGCTACCCCCCGCTGATGAGATGCCTCGCAAGCTTAAGGCGCTTGGTCAGAAGGCTACCAGTGATGGGTCGAAGCTCGCGAACAATGTCCAGAAGGCTGCGCCGAAGCGGAAGAAGGCTTCTCGCGTCCAGAAGAAGTTCGAGAACGAGCACATGCGAAACATTTTCGAGCAGCTCAAGCGCAAGTAATCTCGGTTTTTTGGTCGACCGATATGAACACGGTGGGCTTTCAAGCATTTCGATGAGAAGAGGGTTTACGTTGACGGTTGAACTCGTCTACGGTCAGGAAAAAGGAGAAACTATTGCATTTTGCGGCGTTTTATTGGGCATATAATCGCAAGGCGTTTCGGAAAGAGGACAGTTCACGAGATGGTTTTCCTCATATACGCATACACAAATACCCGATAGTAGGTATTGGTATGAGGCAGAAATGACTCGTGCGGGCGAGTCTGCATCTTTTGCGTTGTACTTCATAATGGCATAGCTATAAAAGGAGCTTTGACACTCTAAACAGTTCTGCCATTGCCGTGCCAGGTTATGTGATTTAGTTTAAAAGCTACCTCGCCATCTTGACGAGAATAGCTCTGTGACTGGATTATATGCTTGAGATGGCTGAGTAGGTTTGCCTATTACCTTTTAATGTTATTTTTTCTTATTCCTCTTTATTTCCTTTATATTCCATACATTAACCGCCAGAGTCCTAATCAGCAACAGGCACAATAAAGCATATGGTAAGGTGCAGCAGAAAAGACTGAGTTCCAACATTTTCTATTTTGCTCTGTCCGACATTCCATTGGGCAGGTCGTTCAGTCATGAAATCCATCTTCAGAATGAAAGAACCCAAAAGAAAGTCAAAATTTTACGCAGATGGATACTAGAGAAAGAAAAAAGAAAAGAAAAGAAACCACATAATAAAAGAGCAGAAAATTATAGCATCTTTTACATTCGCATATATTTCTACTTTATTAACCCTTTTCATTCACAACGAACCAAGTGCACCCTACCACATTCCAGTAGTAACGAATAGCTCTGAATTTATTGACTGATAAATCACCTAGGTAAGCAAATATGGATATATCCTTATCATATTCATTCTCCTTTTTTGAAACTCCCAAGCGGACTCCAAATTCCTCCTTCCTTCTAATCAAAAATCGTCGTAATCTCAAAGACCAACCACCCCCCTTTCTTCCTTCTTCGTTTTTACTTAAGTATAATACGTCTCACTATCCCTAACCCCTCCCCTCCTAATCCTCTCAAACTCCGCAACCAAAAACGCCACGCCCTGCGCGCCGCCAATCACATACCGATCATTAACAATAAGCGTCGGGACCGCGCGAACCGCGAGTCCGCGGCCACCGCTCGGGGACGTGATGTCTGCGAATAGGGTATCGACGGCGCGACCCCAGGTTCGGGGGCGGGTGTTTGTCTCTTCATTTTCGCCTTCCCTGTTCTGGTCTTGGTTTGCGTCTTCCATCGCTGTATCGTTGTTAGGAGAGGGGGATGGGGAAGGGGAATCGCTCTCCTCGAGCATACCCCGTATCTCCGCCTCCCCGATCCCAGTCCCCGCCATCGCCGCGACGCCGGTTTGGATTAGGTATTCCCGGTCTGATATATCCCCGCCTTCCTCATGGTGTCCGCGGAACAAAGCTTCCAATACTCTTAACTGCAGTGTTGGGCCTCGAGTTCGTGGGTGCGAAGTATTCGCACTCTCACTGCCACCATTCTCTGCTATCCCAGTAGATGCGGATGCCCCCCGCGGAGGTAGCGCAAGAGCCGGAGCAGCTCTCTGATTCTGATTCGAGATGCGCGCCGCGAACGCCGTGCTCGGCGTGGTAGAGGGCTCGCTTTCGAGCGCGAAGCGTAGCAGTTTGTGAGCGTCGCGTGTATTACCCATCCGTCCCTCGAATTTAAACGTCACGCCTACGGGCTCCCCGAGAGCGAGCCAGTAGTCGCGGCTATGGGCTCGGATTGTGGGGTAGTCTGATTTGTTGTATGCTGTGGTAGGACGGGATGGTTAGCTCTTCATTCGCTGACTCTTGAAAAGGGGGTAGTCGAGTAGGCATGGACTCATTCGGGGGGCGGATAGTTTATAGGGTGTGGAAGAACAGAACTGTTGTCAAATAAGAAGAGGCTTACTTACCACTTCGACCTGCGATCGGGTCGAGTAAATATGGTGAACATGTCACCATGAATGTTGCTTCCGGGTGACGGGCTGTATAAGTCCTAACCGCGGTGTTCAAGTTTTTACAATTAACGTAACAATATGGACATATCACATCCAAGATAATCTCCACCGTGAAGTGCGTGGTCTCCCCTGGATTATCGACTCTTGGACTTCCATTTCGCCCTCTCACCTCCGGCACAGTAGACTTCTGCCCGTTAGCAGTAGGCGACAATAATTCTTGTATGCTTGCCATTTTCGAACAGTATTTGAAAAGCGCAGGTAGTCCTTGGGATGAAACCTACGGGCCGGGGGCGAAACTCCTAGAAGAGTTATTAAGTAGGCCCACAGCGCTCCGTGGTTCCTCCTATAAAGGCGGCGGAGCCGGCTAGATGGTAGTAGTTCGCTTCGGGTCGGAATGCCAAGGGACTCGAGTCGCTAGCGGAGACTCCATACTACGGGAGTCGTAAGCTGGTGACCTTAACAGGGGCAAGTAGAATGACTACTGCTGCATCCTCGGTGTTTCTGGATTTTGTAATCAGCATCTTCTGCGCCACGGGGTATCTTGTTAATGAACAAAAGAGTGGGACTCACGATGCAGAATTTCCCTAAAATGTGGACGGTGTTGGTTCAGTTGCGACGGAAGAAGCAATTTCAGTATCAGAATGAAGCCCAGCTCACTCAGCGCATGGGATACGCCACCACTTCCAACGTCAGAGGGATCCTTTCATTTATGAATATGTAATCAGTTGGTAGTTTCAAGACATTAAATCTAATCCATTCCCAAGCTGGTTAATCTAGCCCGTTGTCCTGTAATTTTATTCTAAGAAAATGCAAAATTTTTTTCGAACTTTTAAGCTGCAGTGATGCGGCGAGATGTCGCAAAGAGGATTGGGAGGGATGCGGTCTATCCGCGAGAACGAGCAAGACCAATTCATTTTTTTTTTTCGATGAAAAGGATTGCATGGCCAATTATGAATGAACAATATACGAGATTAATTGCTGCACCGGAAGCGTACAGAAAGAAAAAAAAAGAGGGAAAGGGAAAGAATGCTGTACGCTTGCTATCCGGCTGTACGTTGCCCCATTTCATGATCACAAATCAAAAAATCAACGGCGGTCTCTTTCTGCAACCTAACCAAGCCAGCCCAGCCCGTCCGGGATTCTCGTCCACTCCACTTCCTGTTTCCCTCGAAAAATAATCTAGTCGAAGCCAATAAATCGTCAGAATCGTACGAGAACCGAGGCGTGATTAAATAATCATTTTCTCTAAGCGTAAACGAGCCCGAGGCGGTCCAACGCCGTTCTTATACGGTTTCGGATATATCATTCATTTTATGTATAGGCGGCCTATATGATCCCCGAATGTCATGTAGTTGGATTAGTGTAATGCAACAGGCTGACAATAGAAAAAGAGACTAAATTATCTAGGGTTTATTTGTCTCGATGCAACGTAATGTATAGAATCGGGGAAAATATGGCACCTTGACTAATACTTCCATCAACAAGTGGCGCTCCCTACCCCAGGTGTCTGTCTTAGCGTCGAGATCTTGCGTAGTAGTAGGAGCATCATACAGATAACGCTAATATGAACCGTCTTTTCGGGCATGTCATCGTGAGTTAAGCACAAACATATGGGTCTGTGGATGCGAGACCTAGGCCGCTGTAACATAAATAGTCAGACTAAGACCTCTCCATAAGCACGTACCACCTTCAACATAATCATGAATGGGATCAATTCTTCTCAATCTATTGGCAATTTTTTTTTTTTTAACTACCCTGTGATTTGCTATTAATCCAAGCCTTGAGTTACCTACCAAACGAACATCCAGTAGGTTACCAAGGAGAGGGACCCTGAGTAGGCTATCAAGCATGCACCAAAAGACCACGGCGGTCATCAGGATCGCTAAGATTTTTTTTTAATTCATCCTTGATTGCTCGCTACCAGCATTGTCATGTCGTCTGAGACTGCTGGTATGTATATCTGGGTCAGCTTATAGCGAAAATCACCGCCTGAAGTTGAACTCCCAAATGTTCCATATCGTTTTGCTTGCTGCCTCTGGGACTGCAAACCGTTCCCTACGCATCCTTAAAAAAAACCACAAATTTCCTAACCTCCTTCCCTAATACCCTTCCCTTCGCCTCGAACCGATTTTTTCCGTAGTGTCATTAAGGCCGCTGAAGCCAACCAGTATTTATGTCGAACTGAGAGGAAGAAACGAAGTTTAGATGGCCATTTAGACCTCGTTTGAATCCATCAAGCGAGGCAAATCTCGGCCCCTTATATTAGTATAAAGTTCCACTGGTGGTGTTCAACGTTGCGGCCGATTATCTCGAGGTATGTGTGCGCGCGCTGTGCTTTTAGACGGAGCTGAGTGAAGACTGCCCCGAGGCAGTTTGATTCCGGATCTGAGGCCTTCGTAAACAAAAGAAAAATAGAAAACGCCGTGTGCTGATCCCTTCTCGATCGCATATCGAGATTAATCACACCTCGCCGTGCCAATGGGTATTAAACCTTTCCGGAACAAAAGAAATATGCAAGAGACAAAGGAAATCTATTGGTTAAACGCAAATCCCTTGAAGGGCATGACCTCCTGACCTTCGTAACCATATGTAACGAAATCGCCTTGGTATCCTGATACGGAAGAGGCAGTCTCTTGGCAGTCTGACGGGGAAGAGGTAGCCTCCTGGTATCCTGTGCCTAGGAGGGGATCGCTGGCCTCGTTCCGAAACCAGCCGAAATCACTGGGGAAGTCGCCCTACTGACCTGCCCATAGCTCATTGGGACGTGGCTTGACGTCATAAGTCGCCGGGACGGGTTCCGTGCTCGTTTGTCGTCGAATCTGAGCGCCTGCGTTGTAATACATCTGGCCCATATTGTTGCTACCTAGGAAGGGTTGGTCGGGATCCGGGTACACATAACTATTGCCACCATTGCTATGAGTAGGCGAACCCATATGCGAAGGCGACTGCCATCCCACGCTGCCCATGTGAGGACTTCCACCGGTGCTGCCGCTCCCTGACTGATGTGACTCGACACTAGGTTCTAGAGTCGGGGGCGGAGGATAGTTAGTAGGATGAGATGTAGGTCGCATACCGGTCGTGTACGACGGTGCCGACGTAGGACTTTGTGACTGCATGTCGGTACGAAGGTGAACCGGGAGCGATCCATTGCTCACATACGAGTAGTCACTGCTTCGCATCGCGTTTGCCGCAGCAAGCTCAGCACCAGGCGAGATAGACATCTGTCTCTGGCCCGGTGAAGAGGTATTCAGGGGAGAACCGTGGTTCGACATAGGGTCTCCATCACTGTGCATCACAAGCTTCCCGTTTGCCGCTGTACGGTTAGCCTGAGCAGCCAAGGCAGTAGCAGTAGCGGCGGCGGCCTCCTCAACAGTACCGGTATGTTGATTTTGATGGCGAGTTAACGTCGTTCGTCGAGTGAAAGTCTTCTGGCAGTTGGCGTAGGGGCATTTGTACGGTCTCTTACCCGAATGAATGCGCCTATGTCTTGCTAGGGAACTACTGTCACTGAAAGGCTACGCAAGAATTAGCATATTTTCCGTATATAATAGGATATGATTATTACCTTTCCACACTTCTCACACATGTGGGGCTTCTCTCCTGTGTGGACTCGTTGATGTACCGTAAGAGCTGAGCGCTGAATGAACTGTTTCCCACATCCCGGGTGGTCGCAAACGTGCGGGCGTATTCCAGAGTGAATTCGCTCTACAAGTATTATTAGCACTGCTTGCTTTTTATGCTCTATTGAAACTTACCATGCCTAGCTAGATCACTACGTCGAGCAAAGGCTTTCGGGCAAGTACTGCACGGGTACGCCTTTGCGGGGGGCTGAGGTCGGGGGGCCATCTCAGGAGGCTTGTTGTAAGACATCGGTATTCCGTGTGTAACCTGGGGCATACTAGGGATCATCATGCCAGGCGCCATGCTCGGGTCAGATAAAGGAATCGCAGTCTGCATTGCAGAGGGAGAACCATAAGGTCGACCGTTGCCCATTCCATTTAGAGCCTCAAGGGGTTGACCAACACGAGGACCAGAGTGATAAGAACTTTCGGAGCCATGCGGTGAGTTCGCACGGTCAATACCAACTGAACTTAGTTGGGGGTGTGGGAGTAATTGGTGGTCCGGCGAGGGACCCGATGCGGCGGCGGCGGCGGCTGCAGCTGCAGCAGCATGGTTCTTATCAAGCATGTTCGTAATATTCATCACCTCCGAAGATGGTGATTTAGACATGGCGAGGCGAAAGAAGCTGGGAAATTCCGGCTTCTAGATAATATTTGTCGCACGGCCAAATGTCGGAAAGGAATCGCGTAAAAAGTCGTATTGCGTGTTATATGGAGGGGCACCCTTTTTCTCCCTTTCGGCCGATAGAAATTGGCTTCAATACCGGGAAGCACAACTCTTGCTAACGTGTGAAACCGACGTATTCCTCCGCGTTCGAGTCCAGGGGTGATAGAACGCTGATAAGTCACCGGAATGAAGTGCGACACCGACGAATATTCGCAAATCCGGTACGCGTCAGCTTCTGACCGGTCCAATTTTGCGTGATCGGGTTTTCCTAGGAGTCGAGGCGAAAATGAGTTGTTTGACTCGAGTACTTGCGCTCGAGTAACGCAATGCGCCTGTTCTTCGGTTGAGCCTTCAGGAAAGTCCGCACGGCAGCGCAACACACGTTGCGGTGGACAAAGAAACCTCTATCGGTCGAAGGAAAGGAGGTGACGAGGGCGGGGTAGGAGTGTCGCGGCTGTACGTTGTGCAAGTCGGACTCGCGAGGGTATGGCGAAGGTAATCAGTCGAGGGATGTGGTCATCTATTCGCGATTCGGCGGTGTCTATCGGCGCGAAAAAATGTCCGTAATCCTGAACAAACCGAATCGAGTCAGTAATCTAGAAAGCTCGGAAGGAAAAAAGAAATGTAAGGAGACGGCATCCAAAGCCAACTTGGCGATATCGATAGGATACGAAGGATGTAAGGCGATGTTTGTAAACCTAGAGCTTGTCCAAGGAGTGAAGTAGTACCGAAGCTATTGGCGATGCAAGCGCCTCGAGCTCGCGATACGCCACCAACCGAACAAACGGGACCGGTAATTTATCCAGTTCAAGGGATGGCAAAAATGCGACACGTGATGGAAGAGTTGAAGAAAGATTGGAATACTAGAATAGCAACAACAGAACGTCGTGCAAACCAAGCGGTGGGTATATCGAAGCAACAAAAGAAAACGTGCGGGTGGACCTGAAGCTGGCCTACGTACTAAGGGAAGCTGGTGGGAATGGGGGCAGCTTGTGATCCTAACGTACCTCGATGAATTCCTTGGACCCTTTTAAAAGGTGCCAGTTGAAAATATATGTATGGGTAGGGAAAGAAGAGGCACCTTCACCGATTGTGATTAAGCACCGAGTCGATATTTCTTGAAGGAAAGGATTGACTGACGAAAAGAAATATAAAAAAAGAGATGTATGTGTGACGATGGAGAAGGAAAATAATGGGAGTGATGAAATGCCAAAATCGCAGTGGTATTTAGGTAAGCTGCCTTTTTTTTTCGAGGAGGTACTTAAGTACTTCCACTAGAGCGGTGGAATGACCCACTAGAGGAAGTGCAGGCAGAGAGTGGGTATGTGCATGGGGCAGTTGGGTAGGCAAGGAACGGGGGAGCAGGGGCCACGAACGCGAAAGGTTATGTTTTATAAGAGGTACCACAGCTATTGGCCAGACAGAAACAGTGCACAGGGTAGAGGCGTACTTACCTAAAAGTTTGGATAACCCCTATGGACATATTAAGTTTAAGTACGTACCTCGAACTCATAAATGTGCGCGCGCTGATTCAAGTGGGTACCTACGTATTTAGCATCTCCAATGGTGTTGCGGTACTTACATTGTTGAAAACAAATTTTGGAAAAAGTATTTGGCTCGTATGGTACTTGTTAAATTTGTATTGACAAACTTTTTTTTCTTCTCCTTTTTGGCCTTTTTTTTTGAGAGAGAGAGAACCCTTGCTTGTCCTGTCAATCTAATGAAACCACATCTTAATAGGGCTACAGCTCTCCAAGTACCGAAGCAGCCTACGTACATGCAAACTTAGTGCGCTAAGCCATAATCTAGCCCGCACTAACTAGATAGATACTAGCTACTACTTAATAGAGGAAGCTGTTTTACATTTTTTAAGACATGACTTTCACGTTTTAAGAAATCTGTCAAAAAAAAAAATCGTTCGAATGCTTTTTTTTTTGTCGGGTTATCCCGACTGAACTATACTTATCTATGCATGGTATCTTATTCAGCTGTCTTAAATATTTCATATTAAATCCTACCCTTCTTTTTTTCCCATCTGATAGATACGCATCTTACGCAACACCTCCAAAAAAAAATCCATACAGTATTTCGATATAATCATCAACTTGACCTACCTAGGTACCCTTATGGATACACACACACGCACAGATCCATACTACAAGGTGCCCAACTAAACAGTGTTCAAGTACCTTGGCAGCCAGGGACAAATATGGCCCCGGTCTAGGATCCACCAAGTATGGCTCCGCCCTTATTATGACTTATATTACCATGATCTCCCCAGACATCCCGTTGTGCATAATCACTGCGTTGCAACAACCGAATAATATTAAGGGTGATCCTCTATATGAGAATTAACATGCAGCATAATGAGTCTAGCAGCTAGTCCTCTGTTAAGAGAGATATATATAGGCATTATACTGTATATGTATAGTACCATACCATGGTTTACTGCCACATGTACATATATATACCATTATTCTATACATCCATATGTACTTGGCATTAGAACGTCGGGAGATTGTTAACAGATCTTAGGTACAGATGACGGGTGACGAACAAGGAAAAACAGGTTACCTTCTGTCGGGACTGGGCAATATCAATACCAAACCTAACTTGAGTTGTTCAAGGGAGAATGTGGGATTTGGCGCGTTCCAGAGACATGGTAAAGATTTGATGAGGCGAGAAATATCCATGTTGGGTACTTGGGTACCTACGTATTACCTAGGGGATGGTACCTACCTAGGTAGGTAATTGCCCAGCAGGCCAGGTGCTTGCCTTACCCTTCACCTGGGCTCTTCCAAGTACCTAAGTAGCGTGTACAGAAGCTTTGGCGTTTCCATAAATAGGAAGAACGTCAGGAAAGAAGAAGGTACATGTGTCACAGTACTCAAGTATCTACCCACGTACCTGCCAACCCCTAGCATTTAATGCAGCCATGATTCTTTATGCACGTACATGTACCTGGACGTACACACACGTATCGAACTGGCATACCTCCTTATCGTAACCTACATGCATCATAACATACCTAAAGTATATATGTACATTATATATGAGTACGTATATTAAGGAGGCGTAGTAAGGAAGAAAAAAAGAGAAGGAAATAAAAAAAAATCAAGATCAGATGATTATGCAATAATTATTGTAAATACCCGGCCGAAAAGCATCGAACGTTGCGTAACGCTCAGACCGTTTGTTGATTTTGGCTCCTATTTTTTTCTTTTCTTTTGGTTAGAATGAAACAGAGCAACACCAAACAACATTGAACCGGAGCCGTTGAAGTACCTCGTATATTAAGTTATATGTAGAAATCCCTATATGTACGTAAGGTTCTACCTACATATGATTTTTGCTTATTTCATATTTTAGATACATATGCAAGTAGCATGTGGCTTGTTATGTAACTCATAAAGTTATAACTCAGATATCGATTTTTATTTTTCGGCTTTTCTAAATCTTCACATCATCAACATCAAATATGATGGATTTTCAAGACGACACGCCATCCTCTTACTATGCGTTCATTTTCTTTCATGAGAAGATTTAGATAGGTATTTTCAAAAATATTGTATGCATGCGATTCTTTCCAGTACTTTATATTATGGAGTACTCGATCTCTACATCCAAGGCCATGTTCACATCAAATTAGGAGCGAAACATGCCAACAAGAAATTTAGCTGAATATGGCACGGTGTATGCCGTCCACGGGTCACGTCTTTATGAGTAGCAATACACGTCCCTGGGAACTTACTGACTCGGGACGGGACACGAAACAACACGAAACCACGTTCTCGGCAGCGTATACCCTCGCAAATACCCTCGTAAGTGGATTACAACAACACTTCTACCGTTGCCCTATGAGATGGACAGTTGTGGGCGGTTGTGGGGAAACACATGGGTATTATCAGCCAATGCACCCCGGCGCATGAGGATTCCAAACAGGCTTGGAAATTGGCCCTAGCCCTAAGAAGCAACATTCTGGAAGATTTCGAGAAACGGGAGAACGGAGGCATGCCGATATTGAAAGGACCTTTTCTCCTCCCGAACCATACTCTTCTACCGTAGCCGTCATTATGTGTGCCTACCTGGGTAATGTATGGGCGGGCCGAGAAATACAACGACGGCCGAAATGTCTACCCAGGTAATGAGCGCGTTTATCATGACGGCAAGCTGCGTTTTTTTCTTGCCTCCCATTCCTTATTCCAACCTAGTAATCCTTTGATCTTATGGTGATCATGCTTCATCCCCCTCGACCTGGGGTATTTCCTACCCATAACCAGGCCATAACCCCCTCCCCTTGGATTGGTTCAGGGAAAGGGATCGTTGCTTGATCCGTGACATGGGAATCTCCCGCGCCTTGTCTAGCGGCACCTTCATTTCGCAAGCATTGCGATAATGACATCAATTCATTTCGAGTCTTGGAAGCCAAAACATTCTCGAAGCCTTTCCGTCCCGTCGATACCCAACGCTAACAGGAACTATTTTAGACCACGCGAGCGCGATACCGTTTTTGCACTATCATAGACGACAACTTGCCAAAACCTGTCAAAGTAGGCAGATGGTCTTGACGCTTCCAAGCCTCTAAACCTCTAAAGGGTGGACGGCCCCTGCATTACCATAGCTTCCACGATACACGTCCTAGGACCACTCAACTACCTAGGTAATCACAACCAGGAGACTCCGCTCGTTAGACCTACTTCCACTCACATAATTCATACGCAGACCATGCTTTACACCGGAATATCATTAAGGGATAAAAAAACACGTTATATTCCGAAAATGGATGCTGATCATTTTAACCTTTCAGCTCCGTTCGTCAAGGGGGCCATCGATACGGCCTTTCCCCAGGTAGTTAATCCTTCAATGAATACTAGCTCGCGCCGAGGGCGTAAGAACGTGAATAATTATGTACTCCACTAGCCTGGGTGGAGAGAATGATGCATGAGAAGCACATATGCTTACACGTTGATACCTTAGGCTAGGTAGGTGTACACTCATTTCCTAATCACAAACCTCCCTTTAGGAAGACGCAAACCACCAAGAATATTATGAATTAAAGAATTAGTAGCTAATATGTCATTTTTATAGTTACTAAGGTATGTTTATTAATCTATATATGTAAGAAATAAATATCATCATTTGTACATACGCCATATGGTGGCGTTCGCCTAGTGTCATAGCTCATACATAACCCTAGCAGCCATGATACCTCATAGGTTGACCTACCGCACCACCCAAACGATGTTTACCATTCAATCTTCTAATTAGTAGCGTAATCATCTCGCAGGAAGAGGGGGTATATGTGAAGTTCAAACTTCAC